GCCCCTGTGCGCGCGGGCCGGCCGGCCGCCAGTTCGCCGCGGGCCTTAGGCCGTGGAGGGAACGATCCTGGGGAGAAATCCTGAGAGACATCCTGAGGGAAATCCTGAGGGAAATCCTGAGGAGAGATCCTGGGACCCCGGGCGATCGGCCTTGCCCGGCGGTCGTAGTTGGCGGGCGGGGGGGGGGGGGGGCATTTCACCAAGAGTCCCCGCGAGTGTCCATCTGGGTCTACTAGTAGATATTCCATGACATATAAACACTAATATATAATACTTACCTTCTTAGCTTCTTCAATAGCCTCTGCAACTATTTGGTCCCAGTTGCCGCAATACAACTGATCCTGATCAAATTATCTACAATGCTAAGTCCGAGATATCTATGTACTTGGGCCGGATATCTGTCTTCACGGTGTCTGTGAAGTCTATCATTTTCAAAAGACGGTTTCCATCGACATTGTTGCTGGGCTTTTTTTTTTAACGACCAGTGCCACAATTTATTTTATTGGGAATCCTAGCTGCAACTCTGTGCAAAGCTCTAAGAATCTGACTTCTATTGCTGGGAAGTATATCTGCGTGTGAGTGAACCACCAGATTGGGTGGCACCCGTTAACCAGGCGAGATAATAGCAGTCCCGTTGCGGACCCAAACGCGGGCGCGTTTGGGTCCGCCACACCCTACTGAAAACCACACCCTGGTGAAAAATTTTTCACTCCACCAACTTATTCATTAAAGATATTCCGTGTAGGAATATCTATAACTTCGACGAAACGGGGTTCCAGATCGGTCAAGGTCAACCAGGAAAAGTTGTTACTTCAACTCCATATCGAACATCTCGACTTCCTACTGTCACGGGCCAGGGCCCGGTGTTGATCACGTAGGACACGTGACCTTGGCGTACTAATAGCGGAGGACCAGCGTATTGAACTCCTTTCCTTAAGTTTATCGAACACAGTTCATGGCCTAGTATAGGTTGAATCAAGTCTTGCTTTAGCCCTTCACACACGAAACCGCCAGCTCGCCCACAAAACAAGAAAGAAACAGAACAAGGTGCGCAAACTGCGCCCCCAACAGAAATTCTAAAGTAAACCACTACACATTCGACAGAGAATGTCCGGAAACGATGAATGTCCTTGCCGCTATCAGGGGCAAACCGCCTGAGCAGCCCCAAGCTGCACCCAGAGAACCTGCCAACTAGCTCCACGCGACCCTCAACAGAGACAGATATTTATATCTGACGCTCGACGAACCAACGAAAGATATATTCCCACTGCCCGAGCGTCTAAGGAGGGCAGCGAGCTCCACCTTGATACAGATGCAGACGGGAAAGATCGCACTGCCCGCATACCTGGCTATCATCGACCGTCGGAGGACGGCGGCGCTAGAAGCAGACCCAACCCGCGAACCGTCGAGCTGCACGTGTGGCCGAGGCGTACTAAGCGTGGATCACGTGCTTCTCTACTGCCCGAATTTCCGGGCCCTACGGGCCTCGATACTCGGGCCATTTCGGCATTCCCACGGACGCAAAGCCTGGCTAACCAAACCAGACTTAGCAGCAAAGGCAGTCCAATTCATATTGTGAACCAAGCTCCTCGGCTAGTTTAGGAGCCTAAAAGACAACTACCAGGTCTCGAGAGAGGCCTGAGGATTGTGTATAAAAAGCATGCAGTGGACCAGGGCTATTGTAACGAAGGTTAAACAGGGAAAAACGTAACTAGCGAGAAAGTATAGGCAGGCCATTGGCCAATAGTGTACACGGATAGCCCACCGTCCTAGAAATATCTGCCGGCAAATCGGGTGAGAAAACCTGACAGACCCGTGAATGAAATATCAATCAATTGATCAACGAACTGTGTACGATAAACTTCCTTCTATGGCCCTATGTTAGGGATGGGATAGCATTGATAAATTTTAGGGTCGATTCATAGTGTCCCTTTGTGGAAATCTTTGAGAACGATCGGCGCGACGACGTGGACCGTTATGCTCCGGGGTTCCGTGGGGCTGAAGCGGCAGGTAACGGTTTGGCGATCGGATATGAATTAGAACGGATCCTTGTAGGCAGTGGAGCCCCGTTGAAGATTGACGAAGGATAATTCTCTAGTTAAGAAAAACGTTTGCTAGCATGAAATAACATCGTGACCACTATTGAGGTCTCTCAGTCTGTGTCCTTGTGCTGTTCCAGATGCGGGAAAACAATGATCGAGATGAACAATCAATCAAATCCGATGTTCTTGATTTTAGGATCCCTGGTAGGTTTTTGGCTCCAGCTATAATACAGACTCTATCTACCAGTTAGAAATTCGAACGTGTCGTCGTTCACGGGTCCTTGTTAGCGAATGGTGCCACGACAAGTACGCTTGCACGTACTTCTGTATCCTGCCAAGAAAGAAACCCCGCACCACCTTCACTGTTTTATGCCCCTGAGCCCCCCCCCGTCTTCCTATTGAGCTCACTTACCAGGAAAATCTGCCGGTATTATGGCCCAGCAAGCGGACCAGATTACAGTTGTGCGTGCATTGGAAATGTTTCTGGAGATATGTTCTGACATATTCTGTTCTGAAGGACCCTGATTTCTATACCTTGACGGACTACCACCCAGAGGATTTTCAATCGTGAGGATGATCGCAGACTTCCTATATTTACGGTCGGATGCTCACCAAGATGAGTTCTAGGGAAACCACTTCTATCACCTCTTCAATCGCGCGAGGTCGATTGGAAAATGGCCGAAGGTTCGTGAGGTTTTGCTCCGACAGCCGGTCGTAGATTCACGGTGCTCATGTTGTACAGATACCAGGCTATGAAGGACGACTATTGGTGAGCACCCCCTGATCTTGGTGAGTCTTCCTGGATTTTAATCTTCCAACCGCAGGGGTCCATCTGATGAACAGCAATTCGAGGCATTCGAGATAGGGTAGGTAGAGCCTCGCTCTGGATATGAGATATCGAGAAGATAAGTGCTGATAGCTCCAGCCATATGCTCTTCTTGATTTTAGATCACAATGAGCCCAACCCGCTGTTCCGTGCCCCTATCGGCGAACAGCCAAAGGTATAGTTTGGATCGGTCTTCTGCGCGGTTGGCCCTTGCTCAACTCTGTGTTTAGCAAATTCTAGATATCGGAACGGGAAAGGGAAGCTGGGCTGTGTAAGATCGCCATTTTACTGCCTCAGGATCAAGCTAACCCTTCTCACGCCAAAAAAGAGACGTTGCAGATTTATACCCAAATGGTAAATTGTCCACTACCGAATGATTTGTCTTATACGTTGGCTGACCTCACAAAGCAACTGTCCGCGGTGTTGACATATTTCCCCCTCCCGTGTCTTGGGTGCCTCCAAATTGCGTGTTCGAAGTTGATGATGTCCTCCGAGAGTGGACGTGGCGAGAACCTTTTGATTTCATCCATCTACGCCTAATGTACGGAGCATTTACCTCTGAGGAATGGGATCAGGTGTACAAAAGAGCCTATGAGTGAGTTTTGATAAGTATACTCTCAACTGGCCGAACTTCAACACTCATGCTTGCTTCAGTGCTCTTCAACCGGGTGGTTGGATTGAACAAATGGAGCTTGATGTTAGAGTATTTAGTGACGATGGCACCTTGACGACTGACAAGGCTCTTCATGGATGGGGTGATATGTTCATCGACTGCTCTGAGCGGGCTGGACGGTCGCTCAGAACTCAAGAGACAATGCGTAGCACTCTGGAGAAAGCTGGATTTGTGGATGCCCAGGAGAAGCTTTATAAGATCCCCCCTCGGCCCTTGGGCAAAGGACAAGCTGTTGAAAGAAGCCGGACAACTCCAGAATACCCACTGGAACACGGCCTTGGAGGGGTGGGCCATGTGGCTTCTCACCCATTATGGGGCCCCTGCGCCATGGACCAAGGAAGAAGTGCAGGTTTATCTGGCCAAGGTACGCAAAGAGCTTCAAGACCCTCTGTTACACGGTTATGAACTAGCGTAAGTTTGTCGTCAGTGAGCTTTTGGCTGCTCCCAACTGATGCTAACGAAGTATAGCCGCCGTGTATGGGCCAGAAAGCCCACCTTGGGCGAGCGTAAAGCAGACAAAACACCAAGCGAGGTGAAACCGCCTTCATGAAATTGCATCGCGCACCCGTTCAACTTGACTGCTCTCGGGAAATCCTCTCGCCAGTTAGCGATAACTTCAGCGTTCACTCAATTCAGCCACTGGTTACCGCCTTGGTATCACGAGAAGCCGACTGAACTACGAGATGGGCGAAGATGGGATGGAGGATTGCGGGGGAAGTAGTTGGGTCTTCGTCGTGGTTCTCCTTCCTCCTCTCCCTTGTTGCAATATCTCCAATACGAGCATCATTGCCAGCTTCCACACCCCAATGTAGGTCGCCGTTGACAGATATTATCTCTCTCTTATTGTCATGGGCCAGTGTCACGGATTCCAGCTAGAGGGTGTACTATATAAGGCGTGCCTGGGTGTATCTGCGCATGAAGCACGGATATGTAGTCTTTTGGCTTAGTTGATTGAATATTAGCCCAGGGATGTTCCTTCACAGCCAGGGCCGGTGGTGATCACGTGGGGCACGTGACCTTGGCCTATTGATATTGGGAGATCGGTGTATAGAATTTCTCTTTCTAAAGATTATCGAACACAGGTTGTGGCCTAATTTGGATTGAACCAAGTCTTGCTCTTACCCCTTCACATGCTGTGGACATTGATTCGCTTGGCACTGGCCAGCATTGCCCTCGCCGCCCCTTGGAAGAACTCGATCCATTGGTCGCTTCTCAGCTATTGACCGACCCATACAGTTACGACTTCCCTCGGCTAGGCACCCCGGGGGCGCAATTGTTTCCGATGCGCCGTTGCCAGGGGTTCAAACTTGAGGAAGCCAGTATTGATGAGATCCAGGCGCAAATGAGTCACGGCACATTCACCAGCGCCGAGCTGCTACAGTGCTTCCTCGACCGTGCTTATCAGACGCAGCCATATTTAAAGTTAGTTCATTTTCTCCGCTATTCAATTCGGCTGATGATGCCAGGTCTCTAATCTCGACCTTAGTGCCATTCTACAGTTCAACCCAGATGCTTTCTCCATCGCCCGGATGCTTGATGAGGAGCGCGCTAACGGCAAGTGTCGGGGCCCGCTCCACGGCATTCCGTTCATTGTAAAGGACAACATTGCCAGCAAAGACCGTCTGGAGACCACAGCTGGCTCCTGGGCCCTCCTAGGCAACGTTGTCCCCCGCGATGCCTATGTCGTTCATAGGATGCGTCAGGCCGGGGCTGTTCTCCTGGGTAAAGGATCGCTCAGTGAATGGGCTGATATGCGTTCGAACAATTACTCAGAAGGGTTTACCGCTCGTGGCGGCCAATGCCGGAGCGCCTTTAATCTTACTGTTAACCCTGGGGGCAGCAGTACTGGCCCCGCTGTCGCGGTCGGCGCCAACCTGGTTCCTATTGCGCTCGGCACCGAAACTGACGGAAGTGGTATGGATGTTTTGTTGGTGACGAGCGGCACTTGCTCTTTACTGACCGACCATAGTCATCAATCCTGCGCAGCGAAACGCCATTGTGGGAATCAAGCCTACCGTCGGCTTGACGTCCCGCGCCGGTGTTATTCCCGAGTCCCTGCACCAAGATACTGTCGGTACATTCGGAAAGACTGTCCGCGATGCCGTATATGCTCTGGACGCCATTTATGGAGTTGATCCTCGTGACAATTACACTCTGGCCCAGAGCGGATTGACTCCTAAAGGTGGCTATATCCAGTTCCTTTCTACGAAGGAAGCTCTTCAGGGAGCCGTCTTCGGCCTTCCCTGGAAGTCATTCTGGGCCCTCGGTAACCCTGAGCAAATTGCGCAGCTTGAGGAGCTGCTTAAACTGATCCAGGCTGCGGGTGCGACCATTATTAACGGCACCGATCTGCCTCATTACAAGCAAATTGTTTCGCCCGATGGTTGGAACTGGGATTACGGTGCTACTCGTGGTTTTAGCAATGAGTCTGAGTATTCCTATATCAAAGTCGACTTTTATAACAACTTACGCGATTATCTTTCAGAGGTCAACAATACTGCGATCAAGTCTCTGGAAGACCTCGTGCAGTATAATCGTGATAACTATGGCTCCGAAGGCGGCTTTCCAGGTGTGCATCCTGCCTTTGGGTCCGGCCAGGATGGCCTCATCGCTTCTCTGGAGAGCAAGGGAGTCATGAACGAAACGTACTTCTCGGCGCTAGAGTTTTGCCGACGCACGACCCGGGAGGAAGGCATCGATGCAGCCTTGAAATATCATAACAAGACTCTGGATGGTCTTTTAGTTCCTCCCGATGTTGCGCAGAGCATTCAGATCGCCGCTCAAGCCGGTTACCCTGTAGTCACCGTCCCCGCAGGGGTGAGCAACGGGTCTGGGATGCCTTACGGCCTGGCGATCATGAACACGGCTTTCTCGGAGCCCGTTTTGATCAAGTATGCCAGTGCTATTGAAGATCTCCAAAAGTCCACCGGTACGAGATGGCAGCGATCTCCCCCCCGAGTGGCGTGGCTACTTGCAGCGTAACTTGCCCGTCGTTATGTGAGGTGTGTCACTGGCCAGGGCTGGAAGGGAACGGCCAGATTTGGGTGGCACCTGTTGACCAGGCAAGGTAGTAGCATTCAATGGAGCGTTCACAGGATGGTTCCGGTCTGAACAAAAACTAAAGCTTATCCTTTCAGCTAGAGTAGGGCGGCTTCTCCCCAGCGGATCGACGCATAAAGCCGACTTCCGGCTAATTGGACAGTGGGGATTCCCCGCGTTATAAGGAGGCGCGGCTCACCACTTTCACACGCGTCCCCAGCGATTGCAGCAACACAAAAGGCCAGCCCAATGTCCTCGAGCAGATTGACGCGGGCTCCCCGGCACTGGGGCGCCGGGCGACCGTTCATACCGAGACGCAGCTTCACGATCTCTGTCCGCCGCTTCTCCGAACCATCCGCCTCCGCCGTCGCAACGTCCTTCCTGTCACGCTTCCAGTCGCTAGGCCCTCAAATCCGTACTCAAGTCCTCGACGCAAATCAACTGCAGCTTCTCACCCTCACATTGAATCGCCCCTCTCTTTTTCCCGACTCTCCAACGTTGACCAATGCTGCCCTTCCGGCCCTCAACACGCCCGTACCGCCGGGCTACCATCTTGTTTACTTCACGCCCGCGTTCCTAGAGGATGAGCTTGGGCTGGACGGCACGGACGCTTCCTACAATCCGCAATTTCCCTTCACTCGGCGAATGTGGGCGGGAGGGGAAGTGACCTGGCCGCGGGACGCTGATGGGCAGCCCAATCCGCTGCGAGTCGGGCAGGAGGTGCGCGAGACGACACGCGTGTTGAGCGCAGAGGCCAAAGTGGTGAAGAAAACGGGCGAGGACATGATCGTGGTAGGGGTGGAGAAAGAGTTTGCGAATGGACACGGCGTGTCGATTGTGGATAAGCGGTGCGTCGTGGAGAAAGAGAGCAGAATGAGAAAATCGCCGAACTGACCTGCCATCCAATCAATAGGAACTGGGTATTCCGCAAGGCTCTTCCCACCCCATCTCCCTCATCTCCCCCGCGAGCCCTCCTCGGGCCACCTCGTCGCACGTCGCGACCCAGACCACGTTCGCCATTTCCACGCAGGGACACACTCACTCACGCTCGCTCGTGCAGAGTCCAGTCACCCTATTTCGGTTCTCCGCTCTGACGTTTAACCCACACAAGATCCATTACTCTCTTCCGTGGGCCCGCGAGGTAGAGGGGCATAGAGATATTGTGGTTCATGGCCCGCTGAACTTGATATCGATCCTAGATTTGTGGAGAGACACCCAAGGCAAGGCCTGCGAGGATCCAGCGACAGCTGTGCCCAAACGCATATCCTACCGTGCAACTAGCCCGTTGTATGCGGGAGACCGGTACTCGATTCATTTAACAGAAAAGGAAGCAGGAGCATCCAAGGTACAAATTGTTGGGCCCGAAGATGCTATTGCCATGAAGGCAGAGATCGAGTAAGCAATACAAAGGTCCGACTTGATGCATCGGACCTTTCTTCGGTGATTCGCTTCGCCCAAACCCAGCGTAAAAATGCGACCCTACCGTGACATTTACCATACACCCGGCGTTCATGCATATGCAGCTCATGATCTCCAATGTATGTATTGATTCTAATAAAAACTAAATTACTGGCATCGATGTGAGACCACTTACTACAAAGGCATGTTTCAAAACCAAAGTTACTCAAAACGCTCGCTAAGTCAGATAGTTGATGTGGGGTCGTTACATCCAAACCACCCGGGGTGATGGCAGGTGGAGGTTGTGGATATGTATGGAGCAGGGGGCTCCGTGGTAGGGGTTGGATCATTGCACCCGAACCAGCCAGGCGTCTTGCAAGTGGAAGTCGTGGAAGCGGTCGTTACAGTAGTGATGGTGCGTGTGATTGTAGAAGTCGGGTCGTTGCAACCGAACCAGCCGGGGGTTTTGCAAGTCGAGGTAGTCGAGGTGGTAGCGGTGGTGGTAGGCGCTGTTGGCGGTGCGGTGATGCCGGTCGTCGTGGACTCGTCGAGACAGCCCCACCAACCAGGCGTTTTACATGTGGAAGTGCGAGTGGCTGTCGGCGACGTGGTGGTGGTTGTTGTGGTGGTGATTTCGGAGCCGTTGCTTCGGAAAAACTTCCAAAGAACGCAATCCACACATTCTTCCTCGGCCTCACAAGGCGGAACGTCATCATACTTTTCCAGAACATCAGAGATGACGTTTTTGATCTTATGAGTGCCGATACCCACCCGCCAGCCCTTATCAGCCACGGTATCGTAGGTACACAATTGACCCGTATGACACGCACTTTCCATCGCATAACCGCCCCAGGTGCAGATGGAGTTGATACCGTTGCAGGTCCCCATGAATACTGGGTCTGCCGTATGCCCGAAGTGAAAGGCACCGGTGAACTGCCGTGTTTGCGGGAACCGTGGGTCATACCCAGGTGGACTCGGGAGACCCAGTCGAGCCGCGGGGGAGGGCTTCGGGCACTGCTTCAAATGTGACAGCCGGCGCCCCAAAAGTGAGACCGAGCAAGCCACTCAGAGCCCCGCCAAGAGAATGGCCGGTCAGCCAGATGGTAGCATTTGGGTAGATCGCACTGACGTTGGTGTACAGATCCACAGAGGATCGGTAATATCGATTCTCGTCGGTCAGAGCCTCCGTGATACACGTCAGGTTGCCAGAATAGAGGGTGTCTTGACAATCGCAGACTTGACGCCAAAGATAGGAACCTCCTTGGCCGCAGCAGCAGCTGAAGAGGAGATTGTCGTTCTCTTTGTCTTTGGTGGTGGTACCCGCACCGTCGAAAAGCGCCGGCGAAGTCCCCTTGAGGGAGATCACCACGGTACTGTTGGTCTTGTCCGCATATATATGCCCCCGCAGTCCATCGTTATTCCACCCAAAGCTTGACGAGTAGTTGAATTTGCCATGGATCACATGCCAGTCCTCGGTGCCTGGCTCCTCTATGTAGTCATTCGCCGTCATCTTGGCAAATGTGAGAACAGACTCCTTGTCTGTTATGTCAGGGCCCATCACAGTATCCAGCGCCCATTCCTGCGGCGGCGGCGGCAGAGCTGCAGCCACCGCAGCCAGATGATCTTCGATCACGGATGCCCGTCGATCCGTCAGTCGATGAATAGTGAGCGGAGTTGAAGACGCGAGAAGACGCTGTGTTGGTGTGATAGGCTCCTTGTCACTGCCATCCTCCGATAACGCCCATAACCTCGTGTCGGCACGAACATCTAAGCGGGCGTGGACGTCGTCATCCCGGTGAAATATATGGCGGAGAGACTTGTCTTCTTAGCATCGCATACTTCACGGTCAGGAGGGTGGGAACTCACAAACTCATGCTCCTCAGAGGAGTCTTGGTTTGCAAAAGCCGGTGGTTGAGTGGAACCGATGGGGGCTTGTTCGGCCGGGAGATGCGCGGATGTTAACCCCGGAACGAGGAGGGCTCCCACGACGAGACCGACAAGAGTTCGTCCTTGAGCGATCATCTTCCCCGGAAATGACCATGAACAACTCCAGACGGATCAGGCAATAGGTAGGCACGGTTGGTGGTAGGCGGAGTTAGGCTGGGAGCTGCGCCGAGGATGGCGGGTGACTTATCGGCTTATCGCAGATCATGTGAGCAGTCCCATGACGTCGACAGCACGGGATCGACAATCGCGGCAACCCGCGATGGATCCGTGCCGGGCGGCATCCATGATCTCCCGCAGACTGCAAAATCGTAGCTTCTACTCGTTATGTTCGCACTACGGAGATCTCGCAATGAATCATTTGCATTAGTTGAGCACACCAACTCATAAGCGGCCCTGCTATCGGATCTTAAAGATCCAAATGCAATATCGGAGGGGAGTACCCTGCAAGAGAGCACCGTAACCGTTAAGGGTTGGCCATCTTCGGCACGCTAGGGACAAGAGCTACATGGATGCTTCATCTGCCGTGCGGCCAAAGATATCCGTTCAGAAGATCTTACGCCACGGATGGTATCTCAAGAAATCACAGCCCCGGGAAATGGCATTTTGTTTCTCCCAGTCATTGGACAGACGATATCGCGACGGGATGGGATCAATGAGTGCGTCGGGTTTATGGGTATCAAAGAAATTGAATCAACGTGTTCAGCATGTCGGCCAGATCCTGGTTGCCAGCCTCTTGATCATCGAGGTCGCCAAGTTGCTCTGATGGAGGTCAGTGTCGATGCCATCAGCGTGGCAGGGGTTGGACGTACCTTGCAGGGTCGCCCGAAGAAGGGCCAGGCTTTCCCCGCGATCCGTCAGAATAGAGATGACTCTCTTCCTGGCGCCAGTATCTTCGGCCACGAGCCATGCGAGGATCACATCAATTGCCTAACGAGGTCTTAGTAGAGAGGACGGACGACTGTCTCGGACAGTAGATTTGTATTGACTGACCTGTAAAGAGAAAAGTCCTGCGTCAAACCGGCGAGATAACCACTCCCCAGCGAACATCTCCCGATCTTCCGGCGAAAGGCTTTGTCTTTCATCATCGATTGCCTTTTCAACAGGCGACAGCCGAGTGACATATTCCCATCGAAGCTTGAACAGTCTCTCAACCTTCTCATAATCCTTTTCCATAAACTTGGCCAGCAACCGAATCCGAGGCGCCGAGTCACCCGGGAGGAGACGCAGGAGGGAAGCAAAAATACCCAAAAGATGTTCGATGCTTTGATGTTCTTGTTTTTTCATGAACATCCCGAACGCGGTTCTGAGCCCTGCCGCCTCGACAAACCGCTCACAAGCCGATTGACCACCAGGTCCGCTGAAAGCATGGTCCAGAATGCGCAGCGCCCGTGGCTTGCTGAATTTACCCTCGCGAAGCATGATGAGGGCCAGCTCAATGCCTTCCGCCTCGACGAATTTCTCTTTTCCTGGAGTTTCGTCAACGAGACAAACGACGGCATCAAAAAGATTCTCCACATATTCCTCTTCATTCGAGTCCTTCACGGGATCACGTTTGCGGTACTGGCTGAGGAGTTGAAGGAGGACATCGATCCCATCAAGTTCAATGAACCTTGCCCGGTTTTGATTGGAGGATTGTAGAAGAATCGCCAGAATCTCCGTCGCGTACTGTTTGTTTTGACTCACTGGGGTTTCCTTCTGTTGGATTCGACCCATGATCCATGGAAGGACCGAGGCATCCCGACCCAGTCTCTCTGCGACCGCGGTCCGTGAAGAAAGGTTTTCCAGAACACTGAGAATATAGTACACCCCTGATCGATCGGTTTCAGATGATTCGTCGAGCCGAGAGAGGTTTTGGGTCAGGAGTTCGATGAGGTCGGCATCCATCTTTCGACTGTTAGTATCACGGGTGCCACACGGGGTTTCCCTTGACCCACCATCGCGTTGACCAAGGCGTCCCATTGCCCCTGCTCAGCCGCCACATCTTCATCAGTCAGTTCGCTTATGATTTGGATCGCATTGATGGCGATATCTGCATTCTCGTGTGAGAGCAGGGAGACTAGCGACCCTGCGCATCCCAGCCTAGAGAACTCTTCGTAAAGGTCTGAGTGTTCTGATAGAATCGACAGCCCTCTTATCTCCGTATCAAGATCTGCTTCGGAAGCCATGAATTTTTGCGGTTCGTTTTCAAATTTGGCGCGAAGCTCTGCATTCTTCGTTATCTTCCGCTCGAAATTGATCGCGAAACGCCGGGCCCAAGTCGTGTCGAATTTTTCCTTCTGGCCAATTACTCGTTAGCGCACAACATGGAGGGAACTTCAGTTCCGACGAACGAGACATACCGGTAATTCCTCCTCTTCCTGCTGGTCCACGTACTGCATTGCCTGCGTGGTCTTCTGTTCTAGCCCCCCCACCAAAGAAGCGCCCTTCCTCATCCTCCGGGACATCTTCGTCGTCCGAAGGAGGTAGCTCAGGACCAGCTTCGGCGTCCTCCTCATCGTCCTCTACTCGCGCATCCCTCGCTTTGTGTTTCGCGTCGCTCGTTCCATCCAGCCTTGCTGACTTGTAGAGCTCATCTGGAATTGCTGTTAAGTTACCGTGCAGGGTCCGCGAGACTTAGAAGAATACTGACTAGGGTTCTGGACGGGCTCGAGTTTGCGCTTCGAGCTTCCTGAGGAAGTGGGTTTCTTTGAAGGTCAGCATAGCGCGGAACAAGGGAAGTCCATGGGCATACCTTGAAGAGCTCGTCGACGCTTGTCATCGCTGCAGCGTGTCAATTTTCCAGAAACCGAGACCGTCCGCGAAAGCAGAAAATGGCGCAGTGCGCTGGATGCTGGCTTGGGGTGGATGCAAAAGTTCCGGTCGCGCAAGATTCACCTATGACGCGCCAAGGACCTGGTCCTCTTTGCATCACGTGACCCAGTGACGCCAGAACGCGGCCAACCCGCGCTCGAGTGGAAATCTTCAGCGACGCCGGCGCGTCATTGGATCGCTTTCCAATCCACGTGCACCCTGCGCTGCAGTCAACAGATCCTCCTTTGGAGATGACTCAACCAGCAACCTAGTACCGAGTCTCCATTCACAGCGCAGATGGTTTAGCCATCCGTCTCCTGGCGATGGAAAGCAAGGTGGAAGGGATCGTGGTCGGAAGTGTTCCGGGGTTCCGGGGTTCCGCATCCCACACACGCCCTGCATTTGACATGAGCAAAACCCCACAGGCTGTTTTGCCTCCACGACTTCCTACAAGTACTCATGGACGTGCGTTTGAACGAGACCTTATTACGCTGCCCCCCCGTGTTAGTTCATTGACGTTACCGCCTCAAGAGATGGATCGTGAACAGTTCCGAGTTGCGGCGCACTCGGCCATTGATGACAGTGCGACTCTTCTGCCGATAACGCTAGAACCCCAGACCCCGCTGACAGTTGCCTGTAGTCTTGAATTATTTCGAGGGGATTCCCGACCGGAGAGTCGTTCCTGCGGTCGAACCAGGATACCTACGCCCTCTGATCCCCTCCGACCCTCCGACCGAGCCTGAATCGTGGGCGCAGATCCAGCGGGATGTTGACGAGAAAATCAAGCCGGGGCTCACCGCTGGCAGTCCCCAAACTTCATGGCTTACTATCCTGCCAGCGTGACCTTCCCGAGCATACTGGGCGAGATGTACTCGGCCACCTTCACCGCGCCCGCGTTCAATTGGCTCTGCTCGCCGGCATGCACCGAGCTGGAGACCATTGTAATGGATTGGGTTGCAAAGGCGCTGGGCCTGCCTGGTTGCTTTTTGAGCAGTTCCGAAACGAATGGCGGTGGGGTGATCCAGAATAGCGCCAGCGATGCCATTGCAACCATGATGGTCGCCGCGCGTGAGCGACGAGTGCGAGAGATGGTCCTGGCCGAGGGTCGCCAGGAGGGCACTCTGGAATACGATGAGCGGAAAATGGATCTCCAGCCTCGACTGGTAGCAATCGCCAGTGACCAGACACACAGCTCCGCGGCCAAGGGCGCTTTGATCGCAGGCACTCGCTTCCGCAGCGTGCCCACTCGATTGGACGAGAATATGGAGATGACGGGTCCACATTTGCGAGAGGTCCTCGAGAAGTGTGAGAGGGACAATCTGACTCCGTACCACCTGACAATGACGCTGGGGACCACCAACATCTGCAGCGTGGATCGCTTTGCCGAAATCAAGGCGGTCTTGCGGGAGAAGCCTGCATGGCAGCGCATTTGGGTGCACGTCGATGCTGCGTATGCAGGGGCTGCGCTTGTGGCCGACGAGTGGCAGTACCTTGCGCAGGAGTTTGCCGAGGGAGTTGACAGCTTCAACATGAATCTCCACAAGTGGTTGCTCGTCAATTTTGATGCTAGGTATTTTGTGACTCCCTTTCCAAAGCGGACGGGCTTGCATTTGGCGGGAAGCTTACCGTGAACAGTGCTCTTTTTGTGCGCAATCGCCTCGACCTCACAAATGCCCTCGATGTCACCCCGACGTATTTACGCAACCCGTACTCGGATATGGGCACCGTGATCGATTACCGAAATTGGTCGATCTCCCTGGGCCGCCGCTTCAGAGCACTGAAGATCTGGTTCGTCCTCCGCAGCTACGGATTGAATGGCATGAAGGCCCATATCCGCAAAACCATTGGCTTCGGCGACATTTTTGCGGGTCTCATTCGGAGTCGCTCAGATCGATTCGAAATCGTGACAAAGCCGGCCTTCGCGTTGACGGTTTTCCGCGTCAAGAATCCACAGGTCGCGGACCAGACCCCCACGGTCTGTCGGAAAGATGAAACAGCCGATACGCTCACCAAGACGGTTTACGAATTGGTCAACTCGCGGGGCGAGATCTTCATCACCTCAACCGTTGTCGATGGCATCTACGTCATTCGCGTCATAAGTGCAAATCCGCTGGCCGACGAGAAGAACGTCCGGAATGCTTTCGATATCATCCTCCGAACGACCGAGGAAGTGCTTCAGCGCCAGTGAGCACTGGGGCGCATTTTGTACCACAAGCAGCACATACAAACACAGTCAATGCAGACACTTTATACTGGCCTTCTCGCAGCACGCGGTTGACACGGCTCTTCCGAGTGCGTATAAAATTAATTCATTTCGGCTCAACGTGATCTGCCTCATAAATTTCGACTCGAAAACACCCCTCGATCCTGGCCATCCTCTATTGTGTGCCCCTCCCCCACCATGCATTAGATCTCACCTTTTCAATATGTGCCTACCAGGGCCCCACTTGTAGTTCCAACCGTCCACCGGCCTTCGCACCGAAGAAATGCCGATACCATCCCAAACGCGAAAAACACCCGCATCCGGCAAATTTCCCCGCGCGCTATTCCCAAACAGGCTAGCGGGCCCTCGCCGCGATCGGCAGTGAGAAAAGTGGGATTCAGTGGAAAATATTATGAAACGCTCAGGAAAAGGCTAATGACTAAAAAAAAAACCGTCCATGAGTCAAATCAACTCTCCATCGTTTTTCTTCCTCTAGGACTCCCGCGCGCCATTGGGACCTTGGTCGATTCAACACTCTTCCTCGCTCAAATTCAACATGGCTTCTAGTTTCATCCTTACTCTCTCGGGCCCTGATCGTCCCGGGATTGTGCATGCCGTGACGGCTTTCCTGGTCGAGCACAACCTGAATATCATCAATTCCTCGCAGTTCGGGGATCCAACTTCGCAGCGCTTCTTCATGCGCGTGCAATTTTCCCCAGCCGGCCCCACCGAGCTCCCGCAACTCGAACAGCTCCGAGAGGCCTTTCAGTCTACCGCGCATTCCTTCTCGATGGATTACGAAATTCACCCACCGCAAAGAAGCCCCGCGTCCTGATCATGGTCTCGAAGATCGGGCACTGTCTGAACGACCTCCTCTTCCGCCAATCGACGGGCCAGCTGAGCATCGAAGTGCCGCTGATTGTCTCCAATCACCCAGACTTCGCAACCCTAGCGGCGACCTACAATATCCCTTTCCACCATCTTCCTGTGACGGCCGAGACGAAGAGTCAGCAGGAGTCTCAGATCCTTGAGCTGGCCAGCCAACATAACATTGATCTGATTGTCCTGGCTCGCTATATGCAGGTGCTCTCGCCGAAACTGTGCGAGGCGATGTCCGGTCGCATCATCAACATTCACCATAGTTTCTTGCCTTCCTTCAAGGGCGCAAAGCCGTACCACCAGGCATATGACCGTGGCGTCAAGATCATTGGTGCCACGGCCCATTTTGTGACCAGCGATCTCGACGAAGGCCCGATCATCGAGCAGAATGTTGTGCGCGTGAACCACAGCATGAGCCCCAAGGAGCTCACACATGCTGGTAGTAATGTCGAGAGCAATGTCTTGGCCACCGCCGTGAAATACTTCGCCGAGCGGCGGGTGATTCTCAATGGACACAAGACCGTTGTGTTCGACTAGAAGGCCTATCTCTCCGCCGCGAAGGCATAGTCTTCCAAAGCTGCCGTCCACATTCCAAGGGGTCCAAATCGGTCAGTCCATTGGCCACTTAGGGGTGATGGCATCATCTCATTTGCACTGAAAAATCTTTCCCACGCTCATCAATGCACGTCATTCCTATGTACTGTGCTTTTTGCATTGATAGACCAGAAGGGATTATAGGTCCTTAGGCAGCTACCCATGAGCTTACAGGGGTTTGCAAGTAATACTAGTGACTTATCAGGTTTCACCCAGGGTTATTCCCTCTAGACGCCCCATATGGTGATAAGCTGGCGGACCGAGGAAGAGACAAGTCAGGACAAACGAAGCATAACAAATTATGAGGGTTCCACTTCTTGTTGGTCTGGTATTTGGGCTGAACTCACCGGCGTGTGGTTCCCATAGACTTCCACTTTATTTCCCCACCGCCCCACATTTCTCCCGCTTCAGTAGCTTCCAATATCTATTCATATCTCCCCATATCCTCCCCATTCCAATCCTCGGGGCTGAAATCTACAAACCGTGTCTGCGAGACCTCACCCGCCTTTGGTTTCTGTGGAATACTAACAAGTATTATGTTACTATACATGGCCAGAATGGATTGTATCCAGCTATTTTGCTTCTCCTGTGTCAAGGTCCCCTGCAAATCAGCCCCCAAGTAACGTTCAGCCCCCACAGCACCAGGCGGCCAGCATCGCAAGTCAACGTCAGAATACCTAAGGAATCCTGGGACAACAGTGAGTAGCAGTGAGAAAGTCTCTCTCACCTCGATAGCCAGAATAGCTTCTTCGAGAACGCTGCTATAACGGCGGCCAGCTATGCGCGAGTTGAACCCCCCGGGCGATCACCCCATCAAGATGTCCAAACTCATCGTCACCCCCTTGCACCCCACCTTTGGAGCTGAGTGCGAGGGGTGGATTTCTCGCAGCCGGTCCCCAACGAGACCATCGCCCAGATCCGCGCTGCCATGGCCCAATACGGCGTCCTGGTATTCCGCAGCACTGCCCTCAACGATGCAAGTCACACGGCCTTCGCAAGCCAATTCGGCGAACTAGACGTCTCAACCGCCCGCGCGCCAGCCGGGACTGCATACCGACTAGGCCCCGGGAGCAAACTGGCCGATGTCGGGAACGTAGATAACGCTGGCCGCATCGAGCCGGTGACAAGTGTCCGGTCGCAGGCGATGCGGGGAAATGGTCTCTTTCACGTCGATTGTTCCTACCACGCGCGTCGCTCGGGCTATTCGTTTCTCCGGGCACACGAGCTGCCTCCGTCGGGTACGGCGGGCGGGACCTCGTTTGCTGATACCCAGACTGCGTATGCGGACTTGGACGAGAAGACGAAAGAGGAAATCAAGGCCCATGTCCTCTGGCACTCGTTGTTGCACAGTCGGCGTCTGGCGTGCCCGGAGGACAAGGTCTTCAAGTATCTGGATCTGGCTCTGGACTTGCATGACCTTCGCCGTCTTCCTCTCTTCATGATTCTGGTAGGCTATCAACTTCGGTCTGCAGACAAAACCCGGCCAAAATGATGAGTGGGTCGCTAACCTTACTGGCAGGCGCTCACAGCTCGTTGGCTGGGTTATCTGGGGCGTCTCACCAGCATATCGCTGGTTCTAATGTCCTTATTTGGTCTCGCACGGCTCCTCCTGGTGTGCGTGGTCCCGGGGCCTCTGAATGCGCGCCATCCCAAGCGACTGGTGCAGTTGCATAAGCCCAGCAACCGGCTAAATTTATACATCGCGGCGCATGCCTACCGGATTGACGGATGGAGCGCGTCGGCTAGTAAGCCCGTGATAGAAGCTTTGTTGCGGCATGCGAGCCAGGAAAAGTATACCTTCACCGTGGACTGGAAAAATAACGGTGATATGATTTTCTGGGTCAGTAAACTTGAGGTTCTGGGGGGAAAGTCAGCCAACATCTACAGGATAACACATGCGTCATGCATCGGTCAGAGGGGGGTACATATCAGGGGAAGTATGTTCGCGATATGCGAAGAGCGACTGTGTACGAGTCCTATTGATGAAAAGAGAAAATCTCGTGGTATCGGCCAGTGCATTTGCCTTCACATTGCTGGCTGCTGGCTTGATAAGAGAGCTTCCGAGCATCAATTTAATACATCTCCTTCCAGTGGTTGGCACAGAGGGTTCTGTGCCGGTGGAGAACGGAACCTTGAAAGAGTATTGGCGGCATAGACTGGTTTTGCGTAGAATACTACCTTGAGTCGACCCGTGCCGCTGGCAGTAATCCATCTCACGCTCAGATAATCGTGGTATTATGAGCTGGAATTCAACTAGTCCGTCACTTTCCCTTCAGTTCAAGATAGGGGCTCGGAAGCCCTACTGCGAGTATTCATCGTCATATTAAACATCGGGGCTCCTACTACGAGTACTAAAGATTGGCTGTCTGGACAGTATAGAGACGAAAATCTTGATGTATTATGCATATCTGCGGGGCTCGACGGAGCTGGACAATTAATGAAATTGGCGACAGGAGAAAGTGAACTGCGAGATCATAGCAGCAGTCTATGAAAAGCTTCTGGTAACATCGACGGAAAGCCCAAAACCGAAAAAGACGCTTCGGAAGCGGACAGAAGAAGAACCAACAAAAAGAATAAGAGACGATTAGCGCGGTCAATATATCATGTTGTTCATTGAGCCTGCAGAACTGATCCAGTAGAGACCGTGACATCAGCCACAGCACGGGAGAGCATTGTTTTGACAAGCTCAACCTCCGTCTCGATCTGCTCCTTGGTCCAGACAGCGTCGTCATAGGCAAACTTCAGCTTATACCCATTCAGATCCGCTGTCTTGATAACCTCGAAGACGACTGCATAAGGCTGGAGCATGGTGACTTGAGACTTGGCCATCACGACCCATTTCTGCAGCTCGTTCGCAGCATTCCCCGTTGCGGGCTCGAAGGGCTGGAACAGGAAGAGGGTCTGGTTGGCGACATCGCTGCGAACCAAGCCGTTTGCCCGGCAGATATCCTCAATGCCGACAGTGCAGTTTTCAGTGTATTGCCAGAAGTCATCCTGGGTCTTCAGCAAATAGTCCTGCATGGACGCCTGCGAGTCGACCTCAGAGCGCATCGGCAAGAAATTAGCGCACGTTCCGTTGATGCTTTGCGGATCCTCAAGATCGACATTCCGACCGGTGTACAGATAGTCGAAAGCGATGCTGTTTTTGCCGCTGTGGCGAGCAAGCCAGATTTGGAAAAATGGATTGGAAGAGCGTGGAGACGGTTACGCCGCTGGAGCGACTGAACGCTTCGAAGTCGAGTTGGATGGTTTGCACGACTGCCGCGTTGATTCGTGGCGCCGTCACGTCGGAGACTTTGAATGCGATCGGCCGCTTCTCAGGTTGAGTCCAAAAGTCGAGAGTGGGACGCGTCTGGTTGATCTTCCAGATATGGAAGGCAAATTCTTTGAAGGAAGTGAACTTTTCAACCTGCTGGCCGCGCTGGTAGGCCTGGAAATGGGCGTCAAAGACGCGGAGGAGCGTGCCATCGTAGAGGCCATGATCGAGTTTCGTTACGATCTGGTGCTCGCCGTTGGGGAATCGGAAGACGGCGTATCGAACGAAGGGCTTGCCGAATACAAATCGGTTGGCCCAGATCGATTCCAACGTCTGAGCTTTCTCAGACTCGCTGGAGATATCGTAGAACTCTACAACGGGCGTAGGGTCATTCAACACAACGCCGTACCACTTGCCCTGGACGGTTGTGAAGGTGGTACGCAGAATGTCGTTCGTTGCAGTCAACTGCGTCGTGAGATCGATCCAATGAGCAATGTCGGGATTCATGCCGAGAGATCGGACAGTCATCAGATCCCAAAATTGATCATTGCGAGCTCCTTGACCGAGGAACTCAGCTTGACCCGGAGGGCTGGGGTAGACATATTCATATTGGGAGCTTTCAAGCTCGACCGCAGCGATGGCATCTTGCAGCTCCGCGGGAGGAGAGAAGGTTACAGTTTCAAGCGACGCGTCGTTGTCTTCCTGCTCCAAATGCTCCGACATGGGGCCAAGAAGGGGATATTTGAGGACATCACGCACCGTGATATTCATCCCCTTGCGGCGAATCCGGCTGACGAGGTTGATAGCAGAGATAGAGTCACCACCGAGGCTGAGGAAGTTGGCCTCGAGTCCAAAGTTGTCATCCGGAAGCTGCAAGACCTCAATCCAGGAGTCTTGGAGCGATTTCTGGGCTGCGGTGGAAATCGGAATAATCTCTTCAGAACCAGTAGCCCCGATCTTGTCGAAGGAATATTTGGCGAGGTCACTCTGGCTCAGAGCCTGTACTCGCGCTTTCAGCTGCTTGCGGTCGGCCTTACCAGAGGCAATTCTCGGAAGGAAAGGGAGCGGAATCAAGAATTTGGGGACCATGTAATGAGCCAGGCCATTAAGTCTGGCCTTCAGGTTTTCAGCTTGTTCAGAGAAGTAATCTGGCGAGAGGAAGTCAAAGTCTTGATCGACAGTCTCGAACACCACGTTTGCCACTAAGTGCGCTGTGCTGTTATGCTTCCAGATGGTCAGAATACAGTCGGTGGCTTCTCCGGTTCGAAGAATCGCTTGCTCAATTTCGCCAAGCTCGATACGGTGGCCATTGACCTTGACTTGGTCATCTTTCCGACCCAAGCATTCGATGTCACCGCCAGGAAGATACCGCGCCAGATCCCCACTGCGGTACAGTCGGCGACCGGCGCCGAAAGTGGTGTTGAAGAAAGCGCCAGCGGTGAGTTCAGGCTTCTTGAAGTATCCATCGGACAGTTGGGGGCCCCAGAAGCAAAGCTCACCAATCGCTCCGTAAGGAAGTGGTTGGTCGCCATTGGCCTCTAGGATAACCGCACCAACGGAAGCGAGTGGCTTGCCGATGTTACCTCCTGGAGTATTCTCATCGATATCTTTCATGGTGACCAAGACAGATGCCTCAGTAGGTCCATAACCATTACGCAGTGTGACTGCCGGGGCCCAAGTGGAAATGACATCTCGTGTCAACTGCTCTCCGCCAACGGTCATCGACTGCAGCTTCGGGACATCCTTGGGACTGAGAAGTCGGGCCACTGTAGGAGTGAGGAAGACATGATCCACGTTCATGTCATTAATGGCCCCTGCCAGGTCGCCCAACAAGTGATCTGACGAGGCGATGCAAAGCGTCCCACCACTGAATAACGTAACAAAGAAGTCATACAGCGAGACATCGAAAACGTAGTTTGAGAATTGCAAGGCATTGAACTGCTGATCTTGTCGCCCTTCAAATTCAATGATGGACTTCATGGCGCTAGCGCACGCCCCGTGGTGGATGGCAACCCCTTTGGGCTGGCCAGTACTTCCAGACGTGTATAGGATATAAGCCAAGTCGGTCGATGCGACCTGCACATCGGGCTTGTCTTTGGAATAGGCGCACAGGCGGACCTTGTCGATTAGAACTGTAGAGAAATCGTCCGCAGTGAAGAAGGAAGAGTGCTCCTCTTCACTAAGAACAACATGCGCACCAACATCATGCACAATGAATTCATTTCGCTCCACCGGATTCTCCGGGCTCAGGGGGACATAAGCGGCGCCAAGCTTGAATAGAGCCAAGATAGCAAGTATCATGAACGGGGACTTTTCAAGAAGAAGAGGAACTACATCCCCCTTTTCAATACCGTGAACGGAGAGGAAGTTTGCCATGCGGTTGGCGGCTTCATCTAGCTCAGTATATGTCATGAGCTTCTTGTTCTCGAAGTTTATGGCCAGTCGGGACGAATGCCGTTGAGCCGTTGACTCGAACTCTGCATGTAGGGTACTCGGCGTTGGCTGGTTGTCATTCCACTTGAGTAAAAACTCTAACTCGGTGGCGTCGAGGAGACTGAGTGACCTGACAAGAAGTCGTGGATTTTCGCCAATCTGGGTGACTGCTTGGCAGAACTGATTCAAAATAAAGTCAAGACGGCGCTCCTCGACTGGACCTGTCAGGCTGATGTCCCAGCCTTCGGGGCTCTCTTCAACGTTCAGCGTCGTGTACTCAGTCCGCCAGGCACCGCGAGATCCGTAAGCCTGGAATACCTCGCTGGTCAACTCATTCTTTCCTTGTGGGTTGACCAAGATATTGACCATGGTGTCTAAGATGGTGGTGTTTGCGTGACCAGCAGCTGATAAGGCTCCACGCAGTCCGACCTGAGAATGCTTGATGATATCCCAGAGGTTGGCATTAACAGACTGCACGACATCATTCAGAGAGCCGTCGGGCTTCAGGATCACAGTCTGGGGTACCATTGCCAAAGTTGGGCCGTTCAATGTCTCGATGCCTTCCAGAGGCAACTCTCGGCCGGAAATAGCAGTAGCAAAGGTTACCACGTGGGATGCAACGTGGGATGAGAGGACCAAGGCCCATGCTGCATAGATAATAGCACTTGATGGGACTTGAAGTGCTGCGGCAGCCGACTTCAGTTGAACGGGCAGTGTGCGTCTTGCGCTGGAGAATTCCAAGACAGGCGAATGGTTCAGAACCGTAGGGACGGATCCACCGAGATGACTCTTCCAAAATTCCGCTGATCCTGCATCCAGCTGCTGTCGCACGAGGCCGATAAAAGACTTCCATGGTGCTCGAACTGCGGGGCTCTTTCCGAAGTAGAGACGTGCAACATCATCAAAGACAAATGAATGCGACCAGAAATCGAACAGCGCGTGATGGGCGGATACCACCAGAATGGAACTATTTAGAACAGTCACTCTTAGGAAGGGCTCCCCGAGCGTCACGCCTCGTTCCTTGTCTGATTTCAGGAACTTGTGGAGGTCATCGGACGACTCTTGCCAGATCAATGGAAGATCATTGCGGACAACTTGCACAAATCCATTAGTACCCACAGCGAAGGTCGAGTGCAGTACCTCGCTTCTCCAGAATACCACTTGGAACGCAAGTTGGAGTCTGACAAGATCAAGATGGCGAATATCAAAAACCCTTTGGTACAAGTAGTCCTGGTTTCCCTGCAAAGTGCTCGCGAGAATACCTTCTTGTAATGCCGTGACTGGCAGTGCATCCGATACACCGCGGTCTGCAAGCATCTCACGCTTGAAGTCATCTTCCGGAATAAGAGAGAGAGCTTGAGGCAGAGGGCGCTCGGTATTCTTGGTTTCCAGACGCGAAGAGTCGGCTACGTCCTCTAGAGTTTGCGATCTTAGCATATCGGCGAGCTCCAGGTGAATACCGTGAGTTCGCAACTCTCGGATCGCAGTGATTGCATCGAGCGAGCTGCCACCCAACGTGACGAAGGAATCGCTGGAGCGGATCACTGAGTGATCAAATTTCAAAACATCAGCCCAGACTTGAGAAATAGCCAGTGCGATCTCGCTCATGCGGTCTTCTCCTGCCCTTGGGATTGGGTTTCGTCCAAGCAGGTTGTCGACTGTTGTTGACTCGGCAGTTGAACGGATTGCCCGGAAATCAACCTTGCCATTCCGGTTTGTTGGAAGAGCTTCATACCGGAGCCAGTATTGAGGGACCATATAAGGTGGGAAAAGGCGCTGTGCATGACTTCGCAGGCGTTTGACGAGGGCGCTCCAGTCCTCCTCGTGTGAAACCACCGCCGCAACTAAGGAAGTCTGGTCCTTGATTTTGGCTCCAACACATACGATGTGTCTCCCGTTTTCTTCAGCCGATAGGTTTGCTCCAATTTCCTGCGGCTCAACTCTTTGGCCGTTGATTTTGACTTGCTGGTCAATCCGTCCAAGAATCTCAAAGCTCCCATCCGCGCGACGGACCGCCTGGTCGCCAGTTCTAAAAAGCACACCAGTCGCGAGCGTGGTTTTAACAAAAGCTCTGCTTGTCTCGGCATGGCGGCGGTGGTATCCACTGGCAAGTTGAGGACCGTATAGACACAACTCTCCAGGCTCGTCAACGGAGAGCTCTCTGGCCGTATTAGGCTCCAAAACCACCGCAGTGGTTGTATCGACCGGTCGCCCCGGGTTGCGAGGATTATCACCCTGCTTCAATTGTCGAGAGAAGTTCAGCTGAGCACATTCACTGAGACCATATGAAACACGTAAAGATACATTTCCAGCCCAAAGGTCCACTAGGGCCTGGCTAAGAGGCTCGCCGACGGTGGTGATTTGCCGAAGAGTCTCCGGCACCTCACTCGGAGAAAGCAAGGCCAAGGCTGAAGGAGTAATACCAAGGGCATCGATTTTGAGATTGGAAAGCACCTCAGGGAGTGCGGTGGCCAGGCGGCTCCGGGGTGCCAGGCATATGCAAGCCCCCTTGGCTAGCGTAGCGAGAACGGTCCTCTGGGCTGCTGAGAACACAGGGTTATAGAAAAGGAGCCACCGCTTGTGGCCATTGAGAGTGAACTGACTGATGCCGTGGGATGCGGCCCGGTGGCTCAGCAAAACTCCCTTTGGCTTTCCAGTAGAACCTGCGAACGTGTGAGGAAGGCGTACTGACTCGGCTCTGTTGCAATGCACGTACCAGATGTGTAAATCAGATATGCAAGATCTGAAGGGCTCGACCGTGGTACCTTTGCCTCTCCCCGAGGCGCTTCAGGAGAGGAAAGGAGATCTTCCACTTCAACGGAAGTCTCAAAGGATGAGGAATACCGGCGGTTCGTTAGAACGAAATTCGCGCCTGCGTCGTGCGCAATGGCTCGATTCCGCTCAACCGAGCCCTCAGGGTCGAGGACAACATAAGCTGCTCCAGATATCATGACTGCCAGCAGACTGGCCACGAACTCTACCGTTGGATCCAAGCATACTGGAACAATAGACCCAGGTGGAATATTTGCACCAGACGCAATTTTCTGGACTATTGTCCAAAGTTGGCGGTAGGTATATGGCTGCTCATACTCACAATGAACAGCTAGAGCGTCTGGATTCGATTTTACTTGGTAATGAACGAAATCTGTAATCAAGCAGGGCGCCGAAGGAGGCCTGATGGCTGCCTCCTGATGGGAGGATGTGTATTCGAGTTGGAGTTTTGAATTGATAGTATGAAGAGGAGAACTGTCCAGGAGATATTGACTAGCAATTGGTGCCATCTTGACACAATTCCGCAGAGGTCCTTATGAATGGGTTTCAACCCAGGCTCTTGCCTATGAGGATAGAATGATAGTTGTACTGATACCTAGGAGCACATCCTCAGTAGGGCCTTTATATAGATGGAAGCTGACTACCTGCTATTATCCGAATCGGCGCATACTTCACCTGAGCCTTCGAATTATTCTAAATGCTTCTATACAAAAGACCCCTCCAGCTCGATTGACAATTTCGAAAACGTAATTGCTCGGGGTGATGGTAACATATTCTGCAACGAGCTAGAAGGTGGTCTTTGCCTGCCAATGGGTGTTGTTAATGGGCAATTTCCTACTCAGGAAGGTTTTGACGATGAGGTATTTTCTGAATTGTTCAAAAGATTTTGCTGCCTCGTTTCAAGCCCCTGCTAGGCTTTGGGGGCTAGACAGCATCTGGCCAATGCTCTGCAGAATACCACGAGTCTTCACACGTGGGGCGCACGTGGGATTCAGACTGCAGCCGCAACAGGGCTATGCTGGACTCCCAATCATACGTGTAAGCCAAGCGAGAATGACCCTCTCTTCGCCAATCACATACGCTACGGAGCCATGCGAGACGTTTCCTACCGTTGCTGATGCAGAATGTTGTTCTAGGGCTTGCATTAGCTTCTCGACACTCTTTCATAGCCTCCCCGGGGCTCCGGGGGGGTGCATTACGTGTAGAAGGATCTTTCCATAGCGATGCACTAGCTTCATCAAGATGCACGTCAGATTTGCTCGCAAGGTCTTCCTAAAATATCGTTTCCTCTAAGTTTAGTCGCTTTTGTTTATCAAAAGACTTTTGTAGACTAATGAGGCCGTGTACTAGGCTGCAGAGTGGGCTAGGGCCTCATCGGCAGGAGCATTTTCTCAAACGAGTTGATGGGACCGAAATCGCGACATCTGAGATATAAAAAGTCTAAACTAACCCATTGCGATCCTATCCTGCCCCCATCTTGCAAGCTCCCGTGAACCGTCCTCTCTCGGCCCATTCCATTGATTGTTTGCGTTACAATTCCTGGTCTTACTCGAACGCTCACGTTCCATCATGTCTGATTCTCTGGTATTCCCATTCGGCTCGCCTGAACCACTCAAGGGACTACGCCTCGTTGCGCACCCTAGACCCACCTATGGGCCGGATCAGGTGCTTGTCCAATTCCTGGCGGTTCCCATCAATCCATTAGACTTTCTGGTCATTCATGGAAAGTACCCAATCAAGCCACAGAGTAGCATCGTCGATGCTGGTGAGACACTCGCGATTCCGGGCTCGGATGGTGCCGCTCGTGTTGTCGAAGTCGGCTCCGGCATCCAGCACCTGGCCGTTGGCGATCTGGTCGTTCTTCGGACCCATTGCAAAGGCACTTGGCGAACCCACGCGGTGCTCGGAGAGGACGACCTCATCCGCCTCCCGTCCACGGTACCCCCCCCGCCTCGCATCCATTTTACGCATGGGGATTGCTCCAGCGTACTTCCAGTTGCGGGAATACTGCTCACTCGAGCCGGGCGACTGGATCATGCAGAACGCCGCTACCGGGACAATCAGCCACTTCGTCAGTCAATTCGCCCCGCTCTACGGCGTTGGAGTCATCAGCGTGATCCGGAACCGGGCGAACGCGAATGAGCTCGAACGTACCAAGCGTTCGTTGCGCTCACACGGGGCCAGCCTCGTGTTGACGGAAGAAGAGCTCCACTCGACCAACGCTCTGGACGGGAAGAGGGTCGTGCTGGCGATCGATTCCATCTCGGACGATGATCTAGCCCGCCACATGGCGACCCGCCTCACGCCGGGTGGGACTCTCTCTGACGGCTGGATTTCTCCGTCCGAAGGTATCTTCCGAGGGTAATTTGCGACAATTCTTGTGGCAGCGCAATATCACGCTGAAATCCTTCCGATTAAGTGATTGTTTGGGGCGAAGGGCCGGGCCGCAGCAAGAGGCGCTCTTTGAGTGGTTTGCCAAGTTATTGGCGCAAGGGACCTTGAAGGCACCGGCACTTGAATACGTCGGGTGGAAACGAGGGACCCCAAGTCTCGAGGAGACTCTCCGTGAGGCAATTCGCCGGGCCCACGAGGGCGCGGTTGGATCTCGCAAGCAGATATTTGTGTTCGAGTAGGCTCGCGCTCGGGGGTTCGGACCATTCGCCCCCTTCGTTAGAGCCTTTGCTCCCTATGGTTATTCCTTTGGTTCAATTAGGGATTAGTCAACAGAATTTGCAATCGAGTGTGGTCCCGTAACTCCCCCATGCATGATGTGTTGAATAATCGTAAATTTCCGCCCTTCGTTCGAGGTGCGCCACCAGTCCAGATCCGGCTAGGGCTTCAGCCGCAACGCAAAAGGCCCTGCACGCCCATCAAGCTCTTTACGTAAAAGCATGTTTAAACGGGCGTCCGTGAAGAATATCCGACGTTCGTAGTGTTGCCAATAAGACCTCCCGTTTACCTTGTTCCGGGCATCTTTATAGCATTCGCACACCTATTCCCAGTCAGCAAGAAGGCCAACTTTCAAATCTAAATTCAAAAGACATTAAGGGTAGAGCAAAGGTGCTTCATCGTAGTATGTCCTTCCGTGTGACCCAGGACTGTTCCACCCCCCGGGGGTCCCCCGGGGGGGGGCAGCCTCGTGGGGGCCGATGGTGATGATCACGGTAGATCGACCCACGCCCGATCTGCAAACCCACTTAGCCCGTTGGGACAAGCTTCGCTTCGAGCCTCGGTGGCTGACGGTCTCAATGCTTCCCCCGCCTCTTCTTCAACTTCTCGTATTCCCTGCAAGCCCGTCCGCCTCCATGTAACCTTCCCTGGGTGGCATTCCACCACGGATCACGCCTTCTGCCTAGAGAACGTTGCCATCCCAAGGCTGTGGCTGCCTTGCGTCATGAATTTCACTGAATTTTGGACCTAAGGAAACCGGACGACCCACTTCGTATATTTCCTGCATCTACGGCTTGGCTACAATTGACCAAAGAGGTCTAGTTGGAGTGGGTCGCGCAGTTGCAGCCACAAAGAAATGCGAGCTCCCCAATAACCCAATTAGTTGTCACCTGGGCATCCCTGCAACGCATTACAAAGCGCGTGCCTGCAGGAAAGGTCCGAGAGTCCGAGAGTCCGAGCGAACATTTTGCATTGACGATGTTATTTTAGAAGCGAAGTTGGCATCGGCCTCGTCGTAGCTCAGGCGTTTTCCTCCTTCCAGTTGCTCGTGTTTGGGTTTGATTCGCATCCCACCCTCTGCAGAACATACATCACGGTCAATATGTCTCGTGAAGTAGAAAGGGGTCCTGATTTTCCGGCTTCAAGCCGTGCCTCCTCTCCATCTGATGCTTCGCCCGAATCGGGAGCTGAGAAGCAAGCAGTAGAGCAGCCGGCCGCACCACCTTCTCCGCCGAATGGAGGAGTCGTCGCATGGCTACAGGTTGTAGGGGCCTTTTTCTTGTTCTTCAATTCCTGGTGGGTATTGGGAAAAGTGAACGGGAAGAAGGAAACGCTAATTCGCCATGGTTAGGGGTGTTGTCAACACTTTTGGCGTCTTCCAAAGTTATTATGAGGATACCCTCCTCCCCGAGTATTCTGCGTCGTCCATCTCATGGATCGGCACGGTCCAGGGATTTCTGCTGTTCATCGTCGGCGTGGTGGTCGGTCCAGCGTTCGACAAGGGCTACTTGAAGACTTTGATTGCGCTGGGGACCTTCCTCGTGGTTTTTGGGTTGATGATGACTTCGCTGTCCACCAAGTACTACCAAGTCTTCCTGGCCCATGGTGTAGCTGTCGGCATTGGCTGTGCCTGTCTTTTCCTTCCTAGCGTGGCCACCGTTGCAACCTACTTTTCGACGAAGAGAGCTGTGGCCACTGGGATTGTCGCATCGGGAGGAAGCATTGGTGAGTCTGGGTCAAAGGCCAAATAGACGCTACCGCTGGCTCACATCCTGCATCTAGGCTCGGTGATCTTCCCCATTGTCTTCCACAGACTGATCGGCCCTCTGGGGTTTGGCTGGACCACGCGGATCATCGGTTTCATCGCCCTCGGGGGGCTCCTCTTCTCGCTCGCTGTGATGAAGATGCGTCTGCCGCCTGCAAAGCAGGCCCGCAAGATCGTCGACCCCTCCGCATTCAAGGAGTTGCCCTTCCTCATCCTGAGTGCGGCCTTGTTCTTCGCTTTCATCGGTCTATACTTCCCGTTCTTCTACTTGCCCACATTCATGAGTAGCTACCTGCACGCTAGCGAGAACATCTCCTTCTATATCATCGCTATCCTCAACGCCGCGTCTGTCTTCGGACGGATCACCCCCGGTCTTCTCGCGGACCGGGTCGGCTCCATCAACACGATCATCCCCATCAGTCTGATCGCCTCCGTCTTGGCCTTTGCCTGGATTGGAATCCGCAATGAGGCGGGCACGATCGTGTTCGCGATCATCTATGGCTATGCGTCCGGGGCTATCGTCTCCTTGCCGCCCACGATTGTCGCCAAGATTTCGCCGAACCTGAGCATTGTGGGCACGCGGATGGGAATGTGCTTTACCTTTGCCGGGCTGGGGCTGTTGATTGGAAACCCCATCGCTGGCACCCTGCTAGATCTGCCGAAGAGGATCTTCTGGAAGGCACAGCTGTTCAGCGCGGTCACGGTAGTTGCGGGTTCTGCGTTGTTCATTCTTCTGCGGATTATCATGGGGAAGAAGATTGGCGGGTGGAAAATGTAATGAGAACCTGAGCGCGCCGATTTACGGTTCCTTGTACGAAATTAGACATGAACTATAAACTGAACTCTGTGTTGGAAGCTTGTGCTGTAAATTTGGGGGATTGATTTCTTGTACCAACAAAACCCGCTTAAGGTCTCGGTTTTCTGACCCCCGTCAAGTTTGAACATCTCCAAGTGTCGACCAGCACTAGTACTAGAGAAGCTCATCGCAGAAATTTTGACTGTCCTGTGGTAAGCCTCGCGTTGCATCAGACTTCGGTTCGACACTTGTATTAGTCCAGGGGCCTTCCCAGTACGCGGTTCAACGGCCAAGAAAGTCGGCGTACATGACAGCCCCTGCGTAACTAGTGAAGCCCTAGGGCCCTAGAGGCTCGTCTTAATCTTATGCACCGTGCGCACGTACTATCAGTATACGCCGAGAGTTGTCAGACGCTGTCGATGCAAGTCGGTCGTTGCAGGAAATGTTTAGCGATAAGATCGGCGGGAGCGCCCGAGGGGATGATCCTTCTCGCTTCTTGGACCCCACAACTACGTCTCCCACTCCAGTAACTTGCGTTTGACTAGATGTGGCCGCTGGAACCGAAGCAAATGAAGACCTGAAGTCGGACGCTGAGAACTCGACAAGGGTTGCATATCTGACTATCCACCTTTCGGGACTTGGCGCAAATCTCTTCGTGCATGAAATTGGATCCTCTTTAGGGAGGATTACAATTTGCCAAATCGTGACTTCAGTTCGGACATGAGATTTTCCACAGAAAGCATAGACTGTACCAGTAGCCAAGAGCAAGTCATGGATGCAACTCGAGTCAGCTACGCGCCCCGTGGCGAGTTCGGTCAATTCGTAGATGCATCGCATGCCGCGGAAGCAAGACCGTGTGCTCTCGCGAAGGGCGACATACCAACTTACAGCCCCCAATAAGAGCTAGCTGCTACCTTGAGGGAGATACCTGCACGAACTCTGTCAAGCTGCTCATCAGGAGATGTCCACAGAAAACTCGGCGGTCGAGCGCGATCGCGTGCAGATCTATTGAGGGTATAATGACCTAGCAGCTTCGGCTGGAGCTAACATCTCACGTCGTCAGCTCTCTGGTGGGATATATTTCGTTCGATAGTAATCGTACCCCGCTGACTACGCACTATGTCTCACCCGTGCAGTGAGGTGTCCCTGGGGCAACGATGTCGATTTTTCGAAGAAACGCGAGTGAATCAAATCAAGAAAGTCTATTACAGCGAGCTGTAGAGACCGCCTGTTCCTGTCTATGGGTCGTCCGATGCCTTTTGAATCTTGCCTTTGGCAAGCCCTTTCTATAGCATATTAAAAGTGTCGAAGGATCTATTAGGGGCTCCACTACCGACCACGGCCAACCAGTCTTCTTCCCCCTTCGACCTCGAATTTACCGATGGCGGAGCCCACTTCACCATGGCAAATGCCTTCTTCCCTCGATTCGCGGAAGGCCAGGGGACGGACGGGGCCTACAAGATATTAGAGGAAATGTTTGATGATGAGTAAAATAGGGTTGTTGAGGCGAGACAGGAAGAGTGATCCGGTCTAAAGGCGCTTTTTTGATAAGCTCTCGGTCCTCATTGAAGGACAGAGGTTAAGTGCACTGACTCTGTTCCTAGGGGATGTGCCTGCTGGTGATATGCAGTTCCCGGGGCGCCATTCATGGGTTGGAGGCTATTGATGCACGTTGTTTCCCATTGTGGATTCGGAGTGGTCGTACGGGATGTTGGATGCTGGGCAGGAGTTGGTGGAGACGAAGCGTCCCAATTCGTTTACGTGACCTGGTTATCGTTGTGGTATCCAGGGATGGAATAGATGGCAGGCAGATGGAAGAAACGTGCTTGTGAACATTCGAGAAGTTTTGCGCAAGTTGATTAATCCTACCTTTCAGGCCAGCGACACCAAACCATAACCCCGCGAGCGCCTTAAGAGACAAGAATAACATGATGAGAAAAGAAACGAACAGGAAAAAAAAAAGGAGAAATAGAAAAAAAAGAACGTCTCCTCGATAGATACATCCATTCATCCGTTCATCGAGCGCCTGCGGCATCAGGTCGAGCCAGCATGTACCGCACAGCTTCTCTTGCAACATCGGTGTCCCAAACGCTGCCATCACCTCCGCGGCGAAATTCGGGGCCGTTGGTGTCACCTCCAGGGCCGATGTCGCCCATGATAGTCTCGAGATCGCGACGTTGGGAGTTAACCCAGCGCCTGACAAAGTTAGCTGGGTCCTTGCTCAGCGCAGTAAAGAAAGAGTGGCGGGCGCGAGAATGCTGCAGGGCTTGCGTGATGAGGGCGAGTTGGTCGTCCAAGGCAGCGATCTTACGCATACCGGCGGTGTACTCGGGATTTTGGAGGAGGCTGATCATCTTCGCACGGAGAGGGTCGTCAACAGCGACCTGGATATCATAGATGGTAGGGGTAGGGTCCTTGTGAAACTCCTCGTCGACGCGAATAGTGTAAGGGAGCTTGATAGGGTCGATGGGGCTGGTATGGGCTGCAATGCTGTCTGGGATGAGAGGGAAGAACATTTGCTCGCGATGGAAGATCTGTGAGGAACGTCAGTTAGGTTATCAACAAGGCCAAGGAGGGCTTCTTTACAGAGCGTAGACGGTGGTCGCAGCGCACTGTGCGCTTCTCCTCGTCTTCTTGTAGCTCCATCGCGCGGATATAGTCCCAAATTCCGAGCACAATACCGCTCCGTGTCTCCTCTTCGACATCAAGCACCTCCGCGAGCTCCTTGCTGAGCTTGAACCGTTCGGGCACCTCATCCCGTACCAAGTTCAAGGTGATGTTCAGATTTTCTTGCGAGCTCCGCGCGAAGTTGATACAATCAAACTCGGCATTGTCGGGCACTGACGTCGCATCGGGTGGGATTTGAGGCTTGTTCCAGCTGATAGGCTTGACCTCGTCTGGAAGAGCATTGGCGGGCTTATCGAAGTCAATGGTGATGTTCTTGAAGAAATGTGAAAAGCGTCGAGACGGCTTCGCGACTTTCTCAGTCTGCTCGCCTTCCTTGTCCTGCTCCATCGCGTCTTCCGCGTCCTCGTGAGCAGTGGGGTCGCTGTTGTCGTCGAGCAATCGACCTTCAATGCGTACTTTGTACCGACCGGAGCCTGGGTTGTTGCCAGCCCCCTGCCATGGCTGGTTCTCAACGGTATTGGTGATCCAGATTCGCATGGTGCGGTACTTCTTCACGGTCTTGCTAATCGAGTCTTGGATATCCAATCGTTTGCGCACGACGGCCGCATCGAGGCGTTTTTCCAGGTCTTGAAGGGATTTGTACTGCTGGACACCTTCGCCGATGATCAGGTCCTCTATACCATCCGGGATGTTCTTGTCGGTAGGCTTGCGGGCGCGTCGTTGAGCGGCTTCATTGTGGTGGGCAATTGCGCGTTGAGTCTGAGGAGCCATGTATTGAGGGGGGCACGGCGTGTTGCTGGGCCATCGCGCCGGGCATCGCGCCTGTAGGAGGTTAGCTGGTTTGGATAAGAAAAGAAGAAAGGGGACAAACCGGGTTGGACATGGCGGCGGGGCGGGGCTGGAGAGCGCTGGGCGGCTGAGGGAAAGCCGCGGGAGAAATTGGGCTGCATTGGAGCGTTGATTGCGGATCCAGCAAGTAGGGGCTCCAGTTGGATGGAGTGGGTGGAGGTTGAGGATGAACCAGGACGAGAGTCGCGATTCTTTTGGCGCGACGCTAAGCCCAATCGGGAAAGCAGTGCATCCGGCCTAGATGGCAACTGGCGTGTTCGGCTTTCAGTGGCCAGGCACCCCCATAGCTATGGACGATGCGTCCTGAAGGTTATCTAGGAGGTCCTACATAGCTACTAAACTTGACTTAACCCTGTACGACTTTCCTAGATGGGAGATACGATCCTCGCGTGCTGCCGTAGCTGCGGTTGGGTTTATTTCCTATGAATCTGTTGAACATATCGCATGACCATGATCCCGTTTTCCTGTCCTCTACTCCAGGAGCGAGGCCTGGTTAGTATACAGACCTTCCACCACATTGCTGAGCTTCTCAATGGTCTCCAATGCGGCATCGTAGGCCTGGTCGCGTTCTGTTTCGTCATACACAATCAGGCAGCCTGAGCCTTGATCCAACACACCGATGATCACCTTATCCAAGATCATCTGTGACAACTTCCGCTCCACTTGTTGGGTATCCAGGCCCACCATCTTGGCGATGTGGTCGAGTTCTACCCGGCTGAAGGGCTCAATGACCTTGATTAAGTTCTGCTCCAGCATAGCATCGTACAGGCGACGCAGGTGATTCCGAATGAAAGTGTCGCTGCCAAGCTCGTACCGGTAGTCGGAAAGGGCCTTCTCATAGTCCTCCAATGATCGGTTGGAGTGAGCCCGCGCAACAGACTTCATAGCCTCCAAGCGTGGGCTGGCGTATTTCTGGGCTTGCTTGGACCCCAAGAGTTGGGTAACATCATCCACTAGGTTGAGCATAATCTTGCAGAGCAGCATATACTGCAGTGCCGCGGTAGCCAACTCGCCCTCGTCAAGCGAGTTGTATCCCTCCAAAGCCTCAATGAAGTAGGAGAATGCCGTGTTGAAGTCCTTGTCCTCTGCGTGCAGCATACCGCTCTGCATGTCAAGTCCAGCCTGTAGATTAGGTGGTGTGTAGACAGAGGCAGCTGATGTTCGCGCGGCTGTCAGCGCTGCGCGTGCCTTGGCCTGATTACCCAATGCATGGTATACTCGGGATTCGAGAAGCTGCACCTCCACCAGCATGAGTTTATCATCCAGTCGCTTCAACTCCCGGAGCAAAGAGTTGATCAGAGTTAAAGCATCGTAATATTGCTGCTTCTGCATATAGATCGCGACCATCCGTGCCTGGAGGTTCTGGCGCAGGAAAGACCGTCGCTCGGCGACGGCCCATTCTATGCATGACTGGATAACGGTAATTTGGAGGTCGAGAGTGTTCGGGATTTCGCTGACGAGGTCCAAAAGCTGGCGAACTATTCAGATTCATTAGAGAAAGAAGCCCAGATCCCCAGTCGGTGCAACTTACCCAGCTTAGCGGTCTTTGCCTTGGCAAACGACGAGAAGGTATCCCGGCTGGTCTTGATGAGTTCGGCAATCTCTTGCGGCTTCTTAGCATCGCGGTAAAGCTGTCCCAATCCAATCAATGCATGTTCGTAGTCTCGCGATGAGGCCTCCGTAGAGCCCGGGCCGGATGAGAGAATCTTTTGATAACTGGCAATGGCCTTGGAAGGGTCCTGCTTCGCCAGGTCCCGCACTTCCTGTATCCGCGGTGAGACCTGGAGAGGAGGAGGAGGAGGACATGATGGGGAGGGCCGGAAACAGAGAGCCAACAGATATTGAAATAGATGGTGGCTCACGAGAAGGGGAAAGACGGGAATAGAGATGGGTTGTTGATACGTTGGCTGAGTGTCCGTCGGGGAGCTTGAAGCTGGCAGCTGCAGGCTCACCGCCCGCTTAGCAAAGCGTTATGTCAAACCCAAAAAAAAAAAGTTCCCTCCGCTTGGCACTTTCCCCGAATTTTTGTTTTGGTTACAACTGCACATCATGGTGAGTTCCGAGTGATTGCGAGGGGTTCCTGGGCTATCTAGATTAATACTAACTCTTCAATAGAAAATTAAAGCCCTCTCCCGCCCAACAGCGTCGCAGCAGGCCCCAGGATCCTCCGTGGTCCGCCAGTCGCGGAACCTGGATCCATCTCAACATCCTTTTGAGCGGGCCCGAGAATACACTCGAGCTTTGAAGGCCATCAAAATGGAGCGCATGTTCGCCGCTCCTTTTATTGGTCAAATGGGGGATGGACATGTGGATGGGGTCTATACCATGGCAAAGGACCCAAATTCATTGGAACGTTTCGCAAGTGGCAGTGGCGATGGTATGGTGAAGGTTTGGGACTTGACAACCCGGGAGGAGATTTGGCACACACAAGGGCACGAGAATATGGTCAAGGGATTATGTTTTACTCCAGAGCGGAAGCTGCTGTCCTGCGCCAGCGACAAGACCGTCAAACTCTGGGATCCGTATCATTCATCGCCCGAGGCTGCGCCACTGGTACGTTTTTCTTTTTGTTTGGTTTTTTTTTTTTTCTGGGGTGCATTCCGAAATCAGCGCAGCGCTAATCTACTTGACTTCGGGTTTTAGGCAAGCTATTTGGGCCCCAGTGCTTTCACAGGCCTTACCATGCATCGGGATCATCCTTCTTTCGCGGCATCTTCCTCCGTGATCTCGATCTATGATCTTTCTCGCCCGTCCGGCGCAGCTTCGCAGACACTGCACTGGCCCACCAGTGTTGATACAATTACCTCGGTCGCTTTCAATCAGACCGAGACATCTATCTTGGGCTCTACTGCCCTTGATCGCTCCGTCATCATGTACGACCTTCGTACTTCCTCGCCTGTCCACAAGCTGGTCCTGAAGTTCGCATCCAATGCTATCGCCTGGAACCCTATGGAGGCTTTCAACTTTGCAGTGGCGAACGAAGACCACAATGCTTACATCTTCGATATGCGAAAGACAGATCGTGCTTTGAACGTGTTAAAAGACCATGTTGCTGCCGTTATGGATGTTGAATTCAGTCCTACTGGTGAGGACTTGGTCACAGCTTCCTACGACCGTACCGTCCGTCTTTGGAACAGAGCTCGTGGACATTCCCGGGATGTCTACCACACACAGCGAATGCAACGGTATGTGATGAGGATGGCATGCAAAAAAGATTATAATCGCTAATTCATTGTAGTGTCTTCTCCGCCAAATTTACACCCGACAGCAAGTATGTGCTCTCTGGAAGTGACGATGGAAACGTGCGTCTGTGGAGATCCAATGCTTCGGACCGCAGTGGCGTCAAGAGTGCACGCCAGCGTGCCAAGTTGGAGTATGACCAAGCTCTTATCAAGCGCTACTCGCACATGCCCGAAATCCGCCGCATCAAGCGCCAGCGTCACTTGCCTAGACCAATTAAGAAGGCCGGTGAAATCAAAAACGAGGAGTTGTCGGCTATCAAGCGTCGTGAAGAGAACGTGCGCAAGCACACCAGCAAGGCTGATCTGAAGCCACGCAAGAATGAGCGTGAGAAGATGATCTTGACCCGGGAACAATAAGCACGCAGCAACATTACTTGATAATATGTGGGCGAGCTGGCTGTGCAAAGAAAAGATCCCAATAATACACATTTGACGCGTCAGAAAGCTATTCATATGTGAGATGGACTGGACACTTGTCTTTGTCTTTCGCCTTCGGCTCGCAGGTCCTTTCTCCTCTTTGAGCTGCGGAGGACTCGCCCACCGTTCTCGGGAGTGCTTGGCGGCTCTCGGGTTTGCAGACCGGATGAGACCGCACGATCCACCCCAGAGAGATATCTTGCAAGCACCTGGAGTGTACTTGGCATAACAGAATACCAGTTGATCATTTTCGCATATACGGGCAGCCGGAGGACCCCCCCCACGACCGCTATCCACCGTGGCCACGATCTCCCGAGCAACCTCCACCGGCTCGAGGTTCGGCGCCAAAAATCGATTAGGAGTTTTGATCCAGTCAAACAGCGGGGTCGCCATCTGTCCTACCTCTACCAGAAGCATTTTGATACGGTCATTCTCTCGGAGTTCAGCTTCCAATGTTCGGTGTAGAGCACTCAATCCTGCCTTACTGGCCGAGTAGTCTGAAAGGCCCGCCGGTGTCGTCTGGCCCAGCACCGAACTGATGGTCACAATTGTCCCACCGTTGTCCACATCCGAAATGATTTTCGGCAAGAACACCTGGTAGAGATGGAATGGTGCGAGAAGATTGGTGCGCAGCGTTTTCTCTGCCGCATCAGCAGGCAATTCCAGCAGAGGCAGCCCATTGACTCTCGCTGCTGCACAGTTGATGATGACAGTCGGTGTCCCCAGCTACGGAACATAGAAATATCAGCAACTGGTCTTCAAACGCATAACTTGATCTCGTATCTCGGTACTGTAAGGTAACCCGTAGATGGTATGTTGCACCACGAGGGGAAGAGCAAGCAAGGGCAAATGAGTTAGCACATACCTTTTCTTCAATCGTCTCTTTCACGGCCTCCAACTCCTGTCGATTGCCTACATCGCATCTGAAATATTCCACATCCTCCCCCAGCGTAGCCTCTAATTCCCCCTCCGCAAATACCTTGATATCCAAAACGGCCACGCTCGCCCCCTTCATCCCATAAAGTTGTGCAATCAAGAGCCCCAACCCACTCGCGCCCCCGGTAATAAGCACCACTTCTCGCTCCGAGTCCACCATCCGGGGAATGCCGTACGCTATGCGATGGTTCATCACCCGCGCCACGTAAACCACGCTCAGAAAGATCAGATAGCCGACCGCAATAATCCATGCGGGATGTGTGGGTGGGGTAACTTGAGCGCGCAAGCAGAGGACTAGGACGAATGCGAGGAATGGGTTGAAGACCGTGCGAATGAGCACTTTCACGAGAGTATCCAAGGTAAGATGCTGGAGCCAGGACTTCGAGGGAGCGCGCGGTGGAAGGACGCTCTTAGTACTGATTTTTGGCGGGGATTCCATTTTGACCGCGGATCAAGCCTATACAGGCTTTCTTTTGGCGATTGCCGGGGCTGCAGTGTTGGTTCCGTGGGGTGACAACTCCTGATGTTTGGGAGGAAGATCGAGGTGTGATGAGATCCCGGCGACGTGTCCGTAGGCGCTAACAGCGGGCTCAAGCTTCACATCTATTGCTGGGCAGACCCGGTCGACTCCATGCTCGGTGTACCTTTGCGCTGCTCTGCTTATTCCAGCATGTTGGATAGGAGGTTTGAGGTTGACATGTCCAAGCGTCTTATCGCGTTGATAAGATCGGATCGCCATGGATCTCTGTCAGTCCCCTTTCCTCTTGACCCGGCCTTCCGGCAGCTGCACTGTTCTCAGCGCTGGAAAAACCTTCATGGTGGCGACCAAGGGGCCTATTTCCAAGGTTCTAGACAAAAATGGACGCGGCTACCTTGAATTTCGAACCCTGTCTTACCAATACTGGTACGATAATGATATGCTGCCCAGGTTGACGCTCTCGTGATTGTATACTCCAGTCATTGTGATAATACGACAGCAAGGGCAAATATTGAAAATGGTACGCACTGGCAATGGGCAGTGAACTATCTGGCCCTGTTGAACTCTCTACTAGCAGTACTGGTAGAACTGGTACAGAAATGCATGCATAGCAGTATCAGGGCGACGCCCTTCAACTTGAAGCTCCAAGGTTGGCAGGAAACTTGTAATATTTGAAGCTCGGAATTAAAGGCTCGTAATCTTCTATAGGCAGTAAGTCCTACTGTTACTAGCACAGTCACGGTGACGCTGGTAGCAATAAGATTAAAATACCCTGGCATCAAGTGTACATTGATGCAATTTAACTCGAACTCGCAAGATACTGCAGAGATCTAGGATGCACGGGGGAATGAATGCAGTGGACAGGAATCAGCTGCCTCCCAATACCTCTCCCCTGCACCCCCGGCCGCACAGCAACAACATTACCCATAGAATATGGTGGCTAACATATCAGGGTTGTGGTGACTTATAGAAGGCCCTGCAGCGATCTTCTCGGCAAACTTCTCCAGCTCCTTGTATCACCAAGTCTCCAGGGGCTGGTGGGGAGGACGGCTGACACTCTTGTCGAAGAGGTAAATCCAATTGTGTGATAGACGTCCTTGTGCCATTCTAGTAAGATTTCCTGTAACAGATGTTCTGTTCCTTGTTCGTGATAATTTGAGGAATGCAGTACGATGCGCTGATAGAGAGGATGATCTTATATAGATGCCATACGGGGGACAAGTTCCTGTCGGTGTAAGATAATCTCGGGATTTTTGCGTCCAATGTTAATTGTGACCACAAGTTTCACAGATGATGAGGAAATCTCTGCCAACTATATGCATCAAGAGCAATTTGTGCGGATTCTGATATTCCTACACCACCCGCGCGAAAGTCTGTATGCACTCAGTCCCATTACCAGTGTCCTGACAACCACCCACATTTCTATTTTTCCTCCTACACCTCCCCTCTTGGTCTCGATCGCTATCAACCTGGAATTATATTAAGCATAACACAAAGATCAATATAAGATACACAGGTTTAGTTTAAAGAACACGGGATGTACGTGAAGGATTGGCCTGTACACTGGCCTAATCTTAACCCTATTAAGCTGGTCTGGAATATACTAAAGCGTAAACTTTTTTGTATATTTGAAGATCTTATATAGATCGGAACATTTGAAGAGGATCAGGCCTATTGTAATGAGTGTATTGATGCTGTATAGGATACGTTAGACCGGACGAAGATTGATATGTATGGGAAGAAGGATGGATAAATTGTGTGCGAACCAGGGCTATTATGCCGAGATATTAAGCAAGGTAATTCTGTATGTAAACCAGATTATTCGGTTTATTGAGCTTTAGTATAATCCAATAAGGATTGGGGGTGAAGGATATATAACCATGAATATACATAGGTATTTGATGGCGTAGGTGAAGCGGTATACACACGGACTTTTGCTCCCTATTGTATTTGTATGAGGACAATCAGCTTTGTATTTGTTGAAATCGGAGCCTAGCAAAAATCGGCCTCCTTAGTCCAATTTCCAATTGTGACTGTTGTTATACCGAGAGTATTCATGTCATCATAGACGTTCATCGCATGTAACTCGAGAACGATTAAATCATGGAAAGATGTTATTGCAAGTTCATGTGAAGGACAAGCCATGATTTTTGCAATCAAGGTTCACGTTTCTGCACTAAAACAGAATCGACAATGCTTGCTTGTTCGTGACCACTCATCCCTTAGTCGAAAAGCTTGCGCCGGAGGAACAAAAGTAAAGACGAGATATTGGTCCCGAGTTTGGACCTGCTGAAGCGCCTGTCGACGGTGTTCCGATGACCTTTGCAAGCTGTTGCTGGCGATGAATGGGTGCTGCTCTACTTCCTTCGCCAGTTGCACAAAAGAATCCTCGGATTCGAATTCAAGTGACAATAACTCAGAAGATATGGGCTCAGAATACGACTGAGGCACATTCGAGGTAGATCAAAAGTAGTCTATTGGAGGTAGAGAAAGTAGACTGGGAAAGTGTACGAAGGTAGGAAGGTAAGCAGAGTCTCAAGCGTGATCGATAGGTTATACTTCGTAATAGGTAGAGAATCGGAGTGGGACCCGATAAGCCGATAAAGTCACGTGGATATATACAGATCCTGGCTCGCCTGGGCATGATTCACCCGAATAACCTCATAGTCTTCACTGACCAGATCACTAATTGGTCAATCAGCGAAGAGGATGCCAATTCCCAAATTGCGTGGTAATTTTTACTAGTTGCGGCTCACTTCACGATATGCAAGTGAATGGTGCAGGGAGCCTGCGCGCAGTATAAGAGCCCCCCTCCCTCCATCGTCTCTTTATCTTCCTCTTCCCATCCCACAGTTTCAGCTTCCTCTTTGGCTCTTGGAGTCACTTCAGTTGCTCTAATATTCTCGATTCCTTGGGTTTCTCGATCACCCTTTCTTTTTCCGGCCTCTTTTAGTATCTTCCTTTGCTCCTTCTCGTCCAGGATGACCAAAGCCGTCGTCAAACCCTCTGGAGTCCAGGACAGGCAGCAGCAGGGCCTTCCTCTCCCACACTCTGTCAAACAGGGGGGGGATACATGAGATGGAACCCTCTGATGGTCGGTCCAGCCGGTCTGGCCGAACTCTCAAGCCGCCCAGCACCTACGTGCCGGCTCCACTGGGGAGGAAGGTGAGGAAACGCCCCGCGAAGACTAATAAGAGGAGCGTGGTGTGCGGAATATGCAACCGGGCTAACAGTCCCAATAATAACCTCATCGTTTTTTGCGATGGGTGCAACGAAACCTGGCATCAGCGGTGCCACGCGCCTGCTATTCCAGAGGAGGTGTTGAAGGTCGAGGAGGCTGAGTGGTTCTGCTACAAGTGCAGGCCAGCGCCCCCTGCTGAACAGCAGGGTGGCAAATCTGTCTTGTCCGGGGCCGTCAAACCACCATCTATCTCCCACCCTCGTCTGCGGCCAAGGGTACCCAGAGAGTCCCTGGCGTCTGGTGAGTCATTCTCACCAGATGACAGGCGGGCATATCTGTCTGCCCTGTCGCACGCTGAACTTGTCGAGCTGGCGATGGATACTTCGATTCAACATCCAAGCATACCAATGTTTCCATCTGACATGGTGGACCGAACAAAGTCTCTGTACCCGACATACACCGGGCCACTTCATGTCGGAGCATTGGAGACAGTCCAGTGTGTGGGTGCTTTTTTAGCAGGCCTCATGTCACCCTCACAGCCACGCTTTTCTTCTCCTCCTTTACGGGAGAAGAAACTCGAATGCTTCCCGAAGAGGAAGCGTACCGGTGACACCTCGTTTGCTCCTCTGTCTATTGAAGAACAGCCATCTCCCAAGAGGGCTCATGCTGTTTCGGCCCAGCCACAGCCGCCTGCGACCACCTCTCCTGCTTCGGCCAGGACAGCGGATTCTCGGCGCTCAATCCGCTCCACACCCGCAGCTCCTCTTCCAAAGCACCCTCTTTCACGTAGTGCATCCGAAATCCAGTCGCATGCTGCCTTGTCTTACCGAGGCTCGACCATTGAAGACTCCGAGCCAGAAACCGAAGATCATGAGCTTGATGTCATTGATGATCACCGTATCTACCCTCCCTCCGGAGGTGGTTTTCCTACACCTGTTACGGCTGCCGAACTTGATATCATTCAGGAGACAGATGACTACCCTACCTTCAGCCACTCTCTACACGGCCCTGCGAAGAACCGCCACCCTGGGGCCTACCGCCACACATGATTAATGATCAATGATCATGCTTGCACGCGCTGCGGTTTCCCTACAAACTTCGATGAACTTGACACTGTTCAAGAGGCAGATGATTGCTTTCTCTCCCTTCGGCCTCTCTCCACTTGGCTCTATGACAAAGAGCCATCTCGTGCTCACCGCCGTGCATGATTATTCCCACTATAGGTTACTGACACATGACGTCTACGATTCGACGCTGCTGCAACCCTGCCCTGACGGAACATATCCAAGTTGATGCTGGTCATCTTCGTGGTATCATTATGCGGCGTGATTCTTTTGTACTGGTATTTGGATTTAAAGGAGTCTGGATTATGGAAGGGGGGCGCCCTCGGGATCTATTCTTATATTTGTGTTCTAACTGTATCTTTGCCCCGGGAGATGTCACCTGGGGACCGAGAATATCACATTCTTCATCTGCCGAGCAAGTCTCGTAAGCTAAAAATTTGGGGGCCATTTCAAGACAACGCAACGGACTTTGTATTCGGAATTTCCAGACAAAAACTCTGCGCGAGTGTTCTCGAAAACCTGCGTCCTATTTGGCCCGTACTAGGCTTTGATTAGCAGGAGGTTGATCTGATCAGTTGATAGATACCCGCTGTCGACTGCGGTATTTTCAGGATCCATCAATTTATGCACGTAAGTAGCTGCTAATGGAGAAATGGCGGATCATACCGGAACTGTCTTCACCAGAATTGTGTAAATTCGCCGCTTCCCAAGCTCAAACGCCAAGGTCCAAGCGATGCGCGGCGTTATCCTATGTACAGATGTAAGAAAGGTTCCGTAAAAGCCACCACTTTCAGGTTCTATTTGAAAAATCAAGACACGACTCCGTCTTTCTTCAGCTGCTCTATATCCGCCGCTTCATAATTCAGGATGCCAGATAAGATCTCATCAGTATGTTGTCCTAGAGTCGGAGGAGGCGAGCGCACGCCCGGGGTGGCCTCGGAGTATTTGATCGGCGTGTTGACTAGCTTGATGGGGCCACAAGCAGGATGATCGACCTCGGTAACCATCCCACGCGCTTGAACTAAGAAATATTCAGTACCTGAAAGTGAACATGGGCTCGAAAGGGACTTACCATGCGCGTGATTCAAAGTCCCTTGGATATCATTGACGGCAGCGTATGGCATCCCGCTTCCCTCGAAGATCTCGAGCCACTCTTGCGTAGTTTTTTTGCTGCGTCAAATTTTCGATCATACCATCGAGATCAGCTCGGTGTTTGACACGGTCGCGGTTGGTGACGAATCGAGGGTCCGTCTTCCATTCGGGAAATCCAAGGCGATCGGACAGAACGCCGAAGAGTCGATCGTTTCCGCCACCGAAGAGAATGTCGCCGTCGAGGGTCTTGTAGCTTCGGTATGGTACAATAGAAGCTGATCATGCAATTGAGTTGAGATCATAGGCCAATTAATTCGGGGCAAACTTACGATGTGCCGTCCCCCAGCGTCCCGAGTCCTTCTTCCCGCTAATCAGGGCGGAGCTGGCCAAATTGGACAGCGTCGCCACCTGACAATCGCTCAGACAGGCATCGATATGCTGGCCCTTCCCTGTGCGCGCACGGGCAAGTAGAGCCGCCATAATAGCATTCGAAGTGTAAAGACCAGTGGTCAGGTCCGTGACAGCCACACCGACCTTCACTGGCGCGCCGTCTCGCGCTCCGGTGATGTGCATGAGGCCGAACTCAGCCTCGACCATCACATCGTAGCCCGCGCGGTTGCTATAAGGACCTGTTTGGCCGTACCCGGTGATACTGGCGTAGATCAATTTTGGGTTGATCTTTTGCAGTGTTTCGTAGTCCATGCCATATTTTCTGAGGCCGCCAGGAAGGTAATTCTCCACAAGGACGTCGCACTCCTCTGCGAGCTTGTGGAGGATCTCGACCCCCGACTTGTGCTGGAACGACAGGCCAATCGATTTCTTATTGCGATTTACCTGTTGCTTCAATTAGCAGCAGTGGGGTCCGACAGTATCCAAGGTCCATACAGCTAGATAGTATGCGCTCTCCCCTGGACCCTCCCTGGACGGGTCTTGGTATGTGGCATAGGGTGGACCCCAAGCTCTTGTATCATCACCACGGACAGGATGTTCGACTTTAATCACGTCGGCACTGTCGGCGATTCATCAATTGTTCTAGATAGGGACGAAACGCGGATCCTTACCCTAGATCGCCCAGAATCTGAGTACAGTATGGCTACGCAACATCATTATCAGCGTGTATACTAGTAGCAGCGACCAGAGGATAAATACTTACCCCTGCTAGGACGCGGGTCATATCAAGCACTCGTATCCCAGACAATGGCAAGGTACCATTCCGTCTCGAGACTGTACGAGAAAAGCTGCGCGATGGCTGCCGCATCGCATACCTTGCCCTGGGGCCAGCTTGCCGGGCCACAGCATTGAGCGTGAATGCAACTGACATTGTGTACGTTCCCTCCCCGGAAATTCCAATGTTCTCAACTGTACGAAATATACAAAGAAAACGAGACTCCAACGGTGCAACTTCCACGACGTGCGGGAAGAGGCGTATTTGAAGCGCCGTAGATCCAAAGTCGCCGTGGAAACGCCGACACCGCTTGCGTGGAGCTCCGAAGCCGAGGTCCTCCGAGCCACCGTTCTTTACATTTGCCGTTTGGCGCACACACGATGTTCACTGGGCTAGTTGAGACAATCGGGAGTGAGTATCTTCGATGATCGTATTTGATTGTTTGCTTATGGATACTCGACAGCCGTCACGGCCCTAGAGCCCCTCGATACCTCCCAGAGCGGGGGCGGGGGTACCTCGCTCACGATCTCCGACTGCGAGAGCATTCTGGGGGACGCGCACCTGGGGGACAGCATTAGCGTCAATGGTGAGCTCGCCCCTTGACTCTCGTGTCTCTTACAGGGGAGTCGGATCTAACTGAGAATAGGTACCTGCCTTACCGTCACTGAGTTCGACAAGACCTGGTTCAAGGTCGGCGTCGCACCGGAAACATTGCGCCGAACCAACCTGGGCTCGTTGCAGCAAGGCTCATTCGTCAACCTCGAGCGTGCAGTCTCAGCGGATACCCGCATGGGCGGACATTTCGTGCAGGGCCACGTTGATACTACTGCGACCATCCTTTCCGTAACGCCTGATGGCAACTCCCTCGTCTTCCGGCTTCAGCCGCGCGATCGGGGCATCCTTCGCTACGTCGTGGAAAAGGGCTATGTGACCTTGGACGGCGCCAGCTTGACTGTCACCAAGGTGGTGGACGGTCCGGACGGGTTCTGGGAGGTCATGCTCATTGCCTACACGCAGGAAAAGGTGGTGACCGCGGGCAAGAAGGCTGGCGAGGAGGTCAACGTCGAGATCGATATTGTGGGGAAATACGTCGAGAAGAGTGTTCAGGGCTACTTTGCCGGTACCGCGGGGGGAGACTTTGCGGTCCTTGAGAAGATGGTGGCACGCATTGTCGAGGAGAAGTTACAAAAATAAGGGAAACCTGATGAATGACGACGCGCGGAGACAAGATTGTAAAACAAGATGCTATTCCCAACCCAATTATATGACGCCATGTAAATTTTACACCAGAAACCACCGGCTTGTGGGTATCTAAGTTTGAACATTGTGAGGCTCGTAGAGACATTACTCTTCCATAGACTCGTCCTCATCCTCATCATCTACTTGCTGATTTCCGGCATCAAAGGAATCATCGCTGAGCCAGTCCTCGTCGTCCATATCAACATCCTCTTCGTCGTCATCCTCCACGGTCTCTCCATTCGCCTTCGCCTTGGCTTTGGCCTGCTTCTTGCGCTCGATGTTCTCCCGCTGTTGCTTCTTTCTCTGCTCCTTTTGTTGGCGGCGAGCCTCCCAGCTCTTATCCAGAGACCGAATCTCTCCTTCGGTCTTCTTGATGAAATCGTGCCACATGATCCTGCCATCACAGACCCCTTCCTCCACCTTCATCAATCGGAGCCTCATGCGCGGGCCTAGTTCGACAAGTTTGACCGCCCGCTTCTCAACACCTGGGGCAGTCGCCTCCTTCTTTTCGCCCTTTTCAGCAGCTTTTTGGCGCTGTTGCTCCCGCTTGTTCAAGACCTTTCGCGTCGTACTCTCAGCGACCTCTACCTCAGCGTCGGTATCGAGTTCGGTCTCGCTTGCCGAGGTGTAGCCCGCGGCAGACGGATCGAGGAGGTAGTCTGCAGCATCTTCCAGTTTACCCAGGTTTGGTACTGCGGTCTTCTTCTTCTCTCGGTGGCGAATTTCCTTCGGGTCCAATCGGCGAATACGTTTTGACACCCCTGTCTTCTTTGTCGCGATAGCGTAGTGTCGGAGGCTGAGGACATAGCCATCATCTTCAGAGCCAGTAGTCTCACGGTTTAACAGCATGACACGGCGGATAGAGTGCAATGGTGAAGTTTGCGGGTTGATGGGCGGGAACAGCGATTGGAAGATTGTAGTTGTCAGAGCCTCAAGGCGTTTCGGCACCTTCGAGTCCTCGGTGGCACCCGGGGTGTTGAAGTTGTTCATGACCAGCAGCGGTGGGGTTTTATGGTCCTGGCCACCACTTTGGGGGCGCTTCATCGCCTTCTCGACGTCGCGGCAGAGGGAGTAGTTCTCGACTTGGAAGTGGAGAGTTGGGCCTCGAGGCGTGAGTGCAAGTCGCAGGTTAGTGTTTCCAGTCTTGGATTTGGAGAAGAGGAGGAGATGGGTCACGCCAAGAGGGCCAGTCATGACGGTGTAATCGCGCAATCGGTTCGATTTGCGTTCCTGGAGATAACCGTTAGTGCACGGTCATACAGAAGAATCCTGGGGCCAAATACCTTCAATCGCACTGCAGTGTCTGGCTCCAACATTTGACGGACATCCTTTACCAGCTGACTGACGCTGGAACCGACCTGGGAAGCACCGACTCGAATGACCATACTCTTGGGAGTTTTGGTCATCTGGGCGGCGCTGGCCTTGTTGGCGGCGGAGGACGCATTTTGGGGGCGCAGGTGAGTGCGCTTCTTAACACGGGCTTTGGCCATGATGGGCTTAATGTAAACAAGCACCAAATGTATCAAAGAGCAAATGAGGTGGAGTAAAGCTAGAGGCTGGCCCGTTAGGTTTTTTTTTTATCTCCAAAAATTCCAGAGCACGCGCGGATCATTGATGTTCCCGACCCACATTTATTTTTCGAGAATCCGCTGGCCGTCACAAGTTTTTGGATATCATTCTCGAGACCTCTAACTGACCTTCTGTCTGCTCGAAATGCCTGATCAAAAGAGGCGAAAGGTCAAGGAAGGCCGCGCCGAACCCCTTGCTTCCTCAGACAGCGATGCCGGCTCGGTAGCTTCCCAGACTGAAGATGCGATTGATCCACAACCCGAAGAGACGGGCGAAGCTAGCTCGCCCGCGAAGACATTTAAGGAACTGGGCGTGATTGATAGTAAGCTTCAAAAGGCGTGGAACCTGAGCAGTCAAAACATGGATCTGACCTGTTTATAGCCCTTTGCGAAGCTTGCACTACACTTGGATATAAAACAGCAACACCCATCCAAGCACAAGCGATCCCCGTCGCCTTGTCTGGAAGAGATTTGATTGGTCTTGCTGAGACTGGTAGTGGGAAGACGGCAGCATTTGTGATCCCAATTTTAGTAAGCCCAGGTGCCCTGATCCGATGACGATAAGGAAAGCAAAGCTGATGCATGGTTGTAGCAAGCCTTGATGGAGAAGCCAAAGCCATTTTTCGGTCTTATTCTTGCACCAACCCGAGAATTGGCAGTCCAGATTGCTCAGAGCGCGGAGGCTTTGGGAAGCGTCATTGGTGTTCGAGCTGCGTGAGTTTCCCCCGAAGCAAATCATACTTCTAGAGACTGACCTCGCCTAGCACCCTCGTCGGTGGTGTTGACATGGTCCCCCAATCTATTGCGCTAGGGAAGAAGCCACATTTGTGAGTGATGGGAGTACCATTCTTGTCCGAGCATCTAGCTAATCTAATATAAGGATCGTTGCAACCCCGGGAAGATTGTGAGTGATTAGACTTCCACGCTTGCCATCATATTTCGCTAACCCTGAAAAGAATCGACCACATGGAAAATACTAGAGGATTCAGTCTGAAATCATTGAACTACCTGGTCTTGGATGAAGCGGAGTAAGTTTCCTTGCTCATGGCTGTACTTTTCGCAATCCGACCACCAATAGTTGCTATACTAACAATGACCCCATTCAAATAGTCGCCTACGTATGTCCCACATATGTCTTTCTTGCCTGCGAAACTCGACCTAACGTATTAATCTAGTCGACCTCGATTTCGGCCCTATATTGGAAAAGATTCTGAATCAGCTTCCCAAGGAGAGGAGGACCATGCTGTTCTCAGCGACAATCTCATCGAAAGTTGAAAGCTTACAGCGAGCCTCTTTATCAGTATGCCATCCGTCCCTGACCTCCATAACTAGAGGATCCCTAATCCGTTAGCAGAATCCCGTCAAGGTCGCCATATCCTCTTCGAGCTATCAGACTGTGAAACAACTGAAGAGCTACTACATTTTACAGCCTCACAAGAAGAAGGACGTTTATTTGCTACTTCTCCTTGTTAAGCTCACAGGCTCTACATCCATTATCTTCTGCCGAACAGTTCATGGTTAGTAATTTCTGGGTTCTTACCTGAGTGTGATTCTCGCTCCTCCCCGATCCGGATTCTGATATGGTATGCAGAAACGCAACGAATCGCGTTCTTCCTGCGGGCCTTAGGACTCTCGGCAATTCCTCTCCATGGTCAGATGTCGCAGAGCTCTCGTTTGGCATCATTGGGTCGCTTCCGATCGAAGTCTCGCGACATCCTCGTTGCAACAGACGTCGCAGCAGTAAGTGACGGGCAATCCAGAATGGAATTGTACCCCACTAACTATTCAATAGCGTGGTTTAGATATTCCTAGCGTCGACTGTGTGATCAACTACGATCTTCCAGGTTTGAAGCCCTCTTTTCAGGCGGTCTGAACAACTAGCTAATATAATCCCTAGGTGATTCCAAGACATATATTCACAGAGTTGGACGCACGTAAGTAACTCGGAACTATATCCTCAGAGCCACGCTAATACTATATTTTACGCCAGTGCGCGAGCAGGAAAGTCTGGTCTCGCCATATCATTTGTAAGGATCTCTCAGTCTCTACTTTAACGTGTCTTGTACTGACATTTTTCTTTCCCCACAGGTCACCCAATATGTATGCTTTCCCTTCATAACGCTCCGGGAGATAGCTAAACTAACAATGCACAAGGATGTGGAGCTATGGCAACGCATAGAGAACGCTTTGGGCAAGCAGCTCCCGGAATACGAGGTGAGACTTGCTTTACTCTGCACTAACATAGAACTCATGACTGACACCTTGACAGGTCACCAAGGACGAAGCTATGGTCCTTGAAGAAAGAGTCTCAGAGGCTCAGCGCGAGGCCATCCTTCAAATGAAGGATTATGATGAGAAGAAGGGCAATAAGCCAGGCAAAAAGTTCGGTAAGGGTAAGAGGTCTCGTGACGAGATGGATCGGGAGCAGGGCTAGCTCAGCGGAACAAAAGTTAATTATCCTCATGGTGGTTTGCTGTACTCTAAGGTCTAGAATGGGCGCAGTTTAATTCTTCTCTCCGCGTTTCAAATGTAGCGGTCAAGACCATAGGCCTGTAAGGGTGGTAAGAGTACTCGTGACGCTATTCCCGCGGTGACGAGATCTACATGCTACGGAGGGATAGAAGCCAGAATGGACATGAGTTTGTTTCATTACTGCATGAACATGAAGCTTTTACCGGGTCCGGCTCATTTGATATCCATAAAGCCCAGTCATTGAATGTCGTTACCTTTTTTTTGAGGGAGTCTTTGAAAACCAAAATGCTCTCCCGGCAGATTATCCACTTTGCCACGGATATTTACTGCTGAGCATCGCTGCTACCGGCCTCACGCACAGCGTTAGCGACGCGGGTAGCCAGGTCATCAGCCTCGGAGCGGCTCGCAGCCTCGGCGTAAACACGGACAGCGTCCTCGGTACCACTGGCGCGGGCAAAGCTACGGCCCTTGTTGTACCGCGACTGCAATGACTCGATCTGGCTCTGGAGACCGGCTGGAGACTCGAGCTTGCGCTCGGCGTCGTAGGCCTTGAAGATCGAACGGTCGTTCACCTCGACGCGCACTAGGCGGGAGGGTAGATCGGTGTAAGTGCCCAGCCACTCCTTGGGGGTCCAGCCCTTGTGTGCCAGGATCGCCTCGACGAGGAGCATGTCCGAGAGGGCGTCGCCGACGGCCTGGTTGATCAGGTCGGTCAGGGCGAGGAGAGACTCCAGAGCGCTCTTCTGGGCGGGCGACTGAGGCTCAGTGCTACGGATCACCTTCATCGCGTTCTCGGAGAAGGTCACGGTGCCGTGGCCGTTGGCCTCGAAGTAAACGCCGACATCGAAGCGGAGGGCAGCGTGGTGCAGGTGCTTCACGCCGGTGTTGGTGCAGATGATTGGGAGCTTGAGCACCTTCTCGACGTAGTCGGTACTGGCGCCATTGGCGTAAGCAGTCTGCACGAGTCCGATCTTCAATTTAGAGGCAATGCCAGCGTTGCGGGCAAGATCGCCGATAAAGGCCGCAGCGAGGGTAGCGATGCGGTCACCGTCCAGCAAGCGGAAATTGTTGCCCTCGTCGTTGAAGTAGTAGACCAGACGGTCGGCATCACCGTCCAAAGATGCGCACCGGTCAAGAGGGGCGGCCTTGGAAGAAGGCGGCGCGCGCTGCTTGGTCTTGACGTAGTCGGCACCACACTAACGAAACGTTAGTTTGACTTCCGCATTTGCTGCACTGCGAGAAACTTACGTCGAAGTTGAGGCTGTCAGGATTTATCACGTCATCGTTGACCACCTTGATGTCGATTGGAGTATCCAGGTACTTGATCAGCTCACGCAATTTAGGGCCACCAACGCCATTCGCGCAGTCGACGGTCAGAGAGCCTTGCACCTTCACACCGCGCATGACCTTCTTGAAGGCGGTAGCAAGCTTCTCGTAATAGCCCTGCTCGGTGGGTTCACCGTATTCGTACTGGGTTCCGAGGGTATTCTTGCAGCGGACGACGTAGTGGAGTTGAGGGGTGGTCATGTACTTCCAATCGACGAACTCGACCTCGGTAGCGGTAAGGGCCGCGCTCAAAACACCAACCAGGCGTGAGCCAGAGGCACGAGTATCACGAGCGAATACGACGCGGGCAGGGTTGGTCATCTTCACATCAATCTCCTTAACGAGCTCGTCGTACACATCGGCGATCTTGTCCAGCGGAGCATTGGCCAGCTTCGTAGCGTAGACCTCCCATTCGGCCTAGATGGAGATATGGTTAGTTCTCGTCGCACAATGAACAACTCAGGTTCTGCTTACTTCGAGCATCTCGCCCTATAGATTCCACAGGTCAGCGGGGTCTTACACTGTGCAATTTGCTTCTGGCCGGTTTGTTTACATACCATCGGGTCAACGAGCTTGACACCATTGTCCTCGGCGGGGTTGTGACTTGCAGTCACCATCACACCAATCCATTGGCCGCTGAGCTTCTTCGATCGCAAACCGGCAAGGAGACCCACGGCGAAAACCACAGTGTTGAGGAGGTCACTATCGACCACGTTAATGGAGGTCAACGGCAATCGCGGGGGCGTGTGGAGCGCGGGGCAACGGTGATGAGAGGGGCAACTCACGCTTTCATGCGGAACTGCTCACGACCGACCGATTAGTTTTCTGGCCAGCCTCATGAGGCAAACGCAGCGCAACTTACCCCAGCGGTACCATACTGGAAGACCTTGCCCTCGGGCTTGGTGTATTGCAGCGCAGCCTCGGAGATAGCTTTTTTTGACAGCCGGCGAGGCCATGGCGCGAGTGGGTGATCTGGAGAAAAGGCAAGTAAGGCAGGGGAAAGACGCCCCGAAAGCAAGAAGCGCGCGTCCGGATTTATGAAGCAAAGGTGGGGAGAGCCCTGGGAGCCTTGGAATTAAAAAAAGAAACGAGGGGCTTTCGAGAGTGAGACACGGGCCTTAATGCGACGGCCTCAGCGGTGAGCCAATAGCGGGGAATTCCACCGACACGCCGGGCTTTTGGGCGCAAAACTAGTAGGGCCGTGGAATTCTCCGCTTCCCGTGCGGTGGAATTTGCTAGAATTACGCTGAGCTACATTGCAATCCCACGCTACGATCCAAGTGGGGGGGAAGTCCGAATTGGGCGTTGGCATTATTATGGCCTTCGTCGGCAGTTATACACCGTCAGATTGACAAACGTTTATTTTTTGTGGGTCGCAGAATACCTTCACCGAATCTTTCAGCGGCGGACAAGCGACCAGTTCGAAACCTCGTTACGCTTTGAGTCGGTGTCCTGCAATATCGTCTTGCGTGTCCTTGATCAGGAACCTGTCGGATGCAACCGATGCATTAGCCATAATATGCCACGAGTGACAAATAGAAACTGCCAAGGATGACAATGCAAAGGGGAGCAAATGCAACACGGAAGCATAAGGCGAGGGATGAACTTACGAGTACCACCATGCAGTAGGGACCACGGTCCCCAAATGCCAAAGGCTGTGGGCATCAATCAATCCCTTCCAGGGAGGGAAGTCGAGCAGTTCCAAGCTCATAGCCAGAATAATCCACGCCACAATCATACCAGGCCAGGCAGTCCACGACTTGAGGTACTTTTTATACCGGAAGATACTGAACCCGGTCCAGAGGACGTTCTGGATGATGCCAACCACTACATTGGCAATCATATTGTACGTGTAGTCCCAAGACCAGAATGTCAAGTAGCAGACGTGGAGTGTATATAGGACGAGGCAGAGCGCTGTCCAGAAGCGTCGAAGGGTGGGCCGGTACTGAGGCTGTTCGAGGTCGAGCCGCAAGATACGCACCACGGAGAGGTACAGACCGTACAGAACACTAGCCCCCGCTGCCCAGTAGTCCAACTTTTCCGTGATGGGGAAGTCCCGGGTGTGGAAGAGCATGCTGAAAGTCCAGCTAGCCAGGCCAATATATCCAAACATCATATAGTATGGGCGAAGGGTGTGCCAAGCGGGGATGGTCTCCTGGATACGGGACATGCCGTGCCAGTGCGCGGCGAAGTTGAGGAAGGAGAAGAGCACAGAGAAAGGCTCTTGCATGCCCAGGATCCGGCGAAAGGGCCATTTGCCGTGGAATTGGACCACCGGGGTAAGCATCGGGGGATCACGCGAGACTCGCTTGTCGGTAATGACATGTTGACAAGTATAGTCACATTCAGCCGGGCAGGTCCATAGGAGGAGGCGGTGGTGAAGCGCTGCGCATGGTTAGCACCGGTATACCCCAGAATGCATATCGGGATCGACGTACGTAGCACGGAATTGCCGTTCTGGCAATTCTCTGTCTTACAAACCTAGAGGTGGTTTAGCCGGACTCCACGATGCAGGTTGGTCGATGGGTTTACCTGAACGCATTCTTTGAAATCGGGCAGGTGGTCACCCAGGGAGGCTGTCGACTGGCCCACGAAGAAGGCAAGAGCCAGCAAGACCAGACAGGAAGAGAAGACACGGACCCGATACATGGTGGTCGGATAAGGCGTCTCACGCGTCAAGCTTTAGGGGAGAAAGGGCAGCTTCCGGGCGGAGCTTTCGAGGCTGGGGGCGGTCTTGGCGTCGATCTCAGGCACTGCGGTTCTAGAGCTGAGACAGCTGCACTACAGGCAGTTTCGTCGCACGCAGAAATAACATCGACAGAACAAGATCTTGGTAAGGAATCAATTGAATTCCCATGGGAAGCTATGCCATGAAACGTCGGCAAACCAGGGTATACTTGAGGGTAAACAAAGCCTACAGTACGGCTACAACTACGTACTACCATACCAACACACCCGTAGACTCATGTTCATGATGGCAAGCTTCATAGACTGTCACTCTGCTCTTCACCTACGACGACAGGCCCCATTACCCATTCTATCAGCCAATGGGCAAGAATAACCCTACTGAAGCCAGGGCTTATTGGCCACGTGATCATATTCAAATATGGTTAGCGCGGGCGGGGAGATTTTGGAGTTGGTCTTGGCGGTCTGCGGGCTCGAGAAAAAAAAAAGTTGAGAGGTATCTTTCATCTAATTTGCCTTCCATTTTGCAAACGTCCCGTTGTGGTCTTAAAGTTCACATCACAACTTCAGCCATCGTCATGAGTGGCTCCGATTCTACTCCTACTGGGGTCATCTCCAGCAGCGCTGACCGTATGGTGGGCATGGAGCATTCCGAAGTCCGCTACTTCACCAGGTATGTCATTTGGGATTATGACTTGAGCGCGTTTTCGATGGGAAGAAAGAGGGTACTAACGTCTTGCAATAGTTACGATCATCATGGTAAATTTCTCTTTGACATGCCCCCATATTATGCAGACCAAAGACTAAAGACGAATCCTTTCCTGGATAGGTATTCACGAGGAGATGTTGGTACGTACGAACAATTGCTTCTTCTCTGGCAACAGCCACTAACTCAAATCCATTCTGTAGAAAGATGATGTCCGGACTCGGTCTTACCGCGATTCGATCTACCAAAATCGCCACATTTTCAAGGACAAGGTCGTTCTTGACGTCGGCTGTGGGACTGGAATTCTGAGCATGTAGGTCTGCGCATAACGGATCCATCACGAGGGGATTTCTGACAAGATGGGGCAGGTTCGCGGCGCGTGCTGGCGCTAAGCACGTCATTGGTGTCGACATGTCCTCCATCGTCGAGAAGGCCAAGGAGATCGTTGCTGTCAATGGCCTCTCTGAAAAGGTCACTCTTCTGCAGGGAAAGATGGAGGAGGTCCAGCTTCCCTACCCCCACGTCGACATCATCATCTCCGAGTGGATGGGTTACTTCCTTCTGTACGAGAGCATGCTGGACACCGTCCTGTACGCTCGTGACACCTACCTTGCCCCCGGTGGCAAGATCTTCCCCGATAAGGCTACTATGTACGTGGCCGCCATCGAGGATGGCGAGTACAAGGACGACAAGATTGGATGTGAGACCGGTCCCCTCCCCCGGGTTATTCCTAGCCGTGTTTGCTAACTGGTTCTAGTCTGGGACAACGTTTGGGGCTTTGACTACAGCCCCATGAAGGAAATTGCCCTCACCGAGCCATTAGTTGATACCGTCGAGGTCAAGGCTTTGGTAACCGACCCCTGCCCCATCATCACCTTCGACCTGAACACCGTCACTACCGCTGATCTGGCTTTCAAAGTTCCCTATGAGGTGACAGCTAAGCGGAGTGACTTCGTCCACGCTTTGATCGCGTGGTTCGACATCGAGTTTAGTGCTTGCCACAAGCCCATTACCTTCTCTACCGGGCCTCATGCCCGATACACTCACTGGAAGCAGACCGTCTTCTACCTTCGTGACGTGCTCACCATCGAGGCTGGCGAGAAGGTCTCTGGTTACCTCGAGAACCGCCCCAACGACAAGAACAAGCGTGACCTGGACATCACCATTGACTACAAGTTCGAGGTCATGGATGAAAACCGCTTTGCAGAGGGCAGTTGCTTCTACCGGATGTAAGTGCTCTATCTCTGCTGCTCTCCTTTGTTCACCATGCTGGCGACGCTGTGTTGAACCACGCTAATTGCTGCCACAGGTGTTAACCCCCCTCTGCTTGCTCTTCATGATCATAATGGTTATTTCCACACAGTCACACGTTTCTAAGGACAGCTCAATAGCACCCGAGCAAGTATAGTACCGGCAAGGATCTGCACAGGGCGACCCAAGATGGTTTTTGTTTCATTTTTCACATGGCGTTTATGGGAGGCAGGGAAGAGGCATTGTTATCATGGCGCGATGCGGAGAGATGTTTCCGAAGCTCCTCGACATTTCCAAGTAGATACCCCGAGTCGATGCTTAGTCTAGCAAACTCCGCTCTTTCTATGTGCAGTTGTGTTTTTTACTCGTAGGCGGATCGTAGGATGCGGCCATTCGCGACGGCAGGGAATCCTCGGATCTCGCTTGCGAGCTTCGGTCTTATCTGATCCTCGGCCCAACCGCTCGTCCCCGCAATCTGTCAGACCTCTTTTCGGGTCTTCCGCTGCCACACTTTTAAGGGGCCTTCGCCCATTAGACCCGACCACTCTTTGGATATTCCTTTTGCCTGATTCTCCTCCTGTATTGATTCCCCAACCATGTCTGCTCCCGGAGCCGGTCACGAATTCCCTCGCAAGGACGTATCCTGGCAAAAGCGCGATGTTCTTCTCTTTGCGAACAGCATTGGCGCCAAGGTCGATGAATTGCACTTCCTCTACGTAGGCGATGGCTTGTCCAACTCTCCCCTTCTCATCTGACAGGGACCAGGAATTACACCCCAAATTCTCCGTCTTCCCCACCTATCCTCTGATCCTTCGTATGTCCCAATGAACCTCACAGCTTAGCTCCACGCCTATACTAACATTGCTATCCAGCATTCAAGCTTACCGATCAGGAAGTGACCGACTTCTATGCCCGTCAAGAGGCAACCCACATTCCGGGCGTCCCGAAATTGGATTACCGCCACGCTGTCGATGGCCAGCGCAAGCTCACAATCCTCAAGCCTCTTCCACCTACTAGCGCTGGACGGAAGTTCGAACTCCGAAACACCGTCGTCGGCGTTTACGACAAGGGCAAGCCAGGCACGGTGATTGAGACTGAGCAGGCGATTATCGACAAGGAGACAGGCGAAGCCTACTCGAAAGTTCTGAGCAGCGGCTTCTTGGTCGGCCAAGGCGGTTGGGGCGGGCCCAAGGGTAAGAAGAGATCCGAGTGTCCAATGTCCTTTGCCTGGAAGAACAGACGAGCGCTAACTTGTCTCTGCCACTCACTAGGCCCCTCAACTGAGAACTTTCCTCCGCCCGAAGGAAAAGCCCCCGACGCTGTCCATGTTGTCCAGACGAGCCCAGAAACGGCCCACCTGTATCGGTATGTGATCGTCTAGTCTAAATGTTTCCCCCGAGGTTTCCGGTGGTCCATACAAGTGACTAACTCGGCTTTCTCATCGCAGCCTGAACGGGGATTACAACCCGTTGCATGCGACGCCTGAACCTGGCCAGAAGCTCGGGTTCGGCGGCACCATCATCCACGGTCTGTTCAGCTGGAATTCGGCTGCCCATGGCCTCCTGCGCGAACTGGGTGGCAGCGATCCGGCCAATATGAAGGAGTTCCAGGCCCGCTTTGCGGCACCTGTCCGACCGGGTGACAAGCTGACGACCGAGATCTGGCGGACGGGGAACGCCCAACCCGATGGGTTTGAGGAGGTGCGCTTCGTGACGAAGAATCAGAATGGAAAGGTCGTTCTGAGCAATGGCCGGAGCTTGCTGAAGGTTGTCGGCACGAAGAGCAAGCTGTAGTTCCCTTGCTTTTGTTGGAAATGTATATCCTACCCTCCGCGGCCCCCTGGAAGCAGCACTTTGCATACCAGCAGTAACTTGAGGCTGGAATATTTCAGATGACTCGACAATCCATTAATCACCGGTTTGGCTACTGGCGGAGGAAGTCGTGAAGATATCAAGGCCCTCGATGTTAGGACCAGGGAATTTACTGACGGACACTCGGAGTCGGACACTCCATTGAATACGAGAACGTGCAACATTGTAGAATAGCAGCATCAACTCTTCAGTTATCGCAATTATCTCCATTCCTCATTCCAAAGCTAGATAAGATCGAGTGGAAGACACGATGGAACGTTGCAACACCATGCATACATACACTGTACGCATCCCACGTGATCACAAAGTATTGCCGAGGTCGATTGGGAGGTTTGATTGGCAGACTCGCAGGATTACCGTTCAACTTGCAGATCCAGTGCAGCATCCTTTAGTACATACAGCCACGATGATCGCGCGGCCAGCTCTTCGATCAAGCCGCGTCGAAAGAGCGCTCGGGTAAATATGAAAAACGTCATGACGACTTGCCAAGGCTGACCTGACTTATGGCAGAGTTCACGCCAGAAGATTGCATGCACCTCCAAGCAGCCATGTTGTAAGTCACTGCCAGTTGTTTCTCAATGGCTGGAGAATTCAATAATTTTCAACGGGCTCAACGTTGACGTATTCAAGCTTCGCGCTGGAGTACAGCAGCTGGGTGCTGTGAGGGGTACAGTCAGGTTACCCGCTGTCACCGTAAAGCTCCTATCAGGCCACCATGATCCAAAAGCGCCATTCGGCTCTGTTCGCAAATATCATGTGGCCCACGGCATCTCAGATGGCACGCAGTCTTTGGCCAGAAAGGCCGAGGGCATGGGATATGCTGTTCTTCACGAGCGGGCTCAAGACAATCGTGATGGCTTCTTAGTCTTGTAGGTCCGTCCTCCTCCGATCAATGATCCCGGCTAACAAGTGCTCTCACCCATATTAGTGGTTCGCAGTTTTTGAGGCAAGTCTTCAACATCCATTCAAAGAAGACCCTAGCTAACAAAGCCTGTAGGGAGAACTGTCAATGCGCCGGTTGTATCCACCCAGACACAAGGCAAAGAGCGCTTGACCCGTTCGTGGTATGTTCATTCTCCCAGGGCCGGCATGTCCACCAACCTGACTGGTTTAGATCCCGCCGGAGGTCTCTATCAAGTCCTACAAAAGTCTCCCCGATGGAGCTACCCAGGTCGAATGTAAGCCAGGCATTACACCCGGAATTTGTGTTGAAGCTAACGACTCAAGGGTCCGATGGACACACGGGCATCTACCCCCAGGAATGGCTTCTTGAGCACCAGCACCGTGAATGGCAATCCGAAACAGAATCGAATAAGCTGCTCATAACCGAAACTGCTCTCCCCCCTCCAAGGTATATTACTCCTCGCCCGAGAATGTCGCTTATCTTGTACTCATTGACGGGGACAGGGAGTGCGAGCAATTCAAAGACGAGGGACAAGAGCCACCATTCGTCCTCCACGATAAGGTGATGTCTTCCGACACCCACTTGCTCGAGTGGCTTGAGAATATCGTGAGATAGCACCCGACCTGATCGAACGGCGACCTTCACTGACAATTCTCCAGTGGTCCTACGGGTTCTGTCTTGTCAAGAATGTTCCCGCAACCCCGGAAGCTACGAAAGACTTGCTGGAACGAATTGCGCATATCCGGCACACGCACTATGGTACTTGGTTTTCGATCCCTCATCTCGCACAGACTAACCATATTGCAGGCGGCTTCTGGGGATTTTACTGCGGATCTGACCTTCAAGGATACTGCGTACACCAACGAAGGACTTGCTCCGCATACCGACAACACCTACTTCAGCGATCCGGCGAGGCTGCAGCTATTCCACTTACTGTCCCATACCGATGGATCAGGTGGCGAGAGCACCATGCTTGATGGGTTTGCGGCTGCTCGAAAATTGTACCAAGAATCACCTTCTTTGTACAACTCTCTCGCGACTGTGAGGCATTCATGGCACTCGAGCGGAAATGAAGATGTCTGCATCCAGCCTTCTGTCCGTGCACCCGTGTTCTCTATCCACCCCGACTTCGGGACGATGTATCAAGTGCGCTGGAACTATTATGATCAGCTGCCGAAAAGCGATTGGAGCCTCGAAGAACAGAGTACATGGTACAAGGCCGCCAGGCGATACTACGAAATTCTGAACGAACCTGGACGAGTCCTCCAGATGCAACTGGAGCCAGGGACTGCTTTGAGTGAGTATAGGGATTTACCTGCCTCTGTGTCTGCTCATGAATAAGGATTTTGGCTGACGGTCGAAGTTTTCGACAATTGGCGGATGATGCATGGTCGCACTGAGTTCACCGGGAAGAGGCGGATGTGTGGTGGCTACAGTAAGTGCCATTGCCTGCAAGGGACTCTTTTGACGCATTTTTGCTAATTGCCGAGAATAGCGAATAACGATGATTTCATCTCCCGGTTGAGGCTTCTCAAATTTGGCCGAGAGAAGGTGCTGCAGAAGATGGGAAGCTACTGGGAAAGAGATGATCCATCCAGTCCGTATAGTGTCTATTAGTGTGACCCGATCTTCAAGGCATAAGCATATCATTCAATTCGTATTGGTCTTAGCTGGACTCTAGGGTTAAACGGCGTAGTCGATCCGCGAAATGTATACCGCCAACAACACACCACGTGACCCGCTGACGTTTGTTGGCCCGTGAAGCTCGGCCACAGCTGTTCTCCAACCTTCTGTCATCACCTGCTCAACCCCTCTGAACCCGACCCATCCGTGCGTTGCTGGACACTTTTTATCAATTTACATCTGACCACCGTGCTCCGGTGCTCATCCCCGATCCACCATGTCGACCTTGGAGGATCTCGACAACCTCGAGCGCGAGTCCAGAGAGAACAAGAAGCAACAGCAGGGCGGCGGCAAGAAGCCCAACGGCGACGACGACGATGCTGAAATGAACGATGCCGACCAGAAGGAGGAGGAAGAGGAGGAGCTTCTAGATGACGAGATTCTGAATTCGAGTACAGCTGACATCGTCAAGCGGCGGCGGATGCTGGAGAACGAGATGCGCATCATGAAAAGCGAGTTCCAGCGGTTGACACACGAGCAAAGCACAATGAGGGAGAAGGTCAAGGATAATCAAGAAAAGATTGAGAACAACAGGTACGGACTCCCAGATGATCGCGGACTGAACCTCTGAAAGGCCTCTTCACAGGACCCGCGGAGCTTTGCGTCTACGCACAGCATGGCGGGGACTCAAATCATGCTAACTTCTTTTTTACTTGATTCCCAATAGACAACTACCATACCTCGTTGGCAACGTCGTCGAACTACTTGATCTTGATGTCGAGGCCGAAGCGGCGGAGGAAGGGGCCAATATCGACCTTGATGCCACGCGTGTAGGGAAGTCCGCCGTCATCAAGACCTCTACCCGCCAAACCATTTTTCTCCCCCTTATCGGCCTGGTCGATCACGAGAAGCTGAAGCCCGGTGACTTGATCGGTGTCAATAAGGACTCATATCTCATCCTGGACACGCTCCCTGCCGAGTACGACAACCGTGTCAAGGCGATGGAGGTCGACGAGAAGCCCACAGAGAAGTACTCAGACATTGGTGGGCTCGACAAGCAGATCGAGGAGATCGTGGAAGCCATTGTATGGCCCATGAAGGAAGCCGACCGATTTAAGAACATTGGCATCAAGGCCCCGAAGGGTACGTCGTGTGACTAATTTCTATTTTCCAAGCTCCGGCGATCTAACAATCTTCTGCTCGTACAGGCGCATTGATGTACGGACCCCGGGAACCGGTAAGACGCTGTTGGCACGAGCCTGTGCCGCCGAAACAAACGCTACATTCCTCAAGCTCGCCGGTCCGCAGCTCGTACAGATGTTCATCGGCGACGGAGCCAAGCTTGTCCGCGACTGCTTCGCTCTGGCCAAAGAGAAGGCCCCTTCAATTATTTTCATCGACGAACTAGACGCCGTGGGTACCAAGCGTTTCGACTCCGAGAAGTCCGGTGACCGAGAGGTGCAGCGTACCATGCTGGAGCTCCTGAACCAGCTGGATGGTTTTGCCTCGGACGACCGCATCAAGGTGCTCGCCGCAACCAACCGTGTCGATGTCTTGGATCCCGCGCTGCTTCGTTCCGGTCGTCTGGACCGCAAGATCGAGTTCCCATTGCCGAACGAGGAGGCTCGCGCCAACATCCTGCAGATCCACTCGCGGAAGATGACGGTCGAAGACAGCGTCAACTGGGCTGAGTTGGCGCGCAGCACGGACGAGTTCGGAGGTGCGCAGCTGAAGGCGGTTTGTGTGGAGGCTGGAATGATTGCTCTGCGGAAGGGTATGAGCAAGATTGGCCACGAGAACTACGTGGATGCCATCGCGGAGGTCCAAGCCAAGAAGAAGGATACCAACATGGGTATCTACGTCTAAAGTGGTGATTCTGGACCGGAATGTTCCCCCTTTGCCCTATCTTCAACCCCTATTCCTGTACTTCCTCATCATGTCTTGTTTGGACGGGTTGCGGCTCAAATAAACTGGGCTGGTCATCCCGTTCTGCATATGGGTAATCGTCACGAACTGAAACATCAGGTCCTAGCCTGATGATCCTAAATGAATTCCTTATCCTGAAGAATCCTTTTTTAGTATGTCTCATTGGTATAAGCTTGAGTGCGGAATTAAGTGCTTGGACTACAAGTACAAGTACCTTGCTTCTAGCCCTAGCCAATTCTCCATCGAATAGAAACGTAAATGCAGTATGGGTTGACTTTCCCAATTCCAAAATTAAGGCTAACAACAGCATGGCCAGTACCATAACACACATGCAACTCCCACGCAATCCACAACCTTACTCTGCCCACTGCCTAGTTCTTTCCAGGATCCTTCAAAGTTACAATGCGGTTGAGAATGAGCTTGTCAGCGGTAGTCTCCCGATCCACAGCAAAGTAAGCCATCCGCATACCCTGGAAACGGACGGAGTGCTGATTAGCATTGATATCACCTGCCTCCGACTCCTCCTTCGGCCACGGCGCAGTGCCCCGGACATGGTGGTATCCGATGTCCACCATGGCATTGGGGTAAATCTGCTCGGAATCAGGGTTGATATCGGCCAAGAAACCCTCGGGATGAGAGTTAGGGTCCTCGGACTTGAAGAGCGGGTTGAAGGCGCGGATCTCAGCCTTGATGGGGCTGTTTTGCTTGGCCGACTCGCCGACCCAGTGGATGTAAGTCACCTTTTGCTTCTTGGGGGCCTCGCCTTCGGCCGGCTTTTCGTAGCGGGCGCGCACAAGAGTGACGGTGCCGGTGGCGGGGTCCTTCTCGAAGGATGTGGCGGTGATGGGGAATGGGACTTTCATGAGTCCGACTGTCTTGCCTGGGCGAGACGGAAGTAGTCCGGGTCGTCTACTTCGCGGAAATCGGATTGTTCGATGTACACGGTCTTGGTGAAAGGGACCTTGTTGGTACCGAAGGCTGGGTCTTTACTGAATGGGACCTCGACGATCTCCTCGTAGTCGTCGTCCAGGTTCTCGATTATGACCTTCAATGGCTCCATAACGACCATGAGGCGGGGCACGGTGGTTTCAAGGAACTGTCTGATGGCCTGGTCGAGACGGGCAATGCTGATCACGCTTTGGGCCTTGGTCAAGCCGAGGTCGTTGACGAAGGAGAGGATGGCTCCGGGGGGAATGCCGCGGCGTCTTAAAGCGATCAACGTGTATAGTCTGCAGTCGTCCCAGTCGCGCACGTAGCCGTCCTTGACGAGTTTGATGATCTTGCGCTTGCTCAGAACGGTACCGGAAATGTTCAAACGGCCGTACTCGCGTTGCATGGGTCGGTAGACGTCAAGTTTGTCGTTCAACCACTCGTAAGAAACACGCGACAGCTCGAATTCGGTCGTGCAAAGCGAGTGTGTAATTCCCTCAATGCTATCACAGAGGCCTAGTCGAGTCAGGAACTGAGTGGGAGCTCGAGATATATGTTGGGACACTTACCATGAGCAAGATCGTAGGTTGGGAACATCATATAGTCAGGCTGATGCAAGTGCTTAACCTCGCCTTCTGGAATACGCCAGGCGAAAAGATCCCACATCTGCGCTCTCGGGTCCTGGAGGTCCTGTTTCATCCGGAGAGCTGCCTCGCCAGCTTTGTATTTACCCGCCTTCATCGCACGGAACTCGGCCAGTGATTCCTCGATTGGCCGTGTGCGATGAGCGCATGCGAACCGGGGGCCGCCAACCTTGCCATCCTCCGACATACCACGCTGGAGCTTAACCTCCGCTTGGGTGCAGTGGCAGATGTATGCGCCGTCGCGGCGAATCAGTTCCTCGGACAGTTCGTACAAGCGGTCGAAGTTTTCGCTGGCGGTGGTTTCGCGAACGGGCTACCATATATAGGTTAGACATGAAAGAGAAATTCCGCACTGATCGACGGAAGAGAATTTACCTTGAACCCGAGCCAGTGGACGATATCCCGAATGCTTTGATAGTAGCTAGAAAGTCATTAGATTGCTGTCCACCTGAGCAATGTTCTACTGATCTTACCGATCCTCTTCGCCGGCGGGGTTCGTATCGTCGAAACGCAGAATAGTTTCGCCCCCATGGTACCGGGCGAAACCAAAGTTCACGGCAATCGCACGAGCGTGTCCGATATGAAGGTATCCGTTCCTAGCTCCGGTCAGCATCGGTCGAGGAATGCGAAGGATGGAACGTACGGCTCAGGCGGGAACCGCGTGCGGATCTTGGGGTGCGTTTCGGAGATCGGGCGCTCGTTATACACCTCATTGAGGAAGCCTTGCTTGAACATCGCCTCGGGGTCACGAGGAGCAACAGGTTCCTTCGCCGGCTTCGGGACCTTTGGTGGCTTGGGCTTGGATTCCTTAGGAGGCTTGGGCTTCTTCTCTTTCTTCTCCTTCTTGTCTTTTTTCGGCTGGTTGTCCTGCTTGGACGGGTCCTCGACGGCTGGCGTGGGCTCCTTCAGCCGCTCGGGCAGGTCGACTGGCCTTCCTGGATCCATGACTGCTCAATTCGACAAGCACTGAGGCTGGCAATGGCGGGGAAGTGGGAGGTATTTTTCACGGCGGGGAGGCTTATCAGCTCCCTTTTCGCTTATCGGGCCGATGAAACACCGGATGACTCATGCGATAAACAGATCTAGTCAACTATGTTGATAGAAGGAACCCGTATAGATTGTGGTTCATCGACAGTAGCAATGACTCAAGCTGCTCGCGGGATATGAGGCATGCATCTCAAATATACACTTATGATTAATGTTTATACTAGCGGTAATATACAACATGGCAGTAGTATGATACAAATGAGGGCAAGTCTGAGTCAGACCAATGACAAAGAAATCACGAATGCTACCATATACCAAGGCGCCAGACCATGTGCATAGAGAGACCAGGGCTCCAATGTAAATCCATATGAACAAAAAAAATCAACGTGCAACGATAGAGTAAATGACAGGACCAAGAACGCGCCAGTTTGCAACCCGCTGAGCGCAAGGAATGTAGAAATCGAAACACTGAAAGCAAAGAGCACCGTCACAAAGAATTCGACCAGATGCGGGGTATATGGCGTACGAAGCGAGATGAGACAAAGAAAAAGGTTAAGGGAGAGAGGGTATTAGAAGAGTTGTTGGACGTTGATGAGTTCTGAATTTCCGGGGCGATCACGCTCCATGTGGAACCACCAGTCGCGCCCTGTTTTGTGATTCCAGGAGCCGGTGCAAGTGTCCTTGTCCCAAGGCAATGCAGAGCTCGATAAATTGCTCAAGGAGGTAAGGGGCGTGGTGGGAGTCGACGGCGTGCTTGTTGACCTGCCGGCGAGACTGCTCCAGCCGAACCGTGAGGTGGTAGTTGAAGTCGGCGAGCCCAGTTCTTCCAGGGGTGGAGGGCTTGCCGTGCTCTTGTTGTCGAAGCAATGAACCCCTACCCCTGCGGCGTAAGAAAGTGATTGGTTCGATGCAAGGAGTTGCTTCCACCCGATCACCCCACCCTCCGAGTCCTGCCCGGGAATATCAGGACGGAGAAGGAACTTCGGGATCAAAGCCCCCGTCAGTGGATCCAAGCAGCCAGAACGGCCCATAAATCCGGGCATCCGGAAGTCATAGATGGTTCTTGGACCTTCGTGCTCCGAATCCGGAGGGGTGTTTTTATATCGCTCCACGGCGGCCCAAATGCCGTAGTCATCCATCTCCTGCTCCGGCTCTCCGTAGGAAGAGGCATCCTGGGCATTGTCAGGGACAAATTCATCCGAGTAATCCTGGATAAGGACCCGCATGCCGGCTTCGGGATCCTTAACGGCCATATCGATAAAGGTTTGCGCACGGATGCGAGACGAGGTCAGGTTGCTCCCGGCAGGCAAAGCAAGGGGCCGCGTATTGACAGAGCCGTGAGAGCTGCGGGGCAGACTGTATCGATCCGGTCGTAGGAGGGCTTGGCCATTGACGATGGGTTGGCAAACTGCCTGCAGAGCACCAGGGGGCTCGACATCGTTCGGCGCGCGGAGGGTTGCGAGTTTAGGAAATCCGCCGGCGAGTATACTTTGCGCAAGGTGGAAATTCGACGTCGTCGATGGCTTGGGGCAGTGCTGGAAGGGGAGGCTGTCAAGTTGGGTGAGGGCCGTGCCGGGATCGGGGCAAGCCACGTCCCAGTGAAGGTACTGGAGGCTCGATGAGGCAAGGATAGGTTGGAAGACAATGTCGTTCTCGGGCATGGTTGCGCAGACACCCGCTTGGATGAATTTAAATCGCTCAAGCTGCCTTAACGAGGACAGAACCTTGGAGATGACCAGTAGAGACGTGATGTGCTGCTCCACCAGAGTAAATGACCGGAGTGACTGCGACTCGGGCCGAGAAGTATACTGAATGAGCCCTGTCTCGCTGACACCCGACAAATTCTCCAGGCGTAAAGATTTCAGTGGGGGAAGACAAAGCAGTGTGCTGTCGGCGAAAGCATCTTCGTTGAAGGAGGAGATGCACAGGTTTTGCAAGGCAGGTAAAACGTCGAAAATTCGGAGGAAAATGCTTGGTTCTAGCGCGCCGTTCCCGCTCAGACCATACAGCATGAGGGTTTCCAAGTTCGACCACGACGCATGATAGTCTAAGAATTCAAACATCTGGGACGGTCCCAGACTCCCTGGGCAGGAGTCACCACGCGGCGACATCTCCGTCACTTCGGTCGCCTCGCCTAATACCCAAGTATGCTCCTTTAACCGTCGGCGCGTAGATAAAGCGTGGGTTAAGCGGTCAAATTTGTGGTGGTAGGGAATCGTCAGGCCGTGTAGTCGCTCGAGATTGGGGCACACCATCACTACCGACGCGACCAGATCGCGATACTCCTCCCATACCGTGCTCTGCTTGGGGGCCGTGAAAAGCAGGTCCATTTGGGGGACGCGCAGTTCGCGGACGAGGTTGGCCAGCAACTTTCGCTCGCGGAGAGTACGTCGCAGCAGCTTCAAACGGCTGCCCCGTTTCATGCGATACTTCTTCAACTGAGCTGGCGAGTCGTTCCCGACTATATGGATTGAGTTATACCTGGAGAGACATGACCTGTCAGTGCCTGTCTGGCGGTTCCACCGTGGGCGCCACGTTACTTACAGTCGTCCTCGAATCGCCTTCTCCCATGATCGGCAGGTCAATGATAACGCATGCAAGTCGCGTTGGAAGCAGGTCGTACACCCCGTCTGATGCGGGTCCTTGTGTAAATGATCCAAACTTTCCAAGATTGTATCATACACTTCCTGCGGGATGCGCCGTTGAATCGGCTCTACGACCTTCTCAATGGAGCCCACCGAGTCGTATTGGCGCGAGGAGCTGGTCAGCGTGGGTGATGACGGCGGATAGTTAGAGTAAACTGTCGGGGCGGTCGAGGTCGTGTAGTTTGTTTTGTAAGAGGAGACGGACGAAGTTCGTGAGGTCGGTTGCACGTTCCATTCCTTGCAATTTCCATCCTGGACGTACGGCACCGCAGGATTCTCGGGTCTACTGGCAACAACGCTCATGCTGAAGTGACACGCCTGGCATGGGAGGCGCTTCACGTCAATTTGAAAATCGCAATCAGGTGTAAAACGGTAAATGAGAGGCGGGGATCGAAAAGAATGTAGGGGGGGCTGCGAGTCGGAGGAAAAAAAGACGGGTCGTTCGTCCCCTGCGAAGATCGTCGAATTCCAAAGGAGATGCAGCTGGTTTCGGATAGAGGGCAAAGGACAGGACTTCTGGAAGGACAGGGGAGGGGGAGGGCTGTCGGCAGTTGGGTCCAACGCTCGAAAAGGCGTAATGGAAAATGCAGTCGATCAACCCCCACATCAGGCATGTGTTGCTGCAGGGCGGAGAACTGACAGGGGCGGTTCAGGGGTTGGACCAGGAGAGCCACTTTTGAGGGCCACTAAAACAATCCTCCATAAACTACGCCCAACCCGTACAGGACCCGCGGGACTAAGCACCACTAAGCCATTTGCGCGATTATCCTAGCCGCCAGTGATGTCGTTCCCCTGGTTATCGTCGGCTAGGGGGTCACCTCCCCGGAGGTGACATGTCAACAGGCTAGGTTTACTATACAAGATCATACCTGCTAGATGCTGTCCGGGCAGCCAACACAGGATGAACCTGCGGTGGTGTGGGTTTCTCGGGCGCGGTTCAGAAGCTGCAGCCGCTAAGCCCCGGGAGGTCTAGTGCGGTGGGGCCCAATGGGGCCCTTTACCCCTTTTTACGCATCGTCTGCTGGTGATTCTTTCTTACCTGGTCAAGCCCCTCATTAGAAGTCCCCATGACAGTCCGTAGCTCGAGGGGAAGTCCCTGGGACGAGTGTCTCCGACCCCATGTTCGAGGATGAAGTCGCGCTAGCATGTTTCAGTCTGGTGACCCTGCTGACATTGGCGACATCCGGTGTTTGTGGTCTGCGGCTCCTGTATGAAGTCCAACCCGATGTCTGAGCGTATGAGACATCCGGCACCCCGCGTTGGGATAGGAAAACGTCTCGTAAAGAAGGAATTGAGTGGCGTAGACGCTAGCATTATCGGAAACGAGAGCGAGTTTTTGATTATTATGGACTGCCGCCCTCTGAACGCGACTTTGGCACAGACCATATCATCGGGGTGCCTTATCGATGTCCAGCCTTGAGAAGGTGACGTGGCCCTTTGCGCTTTCTAGACAGGGTCCTTCTCCGCAGCTCTAGACAGAGCAGCAGCAACCCGAGGACAGTCAATGAGGATCTGCAGCCAAGGATGACGGACCAAACCTCATCGATTGCGATCCTCGGGAGGGATTGCAGGTCGGGATTATCAGCTTGCCACATCGGCTGGAAGTAGGCCTCCACCTGCCGGAGTCAAAGCTGTGGCTCAAACGTGATCGACGGAGCAGCCACTAGCTGAAATGAGATCGGGGGGAGGCCCCGTCGTCCAAAGGGGTGGCCAATGGTAGCTTGCGATCTGACTCGAGCGGTTCCTCTAGATCGAGTTTCAGCCATCGGATGGCATGCAGGACGATTGGGAACCCACGGGGTTCCACTTCGCAGGGTTCGTCCTGGGCATGATTCGTGGGCCTCCTCGGTCTCCTCAGAGCGGAGCGTGGGCCACGAAGTGGTTGCGATGGGTTGCCGGCAGTTAAGACCCGGTGCATCATGACTATCCACCGCGGCGGGTCGAGGGGGCGACATGTGTGGCCGGTCAGAGGGTCACTTCATTTTCGAGGCTCAACTATTTACAAGCGTTCCATGGATGAGAGTCGCAATAGCCACCTACTTCGGACCCCTCCAGTGCTATTTTGGGTCGTCTCCGTGCCCCCCCTTGTCTTAAGGGGTCATATCTCCCTCTCAGATGCGAGATGGGAAAGCCTCAAGATGCTCTTTTCTCAAACCGCTAGTTCCCTCGAAGTCACTTGATAGAGAAGATGCGGGTGGTCCTCGCAGTTGCGGCTCGGCTAAGTTTTGTCCAGGGGTAGAATGTGTCTAGGCCTCCAAGATGCTTTGACCTTCCAAGCTCCCAAGCCTTCTGCCTTCGAAGCGCCCAGTCCAAGACTAGCTTGAACTGGCCCGAGTTCGTGAACTACGCATGCAGCCAGGGTTTTGGCAAGCAAATGCCCAGGGGCATAGGGCTTCACGTTTCCCCTGAAGAAAACTGTTTACCAAAACTTGGGCCCTGCGGCTTCAAACCTCAATCGGACAAAATGGAAGTCCAATCACGGGCCCACGGAAGATATATCCTACCAGTGATCTGACGAATAGGCATCTGGACCATAGGAATTCCGAGGTTACCATGAAGGTCCGCGCGGGTAGCTTACAATATCCAATTCTGATTTGCGGAGACGAGAGCTTTGGAGGGAGACGAGAGCTTTGGAGGGAATGAACCGATCCACCGACTTGAGAATCCCGCTTTGACAGCTTGAACCTCCGATGCCAGCCATGCAGATATTTCAATTTCAAGTGCTGACATTCAGTTGCGGAGTGAGCAGCCACGTAAGAAAACTAGTCTCTATCAGGCCAAATCCCCCTTCCTCTCTGCATTAGCTCCCCGCTTTCCGCAGGTATGATTGGACCAGGCGTTACAGCCAAGTACTGACAGCATGTAATGCATTACAAGACCCGACAAAGGCCCAAGGCGAATTCGCAAGGCAGCGGGGGCGCGGTGGGCATGGTTAGCACCTAGAAGCCTCGCGGGCACACAGCCACCCTCGCTGCTAGTTCTTTAAGTCAACGACCAACGTGGTGCTAGGACTCATGGCCAGTGAAAATATCGCACGATCTTACAATGTCTGATCCGAAGAAGTATACTGTCGGCTGGATCTGTGCCGTCTTGACCGAATACGTTGCCGGCCAGGCCTTTCTCGATGAGAAACATGCGCCACCAGACGGTTTGCCAGGAAGCGAGAATGACTATACGCTGGGCAGAATCGGCAAGCACAATGTGGTCATGTCTGTCCTCCCCATGGGCTCTTACGGGACCACGTCCGCCGCGACCGTAGCTAAAGACATGCTTCGCGATTTCCCGAATCTGCGGATCGGCTTGATGGTCGGCATCGGGGGTGGTGTCCCCAGCAAGAAGCATGATATTCGCCTCGGGGACATTGTCGTCAGTATCCCCGGGAGCGGACAAGGTGGCGTCTTCCAGTATGACTTTGGGAAGGCGATTCAGGGCCAAGGGTTTCAAAATACAAGCTTTCTCAACGAACCCCCGGCGTTTTTACGCGCGGCTGTCCAAGGACTGGCGGCTCTCTATGAAGAAGAAGGCCACGACATCGAGGGCGCGATAAGCAAAGTGCTGCAGACCAAAGGTCCCAAAATGAGGAGTAAATACAAGCGCCCTGACGCTAGCACTGACCGGCTTTACAAGTCCGCTTTCGTCCACCAAGACGACGACGCGTCCTGCTCTTCAGCCTGTGGAGACGATCCCACCACCCTGATCCAGCGGCCCGTCCGCACCGAAGAGGATGATAACCCTGCTATCCACTATGGCCTGATCGCCTCCGGCAACGAGCTCATGAAGGATGCTCTCATTCGCGACGAGCTGGCACAGCGAAAAGATGTCCTCTGTTTCGAGATGGAAGCCGCGGGGCTGATGAATAGCTTTCCCTGCCTCGTGATCCGTGGCATCTGCGACTACTCGGACTCACACAAGAACAAGGTCTGGCAGGGGTATGCGGCCATGGCGGCCGCCGCATACGCTAAAGACCTGCTTTATCGAGTTCCGGTGCAGAAAGTGGAAGCGGAGACGCGGATCGCCCAAACAGTGCAGGTTGAACAGCAACATATTCACTTTGGGAATAATAACAAGGGCGTCCAGATTGGCGTCAATGAAGGTGATATCAACGGATTAACATTTTACCAAAGTCGCCATAGATGAAGAAGCGATATAGTGATGTACATACGGGTATATGATCTATTCATGGCAGGTTTTCAGGAGGATCTAGATTGTCAATACACAGCCCACTCTATATAAGCCCAGGAGATGTGCGGCAGCATAAGAAAGGGAAAGTAAGATAGAAACTGAGATACTGAACACCGAGTCTACGGAGCCCCGCGCAGGACTTAGTGTCCTCGTATCAACACCCCTAAAACTATCGGTTTCTTCTTCGTTCGCCCTGGTAGTGGGAACCCTGGGACATTGCTCGTCCCCACTGACATTAGCCGCCATCCTATTTTAGAGCCTTCTCAAGTCTGCGAATGCCATTAGCACCTTTATTCAAGCCCACTCGACGCCTAGGTGAGCTCGGAATATTCACCTGAAGTAGTTTTGGATAGGGAAAGTAAAGCGGGTTGTCAACGCTTGGTCAATCGAACCTGGAACAGAATTGAGATTTTCGATCAAGGACGTCTCTGCATGTGTCTGATAAAATCCAACGGATCTCGACAGAAATACGCCGCGAGGCATTCCGAACAAAGAATCGTGGGCTTGAGGATCTATGGTTATCGGTCTTGCTTCCCACATCCTGCTTAGTATGGCTACTTTGTTCTCTCGATTAGAGCCGTGGAATCCCCAGAGGCCCATAGAAAAGTGGTCATGGATCACCAATTCGATGCATTAATTATTTTCTACGGGGAGCATAGAAGCTCCACTGGCACTTTTCTCTTCAAGTGGAAATGTCATAGACCACATGAAGAAACATATCGGGGCCTTCCATCACAGATGATCGCGCATCCGGGTAGTCTGGTCTACCAGCGTGCCCAGTCGCACGCAACGTAGGCGGTGCAGAGATCCACCACGGGTCCGCCGAAGACAGCATAGGTTCTGTCACTGCTCAAGTCCAGGTGCGTGTGAGGATCCTTGCTGAAAGAGCAGGTGACGTGTGGTTCGAAGGCCGTCAACTGGGCACTGGTTGCGAAAACGAGGCCGTCTTTGGCGAGGGGGTGTTGCCCCAAAGCTCTTGGACGGGGCGATAGACGCCATCGACAGGAATCACGGCATTGGAGTTGGTACCGGATTCTTCGTTGGAGAGTTGGATAGAGGCTGTAGGGACCCAGCCACCCTGATAGCCTTGAGGAGCCTGGGGAGCGGCAGCGGCTAGGCCGGAGAGTAGAGTGGCAGCAAATGGGACGGTGCTGATGACATGCATTCTGGAAGGGATTTCCAAGTTGGCTGCTTGAGAAGAGGAGTGGAGAAAGCCTAGTCTTTTCCCTGAGGAATCCTGGCTGTAGTATAGGGTGAGGAGGTGAAGAGTAAACTTGACCTGGTTCTCGCTACTCGGGGCCAGACGGAGTTTTAATACGCTGTAATGGACGCCACTCCCAGAACAAAACATTCCATTTGGCAGTCTGTTTAGCTGAAAGGGCTATAGTCTACGGGTCCCATCGAATCTGCGGCGGGGAGATTGCCTAGGGACGCTGAAAACGGACTAGAAATGGACGACGGCTTTCGCCGCATTCGGAAAATTGTTGTGACAGGAGAAATGTGCAAACTCTAAACATGCTTGAAGGTTGATAGTCTATTGTGCCCGGCTATTATACCCCGTGCTTCGTATGGCCTGATAGAGGCTTTGGCCTCTTGAACACTAGTGATTCCAGACTGTCTCGTCCAGACGAGTACCAGTAGGCTATGAATTGAACATACTGGCCCGGGAAAACCAACAGCTTGTGGCCAACCACACTAGTATAACCTGGGACCATCATATGCGACTGGGCACTACTACGGCTAGCTCATGGCGAATCGCCTCGGATCATATGCTTGTTCTCAGAAATGGAATTTGAACCCGCCGAATCGCGGTTGGGAATAGCATCTTCCAAGAGGTCTAACGGGCTCTTGGTGGGAGGGGGGGTTTCCCTGCCCTCGTCAAATAGGAGAGAAAATGTGGAATGACACAGAGTCACACGTGTTGGTGCGTGGCTGGCAAGAATGCTGCGGGATGGGATATCTTCGTGAGGAATCCAGGGGCCGCACCATGAGCCGTAGTCTTGAACGGTGGTCGTGTCTGACGTATCTATCACCCAACATACTCCAACATACTGAGGGGAAAGGGGTGAAGAGTTTCATCGTTGGTTCCTTCTCTCCTTTCCGAGTCTTGCAATAAAGAACCATCAGCCCCATGTCTGATCCTTTCCGATGGCAAGGGCAAGGGCAGTGGGACTTGGACTTCGCTCTCCGTTGTGCTGCCAGTCTACGTCAAGGCCCGTATGACTGATAGAACAGCGCACAGGTTTCCGGAAGGAACGTACGCTGGTGACACGCCGCATCGATGGATTAGTGGACTAACAAGAGTTTGTCCGTGTTCACAGTACGTTTGGTCCGACCATGTCTTCCATAGTACCGCTCTGTATGGGGCAATTATCGACAAAATTTTAACAATCCGATACCCCATGGGAAAAGGATATTACTTTGGATTGGCCCATCCAATATCTTGGAGTGAGACACCGAATGCACTGACGTGAGGCTCCACGTCCGAGATCTTGTGGATGACGCCTAGGTTCCGCTTTTATCTCAACAATGTTACGGCCGCCCAATCCCTGGGAGCTCCCGCATAGTTTGCGCAGGCCATCTGGAATTCCGGTAACGAGCTTACCACCGGGTGGTCTCACCAGATTAGCTGGAAGCCTTTGTGGGACAAGGCTACTTACTCTCTTGGAGAAGATCAATTTGGAGGTATAGGCAGTGCTCGAGCTTGGCAGTGCTACAGCTTGGAAAGGCGAAGAGCAGCTTCGTAGACTTCGTGATTGGATACGGCGAAGAAGTAAGCCGGGATGTACGAGAAGAAGCTAGCACCCCCTCATCAAGTCTTTTGGGTGAATCTGCCATGTCTTTATGTCGTCGTGCTTCCCTGTTCCAGGTGGGGGTAGCCCCGCAGAACAATTTCAGAGCGGTTAAGCTCCGACCGACGTAATGTTTCCCTGAATGAGATCTGGTAGGTAGCGAGTGCACCCAATCTCCCGAAGACGCGAATCAAGGGCAATTGCATCGGACTTGCACTTCAAGCAGTATCTCATTGAATCCCACGGCATGTCTCGCATATTGAAATTGGGCATTATCGGCGCGGGGGTACGTCATTTGCCGCTGCGAACACCAGATTGACCAGGCCAGCTATTGACAGACTGAAATAGGAGGTCTTCCAAGTGTGCCATGGCCCTTGTCTGCTACTTCTATCCCATCTATTCAAGATCGAGTCGATCTGTGATTTGTCGCCAAAGACAGTCGACCATTGCGCCCAGAAATTCAATATATCCCACCGCACCACCACGCCGCAGGAAGTCATCGACAACCCCAACGTCGATGTGGTCTTCATCCTCACTTCAGATGACAGTCACGCCGACCTAGCCTGTGCCGCACTCAAGGCAGGAAAGAACGTCTTCATCGAGAAGCCGGTGTCTCTCTCCATTCCCTCGATAGAGGCGATCATCCAAGCCCAAGAGGCGGCCAGCGGCGCTCGGGTTTTCGTCGGATACATGCGTCGATATGCCGCAAGCTTCTTGAAGTCGTTTAATCTAGAAGTGGCCTCGATCCCAAAGATCCTGTACGCCCGAGTACGTGACTTCAGTGGTCCCAATTTCAACTTTGTGAGCCAGAGCGGCACATTCCCGGTCCGTCACAACGATTATCCGCAGGCCTCTGCCGAAGAGCGCAACAACCGTCTCGAGACTCTCTTTGCGGAGGCTTTCCCGGACCAGGAAATCACGGACGACAGGAGAAAGTTCTGTCGCTTCCTTGGTAGCTTAGGTTCGCATGATATTTCTCTCATGCGCGAGGCGCTCGGGTTCCCGGAGAGGGTTGTCGGTGTCTCCGCCAACGAGCCTTTTTACAGTGCAATTCTTGATTATCGCAACAAGGACGGCTCAAAGTATTCGGTTACGTATGAGAGCGGCATCGACGAGGTGCCTGTCTTTGATGCCCACCTTGCCGTGTACGGCGAGAAGAAGCGGGTCACCATCAAGGTAAGCTTACGGTCGAGGAAGTATTGAAGGCGTGGCTAACAGGGTCTACAGTACCAAAGCCCCTATGTGAAGGGCCTTCCGATCTATGTCGATGTCGATGAAGTCAACGAGCAAGGCGAGGTTCAGCACCGATCCATGTTGGCCTCGTACGAGGACACCTATACTACCGAGCTGCAGGAGGTCTATAATGCATTCGCCAACGGAGCAGGGATCAAGTCGACCGTCGAAGACGCCAAGTACGATCTCCAGATTTTTGATATGCTGTACAAGCGATGGAATGAACAACAGCTGTCCCAGTAGGCTCACATGCCGGCCACCGGCTACCAGGCTACATGCTTCCGTAAAACTACAACGAAGACCGGGGTTGGCGGTACGATAGACTCAAGAATCAATCTTAAAATTCATAATCTCGTGCCTCTTAAAATTACATAAAATCATGGATTCAGCAGCAGATCAGTTGCTATCCAGGACAATGACCTCTGCTTCCGCTTCACCAACACTCTCCACCTGGAGCAAATCACCCGCATTGACAAGGGTAACAAAAGCACCGTCCCCCTCTTCCAAAACAGCTTCCTCCCGGCCATTGAGTTTGACCTTCGATTTGCCTTGCTTTGTCATTGGCAGGTGGATGTAGACATTGCGCTTTTTCTTCGACTCGACCACGTCTCCCGCGCCCACGTTCCACTTGAACGTCTCGTTAGGGGCAATGATACCCGCCCCCATGACAAAGTCCGCATGGATAGGGATCGTGTCAGGGATCTTAGGGACAGCAGCATCCTCCTCCGCCGGCGTAGCCTCCGGCCCCGCCGCAAGCGGTGACAAGATCGGTACAAACGCCTTGCGCTTCTCCTCTCGGCAAAACTCTTGGTGTGATACTGCGGCTTCAGGCCATTCTTCCAGGGCAGAGCCCAGATCTGAAGGAAATGAACCGGCTTGTCGGACTCGTTCTGCTCCGAGTGTGCGATACCTGGGAAATCATCTTTAGTACTCTGTTCCGCCCAATCAGGGAAAGGAAAGGCTCACCAGTGCCGCCGGTGGTGAATTGCACATCTCCGCGGTGCATGCGGTAGAACTGTTTCCCCTGCGCGCCCTCTGCGCCCTTCTTGATCATACTGTCACGGTGCGTGAGCTCGCCGCTGAGAATGTAGCTAAAGATCTCGGCATCGCGGTGGGGGTGTGTTGGGAAGCCATTGCGGGCGGAGACGCGGTCTTCATTGAGGACTCGCAGACTCCCGAAGCTCATGAACCGGTGGTCCCAATACCCTGCAAAGCTGAAGGTGTGGAAGGTTTTGAGCCAGCCGCCGTGCTCGGCGTATCCGCGCTCGCTGGAGCGTCGGAGGACGATCTTGGCATGAGCAAGTGTGCTGGTCATTGCTTTGGATGTGGTCTCGGTTGTGTTTTTAGGCGATATTTGATCGGAAGATCTCAATCAATGCTATTTTTAAGAAGTGGTTCCTGGGCGATCAACGGGAAATATGGCTTTATATAGTCTCCCCAATGGAAATCTAGATAGTCGTAGAAAGGCCCCGTAGGCAATTATGGATCTCTTATGGCAGCATTATCGATCATTCCGCGGTGGAGCATTTCTGGTCCTCAGCCAATCAAAGGGTGACAGACCCGCTTTTCTAGCTGATGCATTGCTGACTCGTTTGGTTTCCAAGTCCTTCACTACACGGTCGGAGACGAGCAGCAGGATTGGTAACGCTGCGATCATGGATCGTGGAGTAGCTGGCTCTGAAAGATCGATCACCTGTCGAGTTCGCTGTGCATATTTCTAAGTGATTTAGTCATCATATGGTCCCCAGCCCTGCTCAGGTAATTCCAAGTTAGCGACCATATGATGACTAAATTACTGGAGCTGACTGCTGCCTCAGGCTTGAACGCAGAGGTTGATTAGTCAAATTTCAGGGAGGCGGCCTTGAGAGATGTCGCCCTGGCGTGCGTGCCAATGCTTGGTCACCCCCAATTGGGGAGCGTGTGGGGGATAAACTACTAAGAGCCTATTTCAGACCCCTCACACCATCCCCGGTGCTCTTTGCGCGAAAGAAATTGGGAACTATCTCCCGGATTTTATCCCTGCAATCGTCATCAGAAATAAGACGCAGACCCCTGAAGACGCTGCATACGAAGACTGTGATTGCACGATCGGCGGGCGAAGCCTAGAATGGTCATGCATGATGGCTGGTTGGTAACTACGGAGTATCCGTACATGCTTAGGTATCCGCCGAAGGCGCCGGTAGAATCGAGGTTCATTGGAGAAGAGTCAGCCAGGAGTGCCAAATGGTGCTAATGGGGTCCGGGTTGATCATGCAGGTAGGCTATACCACATGAGTACATACACTGCGTTGGCGACCCAGTTCTCTGGATTAACCAGGGTGCCGGGTGAGACACTCCAACAATCCCGTTGATCGTCGCGTCTATCAGGCGGCGGGGGGGGGGACGATTCCTGCGACCAACCTCCCCGGTTGGCTGGGACCTCGCCCATGGAGGGATTCCATGGAATTGTTGGCCCCGCCAGGTAGCCTTTTCATCCCCGATGCATGTCAGCCTGCGCAGCTGCCCGAGCGTTGGTGTCGCGTAATGTCGGGAGGACTAGAACTGGGAAAGGAAGACCCCAAATGAGGGGAGGCTCGCCCAGATGCGATACGGTGCATGTAGCGAAATGTCCAAGCGCCAGCAAACGCAGATTGCCGCTGGGACGGAAGGAAGATAAGATTGGTGTCCATCTATCGTTGTTTAGGCGTACGAGGGTCGATCTAACTTCCCATCGCTTCATATTCTGGTAATTTCCATCCATTCAGCGGTTGAGCCCCTGCCTGGCCCCGACTCTATCGAACTTGAACATGGCAGCAGCCATGATCTGGACTGCCAAATTGTGATGCTCAAAGTCGACCAAAGGATGCTTTCAACATGACTACTCGGATCCCACTCTTCTGCCTGACCTGTGGGGAGCCTCGCGTTCAAGTTGCCATCGGACAATTCTCATAGTACATGGAGAATGGTAGATGATTCAACAGATTCTGTCCAGTTCTCCCAACGTGAAGGCACTATTTAAGCTTTGTGGCTCTGTTTCGGAATTGTTTGCATGGAAACCAGTTCGTCTTTCCTATAGGCGTTCTACTCCCTGATGCAAGATCTCTTAATTTCAATACGGAGTGGCCATGTACGAACTTTTGGGGCCGAACCAAACCGCCGGGTCGCGCGGTGACGAAGTGATTGTCTCGGCCAGACTCCACGCGACTGGGTGGAGAATGGCCCCGGGTGCGCTACTCAAACCCTTCTTTCCGTCGTGCAGCTCCAGTCCTCTGGGCTCTGCAACCTTCCATCCCGACTCTCCGGTAACCTGGATCAACCTGGGCTCTGTTCATCCTTGGCGGGCGTTCCGTCGCGCAGTACTTAAACCCCGAAGCCAACCCCCCTGCCGGGTCTAGAATGGAGATCTGTCAAACCCAGGGGAGGGGAAACAGCAGGGTGCTCCGGCTGTTTTGATAGTCAATTGCCCCTGGTAGCGTCAGCCAAAAATAACTATGAGCGACAGTAACCATTGCCGTTCTAAATTCTTGTCGACCGGCCTTCTCGCTGCAATCTCAAGTGGCATATCGAGCCCGCCTGGGCCCTTGCGGACGTCGCCAGCATGGCAGAAGACCAGACTGCAGTGGTATATTGTGTCAACTCTATAGCCTCCAGTAGCTCGCTGACATGAGTAGGCTCCCGAGTTGTACGAAACCGACAGTGCGTTCAGCCCAGACGAGGAATGGGAATAGTACGTGCCCTGTCGATCCCTGGCAGATAATCACCCGTTCTAAGGATTCTCAGTCAAGAAACGGCGTCGATCCAGTCAACCGTTTATCGAGGCCTCGTGGAGAATGGCCGAAGGTAAGACAAGACGCTGCCTTCATCAACGAAGAGTGCTTAGAGTCTAGATATCAAGCTTTCCGGCGACACCCATACTTCATCCCATCCGATGAACTGCAATTCGAAAGCTATGAAGCAGGGTATCACCCCATGCATTCTATGCAATTGGGCCCGGCTAATAGAGGCCCAGACATGTCGTTGATCTCATCCTGAACAGCCACAAAGAAAACCCCCTCTTCGATCCCCGGTGGGCCGCAACCGAGAAGCCCGGATTCGGATTCTGGATATCGGGACGGGGAAAGGGGACGTGGGCTCTGTAAGTGGAAGCCCAATGCACGTGAATAACCCTACCGCTGATATATGGGCAAGTGACGTGGCCGATAGGTTCCCCAATGGTGCGTATCAAGTGGGCTCCTCTCTCCTCATTGGCGCTGATGGGTAGATAGGCACGGTCCGAGGAGTGGACCTTTACCCACCTCCGGTCGACTGGACACCTCCAAACTGCATACTAGAGGTCGATGACATTCTGGAGGAATGGACATGGCGTGAAAAGTTTGACCTGATTCATATGAGAAGCTTGCTTGGATCGTTCGATCCGGCCGAGTGGACCAAGGTTTATCAGCAATGCTATGAGTATGCCATCCTTGTTCGGAGGCGTGGTGAATTGTGTCCTGACCAGTTGCTAGCAAACTCCAACCAGGAGGGTGGATCGAGCAGATGGAAGTGGGGCCCTTCGTTGAAAGTGACGACGACACTTTGCCGGCGGACAGCGCACTAGCATCTTGGGGCACGGTGATCAAAGAATGCGGCGAGCGCGCCGGTCGCTCCTGCGATGTCATATTCACCATGGCCTCAAGTATCCGAGCATCGGGATTCGTGGACGTGCATGAAAAGGTCTATAAAATGCCCATTGGACCATGGCCCAAGGATCCCAGACTCAAGGAGGCGGGGAGACTCAATTATGACCAATGGATGTCTGGGATGGAAGGATGGGTCATGTGGCTTCTCACCAAGCACGGCGCGCCAAAGCCATGGACCAAAGAAGCCGTTTACGTGTATTGCGCTAAAGTGCGCAATGAGATCAACAATGCCAATTATCATGCATACCACAAAGCGTGAGTCACCCGCTTCGGGGCGCTCCTAGCGGTGAGAACTGATCATAAGCGCAGTCGACGAGTATGGGCTCGAAAGCCATTCCCCGGCGAAGTAGTGAGTGGTTCTCATAGAGACCGCTCTCCGACGAGTCCTCAAGACTCTTCGCAACCAAGGGCCCAATCAGTCTCAGGATCTCCGCCGTTGAAAGCGGGCGAGCTTTCTTCACGAGACGACGAAAAGCAGAAATCGGCGTCGCCAGAGGGGGCCCAACCATGACCGGCGGCTCCCTAGATATTTCAAGCAGTGGCCAACCCGGCTTTGGAGTTTGGGAGGGGGGGGAGGGGATACTGGAGCTATGTTCGTGATCAGCGTCATTGGAAGCCAGCATAGAATCTGCTATAGTCCTGGTCAACCCATTGGCCCAGGGGGTGATATCCAGAAGCTGCAGGGGCGCACAGATACGTGGAGAATGGAAGATCGAGGAAATCTGCCACTCGATAGAAATCATGATTCGGGATAGACGGTCATGACTGTGCTGGCTCATTTGCCACCAATCACCCGCCCGGGTTGTGCATGACACGTTGCATCTCTTATCAGCCTCTCCAGGAGCCAATTGGAGTTTTGTCGCAAGTAGCTCTTATCAAAGGATCGATCCAGCCGGGCATGCAAGACCCTGTAGATCAAGGCCGATCATGTGCGAGGTCGTATGAGTAAACGAGACGCTTGGCCTGAACTTTTCATCGCGGGCAAAGGAACTACAGTGAACAGGGTCATACGGTGTCTTTCTATCTTGGACCTGTTTCGACGTTACCGGTCACCTCGTCAGACCATCTACGTACGAAATGTTATCGCGTTGGGCCCCTCGAGGAGCGGAGGCTCCCTGTCAGCCGCACCAGCTCCACCGGGGCACTGGGGCACCAGGCGGCACGGTTACATACATTCAGCACACGCGCCGGCTGTCCGATCTTCGTATCAAGCTTTAGGCCTCCCAAAACAATTGGTTACGAGGGCACCGGCGTGCCAACCGGGCTCCCGAGCTATGGCGTCCCCCTAGTCTCTTTCCCTCGGGCTCAGGAGTGCACGAGAGGAGTTGTTTTCCCTGTCGCTGTGATCGGTGGGTGTTTTGCTGTCGCTGTGATCGGTGGGTGTTTTGCTGTCGCAATTCGCGCGTGAGATGAGCTGCCGCGACACCCGGGCTCAAGTCGGATCCGACCGCTTTTTTGCCTGTTCTTTCCTTCGCAGACTCGTGGGCGTGAAAACTGGAGCTTTTCATGTCGCCCAACATTCGGGCTGATCAAGCCTACTGGCCCACTGCCCGAGCCCCCCCCGAGCCCCGGACAGTGCAGAGCCTTCAGTCCACCTGGGCATGGGACGCGTCGCTTCCGTAAGCCCTCGAGGATAAGCACCACGCCGTCGGACTGTGGCGTCGGCTGATACCGCTTATTCTGTGATGATTCATCTCAGCAGCTGCTGAACCGTGGGCTGATGGCTTCTACGGACCGTCCTGCGCATTCCACGGCCGCTTGATTCGACAGAGGCTCCCCACATGGCGCACGCCACGGGTTTTTAGATGTAACCCTCTCCACTCAGGACCCCGCCCTCCGTCCACAACGTCCATTGACAATCCCCTAGAGTGCCGAAGCTGGCTACTCCAAGGCTTAAGCTGACTTGGCTTTCTGGGCACTGTCCTGGGGTTGCCTATGGAAGTCGAAAGGTTTTCATCTGCACTGGGAGAACGAGATCCAATGGAGAGGCCGATCCGGAATCAACTCCCCCAATGCCGCTTGCATCCCACGGTCTCATGTCTTATCGGTCACCCGTCGCAGTCCGTGGTGCGGAGAACCGAACGGGGAGCCCAATTGGCCAAAGGAACTTGCCTCCTCGTCCCCGACCAGACATGGTTTAGTCCCACTTGATCCGTATAAGATGAAAACGCCGGTCGCATGCGATCTTCCTGTATTGGGCGACTTTTTTTTTTTCCCCTTCCTCCTGGTAGAGTCCGTATCCTTTGTCCAGACCATGTCGCAACCAGAGAAAGTCGAAGTCGACGAGAAGACGCAGGATGTGAGTCCCATCTCTGTGGGGTCGCCTAAAATCGCCTCCACAGGGATTCTCCCGCATCACCGCGATCTCCACGATTCCAGTGTGACTTTCGAGGAGTACTACCACTATGCGCAACTCACCCGCGCCGAAGAAGATAATGTCACGAGCCCGGAAACCGGCATTCTGTCGATCATCTTCCCCCGAAGGGTGATGGGGGTGTGCAGCCGACAGCGGAAGACGTCACTGTCGATGCCTCGGCCATCAACACCAATGACCCATCTACCCGCGCAACCATCACGGAGGCAGAGTGGACGAATGCATCGCGGGCCCTGCGCACCGCATCCCGGGGAGCGATCTTCTACCTCATCACGACGGATATCCTGGGTCCGTTCGGTCTGCCGTATTCATTTTCCTCGATGGGCTGGGGACCGGGGATTGCCCTGTTTACTGTGTTCGCCGGTCTTGCTGGATATTCGGGATACTTACTCTGGGACACCTTCCTCGGGTTGGACTCATACCAGTTCCCCCTGCGCAGCTTCGGTGATATGGGCTTCCGTTTGTATGGCCCTTGGCTTCGTTACCTGTTCAACATCCTGCAAAGCATCCAGTTGATCCTCAACGTCGGTCTGATCGTCATCTCCAACGGCGAGGCTCTGTCGCAAGCCACCAAGTTCAAGCTCTGCTTCATCGTTTGCTGCTTGATCTGGGCCATTGTCGGTTTCGTCCTCGGCCAGGTCCGAACTCTGCAAAAGTTTGGATGGCTCGCTAACGCGGCTGTATGGCTGAACTTGATTTGCATGTTCATCACGATGGGCGGTGCTGCCCACTCCCCTCCCAACTACGCGGGTGCCAGCCAGGCTGCGGGTGCAGGTATCCCCAGTGGATTTAACAACAAAACCGCAACCCTGGTGGACCCCTTGGCCGACGGATCGTATCTTCCCGTCATGACCTCTGGTGGACTTCCGGATCCGAGCGACTTTGTTGCCTCTCTCACGGGAGCCATGCAGGCGGTGTTTGCCTATGGTGGTGCGATGGTCTTTCCCGAGTTCATGGCTGAGATGAAGCGTCCGAAGGACTTCTTGACTGGCATGTGGGCTGCGCAGGCTTTCATCTACTTCCTCTACATGCTCTACGGCCTGTTCATGTACGGCTACCAGGGCCAGTACACCATCAACCCTTCGTACCTCGGCATCAGTAAATACAGCGTTCAGACTGCCGGTAACGTGTTTGCCATGGTTTCTGCTGTGATCGCGGCTGGGTTATACGGGAACATCGGTGTGAAGGGTATGTTCCTGCGATTTTAGTTTCTGCCCGGTGAAATGTGCCAAGCTAACGTCTCCCGCAGTCATCTACAGCAACATCCTGGTGGACCTCTTCCGCTGCCCCCCCTTGACCACCAAGACCGGCAAGTTCATCTGGGTTGCTTTGATCCCGATCTACTGGGCTATTGCCTTTATCATCGCTGCCGCTATCCCCAGCTTTTCCGGTCTGACCTCCGTGGTCGCCGCATTCTGTATTCTGCAGTTCACCTACACCTTTCCTCCCATGCTCGCCTGTCTCTTCTGGCTCAAGAAGTACTCTCTTGCGGACGGAGAGGGATTCGACCCTTCTACCGGCGTAACCGTACGCCACGACGGTGGCGTCAAGCGCTTCGCTCGTGCTTTGACGAAGATGGGCATGAAGCGAATGTTCTTATTCGTGTTCAACGTCCTTTACTTCCTCGGGGCTTTGGCTCTTGCGGGACTGGGTGCTTACTCTGCTATCACGAGTTTGAAAACGGCGTACGCGACGGCGGTGACTACCTCGTTCACTTGCCAAAGCCCATTGGACGGTTAATGAGAGTACATATTTTCTCATCTGCTGCACATACCGAGTAGCCATGAGCAAGGGTTTACGGTTTAGGGGGTTCGGAGCCGATGTATAGTACCTGTTCTATTATATCTATTTGCAAAGAAGGCATCGCTATGTTGCACGTTCAAGTTGGCATTGGTATTTGAATTGGAGTTTCCCAGTCACTCGCACTATCTGCAGCTTTTCTTTCAGAATCCATAGCAGGCTCTCCGGAAATGGCGATAGCCCGACCCTGAGATTTATGGCGAAAATGGCCGTAAAACAATACGCGACGTACGATAGTTGGGTCCACTCGGACCAAGAGATCCACTGTCCCTGCAGGTGAGTTAGTAGATCCACAGTGTATAACAAGCAAGAAACTGCAGACCAGTTTCCTTGATCACAACGTAGCATTCCTGATCGTGCTTTACTCTCTTCCGAAGAAGCTAAAGTCTGGCTAGTACCCAGACCATGATTCCTGCGAAACATGTCGCTGATCTACAGGTCATGCCATGCGTGTTCATAGATGACCGGGTGATTTCCACGGTACGGTCCGACTACTGATCCATCAGCGGTCGAATCGTCGAGTGTTATTTTTTTGCATTCAGGTTGAGGGGCCACCTTAGCTCTACTGTGCTTCGGAATGATTTGTAGATTCCGACCCTGGCCGCAGAATACATGGGCGGCCGCGCCTACCGTTCCCCGTCAGGCCAATTTTCTTGTCCCTGGTGTTTTCGGTTTTCTTTTCTTTTTGGCTTGGATCACTAAGCCTGTGCATGAACTGAAGGGCAAGGTCTTCGGCTGCCTGCTCATTTATGAAACCGAGAGAGGCCAAAATGAGAGCCATTTTCGGAAATGGCCCCACCTGAGTTGGCTTGATTCTATGTGCCACGTCCCTTACCATCACAGGCAAACTAGTCATCCTGGTCCTGCTTATCTAGGGTCCCTCTCTTCCCCCCCCCCGTACGCCATGTCCTCAGGTTGTCTCTCCCAGCCAAGACACTTTGGTAGATACCTCACCTCTTACTGCCTACTGTTATATGATTCGACAACACTCAGCCCCTCGCAAACGAAAAAGCACTACCGACGTCTCGACCAACAAGTGCCTGGTCCGTTGTTTTGGGCGCTTCTTCTATAAATACGTACCGCGATTCTTCCGATCATGACACGGTTAGGTTGGGATCTCCTACGATAATCAGATTGCTCGGCTTCCATATAGGATTATATTGAAATAGTCCGATAGAGGGTGTTCTCTCTATATAGGTTACCAAAAGGGCCGGCTGTCGGTCCTGCGAGTGATATATAGAGAGCATCCCGATACTCCGTATGCACCTATTTCGATGCTGATGACTTGTGTTTCCGGCCAAGAGCTGGGTTAGATGATAACATATTAAGTAGACCTTGGGAACGTTGCCTTCCCAGATCTACCCCATAGAAAAACCGTGCCACCCGGAATGTAGAATGGCCTCAATTTAGCCGTTGTGGGTGAAACAGCCAGACAGACAAGCCCCAGTCGATCGGAACCCATCTGGATCTTTTAACTGGGCCGCGTTGACTTGATTACTATAGTATTCAAAACCCAGGCCAGGAGCATATTGTGTACATGATCTGAGTCTGCCTGCCGTGTTTGAGGGATTTGGAGATGAAAAGATTCACAGCACAAGTTCAAATTTCGACTTTGTATGCAACTACTTGCATATAGCCCTAGAGCTCCTATAAGATACGTCGGGAGCCTATGATGCCGCTGCTGAACGCCGAAGCTGCACCAACACAGCGACCGGTGCCGGGGTTGGTTCCCGAGCTCGATGCCAGTTGGGTTTCTGTCACATCGGGGCATAAGTTCAGGGTATGTTTGTCGCTCAGCTAGGGAAATTGGATGCTGATGGACCATTGGGAATGACCTTAAAGGAATCCGAGAAACGAGTTGTCCGATATCGCCTCTTTATCGTCCAGTGTTTTCGAGTATTAGTATGCAAATGGGCGACGATAACACAGCAAGAGCTCGGGACGGCGCGATAACGCCCTATTTGGGCCCAGTTACGGAGCGAACTGCTGATATTAATAGGGAGTGTATCTGGATGCTGTGCCTTCGGGAGAGCCTCATATTCAAGTTGCCAGCATCAGTACTGACCGCGGACCAGTTGAAAGATGCCGAATGGCGAGGAAGAGTAGCACAGGACGGACCTGGTAAGCCACACTACTTTCCACTCAGAAAATTATGCCATGCCAATGATTCTTGCACAATCCTTGACCTGTAACGCACTGATCCAGGCAGAACACATGCTGGGAGTAGCCCATTCAATCTACCCCTGCCGTGACTAATATACTCCCAGATGGTTCATGCTGATGCGCCGCCCGCTCCACAAGGTCCCTGTGGAGAACCGCGGAAAAATTTCTGATCTGATTAGGCGTCTAGGCTCTGGACATCGCGGAGTAGGTAAATTAGACTTCCGATATAGACGGCTGTTAAACATTTGTTAGGAAATCGCCCAAGGCACAAGTGATCGCAAAAGACACCAGTCCCATGCAGCCCTCATGGGTCTTGCCGAAGCCCCTGTTGATCGTGGAGAACTTCGAAGACTAGATGCACGAGACGATAGCTTTGATTTCACCCACGGCACGACTCCTAGCAGGGCCCGTCTCTCTCCTTCCCACCTGAATAACCGGGAGCCTAGTTCTGAGTTTTTCTTGTGCGTCGCCGAGTGGCCCGGCTTTATGAAAACTCTTACGACCACGTGAGACCGGGCGCGTGGTTTGAGGTCGAGGCGTATGGACTGAGATTGGGCTACGCAGGTCTTGGGAGTGGGGCGCGGAGCCCACTCGCATCTTCTAGGCGCTGGTGAAGAAGTAACGGAGAAATCAGCATCTGTTTGTTTACGCGGAAGAAGAAGTTGCGTTCCAAGTGGATGCACTGTAGATGTTGGACTGGACTTGTTGCAGAGTGGTTGTCTCCGGTCGCAAGACTTCTTTTGAGACGGAAGGGTAAGATTTCTCTTCGTGAAGCCATGAGGCATGACCAAGAGCGGATAGATCAACGATGTGTGATCGCCGTTTCGCTATAATGTCCCATTCAGCTCAATTCTATCGTGGTAGAAAAGGGAATTGTTGGGAGAATGGCGTTGTCGCTTTTCATGGTGTAACTAGAATATCTCAGAGCCGTAGCGCTGAATGACCGGGGGTTTAGGCCGAGCAGTCCGAACGCCGCAGACAGACCCCACCCTGCGGAGCAGACGTCAGGATCGTCCTCAACTGATCTTTCGTTGGCTAGTAAAAGGGATCGCTCTGGAAGGAGGTGAAACTGCTGACATCATGTCTTCTTAGCTCTCTACTGCGTAGGGCTGGCATGGCCCAAGGAAACCGGTCTGATGATTGATGCTCGCACCAATCGGGTGTGTTGTGCAGATCCTGTCATGCACATCTTGTCATCTGGAGCGATATCGCACGAGTGCCATGCATTGGCGATAAACGGCCGGAAGGTGTGTGTGGCTGTGCGGCCATAGGAGAGCGAACTGATAACTTCCCCAAGATGAAGGGTGAACGAAGTACCCGGGGCCCGGTATCATACCGCGTCGTTCGGAATACCCAAGTAGGCATGGACGCTGGCTGTTGCACTCGCCCCAACTCTCTCGTTCCCCCAGAGGCCTCGAGTCAAAGAATCTGAAGAAGGGAACAGCCACAGTTTGGGGCGGGGGGTGGCTTAGTTAGGCAACCAGAATTCGGAAAGAGATTCGATTGTAAATACGTACATGTACATACGGCTGTACGTATGGTATGTTTCTATTCTTGTTTGCAGTATGCGGAAGCATCCGAGGGCCATGGAATCCCTAAAGAACGCTTTAGAAGCTCCACTGCCGGCTTCCGGCATGCACTGCCCCAGGGGGAAGGGTGGACGGATTCTGTAGAGTGGACAGGAAGGCTCAGACGTGCATCGCCACAAATGAGCAAGAACAAGGCGATGGCGAGCTGTGGCGGTGCCTGCATTAGCCGCTAAACAAACCCGTCTCTAGGCCCCAATCTTGGCCCTGGAATACGCAGCCACGATGTAAGAGCGTGACAGGGCTGGGTTCCTGGGTTCGTAAAATCGCGCGGCACATGTGGGGGTCAGCCCTGTGGTCCGCTATCTTATATAAAGTGCGCCCTCTCTGCCCCTCCTTTCCTTGTCTCATCATCTCATCACCTCCCTCATCCCCAAGCCTCCAACAACTTCAAGTTTCTTCGTTTCTTTCACACGTCTTTCACATCTCCAACCATGTCCGGCTACGAGTACAACCAGCAGGGCGGCTACGGCCAAGGTTACCAGCAGCAGGGTGGCTACGGCCAGGGTTACCCTCAGCAGCAAGGTTACGGCCAGCAGGGCTATCCCCCTCAGCAAGGCTACGACCAGTACAACCAGCAACAACCGTACGGCGGCGGCTACCAGCAGCAGCAGCCCTACGACCAGAACCAGCAGTACGGTGCTCAGCAGCAGTACGGCCAAGACTCCCGCCAAGGGTATGTGGACCCCGCGCCCTGTGTCCTCCGATCTCACTTCCGAATAACAAACTGACTTTGTCATAGCTATGAGCAGCAACAACAGGAAGGTGCTCCCGGTGAGGCCCAGGAGGGTGAGCGTGGTCTTGCCGGTGCTCTTGCCGGCGGTGCCGCCGGTGGCTTCATGGGCCACAAGGCCAACCACGGCTTCCTTGGCACAATCGGTGGCGCCATCATTGGTAGCATCGCCGAGGATCAGATCAAGAAGCACAAGCACCACCAGCCCGAGGGTCCTCCCGGATACGGTCCCCCCCGGTGCTCCCTCTAGCAGCGGTGGCTTCTCCGACCAGCTTGGTGGCTTCTTCAAGCGCTAGACGCATTTTATGATACCTCAGCCCGATCGGTCTTCATGCCTTCATTGAATGTTTCTTTTTTCCCTCGCGTTGACCGGGCCCTATTGTTGACCGAGGTTTATGAATTTCCTTGTCTTATGTTTGCCCAGCTGGCATCTCTTACGGTTTTGTGCTTGCTTCTGCTATCCATAGCTCCTTCTGTGTATTATCTTAGCATTGATACCGAGAAAGAATCTCGATCGGATCTACGTTCTATTACCGTGATCGACGTGTATTGCATTGGTTCGTAATAAATTACTGCAAAACATGCTTGCCATCGTGCGGGGCAAGACGGCCCAGCCGGAATCGCCACAATCAGATTAGCGTCATCGATGCCTGAGAGGCCTGATATAGAATGCCCGACGCATGAGGCATGAAAGTATCCTGGGTGCCTCAGGCATTATGATGATCCGCCAAGCCTGGCAAAAGTTCACGGCTTCGAAATCGAACAACGTTGCTATCTAAACATCACGATTTCACCACCATGATTGTACGACAATTTGGTGTGCGGCAGAGTGAGTCTGAGTCATAGCCTTCTCCTCTATTGACGAGGGTAACTCTAACGGATTCCCCTTTCTAGGCCGCCAATTGCTGGCCCTGAGTCGCCGTGCTCCGGTGTCCGCTCGCTTTCTCTCAACAGAGACAGCAGTCGAAACACCGGTGACAAGCTCACCAGAATCCAGCGTTCCATCCATCAACTCACCCTTAGAATCGGGCTCCACCCAGTCCAAGCAGAGCCTGACCGAATCCGAGCAGCGCTGGCGAAAGTGGGAAGCTTCAAGTACGCGGATTCCGAGACTTTCGAACCCTCTATTCGCGCAACCGAATTAACACTCCTTCAGAAAATGCCTTCCACAAGCTCGGCTCCACAACCAAAGACTCCTACGAACCAGTGCCTCTTTCCGCCTCCGAGATCACCCTCGAACACCTTCTCGCCGCCGGTACACACATGGGCCATTCGACCTCGCGCTGGAACCCGCAGAACTCGCGATACATCTTCGGTATCCGCGAGGGTGTCCACATCATCTCCCTCGATGTGACCGCAGCCTACCTCCGCCGTGCCGCCAAGGTTGTCGAGGAAGTTGCCGCGCGAGGTGGCATCATCCTCTTCGCCGGTACCCGGAAGGGCCAGAAGCGGTCTGTCGTGGGTGCTGCGCACCTCGCGAAGGGATATCACATCTTCGAGCGGTGGATCCCCGGCTCGCTGACAAACGGCGAGCAGATCCTCGGACACTGCGAGACAAAGGTCGTCAATGCCTTCGATGAGGAGTTGCCCGAGTTCAAGAATGATCTGCAGGACCGGCCGGTTGTCAAGCCCGATCTGGTCGTGGTGCTGAACCCCTTGGAGAACGTCGTGCTGCTGCACGAGTGTGGGCTGAACAACGTGCCTACCATCGGTATTATCGATACCGATGCTGATCCCACTCGGGTGACATACCCCATCCCCGCGAACGATGATAGTCTGCGCTCAACGGACCTGATTGCGGGCGTACTGGGCCGTGCTGGGCAGGCGGGTCAGAACAGGAGACTGCAGGATGCGAAGGATGGCAAGTTCAGTTATCAGCCTGTTTCGGCAGACTGGTTGCGTCTGGATCCGTTTACGGGGATGCCACTGGAGGCGGAGCAGCAGAAGAAGAAATAAGGGGGTTGCTGTACTGGTATGTCTTCGATGTTTAATCCCGCGAGGCTTTGCATTCGAGCGTCAGGTTGTATTGTATAGATATCTAGGATCCTGGTGTTATATCACTGTGTATTATCATCTTGCTTGATTCATATAATTGCGCTTTTAAACAGATATTTCGTCACGTGTAGCGGAATCTATCCTCTGATTGAGACGTTGGGGGGAGCGCCTCCGAGTCTTAGGGTAACAGGTGCAAGTCTTTCTACGATAGATCTGTCTATTCTGTTCCTGTTCCGAGGTTCTCGTCTATATGCGCTCTACGCCTTGATGGTGAACACCATTCGGCCTCGCTCATCGGGCCCTTTCACAATAACTTCCTGACCAGAGCTGCTCACCACACGGCGCTGATCCCCATGATGCAGAATGATATCGAGATCCTTCCAAGCAGGAACGAAGCCGCTGCTCTCATCCCGCTGGAAGTCCACCAGCACCTTCTCCATTGTGGAACTATAGCTGATAGTATAGCTCGAGATCCCGGGATGCAAGGAGATACCATCGTCCTCATACCAAGTATTCTCAAACACATTGCCATGCGACGTACCTTTCGGAGGAAAGATCTCTACCCCCCGGTAATCGTCAAGCTCCTTCACCCCCAACGACGCCGCGGTCTCGTCCCCGGTACCCGGGTGTGCACGCTCTTGCCCACGGGGATCGCACCGCCGATCTTTGCAACGAGAGGGATACTATCGCACCACGCGGCCGGAATCACCGCCCACTGGCCCGCCGCGAGGTAGTTGTACGGGGCGTTGATATTCACGTAGCCGTAGTCAAACACCTCGCCAGCCTTGCGCGGCAGATACATCCGCGCCTCGTCCACGCCAGGCTCGTAGACGCCACCAACGAGAATGCTGTCGCCAAACCAGAACTGCTCATCACCCGCCTTGAGCTTCTTGCTCCACACCTCCGGGTCCGTCTCGTAACCCCAGCCGACCCAGCGCTGGGCCGGCGTCGCCGTTTGATGGCTGGCGAGGCCGAGGGAGTAGATGTATGGCAGGATCTCGTAGCGGCGCTTGATAGCGGCGCGCACGAGAGGCGTGATCTCGGGGTATTGCCATACTTCGATCACATCCCCAGTGTCGCTGTTGTCGGGGGATGTCTTGAAGCAGTTGATCGTAAACCGGATCGAGTGGCACCCTAGTTGGATCCAGCGGAGGAGTAGTTCGGGGGACGGCTGGGGCCCTTCGAACCCGCCGATGTCGTGACCTTCGTATTGCAGGAGAGACATCCCGGAGTTCAGGGAGAGCGCGTTCGATCCCTTCATATCCTCCCAGCTGGTGACGTTGTCGCCACTCCAGGTGCTGCAGGCGTACCGCATGGTGCCGGGGGTGGCGCTGCGGGTGAGGATGAATGGTCGATACTTCGGTTCTAGGGCGAGCATGGCATCGTGCGAGGACTTGCCCATCAGTTCAGTGTGCAGGGCCCGGCCCCATTGCCCGACGGTATTGGGGACGCTGGTCTTCGCGGTTGCAGATACCATGGAATCATCCAGGGCTAGTGTCCAGTCATCGTTTGGCAGGGTGTACTCGTTGTTATCATTCCACATCCCATCGATGCCCACCGCCTTCAGGCTCTTGCATCCATCGAACCACCACTTGAATGCTTCCTCCGAAGTAAAGTCGACGTGGCATCCATCGCCGCCGGTGGCTCCTCCCGCGCTCCAGAGACGCATATAGCCCGGCTCTTTGGTATCCGGGTCCTGGAAGAAGCCACGGCTATCGATCAAGCGCTGGAAGTCTGGGTGGGAAGCCAGGGTGAAGGGTTTGATGTTGGTGATGAGACGGATCCCCTGCTCGTGCATCTTGTCGACCCATTCTTTGGGGTGGGGGAAACGGTGGTAGTTCCAGCTGAAGACTGTCCGGACTTTGGATTCTTCCGAAATTGAGTATCCGGAGCTCATCTGATGCCCGGAGCACGGGATGCCCTCTCTCTCCAGCCGCTCTGCGAATTCCAACAGAGCTTGGCTGGCACGCGGTTCATCCAAAGCACTATACTTGTAGCCGCCAGAGACATACCCGTAAGCCCAGCGAGGAACAAGCAAGGGGAACCCAACCAACTGGGCGTATGATCGAACCACATCTTTGAGTGTTCTCCCCACAATCATGTACTGCTCTAGTCCACCATAGTCCTGGCGATAGATCTTGAAGTGTCCCCACAGACCATCAATCTCCGACCCAACAGACCACGAGCCTCGTCCATGCGTGGTCGAGAACAGTGCTATACACCCTTGCGGTGTCGCCTTGATCAGCAGGGGGATATGCTTGTAAAGCGGATCGGACTTGTAGGCATCATATCCGAAGCAGTCGGTGGCTGAGAGCTGGAACGAACGGCCCGTGAGGTCCATCGGCGCAGCCTTCTCTCCGAGCCCTACGTGGAGCGCCTCACGGTCGTGGACTGAGTAGTATGCCACACCAGTGCCGTCTGCGACGTATGAGCGAAGAGGTAGATCACAATGGAGAGGCTGGTCCGATCCTGTCCAGGCGAGAGAGACGACCGGTGTCTGGTCCCACTCCACCGTCGCTGTGACCCCGCCAATCTCCATCATCTTTGAGGTTTCACTGCTCTTTGAAGTGATGTTCACATCATGGAGGTTGACCTCGGGTTTGGTCACGCTGGGGTAGGGAGGTAGGGCATGGTCGGACGAGGTGAAAGTCACTCGGAAGAGGTTTTGGCGGATGGCCTCGAAAGAGAAGTCGAACGGCGTCTTACTCTTGGTGGTACTCCGTAGGTGAAGCGTAGTCTCTTGCTGTGAAGCGGACGGGACAAGTTGGTACCCACGAGGGCATTGTTCCTTTTGAGGAGACATTGTGCACCTAGTTTTCCAAATTGTTCACGTGAAGAGCCCCCGAGACGAAAACCATTTGAATAGAATAGAATTTATCAGGACAGGAATAATATTTGTATTGCCGGGTACAGGGCTTCCCCTCATGACTACGCCCAATACTCTCCTGCTTGACGCGGGGCGACACGATGCATCGGAGATCGGGAGCCAACCGCGAACGGTCGCACTTCGGCTCTCTGAGTCCCAAGAACAATAGCTCCGCAATGTCATCGAGCGGGAGATAGCCATGCCTTGTGACGCGTCCAAGCGTCGGTCGAAACCTCCTCAACCCGTGCCAAAAGACGATGTGGGGAGAATTCAGACTGAATCCAGACAAAACTCGGACAGAATCCGGGGATTCCCCACTTCCCCAGACCAAGTCGTCCCGGACTTGGCATCCGATCGCCGACGACTAGACTGTATCCAGCAGTCTGGGGGATCTCTTGCACGTGTGGCGCTCATGGCATGCAACCTGGGGGGGCACCATTGGTTCGGCAGTTGGCCATCTCATGATCTCGCCGGGTAAACGCTGGAGGGCGTGCGGATTCTCAGCTGCCGCTGCCACGGCGGGGGAGATATCATATATGTTGCTTCCCCACGGGGGTTGGTCATTCTCCCTGCGGAGCCTCTTCCTCTCAGAACCCAGTGGGAGAACCATTTGAATATCCGATTTACTTGGGAACTCCGTTGTTTATTTTAAAGCTCTATTCTTGGTCACGCTGGGAGGTGCTGCTACCGTTACCTATCATACCTTTCGCCAATTTGCTCGCTGCGTTAAAGATGGCGCAAGCAGAGATTTTGCAAGCAAAAACCGACCAGGAGGAGTTTGTGGAGTCAATTGAGGATGAGCCATCCAAATCGCCCTCCAATGACCAAAATGGACACCCCAAACAGGACCAGGCCCTGCAGCTGATCGAGGAGGTCGGCTACTCGACCATCCTGACCCCCGAAAACAACAGACGGGTGCTTCGCAAGATAGACCTTCGTCTTTTGCCGATCTTACTGGCGATTTACTTCCTCCAGCAGCTCGACAAATCCACGCTCTCTTTTGCGTCCGTCTTTGGTCTCGTGGAGAAGACCCATCTTCACGGACAGATGTATTCGTGGCTAGGCTCGGTTGTGTATGTGGCCCAGCTGGTCTTTCAGCCGCTGGTGTCCTACGTTTTGGTCAAGGTACCCATAGGGAAGTTTCTGGCTGTGTCAGCACTTCTTTGGGGTATTGCTCTGTCGTGCATGACGGCCGCGAATACGTTTGCTGGGTTGATGGTCTGTCGACTGTTTCTTGGGATCTTCGAGGCGGGAATTGGTATGTCCCCTGAATACCGTGTCTGGCTACTTGCACAAGTCTAACGGATGACTCCAGCTCCTGCATTCATCGCGGTGACACAAATGTGGTATCGACGTCGAGAACAACCCGTAAGGCTGGGATCTTGGTATGCGATGAATGGCGTGGTGAATATGGTAAGCCGGGAGGGTATTCGGTTTGACTGGTACATCATTAACACGGAAGGTACAGTTTGGCAGCTTGATCACGTACGGACTAGGACACATCCACTCTTCCGTATTCGAGCCGTACCAGGTGAGTATTCTTTCGATGTCCTGGGTTACTGCTTCTTAACGCCGTGCAGATCATCTTTCTATTCTTTGGCTTGATCACAATCGGAGTCTCCGTCGCCGTCTTGTAGGTTCGTCTGTGCTGGGAATGGATCAGCTGCACTAACCAGCACCTAGCGTGTTCATGCCCGACTCGCCCATCCAGTCCAAGTTTCTGGCCGAAGAGGACAAGCTCGTGGCGATCGAGAGGTATTTCATTCTACCGGCTTTGTGAATCTGTCTAACCCCGGCCTGCAGACTTCGAATGAACCAGCAAGGAATCGAGAATCACGAATGGAAATGGGATCATGTGAAGGAGGCTTTCCTGGATCTCAAATCCTGGCTATGGTTTGCTTTGATGATGTCCATCTCGTGAGTCGAGTCACCCCATTCGTGAAAGCTCACACTAACGCTTCTGGTCGCGCATAGCATCCCGAGTGGTGGCATTACAACTTTCGGCCCACTGATCGTCAAGTCCTTCGGTTTCAATGATCTCAATACCATCCTTCTCAACGTTCCCTTCGGGGCGGTTCAACTCATTGCCACCATGGGTGGCGCTTGGCTCGCGACTGCTTGGAGGATGAAGGGCCCTGTTTTGGCCCTGCTTTGCCTTCCGCCTATCGCCGGCTGTGTGATGCTTTTGAAAATCCCGCATGACCACGCCCACAAGGGACCTCTGCTAGTTGGTTACTATATTGTAAGTGGGTTGCCGACTTCTTGTGCCAGCTCGCTGACCACTCGCCCTGCTCCAAGATATCTGTCTATCCGGGGATTAGTAAGTTGCAGATGCTCCCTTTCAAGCACATGTCGATTAATGAATATAGCTCCATTGATCTACTCCTGGTCTGCCGGTAACACGGCTGGGGAGACTAAGAAAAAGGTCACCACTGGGATTTTCATCGTGGGGCAATGCGTGGGCAATGTAGGACAAATCTTGTTCCCCGGCGAACTAGACTGACAGGGCTATAGATTATTGGGCCCACGCTCTACACCACAGATGAGGCGCCGCTGTACAGACGTGGTCTTCTCTCCAAGTAAGCAGACAAAACTTCGACGACCGACGACTCCGCTGACTCTGAAACAGTCTCGCTCTTTTTTGCGTCTTGGTCTTTTTGATCCTGTAAGTTTTCCAACCTTTGGTGAAGACGCCATTGCTGACAAGCCATGAGACTCAATATGTTTTATCTATCCGTTCTCAACAAAAAACATGAGAGCCAGCGCGTGGCACATGGAAAAGACGCCAAAGTGGTCGACCACTCCATGTTTGCTGTCGGCGCTATTTCCAGTGACAAGGAGGGGGTGCCCGTGCAGCAAGTAGCCGATGACAATGCCTTCAAAGACCTTACGGATTGGCAGAATGAGGATTTTGTGTATGTATATTAGGAGATTTGCCGCTCTCTTTTGGGAGCTGGAGAATTAGTATGCAGCTACTTAGGTTGCTTTGATGATGCTAGCGCCGGGCGTATAGCACTCTGGATCCACGTCGAGCCTTCGGAACCAACCTCTCATGTATCAGTAACGTGGCTTTTCAGTAGCCCCGAGCAGTGTAAATTCGTTCATGCCGTAGTGGGGGTGTCCTTGTATCGACGGAATTTCCCTGTTGTGGTCTAAATTGGCGTCGAGCTGTCAAACTCCCCGGTGGGCCCAGCCGGAGCAACAGCCGAACCCCGCGTTTTCTCCTTTTGCGTCTCACCAAATCATCCGACGAGCGAAACCCGGTGAGATTACACAATGCCCGAGGACGAGTCGTTACAGGTAATACCAGCTCCAGCTGGGAAGAAGCGTATCCCTGTATGTGGCCTACCGAGCTGTTGGACGAGCTCCTAACCAGCTTCCCCTGCCCAGAAAGCATGTAGTGCGTGTCGCCAGTCAAAAGTGAGTGTAACATGAGAAGACCACTTGCTGTTAGATAGATCTGATAATGGCCAAGGTCAGATGTGATGGGGACAAGCCTTGTGGGAGGTCTGTATGATTGGCCATTCCAGACGCCATGCGATTTGCTGAGGATACCAGATGCCAGAAGCTTGAAAAGCAATGCGTATTCTTTGAAATCCCCAGAGACCCGGTCTCAGCGTACGTTTCTGCAGCTCTCAGGGGATCAAACGATTTGACTGATCCGTGATAGGAGGCTCGAAAGCGTAGAGTCCGAGATTCAAAGTCTACGACATCAGCTGGCCGAAGTACGGCAGCTTTTACAGCAGGGGAGTATTGCAGAGGCACCTCCTAGCCAAGAGCTAGAACCTACGATACGGCACCGTGAATATGATCATCAAGAGATATCGGCACCAGTGCACCCCATGTACGATTCTCACCGCGGAAGCTTGGGCCCCATGACCATTCCGGAGACTGCTGCCCCTCTAGGAGACTCGGCGTACTCCTCACGCGTACCAGCTATTTCGCCGATGCAAGGACGGATTGCGTCGTCTTATGGCTCTTCTGACCAGCTCACATCACGACCCCCTAAAAGGAGGCGGTCGGCTTTTGAAGTCCGCGAAGAAGCCGTGGAAGACTTTATCGACACGGGTCTCATCACTCTAGAGGATGCTCTTTCGCATTTCAATACGTCAGTTCTCCCGTAAAGCTCCTAACACGGGAATGTGTGCTAAACTCAATCTCCAGCTTTTTCCAAGGCTGCGTACGTACCTCCACAAGGGTACCAGCTCAAGTGGCCACTGCTAAACGCAATATAATATGCGAATAGGATAGGTTTATCCCGATCTTTGATCCCCATTTCGACACATTCAACTCTGTGCGGTCTCGTAGTAGCATGCTCTTGAATGCAATCTGTACGACTGGGTGTATGGTTGAGACAAGTACGTATGCCTTGCACTGGGCCTTCCTCCTGTATCGCGGGCTTACTTGGAGTTACTAGGAGCCAGCGAACCGAAGTCGGAGATGCTTCATGCAGAGCTCAAGAAATGGATCAACGTGATCATTCAAAACAAGAGGTTCAACTGCCTGGAGTCTGTCCAGGCAATGCTGGTGATCGCTTGTTATTCTGCGGAGCGCCTGCTGATCCTGTCGTTTGCGACCCGAATGGCAGTGGACCTTGGCTTGCATGAAGCATTTGAGGAGCTCACGGAGAAGATCGCAATTCGAAATGACCAGGATGTGTACGGGACTAGTGGCGTTGACGATGAGCGCGAGCGGGTATTGATGCGTCAATCACGGACATGGTTCGGTCTTCTGGTGCTGGAACATATGTAAGCTGTTGAGCATCTAATGGAGTGACCGGCCTAATCAGAAAGAAGCTTTCGCGTTGATGCAGGCAAACCTCCCGGCATCCACCTGGTTGGAAACCCCCGTCGCTGCAGGTCCCTCTTAGGCCATTCGTCAACCACCGTCCTCGACCTGCGGCTTCTTTCCCAAGTGGAGGTATGTTTATTGCGCAACCCTTCGCAGAGGAGTGCGGACTGACTTTCACGACAGCTCAATATTCTGCGAGGTATATCATTATGCCTTCTGTACAAGGGCCGTGGAGTTGACAATTAGCGCAGCCGCAATCAACGACACGCTAGGGTCAGGTAGATCGCTTGATCATGAGAGTATATCGGACTTTGTACATGACATGAAGGTAGATCTGGATCTCTGGTTTGAGTATGCCGTCTTCGATTCTCTCGACTTGGAACTTTCGCTGACGACTTCTTAGTGACTGGCTGCGTATCATCGGTATTCTCTGAGCTCAAGCCGTCTCGGTGTTTTGTGCACTGACCCATAGTAGAAGGATCAACAGTTGCACGCCCGGAAAAGCCATACCTGCTAGCCGCCATGCGGATACAGAAATGCTGGGCTGAGATGATGCTCAATTGCAAAGCCCTTCGGGCCATGGATGTACAAAATGTTGCGTAAGCATCTTATGCATGTCCAGCTCGTCCTGCTCTGCACAGGCTAACCTTGAAATCATGCCAGGGCCATGTCGTCGGCTGAGCGAACCATCCTTTTGACAGCGAAGTCAAGTGCCCGCCGCCACCTCCGTCTGATGATAGTGGAGCCGGAATACTACTTGGCGAGCCTCAAATACGCCATGGATTTTGTCTGGGCTAAGTGCGCATTTTCCTTTCTTCTCCTTCTCAAACTATCGCGTCTCCTTCCCGAGCGGGCTGAGGAGCATCAGCAGCTCCTCGAGCAAGGGAATCGACTCGTCGATGAGCTGGGGAAGACTGGGCCGGGCTCGAATCAAAGCGGCGCGGGCAACATCTATCTTCAGATTCTCAAAGTGAGCATCGAGAAGTATGGCCGCGCATTGCAAGAGGCTCAGCAGGCCAGTACTGGCGGGTCCACCGGCACATCGCCATTTTGGGAACTTTTTGACGCGCAGGCCGATCTGCAGTGGTTTGTCCCCGAGCAGTTTGTTTCCGAGTGGGACTTCCCCGGGCTGAACTTGTTTTACTTTCCGACTGCCTGGCAGGATTCCTTTGGGGATTTTTCTCGAGCCATGTGACTTGTCGCGCGAATGACGAAAAAGAGCAAACATCATCCCCGGAGGCTCTAAGATGACGGGCCATCCGAATCGACGTCCTTGCTCGTGTCTTCGTCAAACGCGAGCGAGATTCTGTTTGCTCATCCGAGGCGCCAACTTGAGGAAGCTCCCGCTTGTATGTAGAATATCAAAGTCCCCCAGAGTCTCTCGACACTCTTCCATTCTACCATTGCTACTTTTCATCATCATTGCTTTTTAACCCAGGGAAACCGGTGAGTACTCTAGTCTTTCATAATAATGGCCTAGATGGTTCTAACCCCCCACGGGCGACTACTAAAGCTTCTTGAAACATCATGTCGAGTTCCTCTTCTCACACCCTCCTGCCCGAGGACAGCTCCCCTGCCACGTAAGTGCTTAGTGATTGACATTGTACACAATGTTGCTACTTCTGCAGGGCGGAAATCGGGTCCTAACACATAATGTGCAGCAATATCACCACGCGCGCAGAAGAGCATATGAAGATGCTGGTTGCCCAATGGGCAACCAATGACCAGGCCTTGTGTGACATCGCTGCGGCCATAAGAGACCTCAAGCAGAGGCGTGGGGAGATTATGCAACAACAGCAAGCTATTGTTGCTGCTATGAACGAAACCCACGATCACCTCCAAGCTCTAGCCGACAATAAATTTGCAGAAGATCTTGAAAATCTCGTTCTGCACGCCCTCGACCCCTAGAGGTTGGGCGCAGGATTACGTGACCACGGGGATGGACCCGTGGACAAGAAATTGCTTACGTTGCTTTGAAGTTCTGGCAAAATTGTGTATTTGGGTGTCGCCAGCCCCCGCTGGTGCATAGATTGATTAGGATAAAGAAACCACTGGAATCAAAATGTGCGTCTGAGCTTCTGACCTGACTTCTGTAATGGCGTAACTGGGTCGCCAACCTTCTCGGCGCTGAAAGAGGCAACTGAGTAATGCGACCCAGTCCTGGGAAATTCTTCCTTCTGCACGCGAGGGCCTCCAACCACCGGATGTCACTTGCCCCCCCTCCTGCCCCTTGCACCGTCCACTATTCCACACCGGGAACGCCGGGATGACCCGTGAAGAGAGACCTCCTTCAGCCTATGAGGCCATGGCTCTGGCCATGGCAGGGCCTGTGCAGCCGGCGGAAGATGCCTGCCAGACCATCGTGCCCGCATATCTCGGGCAAAATATGTGGATCCTGTCCCAATGAGGCTCTGGGACGGATGCACCATGAAGAAGGCCATTCTTCGAAGAGAGAATACGCGTGGGTGTGTCGTCCACGCCTCGCGTGTCTAAAGCTTAAATGCCACCTGGGCGTAGCATGGACCGGTGGACCTGGCCGATTGCACCTCCAAATGTTCTCACCGGCCCTCTATAATGCCAACCGAGCGGGATATCCCTTCACTGTCCGACCTCGAAGGAACCCCGACGGAGTACCTCAAGTCACCGCAACGATTGAAGGAATGGTCTCTGGAGGCATGGGGCTACACCGTAGCCAGCGGGGCGCTGGCATCAATCTCGATCTTCTTCATCAACGTCGTCACGCTGATCGCCATTTGCAGCCGGTACCCCATGTCTCTCGACCAGGGCATCTTCTTCCGAGGCGATTGCAAAATGTCAAGTCTCATCACCAAAGTCGCGCACGTCGTGATCAACATTTTGAGCACGATCCTCTTGGCATACAGCAATTATACCATGCAGTGTTTGAATTCACCAACGCGGAAGGAGGTGAACGAGGCGCATTCCCGGTCCCAGTGGGTACATATTGGCACCGCCAGCTTCCGCAACCTGAGGTTCATTTCGAAATGGAAAGTATGTCTGTGGGTGTCCCTCGGGGTCAGCTCGTTTCCGCTCCACATGATTTGGAATTCCGTGGTGTTTGAGACCAAGAGTACCTACGGCTACCTGGCCGTTCAGGTTTCGAAGGACTTTTTGCACGGGGCGAGCTGGACCATCCCCGAGCCCTCGAATGAGACAGACTGCGTCTATTGCAATCAGTACCCAGGGATCATCCACGAACTTCAACAGCAGGTCCAACACGATGATCTCGAACGGCTCCCGCCCCATGAATGTATGGATGCCTACTTTTCAGGTGCGCTGTTCGACCGGAGCCACCTCCTTCTCGTGGTAGAGGGCAACCGAACCGCGGACGCGGTGCTGGCCATTTTCGAGAACTTGGACTGGGATGGGGGCTGGATGCGCACACAGCGTCTGTCCAAATGGGCATGGTCCCCCGGCACGGTGGACGGGGACGATTGGTATTTGACGTCAGAAACCCCCCGACATGGGGGCCCCGGCAGATCAACCGATCCTGGAGTGTCACTCGCAGCGCCATGCGGAGAACTGCAAGGCCAGCCTAGCGCCGGCGTTCCTCATGACCATCATTATTTGCAATGCCGTCAAGGCGACCTGCGCGCTGTTGGCTCTGCATATCACGAAGAAAGAACCGCCCTTGTGCACCACCGGGGATGCCATTCAGTCTTTCCTCCAAGAGCCGGACGCCTACACCAAGAACTGCTGCTTGGTCGCCAAAAGGGGTCGCTCTCAGCGATTGAGCCTGCGGCCGTTCAAGAATGCCGATGTCTGGACCGGCGAGCGCGACCGCTGGATTACAGCGATCAACAAATGGCAGCTGGCGGCATTCATTATAGCGTTGGCTTTGCTGCTTTCGGCGGGGGCCACGTCTTTCTTCGGTGCCCCCGGGTCCCTGGAATGGCAGGATGCTGGACATCATATGGCCTTCTTTAACTCCTACACGTTCCGACGGTGGCCAGAGACCGGCTACGAATTGCGAGGGAAGAGCAACTTGACCGGCTTCGTCATTGCGAACATCCCTCAGGTCTTGGTCTCCTACGTCTACCTGGGACTGAATAACATGATGACCAAAATGCTGTTGATGGCGGAATGGTGTGGGTACGCCGCCGGCTCCAAGAAGCCCCCCAAAGGACTTCGAGTCTCGTCGCCGGTGGCTGAAACCAAGCAGCGATCCACCTATTTCCTCTCCGTGCCCTACCGCTGGAACATACCGACAACCATCTGTATCATCACGTTGCATTGGCTGGTTTCCGAGGCGTTCTCCTTTGTGCAGATTGACATTCGCTCATCACCGACCCATATGGATACTTGGAACTACATCCTGGTGTTCCCGGACGCCGTTGAGCTGGTCGTAGCGCCTATCTGCTCTTTCACGGTGCTCATGATGATCATGATCGGCCTTTGCAAGAAGTTTCCCGGCACGATGCCCTTGGCTGCAGGCTGCAGTGCGACAATCGCTGCGGCGTGCCAGCCTTTGCCCCCTCGCGACGGCTCACACGCCGCGGGATCATTTCCGCATAATCTGGCTTATGAAGCGCTGAAATGGGGCGTCGTTGAAAGTCCCAGTCCGGATAATAATGGGAGGGGGCATGCGACATTCAGTGCAGACCATGTCACCCCCTTAGAGAAAGGAAAGATGTATGTGTAATGTAGATAGGCGTTCGGGTCATTCCCTAGAAGAATTGGATATGTAAAAGGCTTTTAATGTGATTCGAGATTCAAGCCCGGACGCGTCAAAGTCATGATCACCAGACTCCCACTTATAGGTCTCTTGTCTTCGCCTATGAGGTGCCGGCATAACATGACTCAGAGCATGCCCAGGGGGCTAGGATCTTGTCTATATACAATGACTACGCCTGGTCTCCTGGTCTCTAGAATTGTCTTGGAACCGTATGCAGGTATCGATCAAAATCCGATCATGGGTCGGAATACGATGCGTGAGTTCATAATAAAGCGATTCACTTTCCAAACCGAAAGTTCTTAGCCCAGGGCCTTCATGGTAAGTTCAACACTATGAAGGATGTTAGTAAAAACATCAGATCACGCATGGTCACAAGTCTGCGGAGACACTTACACAACAAAAGTTCCAGCGGAGACGGGCATAGCCCTCAGCAAAGTCGGGCCGATGCCCTTCCAGAAACCACCCAAGCCCTCGATCGCGTAGGTCTTCTTGAAGCAGTCACGCATGCTGTTGTACTTCTGGTCCTTCCCGAACCCGTCGGTTTGCATCTTACTCTTGACCACATCGAACGGGTAACTAGACAACCACAGCGCCTCACCAGCAAGACCACCGTAGGTGGCCACCTTGACAGGGGAGATATCCTCGCGCTTGATGTTGTTGCGCTTGGCGTCTTGGTTCATCATGAACTCGAACGCAGCAAACCAGCAACCGTAGGCTTGGGCCTCGCGCAGAATGGTCACGGCCTGGCCACGGAAGACTCCATTGAGGACTCCATTGTGCGCGGCCAGCTTCTTGATGCAGTCAATGGGACCGGAGTACAGACGGCCTGCACCGTGAGGCTGGGCTTGCAGACGAATACGGACGTGCTCGATGGGATTGGAAAGCACCGAGTTGGTGATACCTGCAAACGAACCGGCGAGCCAGTACTGGCCATACGAAAGGGTGGCGTCGGCGTACTTCTTCTTGTTGAGCTCTTCCAGACGGCGGCGGGCGGCGTGGTATGCGCCGAATTGCACGCTGACCTGTTATCGAATCTAGTCAGCGAGGCCCAGGGTGGGAAAACGCGCGTGAAGACTGACACAAGCACCAATTCCGATCAAAGGAGTCAGAGTTCCCTTGTAGAATGCCGTGGGGCCTTCTTTCTTGAAGATCTGGGTCGCAGCATCCAGCGCGCTCTTGTACTGGCTTGTCGTCTGCAAGCGCACCTTCACGATATCTAAGCGGGGGTTAGAAGCATGTCGTGCGGGGTAAGTCGATGGTACACACCGAAAGGTTGACCTAAATCATAGCTAGTTAGCACCAGATTCACTCCGCATGGAGCGTCAAGCCCCAATTGACCGCCACTCCAGCACCAAAGCACTCGATAGCATCCCCGGGGTCTGAGAGCTCCGCGGTGAGCACTTACCCAGCAGGACCTGCGCAACTCCGCCCGTAGCACCAGCGACCAAGTCTTTGACGACCCGGAGCGAGTCAGCCTCCTCGATGTCTTCAAAAGCCTCGTATTCCATTGTGCGTGAGTGGAGAGTGCAGAGAGGAGTCAAAGACGACTTTTATCTCTTCAGGTATAAGAAGCTTATCGGCCAATGTCGCGATCGAGACGCTCATTCGCCTAAAGCGCCGACCTTTTGCGGGAAAACGGGGGGGCTCGACGGGGGCGGAGAGCCGGTTGGACCAATCAGAGCGGCCGCGTTGGGGCCCTCCAGTTTTGCAGCGACTTTGCCGTCGGGAAACCTTAGTCAGCGCATCCAAAGGAGAATGCGCGACCGCAACAATTAAACAGTGGAGCATCGCATCATGCACCGCGCAGTATCAAGGGTAAGTTAACCGCCGCGGTCCCAAAGAGTCGCTCTAACTTCCAGCTCCAGCTTCGCCGTCACGGTCTCACGCGCCCCCCTCCCCCGCACGCTCATTCCAATCCTCCGCGTTCTATCTAAACCAAAATTCGAGTGATAATGGAGATGGGAGCTCAACCCCAGCCAGGTCTGCGTCGAGGTTTGGTAGTCGCTGGGCCTCGAGAAATGTTCCAAAGCCATCCGGTCTTAGTGCTGCAGAGCAAGCAATCCGCGATGCACTCGTTGCAAAAACCCCGCCGAAGCCCGAACCGACATCAGAAGTAGAATCTGAAAACAAGCTAGCATCAGGGCAGAAGGCAGAGGCGGGCGCCGCGTTAGATCACCAACCTAGGCAAGATTCGGACCCGTTTTCGGGCCCCACGGGTGACAATCCTGCGGCCAAGGTCACCAGTCGTTGGGGATGGGGTAATCGACAAGGTGGAAAGCCGTCAGGTCTGAGTGCCGCCGAGCAAGCAATGCGAGATTCGATTGTTGCGAGAAGTACGCCTACACCATTTCCAGGGCTCGGAGTAAAGCGAGAAACCCCAGGACCATCGGATCGAATTCCCGGGACCCCAGCGCGATCTACACCTGTTAACCCCGAACGCAAGGCGTCACAGCGCCAACGCTCGAAACCGGATGTCAGGAGGACACCAGGGGATTCAACCTCATCGGCACAGAAAGACCCTAGGTTGAACTCGGATTGGACCTGTTTTAGATGCGGCGCTCTTGTCTTCGCAAAACGACCCATGTGCCCGCGCTGTGGGGGTCGACGACCAAGAGAAGATATGGAGAAGCAGCAACGGCCAAAAGAACGACCGCAAGACAGGAGGGAACCAAGAGCCCCGCGAAATAATCAAAGAACCGCGGTCCCCGCTTCCTTGGCCAAGTCCAACGAGTTAGGTCGCTCGTCTCTCGTTGACACTGAGGAAGACGCCAAAACTTCAAAAGAGAGCGCGCGGGATAGTGAAAAGGAGGCAAAGTCCCAAGCGGATGCTGCATGGAAGAAGAACCAGTGGACTTGGGACATGTCAGTCCTCGATAAGCTAGAAAGCGGGGCGACTGAAGAGCCCTCCGGGATGCAGAAAAAAGACAAGCGCAAAAATGGTCAAAGGGGCCGGGAAGACGAGGATGACCATGATGAGGATATCGTGCGTCGCCGTGAGGAGAAGAAGCGCTTGAAACAGCAACAAAAGAAAGAAGCAGAAGCCGCGCCCTCCCTCTTTACCTTCCCGAGTTCATCAGTGTCACCAATCTCGCGGACGTCATCGGCGTCCGGCCGGGCCAGTTCATCGAGCGCATGGAGGAAATGGGGTTTGAAGATGTCGGGTATAACCACGTCTTGGATGCCGAGACGGCAGGGCTGGTTGCTGCGGAGTTCAACTACGAGGCTATCTTCGATACTGGGGCGGAAGATCTGCAGGCTGCGCCTATGCCAGAAGATACCACTCATCTCCCCCCTCGGCCCCCGGTTGTGACTATCATGGGTCACGTTGATCACGGGAAAACAACCATCCTCGACTGGCTACGCAAATCATCTATTGCCGCCACGGAACACGGCGGTATCACACAGCACATTGGCGCTTTCTCAGTGGCTATGCCCTCCGGCAAGACGATTACCTTCTTGGACACCCCCGGCCACTCCGCATTCTTGGAAATGCGGCGTCGCGGAGCGGACGTTACCGATATTGTCGTCTTGGTCGTCGCGGCGGATGACAGTGTCAAGCCTCAGACTGTTGAAGCCATCAAGCACGCCACTCAGGCCAACGTCCCCATCATTGTTGCCATCAGCAAGGTCGACAAGGAAGGCAGTAACCCGGACCGTGTCAAAGCGGATCTGTCTGCCAACGGTGTTCATGTCGAAGACTACGGCGGAGACGTCCAGGCCATTCCTGTAAGTGGTAAGACCGGCACCGGTATGCTCGACCTGGAGGAAGCCATCGGGGCTCTCTCTGAGATGCTGGACCACCGCGCAGATACCGCCGGTAACGTGGAAGGCTGGGTCCTGGAGGCCTCTACGAAGTCTTACGGTCGTGTGGCTTCGGCGCTTATCCGCCGGGGCACCTTACGGCCTGGCGATGTCATCGTGGCCGGTACGACGTGGGCTCGTGTACGGACACTCCGGAATGAGGCTGGCGTGGCGGTTGACGAAGCTACTCCTGGGATGCCCGTTGAGATCGATGGCTGGAGGGAGCAGCCTGCTGCCGGTACCGAGATCCTCCAAGCAGAGACCGAGCAGAGGGCCAAGGAAGTGGTGGAATATCGTCTGGAGCGTTCTGAAACGCAGAAGATGGGCGAGGATATGGCTGCTCTTAATGAGACGCGGAAGGCGGCTGCGGAGAAGCGCAGGCTCGAGAATACAGATCCTGATGAGCTATCCGAGGTTGCGGTGCAGTCGACCGGTCCAAAGGCCATCAACTTCATAGTCAAGGCCGACGTGGATGGCTCCGCAGAAGCCGTGTTGAATTCGATGGCCGCGATTGGGAACAACGAAGTCTACGCAAATATTCTTCGCTCGGGTGTCGGCCCTGTAACGGAGTTTGACATTGAGCACGCAGCCACCGCGGGCGGGAAAGTGATTTCCTTCAACATGGCCATTGATCCGCAAATGATCCGATTGGCCGAGCAAGCGGGCGTGAAGATCATGGATCACAATATCATCTATAAATTGATCGATGATATCAAAGAAGATCTCAGCTCTCATCTTGCACCCAACATCACCCACCGCGTTACCGGTGAAGCTGAGGTTCAACAGCTGTTCGACATCACCATTAAGGGCCGAGAGAAGATGTCGATCGCGGGTTGTCGCGTGCGCAACGGTATCATCCACAAATCGCGCAAGGTTAGGGTTCTGCGGGGCGACAAGACGATCTACGATGGTAAGGACTCCCTCTCAACTTTTGCGGCCGCAGCTATCTAACCCTTTCCCTAGGTGCCATGACGTCGCTCAAGAACGTCAAGAAAGACGTCACCGAGATGCGCAAAGACACGGAATGTGGTATTGCCTTCGAGGACTGGGCCGAATTCGCTGTCGGTGATCAGGTCCAGTGTTACGAGGAGATCCACGAGAAGCGCTCCCTGTGAAGTGAACCCGGATGTAATTTCTCTGAATGGCTTGGTCGAATGTTTCGCGCGGACCAGGTTGTCTGTACTATATATCTCCCCTTCTCATCATGCTTGCATATTAGAGCGGCGTTCCCTGATCACAAACTACCCGGACAATTTCTGTCATGAAAAAAGCTACCTGTATATCATACCAACTAGGAATATAAGAGTCAGACCCCTTGAATTGAGCTCATAGGCTTTTGGAAATACCTCCTTTGTTCATCTCCCAGTCGTCGAACTTAGGGCCTTCTCATGTAATGCTACGTGGCTTTCCATCTCACTCGGCTAACCCATTTCGCCCAATCCTGGACATCCTCCCTTTCCAGGATGCGATCCACCGTATAGTACTCTCTCGCTAACTCTTCGTTAGTTGCCATCCGATGCACAAAGCTGTGGCATGCCCGACAAAGCCATGCTACACTGTTCAACATCCATTCGTCATGCCAGCCTTTCTTCAGGACCTTGGCATGAACGCCCCGAGGAATCAGGTGGTGATAGGAGAGCGGGATCCAGTCCCGATCACAGATCTCACAGGCATCAGCACGTGTATTCGACCACGCTGGGGGCCCGCTGGTCACGCTCGCTATATACTCCGTCAAGATGGGTGCGAGGAACTCGGGAAAGTCCGCGGCGTCGGGGATAAGGCCATAGACTGCCAAAGAATCGGTCACAGCGACCGGCGTGACGCTGCACAGGGGGTCCAGGAGTGCGCGGTTGAACGGCGCATCAGGATCCTCGGGGATGTAGAGCTTCGCAAGGGCTTGATCATGCTGGATGGCAGCGTATGAGAGGGTCTGGAGAGCCTCGGGAAAAGACGAAAAGGTTTCAGATGCGATGAACTGGGAGGTTAGTTGAGCGTGAGAGGTTTCTCTAGGTTGTTCGAAGGGGACGTACGTCGATAAACTCGGCTAGTTCTTCCGGATCAACTCGATCAGCCACTGGGATGAGGGTCGTCCCCTCTACTTTGGGCACATCCTTGCGGTTGTTGCGCTTTGCTTTTGCGTTGCGCTTGGATCTCGGCTTCTCTGATCGAGCGACGATCGCGTTGGAGAGACACTCCCGAAAGACCGCGTAATTTTCAGGGGATAAGGTCATTGGAGCCGACGGTTGTCATGGTCTCCCCGGCTGGGATTCGATGGTGATGGCAATAGCACTTTGTCGAGCTCCAAGGGCTTGATCAGGTAGTCAGTCCAGGCTTGCTCGGGCTTCCATCTGTCAAAGACTTCTCCTGATATACGTCATCGGTCCACGATGCTCCAGTGCACTCAGCGGATGTGGTTCATCAGCGTGTCGAACCTGGTTTCGCGGTGATGTAGATGGCCACGTGACTTGCCCTTTCCCGTGGGGAAAAACAGTTGTACACAGTTGCGGGATAATATGGGCACATTCTGAGTTGGCGAGTAATGTGCACTCGGTTTATCATGCGTTGTACCAGCGGAAATTTAAACTAAGTTCAAGCAGGGCGATATAGAATGAGGTGGGATTGCGACTGGTACTAGTACACCGTTCTGGACATCCTCGCTGCAAGCTCAGCGTGCAGCCCAAGTACCGGTGGCTTTCGTTTTAGGATTATACGCTTCAATGAATGGTTTCATTCCATCCGAAAACATCGTGGCCTCACATTCAGTGCTGCGGCGAATCACGTCCTGGCCCTGGGCAAACATTGCCTTTTCATACGATGCCAACGTATCTTCCAAGACCTCTTTCCCGAAGCTGGCATCCTTCTTTCGGGTCTTGATGAGATGATCCGCCTTGCTGCCGTGGACTTGGTATAGGAGAGTCATCCTTTTCATAAATCACGTAGTCTAGGATTCCGTTAATCTCGGGGAGCCGAGGCTGCTTAGACCGGCGCCGATAATTGCGATAGATAGCGGTCCTTCCATTGAGAATGACCGAGTCTATTCGAAGAATAAAATTGAAATGAGATTCCTCTGCATCAAAAACACAGCACCTTTTGCGCGGACGCATTTATTCCACAAAACACTCAACAGCCAGACGAGCAACGCAATAGATCCTCATCTACCTCTGAAGGCTCCGACTGGTAGAAAACGGAAGAGCCTCGAGTTCCCTCCTGGGTGGCCCCTTCGCGTTTCCTAGGAGCGGGTTCACAATATGGTGGTAAGTAAAACTCCATATTCTGACAAGGCGTTCGCGGAGGGACGAGAGATCTCCCACGCGACCTCTTGGCGTAGGATGTAGAGACTATTGGCTTTCTGCGTAACTATTCAAATTGTGGTATGTCACCTTTTATTGACATCTATCTTGGTTTGGCCACTCTAGCACTACCGGTTTCTACCGGCTTTGCCAACAAATACTGGTTGATCATGGCAAACATTCTATTTCTAGGCTTTTGGAGAGCGTTTACTAGACGCAGATAGAACCTATAGGTTCTGTAGTAGGATGCCTAGCAGACCATATCTTGATATATCCTGGCGATAAATTTATTCATTAAACAAGATGCTACAAGAGAATCCGTAGCACTAGGGAAAGAAACCAGGGTGGCGGGGCCGTTATATGAACTATGGAATCCACACCGGACCGGTCGAGGCCAGTCGTTGTGTCTCTAGATAGAGCCACACTTGCGGTCTTTGAACAACGTCGCGGTGTCAAGAATGGTGTTATTGCTGCTAGACACGAATTGATGCGTCATATGAGTGCAATTATGGAACGTGATCTTGCTCCACCCGTAGGCGGTATCCTCGGCGTAAACAACATAGGGCTTCAGGGGTAAAGCATAGTTGTCCAATCCATCGTAGTGGCCCGGGGCGGCGGTGGTAATGTACCACGGCGATGTGGGGTTGTCCAGACCGGCCGGATCAATCACATAGTCGTTCAAGGGCTGGTTGCGCTCGTAGAAGTGGGTGTGCGCTTGGATGACAAGGTCGACGTTGTGCTGAACGAGCAGCGGCTCGAAGACATCCTTGCATTCGGTACAGACGGTAGAGCTGGTGTTCTTGGCACTCACGTACCAAGGGCGATGTACCGCTGAAAGATCGATCAGTTGTGGATTTTGCTCCAACGTGAGCGGAAATGCTTACCCGCAACGACCCAAGGTGTCTTCTGACGGTCCACACTCTCCAAGTCCTTCTTGAGCCAATCGATCTGCTCGTTAGGGTAAGATCCGAATGGGCCAGAGTTCATGCCTTCCGAGGATCCTGGCTCGTCCGGCCCAATGAATCCATCGCCGATATCAGTCTCAGTGTTCAACTGGATAAAGTGAGTCATGCCGTGGTCGAAGGAGTACCAGAAGTTTCCCACACCCCCAGATACATCGCTAGGCATGCGATAATGGTTGCGGAAACCCGTGAAGTTGGTCTGGCCCATCGGACAGATGCTGACATTATAAGCAACCCCGTTGTCGGTGGTGCCTCCATTGTCACCTGGATGCATGAGAAGCGCTATCTCAACTGCAGCGAAAGAGTTGGACACTTACAGTTCGAGTCGTGGTTACCAGGTCCAACCATGTAGGGCCGATCGGCAGTCAAGGCAGTCATTTCGTCGAAATACTGATTCAAGAGCGACTCATACAGGGCCGGGCCATCACGGACTGTATCATTGGGAAGGAAGCCTTGCGCCTCCTCCTTCAACCAGTAATCGGCGTAGGCAATGTCGCCGGCTACCAGAGGGGATACAATTAGCATGATACGCGAGACATCCGAATGCCCATAGGGAAAGCCTACGATGCCAATAGAATTCCCACTCTGACTTCATCGACTGCAAGGACTGGATTGTGTTATTGTCGTGGGGGCCTAACGGGGCATTCCCGCCGTTCGGACCAGTAGTGGTTGTAAGTCCTTGGGGACCCATTAACCCCAAGTCCCCGCCAACTGCAATGGTGAAGGGCGTCTTATCACCAGGCACACGAGCAGTCTTCATGGTATAGATCTGCGTGGAGTTCCCACACTGCGGCTGATAGTAATACATCGTGTTGGGCTCCAGGCCCGTGATCTTCACATGGTTGTTGTAGGTGGTCGAAGTGGGATAGGTGACCGAAACGTCCGACTCCGCCCACTGCCAAAGGGCATCGGGATGGCGTCCGTAGCGAACATAGGGGTGATGCAGCTTGGAGTAGGTGTTCCAGCTCACCGTCATGCCCCGGTCTCCCGAATAGGCCAGATGGGCCTGCATCGGGGCAGTGTTCCGAGTACATTCGCTCGTAGGGGAAGCAATTGCGGACGCCCCGGCGAGAACCACCAGCATGGACTTAGTCCACCCACGGTCCATTTTTGGAAGATTGAAACAAGACTCACGACAATAGTCTAACCCATCGTCCCCAGTACGAGCTTTTATATCTGTGCTAGATATTCCTTCGGTTCAGCCTATCAATTAAACTTTCGGCTTGCGTGCACCACCCGAATAATCTTCCGGATTCAGGAGATTGTACCTGGCTAGCAAGATGGAGCGTTCCAGCTTCGCCAATCACCGTCGTTGCATTATCCCAGTCAAGCAACCAGGCGTGTGGCTAGTCCGCACGTGGGCCAAGCACTATCGTGGCCCCACTAACTCGTATTCCAGCTTCACTGAGAGCCAGTGATGCCCCCCATGTGCTCGACGGCACTGACTATACGGAATATGTACCTGGAATTGTGGTTGGTCCAAAATCAAGAATGAAGCCCAGCGAAGTCGGAGTTCCCCCTTGTCCCTACCAATCACGGGAAGACGATGACATCCAGAAGCCTGCAGGTGGAGTATGAACAACGCCAGAGAATAACTAACCGCAGTCATGAATATGATGAATAGATTTATCAGCTAAAGACAGGTAGGGGCTAAAGACTAGGCCTTTCAGAGAGAATTAGCGAGTTTCCTGACTGGCAGGATTCACATGTGGAGATGCCTGCGTCCACCACTTGCCAAACTTGTATTAGGTTCTCCCTCACCATTGCTCGTTCGTTTCTCCCTCACGCTTATTATTTCGTCGATCTTCTGCATGGGGTATCTCCTTTCCTCTTATATCGGAGCCTAGGACCTGCTGTAACTGAAGAACCTATGACCATCCTTTAACTGCTGAGAAATAGGATTCGAAGAAACTAGCCCTAACCCCAATATGACCCGTCTCTGAATGCTGTTACCTTCAATTGAGGACGTCCAATATCGTGTAGAATGTCTCGGTAAGGCTGTTCGCCCATTCGCCTCGAGTGACTACATATCTAGGTGTAAAGACATGGTTGACGATTTAAGGAGAACTAGACCTGGGGGTTCTTTATTTGGCCAAAGTCCAACCCATCGGAATGCTGACCTGGATGTCACATGTAGCTGTTACTCCTGGGCAAAAGTCGGTCAACTTTACCAGAATTTGGTATACACACCCTGTGCTTCCGCTCGTCCAATTGAGTATATATTGACAAGTCCAGTTATGCCGGAACCTACGGTGCCATTACGCAGGTAATACGCAACGCTCATTCTTGGCAAACTGTATATTTTCTGATGTAAAAAGTGACGGCTGGATAAATAAAGTTCCCGCCATTCTAGCACAATCGGATTCATAATATAGTTTACACCTTTACTTACTTCACGTATGATGCTTCCTGGTCTAGATAATGAAAACAGTCAAGACCCATCTTGGTCAGCCCTTTATATTGGGCCGTCGCATTCCTTCTCCTTAATGCGTAAGGATCCCGCAGTAATCGAGGCGCCTTCGTATCCGGACCTGGCAATGAATATAGACGAGGAGAGGGCAATTTCAGAGATGCGGAATCTCTGCTCAGGATCCGCCCTATCCCGGCTGTACAAGATGCGCTTGGGCACAAGTGCGATGAAGTTCCTATACTTGCACATCCTGATTCTTCTGCTCAAAGGAGATCGGAGATGGGGATCTTTCGGATGATCGTCTGTCTTCGGCGCGGGAGGCGATTTCATTACTCCCCGGTCTTGTCTCGAATTGGACCTCAGTTTACAATGAGGTGGATTGGTAAGTTCCGACGTAGGCGTTTCTATCTTCGGCTTCGAAGACGGATTGAAGACAGGCAGCCTTTGTACCCGTTCTTCGTGGTGTTTGAGAATATCGTGAGCAAAAACACCGAACCAGCCCCGGCAGAGTCGGATCTGGAGCTTTTACAGCTAAGCGCCACCTACTTTCGGCAAGTGAGTTCGCAGATGCGAAAGTGGAGAGTGGTCTGTGCCGGATTAGAGCACATGGCTGCTGTTTCCCACCAACTTGCTCGAATCTCGTTCGCCACCATATTGCCAGCTCGCGATCCGCTCGTTCTCCTAGCCAGCCCAACAAGCGAATGCGTCGAGACTCTCCATCGCGTTTCACCGAGAAGATAGAGGAAGTAGCTTTCCGGATCTCACTGTCCCAAAATTTAGCCTGAGTGGCTGCCAATCGATATGGATACGATATGCCGGATGCTTGAAGACGAGCTTCACGTGCCGACTGGCAATCCAGCACGAGCCTGAAGCACCGTGAACCACCGGCACTGAGATGTGTCCAGCCTGGTGCTACTTTCTACCCCGCCCGGCGGGCCCCGACGGAAGACTGACATCAACCAGCCGTCCATTTATGGTTCGACATGCCCCATCCCGGACCAACTCTCCTTCCATCACACTGAACGAAAAAGAAAATGAGTGGGAAAACTGTGATTGCGTTTGACGTTTACGGCACGCTGCTGTCGACGGAGTCTATTTCCTCGAAACTGGAGGCCTACTTTGAACGCACGAAGGCGCAATCGATTTCCGCATTATGGCGCCGGTACCAACTTGAGTACACATGGAGACTCAACTGCATGGGTACGAGATCAATCAAGACTTCCAGGCATTAGGCTGATTCCGAATTCCCAGAACGCTATGAAAACTTCTCGATTGTCACCAAAAATTCCCTACAACATGCGCTAGCTGACCACGGAGAACAATTATCGGACGGGGACATCGCAGACTTGATGGAAGCATACGACAGCCTTTCGGCGTTTCCTGACGTCACGCCAGCGTTGAACCGGATTGGGAATGACCCCAATCTACACGCAGTCATCTTCTCCAATGGCACCCAAGAGATGATCTCGAACTCCGTGCGTCGTTCCAAGGAGCTTTCACAGCATGCCAGTAAACTTCACGACTTCGTATCGGTCGAGGATGTTCAGAGATTCAAGCCGGCCCGGGCAAGCTACGCCAGCCTTGCCGAGAAGGTGGGGAAGCGACCAAGCCAGATGAACGAAATATGGTTGGTGAGTGGGAATCCCTTCGACATCACCGGCGCACGCAGCATGGGGATGAATGCGATCTGGGTGGATCGGGCTGGGAAAGGATGGCACGATGCAGCCGCGCCCCAACTGAAGCCGACTGCCATCGTGCATAGCCTGGAGCATATTGTAGATGAGATCCAGAACCGAAAGTGAGATGATTCTCTACATTTCACATCTTCACTGTCTTCACTGGAGCAAAGCAATTCACCACAACAATTGACCATAATAATTCATGATTGATTCAAATCAACCTTGGTAGTAATACCTTGCGGAGAGTCGAGGTATGACTTCTGATCCATATTTCAACGCATGCACGCGATGGCCAGGGTAGCGGATGTCCCTCACCGCACTGGAACAAAGAGCTCAGTTCATTCTAAAGGGTGCCTACGAAAGACCTCGCTGTCCAGCCTTGAAAGTGCCGAGCCGACCGCGTGCAGGGGTCGGAAGGGGATGTACAGCTGTTATGTATTTCCAAATGCTCCATATAGAGAAGCATCCGGGGTAAGCCAGCAGAGTCACTCTTTCCTCCCATTTCCCCTCGAAGAACCCATTGTAGAGTGAATTCCAGAGTGAATAATAGGGAGGATTTTCAGTTTATGTATGGAGAAGAAAAGAAGCGCGCGGAGCGAAATTTTCTCGAACAAAATAGCGCGGGCTGACTCATCGCCACGTGATCCCTTATCGATAAGAGCTGTAGGGTGGAATCAAGCTGCCTTGTTCTGGTTTCCTCTACGGCGCTTGTCTGCTTCACCAGGACACCCCTCCATGATGGCGTGGGATCAGACACGGTCGGCTTGGATTTACCCATTGCGGGTGGGTGATGAGATTTTTCAAAACCCCCCAGAGCTGTGAAATACGACGCTAACTGTTGACTAGGGTATTCAATATTTTGCGACCCACCGTTTTCTGTGGCCTCTCTTCAAGGCTCGCCTGTTACCTATTGTTCTCCTCTCCACCTTCGTCTACTTCCTCCTCTTCTTCTTCACATATCTGCCGCAAGTCGCATTCCTAGCCCTTTTCCAGGGAAAAGGAGCGTGGGTGAACGGCGCATTCCTGGTGCTGGGTGAAGGTGCGGCGATCGTGGCGGGTCTTTTCGAGGCTTTCTTTGTGGATGAGACTCTGGTGGATATATTTGACTCGATTCTCATTAATGAAGGCAATGAGGAGCTTGTCCTGAGGTCAAGAGTGATCTACCCGGAGGCTGGTGACCCTACTAGTCGCCTGGGCACTCCGACGACCAGTGCGGTGTATGCGCCCTTCTCCCTCCGACAGATCCTGGAGTTTATCATCCTGCTCCCACTCAACTTCATCCCTGTCGCCGGTACACCGATGTTTCTGGTTCTCACTGGATACCGGGCGGGTCCCTTCCATCATTGGCGATACTTCCACCTGCTGGATTTCACGAAGCCAGAGCGCAAGGATTTCATTCGGCGGCGGCAGCTGCAGTATACCACGTAAGTGTCCATCGTGTTGACGGCCCACACCACCGAGTGTTAATGCGTCTTAGTTTTGGAACTGTGGCTCTGGTTCTCCAATTGATCCCTCCCTTTTCGATGGTATTCTTGATGACTACGGCGGCCGGCGCTGCGCTCTGGGCATCCGACTTGGAAAAGAAGCGACAGCTTGCTAACCAACGCCCGGACCGACTGGGACAGGCGTATCATGATGACTTTTCCGTATGATGATTGGACGGGTTTATGTACCTCGGTCCAGCAGAACCTACTTTGAATCCCTAGCGGCTTTGTTTCCCTCCACCTGTAGCCCAACTTGACGTAACCGGTGATCCTGGGAGCCAGATCCGCGCCCTGCCGGGACCCTAGTAGGTATAGAGCATGAAGTCTATAGGATGCTAGGGTCTGCAACTGGCATCAACAAGGATCACTGGATCCGCCCCTCTATGTGCCCACGTGACCCGCACCGAGGGAGCTGAACGCGATGCTCGCATCTGTGGGTTTGCGCCGAGCATCGCGCTAAAACCCGCTAGTTCATTCCTTGTCGATTTAAATCCGGGGCTTTTTGGGTTGCATCCTCCAGCGCCCTCCTTCTGATCGCTGCTCCGTGCGCCACTCAATTCCTCATTGGCTCGTCCCTCGAACCCGCCAGGAAAAGGTCCTGCACAGGGTGCGATTCTGCCTTATTCGTGCACTGCGGCCCTTCGGCATTTGGCAGCACCAGACCCACGGAAACTAAGAGTGCGAGTGGGTCATCCAAGGAAGCTTCCCCCCGCAGCATCTGCATGGGGGGTTTTCCGAATTGCATCGTGGAGAACCTGGCCACCTGCACCAGAATCTAAAGGATGCTGAAAACGACCTGCTCCTTTCATGGATTCGAAAACCAGGCTGCGGAAGGCTTGCGATGCCTGCAGCATCCGCAAAGTGAAGGTGAGCCGATCCTCGGGTCTGCATTTCCCCCTATATGGCTGACTTGCGCGAAGTGTGATGCTGCCGGTCCGCCATGCCGCTCTTGCGCGAGCTTGGACATTCCATGCACGTATGAACGGCCTAGTAGGCGCCGTGGGCCCCCCCAATCGCCATGCGGAGATTCTCAAAAGGCAAAAGCTGGAGCATAAACAAGAGCCATCTGATGCCTCGCCAGGGAGGGCGACGGACTACCAACATGCGAGCACTCCTCAAGCCTCCTCAACCATTGTTCCTTCGCTCTCTGCCCCTTCCTTGTCTTCGGAGTCCATCTGCTCATTGCACACCGTGCAGTTGCTTCTCGATGACTTTTTCGTGTATATCCATCCTTTAGTTCCGATACCACATGAGCCCTCCTTCCGAGCGGCCTTCGAACGCCGGGAGGATGCCACTAGTGGCACTTTCCTAGCCCTCCTCGCTTCCATGATTGGATTCCTCGTTGCGTCGTTCCCTAGACGACCAAAGTTACGTCTCAACACCGAGGCAGAGCGCTCTGCATTCCCGAATTCGATCGCATTGGTCAAACGATGCCATGATGTTGCCATTCAAGCTCGAGGCACTGGGTATCTTGACCGAGATGCTACGATATACGACGCCGCTATTAGTTATTTTCTCGGCGCATGCTGCGCATATGTCTTCAATATCCGCCGGTGCCGCATCTACCTGGCCGAATGTAACTCAATGATCCAGATTTATGATCTATGCCGTCCGGCAGGAAGTAATGCGGAAGTCGCCCATACGACGGGGCTGTCAATGCCGAGTCCAGCAGCAAATAGCCCAGGGCTCTCAGCAGAGACTGTTTCTCAGGGCCTCACGGAAAAGAGGCCGATCGATCTAATCACGCAAGAGCTTGGGCGCCGCCTCTTTTATGTGACCTTGGCGGGCCATCAGTCACTACTCCAATTAGGCTCTCAGGATTCCAAGATCAAGATGCACTTGCCGCCGGAGACCTCGACTGACTTTTATCCCCCTTTGCCGCTCGAGATCGATGATGAATTCATCTTCCCGTCTCATTTTAACCCACAGCCGGCCGGCAGGGTGTCAAGATTGGTGGGGTTCAATGCGAATGTGAAGGTCTATCGCTCGTATAACTCCCTTCTTGCTTGGGAACTCGCTTTCGGGAGTGGTCAGATATTCAACTGGGAGCATCAAAGATCCACCCTGTGGGACTGCCTGCAGCAAGCCAAGGCTGCACTTCGGGATGTCCCGATCGAACTCTCATTGTTCCACCCCAAACAAGCTCCACCTAGGCTCCCTGGTCTTGTTGGAGATGGGTCAGTATTCAGCTATCCCCACGACCATGTGGACCAAGAGAAACGGGCGATACAGTATGAAATCCAGAAGGCCAATATCTATGCCAGTCAGCTGTGCACTCGATCCTGGCTGGTCGAAAAATATTGGTGTCTCTACGAAACATACATGAAATATCGAGAGCCCAATGTGTCAGATCTTCAACGGAGCACGACACCGCATGTCAAATCTGAAGACCACGCAGGCGATGTGAATGACGTTGCAAATGCATCCACAAATTCCTCGTCGCAGGCTGTAGCACATGCACAGACCGACTACATTGGCCGTATGATGGCCGAAGAACGAAAACTCGTGATCAAGGATCTGTTCGTCCTCCTCCGAACGGTCAACGAAGTGAATATGGAACCCAATGGTGCGAGTATTGTAAGTGTTCTCTGCTGTACGCGTACGGATCCTGACACTAACCCGTGCCTGAGACGAGTAAAATCCGCCAAATAGCATCCACCCTTCTCAATTTACCCTACTACTCCAAACCCCCCAGTGCTGGCACCACCCCAGTCACCGACCCGTCTGCAAATCCCGCCGCAGCCGATTCAAACGTCGCACCTTCCGGGCTTCACACACTCACCGCAACAGAGGCAGAGTCCTACCTGCATGCGTTCATCGAGACCCTCATCCGACTCGAAGGCTACACGTCCCCAACAACAGAACCCGGCAGTGCCTCAGACGAGCTTAGTCCGCGTGCCAATGGCCGCGCCATGAGTTACTTGAGTGACTATGAACGCGACCAGGAGGAGCTGAGCCAATGGGCCAATCTGAAAGAATATCAGCAGAAGTTTGCTGAGGCGGGAGGGTGGCTTTCTGAACTGTGAACTCGATCCAGTTCGATAATATCACGAATTAATGTTCCATGAGATCTCGTCACTATGATGAGTATCGAGTATCCTTCGATAACCCTCCCAATGTAACAGCTAGAATATATCGACTGACCTGACCCCGCTACAACCCATCGCTGCTAGTGAGCTCCAGACGTCGTCATCTTTGTTTGTTTTTTCCATATGAACTGTTGGACAGATCCAACGAACGCTGCGGCAGTCATGCGTGCCCTCGAATCTTCGAGCTTGGCCCTAGACCGTAAACCTAACGGTAGCCCTGGTCTCTGAAGAAAGCTGCGATGTTCTTCGTATTCTTTCCCAGGCGAGGAAATTAATCAGGGTTACCATCGTCATGCAACTTGACGGTAAGCCTTTCACCCACGACTTTGTTGAAAGACATCATCTGTCTTTACTCAATACAGTCAAACCAATGCATGTTATCCGGGGCCTCCTCCTCGATGCTGAATTTCGACTACCGAGTTATTCAGTGGCATATGAGTTGACTGGAATATGTTATACATAGGATGTGAGGCCTTTGACTTCAATGTATTCTCGCATGTGAAGCCTATTATTCAATGGGCTCGGATAGGGGGTAGGATACGACTGAAGGATGCCAATACTACTACGAGTTTGGGGTCAGATAACTCGATGGTATCAAGATAATCAACCCCGTCGGGAGAGACGCTCAAGGCCCGAGCCCAAAGGCATTAAAGAGATTGGCATTTGTTCCTGTCTTCTACAAATTGCAGAAAAAATAAGCTAGATAACTCCATTTGTTTTAGACTAGATTACTGCAGAATTGCTATATCGATCTCAAACCAATAAAAAACAGATATCCTTACTCGACCCAATTCCCAAACTCTTACACAGTGGCTGTAGAAACCGTCGTAACTGTTGTAGTGACTGTCTCCGTCCTGGTGATGAAAATATATCCCGAAGGTGACGTCGGGACCACAGACAACACATTGGCATCGTCAGCAGCAGCACCGCCATTAGCCATGGAAGAAGGGGTAGATAGCCCCGGGGCAGCTGCAGCAGCCGGCGTGACGGGGATGACAACAAGCGAGGTCGGACTGTAAGGGGCAGAAGAGGTAAGAATGACCGTTACGGTCGACGCAGGTAGGGGTGCGGCAGTGACGGTGACCGAGTGAGTAACAGGAGGCTCAGTCACTGGCTTGGCAGTCACAGTGACAGTATAAGTAACCGGCGGCTCCGTCGCAGTTACAGTGACAGTCGCTGGGGTAGCTGGCATAGACACAATCGAAGCGGGAGCCTGAACAGTGACACGGATTATGCTCGGCACTGGAGTGACACTGGTAGAGGAGGGCTGGACAGTAACCGTGACTATCTGAGGCAGCGGTGTGATGACGGAGGGAGGAGACTGGATAGTTACCGTCTGTGGCGGCTCAGAAACGGTGGTCCCTGGCTGGGTAACTATGGAGTTGACGGTCACGGTATTTGGAGCTTCAGAGATAACTGGTTGTACTGGGGTCATCGTCGAGGTCGACACAGGAGTACTCGGTATGAAAGCGGGGCTCGATACCACCCAAGGGAGGATTTCGGACGTACTCCATGTCACAAATGAGATCACCGGAGAGGATGTACTCGAAGCAGTGCCTTCTACAGTTGATATATTTGGTGCTGGAGGCGCTGAGCTTCGGCTGGACACTGGAGGAGACGAGGACTCGGGCGATGACAAGAACGATGAATGTGACAATGATGATAACGACGCCTTATCAGATAGGCTCGATTTTGGATCAGATGAGGGGCCAATTGAAGGCTTTGCGGGTGCACTTGTTATCGGCGTGGAAGTAGCATCGGCAGAGTTGCCAGACGATTGCGCCAGAGGACTGGACAAGACTGTACTTGCAACATGACTAGAAGTGGGTGGATAGACAATGACCGGTGATATCACCGGAGTGGGCGACGAGGTTGACCTGAAGCTTGTTGCAGAGGACGCTGAATATATAGATGCAGATGGAGACAGAGTGGAGAGCAAGGCAGAAGGCTTAGTGGTAACATCAGCAGACGATCTGCTCGTTGCAACCGACTTGGATGCCAATGAAGGGGAGCCCGACGCAGTTGAACTGATACTAATCGCCGACGGCCCTGCTGAAGAAGACGGCCCTGGAGAAGACGGCACTGGGGTAGAGACGGAAGAAAAAGTGGAAGACTTTTTCGTCACGGAAGAAGCAGACACAGAAGATGTTGTGGCTGCATTCAAAGTTGATGAGCTGGGAAGACTGGACGATGTGGGTATTGAGGTAGCCGTGGTTGGCGTCAAATGAGTGCTGGAACGCTCTGTAGGCGAAGAATGAGTAGTGGGCGAAGATTGGGACTGCATACTCTCAGTAGACGAGCCCCAACTTGAAGTTGTGTCGTCATCCAACCACGTGGAGGGCAATGTCACCGGAATCACGGTGAGTATGCCATTATCCGAGAATTCATCATTTTGAAGCTTCGGTGATGTGAATTCCGGCGAGGGTGTGATCCCCGGCGAGGAGCCTGTGGGTGATCCAGCGCGAGGCTTCAGAACGAAGGATCGAGAGAGCCGGCCAGCCGAGCAACTCCCAGCCAAGATCCCAAAAACAATGTAACGAACGAAATGCATCTTGGTGATTCGGACAGCTCTGTAATTCTTAGTGCCGTAAGAAGTGCTCTCCAGGACACAGATTAAAAGAAGGAAAAAAAGGGCAGGGCAAGAGATGGAATATGTAAACCTGCAAGAAAGGTCGATCTCAAAGAATGAAAGGATTGTTCTCTGTAAGGAGTAACATGACACGTCGAGGAGTCGCGAGATGTCAATACAGCGGCATGGCTGCCGGAGTGAATGAAAAGAGTGTGAGGGATATTAGAACAAGCCACGCTATGCAGCAACAAAGAAATGAAACGCAAACGAAAAGATGCGTCCGGAGGGAAAGGGAGCCATTTAAACAGATGGGGGCCTAGACACTATCGAGTCTGGCTGGCGTCGAAATCAGAGCCGCCGAAGCTAAAGAGGTGGGACGAGCTGGTTTCACTCGAAATAGATCGCCTTCACGCGGAGTGTTGCAGGAACCGCCCAGCGGTCCGCTGCGGGTCCTGATTGGTGGGCATCCTGGCCCACAGTCGATCTCCGCGCGTTGATTGGCCCGTTTTGGATCTGAATAATTTAGGCAGTTGTTCTGCAAGTTGCTTCTGCCCATAGCGCTGATGGTGGATTCTTTGGCTTTGGCTCATCAGTGCTGCGGTGGTGTTCTCAGGAAGGATGCCCTTCAGCGCAGATGGAGACTGAGAAAGCATCATTTCAGACGTTTGGGTTTATTTACAACGGACTAAAAGTACATGGGAATGAATGGATTTAGACTGGGCGCGACAATGCTTAAGCTACTGCAGACAACGCGGACCAATTTTAGGAAGAAGACACAGTGAAGGAGCTCCCGATGCCCTCGAAGGGTGAAATCTTCCCGGTCGCTTCCCGTGAATCACCGTAATAATGCAAACGATAGGTGCCATCTTGGAGGGTTGTGGGGTCGTCTACGCTGTAGAAGCTGTCTTCGATGGTCCACTGGATCGTCACCTCGCTATAGCCAAGGACCGTGTTGGTGCGTTCCCACAAAAAAAGGAGATTCCAGTCGCGGTCGGTACGAACAACCTCCCAGTGACCGGAACTCGGGTTCTTCCATTCAACCGCAGCGAAAGTCGCTTCCTGGCGGAGGTTGTTTCTGGGGTTGGCGCCCACGAAGGTAGTGTTCACGACGTCACCCGGCCCGAAGGAAGAGGTATTGGCTGGATGAACGAGTACGTCCCCATATGACATCCCAAGCGGGGCCCCGTCATATATCACCCCGGTGATGAAACTGAGGGAGTGATTGGTATTCACGGGCGGGCTCGGTCCACTTGGTATGGGTGGTAGAGTGGTGACATCCTTTGCGCTCCCTAGATATGGCAGATATGTGAGCGTCAAATTAATATAGGCGGCAAGGGTGTTAGGCCCGAAAAGAGTCGATGCGCCTTCGTAACGTTGCACATTATATTCTTCCTCGGTCGCCACGTAGTGCGCATAGCTGTTTGAGGGCGCGCCTAGCACAACCAGTGGGTCGGCAATTGAGAGTTTTTCTTGGACTCCTTTGGAGATAGCTTCCTTCCAGCGGCGCCCTGACATAGTTGTGGCCTCGCTGGTTGAAACAATCACAAAGAGTTGGCCCACGCGAAGGACTTGGATGTCGACAATATCAGGCGCCCAGGCGTACGGTACGGTGAGAGTCCCGACATCTAGCAAGATATCTTTGGCCCCTTGGCATTCCCTCTGTTCCTCTGAGGGCTCGTGAACCACTCCCCGGGCTACTTTCCAGAGAGGATTGTTCGTCGATGGGCCAGTGGCATTTTGTGTGAAATCAAATGCGCCCGGGCCATCCGTCGTTCCAGCAGCAAAGGAGTAGCCCAGTGCCGCAGGGCAGGTCTTCAGGATGCTCGAGTTGAACGGGGATTGGAACGAGTACCCATTCAAATCATGATACACATGGAAAGAGCGAACCCCCGCACTCCCAGTGAGCGCAGTTCCGTTGGTACTCATCTGCTCGTAAAGCGATTTAGCTGCGGAGTATTGCCGCTTCCCAATTTCAAAACAGCTTTTGGCACCATTATCCTTGACCCGGAAGAAGGGGCCGCGGCCATGGCAAGCTTCGTTCGACCCGCCACAGGTACTATCCGAGTATGTGCACATCTGGTCAGAGCCGTCTTCACACCAGGCACCGAGGATGTTGGGGCTGGTATCGCCAACATTGGATTGAGAGAACCCGATGACAACATCGTCAGCAAATCTCGAGTCCCCTGTGATACTTCTCTCGAAGAGATATGCGGCCACCCCTTTATTGTCGCCGGTCACTAGGGTGTTGTTGTTATACATCGAAGTGCCATGGACGGGGAACCAGGTCAAAACCGCCGAGGTCTTGTTATCTGACGCACGATCGAATCGCAGGAGAGTCAGCGTCTTGTCCACATTAGCCGAATAGCGAGCCTTTTCCTCTTCCGGGTTATGGTCATACGAAAACGGACTGCGATTGACATTCGCATCCTCTAGGTCAGGTCAATGGACCCAAAGGACAAGCGCCCCGGCGTCAGATTCTCGTGGGCGCGCTGGATCGAAAGAATTGTGCCATCGACGATGGCTTGATAGCTCTGCTTGTCGAACCCCTTGGTCGGGATCTGCGGCAGAAGGTAGTTCATCCATGCACCAGGGCCAGAATGGGAGTGCGTGCCCGTGAGCGCAATATTGTGCTCGCCATAGCGCGCATAATCTCCACCGAGCGCAGCCAGCCCTTGCAAGACTCCGTGGCGCACCGCTGTATCCCCTGCAAGGGTGTCCAGCACGAGGTAAATAAAGGTGTCGTCGGGCTTCTTAGGATCCGCGAAGATGAAAGCCCGCGAGTAGATTCTCTGCCGTAGGCCTGTGCCCAACTGATCCAGGCTCGCATAGCCATTAAAGTCCACTTCCACCACAGGACTGAACTTCGTGTTAGTCTTAGAGCATCACGCTCGGCGGGAAGTAGTTACTGCACCCAGTCACATCTGCCTTCCCTGCGCCGACTAAAAACAAGCTGTCGTCTGCCACAGCACTTCCTCTTCCTCTCCACTGATTAAAGCTCCGCGAGAAGCTGGCCTCGGGGATCTGATCGTTCTGTCGTGCGAGAGCCACGAGCTGCACGAATACCAACAGGGCCAAGGCAGCGCCCGCGAATAGGGATCCCATTCGAAGGTTCACCATGGCGTCTCTACCCTGGTTACAGATTGCACTCCACAGGTTTAGGAAGGCGAGGATTGTGACATCAGTACGCGGTGAAATGCGGCACAACCCCCAAGGGGGACCACGGGCTTTAATAAAAGGAGCTGAAGAGGGGAAAAGCTGGATCAGTACCAGCTCATGAAGATCTCTACCCCGGCTTGGCAAAGTTAACAGAGGGTTGCATCGCTTAGCCGCGACCAGGTGATGGACAGGGATGACTGGCGGGGACCATGCAGCTTCCCCATCCTTCTTTCACACATGCATTATCCAGTGCCTAGGCATCTTCTCACTTATACTCCTGCTGGGAGGTTCTATGAATCAAATGGGGCAGATCGGATCCGTCGTGATTGTGGTCCAGATCGCCAAGTACGCATTTCCCGTGCCGATGCCAGCGGCAGGGACTCGCATTAGGCTGTTGGTCGTGAAGACCAATTCCCAGTAACCTCTGTCAATTCCTTCTCATATGGAGCCACTTAAACCCCTCGCTGTACCAAGCTTGCTGTCTCTCAGCCTAAAATCCTTCACCCAACCTCCTACGGCGGAGATACTGCGTACAACTAGAGCTCAACGCTATCGCCATTCTCCACTTCCCCGCGTCAGCGTCTGTGTGGATGGGCGTATTCTTCGTGACTATCGCGAAGAGCTCTGATGCATTGGGTGTGCCGATGAGATCTCTGATCGCGTTCAGGGTCTCGGTCTTCTTTTTGGTACTTACAAGCACGCTCTTATCAGGAACACAGGTACGAGCAGGGCATCTTGGATTGACACCCTTCGAGGTATCGACTATGCTCCAGGGCTCAAGCTTCTAAGATGAGTGCGGTGGTCATGATAAGCCCTAGGCTTTTAGTAATGCTAAATGAGACCAAATTGACTACTCACAGACATGGCCAGCCATACTCAGACCACTGAATCACGTGACAAAGATGAATGTGAATTTCGCCTGGGCAGAACGGAGCGCTTGCCTTGCCCTCGCCAACAAGAAAGATCAGCTTCAGGATCTGAACCACCATATCGCCATTCTCCTTCAAAATGCCTCTCGTGAACGAAGTGCATGACTCTCTCCCTGTGAGTAGCTCTTTGAACACAATGGCCACACAATTTGCTGATCAGCTCCAGACGTTGACGCCGAGCCCTCGGCCTCCGCGCGACAAAAAGCTCAGCAGCTGGTTCACGCAGAACTATCTCCAGACCATTCCACAACCCTCCATCCTGCAATCCCACCATCCCCCGAACCCAAATTTTCCCCCTTCATGCAACAAGAACTCGAGCGCAAAGCCAGGGGCACACCTCTCACCGGCGGAATCGATTTGAGCCGCTACGAAGCCCCCGAAGCACCCATGCGCGCCTCTGACAGCGACCCTCCGAACCTTGAGGAGTGGCGCCAGGCTCTGCGACAGGCCTACGTTGCCAGCTCGCATCTCACCCAGCGCCACCGGAACTTGGCTTTACTCGAAGAGAACGGGAAAAACGCGTGGCTGATCGGCAACTCCCAACTCGAGGAAATTCTGCGTGGCCTAGAAAAGGAGCTGGTCGAAACCAAGGAGGCGACCGAGGAAGTAAACAAGCAGAGAAAGCTCGCCCAGGTGTCTCGCTATGGCGAGATCAGTAGTCTGGAGGAGACGTGGCAGCGCGGCGTCGGAGCCCTCTTGGATGTTGAGCTGGCTTCTGAGGGCCTTCGCAAACAGATTCTGGAACAGCGGCGCCAGATGGCGCAGCAGAACTCGATATGAGCATGTGCCCGTCCCTCACTTAGCCGCCCGTGAAGTGGCTTGTTCGCGCTCCCGCTCGGCGTTCCTTCGGCGGCTTCCAATTGTTCGCCTCTCATCCTTTGGGAGATCACGGGCAGAGAAAACAATCGGAGCCCCTCTCTCATCGTCCACGCATGAAACCTTCGTCAGCTTTGGATAAGTCTCCTTAGCACACCTCTTGTCAATGAACGGCGAGGTCTTGCGTTAGGTTCCACTACCTGCATCTCGAACTGCCAAGTTTCAAAGGACTTATGTCTCGACGTCGTCCGCGCTTACTTCTATCACGAATCTGTATATTCAGCGTGCTCGGGGCTCAAGTATGCAAACCGGTGAATGGGGTTAACTACTGATATTACACGGCTTCCAGCCCCAGACCCTAGACACAATCAAGACACCCCAATACAGCGGAATCTGGGCAGCAAAACACTGCCGTCCGTCGAATTCAGTATTAACTGTATTACTCGTATTCACCTCTGTAATATGCACTCAAGCCTAGCATATTTTTTGAACTCAAACGTTTCGTGACCAGTATGCCAAGTTAATTCCCAGTCGCGGCCAACGCATCAGCACTCTCAAATCTTGTTTGCCGGAGGCACGGTCTTGACATCGAATCCGCTCTCAGTCAACATCAAGGGCCCAGGGTGCTGCTCTACCGGGCTAGGGTCACCCCCAGCCTTCTGGTTCCAATCTAGTAGCTGCTTGCACATACCGTCCAGGGTGGTCAGGGGCGGGTTATAGCCAAGACCGCCCTTGTGTGGTGGCAGCCTCGCCCGCGTGTCGTCAGCAAGAACATGGACGTCCGTGATGGCGAACAGCGCGGGCTGGACCTGCGCCAAGTCGCCCGTGATCTTCGGTAACAGCCAAGGGAGGTACGCGTGCTGGATGAAGGAGTAGAATTCGATCACGTACCCAAGGAGGAGCATGAGGATAGGTTCGACGGTGGGGAAGGAGACGGGTGTTTTGGAGAGCTTGCCAAGCAATGTGTAGATGTCGCCAAAGGCAATCGCGGGGTTTGGATCTGTCACGACAAACGCCTGGCCTCCGATGTCCGGGGCCGTGGTGCCAGGTTGACTTTGTTCGACGAGACGCTGCTCGTAGAGCAGGTGGGCGATGGAGACATTCTCGGCGTTGACGAAACTGTGGACGATCGGGCGGACCCAGCTGGTTACCATGGTTTGGTGAGTATACCGGAAGTCTAAGCAAAGGGGGGATCTATGCTCTTACGTCGGGCTGCCACCTTGTCGTAGATAGTTACCGGTGATGGACATAGCAGCGTCGCTGCCGATGCCGTAGATTCCATTTGCAGGACGAATGCACCCGGTTCGGAAATTCGAGGCTGGATCGTCTGCGGCGCGAACTAGTCGCTCGGCTTCGATTTTGGTGACTGCATAGTTCCCAAAGAATTCTTCGTGCCGCTTGGGTAGTTTCGCATCGTCGCTGAGAACCTGTGTCATACGCTCGGGTTCCGACTTCCACGGCGCGACGAAGAAGTTTGGTTGATGAAGAGAGACGGAGCCCGACGAGGTGGAAATAAAGCAGCTGGCACCGCTCTTCCTGGCTGCGTCGAGCACGTTTCGAGTACCATCGACGTTAACTTTTGACAGCAAGTGTAAGAAACTCTTCAGCCGGTCTTGTGGGCGAATGATGGCGGCTGTATGGAACACGGTTAAGGGGTAATGCGTCGCCGGAGCCGGCCAGGATTGTGCAAATGCCGCATCTACAGCTGTTTCATCGGTGATGTTTGTCTGGACGTATCCGACGCCTTGCGCCAGGATTTCTGCTGTTGGGGCGAGAAGATCGAGGATGCGAATCGACGAGGGGTGTTCGCCGCGGGCCAAGAGGTGGGATACAATCCACCCCCCCAACCAGCCCTGAGCCTCATATTAATCTGGGGAAGTCGTCCACTGTAGACTGAGTCAAGCACCTACCGGATCCACCCACGACGATGTAGCGGCGGGATTGTTTGGGAGGCAGGCTCTTCACGACATTCACAGGGTCGTCGATGGACTTTTTGTAGGCGCGTTCAATTTCATCTTCCGTCCAACGATGCGGGGAAGCCCGATTGACCTCCTCCGGCACGGCCTTCATGGTCTGGTTTACATGGCGCAAGTAGTACACCAGCAGTCCCAGGAGCACCGCGGGGACGAGCAGAGCCATCGCGACTTCCTATGCACTTGCGGCCGAAGAAACACCCTTGTCTGTGGAACTTCCTTCTTCGAGGGACCCTGGATATGAAGAAACCAGGAGAACAGGCGACCGGGAAATGGGTCACCGCGAAGGAATCGAAGGTTGCCTATATTCAAAGGATTCGACGTCGGAATTTAACCCGAAGACTTCTAGTGCTCTTGTGCAGCCTGGCTAATATCACTGACCAAGACTACGACTACAGACCAACCATCCTTCACTATCCCTCCAATACGGTGACATCCGGCGGGTTCTTGTAGGGTCGCTTAGGCGCAGACGGCTCGGTTAGTGTAAACGAAAGCCACTAAACAGCCGTGGTGGGCCACTGCTCGATCGAGCCGACCTCGCTTGGCTGTTTTGGGGACCTTGGGACCAATCAGGCAGGCCACCGCGAGCTCTTTTCTTAGATCAGGCACGGTGGGAACCCGGTTGAAATAAGGCTTGGGATCTGAGACCGGGGCACACGAAGCGAAGCACTGCCGGGCTCCACACCTCTGCACTCGCGAACACTGAAAAAGGAAGCTGTGACGGATAGCGTGGGTCTCGTTGATTGGGGCTCCACCTTGTCTGCGATTTCAACGTGGACGTCCAAAGACCTTCTTTTCCTTTTCTAAAGTAGCGCGAAGCATGTGATGCTTGAGTATCATGATATCATGCCCCAGGGTGATAGGAGCACTTTAGGACCTTGCATATCAAGCTTTCTCAATAGCCCGAAGCACAACATATGCCGACTTAGAGCGTTCGTCGCGAAGGTCTCACGTGCTATTCGTATCTGTCAGGCTTGAAAGGAGCAAGCCGCCGCCTCACTCGTACTAGTAACAGCCAATCACACCAGCGTAGGAACATCAAAATATCCCAACACCTTCCCCATTAGGCAATCGGTGATATATGCTACACATACGAGTGTAGTCACTTGCAATGCCATCTTCAGACACTCGTGGAGAGTCTGGTGTGCTCTATTCAATCGAGGCTCGTCTAGCACCAGATAAGTCTTTTCGCAGCATCCTGGAATCCGAGTGCTTTTGTCCCGCACACAAAGACCGCACCCACAAAGGTGTAAAAAAGATATTCTTTGGGTCACTGGCTCGTAGCAGTCGAAATTGCTCCCGAAGCTCAGTCGGATTATCAGTAAATCGCCAAAGATAGCCAAGGGTTGCTACTCTTTATCTTGGTACTTAGACGACCTTCTGATCTATCCTGCGAGGAACATGTGCCAAGCGAGCTAAACGTAGATATTGTTGCAGCTGAATCATCTGAGCCGCTAGCCAGATTTTCCCCAGATATGTCCAAATCAACCCCCTCTGAAACTGCCTCCACTGGCGCCCTCACTATCACGTCCAAGACAATACCCGTATCGGCATCAAAGTCGGAATCTTTTTCGAATTCTGGCTGCAGGGCTTGTATTCCATCTCCGCTCATGTCGCGGGCAAGTGGATCACCATCCTGGTATCCTCCCTTCCCCCTACAGTGCAGGAACTTAGCTGCTAGTTGGAGCAATGATGCCATGACGATTCCGGGGTTCTTATGAAGATCGAATGTTCCCATGGTTATGCAGGAGCGTCGATATGCGATCTCTGGAAAGGTAGACCTGGCAAGTGATTCGAAATGTAGGCTCGCCTGTGAGCTCGTACTCGTATTGGGTGGAGATTGATGTTCTGGCCTGGTATCACTCGCCAGGAGGGCGTAATAATGCTCGCCACCAGGATTATGCCGACAACTGTTTGTCGAAGGTACTTTAATCCCACTGCCTCGACTGTATCTGCCATCGGATGGCCAAGGTCTCTCCCCAAAGAGAATTTTCAAAAGTCTCCTAAATCTCTCCACGTTCCATGCCGGTGCCTAAATACATATGCCAGGCATGCGAGATGCTTGGCACGGCCCTCGTCCGGCATAATTTTGAAGCGCTTGAATACCGCTACAGGTGTAGGAGCCGACGTTAAGGAGACCGATGCGATATGTTAAGCTGGGTTGGTTTCATGCAGATGACAATAGTGGATTATGAAGGTAGACAGATGACCACAAGCTCACTCTCAAGTTCAAATGTTACCAAGAATGGCTACCATGCCGTGAGCCCTGGCAAGTTCGCAAACTTGAACACTGGAGAGTGTCCGATTCAATAAAGCTTTATAATTTCCAATATCTCAAATAATACGAGCAAGCACGGCCTGGAATCTTCTAGTAGGCCCACCCACGACAGTCAAGTAGTTCAAGTTCACATCACCCTCATGCATTACTAGTGATATATCTTGGATAAGGAATTGAGACTTTCGGGGTCGACATGCCAAATATGACACCTCGTGCGAATATGTCGCTGGCCTCAAAATTTGCTGCAACTCAAGGAAGACCGCGTCGATTGATGAAGTGTCAAAGACCCCTCCACCAATCGCTTGCCTGCTTCTCGCTGCTCCGTTATGGCCCCCTCGGTCCGTTCCGCTTTGCTCTTCTGCGGCACGATCCCCCACTTCTGCTACACGATCACCACCCTTGAGCCCTTGTCAACCCCCGGCCAGATCTTGGTTTGTGAGAGGTTTTCGTGTCAGTGAATGGCCCCGGTCCGCTCAACCAGTCGAGATTAGATCTCCGTATATGGGGCTGAGGAGGGAGGATCCACGACCGAGCCATGGGCTCACTGCTCGAGACACCAGAACTATCTGAAGGTAATTCCCGTCTGGATATCTTCATAGAATGAGGAGCGCCAGGGATGGAGTTCACTACGCGCTTCGGTGACGGGCTAGTCCGCGTGCGAAACAGGCACATCCGGCCAAAGAGAGACGCGGCCGCTTGGCGCGAGTCATGTACGCATCGGCAAAAGGGCCCAAGGTCGGGACTTGCCGACTCTGTTTTTGCCCACGATTCCACGGTTCCCCAGCCAAGACTTCAAGCACATTGGTCAGGTGGGACTTTGGGTGATGTCTGGGGAATCCATTGCCTGTGGAGATGTAGCTCGGGAACTGCAGGGCCATTTGCGGCACACAAGGGCAGGGCTTCCAGCTTTTATGACGTCCATCGGCGACAACTCCGAATGAAATGCCTTTCTTCACGAATGGAGGCCTTAGCACCTTCGGCGCCCCACCTGCAATTGTGAAATTTCTTAGCGTCAAAGATGAATTTTCAGGGCTCTGTTGAGTTCGGACGTGGACACTTGAGACCCAGTCGCTGGAAATCCTAAATCGATCTCGCTGCCGTATTAGCGATGGCATGAGCGTTGCATTGATGCTTAAGAGATACGACTCGCTTTAATACACCACACTAGTTGTTCTTTAGTCAGTTCTGAATACAACTATTCACGGTTCCTGACCTGAATTCTGCCCAAGCGTGGTTACTCGGATCACCCACGTAGTTTGGGGTTACTGATTGATTCGCTGCTCCACCTCTTGTGCCTGCCGGAGTATACGCTCATAATCTCCTACCGCAATGGCACCTGCAGAGAAGACCATGACAGCTTCCACGCAGACAGGACGGGGCGTCACTCCCGCGGACATGGCTCCCGGCGATGATTGAGAGCTTTCGGACTGTGAGTCCATTTGCGAAGAAGTGAACGATGACGATGTATTTGCATCGCGGATGTAGCCCATGATATTCAACCACGCGCCCACGCGGAGCTGCTCCGCATTCATATTTTCAAGGACGGCATTTACGTCCACAGTAACCGAGCTTGGCTGTGGCTTGTTGCGCGGGTAATGGTGCTCAAGCACCAAGTGGCCTTCATTGAAATTGTATTGTCGAACGCTATACTCAATTCCGAGGGGTAAGCATATCAATCCATCGGCTATCGCTCTCAGCCCGAGCTGAGTGGGTTTCCGTAGTAGACGCACCAGCCCAAGAAGCGAACCTTCGACCCTGTAGCTAGTTCACTGAGATCGCACAGGAATGCACGCGTCGAAGGACGCGGCCCATTCTCCATGCCGTCGCTGGGCGTAGATGAATCGATTCCCGCAATAGATAGACCTCGGACCACGTGACCTTGTGTATGTCATAGAGGGGAGGGAACTTTCCCCTCGCTGCGCCTATCGCCTCATCACGAGACTTCCTCAAGACTCTACGGCTGGATTGTGACCTACGTGCTCCGTGCCCTCCCATTCTGACTCTGCCATCTGACCACTCTGCTATCACAAACGCCCTCTTGCCTGCGTTTGCTGATTGCTGGGTGCCTATCTCTCCCCACTTCCGTCTGACGAGCCGCACGTCGCGGAGGTCCCTCGAGATCTTTCTCGCCGTCTCCCTCGCTTATTGCTACCTGGTCAGCGTCAAAACACCACTCCTCACTCTTGGCTGATTTCCGTTCCTCTGAAGTCCCAACCCGCCGGCAACATGTGGTCTTGGTTCGGCGGAGCCGCCGCTCAGAAGCGGAAGGATGTGCCTAAGAACGCTATCTTGCAGCTGCGCGAGCAGCTGGACATGCTACAGAAACGCGAGAAGCATTTAGAAGCTCAAGTCGCAGAACAAGATGCTGCTGCGCGGAAATATGTCAACACAAATAAGAACGGTAAGTGATTCGCTTCGATGTCAGTCCGCAGATCTAGACGTCGCTCTTCCCCGAACGCTTCATCAGACTGCACGTGGCTAACATGCGATTCTCGTCTGAGTATAGCTGCCAAGGCCGCACTCCGACGAAAAAAGGCCTTGGAGAAAAATGCCGAACAGACCTCCGCGCAGATTCTCCAGCTGGAGCAGCAAGTGTATTCGATCGAGGCTGCAAATATCAACCACGAGACGCTGTTGGCGATGGAGCGGGCCGGCAAGGCTATGCAGCAGATTCATAGTGGAATGAACATCGACAAGGTCGATAAGACAATGTACGTGTGGCGATTACACTGGCGTCAGAGAGGGCGTGGGTTGGCAATTGTTCTAGGCCGATCTACCTCCCCCTTTTTTGAAGTTTGACGAAAGAGGCTGTGTTACGGCACGCTAACTGCTTATCTAGGGAAGACTTGCGGGAACAACACGCGCTCAGCGAAGAGATTGGGCGGGTTATCACAGACGTCCCACTGGGCGAGCAGCCAGACGAGGACGAATTGGAGCAAGAGCTGGAAGGCCTCGAGCAGGAGCAGATGGACGAACGGATGCTCAACACCGGGCCAACTCCTGTTACACCCGCACTGGACCGGCTTCCAGCCGCAGGCACTTCGGATCGTAAGTTTTTGCCCGCTTCTGAGATACCCCCCCCCCCCATGCAATGTGTTGACCATCATCGACAGTAAACAAGAACAAGCCGGCTGCGGTCGAGGAGGACGACGAGGAGGCAGAGTTGGCCAAGTTGAAAGCGGAAATGGCCATGTGAGCTGGGCTCGAGCGCATACCGGCTTTCATGTGCTCAATGGCTACGCCTTTTTTCCCCCGTTTGTCCTGTCTTCGCTTCCCCCAACACTTTGCATTGGATGACTTCCCGAGCAAGCCTATTGTTTTCTTTAATGTATTCTGGCGCCATTTCCTTCCCTCTCTAACTATACACCTTCAATATGGTTTCTTCTATCCATTATGGTGCCGGGAGTCTGTCAATATTGCTTTACACTACGGGAATTGAACCCTATTCTAGACCATTCGGATCCATTCCGGTAGACACGGCAAGACCTCGAATTGACGGAATTCACAGCCGGGGAGCTCGCCCAAGCAAAGATCTTCATGCTTCCTGGCTGGGTTCATACTGCGTATCACTATGTAATCCACCCATGGGGGAAAATCGGACATTAGAGCGCATGGACTGGTATCTGCAATTACCATCTCAGAATCGGAATCAAAATTTGATATCAAAACACCGAAAAAATAGAACTCCCATGACCAGCCCTGAACCATGCTTGACCAAATTTCGCCTTAAACTGCCCCTCCATCATGATTGGATTGCAACTCCGCGGGAATCGAAAACAAGAAACAGTAAATGAAGAAAGAAAAAGAAACCAGCAAGCCCATCCGCACTTCAGACATCAGTGGAGCCCGGACGAATCACGAGAACCAGGCGTAGCTCTTGAGCGGACGCGAACGCGCGCAGTCTTCGCTCTCCGTCGACCAGCGCGACTTCCATTCCACTTCGTTCGCGGCTGCGTCAAGCAGAGCTTCCTTGCAGTCTTCCGGGAGCATGGCGATGATTTCAGGGTTCATGAATTCCACGTGGCGTGGGTTGGCGATGCTAACAAGGCCATTAGGGCCCAGACTTCGCAGATCGCCGTCTGGGCCCGGCAGACCCATGTTCGAATACGGGGGGAGATTCGTAGATGATGTCTTCAACAACATACTTGCTCGACACGGAGATGGGAACGGGAGGGAAGATGTTGCCAGCTTGCTCCTCAGTAGTCTCATTGGGAGTGCTCGGCTCGTTGTTTGGGCGTGCAGCATTTTGGGATTGGGAGGTTGGGTCCACTTGGGTGAAGTGAGGGCCTTTGCTGCCAATACTCAGAGAAGACATGTCGTCCATCAATTCGGCGGTGCTGCGGGAGTCGGGAGGCGAAACCCGTTCATAGCGAACGTGAGTCGGTTGCATAATCCGTGGATAGTGAATGGCATTGGTGTGGACATCGTAGGTTCCATTCATGGTAGCCTTTCGCAATTCAGCCAGCTTGGAGTTGAAAGCACTGTATAGGGGTTAGTATGAAAATCCGGCGGCGGTGATGTTCCAGGACACAAAATTTACTAACCTTGCTGCACGGGCATGCTCAAGCATCCAATTGTCATCGGTGACGGGAACACGTCGCTTTTTGGGATCAGCGGGCTTTCCACCAGCCATAGGCACCGAGGGGCGTTGGTGTGATAGACACTGCTGGCTCCGTGCCATGCCACGTATTGGTTGCGGTTATATTCTTCTCCAGGCCCGGGGAGCTTGTCTTCAGGGACAGCAAGCTCCCCTTCTACATCGCCACGCTCGCGCGCGGCATCTTCATCATAGTCGTCCAGGATCTTTTTGCCGGCCACAACAATCTTGGCTCCGAATTCACGGAAGACTGAGCGGGCAGTCACAACACCGATGGCACGACCCTTGTAAGAGTGAGAGGATGATATCACGCTCGATCAGGTCACGCTTGGCGTCGTCATCGATAATGATCTTGTACAGCATCTTGTGTTTTTGGAAAAAGAGGTACGAATCCCGGAAACCAATGCATCGTGCAGGCTCGGTGGACAACATGTACAGACGATCGCCGCGGTTAAGGATGGTGAAGGTGCGGACTCGGTATTCCCGTCCACCTTGCAGGTGGCCATTCTCATCGACCTTCGTGTCGCCTACGGGGTTGGGAGGCAACGAGACTTCGTCGTTCACCACATCCATCAAGTTTCCTTCCTTGTCCACTGGGATCTGAGTATTCTGAGCACCGCCGCGGCCTCGCGACCACCGACCACCGCTAGCCGCAGGACGCCCCCGGCGACGCTTGACGGGAGTCGTCACACGGATGGGGGTGTCAGGGCCGTCAGGAGCATCCCAGTCGGGAGGCCGGTTCTTGGGCGGCCGACCGATACGGCGTTTCCGCGGAATGGCCGATTGACGGCCGCCTGAGAACGCTGGGGTCCCTGCTTCTTCCAGGACGGAGGCATCTTCTGCTGCAGGGGTCTCGGCACTTCCTGCTTCGTCGCCCTTGGTGTCCACGGGGGTTCCCGATTGGGCTTCTTCATCTTCGTCGTCGACTTCTGGATCCACGTCGGGGTCATTCTCCGGTGAAGGGGGGTCGATCACAGGCGACGATGGCTGTGAGGCTGGAGCATCGCCCATCTCTTCGTCCGATATTTCAGGCAATTGAGGCGCATTTTCTGGAGGAGCTTTTTAGTATGGAACGCGCGCATAAGAAACACTTGAATACGAGCTAGGGCGGTCGGGGAGGCCAGCAGACAACGTACTCATGGATTTGGCTGCTGCTTGCGCAGCCGCCCTGAGTTTGCGGGGCATCGCGTTCACCGGGCGTTTGGATTGCGGACAATTTCAGGGTCGAACGCTGCCAAAATGGGAAGCCGCGCCTGTGAGGCTCAGACTGTTTTGCTGCTGATCGGGTTTACCTTGATCCGGGTGTCCCAGTCTATCACGTGATCTCCACGGCGTGAACTTCTCGTTGCCTCAGGCGAAGGCCTTCAATGGGTCTTTTTTGGTATTGCCTGCCTGTTTGACGAGGCCATCTATCTACGTCATCGCTAGCGCGATCAAACTGCACGCGAATCACATCACGAGTGCCACTCTGCTCTCGCACGCGCCAAATTCTAGGCCCTTGAGCAACCCTCCATTAAGTAGAATATCACCACGGGCTGCTCTCCTCCGACACTACTGAGCCCCAACCCCATCCAGGTGGCGATGTACCCCTAGGGACCCCGCTCAACGCTCATCGGGTGGCTCACCGTTCCCACCGTTCTTTCCCGATGGGCTTGCTAGCCCAGCTGGCCCGTGGTGTATCACTGGCTCCGTCCACCGAAACTGGAGCCCTATTGGAGAGCCCTGTATATCTGCCAGGCGCGCGTAGCTCGATGTCACATGCAGAGAGCGCTGGAAATGCTCCCCAAGCACCTTGTCTGTGCGTCGGAGATATGTAGGTGAAAACTATACATTGCCACTTGGGGGGTTCAGGAGCTGTCTGAAGTATCAGGGGTCTATTGGGTCGCGGGTGCTAATGGTCGTGGGCGCGTTCATTCCAGAAGAACCAGAGCGGAACGCGCGACCTCGGAGAGGCGAGTCGGCTGCACGGCTGCACGGCTGCCGATCGTCGCATATCTTCACCGCAGCTTGCAGATGACCTGCTAATGGGGAATCGGGGGCTTCTGATGGGCTCAAGTCGCAACTTCAATTTGCTAGTGGAGAAGCCGATTCTGCCTATACCAATCTGCCGTTTTGCCTACTGCCTTTAAGACAACCCTCTCGTCAAACCCTCCCAGACTCCGAGCTCTCCGAGCCCTGGATTCCATCCCCGGGATCAGAGGGTGCCGCTACGTGCCTCGTCCCGAAGAGGTTTCCTTCCCCTGGGATCTCTTTTCCAGCTTCTGGACATCCAATTGGGGCCAAACCGATTCAAGCAATGAGGGGTGATTGTCGATCCCTCCCCAACTCGGGCAGAAGAATCGGGGACGACCATGATGTCGTACATACGAAGCTTTGAGCTGTTGCTTTTGCTGTCTACATTTCTTTTCTTTTTCTTTTTTTCCCCTCTCCTCATTGGCATGCCAGTTGCGCCCTCGCCTCTCGAGCCCGGCTTTGACTTCCGTCAAACCAGCGACGCCGACCCAACGAGCGCGGACTTTAGGCGCTGCCCTATGACGCAGTAGGTGGAGATCCCCCCTCCCTTCCCATGTAGGCTATATCGCCAGCACAGGCACCTGTAGAACATAGCACTAGTAGGGGTCGCCGCGCGACACTGGGATCCCACTGCAAGGGGCCAACAGGGGGAGGGGGGACTAAACCGGGCTCTATTGCAAGGTTGTAGAGACTGTCAGATCACGATCTGGAGGAATTGCCGATCTGACTCGGGTGCTGAGGAAAACCCCAAATATAAGAGACACGATGCCACGGACATGACTATACTGCACTGAGCGTGTGGATCGCTCCTCGCTTGGGTAGTTCCGACTTGCATTACCCTCGAGGCATCCTGTACCCCGCCCTTCTTTTTATCTCCAAACTGAGAGGTGGATGGATGGTGGAGTTTCTCGTGCATCGAAGGATAAGCCCATGATCAGAAAGTTCCAAAAAAAGGCGCAACTTACCCACAGCGGCGACTCTGCGTGCAGCTGCCGTAAGGCCAACCCTGGCTCAGCATGTCACCCTGCCGATCCAATAGTGTCAGCGGGCTCGAGTCATTTGGTGGCCCTTCTAGGACGCTTCATATCTACGCAGCGTAGGCATTCGATGGGAGTTTGCACGGGCACGACGCCGAGGCGAGGCGCCTGGCTGCAACGGTATAGATCCTGGTCGGCACATGCAGCCCCCAGGTTCTATTGGTCCCATGTAGTATCTTTTTTTTGTGTATCATTTTTATTTCCAGAATGCCCGCAGTCTCTGAATCCCCATTCCTTATCGCCTCTGATGCCCTCTTTTACAGACTCCGGCCCATACGCAGCGTAGATAAGAACCGCCCCATTCCGTGTGGTTTGCGATCCGACCTGCAGGAATTGCGCTGTTCGCCTCTTTCAGACGCACTGCCTCCGGGGTGGGTGCCATTAAAAGACACCCCTCAGCCCAGTGGGGCTGCTGTAAACCCAGCGGCGGCTTTTCGACCAGACCAACCGTTTGGAAAACCTCGCGAGGGTTGACAAGATTGCATTTCGCCAGGACTCTGGATTTTTGGCCGGCAGTGGTGGCAGGAGGCACCAGTGTGCACTGTGGACGGAACCCGCGCGACTCGGGTTGCTCATCCCGCAAACACCCTTTAAATCTCCATTAGCTCATCATCGGGCGTCGAATATCGATTTTTCCCTCCTCTTCTCTCCCCCCCCCCCCCGCTTTTGCCTGTTCAATCCTGCGCCCTTGGAGGTTTCGGTTTTGAATGGAAACACAATGGCTGCTGCGCAGGGAACTGAGTTGCACGGAGATGCGGACTTGAACCCTCCAACGTGAGTCCACTCAGAATCTACTTCCCGAAAGTGCTCCCAGGCACTTCCCTCCCTTCCCCTCCCCCTCTCTGCAGTCTGCGGGTGACGAGGCGGAACCACAATTGGCGATGACAATCTTCAGCCTGGTCAGCCTGCAGTTGCTGCAGTCCCCGGAGATCGCCTGCAAACCGGCGAGTCGATCCGGTCGCACGGGATTTTGGCCTACGCAGAATACCCCCACCATGGCCAAGACAACCACACAAAATGGACTCGACGTCCTCTTTGGCCTTTGAACGTCCTGCTAATGATGCTCGATGATATAGCTCCGTGTCTACCGACACCGTGCCCGAACAGGTTGGATCGAATGGATCAACGCCCACGGGCATCGCCACACCGCAGCCCGACCCCGCGGACAAGCGGTTGCCGTCTATCATGCACAACTATTTCCAGGTTGGTTCCTTCTCCGGCGATAAAGCCAGTCTGCCGCGGTTATGGTCTTGCCTATCCAAATCTTCCGGGAACCATTCCCACCCGGGCGCTTCGACCGAGTCTTTTGTCATGCTGGGTCGAGAAGAGGGGTCTGAGAAGCTCGAGCCCAACCTTCCTACGCCTCCCCATTCCTTGTTGCGGTCGGATGAGATGGAACTCCCGTCGAGTCCGGACCTTTCAGGAGGCTCGATTCTGGATACCCTGAAGAAATATCTCTCCCCTGCCTCGAGCGACCCTCCCTCCCGACCCTCCTTCCAGCCGTCAAACTTCCCTGCCGGTATCGAGCGTCTCTGATGACCCCGTGCTGGCCACCCATTTCTCCAACCCATGCCTCCCCTTATACAGACCCATCTACCCTTTCTGAAGCACCCTTACTCGACCATGAGAAACTGCAGACTGTCATTTCTGAGAATCCAAGCAAGCTGACTGATAACGTGCCCGCCGCGGTGCGTCTGAAGAACACTCCCCCTCTTACCCCCCGCGCGATGTCCAACGAGGAGAAGAAACCCGTCACATCGGCCGCCCCAGAATCCGAGACGGAGCCGGAAAGCTCCGCCGACGAAATTGCGATGAAACTCGACGAGGCCTTCCCTCGCCAGTCCTCCCCGCAGAACGGCGCCCCTGTCGGCCCAATCAAAGGCAAGCTGTTCGTGAAGATCTCGGAAGCCCGCGGTCTCCGTCCCAGCACCGATCCGTACGTTGTCTGCGTGTTTGAATGGAATGAATACATCTCCAAGGGCACCCGAGATGGTGAAGAGGAGGAAAAGAAGCGCCGCGATCAAGAAGAGTCCGACGCTGCCGCCGATGCTGCCGCCGACGCGGCCAATGCGGCGGCGGCGGAGGCTGGCCGTCCAATGGCCATTCCCATGAAGAGCCGCCAGAGCAGTTACAACAGCGCCCTGGATGGGCAAGAGCCCAAGGGCAAGGCGCCTGTCACTGACCCTCACTGGGACCACGAAGCTGTATTGTATGTTTGAAGCACTCGGGCGCGCTTTCCTTTGATGATGTGCTAACTCGGCTATTAGTGACGTGTTAGGCGATCAATCCGAGGTGGACGTCACCGTCTATGACCGCCACAATCAAGAGGCATTTTTGGGCCACGTGCGATTAGGGATCAATCTGAAGGATGATCACAGCAGATTGGAAGGCTGGTTCCCCTTGGTTGCTCGAGGGGCTGGTGACAGCCAGGTGTCCGGCGAGATTTACCTGCAGATGCAGTTTGAGATGTCTGATCGCCGCCAGGTCGGCCCTGACGACTTCACGGTTCTCAAGCTGATCGGGAAGGGCACCTTCGGTCAAGTGTACCAGGTGATGAAGAAGGACACCGAGCGAATCTACGCGATGAAGGTTCTTTCTAAGAAGGTGATCATCCAGAAGAAGGAGGTCGCACACACCTTAGGGGAGCGCAATATCCTGGTGCGCACCGCGATGGCGGCTTCGCCTTTCATTGTAGGCCTGAAGTTCTCCTTCCAAACACCAACAGATCTGTATCTGGTCACCGACTACATGTCTGGCGGGGAGCTTTTCTGGCACCTGCAACGGGAAGGCCGATTCCAGGAAGCACGAGCCAAATTTTACATCGCGGAGCTGATCCTCGCCCTGCAGCATCTCCACGACCACGACATCGTGTACCGGGATCTCAAGCCCGAGAACATCCTGCTTGATGCCAATGGTCACATCGCACTCTGTGATTTCGGGTTGTCGAAAGCCAACCTCACCCAGAACGACACGACCAATACCTTCTGCGGTACCACGGAGTACCTCGCCCCGGAGGTCTTGCTCGACGAGCAAGGCTACACGAAGATGGTTGACTTCTGGTCTCTGGGTGTTCTCGTGTTTGAGATGTGTTGCGGATGGAGCCCGTTCTATGCCGAGGATACTCAACAAATGTACAAGAACATTGCCTTTGGCAAGGTGCGCTTTCCGCGCGATGCGCTTAGCACCGAAGGTCGCAACTTCGTCAAGGGTCTCCTCAACCGCAACCCGAAGCACCGGCTTGGCGCGAACGGCGATGCCAAGGAGCTCATGGCGCATGCCTTCTTCCACGATGTCGACTGGGATGCTTTGTGCAAGAAGGAGGTCATTCCGCCGTTCAAACCCAAGCTTCAGTCCGACACCGATACCTCTAACTTTGATCCCGAATTCACCAATGCGCTCGAAAGTAACAACTCTCTCAACGACCGTGCTGCGGCCCTTGCCAATGGCTTCATGCCTGCGGGCACCCCCTTGTCGCCCGGCATGCAAGCTAACTTCCGCGGTTTCACCTTCGTCAACGAAAGCTCCATCGACCATCACGTCAAACACGACCTTGAAGATGAGATGGACGAGGATACGATGCTTCAGGATGAGGGATGGCAGCGAGGCCACCGCACGAAGGGCTCGACGGATGCACGCATGGGCGGCGTCCACAAGTCGGGCGAGGGGGCGGACCCAGGGATCTTTAACGTTGACGAGAACTTCTGATGTGATTACGCCGTTTCCTTCGTCCTATCTTCCCCTGCATGATCTTGGAGTCTTGATCTTGTCTTGTATATGCCCTGGATGCATCTGTGAACCCTCAGCATCCTCTACGTTTTTGGTTGTCCTCAATTCACGTTTTTCTAGTGCGCCCTCGGGGATCTGTCTGCTTGGCTCTCTCCATCTTATTTCCTTTGATGTTTCGAATCTACATACCCCATCTCCTGGGTGAACCAAGCCCATGGGAGACTTGCATACCGACGGATTTGTTACGGGTGCTCTGCCTTGCCCGATGTTCTAGCGGAGGAACATGGCCCCGGTTCCGATTTCATGTCTTTTTCCTTTTTATTCTTTTTGAGTGGATACACGGTTCATCTATGCCAACAAGTGTGATGTTTTCTCTGCTCCTTTCTAAGACTTCGGTACAGCTTCCTTCAACGGTAATTACATGTGACACGCATCTGTGGAGACAAATGTGTCAACTACCAGCCGCGTCACCTGAGTGAATCGCAAGATCTGGATTTGATGGTTTTATTCTCTGGCGTTCAGACGGGCAGGCGCGCAGGAACACGATGCTGGGGAGACCAGCGTTGCAGCTACTTCCCTTTTGGCGGGAACTGGGTCTATCTACACAATTGATGCCATTTCACTATGTGATTCTAGTTCTGAGGCCTCTTGGTCGCTGGACGTACCTGGAGCGACCACCCGTATGGGGGCAGCTCTTACCGGTCCAGCCCCGCTTAGACCATTGATACGAGAAAACAATTCCCTATTCCCAGTAAACATGATCCTGGTACTGCCATTTGGAGCGCACCGTCCAGCGCAGTGTTGTATGTGATTAATATGTCCTCGCTACGAAGTGGAAGCTCCCGCTGCTGTGGGCTTTCAGGAGGCTCCGGGGACAGCGAGCCATGTCCACGTTTAGACGCTTTGTATCGATGGAGGCTAGTCCAGATTCATTCACCAGTCGTGTCCGCAACCTTGAATGATGGAAAGTGGCGTCGCGTTTGGTGCCTTCATTCTTGGCCCCGACACGGCGCTCAACGGAGCAATATTGAGACGCAGAGAAGTACCAGTCAGTGTAGGCGGGATGCGCCGTAAAACTCATCCCCTCTCTTTTATCAATATGACCATACAAAGGCATCCTGGCTGTACTTGCGTGAGGCCTTTGCCTAAACAGAGCGTGGAACTTGCGGAATGAAAAGGTGTCATTCGACTTATAAGGGCGGGGTTGGCCATGGTCGAACTTGAACCCAGTGTGTGAGGGGCCACCAGCTGCAACTGAGCCCGGACTCAAAGGAAACCCCCCTTGGATATCTATCCACCATCCTGGAAGACCTTGTGCTTTAGCTGGTGCAAAACTTGGAAGATTTTAGTGCTTTGGCGCCGTCGATGGGGCTGGTAGATACTACCTAGCCTTCCGACACGATCCAGGAATAGTGGGAGAGCGGCATCAAATTGAAGGTCCAAGGCTTGGGTGGATATGGCATGACGGCAGAGAACAAAAGACAAAGTCAACAAACAGTTGGCAGACCCAGACTGTTGGGAACCATGCAGGCAAACACTAGGCCAAATACGTCCAAGTAGACTCTCTCAAGCTCACATTTCCTACCAGCAGACTCGGTCAGAAGCCGCAATACGGACGAGAACGAGACTGAACATGGATCCGATCCAGTGCACGAGGGATGGAACGGTCCAGCCGGGAGTCCATACGCCGGCGGCGAGGGCTGGCGCAGCAATCGCGAAGCCGACAATCTTGTCTTCAGGCTCTGGTCGCTGGCCGGATTTCTGTCGGGCGTTCAGCTTGTGATGATCCCAGAAGCGGACCACGCCGCTGAGCAGGGTCCCAAGCAACACTGCAACGAAGCGGAGCGAGGTCGCCCTTGAGTTGACGCCGAAGTCACTATACACGACTGTAAATGACTCGGTGAAGAGGTACACCATCCCGTAAATAGGACTAGCAGCGATTCTTAACATCGTGCACCAGTTCTAGGTCCAAAGGAGCCAGAGCCCCGGCTGTTGGGCGTACAGGTCCTCAAAGCTCCCTGCGAGCACAATAGCAGGCACAACCGAGACGTACCCGGCCAAGAAACGGCCAATAAAGACTCCAGCGGGCGAGGGGATGACGCCAATCAGCAGGCCGGCAATGCCATAGGCGGCGGCGGATACGAGATAAGCCTGCCGCCGACCGAGGGCCTCTGAGATGGGAGGCATGAGCAGAGTACCAAGTGCCTGGCCGATACGTACACGAACTGAAAGCCGGTCAGCATGACGACCCTACTCATTGCATACTCGGACATGGCTTCTTCTGCAGCGGACGGGCCGGTGCTGCTGATGGCCGCAGTGTAGAACTCCAAGAAGAGCAGCACGCAGGCGTCATAGAGCTTGCGCTGGGTCGGCCAGTTGCGGGGGAACTCGTGCTTTGTATCCCAGCCCATTGTCTGGGGCCCGGTCCTGCGAAGCCCTCTGCGCGAGGGTTTCATGGTTGCTGTTTTCTTGGCGGTTGTCGTCCATGTTGTGAGAATTGATGTAGAGAGCAGGTGGAAGACCCTCAAAGCCCCGTCATTCTGCCTGGATATACGAGCTGTTGGTAAGTGAGTCTTGGCCGATCCATGATGATGCCAACACTTGCTCGCGATCCGCACCTGTTCCAAGTGGGACCGATGCCGACAATCGTGTTCATCCCTCAGGCATCTGACAGCATTCTGGGAAAGAAGGATAAAATAGACAGGAGCGGCTTGACAGCGATACCTTTACCTCTCTACGACGCTTATCGCAGTACAGATTGGGTTGCAATTCTATAATTCAGAACCATGTGTTTTTCACGGAAGCAGAAGTCAGGGTTTGCTCGGACCCACAGTTCGTTGCATCATGATCCGCGATCTGCGAATCGGCCCCTCTGGAACATCTGGAGTAAACATGAGGTTGCGGGGAACCCCGCTTCTCTTCTGAGAGGCTGAAGTGGCTGATTGACCCGAGGCCTTGCATCCAACTCCCAGCCAATTTTGGAAGATAAATAATAAATTGGTGTTGGCTCTATGGCGCAGCCGCGTCGAACTTTTATCGGAGCACCGACTCGCCCAGGTACCGGGCCATTCGCTTGTCCTCGCATTCACGGCCTTGGGATTGCTGACTACTGTGTTGGACTCCCTTGCAAAAGGCTGAATGCGAGACGGGATGCAATGGGAGCTAGCGAGCATGGCTATAGTGAAGAGGAATTGTTAAGTATGGGGGACAAGGCTCCCACGTTCAGCTACAGGGTATGAGGTGATGGACGGGCTAACGGAAGCCTGGGGAATAGCATGGAGCGATTATCCATGTCGGCCAAGCAAGTCACGAGTTAATGAAATCGCTGCGGTCAACTGGAGATGGGCAATGAAGCCGTGGGGTCGAGAAGTGCCCTCCGGTCCTCGCCATGGATTGATGCTGCAATGCTGCACTGTCCGTCCTATCGCTCCAAGGATCTTTGGCTGCAGGGGCTGTCATTATGGTTCTATGATAAAAAATGGAACCTTGCCAATGGACCACGGCCTTGGTACTGGAAGGTCGAAGACCTGTGAGTTGTATGTGGCCTTGCGCAAAATGTGATTTCTGATGATTGTGCATTTCTAGTGGGCGGGTATTAAGGGTTTGCGATGTGCTATCAACACAGCACTAAGATACAAGGCTACCAAAACCTAGTCCCGAGTAGGCTTTACTCCGTCCCGCCTGCGGTGGTGAGTGGATCGGCTACCGGAGGTGTATTATCGACCTGGATTCCTCCTCGTTTAGGGTAGCAGCTGTCGTGGAATGGCAGACACCACCCCCCCTCATGTTCAGGTGTCGCGATCCACGTCCGCAGGAGATACCGTTGTGGCTTTGGTGGCGGCGGATCCGTGAATCCGGTGCGCGAGTGGAATGTCTGGCAGCAGGAGACGAATTGGATGTCGCCGATCTCGCAGTCGTAGACGATTCCATGCCGGTTACAGGTCTCTTCCAGAACCTTCATCGCCTCCAGCTGCTCCGCGGAGAGAGGAGGAATCAACCCTTTGTCGCTGAAGCGAGTCAAGGACTTGACAAAGTACGGATCCCACCTGTTCCATGGGATGCGACATGAGCACAATGCAGATTCCACGGGAGAGGAGGGTATTAGCAGACATACTTGACATAGACACGCTCTTTGCCACCCGGCTCGACCATAAAGATGGGGTTCCTAAACCAGGGCTCCTGGCCATCGGTCACCTCACCCTTGCGGTCGACATACCAGATGGGTGAGGCCAACGTCCTTGCTACATCGGGCCTTTCTTTCACCAAGGAATTCCACACAGTATGTGCAGACGCACAGCCGGAAGCACCTCCCGTCTCCCCGGGAGCACAGAACAACAGCCCGACAATATCCGTTTCGTCAGTGTGATAGAACTGTCTGAGAAGTATGAGAGTAACGATCAAGCAGTGAACTGGCAAAGGGGACTTACGGTGCGTTTGTGGCTGAGATCTTGATCTTGTCAAGATCGTTGTGATAGTCCGCTCCCTGGTTTGTTACATGGCCGAGGATCAGGCCGAGTTTATTCTGCGAGACGAGGTATCCAAAATGTACGGACAACCCCATCATCACCACTGCCGCCTTGTATCGCCCCCACTTGTCAATGGGTAGGCCGCGGAAAACAATGAACCCTCGTCCATTCAAGATATCGCTCCGAATGCCTGGCAAAATCTTTTCAATGGTAGGTAGCCGGAAGTTGTCCTAAAGTCGCGCCCAGAATGTCAGCCATATGTCCCAAAGACCGCCGGGGCAGTCCAACTCACCTTGCTGATACTGGTCAGGGGAGTTCCTGAGGCTATGAATGTGTCGACGGCCTGCAGAAGCTCCTCAAGCTCCGACTCCGTCCACCGGTGAATCCATTGCTCTGGATGGTGAATCATGTGCTCTCTTGTCCAGGCCGTTGGCCCGGTGATGTTGCGCGGGAACTCCTCGAAAGGACGTAACTGGCTCTCGATCGGTGGATGTTGGCCGCTGGTACGAAGCCCATCGGGGAACAGCTTGCGGTCCACAGGCACTACACGAGGCAGGCCGGCGGGGAGACCTCGCAGGGCAGGTGCGACATCTATTTCAACCGACATACTGATCAAACAAGGTGAATACAGGGACCCACAAGAGGAGCTCTTGCTGCTAAAGATCCCCGCTGACGGACGTTTCTGAAGCATAAATAAATATACATCAGATGCTACGGAGAGGTCTACTTCCAAATGTGTCGAAACTCCGCGTACTCAGTGCAAAGAAGACAAGCCGCGCGGGGACAATCCCTGATGGGTGCGTCAGAGAGCTGGATTCGTCGAAAGCACTGAGACAGATGCCATGGCGTGGCCGCAGTACGGTATTGGCCGTACGTCGATGAGCAGGGAACTCTGCTTCTGCCTCGTCCCCTTCCTTGCCATGCCATATTGGACGCCACGGACTCAAAATGCAACGTTTTGACAAAAATGGAAACGCAGGTGCTCCGCCCTGGACCAGAAGCTGTTTGGACGGCAGAAGCCGATTTCAGGCGCGGAAGTTGGCCGAGAGGATCGAAGATCATCAAAAGTCCTGAATTGCGACACGTGGTTACTGACCAGGGATGATAATCCTTCAACGATATGGCCCAATCACTCAACAGCAACTCACACCGACCGCCTGCGGCGAGTGCAATCGAGAGGGAGCCCAGAACATATCGAATGCTATGCAAGCCGACTCTGGCCGTCCATATTAGTGGGGGCGGAGTCGGATCCGGTGTCAAGCCCCGATTTAGCGGAGCTCGTCTTCTCGAGATGCTGTCCATTCCCTCCCCGTAAATCTCCGCGCCCTAAAGCCATTCCAATTGGAGGGTTGCTATGTGGGTCTTGATGGCGCAATGTGCTGTTAAGCAGTGTAACCACAGCTAAAGCTTCGCAAGACAAAGAGAGATGCGATGTGACGGATGAGACTACTCGCGTGGTTCGTGATAGATGACTCCAACAGGTGGAGAACCCACAGGGATACAATTATCGAGGATGGCAAAGAGCAGTTTTGCGTGCATAAGCCTTGACTTTCGCTGCCTACCCACTTATAGCCATGGTATCGCCATTGACATGACACGGAATCTCCTAAACTATCATGGGCAAATATGACCAAACACGAACATGAACCAGTCCAGGCTCGCGGGAGAGGTGACCAAGCTACCGACATTACCTCGGCCGCGCCCGTACCCCCTCCTCCTGATGGTGGATTTCATGCCTGGGCCCAGGTTGTCTCTGGTCATCTGGTTGTAGCTTTGACCTGGGGTTACGCTGCCAGTTTCGGGGTGTTTCAAAGCCACTATGAATCTACCTTGCCTCAGAGTCCATCCGACATCTCCTGGATCGGTGGTTTCCAGGTATTCTGTCTATTATTCATCTCGACAGTATCCGGTCGAGCAACAGATGCGGGAATGGCAAGGCCGGTAGTGGCGGCGGGCGCAGTCCTGCTAGTGTTGGGCACCTTCATGACTAGTCTCGCGACAGAATACTGGCAGATCTTCCTAGCCCAGGGGCTCTGTATTGGCCTTGGGCAGGGCCTCATGTGGTTGCCAAGTGTGACGTTGATCTCGACGTATTTCATGCGCCTGCGCGTCTTCGCTGTGACGACGGCGGCCACCGGGACGAGTACCGGAGGCATCATTTTCCCGGCAATGATCCAGTACCTCATCCCAAAGATCGGTCAGTGGATAGTTGTTACCTCAACGTGCAGTGCTGACGCCTCGATCAGGGTTCCCATGGGCAGTGCGGTGCATGGGCTTCGTTGTCCTTGCGATGGCAGCAGTCACCCTCGTCCTTCTGCGTCCCCGATTGCCACCCCGGAAGTCGGGACCTCTGGTCGAGTGGAGTGCGTTCAAAGAACCTGCGTACATGCTGTTCACCCTGGGGGTTTTCCACTTATACTGGACCCTGTATTTTGCTTTCTTCTACGTACCAGCCCCCCCCCTTCATGAGATATGCCGCATATCGAGAGCTAAGTGTAGCCTAGATCCAAGTCTATGCGACAGAGGTCTTGGGACTCTCCGAGGATTCCGGTGCGACCTTGATTATCATCATTAACGCCCTCGGGATGCCCGTCCGAGCCCCCCTGGGATACCTGGCCGACCGTTACGTTGGTCCGCTCAACTGCCTCATTCCTTGCGTGGCCCTCTGTGGCATTCTCATGTTTGCCTGGGCCGCCGTGCATACCACGGTCGAGCTGTACGTCTTCGCGGTGTTCTATGGACTGGCCTCGGCAGCAGCGATGGCCTTGTTTGTTGGGACAGTGCCCTCGTTGACAAAAGACCTTGACAAGATTGGCACGCGAGTTGGCATGGCCCTGACCATAATGAGCTTTGGCCCGTTGACTGGCCCCTCTGTGGCGGGGACCCTGATAGCGCGCACTGGTGGGAAGTACCTGGCCGCGCAGATGTGGGCAGGAGCCGCGTTGATCGTGGCAGTCCTGGCGCTGGTCGGAGCACGGCTGATCATTTCTGGACCGCATGTGCGGGCAAAGCTTTAGAGGCGTGGATCAGAGTAATAGATCGTTTAGTCCAAGGATAAATTACTATCTTACTTTCATATCCAGTCTATCGCACAGAAGGGCGGCTATATCAAACTAGAGGAAGACAGGTATGATTCTAACCAGCACATCAAGGGCGTATAGCCGGGCGAAGGCATCATCGACCTATGCGTCTGTCTCGATTCCGAAATACCGAGCAACGTCCACAAGACCTGAGCCGTCGATGCCGATCCAATAATCAACGAATCCCTCTTCTTTAGCTTGGGCAACGCGCTCCGCATCCCAAGCTTCTTCCAAGGGTCGCTCGATATAAATTGTCTGGAACCCGCACTTTTTGGCGGCTTGCAGGTCGTGGAGATGGGCGGCGACGAGGCAACACTGCGAGGTCTCCACCCCAAACCTGCGCGCCGCGGCATGATAGACCTCTGGCGCGGGCTTGTAAGCATTGAAATGCTCTGCACTGCTTATATGCTTGAACGGCAAAGAGCCGTGCTCCAGTAGATCTTCGAGAAGTTTGACATTACCGTTGGACAACGTGGAGGTCGGAAACTTGGTGTTGAGCAACGCCAGACCTTGAACACTGTCCGCGTACGGATCGAGGCGATGCCAACCGAGGGTCAAGTATTGGAGATCGTCGTCGTTGAAAAGATCTCGCAGACGCCTGTTGGTGAAGATATTGCCCAGAGAGACGCGGTTGTGCTCATCTACGGGGACAAAGGGCTTTGAGGGATCAAATGTGCGTCCGAAATTCATATACGAGCGGTGCCACTCGTCGGTGATTTCATCCCACGTCGAGGGCGATAGGGAGGAGACACGGCTTCGCACATCCGCCGCGATTTCGCGAGCCTGGTCTTGTAGAGCCCTTTCTGCTGCAGCCTTCAGCTGGTTCGCAATGCACAACCTCCATTCGACGACGGTGCCCAAGACGTCGAAGAATAGCATCGAGGGGTGGCCAGGCGGAGACATCGTGACTAGGGCTTTGAGATGTCAAAGGGGGAAAATCATCGTAGGATGTATCTCGGAATGCACGTGGTTTCTTCTCTCGTTGCTATTGCTGGGGCTAACACCATCGAAGGATTTTGGAGAGAGACCCCTTCGCTAGGCCTCGGCCCCCATTCGTTCTTACATGTGGCTGGCAGGGGTCACTTGGAGTCCCTTCGGACATCCGAATTGATCATTGATCACTTCATCGTTCGGAGCCCCCGATTCGCTTAATGTTAGCAGCGGCTTACCGGAACAGGATCTCCGCCAACTCTGGATTTAAAGTCCTCGGTCAGGTTCCGATCTTCTAGTCCGTTCTTACCCGATTTCTTCATGGTTTCCTGTGCCCCGCAAACGCCATTTCCCAGTTTCTTCAGAGCTCCATGCGGTAACTAAGCTTACTGCGTCCTACATATGTATTGTAAGCCATGGTATCTTTCGACCGCCTGTGAATGGCTGTCGCTTTGCGCGTTCTGCTCCACATAGCTTTTGACAAGTCTAGTTGATGCATGAAGTGGTTGCATGTAGCTCTATGCTTATGCACAACTCTTCGATCCATCAGCCCAGAATCATTCAAGCAGGCAACTTTCAGGCCGCAGCGGCGGGCCAAAGAAGCTAACTGAGGGAGATGCTGCGAGGCATAAGGACTTAGAGGCCTACCTAGGTTCGTGGGAAGCCCGAAAGGATACATTGCGTAGCATGAGTTCGTGACCTCGCATAATCTTCACTATCTAACCGGGTCATGAATCACTGCTGAGCGAAACCTGCGCCAACTTGACATAATTCTCTGCCTCACTGAGGGCCTCCACTTGCCCTTTATTTGGCCGATTGCGATATCGAGACTTGATTGTGTTGATTTGCCTCTGAAAATCCATGATCTGCAACGCCACCAGACTCCTCAGCAGGTGCAGCTTCTCACGTCGGTTAACGCGATACGTAGCAACCGCAACATCAACCGGAATTGGACAGGGGGCAGCATCGCTCCCTTGCTGGGAGGAACTTGTCTCGCTGAGACTCCCCTGATTCATCGCCTTGCAACAGTTGGCCATCCGGCCGCAGATGGCCCCGATCTGTCTGGCCGCCATGGCAAGCAGCATGTTCTGCTCTACTCGAGTCGCACATCTGTCGCACGAGATAAAAACGGCCAGAGTCTCGATCGAGTTGCGGAGGTCAGCGAGGAGCAGGTCAAGGCGGTCCTCGCGAGAAGAGCTTTTGGACGACAGCCTTTCGAGAAAGGAGACGGAACTTAACAGACAACAGTTGTCGGATGCTGCGTGGGTCTTGTCTAAAGGCTCAAGCGGCAGCGGGTCGGATGCCGAGCCCATCGTCGCATGTACATCGGCAGCCGTCGTCCACACAATATCATGTTGACTCAGGTGGACACCTTGCCAACATTCAGGATCGTCTGTGCTGGTGCTATTCGACGGCCCGAGTAGCGACGCAAACGAAGGATCGGCCGTTGGAATCCCTGGGAGCTGGTCCTGCGCCGCCTCCGTCGCACTGCACCTCCTTGCGGAAAAGGGAGGCCTCGTTACCGCGAGGTCAGCGGCAGCTGCCATCTATGTCAGCTAAGGATGCCTGAGAGAAAACAGAAACCCACGCGCTCACGGGTTGGAATGCCGCCACTGCTCGAACTCGATCTACCAGGTGAGCTTAGCTGCATGGGCGTATCCATGATCCATGGCATAAACAGCGATTCGTCGATACAGCCATCGTTGAACTTGTTGCCGTCCAAATCATCCAACGATAGACCTCGGCTGGACTTGGTCTGGTTGTCTGCTTCGTCGAATACATTCCGGACGGCCTGGCCCGATATAGCGCATTAGCGACTCGCTGTAGTCAAGTACAGTACATCAAGCGATTTGGTTACGTACTGCCCGTGAGCCTTTGTTGGTGTCTTGTCGCTTGTTTCGCCCGTGACTCTCGGGAGATGCACTCGAGCCCTATCGCTTCACATCTCTGGCATCTTTTGCGGTCTCCCGAACAGCGCACCTAGAATGTGGTCTTGTTAGGGCGCAATGACACGGCACACTGGAGAGGAAGACGGTTACCAACCCGTGGTTGCAGGCACGGACCACGGAATAGGAAAAGCCGTACCTTGCGTGATCGACAATGTATGCAAGCAACACGGATAGTGTCTTGCACGCTGCGGCTCACTGCAGCAACTGGATCTGGGTTCTCAATGAACTCCAGAGTCTCCCGATCGAGGCCGGTCGAAACCAGCGTACCAAACATGGTTCGGCTATAGCTCACAGAGATGATTGCGGCTGCTGCAGATAAGGTGCAACGGCTAAGGGAGGGCTTAAAGCAGTCTGGGGAGCGTAAGCATGAGGCCGGGGTGTTAAATGATGCTTGCACGTGCAATGTATACATTTATAGATACGCGCTGGGGACTTTTGATCGTCTAGTCAAATAGCCGAATGTTGGATCTCACGTCCATATGGCGTATTCTGCACATCCTTCAGGTCTCAATCAGCCCCTAACGATATGGCGTCCAACGCGCGGTTAATCGCCTACGATAATGACCAATCGCTTACCATGTGTGACACTGTCACGACTGTGGGCTCCATCCTTCGAGAGGCCTTGTTTTGCAACCCCGGATTATTCCGACATCGCAGGACAAAGTATGGGGCCAAAACCAAGGAGAGCAGGTGTTGCAGACGAGAATTAGTGAAAGTATCAGGGCAAGTGAGGTTGTATAGATTAATTCCACTACCGCTAGACCCGCCCTTCTGGGCCTTAGCGTCGATGAGATACTGGACGCCTAATACTGGTGGATCTTGCATCTTCTGCAAGCCTGCAGACCTGCGGATCATACCCTGGAGAATCTAGAGCCAGGAGGGCCATGTGGCCACTTTCGCCGATCTCGATCCTAACTGCGCTGATTCGAGACCAGAGATTGAACGGTTAGCTCTTGACCACCGCGATCACGCCTTCATTGTGGGCGCCACCCACCCCCCGACCTCCGGCCTCTCAATGACCTGATGGTCACTGCCGAACAGGCCGGCAAGAACGGCGAGACTCTGCAAGCCATTGAGGACCCATGGACCGCCCAGGCCGGTCTTAAGCGCTTCGACGAGGCCGTCGACTTGGCGATGACACGTGGTGGTGGCGGGGCAAGCTGGAAAGCTGCAGAGCTGAAGAATCCTCCAGCTCTGTCATAATAATGTACAGCCGAGGTCTCTCGCACGTCCCGAGAGTCGGCCTTCGGAGCGGATCATCACCCCCGATGTGTAGCCCAATGAAGGGTACAAATCGCCCCCGGTCCGTACCGCTCGTAAGCAGTGGACCCACCGACGAGAGTCCCTTCCCCACATATACGAGGCTTACGGGCCCCTGTTCAAGGGTGGGAAAGTTAGAGAAGTGGAACTCTGAAAGTCTAAAAGTGAGAAACTGCGATTTCCCCCAGAAAACTAGGCAAGGCGGGCCGAGAAGGCAGAACTCCGTCATGACCTTTCCCTATCTTAGCCTTGCCCTCTGGCTGTAGTAATAAACTGCAATACCGCAACACTTCTCGCATGTGACACACCCAGGGCTGCGCGACAAGACGGGACGGTCCGTCGTCTAGTAAACTGTCAGACTGGCTCTTTGTGAGGTCTCATTTGCTGAAAGCGCCGAATATGGCAGATTGCGTGGGGGGAATCCCGTCCTGGCTCGTCCAAATGTGGACAAACGGCGCCAGCCATTTGCAGAAGGACGGATGTGGATGATCTCCGAGCCAGTAGCTACAGTCGTAGAGTTTGACAATATGCCCAAGATCTCCTGGAGTACGGGAAGAGCAACGTTTCTCAATTACCTCTCTGGATTCTAGTCGTAGCTACTGTCTTCCCTCTAGCTCCATCGCCAGTATGAGCCTTCCAGCCAGTTCCACCGACGAACCCGACAGGCGAGAACCCAATGAAAAATTACCGGTCGCCGGTCCGTCGCCTACGGAGTCCGCCAACCTTGCCTACAATGAGTCCGAGATACCACAGGGAGATGCTAGCAGTGGCATCGGCAGGAAGATGAGCAACCTGCGCTGGTTTGTGGTATGCGTTGGATTATATCTAACGGCGTTTTTGTACGGGCTAGACTCCACGATCGCTGCGGATGTGCAAGGGCCCATTCTGGCTGCCCTCGGGGAGCTCCGCCTCCTGCCCTGGGTTGGAACGGGGTTTCTACTCGGCTCAGTGGCCACCGTTTCGCTCTTCGGCTCGCTGTACTCCAAGCTAGAGGTCAAATGGCTATACCTGGGTAGCATCCTGACCTTCGAAGTGGGCAGTGCGATCTGCGGTGCGGCCCCGAATATGCGAGCCATGGTTGTTGGGCGGGTCGTTGCCGGAGTAGGTGGCTCAGGTGTCTATCTTGGGTAAGGAGAGTAATCACACTGAGCAGGGAGCAAAATGCTGAAAATCGAGAAAGAGGCATCAATTACATCTCCGCTTTTGTTTCCGCCGCCAGACGGCCGATTTACACTGCTTTGATCAGCACGTACGTCACCCATCCCGAGGAAAGACACTAGACATTGACGCGCATATAGATTTTGGGGATTAGGGGCCATCCTGGGGCCTGTGATCGGCGGAGCATTTGCACAGAGCTCAGCAACGTGGCGGTGGTAAGTGTGCCTTTTCACCGTTGGCTGCCAGGTTTATGTCCTTAATCGTGGAACAGGGCCTTCTATATCAACCTGGTACTCGGAGGGGTGACTGCTCCAATATATATCTTCTGCCTTCCACGCCACGGGACACATCGTCACGAAGAGATCCTTCCGCGCATTCGGAACCTCGACTGGCTCGGCGCGTTGCTCAACGCCGCGACTTACTCTCTCTTCATTATCTCGTGCACGTACAGTGGCTCGACGTGGCCCTGGAACTCCGGCTCCATCATCGCCCTCTGGGTGATGACTGGGGTCACCATCATATTGTTTGCACTCCAGCAGGGGACGGCATTCCTGACGACAAAGGAAGATCGGATTTATCCCGTCTGGTGTCTGAAGAGTCGGGCATTGATTCTACTGTATATTGGAACTGCCGGTAGCAGCGCAGTTTTGCAATGTAACATCTACTACATTGCTCTCTTCTTCGAATTCACCAAGGGAGATGATGCGATCTCAGTTTCAGCCCGGCTGCTGCCCTTTATTTTCCTCATGATCTTTAGTTCTCTATTCAGTGGAACCCTCTTGCCGAGATTCAACGTTTACGCAGCGTGGTACCTCATCTCCGGCATCATAGCGTTGGTCGGGAGTGTCCTCCTGTTCGAGATCTCGACTGGGACACCTCCCAGGAATATATATGGGTTTGAGATACTAACGGGAATCGGCTGCGGTCTGACATTCCAAGCCGCCTACGCCATTGCCTTAAGCAAGTCGCCCCCGGAGAAAGCAACCTCCATTCTGGGCTTCATCAACGTCGCCCAACTCGGCGGTGGGGCTTTAGCGCTGGCAATAGCAGGGACAGTCTTCCAGAATGTGGGATTCGACACCTTGCAGAGTGCTCTCAGTGGTAGAGGGTATGCCGCTGGGGAGATTCGTGAGGCTCTCGGTGGTGGATATTCGGCCATTCTGAGCGATGGAACTGCCGAAGTGCGTGCCATTGCCTCAGATGCGATTGGAAGAACTATCGCAAAGGTGTTTGGCATCTCTATGGGGGAAGCGCGGCGGTGCTTGGGGCAGGACTGTTAATGCGGTGGGAACGGGTGAAGCTGTCATAATCGCATACTGTTAAACGCCTCCACCTTGATCGAACGTAACAACATCTGTCGAGACGCTGGCTTTGTTGTATTTCACCGCGATCGAAAAAAAAAAAAATTCATTCCCGCGTCTGCTGCCAGTGGCTTCACGCCTGGGCTTCGCTTTTTGCTTGGTGGCACTTCTATGCTACAGTAAGAAAGCCTAGTCTGGTCAGAATATAGATCTAGGTATAGGTATAGGTAGATAGCTAGAGAGAACGTGACTAGAGAAAAGCATCATGGACAAGTCTATTTAATTTTTCATCAACAGCTAGCCGAGAGAACATGTCTGCCTTCTCACTCCTCGCTTGCAGAGACCTTGACCAGCTGGCTGTGGGCAGCAATCTTGCCAGCTACATCAGCCAAGGGCATAGCACTCAAGATATCAAACACGGAGATGTCACTTTTCATATCCTTCAGCGCACGGTTGCGGACTTCTACCGCTTGTAGCGAGTCAACTATAGAAAGGGGTTAGCATGGCGTCTTTCGAGTTGTGGTACGAAACTGCCTTTGGACTCACCGCCATAGTCGTACAGAGGCTTCTGGGCATCAATCTCATCCACCGAAACACCCATGGCTGCAGCAACCAAAGTTTTGATGTTGTCCTCGACAGCGGCGACTGCCTGGGCCATGCTGGTCGCACTGGTCAAGAGTGTACCCACGTCTTGCTTGCCGGATTTATCACTAAGATGACTGGCAGAATTCACAACACGAAGCTCAAATTTCTTGTCTCTCGAGAAACCCCCGATGCTAGGATTATGCTCGATGCGGTCTTCGAGGCCGAGGACTATCTGAGCGGGCACGCTCTGTCCATCTGTGGTCGAGCCTCGCATGATGGCCCGCAGCACGACCCCGAGCTCGTCAAGGTTCGTCTGCAGGCCTCGCCATCCATGTTGGTATCGACCCAGGTACCCGGCGAGGTCTCCAAACTCACCAGCGTTGGTGAAATGTGCCGAGTCGGTGACCAACCCGACATCGACACTGGTGGCGTTGATACCGAGATGATGGCGGGCGTGATGAGCCAACGCGTCCTCAAAGGTATTCCCCGCAGCGTAATTGGCCTGTGCCGTGTTGCCAATGACGCCCGTGATAGATGAGAGGAGAACAAAGAAGGGCTTATCCCCAGGCCAGAGGTTGGCAAGCAGGTTGCGGGATCCTTTAGTCTTGGGCTCAATGGCACGGCGCCACTGATCAAACGACATGTTATCGAAGATGCCGTCGTCAAGCACCATGGCAAGTTGGATCACGCCCGCAATCCTGCTGCCACTAGATTTGACGGCGCCGAAGACTTTGGCAACATTGTCAGCGTCGTTGACATCGCACTTGAACGCTTCCACTTGAACGGAGCGCTCTCTGAACCTGTCCAGATCATGCTGATTCTTTGCACCACCTGAGCGGGACAGGAATGCCAGGTTCCTGGCACCACATTCAACCATCCAGTCGGCAATATGTAGGCCAAGAGCACCCAACCCGCCGGCCAGAACGTAAGTTGCCTCATGGTCAAGCTTTAGTTGCTCAGCTGGGGGTGGCCGCAAGAGCAATGGGCTCGAATTGTCCCAGGACACGGCAGAGTGCCCGGGTAAGACAGTCCCAATCGTACTTCCAAGCTTGCTGACGGGCACAATTGTCCGCGGGGATGGCCCCTGCAGGTTGTAGTCTCTGAACGCCTGTCGAAAGAGTCTCCCCGACAAGGGCGGGCCTGCGTTGCATCACGGTGGCGATGTCGATGCGCGAAAAGCTCACGTTGGTCTTACTGCCTGGAAGTAGAGCCTGAGAGTTCTCACCGTTCAGGTCAACAAACTGGCCAAACTCACTCAGAGTTGACATCAGGCCAGGGACATGGGAAGGGGTGCGCTGGCTAATAACGACATCAAGCCCACGGCCCTTGGTAGTTGCCTGAATCACTGGAATGAAGTTCTCTAAGCCAGCGTCGAAGACGCGGTCCTTGGATATGCCATATCGCTCGGTGAGGAGATCACGTTCTTCTCTCCTGTTAACCATAGCAAAGATATCGGCGCCAACAGCGCTCGCGACCTGCACCAGAGCCTGGCCGACCGCGCTGCCGGCACCATCCACCAGTAGTCCTTGGCCGCGACGGAGATGAGCGATCTCGAGGAGTGCATACTGCGCTGTAATAAGGGGTCTACAAGGGCAACAGCGTCAGGTGGGGCGAGTCCGTTGGGCAGCGGTGCAATCAAATCCTGATTTTGGCGGACATGCGTTTTCGCAGCAGCCTCGGAGAAGACAACAACGCGCTGGCCAAGCTGCAGAGCCCTAACCGAGTTGTGAAGGCGAGAGATAGCTCCGACGGCGTGGCGGACAGAGGTCGACGCGTGGCCCAACGCTGCACCAGAATACTCGATCTTGATCTCGACTTGACCTTCTTCAAGGGGCGATTGGGCCTCATCATCAGAGGTCCAGATAAACGCTTGATCTGATGTCAAGCCACTTGCTACTAGTGGCTGCCCAGCAGTCCCAAGGGTCGACTCGATTGGCTTCGCGGTATTGTTTGCCAGCTGAAGCTCGTAATCGAAGCCTGCGTCCTCGGTGGCTCGAGGGATATAGATCAGGCCGTTGTATTCGGCGTATTCTGTTTCTCCGTCATCCGGCAGAGATGATCGCCACACATCGAGGACCAGGTCCGCGTATTGAGGGCTGGAAATGTCAGCGACTGCGGACAGGTCGAGAACAGGCAGGACAGCAATGGGATATTCGTTACGCATCACGCGGAACAGGCCCTGGGTCGTCGCAAATTCAACCCCATTCGACCAACTCTCTATCACGCTGCCGTGCGTAATCCAGAAGAGATGGCCTACTGTAGAGATGAGTTTCTTGTATGTGTTGAATTGATCCTCGCTCCAGGCGTACACGAGAGGACTGTCAATTTCAAGCAGAGATATAACATGTTTGTGAGAGAGTAAAGCTATACCCTCGGGAGTAAAACTCGTCTGAGAGACCGAGTGACCGGCTCGCTCAAGCCTTGCCTGAAGCTCCGCCGCAAATATACGGAGAGCTATGGATGTTGTGTCCGGCAGGAGGATCACGACCGTGTCCGGCAGCTCAACCGCGAGGGACTTTGGCCTTGAACCGCACAGTACGTAGATATCATCCTCTGCAAGGCTGCCAAGCCACGTTCTCTCTGATGGAATGGGGTCGACTTTGCCTCGGTGACTAGTAGAAGTGAGACATACCAGAGGAGCCAGCTTCGCTAGCGTGGTAGCGTGTGCAACGAGGTCGGGAACCCCCAGAGCGAGAACGACATCACTGTCTTCGGCGTCCAGCATCTCGACAGAGAGGCTCTGAGGCAATGTCTGATATGTGATGTCCAGGTTCTCAGTACCTTCTCCCAGGGTATTCTTCATCGTCTGCGAGATGGACTCGGATGCAGCGACGGCAGTGATCCTCTTGGGTCCATACCTCTGGCTGTTGAGGCGATGAAGCACATTGAGACTAGATTCAGATTGATCAAACAAGATAACAAGGACACTGGCGTTTGCCTCCTTCAAGAAAATGGAGTCGAGCCAGCTGGCGACCAAGCCAGCCGCGTTTCTGGAAGAACTGATCGTGGCGAGCTGCTTGCTGCTGGTGACAAAGGACAGATCGGGAATCCACGAGATGTCAGCGCATTTCCGTGTGGGACGACGAGAAGAAATGGCGTCTAAGTTCTCTACGCCGGTGTCAGAAGTCACCTGGCGAAGGGCAAAGCCCTTGACAGTCAGCCTTGGCCGTGTCCAGTTCTCGTCAGCGACAACGAGTTCTGTAGTGATCTCGTGGCCAATCTGCGAGAGTAAGCGACCGTAGCCAGAGTAGAGTGTTCCAGCCTCCTTAGGCTGATCATGGGCGATAAAAATCTCGTCAATGCTATACGGGACCACGGCTTGTTTCACAGGTTGGCCTGCGGCGAGAGATGCAATTACTAAATGGAATATGGAGTCCATGGTTGCTGGATGAATGAGGTGGGGGGTCTCATATCCTCTGGGCATTGTCAACTTGGTGTTTGGAACAGTCACCGACCCGTACGACGCCTTTCTCGAGGGCACTGCCGTGAGAGACTTGACATTGCAAAAGGATGGCCCATATTGCATGCCAATATCCCCTAGGTTCTTGTAGAACGCACCCGCGTCGACATTTACGGAATCTGTCTCGGATAGTAGTGCCCTGTGTGTGGCCAACTGCTGCTGCCACAAGGCATTCACTCCGCCAGGTTCAATATCACTGGCTCCCTTGTCGTACACAACAGTGACAGTCCCGGCGCAGTGCTTCGCCCATGGCGAGCCGTTAGTCATTGAATAGACAGTGAAGGCCCATGAGCCAGTCCGTGTTCGGTCGGGGTAGAAACTGATGCGCGTCTCCACCGGGGTTTCTTCGTCCAGGGAAATGACCAGACCACGTTCAAACGTGACATCGTTCATGCGGAAACCTTCAATCGTCTTGGAAGAGTCGGCAATGCGCAATGCGCCTTCCAATGCCATCACCAGCATGCCCGCGCCTGGGTACAACACAGTTCCGGTGATGATGTGATCCTCAATCCATGGGTTCTCTGAGATGCGCAAGTAGTTCCTCCATCGTGGCTCGAGGGTGTTTTGGGAGTCCTCGGCCATTCCCAGATAGTCGGTGCGCGCGTGTGGGGGGAAACGATACGACCGAGACGCGTATGATTCGTGCCAGAAACTCTTTGCATGGTTCCAAGGATAGCTGGGCAAGTTACAAAGCATTTGAGGGAGGTTGCTTCCCGTTGATGTCTCCTGGTTGACTTCAGCCAGCTTGATCGGGCAGCCAGTCGCCCACAGCACACCCGCGGCGTTCAGAGCCGTCTCCGTTGCGTCCTGGCCACGAACAAGCATAGAGACGGATGGGGCAGACTTGGCAAATTTGTTATTACTTGCGTCGATAATCTGCCGCACGGGTCCTTGGAGGGCGGCGTGAGGGCCAACCTCGAGGAAGCTTCCCCATTGTATTGCCACTGGCCGACTGCCCCCTGCTGCAGCTCTCTTGTGCTTTAAGAGTGCCAGCAACGCCTGGGAAAACCTGACGGGGTTCTGCATATTGTTAACCCAGTACTGAGCATTGAGCTCTTTCGCTGAAGTAACAATGGATCCCGTCAGAGACGAGTACATAACTGGTGCTTCGCCTTCCCCGTCGGCCTCCTTCGGTTGTAGTTCGCCAATCATGTCCAAGTAGGTTGACGAGACCTCACGCATGTGAGGTGAGTGGTATGCAGTGGTGACCTTGAGCTTGCGGGCGAATTTACCATCGCCCGATATCAGGGTTTCAAGCTGAGCAATAGCATCGACATCGCCAGAGAGCGTCACGCTGGATGGACTGTTGACACAAGCAACTACAGCAGAGTCGGTGGGGACTTTTGCAAGGTATTCCTGGGCCTCATCTTCGGAAATACCAGCAGCCATCATTGCACCTGGCTTAGATACTGCGGCGGAACTGACCCCTCGAACGTAGGCCAGCTTTATGGCGTCGTAGTGTGAGAGAAGAGATGCGGCGTATGCAGCAGCAATCTCGCCGCTCGAGTGACCGATTGTAGCTTTGGGCAGGACCTCCCAGGAGCGAAGCAGGTCAACCAAGGCGACTTGAACCACCGTACATAGTGGCTGGCTGTACTCGGGGCGGTTGATATTGGAATTTGTTTTCTTGCTCAGTTCATCGATTGCATTCCACGTGCAACCAAATTCCTCTAGATAAGTTTGCGAGGTCTCTATGCTTGAGCGAAACGTGGAGTTCACGAGCAGTTCCAGACCCATTACTGGCCATTGAGCGCCCTGACCGGTAAACACCATAACGAGGTTGCTGCCATGTCGTTGTGAGCGAGTCGAAGCCACCAGGCCTTTGGATAGCTTTTCTATGAGCTGGGATGCCGAATTTGCAATGACAAAAGTTCTGTTCTCCAGATGCGTGCGGTGATGAGCAAGTGTGAATGCGAGATTCTCCAACAAGGCTGGATCGCTTTGGTCCTCGGGATCTTGTTGCAACCATACATGGAGAGCCTCGGACACTCGCTTAGCTCCAGTCTGGTCCTTACCACTCAAAACGAATAGCTTCTTGCCGGGCTCGTCGGCTCCGTTGACTGATGTATCCTCGAATCCGGAGTCTGAGCCAAAGTCACCGATGACGGTGTTGTGCCTGCCCTCTAGCCCCCTGTCATGGAGATAATGGTACGCATCATCCAGGATGACGTGAGCGTTTGCTCCACCAAAGCCAAAGGAGTTGACACTGATTCGACGCAGCCCTGGTGTGGGCCATCTGGCAACTTCGTCAGGGAGTGTAAGATGCCAGTCAGCTAACTTGAGCTTTGGGTTGATCCGATCTACGCCGAAAGTAGGGACCAGCATTCCTTTTTCCAGTAGTACTATGGATTTGAAAACACCGGCAAGACCAGCACAACCCTCTGTGTGACCCACCGTGGGTTTGATGCTTCCAATGTGGAGAGGGGGCTTTCCAGCTGCGCGTCGCGCTGCACCCAGGGTCGAGGCAATTGCAGTAAGCTCGAGAGGGTCACCAATGGGTGTTCCTGTCCCATGGCACTCGAAGTAACCTGTTTGCGACAGATCCAAGCCAGCATCCTCATAGGTCTGGATGATGAGTTCGGCTTGTGCCGTGGAGCTCGGTTGAGTGACACTGGGGGTCTTGCCGTCGGCGTTGACACCAGATCCACGAATCACTGCGCGGATCGTATCACCGTCGCGTAGGGCGTCTGAGAGACGCTTGATGACCATAGCTCCAATGCCGTCCCCACGGCCATATCCATTGGCTCGGTCATCGAAGGTATGTGAGATGCCTTCGGGGCTTAGCATATGCATTGCAGTCAACTGGTGTGAGGTATTGGGATTGATGAGAAGGTTAACCCCTGTGATGAGTGACTATACAAGCCAAGTAATAAGTTACCAGGTCAACATGCAAACGGCTATGGTGTGTTAGCATACCATATTTGTTTCCCCCAGCCTCAAGGACTGACACGCCAAGTGAAGTGCGTAGAGCGAAGAGCTACAAGCAGTATCGAGGGTCAAGCTGGGACCTTTCAGGCCGAAGAACCAAGACACGCGATTTGCGGTCATGGCTTCGCTGAGTCCGGTTGCTGCTGGATGACCGATATCGTAGATGTCGTGCAACGAGATCATTTCGTAGTCGTTTGTCATGCAACCGACGTAGCACCCCGTCCGGCTATTCATTAGGTGCTCCATCGGTATCCCAGCTACACGCCAATTAGCAGCAGTTCGAGACGGGCACAGATGTACAGAAATGTCACTAACCATTTTCAAAGCTCTCATAAGATACCTCCAGCAGCATTCTCTTCATGGGGTCCATAGAAGCAGCCTCCTTCTCCGTTACAGAGAAAAAAGGGGCGTCAAAGTGGCCAACGTCCTGCTCCAGAAAGTAACCATGCTGTGGGAGAATGCCGCCTTTGCGGTCTGGATCAGGATGATACCACATGTTGCTGTCCCATCTATCGCCAGGGACTGCACCGTGGCCAGTCTTGACCTTGCTGATCATATCCCATAATGATTCTAAAGAAGATGCTCCACCAGCGAAGCGACATGCGGCTCCAATGATAGCGATGGGTTCTTGTTTGTCTGAGGGGGAAAAGTCCATGACGAAGTATCAGCGGCTACGGCCGGGGGTAGATCTGGCACTGGATGATTGACAGTCACGCTGTGGCCAAGAGGAGGACACAAAATGCAAATGACAGCCACGGACATGTAGTTTGGCCGCACACGACCTTATCAGCAGTTCAGTTAGAGGCCGCTGCAGTGATTTTGCATGCTCCCTGTGTCTTAAATACAAAGTTGCCCACAGCTTTCAATACGTTGCACAGTTTATACTCCGGTTCCAGCGGATTTATTGGGCGTGCGATAGAGACGTATGGAGCGAGGATATACCGGAATCGTGCCCACTCTGAAGGGTATAGCGTGGCAGCGATTGTCTGTTCTGGTTGGGGCCGCCCACGACGGAGACTCGATTCGGGCGCGGCGTGCTACATTGGGCGATGGCCCGGTACGCTCAAAGCATTTCTCCACACATAAGCGAAGCAACGCATAAGCGCTAAGAAGCACTTGTTGCCCTCGATTGCCCGTAAGGGAGAACCCAACCATGAGGATCCTGTGCCTGCATGGCGCTGGCAGCTCGGGCGCGATTCTCGAACGGCAGATGTCCAACCTGCGGCGCGAACTCGATCCCAGTTTCGAACTCATCTTTGTAGACGGGCCCTTTGAATGTGGAAGAGGACCCGGTACGTGAGTCGTGTGGCGGAGACAGCGTTAATGTTTGCTAACATACGGGGATCCAGGTGTCTCGGAATTCCAGCCCGGTCCATACTATTCTCACACTCAAGGGTATTCTCCTGCCGACATCGCTCAGGCAGTCCGTTACCTTGAAGACACCCTGGAAGATGAAGGCCCTTTTGAGGGAATCTTTGGCTTCAGTCAAGGCTCAGCGCTCACCCTGTCCTGATTTCCACCAGCAGCAGACGGTCGGCAGCCCAGTCGCAGTCAAGTTTGCTTGCCTCTTTTCTACCGCCATGCCATGCAGCTCTGATGCGAATCTGGGCCACCGCATCATATCGAAGCTGCGGGCAAAGGAGTATGATGTGACAGACAGAGCCGGGCCCGTAGGGAAAGACCTGACGAGCGAAGAGCGAGAATTTGTCGAGATACTTCAGCGAACAGTCGTCGACGCCGGCGCCAAAGATCCCCAATTCCCGTGGACTGATATGAATATATATCGTTATGGAGCGCTGGACGTGATTCCTCGCGTGATGTATTCGTCAGCGCTGGAACAAAAAATACAAGTTCCAACCATCCATGTCTGGGGCCAAAATGACTTTGAGTACATGATCCAAATGGCGCAGCTTTCCAGGTCTCTATGCGATCAGTCTGTGTCCAAAACAGTAGTCCATAGCGGGCTACACGACATGCCAAAGAAACAAAGTGAGATCAAAGCTGTACTTCGAGAAATCAACTGGGCTTTAGCGCGGGCCTAGATATGGAGGTAAAACAGACATATATCGTGTCAGTTCTCACCTACACAGCAATATTCCAAAACTGTTATAAACTTCTATTGTAGTGATATTGGTAGTGGTATTGGTAGTGATAATGGTAGTGATGAGCGATGATAACGTACACCAAGGCAAATGGTCGCTCGTGACCTGCTGAGCTCTTGCCGGGTGCCGACTTGGGAGGATCTGCCGGGTTCTCCATATTTGGCAAATTACCGTACGACTGTTTATATAGAATGCAAGCCCGGGGGTATTTCAGACATACCCTAGTCCAACTTACTTACCAACACGACGATGAGAGCTGCGCGTGTCCGACCCACCTCAACTGACGGAGTCCCATATGGGTTTCCGGGGAATGTTGCTCCATCTTCGGCCATCGAAGTCCACGAGAATATCCCCAAACCCCACATAACGAAACCCGGTGAATTATTGATCCAGGTCAAGGCTTCCACCGTGTATAAAGATAATCTCGAATGGAACGAGCTTTACCCGCCGAATCATGCAACATTGGGAAATGACTTCTCTGGGATAGTCGTCGCTGTGCACGAGGGCGAGGGGAGTTTTCGAGTTGGCGATCATGTATACGGCATGACGCATGCCGGGAGGGGAGGAACATGGGCAGAGTACGCCATTGTCACAACCGAGGAAGCAGCCAAGAAGCCGGATAACCTGTCATGGGAGGAGGCTGCTGCCATCCCCGGGAGCGCTCTCACTGCGGACCAGGCACTGTTCAGGCATGTAGGCCTCGATACTACAGCACACAACGGACAAAAGCGTGTTTTGATTACCGGAGCAGCGGGCGGCATTGGCACATTTCTAGTGCAATTTGCCGTACTTGCTGGCCACCACGTGGTCGCCGCGTCCAGCTCGAACCAGCGGAATAAGGCCTTCCTGCAGACCCTCGGTGCCCATGAAGTGGTGGAGTACGGCGATTTCTCCACTCTAGAGAAGGTCGACGTGGTAGTTGACTCGGTCGGGGCCCAGGTTCTCGCAGATTGCTGGGCTGTCATCAAGCCGGATGGTACCCTCTTGTCCTTTGATGCCTGCAGCTGGGGTTTTAGGGAAGAGCATAGCAAAAATGGTATCAGCCAAGGAAAGGAGGGTGTTCGGGCTCTGTACATGATTGCGGAACCTTCAGCGGAGAGCATGGCGCGTATCACCAAACACGTCGCGGAGGGTCAAATTAGGGGCCGTGTATCCAAAGTGGTGTCTTTGAACGATGTGCGCGAAGCCTACGAATCTGCCCATTTCAGAGGGGCGGGGCATGGGAAGATCGTGGTGCGGATCTAAATGTACTTGATCACTGATTAAGGTGCCTGTTGGCGCATATGTGCAATCCGATAGTTCAATCGACGCTCTCTATCCGCAAATAATAAGGCGCTACGAGCTTCAGATAGAAAACACGTATAACCGAAGAGATATATATGACAATGCGGCTTACGGAGTCTATATAAACCATAAAGCTACGAAGCAGACGCTATAGTGTGGAGGGATCCCAATCAGCCTCGTCTGCCCTAGCTACACCGATCCGCTGGCTAATGGTGACCCAGGCACCACAATAAAGCAGAAGTCTAAAGGCTTTGGTGTCCGCATACTCGCCCCAAGCAATCTCCATGGCCTCCTGGATCGCGGTCCAGCTAACAAAACCCAGGACCTCTACAGCGTCTCGTGTCAGCAGGGCCTTGAGCTTGCGATACAATGGCCCATCCTTCCCCCATCGAGTGGGAGCAAGAAAAGGGTGCTTCTTTCGCCTGTACAGTTCATCCAATATATAAGGGCGTACTGCCTCGCGGAGGATCCATTTTTCATTCAGTGATTGCAAGGCAACGCTGGACTTGGTCCAGATCGGGCCCAATTCGCCGGAGGCGCTCGCAGTTTCGGCCGTGTAGCGCAACTTGGCGCTCGGAGGCAAACGGTTGATATACTCGGTGAGGTGATGGTCGAGGTATGGCGTGCGAGCTTCGACACTGTGTGCCATCTCCGTGCGATCGCCCAGGCATGACAGCAAGACATTGGCCAACGAGTTCTTGTTCCACATGTACATAGAGGTATGGAGAGGATGCCACCTTGAGCGCATCTTGGCTTGGACGGTCTTTGGATACGAGTTGAGAACGGTTCTGCGGCAATCATCGCTGCCTTGCCGTGCTTGTACCCAACTCGCAAAAAGGGTGGCGCTGGGATGCCACGCAAGCAGGTTATCGCTCATGTCTGCTGCCCCCGGACCTGCGATGCTTGGGAGGGCTGATCTATTCTCGTATGCTGTGGCGCCCCCTTTTTGCCATATGCCTTTCATCTCCCGCTGCGCTGATTCAAACATTTCGCTCCGAAGGGGGCTGTTTTGAGATAAGTGAGAGTCCGGGAGGGCTTCGTCAGCTTCGCGGAGGAATTCGCTGAAAAAGTATGGATAACCCGCAAAGTGCTCATCAGCGCCTTCACCAGTCAGGACGACCTTGACGCCGTGTTCCTGGGCAGCGTCGACAGCGCAAATTTGGCTACAAAATTCAGGTCGAAGTGGTGGTGCTCGCAATGGAAGACAGCGTCTTCGAAGTTCTCAGCCAGCGTCTCCTCGGTGATAGTTCTCTTGATCGTCTTGACTCCAAGCCATTCGGCCGTGCGCTCGGCAATCTCTGCTGGTTGTTAGTTTGTACAGCACAAGGACAGGATCACCAGCCGCCATGACTTACGCGACTCGTCGTAGCCCGAGATTTCCGGGAACGCCACACTAAAGCAGGTCACACGAGCGGTGTGTTCGCTTCCAATCTTGGCATTTTCCTTGCGCGCCAGATCGGTGACGATCCCCGCGATGGCGGACGAGTCGATGCCCCGGAAAGGTAGATGCCAACAGGGACATCGGCACGCAGGCGGAGACGGACTGATTCGACAAGCCGCTCACGAACGCCAGCTACCATTTCACCCATGGAGCGTATCTCGGGTTTTCGCTGCAAACGAGAGTGAGCTTGTGGGTTTCGAACGGTGCTACTTCAGTTGACCAACCTTGTCTTCATATTCAGCATCCCAATATTGGACCTGCCGCACCCCACCATCTTCCGTCGTCTCAAGATAGTGTCCGGGGAGCACCTTTCGAACACCACGGAACAGCGTTCGGTCGTCAAACATCCAACCTGCGTTGGCAATTGCGCAAACATCCCAGCGGGGACGCCAGCCAAAAGGTAAGAAAGCCTTGGCCTCGGAAGCGATGAGGAGGCTAGATCCGACTCGAGTATAGACCAGCGGCTTGATTCCATAACGATCGCGTGCGGCGATCAATCGTCTAAGATCTGGACGGTCATCATAGAGCACAAATGCGAATTCTCCTCGCAGATGGGCAAAGAACCCTGGGGCACCAAAGATCTGATAGAGTGCCAGTACAAGTTCGCTGTCGCTGTCGCTCTGGAAGACGTAATGGTGAGCGGTTTCACACTTATGTCGTAGGCGATCATAGTCGTAGATCTCGCCATTGACCACGACGTGAATGTGGCCGTCGGTGCTGTGGAGAGGCTGACGCCCTGCAGATGATAGATCGTTGATGGAGAGACGACAGTGGCCCAGCCCAACCTCCTCGCTCTCGTTGATCCAGACACCCGAATCATCAGGGCCGCGGTGGGCAATGACATTTAATGAGGCTTGAAGCTGCGTCGCAAGAGGATGCCGTACTCTGTTGGTCGTGCTACCGGACTCAGTTTCCGCGTTGCAGGCAACGCCCGCATGTTCCGCGTAGCCATTACTAGGCGGTGCAAGCGAGAGGCACGCAGAGATTCCACACATTATTGATGCTTTTTGAGAGACCGTTGATAGTTGGAAACTCGGTGCACGAAGACACTGGCTTTAATAATCTATACCAGCGGGGCTACTGGCGTCCACATGGTAGTGATCAAACTAGCCGTCCGCAAGGTATGCAAAATCCAACAACATAAAACAAACTAGTCAAGCAACCGCTTACAATCTGCTTGCAACCTGTTTGGTCATGCAGGATGGTCCGGCGGGCCTAAGCAAATCGGGGCCGCCGACGGGATCGGCCAAATCTGGCCATGGCCACTTAAGAAGCTACGCAAGCGCGAAACTGAATACGCGCGTGTGGCTGATATTGCTAGAGTATGTACAAAGTCGTCACTACAAACGGTATTCAACACAGCTCACGACCACGAAACATCCACACCGTATTAATCCGAATGAACGCGTCTCGTTATCCCCGCGTAGAAATTCAAGGGCCGCACAACCAAGAACTCGGGATCGTACACGACTGTCTCCGGTGACGAGTCGTCAAATTCGTATCGGTAGACCAGCTCGACTAGAACTATCTTGACCTGGGTCAGTGCCAAATTGAAGCCCACGCACCCGCGAGCTCCTGCTGCGAACGGAGTGTATGACCCTTGGCGAGCCATTTGCGTGGCAAAGTCTTGTTGCGCCCACCGGTCCGGATCAAACCGTTGCGGATTCTCCCAATGGGCTGGGTTCTTGTGTAAACTGGGAAAGCAGGCAATGACAATGGAACCCTTGGGGATCAGGTACCCGCCGGGCAGGACCGCGTCTTGTTTTGCGTTGCGTGCGGTCTGGAAGCTGGGGCCATGAAGACGGAGAACCTCTTTGACGAAGCAGTCCAGAAACTTCATCCCGTGAATCTCGTCGTAGGTCCACCGGCCATAGTTCCTACTACGATGGCTTCTAATCTCTTCGAAGAGTCTTTGCTGATTGCCCGGATACCGCACGAGGGAGTACAGCGCCCAGGAGAGCAGAGATGAGCTGGTGGTGAACCCCGCACCACAGCTCACGACCACATTACCGAGAACCAGCTCATACGGAAGACCGTTGCCGTCCTTGTCGCGCGCACGGTACAAGAAGTCAGCCACGCAGGTAGCGCTCTGGATGGCCGTGGGCTCGGATAAGCGGAGGGGAGGACTGTCCGTTTGCACGCTCGCCTTCATGGCCTCTTCAGTTGTATCCAGCACTTGCTGACGGACACGTTTCAATTTCGCGGTATCGCCAAAGGGAAGATACTTGATCCACTGCGGCCGCATGGATGATTTCTTCATCAGCGAGAGGTACTGGCCAAAGAGCCGCACGGGAAACGACGGCGGCGTCTTGGGCGACTCGAAATGCTTCAGGTCCTGATTGAGCATGACTCGCCAGATAATTTGAGCTGCGAGCTTGAACATGTATTGGTAGACATTGACTGCGAGATTGGCTTCGGCCAACTGATCGAATGCCGGGAAGATGGATTGAGCCGCATCCTGAATCAGCGGCAGAAAGTGGGCTATAGCGCGTGGCGACATGGTGGGGGAACAAATTTGTGGCTCGGCGCAAAGGCGGGAGATGCGCTGTCGCAGGTAAACAAGCAGTCCTGGTCAGCCATGTAGTGCAGTGGGTGCGATGGGTCGGACGTAGTCTTGGTGAAGAGCTGATCCTCGCGCAACACGTGGCGGGCGATGGCCGGGTCATTTGTGTGGTAGATGGTCGTTCCCATGTTGACCGTCTTAATCATTGGCCCGTATAGCGAGAACAGTCGATCATAGTTTCCGAGGACGTCTGGATACAGCTCGTAGCGGTTGCCAACGAACGGGATGAGGCGAGGCCCAGGAGGCTCGCGGATGGACTCATGGGCGGTTGCTCGCACTTCCACATGGTCCGCCACCGTAACCACGCTCTGTAGATTCGATATCGAGTTCCCTTGTCCGTCGACCAGCCATATTGCTATTGTCAGTTAGCCAAGTCTACAATGATCCCCCTGACGAGCAAGGGCAATGCGCACACTTTGTATCGGCAAATCCAAAAACCTCAGCCAAGGTCGCTCTGAGTTGCTCAATGCTGGGGAACTTGGAGACGTCGAGGCTGTGCGAATATAGGTCGGTGAGTTGTCCGATGTAGAACTTTTGATACATGTTTCGCGACCACAGTGCTCCGAATGGTACGGGCAGAATAAGACAACGGTCATGAAAACCACTTTGACAAAATATATGCGCGTGACTATGCGTCTGATTTTGGCAGCTCGGCCAGAGATTGTTTTCGGAAGCCCGTTGGCGGCGGTCCACATTAGGGTTAGCACAGGTAGCCTGCGTATCGTCCTTTTCCCTAGGAAGCGTCTGTCCCTTGTTCTAAGCTCTCGTGTCTCGGAACACCGCAACTATGGCATCCATGACCGCCCCCCCTGGTGAAAGCATCACACTCGAGCAACTGGCGGACCACAATACCTTACAGTCGCTATGGATCGCGGTTCACGGCGTTGGTAGGTGACGAGGGCTATCCTGTCAAATAATCATGCTTCGGGGATAAACCTGACCAGCGCCCTAGTATACGACTTGACAGCCTTCAGCTCCGACCACCCTGGCGGCATTGAGGCACTTGAAACCTGTGCAGGAACTGACGGAACCGAGGCGTTCGAGTATGCCGGCCACAGCGAAGAAAATATTGCCAATATGCAGCAGTACTGTGTTGGCAGGCTTGTCGGAAGCTTTGGACGAGATGGTCCCAGTTGCCACCATGCGGGAGACGGAAATACGGAGCAAAATCGGCGCGGTGCGCTCGGTATCAACCGGGCTACTTTCTATCCCTGGGCGACACCGGCAGTGACTCTATTGACTGCCTGCGGAGCAATGATTTTTTCATACCGCCACGTCCTTCCACGATTGGGAAGCTTTCAGGATATACTCCCAACAAACACCGACCTACAGCCTGGACATGGAGTCTTGACGGGCGTTGCAATTGCTTCATCCCTCAGCTTCCTGGGTTTCAGATACCTTTACGGACTATTTCTGTCGTCTCTTGACTATCAGAATGATGTATTTAGTTTTCCACCCACCATGCCAAGAAAGACCCGAAGATAGATAATAGACGATCTTACGAGGGGGCCTTCTGGGTTCTTGTCACCAGAAGGCCTGCAACTGTTTTACCATCACGCTGACGAGGATTACAACTCATTCCTGATGACAGTCCACGCTAGGTACCGACGTCCGGCCATATTGTGGTTCCCTTGTCTCCCAACAGTATGCTAGAGTACTATAACGCACGGAGTATCTTATTAGATACACTTCAATGCTATATAAATCATCTTGAGATTCGACTCATAAAACTAGCACTCCAGACTCTTTGGACTGCCAAATTCTACACCATGCTTTAGTCCAAAAAAGGCGAGACCACAGCTGTTCATTTGTTCCTCTTCTCCAAACAAAGGTACAAGGGGCCAGCCTGCATTGCAAAATGCTCATACATTCCTTGCTCAAAACCAGCTACCGGGTCAGTTTTACCAGGGGCGAACTTCAGATTGTAATGCATGACTAGCCTCGCGATGGTGACCCGAATATTGGTTAAGGCAAGATGCTTTCCGGCGCAATTCATGGGACCCAGTGAGAATGGCGCTATTGCGTTCTTGTCTTTGACCAGTTCCGGAAGACTGTACCACCGTTCTGGGATAAACTCATTCGCTCGCGGGAATACGAGTTCGTCTGTTCCTGGGTCAGTGGCGAGGGTACAAATTTAACCACCGGACTGGAGCAACTCCTTACCTCGTCCGATGACGTATTGGGGCGCTATCAGTTGCGTCCCACCAGGGATATATCGGCCAGCGATCACGGTGCCCTCTGGTGGGGACAGCCGTGTTGGGTGGCTGGGACTTGGTGGCCACATGCGCAGTGCCTCCTGAACAACTCCATTCAGCAAGTCAAGGTTTCTGATTCGATCGTCCATCACGAGCTCGTCCGGAGACTCCGGAATATACGGCCGCAATTCGTCCCGCAGCCTGTCCGCAAGCTCCGGTCGTTGAGCAAGAACCCACAGGATGCAAGACATGGTGATTCTGGTGGTGTCGCTAAGTGGGGAGTCAGTCAATCGCTCTAGGCTCAATCAAGGGCTGTCCAGGGCTACCGTACCTTCCAGCGTTGATCAGCAGATGAGATTCTCCAGCCAGAAGGTTTATTGCAGTCTCATCGAATACTTTCTCATTCCTCCGGTACGGAGCAAACAGTGCACTCATCACGTCTGGGATCTTAGGCTCGTTCTGTGTAGACATGGTAAGCGGTAACCCTAATCACAAGCAAGCGCATGGGACGAACCTCCCATCTCCTACGCATTTCTTCCGTGCAGTACTTTAACATGACCTTCAGGTCCTTATTGCCTCCGGGAAGTGCACGCAGAATGTGGAAAAACCACATCGGCAGATGAATGCCAATAACGCTCATTCCATTGTCCAAGATGTCCATTGCCCAGTGGTGCTCCCTGGTGTCCAGCATGCCGAAGGGGTGGCCGAAAGACAAGTCGCTCAAAACATCCCACGAATACAAGCCTAACCAATGGTTCACATTCACTGGCTGCCCAGCATGAGCATCGAGCTCATGCATGAGTTTGGCCCGATAGGGATGGATCCGTGTCTCGTAGCTCCTGACAGCTTTTGTAGAGAATGCTTGACTCCAGACCGAACGCAGTTCGGCATGCCCGGCAAAGGTCCGGCGAAGAAGAACGGAGTCTTGTGGCCGAGTAAGGTCGTACCAGGGGCCCTTCTGACACACGGAATCGGCTCCGAAGATCTGCTGCACCGCCTTGGGGTGTGTAATTGACAGTTCTTGGGTGCCGATGCGCACAAAGTAACCATACTTTTGGTGCAGCTTGTGTAAAGTATTGTACATTTGCATCCGTCGAATGGAAAATGTCATGTAGAAGCTGCTGATCCGTGCGAGCCATGGTCCAGGGAAGACGTTGAGCGGGTGTCGGAAAGCACGGTAAAAGAGAAGACTGGCATACAAGCCCAATAAAAAGAGCCCATCGTACCAGCATGATCGTTTCAGAGCCTCCTCCAAGCCATACCCAAGTCGATACTGCAAAGCCGCAAAAGCTGCGAAGGCGATGGTGTGTATTTGAATATAGGTTATGCCATGCAAGTGATGTTCGCCACGGTTGAAGTACCCTACGTAGCAGATGGCCCCAGCGGCCAAGGCGAGTCCTTCTAGGGCGAATTGCATTTTGTACGAATGGATGACGCCAGATTGGAGGAGCAGTGACTCTATAAAACTTAGATTTTTAAAAGTCGCATGCCCTCAAAGCTAAATTGCGCGAAATGGCAGGTTGGTATAGTCTTACTCTCCTCGCTGGGTTTACTGTGCGCGGCCACCGCCCAATTTGGAGAGGGCCGCGCTCAACTCAGCCGCCCGCTGCCCCTTCTCGCACCAATTTGTCACAAACTTCGCAAGAATGCTTCGTGTAAGCGTGTTATAGTGTGAAGTATGCTACGTATTGGGCCGAGTCCGCGCTCATGTCCCAGAGATATTAGGCTACGATAGTGACAGTCAGCTAGTATCCAGCCCCACCAGAGCATAGCGCTGTCCCAGTTACCTTGAATAACAGAGTGGTGGTAGGACTTCCATATCGGAGTAGATTCGATGAGTCCCCTAGCACTAAGAGGTCGATCGGTGCCGACCTGGCGCTCGGAGGCCAACGGTTGATATACTCGGTGAGGTGGTGGTCGACGAATGGCGTGCGAGCTTCGACACTGTGCGCCATCTCCGTGCGATCGCCCAGGCATGACAGCGAGACATTGGCCAACGAGTTCTTGTTCCACATGTGCATGGAGGTATGGAGAGGATGCCATCTCGAGCGCATCTTGGCTTGGACGGTCTTTGGATACGAGTTCAGAACGGTTCTGCGGCAATCATCGCTGCCGTGCCGTGCTTGTACCCAAGTCGCAAAAAGAGTGGCGCTGGGATACCATGCGAGCAGTTTATCGCTCATGTCTGCTGCCCCCGGGCCTGCGCCCCGCTGGAGTGACTACCCATGTGGGGGCAGCCGTTCTATTCGTAGCGGCCTCTCCCCCCGAGATTGCGTATGACACCAGTAGCGGGAGAGTATTTCTAGTTCATTCACCTATAGCTCCCTATCCTCTAATGGACTGAGATATACCAGGACGTGCCTCTGGAGAAGCATTCGATCCAGTCCGCCAGACCCTTGAAGCCGACACATTGGAATAGTAGCCTCTCAGGCCCACAAAGAAGATCAGTCTATCCCCGGCGCATATCGTCACAAACAGGCCGAGATATAATACATCAGTGAGGGCGAGGGCGAAGTCACCATCGACGGAATGAACAACCCTGTGACTAAGGGGAGCCCCGTGTTTACCCTATCGGATGCTGAGTACGGGCTTGCCAATCCTGGCGTGACTGGTCTACGGTCCTACGTACTTCCCACGAGCGCCTTCGGGGTCGTAGTTGGACGGTTGACAAAGGGCGAAAAGCACAAAGCCGTACCGAAAAGACTTCCAGTCTCAGGGAAGCGCCGAGCTACTAGTAGCGTATTCGAGCCAAATAGGGTATATGTGCAACCTCCATTCGAGCCTCGAAGTCACGGCATTTCTAAGACTTGAAATGCTGATTCCAAGGTGAGCTTCCCTCCTCTCATCAGCTACCATCGTACTAAGATACGGTACACTCAGTCCGACTACCTTCATCTCCAGTGCCTCTAGCAACCTTATAAGATGCTTGAGATAGACTTTGGAGATCAATGAAAGGATGTCTCAAGCCTTGATTCCGTCACGCCCATTACCGGATCAGTGCGGGGCAAGAGCCCCATTGCTGGGCCTATATCTCACAGCGTCGATCGGAAGGACTGCTGTCGGATCGTCTCATCTTGGGGGTCACAGATCACAGCGGTCACACAGGCTGCGCATGAATGCCGATGCAGAGTCTCCGGCAAAAACGTCCTGCAGATGGGAAGCATGCGATGTTCACAATCCGGAGATTTAGGGAGGAGCAAGAGATGACAATGATTTCCTCAAAAACATTCGCCCACTCCCATCTTTTCCGAGCTTTTCTTATCATCCTGAGAAACATGTCTCTCATTAACATTAGCATTCGATACATATTGGCTTCCCAATGATCCACCTGCCTTTTCTCCTGTGGACTCCGCCTATCTTTTACCATGTCTAGATTCTCATTACCTGGTTTGAACTACGGGCCCTTCCTGCCTATGCATTCTCCTCGGTGGGGTTGGGTAAAATAAGCTAGGGTGTCTTGCATTTTTCTCATAGATACTTTGGTCTACCTAACAAGATTTCACCTTTTCCTGCCAACGCCAATTTGAGACCACATCAAACGTATTACCCCAATGAACACCTGAAAAGCTAACCTGATTCGTTCTTCGTTGTTAAGCAAAATATTAATCAGCAAGGTCGGAGATGGCATTGCCTTTTGGCGTTGCTAGGAGACACCTCGGGCTGTCGAGAGGCCCACCTGTGCGCTGACGAGGCGGGAGGGGGAGAAGGGGGACTTATGACCAGCAAACATTATTGCGGAACCGCCCCTTGTAGAGGACCGCCCAGCACCGTGGTGTATGCTGGCAGTAGGTTCTTGCTACCAGCTCATAGTCCTTAAGACTTTGAGCTGAGTGTAAGCCCCGGTGGCAGCTAAGTTGTTCCTCGTATGTCCTCTTTGTGCCGACTGCATAATGTTTTGGTGCCATGCACCAACGGTGGCCACATAAGTGGCGCACCATCATTGGTGCATTTGAGTTCTGCTTCCATGGAGACACAGCTTCCAAGAGAGGAATGTTAAGCTGGGGGGTGGGCGCTGAATGCGCCTCGTTCGCGGCGATAATATGGGAAACGAGAACCTTTCTCGGGATACCCTCCAATAGGGTGGTACTATATCAATGGTCAGTCAGATATTCCTACCTTCCGACCCGTCAACTTGTATCTATCCACTCACCGCGGTGCACTTTGGGTTGAGCCACTCTCGCGCAGCTGTGGCGTCACGAAAATATCGCTGCCCCTCTGAGTCGCTGTACATAGCACTGAGCAATGTCCCAAGGGAAGATCCTGCGGGAATAACAGATCGTCATCTGTTAGAGACTCTACGTATGGTAACAATGATTGATTTCGAGCCTTAGGCCCGGCCTCGAGGTTGGGTCGGTGCAGCATGCGACAAAACTTCGCCCATGACTGTGGCGTAGCTTGCATAACAAGTAGTCGGTCCCTGATGGGCACAGGTGATGGTGCAGTCACTGCTGGATCAGGTGCCGACTCTGAAGCCTTGTTATGCTGCGGATCCATGCCACTTGGGTCCTCGTCAACGACCAAGTCGTCATTAGTGTCATCATTCTCCTGCTCCCCAGAAGTGTCCGCAGGTTGATAATCGGTGAGTTCGTGCTCTATAGCCATCATTTCCGTGACGTTAGCATTGTCCGGGAAAATATAAGTGTGGTGGATGCCATTGGTTTGCTTTGATCACTTACCATCATAACGGATTTGGTATTGTTGATCATCGGAGTCGGCCACGTCTTCCATCCCACGCCCGAACAGCTGGCTATCTTCATCCGAAGCATCTTCTATTCCCATATGAATGTAGCTGGACTGCCGCCCCCCGTGGGAACCGGATGCTTCCATCCTCTCGGGCTCGTTTGAGTCGAGCGTCCCAGTCCAGTATCTCCGGTCACGCCTCATCGTATTGCGGGGACCTTTGTGTTGAGTGGGCTTACCCTTAGGTATAGGCCTTGCCTTAGGATGGCCCTGCTGATCCTCGTCGCTTCGACGGCGCCAGTTTAACTTGGAGGTCCTTCTGGACTTCGCTCGTTCCTCTGCGTTACGGCCCTTTCTATGGGATGTTTGAGTCATCTCCGCTTGATGACGGAATTCCCAGGGTTCCCAGTCTTCTTGGGTCTCAGCAATGGGGGTGCGTCGATGAATATCCTTTGGCCGGCTTCGATCCGCACGGGACCGTCCTTGCTTTTTGGGCGGCATTTCTACCTGCAATTTAGTCCCCGATTGAGCAAGATGTGGTGTGAAGGTAAGTAAAGGATGAAGCTGTGAAAGACGAAGGAAGGTGTGAAGGTGTGAAGGTGTGAAGGTGTGAAGGTGTGAAAGAGGACAGAGGGGAAATGATTGGCGAAATGCAAAAACAGCAAAGGGGACAGACAAACAAAGAGGACAAACGGGCTTGATGTGGATTTAACTATAGATCCAACTTACTTCAGCCACCTACGCTAGGACGAAGAAGGTACTAGCGCAAACCTTAATGCCCCACCTTTTCTGCCTCAGGCCCTGATCTAAATCGGCTCCAGAGCCCCAATTTTTTTGAGTCACCGCAAGCTTCACCCTTCAGCCCCTCAATTGCGTCTGTATCCCTGTGTGTCCCTGTGTATCTGCAGCTTCGTTGACTCTACAGTCTACAATGGCCAGCCCTCTGACAGCGGCGACTCGCCGCGGTGCTCAAAGTGTAAATCAATTCGCCAATTCCGCTCTTCGGACATTCCAGGCTAATCGTGGCCGACAATTTGCCCACCAGAAACAATGCCCCGCTGCTCCCCGCCATCTGCTGTCGATTGCAGATCTATCTCCCGCTGAGTTCGCCATCCTCGTGCGCAATGCCGCTTCCCACAAGCAAGCAATCAAGTCTGGAGCCATTCCTCAACAGCTTCTGGGATCGCTGTCGGGCAAGACCATCGCGATGATGTTCAACAAGCGTAGCACCCGCACCCGAGTGTCGACAGAAGCGGCCGCCGTGCAAATGGGAGGTCACCCCATGTTCCTCGGAAAGGACGATATCCAGCTGGGTGTGAATGAGTCGGTCTACGACACCTCCGTGGTGATCTCATCGATGGTTTCCTGTATCGTGGCCCGCGTCTCGAAGCACGCGGACGTCGTGGAGTTAGCTCAGCACTCGACCGTTCCGGTGATCAATGCACTTTGTGATTCCTTCCATCCTCTTCAGATCATCGCTGATTTCTTAACGATCTACGAATCTTTCACCCCCAAGGCTCACGATGGAGCTAGCTTGGGCCTAGAGGGCCTCAAGCTGGCCTGGGTTGGTGATGCCAACAATGTGCTTTTCGATCTTGCCATTGGCGCGGCCAAGATGGGCGTTGATATTGCTGTTGCCACCCCGAAAGGCTATGAGATCCCGGAGCACATTCTTCAGATTATCAAGGCAGCCGGCGAGGGGGTGACCACTCCCGGCAAGCTCACCCAGACCAATGTGCCAGAAGAGGCCGTCAAGGATGCCGACATCTTGGTCACTGATACCTGGGTCTCCATGGGCCAGGAAGAAGAGTCCGTGAAGCGGATGAAGGCGTTTGAAGGTTTCCAGATCACTTCCGACCTTGCCAAACGAGGCGGTGCCAAAGAACATTGGAAGTTCATGCACTGCCTCCCTCGACACCCGGAGGAAGTGAGCGACGAGGTCTTCTACAGTCCTCGTTCTCTTGTCTTCCCGGAGGCCGAGAACCGTCTATGGGCTGCGATCGCCGCCCTGGAGGGCTTCGTCGTGAACAAGGGTAAGATCATTGAATGAGTAGGGCGGAAAAGAAACGAGAACGTACTGTATTCAGACCTCCTTCGACGAGATATGACCGAATTAGGGGCGAATGGGCGGGACTCCCTGTGCGTATGTACGGTAGCTCTATCATCGGCAATTTGATAGTCTTCGGTGCCGACCAAAAAGCCAATTTTTGTGTGAAAGATTCAGTTCTCCGATCACGGTAGCGCCTCTCCAATCACTAAACGCTTCCATTGGCTCCTTGTCGATCTAGCGAATCACCAAGCCGCTGGTTAGGGGGAGAGGGGGCCAAGGCTAGCCCAGATGGGCTGCAGAACCGCCCATAGCCAAAGGAAATGTGTCTCCAGGAACCTACCAAGATTTCGTGCAAGGGTCTGTCGCGGTAAATGAACCAAGGCGACGCAGATGGACCGCGGAATGGAGCAGGACCCTTGGTGGGGATCACGCGACCGACGTACGAGTTGGGAAGATTTGTTCCTTCCACCGTGAAGGCCTTGCAAGCCAGCTTCTTGTGCACACCCCGCCGGCTAAAGTAGAAATAGTTTCACACGCCCGTTCCAGTGCTCTTGTCATCCCCACCGTCCGGCCCCGCAATTGCGGATGTGCGGGGAGACGATGTGGGAAGCGGCAAAAGTCTCTCCCGGCCTCGTTCGATTGAGCCAAAGCCAGACGATGACGGCAGCTTCGGGGAGGAAAAGCTTGCGATTTAAGACCTCGAATCCTGCCATGTTGCCTGCTGTCCATTCTTCATCTACTTTGAGTGCTTTGGGGCATTCCGTCGTGGCAATATCATCTTTCGTTCTATACTCCCGCCATGTCGCCGCTTCTAGCCGGCTCAATGGGGCAGGACCCCCGAGAATTGCAAATTGCTATCCTCGGGGCTGGAATGGGTGGATTAACGTGTGCCCTGGCGCTGGCACAGCGTGGCTTCAAGAACATTGACGTCTATGAAAATGCTCCCGACCTGGGCTTTGTTGGCGCGGGCATCCAGCTTGCGCCCAATATGGCGCGTGTTCTCGACCAACTCGGCGTCTGGAAGGGCATCGAAGCTGAGGCCGTGAATATTGAGGATACTTCCGTCAGAGGTATGATCATTAGAGTCTCGATGGCATCTTAGAACATTTGCTGAATCTGACGGGGAACAGTTGGTGCTGATAATACCGAACTAGCCCATGTGGACCTGGGGTATATTAAAGACACCTATAACTATCCCCATATGGTGGGCCACCGATCATCTCTGGCCAATGGCCTGTATCGAGGCTGCCTGAAAGAATCGGCCATCAAGTTCCACTTTGCTACCCCCGCATCAGATGTGGCATTTGGTCCTCGGCCGTCCTTCACGGCGACGCCGCGAAGGGGAGGAGCCCCTTACAAGGTCGAGTGTGATGTGCTTCTCGGGGCAGACGGTATCAAGAGTGAAACTCGGGTCACCATGCTCAAGCGCTTGAATGTCGACGTGGGGGTAAAGGACACCCAGCAAGCTGCGTACCGGATCATGATCCATAAGGACCAGATCAAGGACGACCCCGAGCTTTTAGCCCTCATAAATAGTACTCGAGTGACTCGATGGATTGGCGAGAAGCGCCACATCATTGCGTATCCGGTATCTAACCACACCATCTACAATTTGTCGACGGCCCAGCCTGATACCCACTTTGCGGCAGCCACAAACGCCACCTACACTACCCGCGGCTCGAAAGAAGCCATGCTGATCGTCTTTGGAGACTTCTGCCCTATGGTCAAGCGAATTTTGAACTATGTCCCGGAAGGCGAGGTCTGTGAATGGAAGCTGCGCAGTCACGACCCGCTCCCGACTTGGGTGCACGACTCTGTTGCACTGTTAGGCGACGCATGCCACCCAACGCTACCGCATTTGGCGCAGGGCGCCGCTCAAGCCATTGAAGATGGTGCCGTTATTGCGGTTGCCTTATCTCGTCTCCCAGATATCCAGCCCGAGTCCATCAACAAGGCCCTCCGCGTTTACGAGAGGGTGCGAAAAAGCCGCGCCGAGGCTCTGGTCGAAATGGCAGCCGCCTCCGGTCGTGCGCTGCATCTTGGAGATGGGGCTGCCAAAGAAGAACGCGATCGGCAGTTTGCCGCCCTCAAGTCTCAGGGTGGCAAGGGGCCTGTCCCCGACAAGTGGGCCGATGCTGACGTGCAGCGTGAGATCTACGGGTTTGACTGCACGCAGGTTACCGAGGATAACTTTGATGAATACTTCGCCCAAATGTGAGCTCTTTGCTGTACTCCAAGACTTTAACGTACTCTATATACTCATACGAATCTTGCAAATAAGAAACTTTGTAAGCACAAGACACGGCTCACAAAACAACGGCTGGTTTCTTCCCTCTCATAGAGTAGACTCCAAGCCTTCCACGCAACACAAAGCCTTTCAGCCTCAATTTGAAAATTGGAGCTTTGGTACTAGTGGCAGGCCTCTTATATGTAGGATAAAGAGGAACTGCGATTAAAGAGACTACTCGCACGAAGCCGAATTATATCCCCCCGAGATAAGTGGCTTAGACAACTTGTTAATCATTCGGTGGCTCTGGTTCAATGCAGTGTTCCCGGGCTGTACGCAAATTGCGCCAAGATTCTTATTATTGTGCCAAATTCCAGTTTTAGAGTGTACTAAATAAGGCGTGCCACGGCATTTCTTGCAACCTGACCATCTTTTCTGGTCTGTAGTTCGAGACATCTTCCCGGGTCATCTTCACGCCCAAATTTTCTCCCACACGGGGCCCATTGGAAAGGTCTTATGTTCGCATCTGCCGTAAAATTAGTAGTTTTCTATTAGGAACTGAAACTCGGTGTATTTCAAAGGCAGGTGTTCTTTCACGTCTCTGAACTTGTGATCGAGTGGACAGCGACGGTCACAAGTCGGGAGACGGTCTATAGATCCACGATATAAGAATCAGGTCGACCTCTAATTTTGCACAGCATCCTCATCATACTCTAAACATCTGCTAACCTAGTAAGCTTCTCAAGGAATAGGACATAAGAACAATGGTCCCTTCAGCAATTTATTCGTAACCGGCTCTTATCCGGGTTCGGCCACGAACAAAGCCACTACACTCTCGAACAAACTACTCTCTCGTCTCTAAACGAGCGATAGATCGACTGGCTGGAACTATACGCATTACATGGCGCGTATATAACCCAATTCCTTTCTTTTTTTTTTGAGAACTAGTGGTTATGCACCTTGAACCGAATAGTCCGCAGGATGCGAAAATGACACTGGGGTGATGATATTGTCCACTACGCTAGGCGCGTAGATCGACAGATAACGATCTACAAAGGCAAAACAGTAGCAACGTGCAACTATGTAAAGCATCCCAAATGTGTGACAGTACATGGCCACCTCAGTAAACAGCATTCAAGAAGATGGACGAAGTTAAACCAGCAGATTCCAGATCTGATATACAACCGCAGAAGCCAACCATGTTCTATAGCCAGGTGGACAACAAGGACCTTCTAACTGCCAAAGAAGCCGATATCTCGAGAACCAAGCAAAAGCGCTGATAGCCCGCTTAATCCTTTCGGCGCCGCAGATTCTCCAGAGCAGAGTCTGTGGCTAAGGAGATCTGCTCTCGTGTCAGGGGCAGATCTCGAGGCAATGGAGCTCCTTCTTCCTGCTCAAGTGCAGCGGCTGCCTCGAGAACAATCTCCTGCGCCAAATCCTCCAGCTTCACGGCCTTTTCGGGCGATTTGTCGTCAGCCTTCGCAGGCGCTCCCTCCGCGGGGTCACGGAATCGCTTGCGCACGGTCTCAACCATCTTGTAAAACCAGACGTAGTTCAAGAAGTTAAGAATCAGATTGGAGGCGACGTAAGTCACAACCAACCATGTCGGCACACCACCAGTAGTAAACTCCTTGAACTTGGAGATCTCGGCATTGGCGCGAGCACAGGTCTCGTCGATGCAAAGAGCGCCGGCGTCCGTGAAGACGTTGGCGCTAATGTCGACCGGGCCTTCAAGAGCGTGGGCAGTATTTGCAGACCACGTCTGTTGTAGAGCATTCCACATGTCCCCGTACACCACAGCAGACTGCCATGTTCCCCAGATCAGTCGGCAGGAGAAGAAAACACTCAGAAGAAGCATTCCGTTATACCACTGGGCTCGGCTGCCAGTCATGTTGACTTTGTCAAGGAACCAATGGATATTGAGGAAGGGGGTGGAGAGCTCGTAAAGGATGAAAACGGGAGCATAGTAATTGACAAAGGGTCTCTGTTTGCAAAGAAGACAACCCCCACGATTAGCCCGATGTACTTCCTTTTGTTTATCCAAAATTACTCGAGTGGTAGGGTGCATCGGAGGAACTTACAAAGCCAAGGCTGAAGACCCATAGCGCGCTGATGGCGTGGAACAAAACACCCACTCCAAACATGCGCAAATGAACAGTGCTCACGATGATGTCGTAGATGAAGTAACCCACGGCCAATGCCTGGATGAAGCCACAGGCACCGGTATATCCAAAGACCCGCTCGCCGGCAGACATGGAGCTACGCTCTTGGTCGACGAACAGGATCCATAATGCTAGAGCATTGATCACGACGCTCTGGAAGAGTGAGACGACGTGGATATCCCAATTTAACTTGGTACGGGCGCTCAGATATGGGTAAGACTTCGGAAAGAGGATTGGTGAGAGCCACGGGGAGATAAAGGAATGGATGGACTGGTAGACGACGAAAGCGAGGAGGACCTCATGAACATGGTCCGGAAAAGTCGGGCTGTTCAGCCAGAGGGCGTACGGCTCGACGAAGGCCCGCAGCCATCTTGGCGGCGGTCCGACAGGGTCGAGCATGTTTCAATGTCTGTCCCTCAACCAGCTCTCTAGCCCGATGTGGGGGCAACTTGGCGATGATCTGATCTCACCGTGGAGAGGAAAGGGGTGGAGGGATTCCGAAAAGGCAAGGAGGGAGAAGCCTCAGGGGTCTACCATGAGCTCAACAAGTATCCGAACCGGCTCCTTTCTATACACAAGAGGCCAAGAACAAGTGCTGGAGGCAAAAGATGGGGAAGAACAAGGCCCAGCTGCCGAGGTTCTGCTGATCTGTTGGGATCAGGTGATCGTCTGGGGACTTTCCGTTTCTGGACTAGCGGTAGACTGCGTAGCTGTCCATCAGACCATCCAAGCGTGACCAGATCACTTGCGTACTTCTACATTAGGGGGACACTTCTACACAGTCGAGGGAGAGACGATAACTAGGTTTGACATTGGATAAGTCACATAACAACAGCTCATTAATCCACAGATAAGGAATTCATACAAGTCCATCAAAACGGCATAATCACAAAACGCATGAGGAACAATAGTGGTATATGAAATTGAAAAAAAAAAAAAGACAGCAATAACATGCAAACAAAGGAAATCAAACAAAAACTCCGAAAGTGTTTTCAAGCCCTGCCCGCTCAGGCGACAGAGACATCTGTGCCTAAGCCACTATCAGCGGGCTGGCCCAGAAGCTTCATGACTTGCTCCTCCATGACCGAGGCTGTTTCCTCGAGGTGACTGTCCTCGTCCACGTGTGACCCGTCATCCGCAGTGTCCTCAGCTTCTTCTTCGCTTTGAGCCTCCCCCCTCGTCGTCTTCCCGAGCTGTCTGGGCATCTTCTGATTCAGAATCCACATCGTCGTCTTCAGGGTCGCCAGCAATAGAGCTCTCTGCGCCGGCGACATGCGCGTCCGTAGTGCCACTCATAGAACTCACACCGCTAGTTCGACGGTCTTCAGAAACACCACTTTCAGAGCCGCCCGTGACCACACTATCAGTGATAGTCCCGGCGTAGCTGGACTTCCGCTCGGTGCCCGCGTAGCTCGACTGGCGATAGCTGACCTGCCGTCCTGGGCCAGCCTCAAGCTCACAATCGGGCTCCTCTTCTTCGGGGAAAGCCTCATTTTCCTTGTTGGCAACAGAGGGTCGACCGGCCCAAGAAGTCTTGCGCAGCGAGAAATCGGATTTGACAGAGTGGCTGCGCTTGAGATTTGTAATACCGGTGTTGGCACTCACATGTCGCTTGCCAGGCTGACTGTTACCAGTAACGTGGCTCAAGCTGAGAATACGGCGCTCCTTGCCAATATTAGGCTGGACGGCGGTGGAGCCAGATTTGAGGGAGTTGTTAGTGCCGCGACGCTTGAGAGCCATGCCGACACCATTTCCGAGCAGGCTTCGCTGGTCCTTGGGCCCCCGAGCCGTGCTGGTAGTGGTGGTGCTGACCATGCTAGGACTGCGGGCGCCGGTACGAGAAGAGCGTGTGCTTCGGTTTCGTTTCAGGTTCATGTTCTGCAAGCTGTTTGATCGGCTCATGAATACACTGCGAGCATGATCAAGGACTCCTTCTAGGATGCGCTTCTCGAGTTCATCGGCACGCTCCTGCATGTAATGCATTTCTTCGCGGCGGAGCTCGAAAGTAGTCTCGAGGCCAGAAAGCTCTTTGCTCAGCTTCATATTCTGCTTCGCGAGGTCGTCCTTCTCCGTCTTCAGAGTGTGTATCATTTTCAAGAGTGACTCTTTCTCCTCATTTAGACCGATAATTTCAGCTTCGACCTGTTCGCGTTGGGCGTTCCGGCGCTCGAGCGCGATGGCAGCCTCTTCAGCTTCCTGTCGCTTGCGCTCTGTCTCTTGAGCAACAAGGCTGGACTGGAAAGCAAACATCTCGTTCATCTTGCGAGTGTTCTCCATAATGTCCTTGTGCATCTCATCGAGCTTCATCATTTGCGTCACAGGAAGATCAGGGTCCACAGCATTCACAGGGCGACTGAGGAGGGCATCCAACTTCTCGAGGACGGGTGCATTCCCAGCAGTTGCATGGTCGAGAAGCTGGTTTAGCTTCTCATATATCTGCTCTGTTTGCTCGCTCGAGCCAGAGGCCTGCTCCAGCGCGCGATCAAGTTTCTCGTGGATCTGCTCATTCTTGGAGTGCTCCAGAAGGGTGTTCAAGACTTCCTGAACAGGGTTGCTCTTGGCGTGCTCGAGCAAGTCATTGAGCTTGTGATGAACAGGATCATCCTCGATATCCCGAGAAGACTCAGGAGGAGGCAAGGCAGGAAGCATTTGTGGAATGGCAGCGGGCAAGGCAGAAAGCTCAGTCCTGACCTCATCCGCAGATTTCTGCGAGTGGTCGTAGTGCTGGCTAACAACGTTGAGGATCTCCTGGACAGTCTCAAGGATCTGAGGGTGGAACTCAAGCAGTTTGCTCTCCACACGTTCGGTGGCAGCAACGGCTCTTTCATTCTCTCCTCTGGTCTGCTCCTGGTGTGACTTGGCCTCGTTGTGCATCTCCTCCATGCGAGCGTACGACTCAGTAACCTTCTCACTCAGGGCCTTTGTTTCCTCACTCATCTGCTCGCAGGTGTCGGTTACAGTGGTACCCATAGACCCAATGACGAGCTTGATATCTTCAGCAAGCGCCTTGGTGCTGGTCACACTTTCAGCGTGAGAGAGATCACGTTCTTCGGCCTCAGACAACTTCGAGTGCAAGGAAGCATGGGCGTCATCATACTTAGCCATGATTTCCTCGATCTTCTCATCGATCTTGGCCCCGAGCTCCACAATGATAGCAGCACGAGTCTCGTCGTGCTTGATAAGAGCAGCAGCATCACGCTCCTCCTTCTCAAGTTTGGTAGCGTCGTCCTCGCCGCGGGAACGCTCAAACTCGCGATTGATAAGATCGGTGAGCTCCTTGATCGACTCGACAGTGCTGAAATTCTCCGCCGATAGAGCCAGACCTTCAAGAAGGCCCTTCAGCTCAGTCAGGCCTTCAGAGCTACCGTCAAGCTTGCTCTTCAACTGTTCGCCGAGTTCCCCGACCACCATCTTAGCCTCATCAATCTTTTCGGCCAGGCCACCATGTTCAACCTTACGGGCCTCGAAGCCTTGGGCAGTCAGCTCATTATTGGCCTCCATTCTCTCGCGGAAATCAGTGACGAGAGAGGACAGGCCTTGGATCTCCTCTTTCGTGGGAAGGGTCTCGACGTCAGGCAGCTTCAGCTCATCAATTTGGGTCTTCACTTCGAACACCATAGCCTCGACAGTCTGGAGATCTGACTTGAGGAGCTTGTCGCTGTCTTCCTCTGCACCTTCATCGCTCCCCTCACCCGCAGGCTTTTCTTCCTCCTCCTTGGTTTTGCTCTTGAGCTCATCCAGAGCCACCCAGACGTCTTTAATCAGGTTCTCCAGTAGTCCGATGTCGGACTTCGTAGATGCTTCAGCTTCAAGCCGGGCAGACAAAGTAGAGACAGCATCCTTGGCCTCCGCAACCATGACTTCCAGCACCCCAATCTGCTCTGATGTAGCCAGCTCTTCTTTTGTGGGAAATTTGATCTCGGCGATCTGGTCCTTCGTGCTCACCAGAAGGCTTTCGAGTGCATCCGTGTGCTCCTTAGTGGCGACACCCTCCGGAAGCTCCTTGCTGGCGCCCATTTCTCCAATCGCAATTTGAACTTCTTGGATGGCAACCAAAAGCTCATCAAAATGGCCACGGTTCAATGCGTCTTCTGCGGGCGGCGACGGCTCGGTATCGCGGGGTGCAGTGTCAATCGAGTCAACCTTCTCTTGAAGCTGTGTGATGACATCCTTCAACCCCTCAATGTTGCTACCTATATCAGAGCCATTGGCAAGCATAAGCTCATTGCCACGAGCGCTGGAAGCATCATCGGCGTCTTTCTGTGATTGACGAACAGCATCAATTTCCAGGCGCAGCTCAGCGAGGCCATCCTTGATGGTAGTCAAGATTTCAGAACTATCGAACTCGGTCGGCTTCTCCAAGACCTGCTTCACATCTCCGCGAATGGAGTCAATTCCTTCATTGAAAGCATCGAGAAGCTCGCTAGTGACAGACAGAACACTATCGCTGCCATCTTTCTGTTTGATAGTCTCTTGGAGAGTCTCAAAATGCTCCTGCAGAGCTGCGATAATTTGGTGCTTCTCGCTATTCTCTTCAGCTGGCGGCTCAGCGCGGACAAGACTGGTGTCCATGCGCTCGCGAAGGTTCTCAAACTCCTCCCTGATGGTGTTGACGATCTGCTCATCGCTGGTCTTAGCCTTTTGTTGCTCATTCACTTCATGAATAGCGTCAAGAATTTCATCCTTGTCGCCCGCGTTCTTGTTGATGAGGAGCTGGCTGATTGTTCCGCGCAGGTGCTCGAATTCCTTCTCCATTGCATCCAAAAGGTCTGACGTGTCGGTTGGACTCCGGGTTTCATTTGAAACAGCGTTGTCGGTAATTGTCTTTTCCATATCAGCTTGGAGCAGCCTGAAGCCTTCCTTGACCGTGTCAATGATTTCGTGCTTGTCAGATCCATTCGTTCCCGTCGCAGCTGCGTATGCTTCAATCTCTTTGCGAACCACATGAAGACCATCCTTAATCGCGTCGAGGACCTGTTCAGTGTCCTTGCCGTTGGCCGTGGAATACTGCTTAAACTCCTCTTTCATGCCATCAACGACATCCTGCAGACGTTCTAGCACTTGCTCTCCGACGTTCAGGTTTGCGGCAGTAGTGGCGTCATGCAGACCAGCACTAATAGCTTCCATGAGATCATCCTTGTTGAGCTCAATCTCACGAGTCATAGTATTCGAGCTCTCGATAGCATCAACAATAGCATTGAATACCTCCTCACGGGTGATAGATGATGATTGAATGTCGGTGCTCAAAGCAGACTTCTCGGCTTCGCCCGACTTATGGATGCCTTCCGAGATAGCATCAAGGATTTCTTCCCGGGAAAGTGAAGGGCCAATGTCCTTGGCGATAGTTGTTTCATGAGCTTTGGTAGCGATCTCAATACCATCAATAATAGCAGTCATGATCTCATCTCGGGAAATACCAGTAGAAGTCTCTGTGGTCAAGGCAGACCTGTGAGCGTCTAGGGCCTCAGTGACAGCACTGACAACGTCAGCCCTGGAAATCTTCGGGTCCTCCATCTCCTTCGCGGTAGTAAAATGAGCATCCAGACCATCGGAAATAGCTGTAACGATGTCATCACGGCCAAGGCCGGAGTCGAGAGATTCTTTGCTAACAACACTCTGGGAAGTGAATGAAGCAGTAACGGCATTGAGGATCTCATCCCGGATGGAGTGCAAGTGCTCAACATGCGCCTCGTCAATGGATCGTGGTGCGCCCTCCGATTTCTCAGTCAGGGCATTCATGATCTCATCCCGAATCCCATAGAGGTGGTTCAGGTGTTCATCGTCAACCGACCGAGGGGCGCTCTCGACAGACTTCTCAGCCAGGGCATGCAAAATTTCGTCTCGGATTGAGTTGAGGTAGTTTACATGCTCTTCATCCAGAGACTTGACGGCTGGCTCTGGCCGATCAGCAAGTGCACGTAGAATCTCATCGCGGATGTTATTGAAGTAGTTCACATGTTCCTCGTCGAGGGACCGGGAGCAGAGTCTGGCTGCAGCTTCTCGGATACAGCCTGCAGAATTTCATCACGCATGGTATTCAAATGAGAGACGTGCTCTTCTTCCAGGCCCCGCGAGGCGGGCTCGGGCTTCTCGAGGCACTCGCGAATGGTGAGAATGATCTCATCCCTAGTGATGGTAGGGGGATGCTCGATGGGAGGTGGTTGGAAGCTCTGCATGCCAGTCTGAACAGCCGCCAAGACTTGCTCATACGTCAATGCCTGTTCGTGCTTGGGCTCGTATGACTTGAGGCCCTCGGACAAACACTCCAAGATTTCATCCCGTTCTAAACCAAAGTTTTGTAGCTCAATCTCAGGTTTGTACGTCTCCCATGCCTCGCGAACAGTTTCAAGGATCTCCTCCTTCTCCATCACGGGGCCTCGTGGCTCGGCGGCCTGAAGCTGGGGAAATTCCAACTCGTCGAGAGCTCGCTTGACAACAGAATAGATCTCTGCGCTATTCATTGTGGCTTGGAGTTTGGCGAAGATGGCGGATTGCTCTCGACTTTCGTTGATGGTGGCAGCCAGCTGCTCACGGAGGTCGAAGAGACTGTTGTTGACAATGGATGAAATTTCCTCGGGGCTGAGAGGCCGAGGCTTCTCCGCTGCTTCAATCCCCTTGGTGGATTCTATCGCTTCCAGCTGTCGAGCAATATCACGTCCCATCCCGAGAACCTCCCCGCGAAGCTCACGAACCAAGGCTTTCACCCCGCTGGTCATTCCACCGCTCTCCATCACGCTACTCTTAACGCTTCGGAGAATTGCGAGCATCTCATCACTGTTGGGAGTTGATCGGTCCAACTGGTCGCTCTTCGGAACATTCAATGCTCGCACGGTAGCTGTCGGGTCCATAGATCCTGCAGAAATCGATCGAGCCCCCTCAGTGCCAGAGGCTGCAAACGGCAGATTTTGAAGAGTCTGCGAGCGCACTAGAGCTCGGCTCGAAGGGTCATCCTTCACCAGGTTGAGAATCTCCTCCAGCATGTTCGTGATCTTCTTATCCGCATCCTTGTCTGATGCATTTGCTGCAGGACGTGATTTGATCTCGTCGACAAGCTCCAGGAGTCGTTCCTCACCTTCTTTCGTGGCCATCTCACGTAAGACTTTCTCGAGTAAGGCGATGCTGGCTGAACCATCAGAAATCGGTGCAGGAGATGCACCGATGTCGCGGTCAAATACAAATGGGTTGGGGCTGGGCATCCGTGGAACAGAGTAGCTTCTCTTCGAGGCAGGAGAACTATCAGACTCAGGGAGGTTAGACCCATTTTCACGGTTCAGAAGTGCCATGATATCAGACCTTGTCATCTCTCCGTCTAAAATCTTGGTAGCCAGATTAGCCGAAAGCTCCTTCAAGCTTTGGCGGATGTCTTCATCGCGGGCATCGGTTGCGGCTTTCAAGCTGATCAAATCTGTGGCATTGTCCTTGCTGCGGCGACTCAAATTCATCATCTCACGCTGCAAATTACTTGCAATATTGGTGAGACTATGAATTTGGTTGGCAAGAGATCCCATGGTATGTGCTTGGTCGGGTGTCTCGTTGGGCTCATCCGCTGCGGTGATCATCTTAGGGGGGCTTAGAGGGCGATGGGGGGGTCATCGTCGGCGGGTAGTTGCATGTTTTGTAGAGCGAGCATAGTTGCCGATGGCGGTGTGCTCTCTCCGAGGATTGGTTTGGACAGATAACGGCTGGACACATAGCTTGGAAGTCCTCGTTCTGATGAAGGACGCGGAGGGGACCCTGGGGCTTTGGGTACTTCGACGGGCTTGATCGCCGAGTCGACAATAGTCGCACGCAGAGGCCGTTCTGGCGATCTGCTTTCCAAGTAATTCAGAAACTCCGCTCGTGCATTGTGCTTGGTGTCAGACGGCTGAAGCGACTGCATGCGCTTGTGATAGCCCTTTACTAATGACCGTTCTGGAGAACCAGTCTTGTGGGGCATTGGGTTGGTTGTGTAGGAGCTCGGAGCATTTTCGCTCGGCTTGTCTGTAAACTTGGCTGCCACGGCCTGGATATTTGGCGACACGTTGTTTTTTGTCGCAGGGCTCATGGAGCGAGGGTTCATGGGCAATGGTGGTGGTGCTCGCTCTGGGTCAGAACTATCCCACCTGCGTGAACGGCGCCTTAGTATGGATTTCAAATCGTGCATGATGGGAGGGAGTGATGTTTCGGGGTCACGATCAGCAAAGGGCTTACATTGGAACTGAGAGCCGGGACTCGCTATGGGTCAGTTGTTGGCGCACCAGTTCCCGATCACGGGGAGTATCATCCCGATCTTGGGCTGGCATGATGTTTATGTGAGGGCGAGGTCAAAAAGGTGGATGTCTCGGAAAGGTATGAACAATTGAAGGGGTAGGAGAATGCGCTCGGAGAATGTATTCAAAACAAGGGTCGTGAGGGCATATCAAATCCACAAGGTCGCTAGAAAACAAGAGCAGGTGGGAAAGACGGTGTATCAAGCATCAATCGCCGGGAGATCTGCTTGATAAGAGGGAAAGCAGGAAAGGGTGGAGATGGTGGAGGAAAAGTACGTCCACACCACTAGTAGTCCTTAGCAACGGGCAGCAACTCTGGTTGCCATGTAAACATCACACGTCACTGCAGGCGGTGAGCTTGGGCACTGACCCACCCGGTGGGTTTGTTCCAGGCCCGCAGGCCTTGGCAGAATGGAGGCGGAAGGACTCGGATAAACTGTGGCCTGGGGCACACACTTTGACCCGGAATAACCCCAATGGGGAATCACCCCTAGAACAGGCTAGCGGCAGATTGTCGGTAAGACAGCCAATCACGGGGCCGCACACAAAGCGCTTGCCCTGAACCCTCCACACCTAACGAAAACTTGAACACTTCGATCTTGACTGTTCCCGTACTTCGACAAATCACCCGCCAACCTCGCCGCTTACCGGGACCTTCAAGATGAAGTTCATGAAAGTGGGAAGAGTCGCTATTGTGACGCGCGGCCGTATGTTTAATCCCATTACTGCTTTCTTGTCCAGAATCAATGCTAACCACCTTTAGGTTACGCCGGTAAGAAGGTACGAAAACACCATTCCCACCTCCCTCCATCCCCAGAGCACGAGAGCCAGAGCATGGAAAGAAGGACGGAGACTCGATCCACGAATGCGAGACGAGGAAGACTGTTGAGATCCGAGACGAGAAAACCGCGATTCGATCTGCACCTTTGGACATGCCATAACCCATCCCACGAATTCTTTCTGACTCGCTTTCGGTATAGGTCGTCATCGTCCAGCCTCAGGACACTGGCTCCAAGGCCCACCCCTTCGCCTACGCCATTGTTGCCGGTATCGAGCGCTACCCCGCCAAGGTTACCCGCCGCATGGGTAAGAAGTTGGTCGACCGCCGCAGCAAGGTCAAGCCTTTCATCAAGATCATCAACCAGAACCACCTTCTCCCCACCAGGTTCGTTCGCCACGAGGACATCCACGTTGCAGCCAGTTACTAAACGTCTACTAGATACACTCTGGAGCTCGAGGGCCTCAAGGGTGCCGTCTCTGCCGACACTTTCAAGGAGGTTTCCCAGCGTGAGGACGCCAAGAAGACCATCAAGAAGGCTCTTGAGGACCGCTACACCTCCGGCAAGAACCGCTGGTTCTTCACTCCTCTTCGTACGTCCCACTACCCTCTGGTCATCTACGGGTCGCTAATTGTTCGCAGGCTTCTAAACGGTTTCCTCGGGGCGTTACGTCTTTTTGAGCGCGCAGGGTTGTTGGTGAAAACGGAGCGTGGGGGGAACAAAAGCCATCGAGCACATTCGATCCCTTCAATGGGATGGCACTCAAATACCCCAGCTGGAAACAGAATCGGGAATGTATCGATGAAATCCAGTTAAACCAAGGCGGGCGGGCCAATGAGTCGGCGCCCGTCTTATGAAATGGAAAATATGAACAATTATTCTCTTGCATTGAACTCGTTACCGTACATATGTCTTTCTGTATGATGCATGACTTGCAGGGCCATCGTCGCCCATATGTCCGTGCAGACTAAACCTTTGGTCTAACCTTGGATAACCTTGGAACCACCACATGCTCGCAGCCCCGTCCTCGACACCATTCTTCCACATTTCCGTGTCACGAGACGCCGGTCACATGTAGCTCAGGGTCAGATATTTTTTCCCCTTGACCTGAATAAACCATTCATAACCTTGTGGCTTTTTCACAGTCCATGTGATCAAATCTTATCTGAACTACCAGTGTGCGATGGGCCCTGCGCGATGTAGTATGCATCTTTGAAACACATTCAGCCAGCATGTGAAATGCCTCGCTACGACAATCATAAGCTTCCGCGGCTCAGGAGATTGTTCGAGTCCACAGCGCGAACTGTTGCCACCGCACAGGCGCCCATGGAATCTTCGGGCTCTTCCGCGGACGATCGACTGGGTTTCTTTACATTCAGAGCAGGTACTCAACCCCCTTGTCCCGATCACGACAACGGTCAAACGTACATGTTACAAAAGGGCATAATGTCTGTCATACCGCAGTGGCGATTCCGACTCGCGCCTCGGGCGCATAGTGATGTCGGAGTTGCACGTAGTCCGCGCTAGTACTTGACAACGCAGAGGATTCTGACGCAAAGCTTGAACGTTTTGAAATGCCAGAAAAGGGCCGTAGAACTGACGGAGTATCGCATAGGAAGAAGTGCCTGTCACTATCTTTTTTATCTTCCAGCAATTAAGATGTCTGCCTCGGGCGGGGGATCCACAGGATAAGATCGACGGTTATATTTCTGTCCCGTCGACGGTCGCACCGGGTTCGCAAAGCGCTCAAGGTAGCAGACCAAGTCTGGAATAAATCTTTCCGTATCGCGCTTCTGAACGAATCAACGTCAACCTATGGTTTGGCATGATTTCGAAGAAGGGGGAAAAGGACACCTCCAACATGATCATCCTAAGGGCTGAGGTCGAGCTCGGAGAATTCCAGCTTGCATAGACCCCATATGCATCCACCGCATCGCCGCACAGAAACCCAGTCCAAACCTGACATCAAAATTTGCAAGCACCGGGGTCGTTTGACAGAAGCGACCCCCCCCACCTTCGTATAGGCCAACGGAGAACGGGCCAAGAGCGAATCACCCAGGCTAGCCGTCGCACACGCACCGGGGCACACAGAGCCGGGGCCGATCGAAAACGCAGCCAGCACCTTTTTGAGTCCCCGTGCTCTCTTTGACACGTCTGGATGCCAACCCCCGGCTAGCTCGACGTACATGGCTGATTTACGTCGGCTACATTGGCGACAGTCCGGTCCATGGCAAGGGGGATACCGCTAGTCTTATGCCCGGGCTAGCCCGCGTCATTGCTACGGACGGTCTCGACGTAAGAGCTACTGCAGGGTAGATTGTATACAGGTGCTCGGGCCAGGTGGAACCCGTGAGGGGCGCCTGGGTTAAATATCTCGAGGTGTCACAGCGGATGAAGTCTCTAGGCTGGCTCGCGACGGGGTGATAAGAGCGAGGCTGAGGCGCCAATACAAAAACCAGGGTGGGGGGTGGAGATGCAGATGGCGGGGGGCCAGTCAAGGGCTGTCATGATGTGGTGTATGGGAAGTTCCAGAGTTCCGACAGGACAATAGCTACCGTCCCGACATAACGAACCTACGAAGTCCCAAAGTACCAGAAGGATTATCAGAGCATCATCCACTCTGCGTAGTCTCCTTAACCAATGCAAGTGGAGCCTGACAATATGGTCGACGTTGGGACCCGCAATCACATGTGAAACCCAGCTCTTATCAAATCGTCGCATTCTGTTGCAAGCTAATGCAATTGGCCTCTGGGTGAACGTAATAGCGGAGTTCTCAGGATTAGGTTCCCGTGGAATTCCCTGATTCCAAGCTGCTGAAAGCAGGTGGCCATGCCATTGCGTTGATAACGAGGGCAATTGAGTCGCCGTTACGCAACCGGAACCAAGCAAGGAGCAGAACCCAAACTCAAACCCTAAGAATCATACAAGAGAATCGGAGGCAAGAACCAGGAAGACGCCATGCAAGAGTGAAAGTCAAAAAGCATCCACCAAAGGGCGCAGAACCCAGCGATTGCGCTCTGGCCCCCGTTTAGCCCATTGGCAGCACAATCACATGTGAAAGTCTGCCTATATACAGCCCACCTTTCTTTTTTCCCCTTCAACGTTCGTAATTTTCTGTGGCTTCAGAGACCCCTCTGTCCTACCTGCCCTTATCTTCTCCCATTTCGCTTCTCTCCATCTTTCAGACTTCATGCCCCACGCGGATTCAGACACCATGGCCGCCGAACCCGTCGTCAACGGCGAGAAGGTCCACTCGCAGTTCTTCCACGTACGTACAGCTTCGCTCTCGAAGCTTGAGACCCTGAAACTTAAATAATCCACTTCAACAGCACCTGACCTCCTACCCCCTCGTCTCTGATACTATCAACCTCTTCAAGACCAACCCATACGGCGCCAAGTCGCTGGACCTGGCCGACCAAGGCTTCTCCCAGTTCGCCAAGCCCGTACTGCCCTACCTCTCCAAACCATACAGCATCATCGAGCCCTATCTCGTCCGTGCCGACTCTCTGGGCGACCAGGGTCTCACCCGCATCGACTCGCGCTTCCCCATCATCCGCGAAGACACCCAGAAGATCCGCGGCGCCGTCTACAACCACGCTACATACCCCATCCGCGTTGCGGATGATGTCAAGCAGCACGTCTTCGACATCTACGGCACCGAGTACAAGAAGTGCGGTGGCGATGGCTATGTCGCCTCAGGCAAGGCTGTGATCACTTCCAGCCTGGTCCTGACCCAGGAGTCGCTGGCATGGGTGAACACCTGGTTCCAGACGGCCAAGGAGGAGGTCAAGGAGGTGGTCAACGACAAGAATAGCCACTGATTAGACCGCTTTGCTTTGGGGGTTGTATGTCTGCCAGCGTTGTTTTAGAGAAAATAATTCCTCTCGCGGTTTTTGTATTTTGCACTTTTGCGTCGACCCTGACTAATTTCGACCAGCGAGCCTCTTGAGCCATGGCAATGAAAATCACACTGTTCTTGTTCCCATTTTAGCAGCGACTGTAAGCGCGTAGAGGAAACCAGAACAAAGAATGATAAGCCCCGCGCACAGACCATTCCGGATCAGGGAAATCGACTGGTCGATCACCGCGTCGCGTCTTCCAAACTCACCTCGTGTTTGCCAGACAATCACCATCTTACACCTCCATGATGCCCCTCGTTCGCAAACGCCAAGTGGTAAGATTCTTCAACATATGCTTTTGCTTGCCTTCTCTGAACCCTCGATCGGACCTTACTAATGGTAAATCCTTCGAACAGGCAGACATAGACCCCGCCAACTCGCATGAAACAAACATCCCTCGTCGTCCACGCCCCTCCGAGGCGTCACCCTCAGGAGACACCACCGGCGATGAGGGTATGCGCGGTGGGGCGCACACGTCCGAAGATGTGATGGTGAAGAAACTCGTGCGGTTGGCGCTGGCGAGCGAGTACTCGCGTCTTCAGATCCGTCGCAATGACATCTCGCAAAAAGTCCTCGGAGAGAACGGATCGCGGAAGTTCAAGGTCGTGTTTGACGAGGCGCAGCGCCAGTTGAGGACGAAGTTTGGGATGGAGATGTCCGAGTTACCGGCCAAAGAGCAGGTGACGGTTCAACAGCGACGGGGTAAGTTGTTTCCCCCAACTTTGCATTTGTCGCGCCTGGATAGGATCAAGAAAGCGGCTTCAGGCCGCTTGATGTTTTTAATCAAAATCATTGGAGCAATTTCCGTGGAACTAAATTCGTCTGTATCTCAGCGGCCAAGAAAAAGGAAAAGCCCTCCAGCAGCAACACCAAATCCTGGATCGTGACGACCGTCCTCCCACAGAAATACCGCACGCCCGATATCATCGTCCCCACCAAAGCGCCCTCGGATAGTGTTGAAGGCGCGCGCACGGCGTTATACAGCTTCATCATCGCGCTGATCTCGCTGAACGGCGGCACGCTCAACGAGCAGAAACTCGAGCGGTACCTCCGCCGCACGAACATGGTAGCCTGGACACCCTGGTCGGAGAAGTTACCGGATTATCTCCAACGGCTCGTCAGACTCAATTACTTGGTACGGATCAAGGAGCAGGACAATGGAGAAGAAATTATCGATTACATGGTTGGCCCGCGGGGAAAGCTCGAGGTTGGCTCAACCGGCGTAGCCGGGTTTGTGAGGGAGGTTTACGGGTTCGGGTCTACAGCCCAAACAAATGATGAGGATGGGCCTACGCAGATCGAACAAGAATTGCGCGCAAATTTCGAGCAGCAGCTACGCCGGAGTTTGGGATTGAGCGCTCCGCGAGAAGATGCTGAAGGTGAAGATCACGCCGGTACTCCAGCAGCGGCAGGTCATGGAACAGGCGCGAATAACCGCGGAAGACGGGAGTCTAGACGTGCTACGACGGCTGCTTCGGGAGAGGAAGAGGATGAGGAAGAGGACGAAAGCGATTGAGATTCTTTGGCATGTTTCTGAAGCGAATTGTGTTAAGCTGCGTGATACCCGGATATATCTGAGACCCCTTTGCTACAGTTGTGGTCTCAATGTATCCACAATTCCTTTCAATACTCTCCCTGTGTCTCACACTCGAGGAGGATCCAGTACTCGAAATCAGATCACAGGCACATGCAATTTCTACAGCCATGCAATTGCTCTGTGCGTAGATTGGGTTGTGCATCATACACCGTGCGTCTGTGCGATGGTTTTCGTATAACGCTGAGCCTGTGAGACCTGCCTCATCGATGTGACATCCGGATGAGAGCCAGAGATGAAGAGATAATTTGACGGTCCATCTACTAGTAATTGCCGAATTTTGCTGCCATCAATATAGTAGCATAGACCGGCCATCCAAGGGTCGTATGGTGTGCAACCTTACAGCAGTCTGAGCCCCGTTTAAATTCGAAGGGATTTGCACCTGCATGGCGAACTGGATTCTAGTAACGCAGAGGCTTGCCTTATCTCCCATGGTCTTCCAGCAAAGCTTGCTCCGATCCATGAATAACATATCTAGGCCTGGCTCATGTTAATCGAATACAATAGTTGATCAAGGAGCACCTCGTGGCCATCGATTTCAATGGTAAAACCCCATTCCTCAAGAACCGTGAAAACAGAGACTGCTGTATGGCAATACTTTCAAGTTAGTCATCGAGGGACAAAAGGAAGGTATTCTTGATCAAGTTCATTTTTGCAAAGTAGTTAGCAAATTTCATCGGTTGATCATGTCTACCAAGGTGGCACATTTTGAAAACACCTGGTTCAAAGGCATTGGAATGGATATCTGCCCCGGCACAAGACTCATCCTGAGTCCGAGCAGCCAACAATATAAACGGCCGATCGAGAACGAACCCTCACCCTCTGCCATATGCAGTCGCTGCCCCCGTGCTCTGGCGCAATGTAAAGTGAAAAGCACAATATCACAATCCTTCAGATCTGTAGAGGCCGCATGGGCTACCTGGCTCCTTTGGCTTTCTCCATGTATCTCTACTCCATCTTCCATTTCGCTGTCCTTCCACTCCAATATTTCTTTCATATCCATTCCACCAGAAGACTTCTCTCGAGACGCTCCATCATCGTGAATTATCCCATCTCAATCCGTTCCATCACTTCATCTACCCTTGGAACGAATCGATGCAGTCTCCAGAGCCAGAGAGCCCAAGGTCCCGGCTCCCCGCTGGGCGTCGGCTCCCTTACTCCCGACTTAGTAAAAGTTCTTAGCTACAGATGAGAAACTAAACGGACTTAATCAGCCATCCACCAGAACCTCGCTTTGTGGAGGGATGTATCTACAATTCCCAAGGGGCATGCCAGAAGCGAGGACATGAAACCCGGGGGGCAAAGCTTCCTCTGGGAGTCCCCGGGGGAGGTCGAACGGGAGAGAATCCGAAAGGAAACCTGCTATCTAGATTTTTCGCACAGGAGGCAAAATGACAGCTGACGGCAAAAACTTCATCGATTCAGATCAGGCAAACACAAAGAAGATTCTGGTGACGCCTATGCCACACCAAATGTGTGCTACGGCATCTACGATGAGCTGGGAAATCGGCGTGCGGTCAAGGATCTGGTGAAGCAACTGCGAAACTCAGCGGTTGCTACCACTTTCCAGCATGAAACGCCCCGCCAAAGACTCACCCCTGCAGCGCCACCTCCTCCCTAGTAGGTTTATAGGACAAGATGGTTTCCTATACTGCTTATATGAGCATTTGAGTCCTTTTCCGGGCATCGGTCTGTTATTTCCATACCGTTCATAGTTTGCGGGTTTTCTACACAGGGTCGCCCAGGATGGAATACGCAGCTAGAGGAAGAAGAGATTATCCAATCACACCCTGTCAGGTCAAAGTGAGGGAGCAGTTCCAGCGGTCTTCAGGGAGGACGATTTGCGGCGACAGCATACGAAACGGTTACCGCGGTGGACCCTGACGGACAACCCATGTCCACGCAAGGGGTCAACTCGAATTGTCCTCAGCGAGAGATCAAGGTAGCAGAACGGAATTCTTTGTTGTTGACGGCCTCAGAACGGCTATGAGCGCGTGCCCGAAAGAATTGGGCTAGACCCGTGTCGTTCTGGGTGGCCAGTACATACCTTCGAAGGAGAATGAGGATGTTCCTAGATATATTCATAGGAACCCTCACCAGATTCAATGGCCTTCACTTCCTGGGAGCTATAACAGGTATCTATGATCTACGAGGTTACACAATGATCAGGGGACATATGGTGTAATGGATCAGTGTAATGGATCAGCATAGCTTACCTGGGTCACTTGAAGATAACAATATCTATTCCTTCGCTTAAGAACAACCAAGTCAAGCGAAGTGCAACACTGAGGCCAACACCGCTGCGGGGTACTTCGGTTTCAAGTGGTAAGGCGGACCCGATGTATGTACTATGCCTGTGCATACTTGAACGACCAGACCCCTCAAAAGCAAAGAAATCATCAAAATGTCTATTAAGAGACCTTTAGAGTCTCTCTGATCCTTATGAACCACCACGAGGAACGTATGTATGAACCTGGTCCGAGAGTAATCATGGGTGCTTGGCTTCCATTATAAAACCTGGGCAATTGAAGAATGTCTATCTCGAGGGTTTTAGTATGAATTGTCTGATTTGCCAGGCGCATCATGGGAAAACTCTTGCCACTGGGAGCCCAGCCGCATGAGAGCGTCGAGAACGTGAAAGCTCGAACAAGTCCAATACTAAGGACTAGAAAGGAGACTAGCTGCCGAAGCCATTTACTACGAGTTTCTAGGCTATACACCACTCCAATCCTTGAGGTAGTGAGGTCCAGCTAGAGAACCCAACATGTTCTTGCATTCTGCCGGGGAGAAGTTACATGTTGCCGCCTTAGCAGAGCGTTGACACATCGAAACTGAAGACACAGCAGACCCTCGCTACACAAAAACATCGCAGTATGTAAGATTAACTTTACGATTCCACATGGTCTACGAAAGGAAGGTTTGTATGAATCACATGGAAATTTTTGACATGAGTCAGGAATCTGTATGTAGCTAATTCTCAGGCTACACAGCAAAGTCTAGCTCCATCCATAAAGCATTTTTCAGTAAAAAAAAAGTCATCACGGCATCTCTTGAAATCATCCGCAAAGCACTTATTTCTTGCCAGCCTTCTGGGCGGCCTTGGTGACCTTACCGGCACCACCGGCGCTCTTCTCGACGGACTTGATGACACCGACAGCGACGGTCTGACGCATGTCACGGACAGCGAAACGACCGAGAGGGGGGTACTCAGTGAAGGTCTCAACACACATGGGCTTGGAGGGAATCATCTTGACGATGGCGGCGTCACCGGACTTGATGAACTTGGGGGAGTTCTCAACAGACTTGCCGGTACGGCGGTCAATCTTCTCAAGGAGCTCAGCGAACTTGCAAGCAATGTGGGCAGTGTGGCAGTCCAGGACGGGAGCGTAACCAGCACCGATCTGGCCAGGGTGGTTCATGACAATGACCTGGGCGTTGAAAGAAGCACAGCCAGAGGCGGGGTCGTTCTTGGAGTCAGAAGCGACGTTACCACGGCGAACCTCCTTGACGGAGACGTTCTTGACGTTGAAGCCGACATTGTCACCGGGGAGACCCTCCTTGAGCTGCTGGTGGTGCATCTCAACGGACTTGACTTCAGTCTGTAGGGCGAGGACGATTAGTATGCAGGTCATATGAGAAGGGAAGACGAAGGGCTGCTTACGGTAACGTTGGCGGGGGCGAAGGTGACGACCATGCCGGGGATGATCTTACCGGTCTCAACACGACCGACGGGCACCGTGCCAATACCAGAGATCTGTTCTCAGTTAGTGATGAGTGGTTCAGAAGATCCCGGAGATCCGAGAAGGGGACGCCAACATACCTTGTAGACATCCTGGAGGGGCAGACGGAGGGGCTTGCCGGAGGGACGAGCAGGGGGCTCGATGGCGTCAATGGCCTCAAGAAGGGTCTTACCGGTGGACTCGCCGGCCTTGGTCTCCTTCTTCCAGCCCTTGTACCAGGGGCAGTTGGGGGAGGGCTCAAGCATGTTGTCACCGTTGAAACCGGAGATGGGGACGAAGGGGACACTCTTGGGGTTGTAGCCAACCTTCTTGATGAAGTTGGAGGTCTCCTTGACAATCTCGTTGTAACGCTCCTCGGACCACTTGCAGGTGTCCATCTTGTTAAGAGCGACGATGAGCTGACGCACACCGAGGGTGAAAGCAAGCAGAGCGTGCTCACGGGTCTGGCCATCCTTGGAGATACCAGCCTCGAACTCACCAGTGCCGGAAGCGATGATGAGGATAGCGCAGTCGGCCTGGGAGGTACCAGTGATCATGTTCTTGATGAAGTCACGGTGACCGGGGGCATCAATGACGGTAACCTCGAACTTGCTGGTCTGGAACTTCCAGAGGGCAATGTCGATGGTGATACCACGCTCACGCTCGGCCTTCAATTTGTCCAGAACCCAGGCATACTTGAAGGAACCCTTACCGAGCTCAGCGGCTTCCTTCTCGAACTTCTCGATGGTACGAGAGTCGATACCACCACACTTGTAGATCAGGTGACCAGTGGTGGTGGACTTGCCGGAATCGACGTGGCCGATAACGACGATGTTGATGTGAGTCTTGTCTTCCTTACTGTGGGAGGGGATTAGCATGGGTGGATCGATGAAAGGTGATGAAAGGGGCCAATGTAGAGGGACGGCGGCGATGAGGGAAAGGCAGAAACGTACCCCATGGTGACGGTTGGAAGTGAATTCTTGTAGTTCTTTGTAAGCTACTAGAAGGATCCTGCGAAAATGCTCAGAGACTACGGCGTGCGTAGAGGTGCTGAGCAAGAAGAGTCAGATGGATGAAGAAGAGAAAAAAGGAATGGAGGATGGGGGGGGCAAGTTATACGTACTGATGCAGACGAGGGGGAGAAAGAGAAAAAATTCTGTGGGCAAAGGAGGGGGGAATCCTTATATGGAGGGGCAAGCGAGAAAGGCAAGTGGGCGGGTTCAAGCCCTTCGGTGTGGGCGCGCTGTGATTGGTGGATGTGCCCCACTCCACGGCGGGACCGCGCAAAATCTTCAAGGTGGGCTGGAGGGGCACTTTGTATTAGCTACCTCCGTTTCCTGCCTACCATCTACGGGTTTCCAAGTACTCTCTACCACCACAGCTCTTGTTATGCTGGGCGGTTTCCCTGGTTCCCTCCCCCTCGTCTCCACTCCTGAAATTTTTTCTCGCTTTACTAGCTTCCTTCCCATGATTTGACACGGTTTCCTGGGTCGACTGGGCAGCAACGCAGTCCGTCGGGCCCGATATTAGCGTTGTTTTGGGCTTGTTCTGTCTCTTCGCTATTAATTGAGAACTACGGAGCCTCTCCCTTTCCCCTACCGTTTGCGTTGCGGCCGCGGAGTGAGGGGCATGTTTCCAGACGGTTTTTTCTTTCATGTTTGTATTTGAGCCCCTCAGCCCCGCGGCTCACCGCCCATTGACCCACCCATGTCGTGCAGCCAACAGATTTTTTTTTTTGCCACTTGGGGAAGCAGGAAATGCCCATCGGCGTCTATTATAGGCCTAGAGTGGTACTTCCGAAACCAGAATTCTTCCTCTTATAGAAATCAGAAATCCAGAAATCCTGAATTCTGTATCCAGTGATCGGGCTGGGACCCGTGGTAGCTCCTAATTTTACTTTTGGGGCCTTTTCTCTTTTATCTGACGGAGCACAGGACTATCTGTGCGTCTGACGTTGATCAACGTTTGGTATCGGAACGCTTATCGCTGTGATGTATCCTAAACGCCAATGCCCCTCCAAGATATGCGCCATTTTAATTCGAAACGCCCCTTAGACCTCGTAGCTCCAAGACAGGGAAATCACATGGAAATATCAGAAAATCTCGCTGGAAATGCATTTGCCAAATCAACCGTTTCCCCAGTTATCAGTTTTCTCTCCACCGCTTGCCGCACGTCGTGCACTGCCAGCTGTCAGATCCTCCGATCGCAAGCAAGGAGTTCGGAGGGAGACTTACCCGCAAGAATGTAGTCATCGGTTCATCCGCGCTGCGAATCTGCACCTGATAGAAGTAGGCCCGCTCTCCATTGCAGCCTTCGGCTGGGCATTGAGCTTTCACGAGTATTAGCATCCATGTCCCATCAGAACTCACAGTCTCGACACTCACTTTCGCAGCTATCGGCATTCTTCCACTCGTCTTCTCCACCGAAGACCTCCTCCACTTCCTTTTCTTTCATTCCAGTTTCCTCACTGTACTTCTTCACCACCTCGAAGACATACGGGCACGTGCGGCATTCGAATCGGTTGATGCCCGTCGGGTGGGCATTCGTGGACGGCGACCGAGCGAATGTCAGCGCATTGCTGCAATTGGGACAGACTAGAGTCGAGTGATCGTCAGCGCTGCCAAAACTTTTGCTGTGGGAATTTCTCGTAGGTAGACGAACAGATCAGCGGCATGTTGCTGGTTAGCCTAGGCTGTAGCCTGTAGACCTCGACGTAGCAACTTCAGCCAGAGACTGAATGTGCGCCAAAAAAAAAATTCAGTGCTTTAAGGCTCCGCGCGCCCGGACGTTGACCAATTCGCCGTGCAGATTGGCAGCAAGTTAGGCGCGCGGCTAACGTTGAAGTGCGGTAAGTCACATGACTTCAGTGGGATGGCTCTGGAGAAGTACCAGCCCGACTGTCAACAGGACAACGAGAGGAGCTCAGACCTGGCTATTCACGATTCGCACACAGAAATACTGAAACTGTACATACTACCTCTCAGGGTGACAGCAAATACGTACTTGGCACCCCCCCATCTCGATCTCCACCACTCCGCCACTTAGGCTGCCCACGTTTCAACCCACGTCCCCGCGTCAAGCGCTGTCGCGCGAAAAAGATCCTAGTCTTTTCTCTCAACCCACAATTCACGCACTAGAGTCCGCGCTAGAGTCTGGAAAGATGGCTACAGACGAGGTTGGTCCCGCTGAGACCGGTCGCGAAAAGCTGGATACTGATATTCTGTTAGGGTGCCTCGCCTCGAGAACTGGTCGTGGAGGCCTGCCGCCGAGACCAGCCCCACCTGATCGAACAAGTGCTGTCCAGTATGAGCGACAAGACAAATGAGGAGGTGGCACAATTTTTCAATGAGGTGAAAGATTCAATGGGAAACTACGCCTTGCATATCTGTGCGCAGTACGGCAGTTGTATGTGTTGCCGCTGTTGAGTGCGAGAATATACCGGCTGACATGCTAGGATCTGAAGATGACGTGGCGGATGCCCTGTTCGATATTCAATTCTTTGAATGCGACCCGCTAACCCGAGTGGACAAGGAAACACCGCTGCACATTGCTGTGCGGTACGCCAACGAGAAGGATGCAGAATTGGGCGCGGAGATGGTGAAAATGATGTGTGAAGCCGGGTGTGATCCCCGCGTGCGGAATAAACATGGCCAGAAGCCGTCGGATCTGGTCTACAATAAACCCGACATCAAGTCGGTTCTCCAGCAGGCCGAGTATATCATGGCCGAGGGCCTCCAAAACAACCAGGGGGCGGAGTCCGAGCACGGTAGTGCTAGCGATAGCGAATAAACGCTGACGTCCAGGGTCATTGGACCTGTACTTCCATGGTTATCAGCTAACTGACCGCTTACCACGGTCATAGATGACTTCTTGAGCATCGCTTCCTCGCATAGAAGCCTAGACTTGGCTACATTGTTATTTTTCGAACGATGATTACGAATGATTTTTTTTTACTGTCGTGCAATGCTATTCGACGAGTGTATCATGTACTGTTCCATTTTCATCCACCTGCTTGTATGCCTATAGATTCTCATGAGTCCCACCCTGCCTCTAATCGCTTTCTATAATCAGCAATGATCTCAGCGCTGATATTGCTTCCGCCACAAACAACCACCACAACCCGACTCTCAGGCGTAAGATCTGGGAGAACCTCCTTCAAGCGTCCCGCCACAGCCATCTCCACGCTGATACCACACGCCAATTCAACCTGCAGCCGAGTCTCATCCGCAAGCCGCAGGATACCCTTTGCAGCATCCGCATCGGAGCCCACAATACTCGAAACCTTGACTCCAGCCGGTGGCGACGACGCATTCAAATAAGCCTGCTCCGCAACACGCAAAGCCCCCCAGGGACCCTGCCTCCGACGTAATAGCATCCAAAGAAGACAACCTCCCTTGACTGAGAGAATAAGCTAGCGAATGCGCCCCCTCTGTCTCAACAGCAGCAACATGCACGTCCTTCCCCCCCTTCTCTTTCGCAAACCGCTCCAACCCAAGCACAACCCCACTGAAAAGCCCTCCACCCCCAACACTGCACACAATCACATCAGCCGGGAACCCTTCCTCCCTCTCCCCGGTAATAGCTGTCATCTGCCTCTCAATCTCAGGGATCATACTCGCCGCCCCCTCCCATACATCCGGGTGATCGAATGGCGGCAAGTAAACGTGCACCCGCCCCTCCTGGGCAGGAGGCTGCTTTGCAATAAACGTCTCCCGCAAGTACGAGTCAGCTTCGAACCAACTCGCGCCGTGCTGAACTACATCGTAGGCCCCGATCTCCCGCAGCCGGGCGATCATGAACGGCTTCGTGCTATGCGGGACCACGACGGTGCAGCCGCAGTTGAGATCTGTGGCTGCGACGACGGCAGCGAGGCCGGCATTGCCGCCGGAAGAGCTGAAGAAGTGGACTTTTTTGTCCTTGTTGGCAGGGTTTGTGAGCGATGAGCGGATTAGATTACCGATGCCACTTGGGGGGATATTAGCATGGGGAAAGGGGCGGCGGAAACAAGGAATTGGCTTTACCGGGATTTGAAGGAGCCGGAGGGTTGTAGCAGTTCGAGCTTGAGGAATACACGGCTGCTTGGGTTTTAGTTTCTGTATTTGGGGTCGTTCGGAGTCTTCTATGCTCTTACAATCCGCTGAGTCGTGATAGCGAGGCTGACTCGATGAGCGGGGTTTCGATCCAGGGTGTCTTGACTTGGGAAGTCATCTTGAAAATATGCCACGAGTCTAGCGCAGTAGAAGTATCCGAATCAAGTTGCAGATATTGAGCCCGGTAGATGACTCAGTATACAAGTGATCTGAAGATCTTAGTGCCACGCATGGATGGGGGGGGGGGGCAGCGGGGCGTTGCGAGTCTTGCGGGGATGATGGCCGGACAGAGACTTTATACTCAACGAACTCGAGATCCAAACTACTGGGGAGAGTGTAGAAAGCAGATCAAATAGAATACAAATTTATTGGATATCATCTAACCCGCAGAAAGAAAGAAAAGCTAAGGTTTCCCTATACGAAAGTACAATAGTGCTATAAATGCATCCCGGCATCATCAACTCCGATCGAAGGACTTTTTAGGGCCAGACACCTTATCATTTTACCCAACCAGACTCCTATTGAGCATTGGCCTGCTTAGCCAGGAGGTTTAGGGCACTACCAGCCAGCACGAAAGCACTCTGGTCCTTGCTCAGGGTGTGCTGGGTAGGGACGAGGAAAGACTCGCCGGTCTTGGCCTTAGTTACGCGGAGCTGGACCTCACCCTGGCCGCCAGCCTTGAGAGTATCGTAGAGGCCGACAGTGTCGACACGGTCACAGGCATCAATGCGGTCGTAATCCTCGCGGTTGGCGAAAGTAAGAGGGACAACACCCTGCTTCTTGAGGTTGGTTTCGTGGATACGGGCGAAGCTCTTAGCGACGATGACACGGCCACCGAGGTAACGGGGCTGCAGGGCAGCATGCTCGCGAGCGGAGCCCTCGCCATAGTTGTCTTCGGCAATGACGAGCCACTCGATACCGCGGCTCTTCCACTGCTCAGCGAGCTCGGGAATGGAGTGTTGGGCGCCGCTCTCGTCGTAGGCGACGTTGGTCTCGCCCGTGGCGGCGTTGACGGCGCCGATCAGGGTATTGGCAGAGATGTTGGGCAAATGACCCTTGTACTTGAGCCAGGGACCAGCAGCGGAGATAGTGTCCGTTGTGCACTGCCCCTTAACCTTATAGAGGACCTGGAGGCCGGAGAGGTCGGACTCGGGGAAGGGGGCGAAGGGCTCGAGCAGAGCGAGACGGTCCGAGGTTGGCGAGACGATGACTTCGACGCTAGGGTCCGGGACAGCGGCGGTAGGCAGGAACTTGGGGTTGCCCTCCTCGAAGCCGGCACTGGGAAGATCGAAGCCCTGAGGAGCTTCGAATTTGAAGGGCTCGCCGCTTGGGGTGGTCAGAGAGTCAGTCATAGGGTTGAAGGTGGTACTTCCAGAGTAAGCGAGCGCAGTCACTAGTTCAGGTGAGGCAAGGAAGTTCATGGTCTTGCGGTTTCCATCGTTACGACCGGGGAAGTTACGGTTGTAAGAGGTGAAAATGGCGTTGTCCTCGCCCTTGGGCACGCCGTCGGTACGTTTCCACTGGCCAATGCAAGGACCACAGGCGTTAGCCAGGACGGTACCACCAGCCTCTGAGAAGGTGGAGAGGGTCTGGTCACGGTCGAGGGTGGCGCGAATTTGCTCACTACCGGGAGTGATGAAGAAGTCAGCCTTGGGCTTGAGACCAGCTGCGCTGGCCTGCTTGACCAAGTGTTCTGCGCGAGTCATATCTTCGTAGGATGAGTTGGTGCAGCTACCAATCAAGCCAGCACCGAAAGTCTCGGGCCAGTTCTTCTCACGCACCGTATCGGCGAACTTGGACAGGGGAACCGACAGGTCGGGAGTGAAGGGTCCGTTGATGTGTGGCTCCAACTCGGAAAGGTTGATAATGATCAGCTGGTCGTACTCAGCCTCGGCATCAGCACGAAGTAAGTTCTTAGGACCAGAGGCAGCGATCTCTGCCGCAGCCTTAGCCACATGACCACGGTGAGTAGCCTCCAGGTAGGGCACCATGCTGGGCGAAAAGGGGAAAAGGGAGGTAGTAGCTCCCACCTCCGCACCCATGTTACAGCAGGTAGCCATACCGGTGCAGCTCAGGGTCTCAACACCAGGACCATGGTACTCGATCACGAAGCCAGTGCCGCCGCGAACGGTGAGCTTTCCAGCCAGATACATGATAATATCCTTGGGGGAAGCCCAGCCACTGAGCTGGCCCTCAAGACGCACTCCAAGAATCTTAGGGGCCTTCAGCTCCCATGGTGCGTCGACAAGGGCATCGACAGCATCGGCACCACCAACACCAATGGCAATGGCGCCCAACCCACCTGCGTTAGGGGTGTGGCTGTCGGTACCTAGCATCATCAGACCAGGCGCAGCGTAATTTTCCAAAACGCTCTGGTGGATGATACCAGCTCCTGGAGGCCAGAACTCAATTCCATAGCGCTTAGCAGCACTCTCCAAGAAGTCGAACACCTCGCTGTTACCCTGAATCGAAGCAGGCAGATCGACATCCGCGCCGCGTTCACCAACAATCATGTGGTCACAGTGGATACTAGCAGGGACGGCCGTTGAAGGCAGACCGCAAGACATGAATTGAAGCAAAGCCATCTGGGCGGAGGCATCCTGCATAGCCACACGGTCCGGTTTGAGCTTAAGGTTTGCCCTTCCTCGAATATCGCGGCCATTGTTGGTGCCGGTGAGCAGCGATTCCTCGGGGTTGGCCAGATGGGCGTAGAGGATCTTTTCAGCCAGGGTCAGAGCCCGGTCGGAGGCCAAGACCTTGCGAACCTGCTCGAGGTTCTGGACGATCTTCGGGTAAGGGGGCATTCGCGACGAGGACGCCTCGGTAGCCAGGCCACGGGCGAGTCGTTGCGGAGACAGGCGCGCGGCCAGCTAATAACAAGTGGTGGTTAGCCGGTCAATTCACCCAAGGGGCCCATTTGGGTCCATTGACTTACCCTCCGTGAAACGGCAGCTCGCTGCCAAATTAGCTGGCTGACCATCTTCAAATGTGGAGGATTGGAGTCGAGAAGGAGTCAGAGCGGAGGCCCCGATGGCTTTTTTTTCGGTCGGAGGCGAGTCGTTATATGTAAAGCCCCTGGTTGGCTGGAATTTGTGCCGATACCGGCTTATTAAAGTGTGGGAAGAACCACCTCGGCGAGATGCGGAGTGCATCTACATCGTTTGAATCGAGAACCTTGAATTGGCGAGGACTCCAAAGTGTTATTCACAGCCTATTTCACAATTGAACAGGTATAATGGCTGCCAGGGACTTTTATGTCTCCAGCAGTCGCTGGGGACACATGTTGCCTGGCTAGTAGGTGTTTACTCGGCAGGTCTTGAACCCGATAAATATGCGTCGAACCGTTGAGTTTGTTTCATTATAGCTGGATGGTCAGACGGGGAGACATGAACTGTTGCCCGTGAGAGTACTATGTAGTCAACCAATCAAAAGCCTAGTAAATATGCTGAGTATGAGATACAAATTCGAAAAGGTTGGAATTCAATTGCCAAATTTGAATGAATACACTTGAAACCCTGGTTAACCTCCATAGAAATAGCCAAATGCCCCTTTAGAACAAAGGGTTTTGGATCAAACGCCTCTCATTACAGAATAGAAAAGAGAAGAATTAATGGGTCTCATACAACAACGTACAAGAGACTCGAGTGATGCTTTAGCAGCGAAGGATATGCTGCGAATAATTCGGTGCGCCCCTGGAAGCTCATGTATAGGGGATGATACCATGATTGCACCTTGCAGAATATGATCTAGTGAACAAGGACTTAGGGCTGTCTCTCTTCGTCTGTCACAGCAGCCCGTAGCTCCCAAACAAGGTCGTAGCACTCTGCGAGCAGAGAGTTGACACTCCTTGGCCCTCCGGAATATCAGGACCGACGTAGAATTTGCCGTCGACGCGCATGTTGTCGATGGAGTTTAGCTAATTCGGTCAGCAGGCATTCTCGATTGCCATGAAGCAGGGCATCCTTACCTTCATGCTGTACGGATAAAGTTCACGGGAGTTTGAAACGCCACCAGATTCCTTCACCTCGATCAAGCACCGGCGAAGAGTTTGCAACTGGTTGTAGACGGGTAACAAAGCCTCCGACACCGGCTCGGAAGAAATCAAAAGGGCATAAATGTAAGCGTAGCTGCGGCGGATAAGGTACAAGAGAGTCTGTCAACGTCAGTACCTAAGCCATGCCACATTTCTGGTACACACATACTCTCTGTGCATGAAGATCTGCGGGCTGACCCTCTGCATCAACAAAGTTACCGTTGACGCGGCTTTCATCAACGCGGTCAAGCCTGCGCTGGTACCCAAATAGATCTGTTTCTCGGAGAGACCAGGCTTGAGTCACGGATATCCGATCGAGTTGATTTCGGATGTCAAGAAGGTTTTCGTATTGATCTTGGAAGCGCTCATCAATCTTTCCTTGGCTGTTTCGGAATTAGCATCCATCGGCTTTGTTTTGCAGGAAGAAAAAAGTACCGTTCCAACACGATTTCTGTCCATCGCCAGCATCGTTCCATCAATTTCTTGAGTTCTTCCTGACCCGCAAGGATCCTTCCGTCCTTGCCAACAAAGTTACCATCTTTCATATGAGCCTCTATCTTTCTCAGTTGATCCCGAAGGTGGTTCACTTCCGAGGCAGAAAACTAAAAGCAAATGTGAGTTTCCGTGCGTCGCCGTTGTCCTTATGCTGTGTATTTACCTTCGAACGGGTATTGACCGCGGATGTAGATCGCAAAATGGAGACCAAGGTCTCATGGGTCTTGACGAGCTCGGGATCCAGGACTGCGAGTCCCTTTTGTAATCGCTCAAGTGATATTTGGCATTGTTCAAGACGGCTTTCGAGCAGGGTGAGGAGAGCAGGCGAATAAGTATCACGGCCACGATCGAGAGTTTCGCGCATGCCAGCCAAGGTCTTGGTGATAGAGTCGAGATCCTTGTTGCTGTAGAACCCGGCTTCTTCGAGATGGTCTAGCAAGCGCTGGCAGATGAAATGATTTGGTTAGCTTTGCAGAGAATTTGTGGGTTCCTTCTCAGTGGGATTTACCTGGACAGTGGTTGCCAGCGTGTACCTGATAAGATGGTCAGTAAATGATATGGATTCGCGGGGTACGGGATGGACATACACTGCAGGCGCTTCATTATTGCGACCGACTGTCAAGAAAAGCAATGAGATCAACTGGAAGCAGTCATCTAGTACATAGTCCACTTTCAAGTTCGAGGACAATCAGCGATCTCTGTAACATTGTAGGGGATGTGGTATGGGATGTGGCATGACTTACGTCGGTTATGGATCAAGCGGCGGTCCTGCTCTTTGCGCACAGAATTGAGCTTCTCTACCTCACTGATAACTTCTTCATAAAGGGGGAGGACATCGCGAGATTTGATGTAGGATGATTTATCTTGCTTGAGGAGAAGTAAAGCATCACGAGTCCGGAGCAGACGTTCCAAGATGGGCTGTTCCTGCGGATCCAGCGGGACCGGTATTGCGGGGGACTCCATGGTTGGAAAGTCGAAGCTGACGGGTGTAAACGAGGTGCACACGAGATGGAAAGTTTGCAGCTTCAGAGAAAGATGGTAAAAGCCGCGCCTAAGAAAAGAGCCAGGCTGAATAGTTAGTAGAACCCCACACGGTAGTGATGTCAGTGTCGCGCTGATTGATTATCGCGGGACAACGGGCAACCTGCTCCGTGTTATGTCAGCTGTATTGTGCCGGATTGGGACTAGTGCGGGATGGCTCAAAGAAGCCCCTCACCGCGTTTACCACCGCCTACTTGGGAAGCCAGTCGCACTAAGCCTCTTCTAGAAAAGCCCTAAGCGAGGGCTTTTCCCACACACGCCAAGCAGTTACCCTGTTCGGACAAGCCATCATTTCCCTCTTCCCTCCCATCTCCAACTTCATCAGTCAACACACCCCGTCGACAAGATGTCCGCCCCCGAGCTCGCCACCTCCTACGCCGCTCTCATCCTTGCCGATGACGGCATTGAGATCACCGTACGTACTCCTCCGCGATCCTCGACACCGGCAGTCATCGAAGATGTGAAAGTCAAAGCATGCGATTCTAAGCGGAGGACCTGGATCGCACAATCACACTACCATGACGGATGCCAGGATCAGCGCATTCTGCAGAGGAATTAAGACAGCAGCTGACCGGACTTTTTTTTCACAGGCTGAGAAGCTGCAGACTCTGATTACTGCGGCCAAGGTTCCCGAGATCGAGCCCATCTGGGCCTCTATCTTCGCCAAGGTAAATCCAGCTACCCGACAAATTGACCCCCAGCAAAGCTCTGTTCGCCTGAGCTAGCGGCGCGCAACTTCAAACCCACCATTCGCGATATCAAAATAGAGGCTTACCATTCTCAATCCGCAGGCTCTTGAGGGCAAGGATGTTAAGGAGCTCCTGACCAACGTCGGCTCTGCTGGCCCCGCTGCTGCCGCCGCCCCCGCTGCCGGTGGTGCCGCCGCTGACGCTGCCGCTCCCGCTGAGGAGAAGAAGGAGGAGAGTAAGTTATCATGGGCACCTGTACGAGCATCCATGACTCAGTGCTAACCCCCCCACCACAGAGGTTGAGGAGGAGTCCGACGAGGACATGGGCTTCGGTCTGTTCGACTAAACGGTTTAATCGTTACGAAATTGACGTCGTTTCCCTTTTTCCCTTTCCCTCGCCTCTTATCCCGCTGCCGCATTTCGGCTACCTCGACGATTCTCTCTTGTACTCGATACTCCACACCCCCTGCTACGAAGACCTAGACCATGGGGAATCAAAAAATAAAATAGCAAAACTTTCAAACGGACAAGGACATTCAATGGAGACTGGGCGCTCGGTCTGCCTCACCTCGTGAGGATGAACCGATCGGATGCCGTTGTGATTCCGAAAACTAGTTTTGCTCCAGGATTTAGGGGAATTGAAGACAGACGTTTGGCACACATTATTTTCCTGGGTGTGTGGTTGAAGATATCAACCATACATCTGGACAGGCTCTGCTTGTTACATCTCTAGGTTCTCTGGCTAGGTGTGGGATACCAACGTAGATCTCAATGTTGTGTAAACTGAACTCTTGGTCAACAACATGCGTACATTCTTCTCGTGTACTGGCGCTTGTATGGTTCAGATCTTTTTTCTGCCGTAGTTATCAAGCGTAGGGTCACGCCCGGCTTGTGTCAACCAATTGAATTGCATAACTATGGCCTTCGCACCACTAGGTTCCGGCGCGAAGTTCCAAGTTGAAATGACATCAAAGCCATACGATTGCGTCCTACACGACCTGTTTCGTCTACGAGGCGGATTTGGCTGCACCATGAACAGGAAATCCCTATATGCAACTTATTATTTACTACTGCGGCTTGTTGCAGCCATTCGGAGCCAGCCTGGCGTGATTATTTACGGTCACGCACTCTAGCAATAAGTAGATTCTATTTCCAAATGAAAAAGAGAAAGAAGCAAAAACACCTCAGAAGAATCCAAACAACCAATAATTTTCCCGGTGCAATCCATTTTTCTTGTCGAGTGATGACTGAAGTTCCATGGAAGATGGAAAAAAACAATGGGGCCTGCCGGTATCGATCCGGCTACCTTTCGATTGACTGGCTGAAGTTAGCTTCAGTCGAATGTCATCCCATTTAGACCAAGGCCCCAGGTGATTGATTGACGTTGGGCTTTTGGCGTCGTGAGGCAAACCAAAACTGTGGCGCCATAAACGGGTATCTTCAGGGTTTAAATCAAGGGCAAGGTTGTTGCCCCAACTAATCCATACAAATTGACATGGCGAAAAGAAAAGCGGCACTGTAAGCACCCAAGTTCTAGAATTCTAGGTTTTGGAAGTCCCATGTTAGTTAATTTTAGTTTAACTCTGTATCACTATGCATCAGGTATCTATAAATACGAAAACTTGGCAACATCCTACATAAGGAGACCAGAGACTGAGGCAAGAGAAGAAAAAAAAAGCGAAAAGAAAAAAGTAATGGGGCCTGCCGGTATCGATCCGGCTACCTTTCGATTGACTGGCTGAAGTTCGCTTCAGTCGAATGTCATCCCATTTAGACCAAGGCCCCAATTGTATGACAAATCTTGCCGAGTTGGCACTGTGAGCTCCTCCTCTCTGCCGTCACGTGGACCCCTTGTCCTCGTATAGACATGCTGGAAAATATACCATCAAGGGAGCAGTGTAGAATGGAAATTCCCCGAAGGAAGTGATGTCATAGCAGAGCTGTGAGTTGCCGCCTGACAACGAATGTTTGTCACCTACTCGTAGACAGATATAAGCCTGCAGGTTTTGCTGCAAACCATCCGTCCACCATCCTCTCTATATGCTCCTTCAGGCTCCCATCACAGCCTTCGGGCCTTACTACTAGTAGGCCGTATCCACGAATGTGGCTTCGTCTTAAGTCACTGTGGAGGCGACCAGCAATATAATTCAAGCATATTTACCTGCTACCCCTTTTTGCTTGGCCGGGTGATAGCCCTGTCATTCGGCATGATATATATTCGTGTATATCCGGGCCAAGCAAGTTTATTAAGACACCAAGTTCGAAGTATACGGACATGCTATGACCCGACGATGAAACGGCAACTGACATTGCTTCTCGTTTGCCAAAAGGAAAGAAGCACCGCGCATCCTTCTGAAGAGTGTCAATTCATGAGCTGTTCTTACACTGCCGGGGGAACCAGATGTCTCCTTAAATCGCTCAAAAAAGAAATCATACAATCTGCCTGCGGAGGCTAGGAAAAGGTATCAACGAGGCTGTAGAGGTAGCGCTATGTTACTGGTCGACGTGCGCTTCTGGGACCGAGGTATTTTCCCAAGCGTTCACGAAACTCTGGCAAGACCAACAGGAAGAGCGCAACCACAGGTATATCTCAAAAACCATGCATAAAATACACTTCATTCACTCAGAGTTCTCTTTCATCCCCCAAACTCGCGCCTCGCCGACCCAGAGGTCAAAATATCCGCGCGGCCATCTGGCATCTGATTTCTCCATCAACCCTTCAGCTTACGGCTACTAGATGACCACCCCCGCCAAAAGCACACTAGTCACTGTTTTTGCCCAGGGTTGCCACCGCCGTTGCCCCAGCGGGTCCTACGACCTGTGTGCTTATCGAGCCCGAATGGAAAGTACCTGAACCGAGTAATAATTCTTGAGACTCTAACGATGCATCTTCAATGCCCTAATAAATATCAACCACTAGCTTCTTCGTCCATGTTCACAGGTCACGACCCAAGCTATTATGACATCTACAGGTGAGTGCCAGTGGTAGCAAATTGTCATCATGATAATACCTACCTATTGACGGTACTAGCACTGCGAGGCTAAGTCTTATCCGTGTACGTGCAGCCTTACAAACTATTGGCAAGAGGAAAACCAGGCGGTGAAAATAGTACAGACGATGACAAGGTCAGTGTCGACTTTTGAGGACGATTCACCGCGCGCTTTCTAGTACCGAATCCCGCCACTTATGCTCGGGGATATGATACCCAACTAGTATTGCACAGTCAATAACGCAAATAGAATGAGGGCTCACCAGAATGCCTCACTGTGAATTGCTGTTGCTGTCGAAGGGATCCAATGCTATGGCTCCCAGTACATTCGAAAATTACGAAGATCCATCCGAAGCGCTGCATGATCTACTACATGGCACAAGAACCTCGCAAGGGAACTAGTAGTACACATGATGTCATGCGGAAAGACCAAAGGATTGAACCCATGTTGTGATCCGCCGTGCTCATTATCCCTTGTTGGAACGTTGGTCGCGCTGTTTGCTTGGATTTGAGCATCCCCGACAACAGAAAAGAAGATCCTCTAAACCTGGACATTTTCGCGCGATGGAACTACAAAGATACCGAACGACATAGTCGTCAGGTGAATCAAAGTTCAATATAATTAAAACAGGAGAAAAGTCGTTTTGGTTTAAGAGACCCATGGCAAAAGCGCATTCGGACATAAGATCATGAGACTGCCAATGGGGGCGCGGCAGCATAGATGCGGAACTGAGCGAAGATAGTCGCATCTTCAACCATAGTGCCCAGGGAACCAATGAGCCAGGGAAGATTAGTGATGATATACTCTCGCTCGGTGGAGTGAGCGATGATCTGTAATATTATTAGTATTCTGGTACTCAACTTGGAGTCAAAGGGGAGGGCATTACGTACCCCAGCGCCATAGGTCAAGTTGCCCAAAAGGGAAAGAATGAAGAAGAGCAGCGACAGGCCTGAGCCGGGTCAGTATAGGATGTTGTCCCTCTCTATAGGAACGATACGCACCTTCACACGACTTGTCGCAGTAGTTCTTGTAGATCTGCGGGAGCCTCGCGCTAAAGAAAGTCAGCTCAGTCCCCAAACCCAACGGCGGCTGCGACAAGACTCACCCAAGATAGAGCACCGCGCTAGCATAACCCAGGATCTGACCTCCCGTAGCCGCATCAGGCGCATGAGGAGCCTCCTGCGGCGCCGGCACCCACATCCCAGTCTGCCAGGCCACCGTCCAGCCCGCAGCACCGATAAGAAAGATACCCAGCACACTAAGCGTGTTCTTCACCCACGCCTTGCGCCCATACTCGTTCTCCTCTACGATCTTAGCCAATGGATCCTCAGCCTGGCTCTCGCGCCGACCAGTAGCCTGGTACCCGCGCAGCGAGCCGGACGAACGCCGGCGCCCCTGCCCCGCCGCCAACGAATCGCTGAACCGGCGACCCAGCAGCGGAGTCGTCGGGTCCGCCGTCTCGGTGGAAGAACGGCGGCGCTGGCGAGCCTTCGCACGGGCATTCTTCGCCTTGTAGTACAAACATTGCCCGATCAGGATGCCGTCCGCAATGCAGAAGTAGACCGCGATCGCCAGAATGACCGGCACAAGCCCCGCAAGCAGCCCGCCGAGTAGATTGGCAATGTCGCCGACGAACCACACGAAGACGAAGAGGAGAGAGATTGCTTCCGCGTTGCCGTTGCGGTAGTTTTCGATGAGTTGGGGGACCTGTGCACGTTTTAGATCAGCCGGTTCGGACTGTACCGCGGAGTTCGTCGCGCGTGGTATTCCGAGCAGAAACTCCTTACCAGAAGGAAGATCCAGCAAGTCATAGACACTGAGCCGAGGATGCCGGATGCCGCCTCGCGCGGCGTGAGCGCGACCGGGTCGGCCATGAATGTCGAGAGCAGTCCCATGGCCTGTTCGTCTTTCGTGATTGTTCCCGCCGTAGGATTCCCTGGGGTGTAAGAAATTTCGTTATCAGTGGCCCGAGCTGAGAAAATTGCGGCCGCACTAGTTATGACGGAATGGCTGGGTTGGGTCCGGGGCTGTGGGGCCCTTATCGGTGCTATTTATAACGGAGCTCTGCTGAAAATGGATGGTCAGTAAGCTACCTGGATTGATAATGGTAGGCTCAAATTCGAGCCACACGCTTGCATGTTAAACCCTCCAAGACGGTGAGCAGTGATTTGGCAGTCTAAATGTAGGCGTTCGGCTGCATGCGCATGTACGTATTATTTATTCCCTGCAAGAGGGCGGGCTCGTACAGGAATGTGGAGACTAGAGGGAAGACAATAAAGAGAATGACCCGGCCCGATGGACAGTTCATCAGACATGGGCTGCTATGTTTAAGCAGTGGGAGAATCCCAGAAATACATAGCTGTTCTATTGTACACACAGGAGGTTTCCCTGCAACTGGGGTGGTGTCATTGGGGAGTATCCTAGCCCCACCAGACCAAGGTCTCATAGGGAATCCTCAGCCTCGTAATCACCATCCTCCAGCATCTGAAGCTCGTTTTCGAGAATAGTTCTTGCAAATGACCCGATTGTCTCTTGAATTCTCCGTAGCACCCCGACGCGGACTGACTCGGGCCGGACCGCCTGGAGAGCCTCCAGATAATCCATCAGAGGACTCCGGTCCACGTCATTCCAATTGCCGCGGTCCACACCAAACTCAAGGAGGAACATTTCGAGGGCTTCAAGGCCTTCGAAGTCAAGCCAGCGCAACAATGCTTGCTGATCGCCCCTGAGGCCGCGCGCGAGCAAGTCAATGGCATGTGCATCAGAATGCTCGTCCGACCAATCCTGAATTTCGTCATCGTCCGTTTCGTTCGCCTCAGGCTCCGGAGGGGCAAAGTCCCATTCATCCCCATCAGGACGGGGACCAGCGCGTGGAGCGCGCAGGTCCATTTGCATCAAGAGATTGCGGACCCACTCTGGGGCTTCGTCACGGAGCCGAGCGGCCAGATCAGATCTAGTGCCATCTCTGTGGAAGGCCTCAGGTTCGGCGCTTGGCGGAGGCAGAGGGTCGGATGCAGACATGCGACCCTGGAAAAAGCGCGGGGGCACGTGAGCTGTCACGCTGGGTTTATCCGACAGAATGACATGGCGAGCGATGTCAAGCGTGATCGCTGGTGCTTCGGCCTTGACTTTTTCGGTCAGAGTGTCGGCGACTTCAACAACCAAAGAGACTGCCTCAGGGGTATTCCACAGGTCTTTGGCTCGGAGAATGTAAAGCTCAGTCAGAAGCTCATGGGCTTGATCCGGAGGCGTTACACCCCAGATCTCCTTCGGGATGTGCTGGAAATCTAGCTCTTGCGCTAAACGAGTGAAGATCCACGGGTAGCAAGACATAGCATGGCGCAGCTGTTGCCGGCTTTCCTGAGGCTTGTTCAGGCGCATGTATGCAATCACCAAAGAGCATTGAATGTTAGGCAGATCGGCCCATTCATCCACGAACCGAGTCTTGGTGCACATTTCCACAAATTCGGCATACTCCCTGCCCGGAGAACGAGGTGGTCGATTAACAGCCTCATGCAGTAGGGATCGGAGTCGTTCAGGCCGAGGAGTAGCTTCGACCATTCATAGGCTGTTCGCCATGTGCCCTTCATGGCCAGATTCGCAATGTATCTCCACCCTGCAAGCCACAGCTCTCTGTTCCCGAACCACGAGAAGTCGAGTCTAGCCTGGCCTTCCTTTAAGCGAGCTTCGAAGGAAGAGTGAGCAGAGCGACCGATATTGAATAGCGCTCTTTCGAGAAGATCGGCAGCCACAGAATGATCCCCTTGGTGTTTGGCAAGCTCGGACACTTGGAGGAGGGTGGAGATGTGGTAGGGATTATACTGAAGCAGGGAAATCAACCGCTGGGGCTCCATGGACTCGACACACATGTCGAATTGATTTTGCACATCCTTGTATGCCGTATTGTGGACAATTCTGTAGACTGTGCAGTCGGGGTTGGGGCTAAGGCTATTATCCACGATCATGCCTAGCCCGCCACTTGGGGCGAAGGGCCAATCATCGTGTCCTTGCATGAGAGCATTTCGTCGCAGTTTTGTTCCCTTCAAGGACTTCCCTCGACTTGCTGGACAGTGTTTGCCCAAGAGGGCTTCATTCAGAGGAAGGTTCTGAGTCCGATCTGGACGGCGGCGCGGCCCTGTATCCTCTTCAAAGTTCTCCAGCACGACATTTCCAAAAAGTTTGCGCATTTCATTAGTGGCATTGAGGTGCTTGGGTTCGATGGATAGGACTTCGCTCGTGGTTTTAGGGTAATTGTTGTGTTGATTAGCCGTCGTCGTTGGGAAGTCGGCCCCCGCTGGCGCCTTAACATTTAGATCTTTCAACGCCCGATCGATCTCGTCGAGCTGAGCATCGTTTGATTGCTTTGGGTCTTGCGCTGAAGCTTGCGCCTTGGTCTTCTTAGCCTTTTTCTTCTTCTTCTTGCTGGCACTTTTGGGCGGGCGGGGTCGAGCAGGCTCAGGTGCAGCACGGTCCAAGGGGGCATCTTCCTCATTCTCCTCTGGCTCTGACTCTTCGCCACCCTCATCTCCAAGTCCGGCATTCAGAAGGTCGAAAGCGTTGAAAGTAGGCTTTGCATGCGGGGCATTATCGTCGGTTGAGTCATCTTCCTGATCAGAGCTGTGCTGCAGCTCCTGCTCACGCAGCTTTTGCAGCTTTCGAATCGCACGGGAGGACATATTGACAGCGGGATTGCTGTGAGTGTTGAAAATGTCCGGAGCTGCAGCAGCAACTAAGGGAAAGGAATATCGACAATTAAAGATCCGCGGGAATGACGCAAACGCGGCACCGGGTCACCGCCAAGCACGTGATCTTATCGATAACAGGAGCAACAGCGTCCCCCATCATCCCCGTTGCTGAACAACTCTAGAACACCAATAAGACCTCAAAGAGATCGCTCTTTTTGGTCCCGAACAGCTTTATCTTCAATGCGCCGCTTCGCTGTTCAAGGACACCGCACTCTTAAGCGAGCACCAGCATGGAAATCCGCTGCTAAACGCCCGTGTTCGTTCTCTGTTGCTCACTACCCAGCACGGGGCCTACGGGCCTACTCCACAGGTCGCCGTTCATCAACCGTACAAGGGAGCTCTCATCCATCCATGCATCTGCGGAACTTTTCATTGGCTGTGATCTCAACTGCAGTGGCATCAGGGGCTTATTACGCATATCAAGGCACTGGGAACACCCATTCATTAGCAAACCAAGTCAGGAACTTTGCCTCGGGTGCTATCAAGACTGCCTACGCAGAACAGCCTTCAGACCCTGCACGGAAGGCTCTGCTGGTGAACAACGACCAATTCTACACTGCAACTCTGTCTGAAGACGAGCCACTTTCAAAGAACAGTGACGACTCCGACCGACGCGTTCTCAACATGTTAACCCCTGAGCAGGCAACAGAGAAGCTCCGCAAGCATGAAGAGTCATATCTTGTGAACCGGGGCAAGGGCGTTGTTCGATATGACATTGTGCAGGTTCCTAGCAATTCGCCCATTGAGGATGATCACGCTGAATTAGTCGTGGAAGTCCCAGCCAATGTGGCAGCAAACCAGAACGGAGAGCCCAACAGTGACTGGTCTTTTTGGGCGGTCTTTGATGGTCATTCGTGAGTGATTTTGTGTGAGCTATCAAAGAACACCACTAATCTACCAAACAGGGGATGGACCACATCTGCCAAGTTGCGTAATGTACTGATCTCTTACGTTGCACGGGAGCTCAACTCGACCTATAAGGCTGCAGCGACGGACCCATCTGTACTAGTGCCTTCATCCGAGACTATCGATGCGGCTATCAAGCAAGGCTTCGTCCGTCTGGACCATGATATCGTCCATGAGAATGTCGACAAGGTCTTCAAAGCCAACTCCCGGCGGGTGGCCGCTGAGCTCCTTGCACCTGCACTTTCTGGTTCTTGTGCCCTTCTCAGCTTCTACGACTCCCAGTCACAAAACTTGAAGGTGGCGGTCACTGGTGATTCTCGTGCAGTCCTCGGCCGCCGTGGTCCTAGTGGTAAATGGACCGCAACGGCACTCTCTGAAGATCAGACTGGTGGCACCCCCTCTGAGATTGAACGTTTGCGGGCAGAGCACCCTGGCGAGCCTTATGTCACCCGCAATGGCCGTATCTTGGGCCAGTTGGAACCCAGCCGTGCCTTTGGCGATGCAGTTTACAAGTGGAGCAAGGAAGTGCAAGACAAGATCAAGGGACAATTCTTTGGCCGGACCCCTTCACCATTGCTGAAGACACCTCCCTATGTCACTGCCGAGCCCGTCATCACTACCACCAAGATTGACCCATCACAAGGCGACTTCGTCGTAATGGCTACCGATGGCCTGTGGGAGATGCTTAGCAACGAAGAGGTTGTAGGCCTGGTGGGCCAGTGGATCGAGCAGCAGCAATCTGGCAGCAGCAGCAGCAGCAAGGCCTGGCTCCAGGGCTGGTTCTCCTTCGATGGCCAGAAGAAACTGCCTGTGGAGGCAGCGCATGACGGCTCTACTGCCGGCCAGCGCCGTCCAATCCGACAGCAGCAATACGATATCTCCGGAGGAGAAGGACGATTCGTTGTCGAGGACAAGAACGCCGCCACTCACCTTGTGCGCAATGCTATGGGTGGAAAAGACAAGGACATGCTCTGTGCTCTGCTGACCCTGCCCAGCCCCTATTCCCGCCGATACCGGTAAGCAATTTTCTCCTCGATTGTGTTACATCGCTGACGTTTCTAGTGACGATGTGACCGTGGAAGTCATTTTCTTCGGACAAGGCCCTGACTCGCGAACCATTGACCGGAACCAGGAAGCAAGCGCCTCTGAGGAAGCCCCTCGCGCTAAGCTCTGATTCAGAATCCGTAGTGACTGTATTTATCCTACGGACTCACGAGGGTGTACGGGATTGAGTGGTCTTATGTGGAAGCGATTTGTTTAAAATGTCTAATATCACAGGAGTTTCGTGTTTCTCCAGAGCCAATGAATTTATCCAATATCTAGTCAAGATAGTAGAAAAACCTTCAGAGAAACAAAAGGAAATACAAGAACCATCCAAGAGAAGTGAGGAGATTTTCTAAATATTGACCTTATTCTACAATTACTATATACTGGAGTTACCTTATTACCGCTTCTTACACAAAATCCCTCAGATCCCCACCTCCCTCCGAAAAGCCACATTGTTGATGATCCTTCCCTCCCCGGTAACCCCCTTTCCTTCCAACGGCTGCCCATTGCCCTTCGCCAAATCTGTTAAGAACTTCCCTAGATACTCTGTCGGAGAAACAGTCCCCGGCGCGGTCGCCCTAACCACAGGTCCAAGGAGCGAATGCATGCCCTTTTTGAGCAGCGTCTGCTGATCAGGCCGTTTCATGACTACTTTAAGGACCTCTGGGTCATGCGCGGGGTCCACAAAGGCAGGGCGCACGGAGAAGGGCTTCAGGCTGGGATATTGCTTTGCAAGCGCCAGAAGAGCAACTTCGGCTTCGCCTTTGACCCGGCCGAAGATTGGGGTGAACCTGCCCGGATTTTGCGTTGCCTGGGAATGGGTTGATTAGTTTAGGATAGATCATACGGGAGGAGGTCTGGAAACTTACGCCTTCGCCGGAGACATAGACAAATTTGAACGAGGATGATAGCCCCGAGAATGCCTTCGCGGCCGCTAGGGGGTAGTCATAGGTGATTACACGGTATTCTCTGGAGATTGTCGTTAAGCGATTACTTGACTGAGACGGCGTATCTGGGGCTTTCATAGATACAGTGTGTATGCGTACTCTTTTGATACTTGTGACTGCGAGATTCCTTGGGCCCAAATGCACCCATCCGCGCCGCGAAGTTGTTCCAATAACTCGGGAGAGTATTCGTTAAAGTCCTTGTGCTCGATCACAGTGACGTTAGGCTTATTCTCCGCCATTGGAACCGGGCTGCGACTCAGAATAAACAGGCGCGAGACTTCGCCGGGTGGAAGATTAAGAATGTGGTTTAGAACTCCGGATCCAACGAGGCCTGTGGCCCCGGTAAGAATAAGACGCATGCTGTCGGATCGCCAATGAATATTACAGAAGTCGAGCTGGAAATGAAGGGTTGGAGAAGCCACGACATTGAAATATAAGCAACGTGATGACAGGCGGGCCCGGCGATTAAGTATGTCCGATCTATTTCCACCAGAATGGCTTGGCGCCCCCTAGTGCGCCTTCCCTTTCCGGTATACGAGGCACTTGCCGTTCTGGAAGATCTACGGTGCAGGTCCCCACATGAATATCTCGAATCTCGAGACATTGGAAATGATATGTGTCGTAGGGCTACATACCCTCGCTAAAACTGGTCAAAGTCTTGATAATGTACAATTGTCATCCTCCACCCCTATTTCAACTTCAGTCCGAAAGGATCGCCTGCCTTTTCGTACCGCACGTATTTCGGAACGTAACTCTTCATAGCAGGCCTCTTGAACATGTACTTGTCCAGGAACTTGGTCTGGAGGGTAGCGACATTCGTACTCGTGATCCAATAGAGCAGGAGTGCCACTGGAAGCTCATTCATATAGCTGGTGACACCGGCCGTGACGGCCAGAACCTTGAAAAATGATTTCAGCCCCGGCCCAAGAAAAACGCCCTATACATCTCGAGCTTCGGCAGGCGTGAGATTTCCTGGGCCGTTGGGCCTCGCAGGCCAGAGGTAACATTCGTGATGATGGTAGCCGTCAAAATAAAAGGCAAAATGCCAGTCGAGTCACCGGCCAACAAATCAGGGAACCAGAGAGCGCCTTCAGTGGCCAATGTGGGATCGACGGCCCGATAGACAGTCTCAGTCACTGAGCTCGCTACAGGACTTGCCGCAGTAGTGTCTGCGCTGAGCTGCGCCGAGCTCTCTAAGAAATCCTGGCTTGCAGATTCACTTCCAGGTACTCCTCCCAAAGGCAGCGACGGGGCATTTGCGACGTGGACTGGGTTGGCCTCCATCATGCCCTTGCCTACATTCTTTGTCGGTTCTTCTGGCTCAAACAAGCTCAAAAACCAAGGGATCAAGCCATTTCTGTTCCCACTCATGGCACGCAGAGCGTCCATGAGCGCTATGAACACCGGGATTTGCGCCAATGAGTAATAGCGATAAGAGGTATTGAGATTAAATTTATCGTTAATATGATGCATTCGGTTCTTATAGCGGGTTTCGGATTCCAATTTCGTCAATCCGAGCCTCTGTGCTATAACCGTGGAACTCCTCCGTACTGCGCTTGTGAGCGGCGCTAGATCTTGCTCTCGTCGAGCGTGCCGCCGGGTGTAGATCTGCAGGGGAAACCGACTAGCGTTCGGACGAGGACGGCCGTGAGCGGAATTGACAAGACCCATGGTAGATGTGAGACGGAATGAACGCCCTGGATCAGGGCGTAGGAGCCGTCCAGCATGCCATTGATAACCCCCATTTCCGAGGGGCGGGTAGGATGGAAATGGCGGAGCTGCGTGCGGGTCGGTATTGGCCAGGCGATTCGAGCCGCCGGGAAGGACTTCAGGGAGGATCGAAAGGGTCGCATAGCGGAGAGCGAGATGGCCCTCGCTATCTTGGGGGTGAAGCTCATCTAGCTCTGGAGAGTCCTTGGTTTGAAAAGCGCGGAACAAGTCCGACAAAGATTAAGTTGGATCCTGTCATGTGACGCGTATGGTAAGATACGCATTCTACAACACGTCCACGTTGACTTTCCTCCATCTGTCTACTCTTCCTTGTGAGTAGCATGAGTGGACTTTGGTGACACAGTGACCATGGCCCTCTTGTCACACGCCGTACTTTTCCTCTTCGTCGCTGCCGCAACCACTTTCTTACTGCCACAGGTGGTGGGGAGTGTGTTCGGCGTGTTATTTCGGTCCCTAGGGTGGTTGATCCGGCGCCGAACTCGGTCGCGCAGGGAATATGTGATTGCGCGGGCGCGATCAGAGGAGGCAGAGTACAGGCCTCCTCCCCCAAAGGCATCCGAGAACTCGTTGGCCCGGAGCCAAGTCGACGATGAGGACTGGGAGAAGGTGGATAGCTCTGGTGGGGCGAAGACGGCTGGCAGCAGTGACTCTGACAAAACAAAGAACGACGCCACCGAAGCTGATGAGTGGAATGGGATCATTGGATTCTTCCATCCTTTCTGGTATGCTCTCCTATGAGTCTCGTCTGTTACTCGGTTTACTAATAGCCTATTTTGAATAGTAATGCCGGCGGGGAGGAGAACGAGTCCTCTGGGAAGCCGTGCGAGCAACGCAGCAGCGCTGGCCCAAAGCCATTTGCGTGATTTATACCGGGGACCACGAGGTCAACAAGTCGACCATGCTCGAGCGCGTCGAGAACCGCTTCAATATTCATTTACATCCTCCAACGGTGGTCCTTCTTTATTTGACAACACGCCGATACTTGCTTAGTAGCTCATACCCGTATATGACATTACTGGGCCAGTCGCTAGGCTCGCTCGTGGTAGCATATGACGCCTTCACCTTGCTGGTTCCCGATGTCTTCGTCGACACCATGGGCTACGCCTTTGCCCTTGCGCTGAGCAAATGGCTCTTCCCAAACGTCCCCACCGGTGCATATGTCCACTACCCCACGATATCAACCGATATGCTCGCCTCCCTTGACGACAAGACAGGCGTGCAGGGCATCAACTCGGGCGCAGGAGCAGGAACAAAGGGCAAATTGAAGCGCCAATACTGGCAACTCTTCGCTCGACTCTACGGCTGGGTCGGCAGCCACATCGACGTGGTAATGTGCAATTCATCCTGGACGGCAGCGCATATCCGCCAAATCTGGGGCGCCAACAAGACATCCGACGCCAACGGCATCGGCGCCGGGACGCCCTGCTCGCCGGCCGTCGTATTCCCACCTACCGCCGTCTCGGAGCTGCAATCCAACATAACAGTCGACGAAGAGAGCGAGCGAACCCGCCAACCCGTCCTCTTGTACATAGCCCAATTCCGCCCGGAGAAGAACCACCCACTCGTCCTGCGCTCCTTCGCGCGCTTCCTGCAAGAGCGCATCCGCAATCCTCTATTCGCCGACGCCCCGCCCCCACGCCTTGTGCTCATTGGCAACGTGCGCCAGAACAGTCCCGACGAAACACACATTTACAACCTGCGTCTCCTCGCCCATGAACTCCGTATCCGCGACCACACCACCTTTCTCTGCGACGCCAGCTGGCCCGCCGTGCTCTCGCACCTGGGCACGGCCTCGATCGGCGTCAACGCCATGTGGAACGAGCACTTCGGTATCTGTGTCGTCGAGTACCAAGCGGCGGGACTAATCTGCGTAACGCACGACTCGGGTGGCCCACGCGAAGACATCGTCGTGGACCTTGGCGATGGGGCGACAGGATTCCGCGCCGAGACAGAGGAGCAGTTTGCAGCGGCATATGAGGCTGCGCTGGCGTTGCCGAAGGAGGAGAAGATTGCGATGCGAAAGCGGGCGCAGAAATCGGCGTTGAGGTTCACGGAGGAGGAGTTCGAGATCAAGTGGTTGGCTCAGCTGGAGAAGTTGGTTCGAGCTGCGCGGTAGAGCGGGAGTCTGTCTGGTTGCTGTCTATGCGCTGGGTCTGCAATAGATTCTTCCGCTTTTTCTTGTCCCCCACTTGCGACATTGTATATAGGCGGTGTTCTTGGCTTGATCTATCGATACATAGCACCTAGGTATATACCCAATGGTGATTCTATGAGTCATTGACCTGAACTCTGTGTGCTCTGCTAAAGCCCGTCTGGACTGGAAAGGATATGCGGTATGGAATGATATTTGTTGTTAGTGATCTGATGCGACATGGAACTCCCTCGGTATATCTAAACTATGAAAAGAAAGACCCCCCCAGAGCAGATGGGTATGAGAAGCCAAGAAACCATCGAGTGCGCCAGCGGCGGGTTTATAGTCAACATGAATGCGTGCGTTGAATGACGTGGTCCAATAAATTGATAGGACAGCCAAGGAATGCTATCATAACCAACAACCCGCCAACCTTTCGAGGAAAGAAGAAAGACAAAACAAGAGACATAATCGTAAGCCGTGTAAATGAACGCCAAAGCCAAAGCCCAGTCCTTCTCTATCTCAATAGAATGTGAAAGGGAGAGTGAGGGGGGGAAGATGAATCCCAGTCTAACCCCCAACTTCACATTTTTGCTCCGAACAGCCCGAGATTCATCGCGCGGCATCAAGCTCCCCATTTCTGATCTTGATACCCCGCATCACCGGGGTTAATCCCCATCATCGGCGGATTATACAAGCCCCCCTGATTCCCAAATCCACCACTCATACCAGAGGTATTACTAATGACAGAATCCTCATCATCGAACCCGAACTCGCCGCCAGAACTAGCATCGAAGCTACTCCGCCCGCCAATATCGCTGGGATCATCCGCCGCAGGAATCTGGTCCCACTGCAGCGTCTGCAACGCCGGGTACTGCGCCAGCAGAGCCGCCGGCAGCACGAAGTTACTGGTCGGCTGGCCGTCCATACCGGGCAAGCCTTGCATGACGAGCGGTTGGGGCACCGGCTGGAGAGTCTGCTGCGGCTGCTGCTGCTGATCGAGCAGGACCCGCTCACGCTCCTGGGACTCCTCATCGAGGAGCGGCTTGATGCAGACGCGGCCGGCTTCAGAGCGGAAATGGCGGCCGAGGGCGTCGGCGCGAGCGAAGCGTCGGCCACAGCCCCAGTGGTTGCCATGGGAGAGGTCGCCGCGGCAGACGAATTTCTTTTCGCCGGAGTGCAGGCCTTCGTGGCGCTTGCGGTCGTGTTGGCGAGCGAAGGCCTTGCTGCAGATGGTGCAGACGAAGGGGCGTTCATCGGTGTGCGTGCGGAGGTGGGAGCGCAGATTGTAGGCGCGGGTGAATCGTTTCGGGCATAGATTGCATTGGAATGTGGCAGGATGTTTCTGGACGCGCTTGGAGTCACCCGAGATGGCGCCAGGCCGTTGGGGATCGGCGAGGTCCAGGATGTAGTTGCGGTTCTCGATGGAGGAAGTAGATAGTCGGCGGTTGCGTGATGGAGAAGTATCACGCGAGCCCGGGCTGCTGCGTGAGTGGGGCGATAGGGACCGCGGCGTAGTGGAGGCGTGGGCTTCGAGACTGGATGCTGATGCAGCAGGCGATCTTGATCGAGAAGACGGCTGCGCATACGGGTCGGATTTGCTCCGCACACGGGATTCTATGTATTGTTAGCGATGCACTAGGTTATCTTGGAATGGTGAAAGGGGGCGGGGGGAGGGCTTACTCATTGCCGGAGGGCTCAGAGAGTCAAAGTCCGCCGCGGGAGGCTTTCCAGGACCGAAGCTTGGATTTCGCGATGGTGGTGCAAATTCCACATTGATCTGTGGGGGTGCCATTTGCGATGCTTGCCCGATGTCTGAGCCGCCGTTCATAGTCACTACATCCTCTGCAGACATCCCGTACATGTCAGTCGGCGCAGCTGGGAATTGTGAATTCATGTTGGTGGATAAATAGGAGGTATTTGGGTCTATGTCCAGATTTGACTGTGGCATCAGCCGCGGTGAAATGTACGGACTATGCAATGGGCTGAAAGCTTGCTGCTGTTGCTGCTGCTCGGAAAGGGTGAACGATTCAATTCCCTAGCGCATTGTCGTACAATGCTGGGTCGTTCTGCGCCGTCAGCGAGGGCGATGCGTTGTTTTCAATTCCATCATAGTCATGCTGAGATAGGTAGGGTGAATGGTTGGCGGAGGAGACCTCGGAGACTTCAGATGGGGCTCTCCGGTGTCCTTGGAATGCGGACGTATTCACGACGGATTGCCAGTCTTGTTGCGGCTGCGCACTTAAATATGCCGCCGTGGCCGGATCTAGAGATGTGTGACGCGAATGTTGCGGGGTGTAGAAAGTTCCGGGAGTCGATCCGGGCGGCGACATTGGACCGGGGGATGATTGCTGCTGGTCTTGCGAGGATTGATGAGAGGAGGCGGAGGGGTTCGAGGTCGGGCTCACAAGATCCGCAGGGTTGATGGCCTGGTTCAGCGATTGCCGCTGATGCATTTGCGGATCTAGCAGTAATTGCGAGGAATCGTATTCTGAGCCCGCCCCGCTATTCGGACTGTGATTTTGGTAGGCGGAGAAATCCAAGTCGCCTGGCGTGGTGCTGAGGAGGTTCGCATAGTTATCTCCTGGCTGTGGGGGTCGCAGGTCGCCCGAACCGTGATCGAGCTGATTTACCAGATTCGGATCGAAGGATTGCGGGACTTGCATATTGGAGGTATTTAGGTTTGGCGGAAAGGGCTGCGCGGACGGAGGCGCCAGACCCTGGGACTGGGGCCCCGAGAAATATGGTGGATAGCTATATGTCTCGGCGACCACCTCTGGGTTTTGGCTGTCGAAGGTCGGGTTCGCGAAAGACATTGAAGGATCTAAGCCTAGCCCCGCCATCGGGTCATGGAACTGCTGGGCGTGGGGTGACGGGCTCACACTCCCGTGCCTGGAACCCGCCGGCGAAGGACCGGCCCCTTGAGGGTCGTGCGAGGCCATGATGGGCAAAGCGACCAGCGAGATGGAGAGGAGCAGAGAGCTGAAGATGGCGCAGTGTGCGCTACAGCGGGCGGACCGTGAACGTACAGAGGAGGGGCCGTGACGGTGAGCGGGACATTCGCAGCTCTCTCCAAGAATCCGTCCAGGCCAAAGAAGGTCACCAGGAAGATCACCAACAGGTCAGCATTTGGCGATCTCACAATAAACAAGCCTGTGGTATGAAGGAAGAATGAGCAACCTTCACGTGCGCAAGGCGGTCTGGATGCACTACGAACCCTGGGACCGTCTAACTTTCTTACCTTCTGGGATGATTCTACCCTAAAAGGCTGACGCTAGCCTAAGGGGATGGCCCACTCGTGTCTCCCCTGAGCGTCTAGAAAAGTTATCTAATCATCCTGAGATTCGGATCATTCTTGAAGATGATACATCCCCCTCCCACATGCGAAGGATAGCGCTGGCTACGAGACGAGCTCTAAAATTGGCCGTCTCCATCTTCCTATCCTGTTTGCTTGTCCAGATTTTCCCTTCGGAAGAGAAGTGTGATGTGGATTGCAGCTCTTTAGTTCGTTGCACAGCCACGCTGGGTTTCATCCATGGTCGGGTCCCCATCCACTCAGATCTTTACCCGATCCAGCCTGATACCTTTCGGGCGTGGAGGGGCTTCTGGAGGCAAGGCTGACATGCTAATCGCAATCAGGGAACCGCCTGGCCGATTTTGGTCTTCCTCGCGTGCTCCGACGCGTTTCAGGTTGGCCTGACAGTCAGATCCGCTGAGCTTCTATGGACTACAGCCTGCCCAGCGGTCCCTTAAACTCGGCAGCCTGCTTCGTTCGTTCTTCGGTATGAGCATCCAGTCAAGGTCTGGGGCCGCATACTCCGCTGGATGGAAATAGATACATTGGAGCCTGATCCTTGTGAGCTATCTGCCGCGTTCCCGAGCTGAACTTCTTCAGCTCTAATTCCGATCCTTCCAATGATGGCCTTAGCATCCGGAGCCGGAGAGTGCCTGGTAGTTTGGTCTAAGACTAACGTGCCCAACAGCGTTTGAAACTACTAGCTCGACCCAACGAATCAGTTCATGGCTTCTGCAGAGTGAGATGCAATATGACTGCGAGCCCACGGCCTCCTCGGCCTGGCTCTTCGCTAACAATGATGCCTGGGAAATACATAATCGTAGCCCCCATGTCAAACAGTAGGTAGTAAACACTTGGTACCGTGGAGCTTAATTCCCCCCCCGCCCTCTCTTTCCGAGGTCCTGGCCGTGGGGATTGGTCAGCAATAGTACACAACCATGTAGACAGGGTGCACGGTATTTCTCAGCCTGATAAGGGCTCGGGCTTCTAGATGCAGACCATCGGACGCAATGTGACTATCCCATTCGACGAGGGGCCCCGGGGGGGCCATGGTCATTGCTTATTTTGCCCCTTGTTTGCTCTCAAGCGCCGGATAGTGACTTTGCCGCACTTATGATTGACCAGCTCCAGAAGAGCCTGGGTGGATATCTCGGGGTTCTTTTCAATCGCCTCGAGCAACTTTGCTCTGTCGGCATCGTCCAGTTTGGGGGGCCGCCCCGAGCGGGCCTTGGAGATATTGTTCACTCTGCTATCGGCTCGCGTCACCGTGGACTTGATCGTGCTGAGAGGGATTGAAGGGAACCTCTTGTGAATGGCGGAGTATGACCAGCCGGCCGTTTTCTTTAATTCCACGATCTTCGTGCGCGTGAAGGGGTCTATTTCGCCCTTCCTCTGGCGCGCAGCGATGGGAGCTCCGGTCGCCCATTGCGGGGTGGTTTTTGGGCTCTGTTTCGGCTCAGCTGAGGCCATCTTGACCACCCAAGAGGGACGAGAGAACCAGCTAGGGAGGACCAGGAAACGTGGTGTCGCGTCACGTCAGAGATACGGGAACTAAGCGTGCCCTGCTGCGATTGGCGGGGATACGAGGCTAACCATATCGGGAAGTATTCCTGTCAATGCGTTCGATAATCCTGCACTTTCCAATACGGTAGGCGAAGTTCGGCGTCCAACTAGAACAGCAGGCAAGGCTACTTCAGGTTCCTAGGGCTCTACTGGTGGTTGTGCTGTTGCTTATCACTGGCGCATTGAATCGGACTCGTCCCTTGCCTCGTTCACTAGGGGAGCGGGCTGCCTATAGTTCGCGGTCCATGACGATAATCGAAACCCGGACTTGCTCAACTCATTCTACGCATCCAGGCCGAAGGAATCATACTACTAGCAGGCGCAAAGAGTGAAATGGCATGGCATGACCTCTAAACCTTGACCTCCAGGCGCTGTGTATAATCCAACCCTCAACCGTCAAGCTTCCACGCTACTACCAATGATTTCCAGCAGTAGAGGCCTTGGATGTTATAACGCTACAATTCCTGCCCAATGTATGTTTCTCACCCGAAAAACAGCCACGGATCCAACGAAGCCTCAATAACACTCTTTTCTTCCCGCACGTCTCATACTTCTAGCTCCAGCGGCCCACTAACCCGAAACAGCAAACTGCCCAACCTGACCCCTAGATCGACGCACCCACCAAAGCTTAGCACAAACCCTCATGCCCCGAAACTCTTCTTTTCAAGGCCGTGAGCCTCTAAAGGACGATCCCAATCTCTCCTTATATCACAGCCATATCACTGGCCCACTCCCTTTCCTAAACCCTACACAAGCCCGTTATCAGCCCACCAGCCCCGACCCAGCATCCACCCCACCCCCCCGCGTCGAGCGTCTATGGCGATCACGGGATAATCGCAAAGGGCGGCACGCCCTACGTGTTGACCACGCTGCGCCAGAGACGGGGGTACCGGGGCCGACGGCCTCGGTTGGGGGCGTGGGGCAGGGGATATGGCGCATGATGACGTGTGCGCCGTACTGGGACGTCTCGTACCTCGTGGCGGTCATCTTCACACTGGGCTCGGTGATATGGATCATCAATGCGTTTTTCGTGTGGCTACCCCTGGAGGACCCGGGGACGGAGTTCGACGGCGAGATTAGCGCTGGGGGAGGGATCACGGGGTTTATTGGGGCGACCGTGTTCGAGGTGGGGAGTGTATTGCTGCTGCTGGAAGCGGTGAATGAGGCGCAGACGGGATGTTTTGGATGGGCTTTAGAGACGGAGGTGAAGCGGGAGGATCATGGTTCGAGGGTCATTACGGGGGTGAAGCCTGATGTGCGGCATTGTCGACATCATCATGTTAACCGGGGGAATCTGGTTGGGGGAGGAAGACTGGTTCGGCGGCTCTCGCATGATTTCACGGAAGGGTATGTAACGGCGCGAGATGGGAGGTCGTTTCGATGGTGGCCGTCGGCAGCTGAGCTCCGAGGGCACTATATTCATGAGCTTGGGTTCCTGGCGTCTCTGGTGCAATTGATTGCTGCAACCGTGTTTTGGATTGCTGGGTTTACGGGGCTTCCTGGGATTGCGAACCACATGAGCCAGGGTCTTACGGATGGCGTTTACTGGGTACCGCAGATCGTTGGTGGTGCTGGATTTATTATCAGCGGACTGTTGTTCACGCTGGAGACACAGAAGAAGTGGTATCTACCCGCCTTCCACGTCCTCGGCTGGCATATTGGTATCTGGAACTTCATTGGGGGCATTGGATTCACGCTCTGCGGTGCCTTGGGTCCAGCAGCGATGCATTCAGGGGTTGAGTATCAGGCTACCCTTGCTACATTCTGGGGATCGTGGGCTTTCATGATCGGGTCGACGATACAGTGGTACGAGAGTCTGCAGAAATTCCCCGTTGAGAAGGGACGATTGATGAATCCAGCAAATGAGCCAGGATCAAAGACAGAGACGGGAGACCCTTGTACATAACGAACTAGCGAATAATCTTCGACTCGTTGGAGTTCATGTGTGTTCGTTCAGCGTGAGCGATATTGAAAAAACACCGCAAGGCTAACGTAGACGGAGCTTCTCGAGAATATCATGGCGGTCGAAGAATGATCGATTCCGTTTCCCGAAGACATCTGCAATGGTTCGTAAGATCGGAGGGCGGGATGGATTGGAAAAGCTTACACATGGGAATGCTCAAGGCAGATTCCTACTTGAATGCTGCCGACGATGGTCATGGTCCTCTTGACGCCTCCGTGCGTAAACCAAGTATAGGCGTAGAATGTGAGGACAAAGCTAAACATGTTCTTGAAGACAAGCATGCAGGTAAATGCCTCAACAGCAATTTCCCCGGACCAATTAGCAGAGAGCCTTCACCGGGGTTCCAGTCACTTACCATGCGCATCAATGATGTAGAGGGGAGCTGCTACAGCTCCTACGACCACCCCGGCGATCACGAATGCGAAAAAGACATCTGGCAGAAGCCAGGAATACTTAGCAACATCATTGGCAGTCCACCCGAACCCGTAAAGCCCGATGCTGCTGAAGATGAGCTGCAGTATCACTATGGGAATGCGGAACTCGGGCTCATATATTCCACGGTTGAGTCGGATCATTATCTTGTTCATGGAATCAGTTAGTACCGCAGACAGGACAAAGCCAACCATAGCTCCAGCAAAGGCCCCTGCATACAGATACCCGGTTTCTTCTTCGGGAAACCAAGTGGGAGGCCCGAGGAATACGGTTGCCAGTGAAACTCCTATGAAGACTGACCAGCCAATCATAACGCTTTGGATCAGACATGCCTAGTTTGCGAGTTAGGTAAAGTGCACTTTGAGAGAGAGAAGATGCAAGATCAGCATACATAAAGAATTCCCAGGTGGAAAAGCAGTGGAAAGGAACGAACAACAAGCTTGAAGAAGGGGTCGTCCGTCTCCCTTCCGTTACATAGCCGGAATGATTTGAGGAAAGATTCGTTTTCTTGAGTGGCGGCGGCAGGAACTTCTGTTGTCGATGCTACGTTTGCATCCACAGAGTTTTGTCACAGGTCCCTTTGAATCCCTCACTGAAGTCGTCCGGGAATGCAGACTTGGATTGGTCGAGTTTATCTGGTCAGTATGCCGAACGTCTGTGTTCAAAGAATCTAGTCGTTTGTAAGACGTCTCTGGTACAAAACATACCATGAAGGGCAGCGCTGCAGCTAGAAAAATGGCCACAAAGTAGAATGACCATTGCCAGCCAAGAGACTTGGTGTTCTTGCCCACGGTAACATGCTGCCCCAAACAAGGCCACATTGGTGATAGCCATCCGTTTCCCTCTTTCCTGGTTCCAAGAGTCAGTTTAAGTAAAGAAGGGGAGGCGATTGACTCACATGAACGAAATACAGATCGTCAACACAAGCATTGACGAGGGCTTCAAAGGGCGCCAGCGCGATACCCTGGGCGATACGAGCCCACAGAAGGCTCTTATGATTATGCCCGCTCAAGCCTCCTCAAGGACAAGACAAGATCGTCAAGACGTGACCGAGAATAAATAAATGCGCTTTCCCCATATTCGCGGTGGGGACGATGAAGATCCCAGTGACACCTGTTCCACAAAGATGAAACCCAGTAAGCAGGGCTGCATCGACAAAGGTGATGTGATTGTAATCGGCGGTGGTTACTGTGTTGGCCGCCATGATGGAGCCTATCGTTGTGCAGAGAACTGTGATGATGCAGAGAACTGTGATGAAGCAGAGGATTGATAGGATGAGGTCGCGTCTCCAGAGGGGCCAGTTCTAAAGGGAAATTGATCAGTTTCCGACGTGGAATTGAGGTATAATCAACTTACCGAGGGGTCATGGGGGTCTTTACTCGACTGCGGAACGAGAATCGTGGGTATTCTCGCGTTTTTGGCATGCTTCAGGCCGGTGACCTCCGAAGGCTGGCTGCTCGAGCTGCGCGTCACCTCATAGATGTGAGACGTCCTAGACCCCCAATCAGTATTTCCGAAATACCAAGAGAGAAAAACAGACCTACCCGGCACCAGCTCGAGTTTGCGGTCCTCCAGTACACCGAGGCCCATCGTTGCGGATTTTGCAAGTTGCACTTGCGCAAAAACAAGGGGGGAAGTCAGATGGATGACGGTGGCAAGAGGAATTCCCAGAGCGGGTGAGGCAATCAAGTAAAAAGGAAAAGGGGAAGAGGAAAGGCACAAAGCATATAAAGATAACGAGCAGGTCTGCTGCTTCTGCCCTTGCCGCAGACCAGCAAACAGCAGGAGTCGCTCTTTCCTCGCAGCTTCCAGCACACAAATGCTCCATAATCTCGAAAATACGATATCAAACAAGTCTGATTTCAAACGAGAATCAGTGCCAGACTGCAATACCGTAAATGTCTGCAGTATCTGTAATTATATATGAGACCGACAGCAATAGCCCCTACACTACTGGTGTACAACTAAGGAAGGTTTTAACTAGTATGTGACATAGATCTGTGACTGCATATCGCTTTTGTGCGGAGCCTTCAGCATCTTGACTAACACAGATTGTTGCTTCCTCGCAATATTCATCGGAGCAGTGGTGTACTAAACCTTCGGCCTCATGGGGAAGCAGAAGGACCCGCAGTGGAGTTGAGGCTTGTAGTCTATTTTACGGGTCCGATCTTACCGGAGCCTTTCCTGGACGTGGCTACATGGGCCGTGCCAATAAAGATAGAGAAGGAAACACATCTCGTCGTTAGTTGTTCAACGCTATTTACAGTACGTCCGACTGCTTATGGATTACATATCTTCGCAAGCACACAGGGAACCATGCCACAGAGTTTTGTTGAGCCATTCCTCTTTGGTCCACGGAGGAGGGGTGTATCGCAGCGTCACCCCGTACTGTAGGATCTCCGCGCCCAACTGATCCATGCGGTCCCATGGGTAGACATACTCCCACTCGGAGTAAACACCTTGCTTCAAGTTAGGATAGGGGTTCACGGGCGAGAAATTGATCTCAATGGCTCGTAGAGCTGAGCCCCGCTCCGATGCTGCCTTCGCGAGCTGTCGAATCCATTCCTCCTCCATGGAGCCCCAGTTGTTGATCAGGCTGTGACCCATGACGCCAAAGACAAGCCCAAAGGTGTGGAGTTGAGGTCCAAGCAAGAGATCGGCGTATTCTGGTTTCCACTCGAAGTTGCGGTTTCGAGGGTCTTCGCATATCTGGGTTCTAGATAGCCGGAGAGTTTCGAGGTACGGGAAGTCGCAGGCTCGGAAGGATAGGCCGTGAGGAAATCCGAGAAGATCGATGTAGATGTTTTTCAGCGTCTCCTTATGGACGGCAAGACATCGGCCGATCTGCACGAGGCTCATGTCGGAGACGAAGCTGCCTGAGGTGTTGATCGCGAAGTGTACTAGCTCTCTAGGCCAGTGAATCATTGCTGCAATAGCCTCGGGGTAATCTTTGCAGCCTTTTAGCTTGAGACTCGTGAATGGAGCGGAGCGAATTTTCTTATTCAGTGTCAGTAACATATGCCGGCAAAGAGGAGGGTGAAGGGCTCAGAACTTACATCGGGAGTAAGCATGTCGGAGATGGTGGAAGGGTCTGACAATCCAGCGGCAGTAATCTCCAGACCCTTCAACGAAGACACATTTATGTGATTCGCAGCCTCTGCCAACGTGATGCCTCCAGTTTCATAGTACCACATGCTACCTTCAACATGGAGATTTTTGACTTTTGTCAGCTCTCGCGTGCGCCCCACTAGGGCGAGCGCGTTATCTCGAACTACGTCAGAAGTAGAAGAGTAAAACCCACCCACAAGGGTCAGATCACGGAGGTTGCTAAACCACGAGATGAAGTCGTTAATGATCTGAAAGTCTTCTTCAACTACATGTGCAGTGTCGTCAATTTCAGCGCGCAATGTATGGCAGAGTGGTCGTAAGGAAGGATTGGCTTGAAGCAACTGGTGCAATTTTTGCACTGCGCGCGAGGGGGGGACCATGAATCGCATAGAGGGACGATGGCTCTCAAATCGGATCTCCTCGAACATGAGAGGAGTCGCAATACGGCGAAAGCGCTTAGATACCAGCGTCAGTGTCCGAGCACTTTCATAGTCGCGTTTCTGGTGGCACGCGTCCGGGCAGGGGCGATTTTTATTGAGCGTGGCGAAATCGAGGATGGCCACGAGAATCTCATCTGGGATATTCATCGTGACCAGCTGGGAAAGTTGAGGGTAGGAAAGTCAATGCGTTGGAGTTGGGGAACATATGAAGTTGATAGAGTACCCTTGGAGTTAGGGACCTTGGGAGTGGCTTCATGGACGAGAGGATAGAAACACCGCCCCACCAAAATCGGGGAACATTTGTAGATCATCTAAGCATAACCATTCCACTGGCTATTTCAATTCTCCTGAAAAGCTGCATCTTGTGCTTTTTCGGTTCGTTCTCCATGGACCCTAACCTCAACTTGACGATGGGGCCATCGGGATTCGTAACAAGCTAGTATAGTGTCGCTATGCTAGCATAGGTCCAAGCCATCTTCGCCTGTTAACTCACGACGTGGTATAGACTCGCATTCCTAGATTGTGGTAAGTAACAACTCAAACGAGCGGGCAACAGCTCAAAGATCTGGGAAATACGATGCTGAAATCACACCGAATAACCGGAGGCGAACATCCAGATCCTATGGTGGGTCCCATTGCATTCGTCGACTCTCTGTGGGTAACTGTTGCGGTCTCTCGCCCCAAAAAAAGCTGAGTGGCATAGCGATGACATGACTTACCGCAGGGGATAACATAAGGGAGTTTTTCGATCAAAATAAACCTTTGCGGTATTCGTGAAGAGGTTTAATGATAGTATGGTCCTCTGGAATATCACAGTCTCGGTCTCTTGGCCATAAGTTACCCTGTGAAAGAGGACTCTTGCCACAAAGCCAGTAATTATGCATACTGGTGGCAATCATACTTCATGTTAGCCGCACTTTGCTGGGAAAGTCCTTGATGTGGACTGTGGGGTGGCTCTCCAGGATCTCCTAGAGAAGATAATGGGTGTCCCAGCTGGGGCATTTCGATCGAAAGCCAAGCTAGTAGCATACGACTTTTCCACAGAGTCAGGAATCGAAGGTGGGCTCCGTTAATCACATGCGGCTTGGTGTTGATCTCGCTGACTGCAAAAAGTGCGGGGATCTTCTACCTGAAATCTGCTACTAGTGAGTGGGATGATGTCTTGCCTGCGAGTATTCTTTCCAAGATAGGCTCCAATGCGACATGGAGGTGCTGATGCTTCATTTCTGCAACAAAGTGGAACGCACCAAGCTGCAGTAAAGAGAATTGATCCGGCAGGTTGAGCTTCCCTAAGAAATCATGGGCGCACGGTGAATTGAATTTATCACGGTGAATTGAATTTATCCTACTCGTCACATCTTTTGCGATCATTCTGGTCATCCTATCTAACAAAGCTCTTGTAGGAAAGTGGCTATTATCTATATTCCGATGTTTCCTCCGCAGACCTCTTATAGGTATTGAAGATAATTTATATCTATTTTTCGTCTTCAGTTTTCAATATTAAGCGTTTCCGAAATGGTATTTCCATTTCGTTACAGCAGCAGCTTCGCAGACCCTGTTGAGGTATGTCTACTCTGGAAAGGCTGAGTAGTGCCCCGGTCGAGCTAGACAAGTCCTGTGCACCATAGTATATCCTCCCTTGTCAAGGCTATATTATAGCAAAACTTCCCGTTAATCGATTTTCAGCAAGCACGTGCCTATCAATTAAAAAAGAAAAGAAAAAGCAAAAACAAAAAACAAAACAAAACGAGTATCTCAAACCACCACTTGACACATACAGAGCTCGGCTAATATCATGATAATGTTCTAGATCACCGCGACGCCTACCACATACCCAGCAGCACCAAGCTTGATATTCCAAATCACTAGTCATCGACCTAATGAAGATCTCGCCGCTGACGAGTTGGCCCGTGATTTGCAAGCTCTAACCAGCACTACTGCTTCCATGACCCCCATAGATCCATTGATGAATAAGTTGCTGTTATGTTAAGAAGGCTGAATGAGGACAGCAAAAGGGACATATCCTGGGGTGCAAGTACTAAGGAGACGCCATTGTAAACCTCGTTCGACTGGAGGATGAGGATGAGGACAACAAGTAGTTGGGTAGCTGATTATTGCTACGAGTACGGCCCATAATACATAGACAGCACCTCCATTAGGTCTCGAGCTTGAGCAAATTGGCAAAGCAATTGCTGGATCATGGGTAGGTAGGACAAACGATTGACGCCACGACGCGTCTCTGGCCACATTGACAGATTGCGGCTCAGGACAGGTGCCAAACATGGGAGTTCTTCTTCGTATCACGCGTCTACCTCCTTCTTGTCTCCTTCCTCTCTCTGACTTCCCTACTTCTTTCCATCAACTTCCAAGCTTTCTCTCTGCAAGATTCAATCAAAATGAAGCCCATCATAATTTTCTTCACTCTTGCCTATTTGCTGTCCTTTGGGGCCGCTCAGGGTCTCAGCAGCCTCCCAAAGTGTGGGGTATGTTGACCTCATAAATTGTGAAAGCAACTGACCTCTACTAACAACTTCACAGCAAGAGTGTGCCATCAACGCTCTCCCCAAGGAGTGCGGTCTCGATATCACCTGCATCTGCAAGGACAAGGGTTTCTTCGCCTCCGTTGCCTGCTGCATCACCGAGACCTGCAACCTTGAAGAACAGAAGCGTAAGCGCAAAGGTTCCAAGGCGACTGCCCACTCGGATATACTAACGCCTCACACTGCAGAGGTTCTTGAGTCGGCCAAGTCCATCTGTGCACCTGGCGATGTGACTGACCTGCCTCCCTCCATCGTCTGCCCAACCGCCAGCAACCATGTCACCACCGCTACTGTGACTGTCACCACCGCCAGCACTACCAACTCGACTGCTGTGCACGTAGCTCACTGTACCGGTGACCACGGCGATGTCAGTGATTGCAATGCTACACCCACCCTTAGCGGAACTAGCACTGGAGCCACATCCATGATGACAACCCATACCTTGACGTCGACTTACGAGACAACGTTGAGCACCACGACCAGTCACTCTGATGCTTCAACCTCTGCGCCCACGGACTCGGCAACTTCGACTACCGCCAAGGCTACGCATACCGGAGGAGCCGCTGCAATGAACAAAGACGCTTACAAGGCGGCGGCCGGTGCCGTTGCCCTCTTCGCTTTCTTTGCCTAAGCTGGACGGGCTGTTTCCTCCCCACGTTTAAACTTTGTCGCGTATCGTGGCGAGCAATTACCCCTCTGATAGTGGACATCATGGGATTCCGATAAGTGATTTTTCGATTTATGCAACATGCAACATGCAGTATTCATTGCTTCTATGAATGAACCAATATGCAATACCTTAATGATACAGAGGTAGAAGAGTAAGACGCAGCTCTAGTTTTCCTTCGCATCCTCCAGTAATTTTGTCAGTCGATCCTGACGCTCATCACGCAGCGTAACAAAGGCCTACAACCTCATTAGCGGCGAATCTAGTCATAATTCAACACTGGAATTACTCACCCAGAACCACATCATCATCTCCATAAAGGCAAAGGAGAAGACAGTCCGGTTTTTTAATCGGTCAAATCCAGCAATATCAGCAACGGACCCATACTGAGACGCTACAAAATTCCCCTTGCTCTGGTAGATATACACAGCTAGCGCGGTATACGCGAGAATACGGCTCCCGGCAACACTAATCCACACATTCCAGTAGATAGTCAGGGACTTCGCAATATACATCGGGAGTCTCTCCAGCGCACGGAGGTCCTCGGAAGCGAGATTGGGGTTCCGCGTAGGGCGGATATAAGGCATGGCTTCTTGCAGGGCATCGAAGGGGAGGGTGGAGAGGAGGGTGATGTCAACAAGGGCTTCGACGAAGAGGAGTACGGCGCAGAAGATGAAAGGGGATTGCGCGGAACTGGTGGCGGGGGGAAGTCCTATTCCGAGACGTTAAAGACCGCTCAATGATAATCTGTGCCGGTGCCATTGTCGATGATGGGCCCTATCGAGGAAAACGTACGATTCTCAAGGTCTCTCCGAACATAAACACGATGTTGGAATCGGTGATCACCTCCGGGCTCTTGATCAAATAGCCGGCAATGACAACCAGAAGCACCGAATGTGCCTGGATCAGCGTTTTGGACGATATCATCACCATTGTGGCGCGGGAGAGAGGTGGTGGAAGGAGTCGAGAAGGAACGTGGCCCTTGGAAAGGTCTGGTCCGCGCGGACTTAAATGTGGGGAAAGCAAAGCACCCGAGATTCCATTCGATTTCACCCCCACCTTGATCTGCTGTGCGTCGCGACCACTTTGTCTTGTTGATTTCTGTTGATTCTGCGCAGACGGTCAAGAGCCAGTCAAAGCGCTTTATACGAGGGAGCGCCCTCTCCATCAGGCCCGCGCCATGGCTGAACTTTCATTCAATACGGAACGCCATGTGAAATATTACCTCCGCTGCCTCAAGACCTTCCTCCCCGGAGCTTACACTTCGAATGACTCCAATCGCATGCTCCTTGCCTTTTTTATAATTTCCGGATTGGACATTCTCGGGGCCTTGGAAAACAAGACCACCGCGGAGGAGCGACAGGTATACATCGACTGGCTTTACCGATGCCAGGTGCCCACCGGTGGATTTCGTGGGTTTTCCGGCACAGATTTCGGCGAAGAAAGACGCAATGCGGATAATGAGGCGTGGGATCCGGCCAATGTGCCGGCGACATTCTTTGCACTGGTCAACTTGCTGATTTTGGGCGATGATTTGTCGGCTGTGAAGCGGAGGGAGCGTTTACAATGGCTTCCAAAACTACAGCGAGTCGATGGAAGCTTTGGGGAACTCCTCGGCCCTGGAGAAAGGATAGAAGGAGATCGCGACCTCAGATACTGCTGCTGTGCGGCAGGTATACGGTATTTGTTGCGGGGCAAACATGGGAAGGATGTAGAAGACGTCAAGGACATTGATGTGCCGAAATTGGTTTCATTTATCGAGGCTTGTCAGGTGCGCAAATTTTTCTCCTATATGAAGGACAGGCTCATGTTTACTGACAATTGTCTCCGGTGCTAGGCGTACGATGGAGGGATGGCTGAATCTCCCTTTCGTGAACCGCATAGTTCGTACGCCCGTTATCTTTTTCTTTGGCCTTGTTAACCCAGCGCTGCAGGCGGCCATACATATTGTGCAGTTGGATCTCTAGAATTTCTACGTCGGGCAACAGCGGACACTGCATCCTTTCAGTTGCTCTCACCGGGGTCGGAGGAGTTCGAGACGTTGGTTGCGTGGCTGGCGTCACGGCAGACTGGCGAGATCGACTCGGACGATGAAGAAGAAGAGGATGAGGAAGAGGACGAGGACAGCGGCGCAGAAGGGCCGAGTTTACAAGAAGACGGCGGCTCTATAGAGCAGAAGATCCTCTCGCTACCAAACCTCACTCCATTAACTCCAGACTCAATACCGTGCGCAGGGTTCAACGGACGATGTAACAAGGTGGCAGACACGTGCTATTCCTTCTGGAACGGGGCAACACTCATGGTATGTGCAAACAGGACCCCAAAGAAATCCTCGCTAAATAGAGATCAATCCAAGATTCTCGACCGGTATTCGGTAGTTGACGATGTGCGCAATCGGCGATATCTGCTCGAGAAGGTGCAGCATCTCGTGGGTGGCTTTGGCAAAGCGGCGGGTGATCCTCCAGGTAAGGCGACATGGATCCGAGAGGCGAATTCCCCTTTTGACCCAACATTCAACCAGATCTCTTGCACTCCTTTTTTGGCATGGTATCGCTCGCCTTTCAAGGTGAGGCGAGCCTTGGCTGTGTTGATCCGGCGCTGGTGACTACTGAACGGGTCACCCGGCACCTGGCGGCGCTGCCATGGCATGAACAGGCGCCGGTATAATTAGTTCTCGATTAGCTATTGATCCCAGTTATCTGCATGGACTAGAGTGCAGAAGCTTGGAAGGAAGTCCACCTGTAGGACTAGGAATTTTGTTCGCCCAGGGGAGCCTGGGGCAAAAGGGGTGGAACCATGACGATATCACTAACCCAACGGAGTATAAATACTAGGATAAGGTGAGCGCTCGATGAGCCAATGAAGCATCACCGCATGAGACCTGCATCTGGGAAGATAATCTGCGTGAAACATGCGAAACATGCCACGCCCTCCATTACTAGTGGTCCTCTGAGTTCTCGAGTCCAGGGTAGAACAGGGCAAGGCTGCCTGTGCCTGTGCCATTTCAGGGGTTGGATCCCGCGTATGATATAATAAAAAGCTAGTCTGCCCAGGTGCTCCTGAATCAGAAATCAGTGTTGCTCCACTTTGGGTCCACGTTCCCGTTGACGTCTCCAACTTGCATTCTTCCAGGCCCTTGTTTCTCTCCCCGGCAACTTCTCTTGAATGGCCATCATCTCTCCTCCCTCATTCATTTCCCTAGTCGATTGCGATCTCCACCTCCCGGTCCTCCGGAGATCCTTAACACATGCCGCCCCGGACGAGAGCGGGTGTTCATAGCCAGAAACAAAAAGAAAGGTGCGGACTGTGCTGCCTACCCGCCTCAAAACACCGAGCTAACGAGGAGGCCTCCGGGTCGCGTGCTATACAGCTAGCCAACTCCTACAATGAATTACTCGAGTACGTTCCATACTTCTTGGGCTGTCGTGGCCGGGTACTGACTGACGCGTGTGCAGGGAGTTCTCGTCGAAGGACCTTCGGAGCGTGGGCAATTACTCATTAGGGCGTTTAATTGGGAAAGGGTCTTTCGGCAAAGTCTATCTCGCAACGCACAAACTCACCAATGGATCGAAGGTAAAGTCGCCCCGCCTGACCGCAGAAGGCGCCGTGGCTCACAATCAACGCAGGTCGTGCTCAAGTCGTCCTCGAAGGAAGACACCAATCTCGCCCGCGAAATCCACCACCATCGCCAATTCCTCCACCCCCATATCGCACGACTCTACGAAGTGGTCGTTACGGAAAATCTAGTGTGGCTGGTTTTGGAATACTGCCCTGGTAGGATCGACTCTGCATAGTCGGATGGAACGTGGGCTGATCTGTTTGCTTTCTTTTTTTTTCCCTCTTTAGGCGACGAACTCTACAACTACCTTGTGCGCCACGGCCCTCTTCCTGTCGAGAAAGTCAAGCGTATATTTACACAGCTGGTTGGAGCGGTGGCATATGTGCACAGTAAGTCATGTGTACATCGGGATCTGAAATTGGAGAACATTCTGCTGGACAAGAACGAGAACGTGAAACTATGCGATTTCGGGTTTACGCGCGAGTACGAAGGCAAGGCGAGCTATCTCCAGACATTCTGTGGGACGATATGCTACAGTGCACCGGAAATGCTGAAGGGGGAGAAATACGCGGGGGAGAAGTGGACGTGTGGAGCTTGGGAATTATCCTCTATGCGCTGTTGGCTGGCGAACTACCATACGACGACGACGACGACCAGGTCACGAAAAAGCGGATCTTGTCCGAGGACCCAACCTACAACGACAAGTTCACCGAGGAAGCGAAGTCGTTGATTAACCTTCTTCTCTCGAAGCGACCCTTGATTCGCCCCAGTCTGGAAGACATTCTTGCCCATCCGTTCCTCTCAGAGCATGCGCCCGAACAGCTCGCTATTCTCAAAATCCCATCCCCCTCGCCTTTCACCACCCCGCTCGAAAAAACCACCCTACAGCGCATGAAAAGTGCGGGCGTTAATATCGATGAAGTGATTGAGAATGTTCTAGCCCAACGATGTGACCCGCTCGCTGGATGGTGGGCCTTGTTGATTGAAAAGGAGCAACGGAAGGAAAAGAAGCGCGAACGTAAACGCAAGGAGCGGGAAGCAGAAGCAAAGACTATCCGCCGTCTCAGCGCAGCCAGTAGCCGGATGGAACGACTTTCAACAGCTTTGATGGAAGTGGACGAAGAAGGGCATGCCAACTCGGACAGCCAGCTCCATGAGCGTGGACGTCGAGACAGAAGAAGCTTGCCCTCTCAACTGGCAGTGCCAGAGCTTCCAGCCCTCCCTGAACCAGTTCCGGGAACATCCCCGGATAATAGCGCTCCACCCACGCCTCTAGACAAGGTCTCTGTTCGCTCCGCTACGTCTCTGCGCAAGCGACCTGTTCCCCCGCCGAAAGACAAGAGACGCTCCAGGCCCAGTATGCTGCATGTTAGTGCCTCGCAGCCAGAACTGGCACAGCATCACGGTATCTTTCGTCGTCGAACAACCCGTCGCCATAACCCGATCATTAGCCAGCTTGCGTCTTTGAAACACTGGTTCGTGGAATCGGCCAAACGAGCAAGATCGCCAAATGCGAAGTCATCTGGGACCCGCAAGTTCACCGAGAAGTTCAGCCCTTCGAAAAGCCAAGACTCTGGGAGAAAGTCTGCCGCCTTATCGCCACAAGTGCAAACGCCCACCGAGCTGACCACTCCGACTCAAATCAAACGGATCTCGAATGCCAGTAGCCTGGCCCCGAGTAGTGCTTCTTACCGCCAGAATCGCCATTCCTATCCTCGCCAACCGCGGCAGTTGAATACTAGCCATTCAAGCAACCGTAACTCTCTCTCGCCATCGCCGATTACTCCTCGTGGGTCATATAGACGCTCTTCTGTTGGCCTACGAGGCCGGAAATCTACATCTTCCTCTGTCTCATCCATCCGCAGCATTCACCACACCCGCGCACACTCGAAAGCCTCGTCCGTCTCGTCCAATAGCATGGATACCATCCACACGCCCACAGCCCGTATCTCACGGTCTCCTCACTCTTCCATTAAGGTCCTGCCAACCACACCAGGTGCCTCTTCACGGTTCCCGAGCAATATCCGTCTGGTACGTGGGCCTGGTGGTCCGTCCAGAGATATCGGCACTGGCGCTGTCCAAACACAACCGCCGCCATCAGCTTTCAACGAAGCTGCTCCGGGTCCAATGCTCTTCTCGCCATCCTCCAGTCTGGTTTTTGCACGGAGGAAACGATCTGCCTTCAAAGGACCCATGGGGCCTACGGTTCAGACAGTGAATCTCATGGGCTCTGGTGGACCAGTATACTCTCCTGTGTCAGGACCGACTGCAGAGGCCGGCGAGCCGAGCTTGAAGCCGGAGCGCGCTGTTGCCCGGAAGAGTCAGATCATCGAAGAAGAGGAAGACGATGAATTCCTGGAAGAGGAGATCGAAGAGGTCGACGAGTTCGATGGCCCTGAGGATCCCGGTGAGCTAGAATTAGCCGTGCCTATAGCAGATCCGCTCGAGGATCTTGCTGAAGGTCCTGAGGCCACTGAGAAGGTGGAGGCCGAGACTGAAGCGGATTCTGGATCCGTTCGAAAATTCGGTCTAGACCCTGCTCCAGAGCTGACCTCCACTCCAATACGACCTCCCCGCTCGTCCTCCCCTGCGCGACCCTCCTGCCCAAGCCACGGCAGAAATTACAGAAGTGGTTGGAACCGACGTGGCTCCAGAAGCCGGCGCAAAAACCAAATCTGACGGCGATGCTCCTGATGACTCGGCACCAAAACCTGCCCCATGAACGATTCGCTGTGCATTCTACAGGCATCTCCTGTTTACGATCTGTTTCCTTAATTTGCTAGACGGTAGAGCTGTTTTGTGTTTATATTTATACCCCCTTGTTTGCGTCTTCACACACCCCGTGTCCAAATTTTCCTCTGGCATTTCCTTTCCGAAAGCGTCTCAATAGTCGTAGCCATCCAAAACTGGCTATGTGTCACTCACTCCTGTTTCCCTTTTCTGCTCCCTACAGCACCCGCTCCCTCTCGAGATTCCTCCTGTAACAGTGCTTGTCATGCCTACCATTCTCCTTCCTCTCGAACCAAAAGCGGTTATACATACCCAGCAATAGAGTCATTAGTAATTCGATTTATAGACGACGTGATATAATCACTTTGAAATTCACTCTGTACACTACGTTCCACCTTAATATCACAGCTTAAAGAGCCTGCCAATACTTCCAGGGCTCCTACCGAACCGAGTGTACTGTTGCATCAGCAGCAGCCTTCTCAGTATCTCCCAAGGCCTCCTCATCCTTGATATTCTCACTCTGAAGCCCGACGGTACTCTCTCCTACCTTATCAACAGTGATACGGTAGGAAGGGACAAAATTGACCGCAACAGCATAAGTCCACGCAACAACCATGAACTGCAAATCGTTAGCTACACCCATACCAAACCCCACAAGCCAACATACCATAGTAGGCACAATCATCGCAAATCCCGTATCATTGCGCAGATCAGCCACATGCCCCAGAATAGGCGGCACCACCGCGCCGCCACACACACCACCGACAATAAACCCCGAGCCACGCTTATAATGTCTGCCCAAGCCGCGAATGCCCAGCGCGACAATTGTCGGGAAGCACACCGACTCAAAGAACAGCGTCAGAAACAGCATCGCTGGAGAAGGTCCTCGTCGTCGCGCTGAAGATCGGGACCGTCGAGCCCGTCGTGCACAATGCCATGGCGGACAGACTGGCGCTGATCCCGGTGACTCTGCCCTCGACGCGGTTCCGAGAACAAATGACATGTCGGGTCTGGGCGAAAGAGGCGCTGTTCGTGCTAGATGATGAGGGGTATCTGACTTTGGGGGCGGGGTTAGCGGATATCGAGGCCGAGGCCAGACATTTGGGGATTATTGGGAAGAGTAAATGTGAGAGGAGAGTGGTTCAGAGCAAAGCTTTTGTGGCGTGATGCTATACTATTAAGGCTCAAGGGGGGGGGTGATATGTTCGGATTAATGTGTACAGGCTCGAGGTACAACCATTCGAATCTTTTCTCTTTTCTATGTTGCTTATGCAGATTGGGAAACAGAAGGGTGTACATTGGTATGGGAGGTGGATAGGAAAAGGGAACACAATTGGGAATGAACCTTTCGTCTGATTATGATAGACAGAAGTTTATTCCCGAGGTCTGCGATGCCATATTTCTCAGCCTCGGCAGAAGCAGGAAAATGAGCGAACCGATCGCAAAAGCATATAAACCGTAAATTCGTTCTTTACATGAAGTCATCGTCTCCCAGGCCGTCATCATCACCGTAGTTGTTGTTGTCGATCTGGTTGTCCCGGTTCGCGTTAAGGGAGACCTTGGTCTTCGCAGCCTTGGTTTTCTTGTTACCCTTATCCGCCGCACGCTCCTCACGCATCTTTTCATTACTAGCGGTGGTCAAAGCGCTAGCAATCTTCTTGATCTCCGTACTAGGCAGCTCCTTAACAAGACGACGGGTGAACTCCTGCGCCCAAAGAGAGTACTGCGGCTTCTTGGAGTGGGGCGTGAGAAGTGGAATGAGGGTATCCGAAAGACGAGTAAATTGGTCCTTGGTAGTAGGCTTGAAGAGTGGCATGGCAGACAAATCGATGGACTTCGTTGGATCCGTACTGTCGTTCACAACGACGGCCTTAGGGGCACCGCGGTTACGGGCCAGATCGATGTCGTCAAAGAGGTCAGTCGCGTGTTGCAGGTCGGAGTCCTTCTCAGTGCGGCGTAGACGCTCGCGGCGTTCAGCCTCGGTCTCGTCAGCGTCGAAATCCGCGTTCGCTTCCGCCTCGCGGCGCCGTTGCTCGCGGTGCTCTTCTATCCGCTGCGCCTTGGACTTCTTGTTGGCCTCGGCGGCAGCTTTGGCAGCGGCGGCGGCAGCCTCAGCCTTCTTGGCCTTCTCACGCTCTGCTTCGGAGTCATCGGCGGCGTCCCATGAATCAAGGACCTGGAGGTGATCGTGTCAGTTTGGTCCTTCTGGATGCGCCATATGGACTTGTGAGGGCGAAATTGTGTTTGCGAAAGCCTTACATCCTCTTCTTCCTCGTCATCGAATCTGCGGCGGGGAGCGGCAACGGGAGGAGGGGAGTCGCTCTCCTCCTCGTCATCTGTAAATCGAAGACTGTCAGAGATGTTTTTCCAAAGCGCGGCAGGAGATTTGCTATCGCGGGGCACAATGGAGGGGCAAGCTGCTAATCGCGAAGGATAAGGACATACCCCACTTTGAAGGTGGCATATCGTAGGCAAGATCGATAGGAATTCAAGAGAAGCTCTCCAGAGGACCAGACCAAAATAAACGCCCGCGAAACCTTCGATCTAAGGAATGGAGGGGAGGCAAATTTTATGTGGGACACAGATTATCGCGGGTGGGTACACGTGACCTCGGACCTGGTGCCCGATGAACCTATTGAACACAGTGTGAAGCTTTTTACAGAGAAAGTGAAGGTATTCCTCGGCGTTATACTATCCTGCTCCAGGCGAGTGGTGTTGCAAATGATATCTTAATTGGAACATATTAAATTCATAATCATAATTGACGGCGTTTTACCCACGGGTTACTAAACCATCCATGCTTTAGTTATCTTTTGTTTTTGTCGTCAGGCTCCCAGCCCCGCCGTCATTAGCGACATTTACAGGTTGACCGACTTGCGGAAGTTAGCACCGGCGTAGACAGCGTTGGAACCGAGCTCCTCCTCGATACGGAGGATCTGGTTGAGCTTAGCAAGACGCTCGGAACGGGCAGGAGCACCGGTCTTGATCTGGCCAGCACGCAGACCAACAGCGATGTCAGCGATGGTGACATCCTCAGTCTCACCAGATCGGTGGGAGACCATGACACCCCAGCCATCGGCGTAGGAGTCCTTGGCGGCCTGGATGGACTCGGTCAGAGTACCGATCTGGTTGACCTTGAGGAGGAGGGCGTTGCAAGACTTGAGCTCGATGGCCTTCTTGATACGGAGAGGGTTGGTGACAGTCAAGTCATCACCGACAATCTGGAAGTCGGAGGTCTTGTAGAAGTAGCTCCAAGCCTCCCAGTCGTCCTCAGCGAAGGGGTCCTCAATGCTGACAATGGGGTACTTGGCAGCAAGCGACTTGTACAGATCGGCGAGCTGCTCGTAGGTGAGCCACTTGGAGGGGTCACTGTCGGGGTTCTTGAAGTCAAGGTCGTACTTCTTGACATCAGCTTTGTAGAACTCGCTGGAGGCAACGTCCATGGCAATGTGGATCTTGCCAGTGTAGCCGGCCTGCTCAATGGCCTCAGTGATCAGGTCCAGAGCCTCCTCGGCGGTCTGGATATCGGGAGCGACACCACCCTCGTCACCAACGTTGCCAGCGGACTGGCCGTACTTCTTCTTAGCAAGAGCCTTGAGCTTCTGGTAGACCTCAGCACCCTGGCGGAGACCCTCGGAGAAGGAAGCAGCAGTGCTATTGACGAGGTTGTGAGTGTGATGAACGAGGCAAGAAATAATGGTGGGGAGGGAGGGGAGACATTGCTTACTCGGGAACAATCATGAACTCCTGGAAGGCCAGACGGCCACCGGCGTGGGAACCACCGTTGAGGACGTTCTGGAAGGGAACGGGGAGCACGTAAGGCTTCTTGGTTCCAGCGAGGTCCGAGACGTGGGCGTAGAGAGGGACACCCTTCTCAGCGGCAGCAGCCTTGGCAACCGCCAGACTGACACCGAGGATGGCGTTGGCACCAAGGTTGCCCTTGTTGGCCGTGCCATCGAGCTTGTTCAGGAACTCATCAACCTTGGCTTGGTCCTTGACATCGATGTTCTCCTTGATGAGGGCAGGGCCAATGATCTCGTTCACGTTCTTGACGGCCTTGGTGACACCTGGTTGAAAATCGACGATTAGTATGCAGTCAATCGCCAACCCGGACTAAGACAGATACTACTTACCCTTACCACCCCACTTGGACTTGTCGCCATCACGGAGCTCAACGGCCTCGTGCTGACCTGTAACACTGTTAGATTGCGCATTGCTTTGATTGGGACTTGGGAAAGATACATACCGGTGGAAGCACCGGAAGGGACAATGGCACGGTGCAGACCGTGGTCAGTGACAATGTCGACCTCGACGGTAGGGTTACCACGAGAGTCGTACACGGAGCGAGCGTGAACCTTGGAGATAGGCATTTTGATATTGGACAGGCTGATGGAAGAAAACGGATCAGTCAGTTGCAAGGAGGAAAGAGAGGAAGGAGGGGATTTATGGCTAGCTGCGCCGCGTGACTAACGGCGGGGTGGGTTCACCGATGACCCAAACAGAATTGGGCGGACGGTGAGGAGGATTGGGAAGGGCTGATTTGCTTGAGCTCCTGAGATGGGGCAATTGACCACCGCAGGACACAAGCAGGAAGAAGAGGACCTCTGGTTGGATCCTCCCTCCTGGGAGTATTGCGTTTTGGACTTGGGAGCTCAAGGGAGGGGCATATGGCGGGGTATGATGTATGCGCGCATATGGAGTCTTGGGACTAGGGAGTATATAGGGAAGCTTACCTGGGGATAAACAAGCAAACAATTATAACAGAAAGAAAACTACGAGTACGGAAGGCCCCCTACTCTTAAATACGTTGGACCTTTCCAAGCAACCCCGGCAATGGCAAGACGCGGGCCTCCGATTCTTTCCAAAGGTGGTGGGGCGCCACGGCCTCCTCCAGCGCTTGCTGGCTGATCCCGACCCCCGTGTGGCCATGTTCTGCGAGATCTTCCGTTCCTCGGATGTATGATGTGATGCTTATCGGGTCTGGAGCAATTTCCAGGTTATGGACTCTTAGCCGCTAAGCAGCTAAGCAGCTCATATGTTCCTATTTACTAGCCAGCAGCTTGCTCAAAGCTGTCGACCAGATGTAGAATAATGTGCGAAATGTTACTGTATTTCAGGGTGATTTTTCTGTGGAATTCCCAGATGCAGCCAGCAGTCTTCTAGCCGAGCCATTGGTCGGATGATACTCGATGTTGCATTGCTTGGCCAACGTGCTGCAGATGAATGACGAAGACAGAACGGATGCGTGGCTGCACGTGATGGAAACCTTGTGGCCTGTGTGCCTGAAAAATATCGATGCCGCAAGGTTCTCTCCCCTTGGTGCCTCGACACCTCGACACCTCAAGCTGACCCGATCACATAAGCCGATGATGCAGATCACGTGGTAGCTATCATGTGACTGTGTTGCCAGCTGCTCGCGCGGTGCTTGGATGCGTGTGAAGCTCCCCAGATCCGACCAGTTCTGCGTTCCACCATCACCGCACCTTCATCATAGACTCCTCCGGAGCTGTTGATTCCATCCCACAGCATTCTCCTATCAACTACTTCAACCCGATCATCCCTCTTCGGTCTCTCGGTCCCGCCCATTGGTCATCATGAGCGGCACCGACCCGGAACGAGACCAGGCGCTCGAAGACTATAAAAAGACCTTGCTTGAGCTGCGAGAATGGGAGTCCAAGCTGCGGTCGCTGCGGCTGGGCATCAAGGACTTGCAGCGAGAATTTGATGTTTCAGAAGAGAACATCAAGGCGCTACAAAGTGTTGGCCAGATAATCGGTGAAGTGTTGAAGCAGCTGGACGAAGAGCGATGTACGTTGGAATATCATCCTTGAAGCCCTCCTCACTCTGGGAGTTCGGGCATGCAATTTACTGACCATAACAGTCATTGTCAAAGCATCCTCAGGGCCAAGATATGTCGTCGGCTGTCGGTCAAAGGTCGACAAGGCCAAGATGAAGCAAGGAACCCGTGTCGCCCTCGATATGACCACACTCACCATCATGCGGATGTTACCCCGCGAGGTCGACCCACTGGTCTACAACATGTCTTTGGAGGATCCCGGTTCGGTCAACTTTGCTGGTATTGGTGGTCTGAATGACCAAATCCGAGAGCTTCGGGAGGTCATCGAACTGCCATTGAAGAACCCGGAACTGTTCCAGCGAGTGGGTATCAAGCCGCCTAAGGGTGTTCTGCTCTATGGGCCGCCAGGAACGGGTAAAACATTGCTCGCACGAGCGGTGGCCAGCTCTTTAGAAACAAACTTCTTGAAAGGTATGTCGGTTTTGAATCGCCTGACGGCATGCGTCTAACTAGTTCATCTCTATAGTTGTCTCATCTGCTATCGTCGATAAATACATTGGTGAGAGTGCCCGACTGATCCGTGAGATGTTCGGCTACGCCAAGGAGCACGAGCCCTGTATTATCTTCATGGACGAGATCGACGCCATCGGCGGTCGACGTTTCTCGGAGGGTACCTCGGCGGATCGAGAAATTCAGCGAACCCTCATGGAACTGCTGAACCAGCTCGATGGATTCGATTACTTAGGGAAGACCAAGATCATCATGGCTACCAACCGACCGGATACCCTCGACCCGGCCTTGTTGCGTGCCGGTCGTCTGGATCGTAAGATCGAGATTCCCCTGCCTAATGAGGTCGGCCGTCTTGAGATTCTGAAGATTCACTCAAGCACGGTGCGCCTGGAGGGGGATATTGATTACGAGAGTGTGGTGAAAATGAGTGACGGTCTTAACGGAGCCGATCTTCGTAACGTCGTGACGGAAGCGTGAGTGTCCCTTCCCTGTCGAATGACTTTCCCATCTAACAAGGTATTAGGGGTCTGTTTGCCATCAAGGATTATCGAGACGCTATCAACCAAGACGACTTCAACAAGGCAGTCCGCAAGGTTGCGGAGGCCAAGAAGCTGGAGGGCAAGTTGGAGTACCAGAAGCTGTAATAGTATCTTCTATCTGAGCGGGTTTGCACCGTGAAATGCCAGGGATTTGCATGAGAAAGCGGTATTCGGCGCTGCCATGGTAGACGTAGATTCATAGCATTGATATCATAATATCAAGAAACATCCCATACTGAGGCAATAGATATGTTACTCGTAGATCGCACCGTAGATAATCTCGTGGTTTGGATTTACTTTACCAAGCGCGATGTGACTGCGATCCACCTAAGCGCGACCCGTTCTCCACTTCCCCGACTCCGACGCCAAAAACACCTCCAAGGTTTCGCTTGAATTCCTCTCTGAAAATCGCTCTGACTCTTGAGATCCCGGATCCAAGGTCGCTAGGGCTACCTTCAGCTTCAGCAGCTGTATCAGGCCCCAGCTCGCAAGGCACGGCGTCGGTAACTCGTCGTTACTGTAAAGCACACCGTGGCATTTGGGAACCCCCCTCAACTACGTGTTTGACAAGGCAATCGAGCCTACAACTCCGAAGTCTCTATAATAATATAGAGATTTGTCGGTAGGTTGATCCCACGATTGTCTAAAACTGCCTGTCAGCTCAATAGACTGATAGTTACCTACAATTAGGCCGGTCACAACGCTAGGGGACGAACCCTGCCTTCCAGGGCAATCCTGACATCGAGACTCGTTTGCGAACAAGACCGTCCATTCGTCCAAAAACTCGTTCAGATGCACTTAAGCTAGGCGGCTGCAGAACCAATACGTTTGGACAAGAGTGGTCACCGGCAGCATGGCTTTCCAGTCGCAACGATCCATTCCCTCCTCCAGCCCACGGAGCGGCCTGGCTGGTCTCGGCCTATCCTCCAAAGCCGGTGGCATTTTCCATACCGAGCGCACCCTCCCCATGTACAAAGACAAACCGTACTTCCAGCCCCGGCGGACTGCTCCTAGGCGAGGGTGGAAGAGGGCTTTCGGCGTGCTTGGTATTTGTACACTAGGACTTTTCTGGTTTCTCTATACCTCGAAGGATCTATCGGTTGTGCAGGTTCCCGAATCGAGCGCAGCTGATAAGGGCGCTGAGCTTTGGAGTTGGATGCAGACGCTGAAGGACGAGAAGCCGGTCAAAAAGCCCGATTGGAATGCGCGCCGGGAGAAGGTGCGCGATACTCTGATCGTTAGCTTTGACGGCTATGAGAAGAACGCGTGGGGTATGCAACGATGTAAATCGCTTTGTGGCGATCGCAGCTAACCGTGCAGCAGGTTACGACGAGTATAGCCCTATATCTAATCGCCATAGGAATATGGTTGAAGGCGGATTAGGCTGGATGATTGTAGACTCACTCGACACTATGATTATCATGAATCTGACCTCCCAGGTCCGACATGCTCGGCAGTGGATTGCCACTTCGCTGAGATACGATCAAGATCACGACATCAGCACCTTTGAAACCACCATTCGCATGCTCGGTGGCTTGTTATCTGCGCACTATCTTTCTACCCAATACCCTAATCTTGCTCCGATCGCTGACGACGACGCTGGAGCTGCTGGAGAGGACCTGTACATTGAGAAAGCCACTGATCTTGGGGATCGCTTGATGTCCGCGTTCGACACACCCACGGGAATTCCATATTCTAGTGTCAACCTCAACACATCCAAGGGGCTTCGTTCTCATGCCGATGGCGGTGCAGCCTCCACTGCTGAGGCAACATCGGTTCAGCTTGAGTTCAAATACTTGGCCAAACTGACTGGAGAAGCTGAATACTGGAGAATTGTCGAGAAGCCCATGGAAGCTGTGGATAAGCAACATCCAACGGATGGTCTTGTCCCTATCTATATTCACCCCGACACCGGGCAGTTCCGGGGGAACAACATTCGGCTCGGTAGCCGCGGGGATTCATATTATGGTATGTTGTAATGTGAAATTGCTTTGGAAACACATGCTAATTCTAATAGAATACCTCATCAAGCAATACTTGCAAACCTCAGAGGAGGAACCCATCTACAAGGAAATGTGGGACGAGTCGCTCCGGGGTATTCGTAAGCATTTGCTCGCTTTCTCCAAGAACGCCCAGCTGTTGGTCCTGGGCGAGCGACCCAACGGGCTTGAAGGCTCCCTTTCTCCCAAGATGGACCACCTCGCCTGCTTTATGCCAGGAACAATCGCACTGGGTGCCACCGGCGGCCAACTTCTCTCTGAAGCACGAAAGTCCTCCGATTGGACCCAACAGCGCGAAGAGGAGATCTTCATCGCTCGCGAGCTTATGAAGACCTGCTGGGCGACATACAAGAAGACTGCCACCGGCCTCGCTCCCGAGATCTCACATTTCGTCTTCAAGGACATGCCGACCATGATGGGCGACAAGTACCCTGACCCTGCGGCCTCCAAGGGTAGTGCACCCCATGAGCTGCGCAGTATCTCGCTCCCACTGGAGCCTCTCAACGATGGAAGCGAGCCTTGGCGCGACGATATTGACATCCACCGTATGGACCGGCATAATCTGCAGCGCCCGGAATCCATTGAGTCGCTCTTCTATATGTACCGTATCACCGGCGACGAGATGTACCGCGAATGGGGATGGGAGATGTTCAAGTCCTTCATCCAGCACACGGCTGTCGTCGAGAAGGGCATCGCTGATGCCGACGCTCCCATCACTGGACGAATCAAGAGCTTTACTTCCCTCGACAACGCGGACGCGATCCCGCCAAACCAGCGCGATAACATGGAGAGTTTCTGGATGGCGGAGACGCTCAAATATTTCTACCTCTTGTTTTCTGACCGCGATTTTATCTCCCTTGAGGACCATGTGTTCAATACCGAGGCGCACCCTTTACCGCGCTTCAAACCTTCTGGAGAACTTACCACGGGCTGGAAGCGCAGTGTCAGGAATAGCCTTTTTTTTCTTTTTCTTTTTCTTTTTCTTTTTTTTGGGAAAGATCAGAACAGCGTAGATGCCGAGTGTCTCTATACGAGCTATCACAGATCTTCTCTTCATTTGTACTTAGCTGCCACAGCAACGATTAGGCGTGGCAAAAATAAAATACTTCCTAATGTCATGTTTCCATGTTACATTCATATACCAGAGAACACCACTCAAACCAGACCAGCCGTCTCTCTCTCAAGAGCAGCCGCAATCAACTTCTTGTACCCAACAACCGCATCCTTCAACTCACCCACGGTCAGCGCCTCGTTATCGCCATGCGCGACAAAGATAGTCCCAGGTCCATACAGATACCTCTTCACCCCCTCCTTAACCTGCAGTGCCGGCACATCGGTCCCATAGTTGACCGGAATGACATCGAACCCGGGGACATCTGTATCCAGATCCTGCGGCTCATACGCCTCCAGATGATGACTGAAGTCAACCACGACCTCCGCCTCAACATCAGCCGTCACGTTAGCCACCGCCTCGCGAATGATCGCCCGCGCCTCCTCCGGCGTCCCCGCCGCTAGACGCACAGAGACATCAGCCCACGCTTCCGACGGGACGACATTCGTCGCGACGCCGGCGCGCACCACGCCCACATTCAGCGTGGTCTGCCCGTATTTCGGCGACGAGGGAGCCCGCCTTCGCTGGCGGGGATCGAGCCGAGCTGGTCGACGCGGGTCAAGGCGGGCAGGATCGCGGAGACAGCGCTCTTGCCCAGCCAGGGGTAGCCTGAGTGGGCGGCTTTGCCGTGCGCGTAGACCTCGAAGCCGACCATGCCTTTGTGGCCGGAGACCAGGGCGGCCTCGGTGGGCTCGCCGAAGATGACGGTGTGGTAGGTGCCTTCCGTGTTGAGGGTTGAGCGGGAGAAGGTCTTCATGCCGTCGCCGCCGATTTCCTCGCCGACGACGAAGAGGAGGCCGAGGCTGGCGGAGGGGTTAGCCGCGAGGGTTTCGAGGGCGGCGAAGATTTGGGCGGCGACGCTGGCTTTTGCGTCGACGCTGCCGCGGCCGGCGATGATGAGGTCGTCGGTGTGCTGGGATGAGGTGTCGGGCTGGCGCACGGAGTAGGGGATGAATGGGGGGACGGTGTCGATGTGGCTGGTGAGGAAGACGGAGGGCTTGTCGGGGTGACCGTTTGGATAGGCGTAGATGTTGGAGCGTGGGTTGGGGTCGGTCTCCTCATCGTAGCTCTCATCGGTTTCAACATCCTTTGCCTTCACAGGAGGGACAGCTTGCTTCACGACCGTGAAGTTCTGTTCTCGGAGGAAGTCCGCGAGGAAGTTACTTATGGCATGTTCGTTGCCGGAGATGGACTCGATCTTGATGAGGTCTCTGTGGAAAGAAAGCAGCGGGTCTTTGCTAATCACGTCCTCAGGTCGTAGCTCCTCATTATTTGGGCTTGCAAGACTTGGTGGTGCGGGCGAGACGAGTGTGTCTAGCACTTGTTGCTGGTATGCGGGGTGCGGAGAAGCTTGGGTGGTGGCAATGACCGCGCTGGCCGCCAGGTACCAAGTGAGCTGCATGGGAGCAATTGGAAGTTCAATCAGCTCCAAATGCGAATGTCAGCTTGAAAGCCTTCCGCTACGGAAAGCTGTAGATATATACGGCGTATGATTCGGGAAGAGCTGGGGTGGGAGAACAGCGGTGGAGTCGAGGATCCAGGGATCGAGGAATGCCCCGGTGGGGGCCAGCGGTTTGACTCATCACAGCATATCCGGCCCTATGCACATATGTGAACCCCGACCTGGCTCCTCACTATATCATGATGGGGCATTCGAGTGGGCTGGGGTGAAGCGCGTGCTTACAACAAGGGTGCCAAAACGGAATTTGAAGGAACCAGCAAGGCTTGGATGCCCTAAGTAGACCACTCAGCTATGATGGAATGACGTGAGTAGTTCATGGTATGGCTCTGGTATATTGCGTCAGAAAAGCTGCCCCTGGAAAATAGGTTCGGTATTATGGTCTTTTACAATCTCCCACTGTCATGGAGTATGCTTTGAATGAAATTGTCAGTAGCCCCCGGAAAGGTCTACTAGTACTGAGGTGACAGCTGGCACGGGATGAATGTGTTACCAATTCGAGTATACCGATGTGAAATTACATTTCCATTGGAGTAAAACAAAGCTGAAAAGTAATTCTAGTGGTCAGTCTAATCAAAATAGTGCCGCACGACAGGCGAATGCGTGGTATTCCCATACGCAGAGCCTCCATAAGTAAGGTAGCCAGCGTCCACCGGACTAGATTGTGCTAGAATATCTTTTCGGTCCCCGTACATGAAGACAGTCTGCATCCCCATCACCATATGCTGAAGGATATGGCAATGGTACATCCATACACCGGCATCCGTCACCCGGATACGCCACGCCCGCCAGCCAGACGGCTCCAGGGGCTTGGTCTTCTGGTGATAACGGTACAGCACGGAAGTGTCGCGAAGAACCGGATGGGCAGACTTGAGCTTCTCTTCATTGGCGGTTTCGTTGTACTTCCCGTCTCCTCCGCCGATATCAAAGACGTGTCGGCCGTGGGCGTGGAAGGGGTGGACATCCAGGCCTCCGTTTGTGAAAGTCCCTTGGTTTTGCCAGACGATTTCAAGGACTTCCCCTACATTGGCGGGGAAGGTGCGGGTAATATTGTCGAATCCGTTGCCGCGGGAGATTGCGCGTTCGTACGTTTCCTCGGTGTCGAGTTTGCCGGTGTAGATGTCGACCAGGTATGGTGATTTGGGGAAGCTCTGGACCCGATCGTAGCCGTTTTGCAGCCAGATCGTATGGTCGCTGACGTTCTGGTGGACATCGATAATGATTCTGCGGGTGACTTCTTCGAGTGTAGGGAAGCCTTTATTTTCTTGCAGAGGCTCGAGCTCGTAATCCAGCCAGCCTTCGACGATCTTCGCTTTGGGAAGTGGTGGCCTGGAGGGCACCGTTCTCAAGTCCGCTTTCTTTCCTCCCGAGTAGTTGAGAACAGCAAAATTGGTCAGAGACTCTGGCCTTTCCAGCGTGGTGAGCTGGATGTAGAATTGGCGACTGTTGAGTTTTTTCAGCTCCTCTTCAGACTTTGCGGTTAGAAGGACACTGTATCTCTGACCACTTCCGATTTGTAAGAAGGTTGTTCTAAGAGGCTTGGTATAGTGGCCATCCGCTTCGATGATCTGCACATCATGACTCTCAATGGCAAGCGAGATGAACGACAGAGCGGTCGCCCCGATAAATCTCAAGCGATACGACAAGCCTGGCTCGACGGAAATGGAGCCTAATTGGCACGACCCGGTGGCATTGGTTGCCTGGCGACTTTGGCCGTTCACTAAGAGGGCCTTGGTTTCTCCACTCCACGTGAAGTTGGTCGAGGTCAAACCGTCAACGATTTCCTTGTCAGTCTTGTTGAAGAAGTCTGATAGTAGAAGGGTGCGTTCGGCATCGTAATGGTACGGTCGGTCGTGCGAATCGACGATGAGAGCACCGTTCGCAGATACGGCCTGGAATCCGACGTGGGAATGATAGAAATAGGTTCCAGCAGACCCAATTTCGGGTTTGACTTCGTAGTCGAAAAAGTGACCAGCGGGGATGGGCCACTGGCTTGCTGCCGGGGTGCCGTCAGAGAAAGGAGCAGTGAATGCAGTGAGACCATGCCAATGCTGTTCTCCTGTCAGTAAGAATGTTGAGAACAACCTTTCAAGACATCGGCTTACAATGGTAGTATTCTCATCCTTCATGTCGTTATAGACGCGGATCCAGTTCACCTGCCCCTCTTTCAGGCGTAGCTCCGGCCCTGGCGACGTTCCATTGACCAGAACGGAATATCTGGTCGTACATGCTGCTGTGTAATTCTGAGCGGTTACTCGAAGAATATGATCGGGCCGAAAGGCCGCATCATGATGGACGAGTGTTGCAAGGGATGATGTCGCGAAGGCGAGCAACGCGACCACGCCACTCAGTATACCTCGTACCCTGAGACATCGCGTAGGCTCCTTGTCTTTCGTTGAGCCGAGTCAGCTGCGACAAGGCGAATGCACTGATCTACTTAAGGCCAAAGTGCAATTCCAAAGCGATCCAAACATCGCCCTCGAAGGTTAATTTGATTCAAAGTTGGGATCGGCGCTATTGATTTCCGCGTTAAGCGCACGATGGCCGTCATTGCCGGCCTGAATGTCTTGACTCGTTCGCGAGCTCGTTACCATACAGGGATATCTATCGGCAGTAATAAGTCCTTGACACATTCCAAGGTTGTGTTCTTCTGATAGCAGGGTATGAAGAAGTGTTCCATGAATAGATTTGACCCGCCTCACCAGTATGGACCCGCGTACGGATAATGTTGATCACCAAGCGAACCTTCGCGGATTCAAGAATCGAGCTGGTAAGGGGCACAGCGCAGATGAAGAACGAACCAGCGCCGTTCCAATAGATCCAATAGATCTGGGGATCAATGTGAGGCCGCATTGCCCGCCTGACGCAAGCTTCTGTTCGACCACCCTGCGTAATCGATAATAGAAGTTCCTGCAGCTATCGGGACTGCCAAGGACTTGGTCGTATTTTGGATCCTGATGCTTCGCTTTCCACGTGCCAATTCCCGCGGGGACACTTTCGCACTTTTCAGCCGTAGCCTGTGAAGCTTTGACGGGTAGCGTATTCCGAGCTTCGAGCGTATTCGCATCCAAGGATCTTTACTATCACGCAAAGGACCACGAGCTACAGACTTGCGGAACCAGATTGCAGTGGCGGCCTCGGCCTCAGGCTCCCCCAGTCACATACTACCATAAAATTATATTATCGCGGTGACGCTATTCGTCCACTATATCTTCATCTGGTATGATAGGCAATAGTTCCCCGGACTATGAATACGCTCAATGGTGCATCGAGTCTTGGCTACTTCTCCGAGCTCAAATCTGATCAACTTCTACTAGAAATACATTTTTTACCGGAAAGGAAGTAGAAGTATGGCTTGCTAGTGGGTATTCAATCATGATATGTTATCTTTATACGCCATGCCTGGACATCTTGTAATGGAGCTGTTCCTGGTGTGAATCTGACATAGTAGCAGTATCTCCCGGCATGCGAGCCAACAACCCCTCAATTCAATCAAATCCTAAGATCCTTCATAAAATCCTTTGGTTCGGGAGCCCACAAGCTATACTCGTATAGGAAAAGACAAAGCGGGAAAGAACAGATTCCTCTTTAGATAATCTGTAGGCCTGAGTGTTGAGACCAAGTTCTTGTAAGGAAGTAAATGCCATACGGAGTGGACGATCCGTGAAAGTAGCGATTATGGTGGCTCAGGGGGTAAGAAATCTGTGCTCAATGCCCTGACTATCGGGCGGGGGGTCCCGACGGTTTGCTTGATTAGTTGACCTTCAGGTCTGAAATGATTCATGAGCTATTCGATGCTCTCAAGCCAGCTGTCAACACGACTATTCGTTGAGCATTGTACGTGTTCCATGTCTGATTCCGCATCGTCAGGCTCTTCTTCCTCGTCAGTGTCTTCCAAGTCGAACCAGGAATGCTGGTATATGTTCCTTTCGCTGCGAGGATACCCTGTCGATCTAAGCCATCCAAATATCCCACGTGTGGCTCCTTCTGAAAGCTCCTGAGAATAGAAATCATAGCTATAATCGTCAAGAGCAGCCGATGTCTTGTTTGTGTGTGCTGTTGGTTCCTTGATAGGAGTCTTGCTTCTTTTTGTTGCAGAATTTAGAATTGAACTGCTGTTTGTCAAGATCCATTCCCAAGATTCATATTCTACACAATGTGTGGCACACTGCGCATGTTGTCGGACCGAGAGCTCTGTATCACAAAGCTGTGTAAACCCAAAGGGCTTCCAAGTCCAGACCGGAGGTCGATCATGGCCTTCGGAAGATGTAATGAAAAGCAGCCGACATTCGTCATCGCGACATATCAATTCACCATGGCTCTCCCCTACCTCTGAAGTCAAGAATGTCTGTGTCGTTTCGGTCCAGGCAGAAGCTGGAAGATCCAGAGCCATCAATCCTATTCGTATGTCACGCAAGACAGACTTTGCGAGGCCTACTAGGGTTGCCCCAAACCAGAGTATACCAAGTTGAGGTTGTCGATTTGCTAGCAAAGCGACCACAGAGCTATCTTTTGAAGAGACTGAATTGACAACGGCGAACGCTGGATTTAACCAAGCACTGACCAGGTTACACTTGACATCTGGATTGAAGAAGGTGCTGTGTAGTAGAGAGCGTAGACCCCATGGATTAGAACTTAACGTCATGTACCTGGGAAGCATTTGGCCGTGACCGTTGAGAAGATCTGGAACGGAACGAGTGGAATCACCTATGCGATCCTTTAGCTCCAGCTGAGGAGCCTGTTTTGGAAACGGGAGGGTAACTGTTCTCCGGCCTAGGAGCGGGATGTAGAGGACACCAGCAAGTGCGACTGAGCACTGCGCATAAAGCCGATGGTGTACACAAAAACGGGAAAGATAATTGAGAGCGGTAACTGATGATGGCGGATCTAGCTTGGTCCCTGTAACAGCCGGAGTCTCTCCAGCGAGGGCTAACCCGGTGTCCTTTGCTGATATGAACCACGGCGAAAAATAGACATGGTTATTATACTTAGTGGTCGCATTCCAGTTATCAGTATGCAAAATGGTGTACCACCAGAGAGCTTCTTCCATGCAAGCATTCTCGCCAAGGTCAATTTGAGCGACGGATTGTTCATCTGAAAATAGTGAACTCTTCACTCCCTGGGCGGTGTACTCGATATGACATTCGTGGTCCGCAGAGCGACCAAGCAGCTCAACCCATCGAGCCGATAGGATATAGGCCCATGCGAAGTAAAGGGCTGACAAATAGTTACCTCTGTCATATCCCGAGAGCCCTTGCACCTCGGGCCAGTCAGAAAATGGCGAGTCTTGTGACAATTTCACACTTGGTCGATTACCAGTAGCCAGTAGTAGTTGCTTTGGTAGGACCCTCGGCGGGAGGTCACAACTCCCCTTGGAAGTTCTCCACGTTGACCGACCATGCACGACAAGACTGCTCTTCCCCTGCATCGATTCCTTCTCTTCACAGGCGAATGATATCTCTTCAGAGGAAGCAAAGCCACTACCAAGAAACGGCGGAGTTTGACTGACGAGGGATTCCAAGTTTATCGCTTCTCTGGGGAACGGGGGATGTTCACCCAGATAGGAGGTCCATGTATTGAGGCTCTCCTCAAGGACCTGAGTGAATTCTTCATCACTCGGGCGCGCAGCATCGCCCATCCTTACATGCCTGAAAGTCGAACGCAGATGTTGTGAGAGTTCCGGCGCTTCTGAGACAGGAAACAAGCGTAGGTACGAAATAGAAGCCGCTGCGTCTTTGAACTCAAACCCAATGCGATGTTGAAGCAGTGCCCAGGTGGGGTGTCAAAAACCTTATTATCGAGAGATCTGTGAGCGACGCAGTTGAACTACATTCTGTTCTGCGGCGCCAAGCGAGGTATCCTCCCCTTGAGGCCCGAGGAAAATTGCTTTTCCGGATAAGTAAGGCCCCAATCTCAAGTGTTCCGATCTGAAGTCTCTTGAGTTGCACTGCTACTATCCCTTTCGATTCATCAATACTTCTATCGAGCCTTCTACCACAGACGTAATGCAGCCCTCGTTTGTATAATGAATAGAACCTGAAGAAGACCAAGCCGAACGACCATCTTTTCCTACCATAGTGACTTCAATCACATTCCCTTCAGTATTGTTGGTGCCCTGCACTTCTTCCAACGAGAAGAACCAAATCGCTCGGCTCCAGCGTTGGGCTTCTGGGAGGGAGTCCGACCCAGAGAAGATGAAGAGAGTCTTGTCCCATGCAAACCTTTCTCCTTCCCGAGCGGGACCATCGCTAAGCCATGGATCTTGGCGCTAGACCACAACGTATTCTTCTGCGACCGGTCTTTCCCAACACAGCGTGCAGACAATAGCTCTGGACTTAGCTTGCTGGTGATCCTTTGCCAATCAACGATTTTGGCCTTGGATATACGGCACTTGGGGACACCATTGTTACCACCTTTTGACACAGCTGTAGTCGTGACCAAGACGGTGGCTACGGGGCCGAGCACCGGCAGAAAACACTGGTCCATGGCAGCGTGCAGATGCTCCTGAAAGGCTAGGGTGCCAAGGGACAGCCCACGGTGCCATCGCTCAGTGACAGAATCTTCCAGGCTCCCCTGCGGACTAAAAATCCTGTCCATTTCAGACGTTAAATGCCTCATAGCCAAGACAGGCAAGAGATTTGCAAGAGATTTGCGGGGAAGGCCCTTCGGGACGGCTTGGGGGTTGGGGGGGCCCCCGAAGCCCGCGCATCTTGCCCCGAAAATTGAGTTGTGTTGCCCGACCGGACTCCTTCCCGACAAGTACCGGATTTATTCTGAGGGGCCCCAGGATAACCCCCCCAGGATAATAGCCCCCCCAGGATGATACCCCCAGGATTCACCCCCAGGATTCGTGTCGGCGATCAGACATCAGCCAATTTGGTGCCCTGAACTTGTAGAATGACGTTGCATATTGACCGGGAACCTCGATTCGGGTGCCCGGAAGCCGGGGCCCCAAGATGCAGCAGGACAGCGCGGGATACCACCGAGAAAGCCCCACAATAAACCCGAGCCGGCGTGGCACCCCAAGCCCCTTTTCCTCTTTTGGTACATGGTTCCTCCGCAATCTTCCCCACGGGCACGGTTGGGGGAAAGGAAACGTCCACTCTCACCACCCTCCCGACCCTGATTGGGCCGCCGGTGCCACATGGGTCTTCCATCTCCTGTTCTATGAAACAGGCATCATCGAGGATCAGTTGAGCATGTTCAGGAACTTTCCATTCCCGTCCAGCATGTGGTCTTGACTGGGCCCGCGCCAACCCCAGACGAGCGCGGCTTCCGTCTCTTGGAAGAAAGACCCGTGATTCTAGTACCGAATAGAGTCACGGAATCAAGGATGTCATGCAGCCACAGCCATTGTGGCCTGAGCGTATCCTCTCCAGGGCCCATCTCCACTCGCAGGCGCAGGGCAGGAGCGAATAAGGGCCCTGGGCCAAAAGTTACGCTCGAAACCTAGTTTGCTCTCGTATTGGAAACAGTAGTTACTCCGAGATTGTCCCGCAAATCCTTGGCAGCACGTTTTGCTGCTACTTGGACATTAATAGTCCCTCCACCCCCGTGGGATTGTGGGAACCTGCGCTGCTTCTCTTTCTTTTCTCCAGAGGTTCCTTGCCGAGAGTTGATCTCTCCTCCTAATAATGTTGTTCGACAAGCACTCCCGAGGCAGAGGGGCCGTCTGGCCATCCATCCTGGTTGGTCTGTTCGCTTCCTTCGGTGGTATTCTATATGGATACGACACGGGCACGATCTCGGGCATCCAGACCATGCCGTTCTGGCTGGATGAGTTCGGTCATCCTGGTTCGGGCCGGATCGCGTTGATCGTCTCGATTCTGTCCGTCGGTACCTTCGTGGGCTCGCTCTCCGCGGGTTACCTGGCCGATATCACTGGTCGACGATGGGGAATCATCTTGTCCGTGATGATCCCCTTCAACCTCGGTGTTGCCCTCCAGACTGCCGCCACCGCACAACCTATGTTTATCGCTGGTCGATTCTTCGCTGGTCTTGGTGTCGGGTTGGTCTCTGCGCAAGGTTTGTGACCCCTCTCGCCAAAGAAAGAACATGACGCTGATCTAGCCCAGTCCCAATGTACCAATCCGAGACGCTGCCCAAGTGGATCAGAGGCGCGATTGTTGGTTGCTACCAACTGTGTATCACCATCGGTCTGTTCCTGGCTGCCATTGTCAGCTGGGCTACCCAGAACAGAGATGACAGCGGTATGTTTTTGCACAGCGGCGGCTATCTTTGAATCCAGTGGCTGATATGACTATTCCCGTATGCAGGTAGCTACCGCATTCCACTTGCTATCCAATTTGCATGGGCGATCATCCTGGTATGACCGTCCCCCGTAGCTCATGTTCCCCTTAACCATTGCTAACGTCTGGTTAGGCCGCCGGACTCCTCGTCCTGCCCGAGACCCCTCGCTTCCTCATCAAGAAGGGAAACACCGCCCAGGCTATCAAATCTCTGGTCTTCCTCCGCCGCCTCGATGCGGAGGACCCCGAGCTCCTCGCTGAGCTCGACGAACTGAAGGCCAGCTGGGAATACGAGCAGTCCCTCGGCTCTTCCTCCTACATCGAATGTTTCAAGGGCACCCACGGAAAGCGCACCCTCACCGGAATCCTCGTCCAGTCGCTCCAGCAGCTCGTCGGTATCAACTTCATCATCTACTACGGAACGAGCTACTTCGCCGAGAATGTCAACGGGCTGCCCAGCTCCTTCATTCTGCAGGTCATTGTCAACTCCGTCAACGTGGCTATGACCTTCCCCGGTCTGTGGGCGATTGACCGTTTCGGTCGCCGCCCTGTCCTCTTGACTGGTGCGATTGGCATGGGGGGTTTCCCAGTACATTGTGGCAGCCTGTGGCGCCGCGACCCCGATCACCAACTTCTCCTCGCAATGCGCCCAGTTCGCATTCATCTGCATCTACATCTCGTTTTTCGGTAAGTCGCCTCATCGCACCGGTCACCCCAATCCCGCACTAACCCCTCTCCAGCATCCACCTTTGGCCCCTGCGCCTGGGTTGTCACCGGCGAGATCCCCTCCCTTCGGTTGCGAGCCAAGACCCTGTCCATGACCACCGCCGCCAACTGGTTCTTCAACTGGCTGCTCTCCTACATCACACCCTACCTGACCGGCGCCCTGAACCCGACCCAGTCCAACGTCTTCTGGATCTGGGGTAGCTTCTGCTGGATTGCGGCGGTCTTTGTCTACTTCATGATCTACGAGACCAAGGGCTTGAGCCTGGAGCAGGTCAACGAGCTCTACGAGAACGAGTCACGGGCGTGGAGGAGCTCCAAGTATCGGCTGCAGGAGACCCCTATTGTTGATGAATGGGCAACGAAGGACACCGAGATGGCTGTCCATATGGAGAACTAAGATGTTACGAATTTGCGAACTGGAAATTGGACGCTTTTTTTTTTCTTTTCTTTTCAAATAGCATGCTATTCTTGAATGGTATTTACAAATTTCACGAACACTATCAAAGATATACACAAATAAATATATAGTAACAGTAAACGGCCCGAGCAGAACTCTTATCTTGTCACTCTTGTAAGGATCGGCCCGCCGTTGCTTATTCCAAATAAATGCTGTAGGGGCTAACGTTAAACGTAGCACTATCTCCCGTAAACGGCTCCGTCCCCGCACCAATAGTCTGCAAGTACTGCGAGTCAGCGACCCCCTGGTTCTGCACGAGGTACTGGAAGAACGCATTCATATCCCCGGAGTAGTCGTTGATCGTCGACTGGGCCACAAAGCTGAACACCGTCCACGAATTAGACCCCTTGTACAGATTCCACGCCACGCCCCCGATATTAGGCGTGGCCACGGGCCCATCGCCATACCCAATGGGCTCTGCGCCTCCCAGGCTCGCCAACCAGACCATGACCTCGTACTCGTGGGTGGCCGTGGTCGAAGCCTGGGAGGAAAAGAAAGCGTCGTAGGAGACATCTGCGACCACGTTACTGCCACCGGTGTATCTGGCGACTCGTTAGCAACCGTTTCGTCGAGGCTTGTGCGTTCACTGGTCCAAGGGGGGGGGAACCTTACGACCAGTTGAAGGTGGACGGAAGACCGTTGATAGCGCTCAGCTGCGTCGCGCCGATGTTGAGGACCGCATTGGGATAGCTCTTGACTTGTCCGGTGCCGCCCTCCCAGGTCCATTCCGTGTGCCAGGAGATCGTGGATCCGCTCTGGTAGTCGAGATACGTGCACTGCGATCCGCTGGTCGCCGAGCCCTCGCCCCAGAGGTTATTGTACAAAATGAAATTCTGCGTCTGCGTCAGATCATTTTGGCCACAGAGCGCCGTTGAATCCTTGGCCGTTGAATCCCTCGCCGGGTGGGTGTGGGTTCGGCGGTGCGCAGCCGCGCCGCCAGGCACGAGCCCCGCGATAGCTAGCAGGGTAGGCAGTAGTACAGATAGAGTATACATTTTGGGAAAAAAAAAAAAAAAAAAAAAAAAAAAATACAATGAAAGTGCCGAGCTTTGGAGAGAGGGTATCTTGAACAAATTTCCTGAAGCCGATTCAGCGACTTCACGTCCCTTTTTAAACTTGAACTGGGCTCTGTACATGTACTTTGCTCGGCGCTTCTGGGGCCATTCTGATACGCCACTGGATGTAGGATCCAATTCTTCCGTCGCGATACATCCAGGCCCCCCCGCTAGTCCTGGTGGGGGAGATGGGCCGATGAACGAAGAAAGGGGGTGCGCCACTGCCCTGCGATATTTCCTTGCAAGCAAACGCTAAGCAATATGGCCTATTACAGTAATCTAATTACTCTCGCTCGTTCCCAACGACCACCTCTCCACCTGCTACACGCAGAGTGGCACAGGAGGAGGGAACTCCCTTTGGTGGAATCTTCGGACCAGCGTACCTGCAGCGCGCGCGTGTACCTGCCCCCCCACCAATAGCAGCGGATCACATCGCCCGGCGTCGCATCTCGCCAGGCACACGGCGAATGGGCTGAAGGGTTCGCGGACCGAAACGCCCAGGGCGATCTGGGTGGGTCGCGCTCCGCAACTCCGTTGCCCTTTGGGGGAATCCGTTAGGCGGGCCAGAGCAGAAAAGTGAATTAGGGTGCATTGGGTCTTCAGGGGCCTAGACGAGGGCGGGTTTTCCACTAGGAATGATTGGGTGTTTAAAGGGCCAAGGTCCGCTGCGTCGCAATATATATATATCCCGCGCGAAATCGAATGCCACCAATAACATGTCAGGTTGGAGGAGCTGCTTGGGCTCCCTGGCTGCTCTTCATAACTTTATGTAGTCTGAAGAGCGCCGCACCGTCCGGGTACCTGCGCAGACTCGTAGATATGAAGCCTGCAGGACGCCTGGGCGGGGGGCCTGGCCCCAGGCGCCGCCACATCCGCAGGTCTGAGGGAGCAAACGATCTTGTCTGTAGCGTCGCATTCAAACAAACTGGTCCAAGCTTAAGGACGATGATACCTCGGCAAGCGTGGATTCACAGGAACGGGACGCCTATAGAGCACTTCGGATATTACGACCATCGGCTCTATTCCACTAAAGGTAACTAGACGGTGGGGTAAATCTGACATCTAGCGGGCCCGGAAATTTCTCTGAGCGGTGGGGCCAGGGTTTTAAGGTTCAGTAGACAAAGTATTGAGATCCAGGCTGGAGTATCTCCAGTCCCAGCCAGAATATCGACCCGCGGGGATCCGGGCTGAGTACGCTTGTAAAGGAGTGGCCCGGAGCTTTACACTGAAGTTGCCGCTATCGCAAGCTTTCCCACAAACGAACAAGGGTTCCAGAGGATGGTCAGAGCAAACAAAGTATCCCTTGAGCCAGGCCTTTCAGTGGTCCACCCCGGTGGCAACTGAAGAGTACTCTCTAAGCCTTGGCCGCATTCTGGCCAGCTATATGTGTACAGGGGGTTGTACGCTCAAATTTTACCGGCCGCGCTGCCATCTCAAGATGGCAGTTGCCATGCATATCTTCGGGGTGCGGTAGCAGCATGGCGAGGCGGTTTCCTGGTCGGTTTAGCCTTTCCACCCTATGGTAGCTAGATACGGGTCTTGACTCTTAGTACGGCACAGAAGACATTTTATCTTGATTGATCCATAAAAATAACCCAATATGAGACCAACTCGGTGCTGCTGATTATTTGATCGCAGCACAATTCTTATGAGAGAAAGGCTTTGAATATATATGCACCCTGGCCGACAGTTGAGAGTGTTGCATAGGCTAAAATTGTCATTTTCGTGTTTAGCCTCTTAGAAACCAAAATTCTAGAAGTGAGATACTCCATGAAAAACCGAGCCCCGCCAGCAGGAGCCAACTCAATTGACCTGCGATTGCTTATGTACAATATCATGGGAGACTTGACTGTGAGTTGACCAAGGAAATTAGGGAATGTACCCGGTATGGCCAGGGACGACCCCGTGAGCATCGGCTCCCCGGCGGAACATGTCGCGAACATCTTTAACAAACGAATCAGGAACCTCCCAGGCAAAAAAATGACCCCCATGCTCATGATGACGGCCGAAGGAGATCGGGCCCAACTTGCGAATCCACGGACGAGGATCGAATGGTAATCCCAAGGGGAAATGGCTATAGCCGATTTTAGCCGAATCAATCCATCCCGGGGTTCGAACTGGATTTAGCGGTGTGGCGTTTTCGGTCTTCCAGGTATGAGTTGCTTCATGGTAGATTCTTACCGAGGCTCCCCTGTGGCCTTTGTTAGATGGAGAAGGACTGGCACGGGGATAATGCAAGGGCAACTCACGGGCCCGCGGTACTGAACCAGTAGATACTCACCCAACTACACACCTCCTCTTCCGACCAGGGGTACTTGTCGGACCAATCATGCAGCTTTTCATATAACCAAGACAAAAGTGCGACGGGGCTATCAGTGATCCCGTAACTTGTACCGGTGGGCTTCGTAGCCTGGAGCGCACGATAACCTTGACTTTCATCTAGAAACCACCCCCACCCCTCCGAGCCCGCCGAGCCAATCTCGGGCTCCCTCATCACGGGTTTCTCGACTGTCAGGTGGGGGTATTTATACAAGGCCGGAGGACAGAACCCATGATCCAAATTGAGATGAGTGGCCATCACCGAATCAGGATATTGCACGGCCATAGTGCGAGTGATGTAGTAGCCCCAATCACCGCCCTGCGTCACGTACTGCGAATAGCCAAGTTTTTGCATGAGGTTTTGACAAGTCTCCGCATACTGCTCGAGGGAAAACCCTCGCTTTTTGGGGCCTTCACTGAAGCCAAAGTTCGGCAAGGAGATGGCGACGACATGGAAGGCAGGATCGGATACCCCGTCCCCCGACAGAGCCTGAATAATTTTAGACCCCTCAAAGAACGACCCAGGCCACCCATGCACATACAAAAGGGGGATGGCGGACTCGATGGGCGATTTCTGATGTATGAAGTGGATCTTCAATATGCCGAACCCCGCCACCGGGATATCTGTCCGGAAATGAGGAAGCAGGTTCAGCTTAGCTTCTGCCGCCCGCCAGTCGAATCGGTCTCTCCAGTACTCCGCCAGACGCCTGACTTCGGCAACGGGGGCACCGAGATCCCAGCCAGCTTCGTCCAGTTCATCTGGTAATCTTGCGTTCGCAAGTCGATTATGCAGATCGCTCAGCCTCTCCTGCGGTATGTCGATGGTAAAAGGACTAATGGAGGCCATAGCGGAATTCGGACATTGGACTTTGCCTTGAATGTCAGAAGTTGATGGCCTGCGGGTGTGGAACGATCATCCGCGACGAAATGCGGCATGCGCGTCGCTTAGAGATGCCCCGCACTGCCTGCATGGAACCCCCCCCTCTTAGCGGCACGAACCTGGACGGAGATGCCTGTGGCTGGTACTAAGACGCATCATTCCGCGTGGTTTCTCCTGCTCGAGCTAAGGGTATCAGGCTAGGGCATTGACTATCCCAATCGCAGGAGCTGGAAACCTAATCCCGGCGGACGACCAATTTACGAGTGGATTTGGGGCTTGCCGTTCATGGTGGCCGCCACATCGAGTTCTTCAACGAAACGTATCCATATGATGTTGATTTACGAAAAGCCATAATTCATCCATCTGCCTGGTTCAGCATTTACACGGCAATGCCTGGCGGCGGACGTGGGCGACAGGTCTTAGGTTAGGGGACCTTCTCATATAATGCAGCAGGCGCCTTGGCCATACCTTGTACTAGTGAATGAAATAAAGAATCGACTTGCAATACCAGAGCTCTGACCCAAAGAATGGGTAGATAAACGAGGAGAGGATCAGGATAATGCAAAGCGAGCATTGAGTTCGAGGACAATTGATGGATGTTACCGTTGGGCGCGGCCGCAGTCTTTGTGGCCGGGACCCGTGACTCTTGAACCCAACACCAACGTCTACCTGCTGCGGGCTGTGAGAGAAGAAACTGCTTCCAGCATCTGCGCATGATCTTTGCCTAATATAATTCGAAGCCCCAGGCCATCACTTCTCAATATTCTTCCACCCTCACCGTGAAAACTTCCGTCTTCTACAGTCCTTTTGTCGACAAAGTATATATATCATGACGGGTGCTTCCGTTGTAGATCTCTCGCGAGGTCAAGTAAAACTCGAAGACCGTCTTGACTCCTGCATTTCCTAGAACTATCAGCGTTATACCACAACATATCCTGCAGGCCTATCAAGTGCTCAACAGCAATAGCTGCCTAACGTTGACCGTGTTTCGCCTCGAATCCCTATTCTGCCGCTCAAGGACATTTCTCACTTTCCTTCCGACATCCCTTTTCCACCATCTGACAGGTGACAGACGGCAGCTGCCGGATTCTTATATTACTCTGAATTCCGACTTTCATTTTGCCTTGAAATCCAGCATTATGGCTGGTAATCAGGAGACAGCACGGCTAGCCAGCGATGCTGAAGTGAGAGACACCCCAGTCCCAGCTGTCTAAGATGAAGACGGAACTGGGGAAGCAGCGAATACCTCTATACTGACTATAAGAGCAACAAAGGCCTATAAGACCTCAAGGAAAAGGAAGTATACGATGGCTGAACTTAACGCCAGCCAGCGAGGGTACCTTATCTGGGAACCCCTTGGCGCGGATGATAAACCCTACGGCTGTCAGACTAGCCTACACAACGATGCCCAATACTAGGGACGAGGCGTTGCCTCAGAACCTGAGGGATATGCCGGGGAATGTCCGACAGACATACGACCTAGGGGAACCGAGCTTATTGCGGTTATAAAATACAAGGTCAAATTCCGCAAACAATTCCAGGCAGCCTTTACAAAGGAGGGCCACCTGCGACAACGATTTATGGCCTTGCTAGACATAACGAATGAGCAAGGGCATAAGTTATTCAACCAGGAATTTGTTAACTCCAACTGTCCGAAGCGGGACACAAGCAGACCTGCAGGGCAGAAGCCGATGCTCTTCCCCGTGTCCGGACACCTCCAGCCCCGTGGCCCCCCAAAGCTCACGGACAAGCGAGAGCGAGGAAAATTCGCAAAATACGGGGATACAGAAGTCTGCGATAATGGTAGCCCGATATATCATTTCAGCCCTTCCACAACCAGTATCGGACTCGGATTGTTTCCATATCCTTTACACTCCTAGATCTGGCACCTACCATCGTTGCCGAATCAAACCTGTCTCAGATCCGCTCGTCCGCACATCCGGGTTCCAGTTGAACGGTATTAAGCTCCATTCTTCCAAATCCTTTCGACTTGTAGAACTTACATCTACCGTTATCACTACTCCAACATGTCCCAGATGAGTTTGCACCATGGCCATGACTTTCGGTGTTGTGTGTGGGTTGATCTTGTTGGTGACAGCGTGGATAGAGTACTGGCAGTGCCGGTAAGATTGCTCTAGCGAGTGTCTGCTAGTGTTCATAAAACAACACTAACACACAGAGCAAGCCGCCTACTCACTATCTAAGATATTAGTGGCAGTGTAGCCACACTCGCTCGCTTGATTTGGTTGGACCAGAGCACCGGCCTGTGTAAGAACCCACTTTACTAGTCTTTACAAAACTTAAGATTACTGATCAGCTTATGTTAGGAAACCCCCTCCGCTGAAGATCCCTTATTGAGATGACAATATTCCTCTAGAGTAGGAATCTGGAGGAACAACCCTTGTCTTTGGAGTACAAGAATTACAACAGGACTGCCGAGGCTACCGCTGCAACACCTAGCTCTAGGACTGACATTAAGATGTCTGGAGCTTGTGCAGAACCGATGTCTGTTCGGGATGACTTTCAAAATCGGTATTGAACTCTATTTTTCCAAATCCTTTCGACTTGTAGAACTTACATCTACTGTTATCACTACTCCAACATGTCCCAGATGAGTTTGCACCCTGGCTTCGGACCTACCCGGGCTCAGTTTGAGCAGCCGGGAGTCCAACAAGCCGTTAAACCCAGATCCCACAGTGGGATATGCGCATATAAGTCAACGTATAACATATCCCGAGTATACGTTAAGCATATGTAGGGCCGATCCCCAACAACAACCTGAACTGGAAGCCGCAGGCTTTCCGCAACGCCATGGCTCGAGGTGAACGGCACTACGACATCAAGGCGCAGGACATCCAACTCGACCTGGGGACGGCCGACGCACCTTCGAATGCTATGGTCCACCTCAACAACATTGTCTCTCCCGACGGGCGCACTAAATTTGCCCAGGTTATGACATAAAAGGTTATATAACGCTAGTTTTTGGAACCCATTGAACCTTTTTTGGGCCCCGTTCAACTGTATGCCCCGCGCATCCATCTACGGCCAACAAAATGGCCCGACCTGCTACCATACCAAACGCCAACTTCCGATACAATCTGGCTCTGGAGTTAAACTAGCACATACGACCATAGGGTGTGGAGAACAGGGCTTCCCGTCCGCTCAGCCGTACTTAAGCCACACGCCGGTCAGTTAGTACTATGGTGGGTGACCACATGGGAATCCTGACTGTTGTATGTGAAGTTTCTTTTTTTTCCAAGTTGTTTTTCTGCATTGTTTGTCCTAATTTCCTGAGAGACATAGAAAAGTGACGTGACAATAGCTATAAGAATTCGAAATACAAAGTTCATCAATCTCAATGATTTTTAGACGACCTGTTCTTTGATCCGTACCAGGTAGTCCGAAAGGATAGCTTAACATGGCTCCAGTTATGAGTCGGGCAGTGCTAGCTTCCTCTCCGCAGTGATTGGATACTTGCTAGGATCATCGAGAGTCTTCCTTATGACAGCAGCTGTTCCCTCAACCAGCTTATTTTCATACTCCTTCCCGTCGAGAATGACTGCCGTTTCTTCTAAGCTGAGATTACCCGTCTCCACGAAAAGGAAGTAGACCACCACGAGCTCAAAAAGAAGCCACACATCGTAAGTGATGTAGTACTTCCAAGTGCTGTTGGTGACCCCAATTGGATTCACATATTGATTGAAAATACCAGCAACAGCGACAAAGAAGTTGTATAGTACGAGCCCGCGAGCACGTAGGTTAAACGGCAGGATTTCGATGCAGTAGGTTACCTGCAATGGAGTCCACCCGATCGAGAAGAAGAAGTTGAAAAGGAAGATCATGGCTAGGACACCCTTGGCGTAGCCATCACCTCCAGTTCCATCTAGAGCTGTCTTTTTCTCATAAGTGGCCTCCAGGATAGTCCACACAAGGTAGACCGCGAGAGAGCCGGCGGTAGAAATGAGAAACAGCGTGCGTCGTCCGAAGCGATTCATCACAGCAGCAAAGACAAGACTCCACAGCATTGTCCACAGAGTAAGCAGGGCATTTATGAGCGTCTGTGTGCTCTCAGAGGTATACCCGATGGAATCCAGGATCAGCGTGAGATAGTAGGAGATGAGCCCATTGCCACTCCACTGTGAGAAGACGCCAACGGACAAGATGATGAAGAAGCGTCGGAGATTCGCTTTGTTTTGGCAAAAGCTCAAATAGGATGTGCTGCTTCTTGCTTCGTTCTCCAGTTGAAGTGCCGTACGGATCTCTTCCATCTCCAGGCTTACTAGCGGGTCTGAGGTATTGCCGTTGGCATGGTACTTGCAGAGCAGCTTTCTGGCCTCTTCGTCGCGCTCTTGACTCAAGAGCCAGCGTGGTGATTCCTCTATCAAGAAGCAAAGACCCAATTGAACCACACTAGAGAGTCCTTGGAGTAGCGACGGAATACGCCATGCCCACGTATCGCTGATTCGGAAGGTACCATACGTGACCCAAGCTGCGACCAGGGCGCCAAGGTTCCACAAGCTGTTATAGATGGCCACCTGAGGCCCCTGTTGCTTGGGGAAGGCTAGCTCGAGGAGAAGCAATGGCGCTGCTGTGATGTTGAGAACGAGGCCCATCCCAATGATCCCTCGTGCGGCGATGAACATGCCAACATTCTGAGCGGCGGCTTGGAGGGCCACTCCGATCATGAGTATGAAGGCGCCCAGGAATAACACAGGCCGACGGCCAAAGCGATCACAACTATAGGCGCAGATAGGCATGGTCACCAGCTGGCCGACATTCTGGATCGCATTCAGTCTGGCAACATGGTAAGCGTGCGTCTTGTGATCTCACTTCTCAGTCTACTCACAAGCCCAATTCCGACGCTCCAGGGTTATTAAATGAGCTTTGCCATGTTTTCAGACTCTGAAGGCCATTCATCATTGAGCCATCATACCCCGTCGCATAACTCGAAATCTGGAATAAAACCAGCATCAAGTTGAGTTTCACGATGCCGGCGTTGGACAGCCACGAGAAACCGGTTCCCTTCTGACTCATAGCAGTGACAGTCAGAGGGGTCTCAGGGTTTGGTAATGAGGTGGCCATGCTGACACCTTTGGACTGGCAATCTGGCCTTGTAATAGAAGAGCCTGCAATCGATTCAAGTCTCTTTGCAGTTTCGCGGCAGTCATTTCCGCAAACGAGCAGCAAGCAGAATTTGGATAACGGCGAGATGTAAGCATTATGTCTCAGGGGGTCTTACCAGCATCTCAGCAAGGCTTCCTACCGGAGGTAGTAGCGTCGCCATGGGCAGTCTGTGGCTTTTCCTTATCTTGCGGGGAAATGGCAATAGACGGGGCCCGGTAAGGGTAGTTCTGCTCTCCAAAGAAAGGCACGATAAGACGACTAGTATGTGGGGCTAACGCCTCAAGAATAGCCAGGGCGCTACCAGCCGCTTAGCAAGTCGATTTTGAGCCACCGGCGATTTTGACCGTACATTGCCGGACCAGGTTAATGGCCGTTTTCTTTGCGACCCCGCTTCGTCCATATCTTCTGTCTGATCTTGTCTGCCAATAGAGTTTAAATGGCCGGTCTTTCTTATCGGGTAATCTTCGGATCTTCGAAAGCAGGAGAAATAGAGGGCAGAGCCATCAAATTGGACTACCGCCGACCATAGCCATAATCCTTTCCATCTTACCTATTAGGCTAATATAAACACATCAATATGCCGGATTCTGTGTTTTGCCCTGGACTATGAAACAGGACTTTGGCGGCTATTAACCTGGGTAGTGTGATGTAAGTAGCTCCCATTGAGAGATCCTCGACAGATACACCGAGTGCGGCCCTCCCCGCCACAATGAGGCTCTCCAGGAGCTCTGGAATTGCTGTTGGTAGCGCTTTCTTGGCAACTCTCTCTTCAGCCGCGCAGGTGACCACTACCTTGACCAAAAGTAATGAGCAGAAAGCCCCCCGACCGAATGGTGTTACTCATGTGCAACAGATGCCCAAGATTTGTTTGACTGGTCCATGCATGTGAATGACCTTCGGTGGGACGACTCGTACAAATACATCTGGTACGCTGATAACGGGCCATGGTCAACTCGGTTCACGGCCTGGTATGTGGCAGGGCTTCTCTACCGAAACGAAGGCGCAGATGTTGCCAACGCAAAAGCAGCCATTGAGAATCTGTAGGACACCCTGTCTTTGCATAAGAGCATTCCTCGTACTAAACAAGAATATTGAAAATTAGCATCACTTGCCAGTTGACCGAGGACTATGAGTCCGCTTGGTATGGAACCTTCAAGCTGTCTCCCGATGAGCCTTATCCCACCCCCGATTCAGATTTGTATCCCCCGGATATCTACGTGAGTCTTGTCCACGACCCCCTAGGTAGGCTTATCTGACTCGAACATGGCAGAACACGTACGACCCAAACTGGAGAGAATTTATTGGAACCCAGCTTGTCCAAGTTGTCGAAGAGTTCTCTGACTTACTCGGGACAAGCTTGGTCTCGCGTATCGAGGACACCTTGGAGATCGCCGCTGTTGGCTCCATGCGTCGCAATGGCACCTTTCCCGAAGGCGATAACTTGACACCGGCCTATTCAAATCCTACTCTTATGCGGGCGTGGTATGTTTCTTGGATCGGGAAGCGCCGCCACAATGAGGTACGGTCTCTCTTTCCTATATACAAATTCCCGTGCTCATGACCGCAATTCCAGACTTTGATCAATTACGCGGATGAGCAGGCTAACACGGTGCTGGCACTTTTCAAGTCCACTGGATCTAACGTTCTCTCGGAGTACAATGCACCCACCTACTACGGAATGGATATCTGGGCTCTCGCAGGAGCGATCAAATACGGCCCTCCAACCGCCCAAATGACCACCAATGCGAAGCTCATCTTGACAGATCTCTGGGAAGATATTGCCGCTCATTATAATTCTTATCTTGGAAACATGGCCGGTCCAGTAAGGGTCCCGAATACTCGCAGAAACAAATGCTGACAAATGTGCCTAGTACGACCGTGCTTATACACGCGACATGGTCACTCATTCCGCCGTGATAGACTATTTCTGGTGGGGATTATACGGGTACGGCCACGGGCCCCAACCAAATAAGCTGGAAGCGGATCTTTTATACGACGTCGCCCAGGGAGCTGCACTCGCCCTTGTAGTGGATGTGGTGGCGGACCACATCTCTGCCAAGAATGCGGAATGGCTGTCGACGAACAAGTATTGGGAAGGTGAGCGCCTCATTACGAAGAAGGTCCCGGATTCCCTCGTTCACGACGCCGAAGCGCGTGTCGTCACGTCGTGGATCAGCGCTCCGCTCATGATTGGCGCGGAGCAGGTCAATGAGACGGTCAACCGCGGCGAGCAGTACGTTCCGGCTATTGTCCAGTGGGCTGGAGACAAGGACCATACGCCTTTCCCTTACATGACGTATTTCAGTTTATATCCGACCGCGTCGACTATCAATGCCGTTGCGGGGCCCAACAGTTTGGAAATTTCGTATCCGAATATCACACAGGATGGAACCGACATCTTCACTTTTGTGCTTGCTGAGGTACCGCCGAGCTGGACGCTGACCAAGAAAAACGTTATCAGCGGCTTGGACAACTTGCCTTGTCTGGAGGTCAACTTGACGGCCGATGGCCTGGTGAAACAGCCGGTGGTCTATGGGGCCACGGTGGAGGATGACCGTGTTTATAATATATCCTACACTGTCCCGGTGGGCTTTACTGGCACACCCAAGGTCACATTTACATTCAGATATACGTGTTAATTAGGAAGTTTGGAGTGTTTTCTGGTGGATGGCTTTAGGATTGGCATCATTAACTTCAACTTGAACTCGATGTGAACGCACGGAGGTATATTTTTGTATGTCCGCAGCCTGAGGGATCTATATTTAAGTTCATTTTGAATCAATATCACATATTCCTGGTCCTAGTGCCAACCCAATTTTGGCAACTCATCCTTAAGAGGATTCCCATTATCCATGCGAATGTTTCATGTAAGAGTTGGGTTCCTCGATTACTACGAAGTTGAAGTTGTTTTATCATGTTAAGTGAATATGTGGGGTAAACATTGCTTGCCGCTGATATGGCCAATATGGCCCACATTTTGCCACCGTGGTCGTCTGGCCTAATGGCAAGGCGCTTGATTTCGGCTCAAGAGATTGCAGGTTCGATCCCTGCGGCGATCAACACTTTCTTTTTTCTTTTTTATCATTTCTTTCTTTTTGTCCCTGCAGCGTTCCAAGAATTGATTTCTGATGAACTTTCTACTTCGGTTCTCTCCCTGCTAGTCTAAATTCTTCTACTCACTCACAGCCGCGGAGTGTGCTGCCAATGCGGCCCCAAGGATCGGCCCATCTCTAGAGACCCCGATGTTTATACAACTTTCCCCGTCTACTCCAATGCCCGGCACATCCCGAAGAGCTTTTCTCAGATGGTCCTCAAACCCAGGGTATGCTTCGGCGAGCGAGCCCTCGATTCCGATATCGATGGACTTTTGTGTTTTCAGTTTTGCGGGTAGTGGTGGACGTCTTGGCGCGAGCATCCCCGTCCAAAGGAAAGGGAAGGGTCTGCCAAACAATGCGCATATTGTATGTGCAACATTCCCAAGAATTCCTCCGATGACACAGGTCAAGCGCTGGTTTTTAATTTGCATGTCGGATTGTTTCAGACCTTGGCTGTCATGTTCATGCATCTCCTGCATCCCTAATGTTGTGCTGTCCTTGCATGGAAACTCTAGGTATGATGTCGGCAACCGGCCAGACTGGAGAATAATAGCGCCCATGGCCGCCCCTGCAAGAAACGCCGATCGCTTCACAACGCCCGCGGCTATTGATCGCACGGCGCATGCGTCGCTATATGACACATTGCTCACGCCGAAGTGTTCTGCTATGGCCTCTCTGGACAAGGATAGCCCCTCTTCTTGGTCTGAAGCTAGATGCGAAAGGAGGATAGTGTCGACGGCGTAAGGGTTATAAACAGCCGAGAAAGGGCCGGCGGGCCTCATTGTAAAAAGCCCGTGGCCCAAGATCTCCACAATTATCAAGCGTACCACCTCTCCCAAGTAGAGGCCGGAAATGCATTTTTCCAGTAGTTGCTTGCCAGGGTTAGATGACTGTTGATCAAGCGTCCGATCATACGCCGTTTGGAATTTCAAAGCATTGTGACCTGAGTCGGCCCAAGCTCCCCACTCGGTGTTCATGATCATAACGCCGTCCTTCCTCTCAGCTGGCGCGAGCGGCACCTTGTGTATATTCGCACGATGCTCAAAATATGCAGCGTTGGTGCCGGTGCCGAAAATGGCTGCTAGGAGGGTATCTGATGCTATTGACGAAGTGTATGACCGTGCCATCAGGCTACCCACGCTGTCGCTTATGATTGCGACAACGTCGACGGGCAGGGACAGTCTGTCAATCGCCTCCTGAAGCATCTGAACGGGGTCCCTTCCCACCGCATCGGCTATGTCCCACCCTTATCCCATTGAAGCATGGTCCCACTGCCAAGGGTCTGATTCGCAAATGTAAAGCTGAAAGTAAATCCGAGTTTCAAAATCTCCGGTGCGGCGTTTGCATCATTTCTGGCACTGGTGGAGTCGGTTCGGTGTGTTTCGTCGTCCGCCAGGAGCCTGGCGATGTTTTCTGCGATGAAATCGAAGAGTGGCACGTGGCTGGCATTCACCATGTGGCTCTTTGGAATGGTGCATTTGGTTTGACGCATGCTGAATGTCGAGTCTCCCTTGAGATGAACCAGACTGACACGGCAGTTGGTGCCTCCCAGATCGACAGCTAAATATGTCCCTAATTCAGAGCCAGCAGGAACACAGGAGACAAAAGATGGAATCTGGCTCGATTGTCCCGTATGTAATGCTTGATCTTGCGGGAAGTTAGCAAAAAGTAGACTGGAGAACAGCTATGGACATGAATCCTAGAAGGGATCCGCACTCAACTCCTTCTTCAATCCCTGTGCTATTTCACCAATGTCATCTGGCGTTAGGTCGAGATCACAGATCACTCTGTTGACCCGAGCGAGTAAGGCATCCTCTTCGCGTGTTCTGCCCGGCATACTTTCTGCTTGGACTTCAGTGGGCATGGAAGAAGGGCCGAACCGGCATTTCTAGCGAGGAGAAAAGACAGCCAAAAGAAAAGTATACCTCCATCTCCACGGCGTTCAATAGGAGAGCTTTTTGTTGACAAGAATCTTTTTCAAAGCTCAATTTGGAATGGGCGCTGTGCCGGAGATCGCCCGGAGAATCGGACTAGCAACTTACCTTGTCTTGCAGAGTAAACCCCAAAACGGCATAGATGAATGTGGGACAATTCGCCCGCACGGGCAATCCTGCCGCAGCAGGAGTGGCCACCGGTGTTTTCCGGCAAACCTCCGGGATTCTTCCAAGGGATTGCAGAGAACTAGTCTTGAGATGGAGCTAGCGTCAGCTCCTGAGACCCAAAAGAACGACCCTGTAATCTCATGATTTATCCAGTTGGTCGCATTGCATTCGATCTTAGCGAGGCTGTTGATTGGCACATGGCTGGTATCTGCTTATCGAGACCCCGCAAAACGCGACCAAGAGCCCGGTCTCGGCGCCTCCGTAACTTTGCGTGATGTCCTGTTCTCTCTGAGCGTTTTCTTTGGAGATGTCGCTTCTTGGCCGGCCTGGGAATTATTCAGCGCCATCGCTAAATGATGAGGGATAGGACCAGCAATGGTCGTCTCCGTGCATCCCCAATGGAGCGCAGACACGCAATGACCGAATCTGACATGGTAGACGCCGCAGAGCCGAAAGCTCGCAAAGCATGCGGTGAGTGGTTCGTGCATTATTACTTGACCTTCCGGAGAATGTGACATGCTCATGCATTGCGTAGTCAATTGTCGTAGAGTAAAGATGAGATGTCGCATTGAAAACGGGAAGATTTGCCGTCGCTGCAAGAGAGCCGGGCTTCCTTGTGTATTCGTGCCCAGGGCAAACGCTGCCAGAGGCTGGACTTCCAGTGAACTCGAGTCACTTAAAGCGCCGAGTCTTAGCCCGAACACAATGTTCGACATTCTCCGCCGCGTAAAGACCATCGAAGAGTACATCGGGATCGAGAATGAGCAAGCCGCCGGCACAACCGCGGAAGATTTCGAGAGCAGTTCTGCGCGACCTGAGGAATTGGAAGATGACCAGACGCTTGAGCCTCTGTGGCGCGCGACGGCACAACTAGAAGCCAGTGCACCCACTCGCTCTAGAGGGTCATTGTGGCATCGCAACATGATAAAACATCTGTTTCAGACGTGAGTGCAATCCGACAGATTGGACAAGGGAATACCAATAGCCTGCGCATCAGATCTAATATGAATGAGAAGGTTCCACCAGAAAATGCCAGGACTCCACTTCCTTCCTGACAAGCAACGATATTCATCTCCCTATCCTATATTGCTAGCGGCGATGCTTTATTGCTCCAGCGTCCGCGGGTCCGCAGAGGTGGCCGAGATGGCGCCGCAGTACTTCGATGTTCTGTGTGGTGCGATCTCCCAGCTCACAATCCCCAATAGCGACATAGGGACGGCACCGCAAAACCCTGCTGATGTGGAGGAATGGGCATTCCAGACCATCCTAGGACTGATCCTGGGTGGGCTTTTGGCCGAGGGGAGTATACGCGAGACGGGCATCTGGATATCGATTGCCTATCGCTTGATACTAGAGCACTGCCCTCCCCATAGCGATGAAAGGGCCCATGACTGGAGGAAGCTCTTCAACGGCGTGCAAATAGTTGACCTCGAGCATGCTTCGCTGCATTTATCCTCTCCAGTGATTCCCATCGAGCCCCCAATTGCATCTCTCCGGACCTCTCACCGTGATCAGCTCTATCGCCTTTCCCGCATGATGCATACTGGATTAGCGCATTTCACGGGTCGGAATTTACCCACCATTTGGTCATGCTTTACAACAGAAGGCCCAATGGTACCCCAAACCGCTACCCACGCTACTGTGTCTTCCTTTACGGCAGTGGACGCTGCGGTGATACGCGACTGGGCGAGACAACTTGACCTGTGGCTCATTGAGTTCACCAAAGCTGCCGACGATGGCCAAATAGATCGAACGATTGTTTTTCGACAGTATGTACTCCATCGCCTAGTGGTTTTGTCGATTTATCATCCGGCCCGTGGATGTGACCTCTACGCGAACAATGTCCCGCCACATGAGCAATTTGAATTGCTTCTTTCTGCACGGGCAACTATCAAGCTCCATCTAAATGACAAAACAATCTGGTCAAACTGGGACCTCGTGATCATTACATGGGCGGCGATGATTGTCTTACAAGGCTTGGAGGGTGGCGTTGGAGAGCCCGATGGTAGGTTTGGAATTCGCCCCTTCGCCGGAACATACCCGTGTAGGCCGAGAGGACTAAGCATTTACAGACTTCACGAACGTCGCATTCCACCTAGAATCTCTTCGTTCGACTTGCGAACCAAGCCCAAGTCTTCGAGGAAAACTGGCTTTGTGCCTTGAACAAGCCATGGAGCAAGTGAACACCCCGAGCCAGCACGAAATGGAGCGTCAGCTGGAGAAAAACGCCCAGATGCCGCTTTTCAATCCAGATGAAGAGTTTTCTATGTTCATCTTCGATCAGCAGAGCTTGGGCCAGATGATGTATCCTTGGCAGATTTAATCACCGATTGTGTGGAGGAAGAGTGGTTTCTGTTGTAGATTCTCTTTTCGCGGTCATTTATTAGCGCACAGTGCGCCGTTTTAGCGCAAAGAGTGTATGATCGTCTTTCTCAATGCAGTCTCTCCATCTTTAACGTACCATTTTTATGGATTAAGTCCCTTTCGTCACAAGGGCGCCCTTTCCACCACCATTAGAGAATGAGGGCGGTGTTGGTTTCGACGTTGGGTCACTTGGATTCTGTATCAGTTTCCGTTTCTTTTTGCTATGTCTCCAATTGTCGTGCGCGACTGTATATTCACAGGTCACTCAATCTGCTTGAGAACTCATGCTGGCACGATCTGCGCGGTTCTCGATCGCGAAGTCAATTCTCCTTTTATCATTGACCTGTGGCCCAAGTATCCAGGGAATATCCTGATCCAAAGTGAAACTCCGGCGAACAGGAATCCACCATCGAGCGGGTACGCCCGGTTGGTTTCCCGGATTGGCGTATCATAGAAATCTGTACGAGTCCGGTAGTTTCGCCGACTTCCCCGGAGAAGATCAACTCGACGGATTCCTGAAGCACGAAGGCCCCACAGGGCTTATCGGCCAACATCTCCACGTCCACATTGTTGGAGCAGCAGTCCTTGAGTCCATGCGGGGAAACCGCCAGGCTGGCTTTTTGCATCGCCGATCGCAACCTCGCTTGGGATCTGTTTCGACAGCAAACGTTGATCCCATGGTTTCCAGGGCACAACCAATCTGCATGTCCTCAGCTTTCCGTAAAACTTTACTGAGTTGGCGGTAGTAGCGATATCCTCTGATCATGTCTTTTCCTGAAACGGTACCAGATTGGAACAACCTCAAAGTCATTCACAAAGGCACACTTCCACCGCGAGCGCACTTCTACAGCTATACCGATGAAGCGAAGGCTCTCACGCTGGATCGCAGCCAAAGCGAATACAGGTCGCTGAACGGGGTATGGAAGTTTAGCCACGATGAGTCCCCACTAGAGGCACCAGAATGGTCGTCAGTCGATCCACGGAGCTGGGAGGAGATCAAAGTGCCAGGAATGTGGCAGCTCCAGGGCTACTCGCATCCTACGTATACGAATGTGAATTACCCCTTCCATGTGAACCCGCCCCAAGTCCCGTTGCTCAACGAGACTGGCTCGTATTGGAGGCAATTTGTTACCCCACCATCTTGGTCCGGCCAGCAGATCCGCCTTCGTTTTGAAGGGGTCGATAGTGCATTCCATCTTTGGATCAACGAGAAGCCGGTCGGGTACTCTCAAGGCTCCCGGAATCCAAGCGAGTTTGACATTACGACGCAGCTGAACGAGCCTGGTACTCCCAATACAATTGCAGTTCGTGTTTACGAATTCTGCGATGGCTCTTATATTGAGAGGCAAGATCAGTGGCTTCTGAGTGGCATATTCCGAGACGTCGGGTTGTTGGCATTTCCATTAGCTGCAGTGGTCGACTTTGATGCGATTGCTATGTTGAGCGAAGACCTTACCTCTGCCGAATTACTTGTCCGAGTCAAAACTCAAGGGGCTCCAGGTCTGATTCAAGCTAAGTTGTATCGGCCAGGGGGCGGACTCCTGGCTGAATCAACGTTTCCATCGACGAAGAGGAGCAGGATTGCAATTTCGGGAAACGATCTCAAGCTCTGGTCGGCGGAGACCCCTGACCTGTACACCTTGCTGATAAGTTTCCAAGATCGCGTTATCCCCCAGCGTATTGGATTCAGACGGATTGAGCAAAAGGACAGCAATTTTCTGGTCAACGGCAAGCCAGTCATTCTATATGGAATGAACCGTCATGAGCACCATCATCTCTACGGCCGCGCTGTGCCGTATGAGAACATGCGAGCGGACCTCATTCTCATGAAGCAACATAATATCAACGCCTTGCGCTGTGCTCACCAGCCTAATGACCCAAGGCTATATGAGGTTTGTGATGAGCTTGGCCTATATGTGATAGCGGAGGCAGATCTCGAGACACACGGCTTTGATCCGGTTGAGCGATCAAATATCGACAACCAACATCTCATGAGTGAGTACGAGATCCAGGAAATGTCATACAAAATGGCCAAGAAATGGACTTCAGACAATCCTGAGTGGAAGGACGCTTATATGGATCGGGCCATTGAGCTTGTGCAGCGGTTCAAGAACTATGCGTGCATCATCTTCTGGTCGTTGGGAAACGAAGCTTTCTACGGGCGAAACCATGCCGCCATGTACAAATGGATCAAAGAAGTCGATCCGACCCGCCTTGTTCACTATGAAGGTGATAGGGACGCGGTCACCGCAGATTTGTACTCCACCATGTACTGGAGTATCGATGCCTTGAAGAAACATATTGGTGAGAAGACGGACAAGCCATTGATTCAATGCGAATATGGTCATGCTAGTGAGCCACAGACACAAATACCCCATCAGGGATATATGCTCACAAAGTTTCCTTAGTGGGCAATGGTCCCGGCGGCTTGCAGGAGTATATCAAGACATACCGAACGGAGAAGCTGCTCCAAGGCGGCTTCATCTGGGAATGGTGTAATCATGGGCTACTGAAGAGAGACAGCGACGTTTCCTTCTATGCCTACGGTGGTGATTACGGCGATCAACCGAATGATGCTGACTTTATTCTTGACGGAATGGTATTCTCGGATCACACTCCTACACCAGGCCTCCTAGAATACAAAAAGGCTATTGAGCCTATCACAGTCTCCCGCGACGGTCAACAGCTCGAAATAACAAATCATTATGATTTTCTTACCCTTGAACACCTGTCCGTGTCGTGGCATCTTGTCAAACAGACAGGGAACACAAATCCCCAAGCATGGGATCTACCTCGAATACCTGCCGGAGCGTCTCGCAAGTGCGATCTCCCACGAGGAGTAGCGTTTGGATCAGAGCCCAAATGGCTGCATATTGGCTTCCATCTCAAAGAAACCACTGCTTGGGCATCGAAAGGACATGAAATCGCATGGGCCCAGATTCCCTTGTTTGACGAAGCAGGGCCGATTACTATTGGGAAGCCTCTGTCGCTTCAGCCACTGTCAATTAGCCAAAAGCTCGGTCGCTTGTATATAGCGTCAAAGGACATGGAAACGCAATACACATATGATCTAGTCCGGGGCAATTTAGCATGGTCTACCAACGGCGGAAGCGTATTCCACAGTGGACCACAGCTCGGGATTTACCGCGCCCTGACGCAGAACGATCTCGGGCCTGAGGGACCATGCGTCGAGTGGGATCGGTTCCGTGTTGGGAGTACACGCATGCTGGTTCAATCCGCAGCGTGGCACCTCAATGAAGCCGGCAATGTGATTATCGAGACCCAAGTCCGGGTCGCTCCAACAGTGCTTGAGTGGGCAGTCGAAGCAGCCCTTCGGTACACACTTACCGAGTCTTCTTTGGAAATACACGTGAAAGGAGGTTTCATTGGGACCTACCCAAAGTACATTCCCAGGCTCGGCTTCACGCTCCGCTTGCCCCATCACTACAATGCCGCGACATGGTTTGGCCGAGGGCCTGGCGAGTCTTACCGAGATAAAAAGTCCGCTGCGCGGTTTGGGGTGTATACCTCGAGCGTCGATGATGGCTTGCAGACTCCCTACGAATGGCCTCAGGAGAATGGTAACCGTGTTGATACACGCTGGGTGCGGGTGCATGCATCGTCTACCGCCGAGCCTTCACCCAGTGCAGAAATCAGACCCCCGCAAATTGGGATCCTAATGGACGCTCCTTTCAGTTTTTCGCTCCGGAAATATTCGATGGCTGAACTAGATCGTGCGAAACATCCTTTCGAATTATCCGGGTTACAGGGGGAAACCGAGCTGACTATCGACTTTGCTCATCATGGTATCGGCACGGCAAGTTGTGGACCGGGCCCCTTTGCAGGGCATAGATTGGAGGCTGGGCCGTTTGAATTTACTGTTGCATTCACCCTATCAGCTTAGTGTTCCAGACTTGGACTTAAACGCGAGAACCTTTCTAATTTCCAGTTCTATTTTCTTGCTTTCATTATAGTTTAGTGGGAGATGTGATGGGTTACAGGGCCGATTGTAGGTGGTTTTCCTTGGGCGAAAATCTTCTGGCCTCCGTCAGCACACCGAATTCTGTTAACAGCGAGGTAATACCAGTAGGGATGCGTTTTATTCACAAATAAAGATAGTATAGAATTGATCGAATTTCATATTCGAATCGAAGGTTCTCTATGAATCGTCATCTCATACATCCCAAGAATACCTATTCAACGATTGGAACGCACTGATCTGGTCTCACTGGTGCCACGGGTCACTTGTCCTGCGGGTCCCAATGATTGGGTAAGTCGAGGTAGCCCAGAACAGACATGCAGGCATCTTTTCATCACCGGTGGCAAAAAGCCGGGGAAATCCTTGTTGTTTAGCCCTCAAAGTTGATGCTAAAGCGATGGGTACTGGTCGGGTATACGGATTTAGCCCAATAGTGGGCCCTTGCACCCAACAGACATCGACTCGCCCTTCCTTTCAAGTCAATTTCCGAAACAAGATTCACTGCCCAAAACTTATTCCAAGGTTGAGATTAGCACTATTAGCTCATATGACATGACGATATCGTTATGCACGTCCTGCCCAGCAGCTGGAATGACCAGACAGGCCTAGCCTCACCAGCTGGGCATGCCCGCTGCCACAAGTACGTAATCAAGTCTGATACTATAATATAAAAGCCATGCGAATGAGATTCCTCCCAGCTATTCGGCTAAAAGAATTCCTAGTAATTGATTATACAAATCCCCTTGCCAGCATGAGCAGCCGCAGCCGAATCTCCCTACCGCCAACCTTCCGCCCTCCCGTTTTTATGCGCCACGAGTACCTACGATGGAGGGCGCAAGACAGAATCGCCTCACAACTCGGCTTTCGTCGACCGAAACGGCCATCGGAGAACCTATTGCTAGGGTGGTATGATTCGGACGATGACCTGTCAGACGCCGAGCCAGAATACTACTACCGCTCTACATCGATCTCCGAGTTCTCATATGACTTGGGTCCAGGTTCTGAGTCTGGCATGGACCCCAATTCTGAAGCAGAGCCTGCCGCTAAGGACAAACCTGAACCTGAGCCTGAGCCTGAACCTGGAGCTGGAGCAGAGACTGGGTCAGAGGCAGAGCCTGAGCCTACAGCCCCTATGAGGCGTCGGAAGAGAAGATCATCTACTCGGGGACACAGTCCACGGCCACTTCCACCTCCTGAGTATATCATTGAGCTTCCTGTTTCAGACAAGCAAGCGGGCCCCGTGATTGTTATAAAGAAATTTCGAAAGGAGGAGCCAGAAGAACCACTGGCCGAGGAACCAGAGACGCCGTCAACACCGGAAGCACCGCAATTACTACTACCACCTGCGCCATCACCGCCTCCTGTCAATAAGCCTTCGAAGTCACGGAAGAAAAAATAACTCAAACGTCCCTGAAAGCCGAGACAAGTGAGGGTGCACACTGTTCACATCATTTGTTGCGAACAGTCAAGGACAGCAATAAAATAAGCGAAAAGCAATAAAAAAACATCGTTCCTGCAGTACTCTTCATCAATTCGTCCAATCCTAAGCCGAGGTTCATGATTATATGCTGAAGCCGCTTGATCTAACTCCGAAGATGTAAGCTCTTCGATATCGACGGGCGTAGCTTGGAGATTCTGTAAATGCCCGTACGTCCGCGTCGGCTTCTTTAAAGATGCCTTCCCTCTCTGCGGCAACGTGATCTTGTACCAGTTTTTTTAGGGGGCTTCGGCATCGAATCTTTGAGCAACATGCGCAAAACGGAGTGCAATGCCCAGTCGTGCCCGAAGCACAGCATCCACACCCTCTTCCACAGCAGCCGCCTCTTCCAGCACAGTGATACACAAGATCTGGATGAAGATACCATTTTGGATTTTGTCGCATCCAATGATATGCTCTTGCAATAGGCCCAGGTGGCAGCTTGGCTTTTTGTAAGAATAGCTCACGTGTGGTCACCTCGTGTAACTGTCGCAACATAAGATGAAGTATATCAAGGTTTTTGATATCTTTTCTCTCAAACATACAGCCATCCGGTGGCCCTGCCTTCACCAGTTTCAGCTGTTCACAGACGAATTCATCGGCTTGGAGGAAGCATCGATGCTTGTATTCAACGCAGATGGTCTCATCGCAAATATCATCAAATTTCTTTTGGCTTTCGAGCCTGTCATCAGATCCCAGATATTCGAGGGCGACAGATAATCTGAACCTTTGCAGAAGGTCGAAATTGCGACACAACATCAACATGACATCGATGCGCTCATAGAGCGGGATGAGCCACCTTGCCATTTTCAACCACGCCCCGATGAAAATGATTCAAAACAGATACTATCGGAGGGCTTTCTTCTTATGTTGTGTTGGCTGATGGAGGCTTGGAAATAAAAAGATTGTTAAAGACTACAAGGGGATCTTCGACGTCTTAGGCTACGTCACCTCGCCGCTTCCAATATGGCCAATCGGTCAACCGTCGGTACCAAACGAGGTAAATCCCAATGCTCCGAGTTCATTCAGGACATGAACTTTCATCCGAGCAAATGCTTCTCTCCAAAATAGTTCGTGTCCAATGGTTAGAGGCCGAAACCACCTAAGGACCGACGGCCGCCATTACTGAGCTGAAGATCAGGAAAACGCATTGGTACGGGACTTGTTTTTCGATTCGCGGAGTACCGAGATGAGCCCAAAGCGAGATCAAGTCGAGTTTCCTTTTACCAAGCAGATTTGCAGAATTCTCGCCAAGTTTGAGAGTAAACGTATTTAGCAAAGACGAAAGGAAAGGAGAAGCATACCTCAAAATCCAAAATTTCAGTTATTCCGTCTAACGGAACTGCATGGCTCTTCAGCATCAGAACTACCGATTTGGAGTGTTCGCATAATGTATAGATCAAACACAAAGCTTACAGGATTGGATTAGGAAGGAACTGAATTCAAAGTAAACCCAAGCACAGAGTTTACTGAAATGGATTAGGAAGGAACTGAATTCAAAGTAAACCCAAACACAGATGTTACTGAAATGGATTAGGAAGGAACTGAATTCAAAGTAAACCCAAACACAGATGTTACTGAAATGGATTAGGAAGGATCTGAATTCAAGGCATGATTAAACTTGTTTCAAAGACTCGGATAGCCCCCAATGGCGCCTTCCATTTCCATATAGTTTCGCTCTTGCGTGCGTGATCTAGAGTGTCGTAGTTGCCGTAATTGGACTTAAAAAGGACATAAAGACAGCCTTCCCCCCCTCCCGCGAAGTCCTTCTTTTCCCTCAATTTCTCACTAAGTCCCAGAACACGCTTTGCCCGTCCCCCCCCAACCAAAATGAACGCGGGCACGATAGTGTCCATTACTTTCGGTGTTGTGTCTGGGTTGGTCTTGTTGGTGACAGTGTGGATAGAGTGCTGGCGGCGCCGGTAAGATTGCTCTAGCAAGTGTCTGCTAGTGTTCACGAAACAACGCTAACGCACAGAGCAAGCCGCCTACTCACCATCCGAGATGCTGGTGGTAATGTAGCCACACTCGCTCGCTTGATTTGGTTGGACCAGAGCACCGGCCCGCGTAAGAACCCACTTTACTAGTCTTTACAAGACTTAAGGTTACTGATCAGCTTGTGTTAGGAAACCCCCTCCGCCGAAGATCCCCCGTGGAGATGACAGTGTTCCTCCAGAGTAGCAATCTGGAGGAACAACCCTTATCGTCGGAGTATGAGATTGACGACGGGACTGCTGAGGCCGCCGCTGCGACGCCTCGCTCTAGGACTGACGCTACGATGTCCGGAGCTCGTGCAGAACCGACGTCTGTTGGGGGTGACGCTATGAGCCCCCATTCTCAGGTTGACAGAGAGACTGCACAGGCCGCCGCTGCGACGCCTTCGGGCTCTGGGACTGACGCTATGATGTCCGGAGCCCTTGCAGACTCGACGTCTGTTAGGGGTGACGATACGATCCCCGCCCCTGTGACCGACGCTATGAAGTCCAGGGACTCCAAGGATGAGGGTAGTTGGGCCGCAGCTTGGAGAATGGCTTCCGATATGTGGCCCTCCAAGTATTGGAACCCCTTCCAGTGGGGTTCCAACCCATCGACTGACGCTACGACGTCGATTCCGCTTGTGGACGTCGCCCATTCGACACGTCCCGGCGGCTTTGCTTCGAGCGCCCCGTCGGCCTCGAATCCCCCCACAGGCTGACGCTATGAGGCCTGCTGGGGGTCCCTCGTCCCTTCGGCCCGTAGTACGCACACATACAGTGCCTGCAACGTCCGGCGTGAAGGGATCCTACCCAATCCGCGTGGTGACGATCCCGAAAGGGAGCCGTCTCATCAACCGTGCCGCGTCGGAGCCTGTGTCGCCCATCTCCGAGGGTGGCACAGTGCAAACCTCATGGGTAGGAAGAGTGGCAAAGGGTGTGGCCCAACTGGCAATGGGGTGGTTTTAGGGCCTGGTGCGGTGCGGATTGGTGGTGTGGCCGGGAAGGAGAGCTTCCTTCCCAGGCGTCCCAAAGGTTGTTTTTTTGTTGTTTGTATTTTTATTTTTATTTTTATTTTTTACCCTCTCTCTCTCCCCCTGCTCCGCGCCGCATCATATCGGGGCGCAGCTATTCTTATCCAATCAATTGATAAAGTTGCAGGGGTGTGAAGGGCTAAAGTAAGACTTGATTCAATCTATACTAGGCCACGAACTGTGTTCAATAAACTTAAGGAAAGGAGTTTAATACGCCGGTCCTCCGCTATTAGTACGCCAAGGTCACGTGTCCTACGTGATCAACACCGGGCCCTGGCCCGTGACAGGGGGCCCTTTTCTTGGAACTTTCACTGTTCGTAACCCGTAGCCCTTGCCCCGGCGAGTCGACCGTAATCAAAGATCAGTATTCAAGCTAGAAGAACGAGCATGAGGTAGGCTTCCCAAATGGAATGGATGTGTAGCGTCCGTGGACTTTGCGCCCTTGTTGGGTTGAAATCGGTGTGGTTAAAGTCGGTAGGCCAGTCGTAAGGCCAGTCGTAGAGCAGTGAGTCCAGGGGTATCACGTCAGTTAGCTTCCAAGGTGAGGTTTCCGACAGGTTCCAAATCTGTACTCATCACTTCAAGTCGCGTTCCAACAATCTTTGGGAGATAATTGTCTCATTTTTCGACAACCCTGATGTTACGCACCTGGGAATTCTGACATCGAATCCAAGAGAGCCAGGGAATATTCCAGCCCCTCTTGAAATCAGCGATAACACATCTGAGCCTCGGTCACGCCTTTCCCCGATCGCAAAGTGATGTAAGAGGGAATTTCATGGACAGGCCCACTCGACGCTCCAGGCTCAGTTTGATCGAATCCGCGTAAGCCCTGTAGGCTCCTTCGTATGTGTGATAAGCATGGTTCTGGAGCCAATTTTGCATTGGAGCAAGCTCGACGGCATTAATCCCAGCGGGGAGAAACCTTGTACCAGGATTGGATTCGCGGTGCCTCGGCAATTGAGTTAATTTGGTCTTCCAGGTTGTTCTCAGCGCGAGGCCAGCCTAATGGAACAATTCAACCCATAGGAGGAGCAGAGACAAAATTTCCCGTAGGTCCATGTATGAATGCACCAAGTGAAGGGTCCAAGCTCGCTGACATATTTGGTGGAGTGGAGCGAGGCCGTGCGGAGTATTCCCAAGTTTCGCTTGCGGAGCCCTTCAAACCTCATCACTCCAGTGGGTCTGAGAGCGTTTGAGTTGCACTCAATGAGCTGTTCAGATGGCAAAATTGAACCTGTGATAAGAGTCAATTACGTGGGCGTTTCAAATGGGAGCCAATCAATACCAGAGAGGAGCGCCAGCAGCGCAGGTAGCGGAAATACCAAAGCTAGAGAGGGAAGAAGAAGAGAAAGAACAATACCAAGTGTCAATGACACTCCTGCCTGTCGATGGCGGAGTGGAACGGCAACGACGCTGGAAGTCGAGGTACTATAAATAGAGAGGTCGCTGAGTTGTGATGCTGAGGACAATGAGGTGGTGAGACGCCACGGAGATGGTCTGGATCGAAAGCAAATCATGAGGTGAGAGGTCAAAGAGGGAACATTAAAAAGAAAAGAAAATAAATAAGGAAAAAATAAATAAATATAAACATGAAGCAGATAATGATGTCAAGGAACAATGGGATTCGACGGCGTTTCGCCATCGAAGCGAAGTTGAAGGCCAGTCATGAAGAAGTCCATAGATTTCCGATACGTCTGCACAGTCCGGTTATTGAGAAGGAGTAGGGTATGACAGGTGAGGCTGATGATCTGGCCGCAGTGGGAAGCCCTCTGCATTAATCTTATCCCATGTTTCAGTATGCCTAGATAGTTTACGTATATTTTCCCTCCCTTAACCAAAAGAACTCGACGATGCTTCCAGTGTTACGGCAGTGACCTCCTGTTGTTCATCGTCGACCAACAAGGACGGCGAATACAAATCAACCTTGCAACACTTCCAAGGTTTCGAGAGAAGCACTTACATGATCGGAAATGTCGTTTATCTTGTGAGGACCTCCTACTTGAAATACATCTTCGCAGACGCAGAAGATGTTTATCGCCTTTTTTACAGACTTGTCCTCCTCACTCCTGGTTAGAGAGCACTGGGTAGCAGAATGGTTAGCTACTGTATAGGGTAATCAAGCAGATGCTCCAGTACATACGACCATAGGGTGTGGAGAACAGGGCTTCCCGTCCGCTCAGCCGTACTTAAGCCACACGCCGGTCAGTTAGTACTATGGTGGGTGACCACATGGGAATCCTGACTGTCGTATGTGAAGTTTTCTTCTTCTTTTTGAAGTTTCTTCCTACAGATCGCCTGCTCTCTTTGGAAGCATCGAGATAGTGTGTAGAGTCTTGCCCTTGGGGGTAGAAAACGGTATATGTCCAGGTTGCAAAGCGGCGGTGGGATATCATGGCGTGCTTCCACATTGGAGGATATTCATTTACTCTCTGCAACTCGGGCTTTCACCTAGCGCAGATCATGCCTTGCCCGCAACTCGCAAGCCAGTGGTGGTGCCTGCGGCTAATTCCTGGCCCCACATGGAACACCTTTCAAATGAGCCTCAAGCAGCTGAAATCAAACTGGAAGCACCACCAGCGAAGGCTAGCAGATAAGAGTTGTAATTAAAATCTAGTGACCATAGGTCATTTTCTCCTTTTTGCCTTTTAATTCAATCTTGTTGAAATCCCTCTTCCCACGCTCATGGGGCTCTTGGACCCCAAGGACACTTGGAAGGTCGTGCTCCAACTGAATTTAAGCACACTTTTCGCTTCGGCACAACTTTTCAATGGACACTGAAGAGGGCTAGCTTGAAGACTGCTCTCGGGTACAGGAGGTTATATTTTCCAAGTCCCAGAAGACACGATACGGGCACGAGTCTCCATCATGGATCTGATTCGCGAAGAAGCCAAGAAGCCTTTCCTTCCGGATTCCCTCAGCCCGAGGCCCAAGCCCCGTCATCGCCTTCCAAGCCCTTCAATATGGTCCAGCCATGCCTGACGTTCGCTGTCTACGTGGGGAAGGCAAGCTGGAGAACCCTGTCAGCCCATAGACCGCCATTCAGTATTCGTTCACGCCGCCGACTCAGCCATCATCGGCGGAATATGATAACCCAATATCGATTTGGAGTCAACGGAAACGAGGTTCCTCTGTGGGAATAACAGACAAGCCAACAGGATTACCAAGGACCAATGTGGACCTCCACGGAAAGAAACAAGAAGGGCTCCGAGACAGCACGCTGATGGGGTATCAGATTTAGACCCCTCCAGTAGGGCTTTGGTGACGGCGCATACGGGCATTTCGGAGGAAATAAGAAATTCATGTGGAGTCTTCTTCACTGTCGCAAACAGCGAACTAGGCTTCCACCTCCTGTGAAGTAGAGAGATGAGCAACGCTCGCCGAATTAGCACGGTGCTGTCTCGTACGTTAGTTTTCGGAATCACATCCTCATTACTACAGCTGAAGCTGAAGCCGTAAAATTGACCAGCGCTTCAAGAAATTATGGAACCAGTCGGGTCGCTATAATAGGCTTAGCTCTACCGGGAGGGTATCTTACATACGGTAATGTGAAATCAAATGAGCAAGTCACTTGCATCAATTAGGCTGCCGCTCTCATACAAGCCGGGCTTACTCCGCCAACCTCATCCGACTGATAACCCAACCCGACAAACTCAACAATCTCTTACAACGATTTAAAATGGCAAATACTGGATCTTCATCAGGCGATACTCCCAAGCAGGTTTTTAACCCTGGAATCCAGAAGGCGTCCATGGAGCCAAGAAGCATGTATCGCCAGAAAACTTTATCCTTCCGCACTGTACGGTCCATGTCGAGGGATCTGGCGGAGGCCGACCCGCAGCCAGCGGTCAACTCCAGAAAAATCCCACGCCGGTGTCAGGACGATAAGACAGAAAGCCCCCAAAGGCAAGCTCTAAGGGAAACTTCCCAGGAGACCCTGGACCTTCTCCCAGCACTCCTCAACCGCCTGAACACCGCATGTGAGGCCCGGCAGTCGAAGAAAGTGTCGTTCCACTCTCTCCGCAGATTACACTCTCAGGACTGCCCTCGATTCCCGTCGCCCGCAACCATCAAAGTCATCAACGAGGATACCCTCAACGTGGCCGTCAGACTGTTTGCTTCTGCGCAAACGCAGCGCCCCGGTCCGAGTGCTTCAAGACCCAGACCAAGCTCCTGTCCATTGATCGTCAACTTCGCCAGCCATCGAAAACCCGGTGGGGGGTGGCTGAACGGCGCTCTGGCACAAGAGGAGTCGATATGCTACCGCAGCTCATTGGCGCTTAGCCTCGACAGAACGGACTATCCGCTGGGCCTCGATGAGGCGATCTACAGTCCCTACGCACTGGTGATGCGTGGTGATCTGGCCTCCGGACACAATTTGCTTATGTCCCCATCTACGCCCCCGGAGACTCTTCCCGTTATCAGCACCGTCTCAATTGCCGCCTTGTATCGGCCACGATTACGGACCATACCGCTGAACCCTGCCCTGAGACGACCACACAGTAACGGCCGTCACGAGCGTCATGGTTCGGGTGGACACCGCAGCTTTGGAGGACATAGCCACCCTCACGGGCATCGCAATTCTGGGAGCCAGCGCAGAGTACCCCCACGCTCCCATTCAGCCTCACCAGCGATCTCATCCTCCCACCCGCACACCCGGCAGGTTTTTGAGCGTGACAGAGACCGCAATCTTTCCAAGGCTAAAATGAGGCTTGTACTTCGCCTTGCAGCAACCAATGGGCATGAAATGTTGGTCCTCGGAGCTTTTGGCTGCGGGGTGTATGCGAATCCACCTGCTGAGATTGCGCACTGCTGGCTCGAGGTCCTACGTGAACCGGAATTTTGCGGAAACTGGTGGCGGGAGGTTTACTTTGCGGTGTACGATCCGAAAGATGAAGGCAACTTTGCGATCTTCCAGCGAGTGCTAGCTGGGAAGAAGGTGTAGATTGCTGTGCTCTCTACACACCATTCACCCTATCATGAGTTGAATAGCTTGATCTTTTCTTTCGCATTTTTCTCATCTCTTACTTCTCGTCTCTTATATCTTTCATCGGCAGCCCCTGAGGTCTATTTGCATACCCGGTGAAGACATTTCTTAGCTTCGGGGAGACGAAGCTCCCGAAGTGTGGGCCTTTCTCATCGTTTGTGTTCAGTTTCTTACAAGGCAACATTGCATACAAAGAGCTTATCTAGAGATACGGCAAACATCCATTTTGTAGACCCTTTCTCGTCTCAGTCAGTTGAACCTGACGGTTTCTTCCACTACATCTTCTATGCGGCTCCGGCGACGAGGATCATGCATGGGCTTTCCCACTGGATTGGCCGACTATTGTCCAGTATATGCTACCAAACTCCTACTTCCTCTAGGGTTTCTATTCCGGTGCCGACCAACGCTGCCGATTTTTACTGCGGTGATATCGGCGTATTAACCTCTTCGTTGCCAAGATGTAAGTGCTCATCCATCTCGATATAGTTAATGATCGGAGACATAGTGAATGGTCGGGGCCCCGTATATACATGCTTACGACTAAGATCTTTAGCTCCCCTCTAAACTGCAATCCCGCAAACCATCACAATATTAGGCACCATGGACGGCCTCACGCACTTGGAGATATATGGTAATGAATTTGCCTGTGCCTTCCGGATGATTGGCCCGTTTTGCCAGAGTATGGACACCGGGCCATCCACTCCAGCGGTATCCATTTCCAAAGATGTCACAGAAAATTCGCACCCAGGCCGACGTACCAAGGCCGCCACAATAGAAGGACTACTTGGAAATTCCAATGAAGTTGTGCAGAACACAGCCAAGAAGGTCCATGTTCTTGCCGGTATCCGGTGGTTGAGCAGTCTGCACGTTCTGATCTACCTTCCGTTGCGTGGCACCATCGCCGTCAAAAATCTCGCTGAACTAGCCGGCGTCCACGAGAAGGAACTCGTCCGGGTAGTGCGACTGACAGCTACATGTGGTTTCCTGCAGGAAACAGAACCGGGAAAGGTCTCACACACCCTGCTGTCGAACCAGTTCATCTCCCAATGTCGTTTCAAAGACACTAGCATATTTCTCGCGGAGAGTGGAATACCTCGTGCATTGTGGAGGAGTCCGATGGAGCGGGATTCAACGAGGCCATGTGAGGGTGAACACACCCTGAGCAAAGCCTGCCGCATGGGCCCCGCGATGTGGCGCCAATGGGCCGCTTTCCTACAGTGCACGGAGCACTTTGATCACAGGGTAACAGAGTTCCTGACCCGCCTAGACTGGACGAGCGTTGGCGACTGCTGCATAGTCGAGGTAACCATCTCTCCGTTGTCATGCTTTTCACCCTGCGTGGTCATCACATCCTCCATCGCAGCTTGCCGTCGATGGTGGATGAGAGGGGATGACTCGTACCTATATGTCGCTTACTTGCATTGAACGGCTGATTCATTGACTTCCAAATCTCTAGGCCGGATGCCAGTCCAGTGAGAACGCCCGTGTGTTATCAGACCTATACCCCGCCCTGCAGATCATCGTACAAGTCGAAGCAATATCTTCAGATCCAGGCCGGCCCCAAGCGCCACAAGCAGGTATCGCATCGTTCGAAACCTACAATCCCCAGATAACCATTCAAAATCGGCCGTTAGGCACACCTCAGCCCGTCACCGACGCAGCAGCCTACATTCTGCATCTCCCTCCCACTGCCTGTGGATCTGCACGCTCAATCGTAATGATGGAACTCCATGCCTACTGTACCGTTCTCTCCCGCAACCGGGGCGGGATGCTCATCGCCACAGCCCGCATGCTGCCCCCGCCGGGTACAGTCGATCAGGAGATCGAAGCTCTAGCGCGGACACGCGATCTGACCTGTTGGCAGCTGGGGCTTGATCGCGACCCCGAAGTCTCTGAGGTAGTGGATCTGGTGGGTTCAGTTGGTGATGCCCACGGCCGGCTAGTGGTGGTCGATCAACCGCGTACGCGTGATAATGTACCTGTGGCGCTTGCTATCAAGTATCAGTCGTGGTCTGATTTAGATACCGTACTGGAGCCTAAGGTGTTCTGGAACTCAGTACATCTGGCCTATCCGTGAGGACTGTTGAGTGGATTATTGGGGCGAGCAAGCATTTTGGAGCTATCTACTTCGTACAAACAGATATGCGTAACTTCTAACTACATTATTTATGCTTCGTGCTTGGCATGTATGAACGTTCTGCTAATTGTCACTCCTCCGTAGTAATAAGATCGTTCAAATACTAGCAACATTGGAAAGAGATCATGACCATAATAACCAAGCTACCACAAAAGAGACAACGTTCAAATGGGAGTGTACCACTTGTCGACCTACAGAACTTCCTTGATAACCTTGCTAACCGACTCCCGAGCCCGCATACGATCCAACCAATCTTTCACAAAAGGGAAGTTATTCACATCATATCCATCTTCCACCTGGATAAACTTCGTCACCATAAGCTGCCAACTCACCCACGCCAGATCCGCATACGAAACCCGTCCCCCAACCAACCACGGTCCGCCCTCGCCCTTCTCCTGCTTACCCAAGAAATCATTCACGACGCCCGTAACCCGGTTGATCTCCTTCACATAGCGCTCGACAGCGCTGGGCACGGGCTCAGAATGGAACTTCTTGAACCACACCGCCTGCCCGAAGTACGGACCTTGGCCGGAGGCCTGGAAGAACAGCCATTGCCGGGCGAGCTGAGCTTCGTTAGAGCCGGGCTCGAAGCTGATTTTGCGGGACGTGTCGTATCGCTCGACGAGGTATTCGACGATAGCGCCAGATTCCCAGAGGGTGAGGCCGGAGTTTGGGTCATAGATTGCTGGGAGGCGGCCGTTGGGGTTGACGGCCAGGTACGCTGGGGTTTTGACCTCGGCCAGGGTGATGGGTTGGAATTCATGCGGGAGGTTTAGTTCCTCGAGGAGGAAAGCGACCTTGGGAGGATTGGGACCGCCTTTGCCCCAGACTTGGATTGGGAGGATGTTGGATGTCATTTTGGATTCAGCAGTGGTAGCAGCTAGTTTCGATGGCAAGAACTTTGTTTACAAAATAATTGTTTGATGAAGTTGGGATGCCCTCAAGGGAATCTGTTCTACTATTAAGGGTTACTGTAGCATGCAAGCAACGTGTGAAGCATGCAACTAAAGTGATGGCAGCATACAATCTTGAATGATATAAGCATTAATAATGGTTAATAAGAATCGCGATGCTCGGGTTTTGCAAGTCACCGAGGGCGAGCGGTTGCCTTTCTAGTGGCCAATCGCGTGCCACGATCGCAAAACAAATCTAGGGCCACTAACGGGAATCACACAAGATTAGGCTGGCAACTTCGATGGCATTTAGAGATGGATGAGAGGCATGGAACAATTGAGCAATTATCGACTTGGCTTTGAGAAGTCGGTTTGACAAGTACCTGGTCCCGTCTACGAGCAAATATAGGGTCTACCCGGGCAGAAAGTATTCGCTTGCGATTTTCCCAATTATCCAAGTTTATCAAACCAACAAAATGGAAGTACCAAGCCGTGACCAAAAAGTTATCATCATCTGTAGCTAGAGCCAACCCTTGAGCACCCAGGAACAAGACGCAAGCGGGCAATGGAAAAGGACCCAGCTCGAATAAAGATATTATCAAGAAATGCACTGGTGAGACCTGACTCGCTTAGATATGTCACTTTGCCGTTCACCCTGTCTCTCTTTACGCGGGCTCCCGAGGAGGCGCCCACGAAAAGTAACTCGTGAACCCGCGAGAAATGGGGCATTACCGATGTCCTGAGGTAACTAACTAATAGTTAGTTCCGCCGAGGTATTGGTCAGCTGATGAGCCAGTTAACTAAGTTTGGCCTAGGCTCGCCAACGCACGGGTCCCTTTGATCAGTAAGCGCTCGTGTCTCCTCCGGGCCAACAAGCTAACGGTGGATGACTCCTCAGACTAGAGGTGACCTTTTTCTAGCAGGGAGGGCAGAACCATTGCCAGAATCAGCTCTCTCTCCACCGCAGTGTCGGCCAACATCTACTACTGCAGGTGCGAATATCTTAAATGACTTTTGACTTCGGGTCTGATCAAACAAATAGATTTGACAGCGCATCAAAGCTTGTCCAGGAGACTTGGAAGGCCTTGAATCCCGGCTCAGTGAATGCTTGCCAATGCGCGCCCTGCGAATTTCGGACTGGCTTCCGCTCGACATCAGCAGGTTGAAACTCCCGTGCGACTCCCCTTTGCCGCTGAGTTTCATGGTAGTCACGTCCTTCAATTCATTATATTTGTCTCCGTGGAGTGTTCACGGGAACACTTGAGTCTCGCGGTCCCTACCGAAGCCTGTTACCGCCACTAAAGGCTCCAAATCTTGAGAATGGCCGCTCTCATGCGCTGCGGATATCGGTCTGCTACCGAATTCCGCTTCAACGAAGAACAAAAAGAGGCCATTATTCGAACCGCCGCCTACCACCGTAAAGACTACTCTCTCGCCGGGATCTGGTTCTCGCGTCGCGAACACAACGATATTCATCCGTCAATAGCAACACCCTTCCAGCGTTCTTCCAGTGTTGGACTTGGCTTCCTCGGTCGGCTACCCCTCGAGCTCTTGCTCGACACCTTGTATCTTCTGGATATGTATTCTTTGTTCAAATTTCGACAAATAAATCTCAGAGCAAGGCAGGTGGTAGACTCTCTCAGCCAGTACAACAAGGTAGTCTCCCATGGACTGAACCTTTTTTGCGGCTTGTTACGAACTCGGATTGCCATCGAAATCACTCTATTCGACTTTTTCGAGGCATTATGTACTAAGGAATGCTTTCTTTGTGGCGAATTTGGTGGATTTATATCCATACTAGCCTGGAAACGATGCTGTCATAAATGCCTCCAGGTGTCTCCGGAGACCCAGGTGCGGACTCTCGCCTCAGTCCGGAAGCATTTACACATGACCGAAGCCGAACTAGGCCAACTGAAGTCATTCAAGACCTTACCGGGAATATACTCGATGAACGAAACTGTACACAATTCCCGCATTACGATTGTTTCTCTTGATCAGGCTATTTTAGCTTGCAGACGGAAATCTCCCACAACCCAACAAATTCGAATAGGGAGGGCTGGCCAAAATCGGAAATTCAACTTCTTGGCATCATGCGCACTCCCTTACTACGATAAACTAACTGGTAGAGTTGAACACGGAATCTCATGTGCTGGGTGCCCGCTTGCTATTCAAAAAGGTATCTTCGGCACATGGGATGTTCGATTGGGGCAAGAGGCTCGAGACAAAGTTTATGCGCAAGAGGGTTTTCTGGACCACTTTCGGTGGTGCGAGCAGGCACAGCTCCTTTGGAGATCGAGTGATGAAGGGAAAAAACAGCCACCCGAGCTAACCTGGGATGCCCTAAATGGAGGCCGCTTCCGAAGAAGAGAATGACGGTCATATGGTGTCCATCCACTAATGCATTGCAGTCCTATCGAGCAGTGACACCAAGGAGAACCCAAAAGCGGAATCATCCTAGCCATCCCAACCTACAATACAACTCGATCTCACATGCTAAGGTTTATTCTTCTACAATCCGCCCCATTTGATCCGTAAACTTCACCTCCGCATCCGGCTTGACCAAGTGCCTCGAGGAGTAACTGGATAGCTGTCCTGAACGCTTGATTATTGCTAGTGCAATAAAAGTAAAGATTGATCGAAATTCGATTGTGTACTGTGTAGACGATGCTCTAAACAAATACTTATATCTGCCAGGCCAGAAATTAATTCGATTCCTGTTGACTTGGGAAGCGCGTGGAGGGGTTGGGGCCGGCGGCTCCTGCCGGCTGCGATAAGGACGAGGGAATTACTACAGGCAATGCGCACGATGCAGGCCTGATGTCGAATGTCATTTTTGTTATTTCTAACTCCCATCTCTTTCAGCTGTACAAAGAAAAGAGACCCTCACCATTCAAAAATCCCCCGGCGCGGACTTTCAGTGTTTCGAGTAACCGCCCAGCAACGCCGATCACTTGCCGAGTTCTCCAGTCGTAAGATACAAATTACATGTTCGAGTCACTCCAACCAATGAGCTGTTTATGAGGCTAGAATGATTGGATGAAGTACGTTGAATCTTTGCCGCTTAGCTGGGACTGGGGCTGAGTCTAGAAGACTTCATTCGCCCGTCTAGCCGCTGTTCCTAAGCCAATCAACCGAGCGCGAAGAAACCCCGAATCGGCATCCCTGATGATGATGACTCCTGAGACAACAGCCTCGGGGTATGTGACTAGCAGATATTTTTGAAAATAGAAATGGAAAACGAGGAAGCGCTATGGCGGTAAAGGAAATATTGGGAATATATATTATAAACCCAGTTTACAATCATACTGAGGAATCCCTTTCGCAAATATGTCTGCTTACCAACCTCCAAAGCTACCAATGGATCCTGTCATCCTTTCCATGGAAGTCGACGATGACGATGCCTTTGAAAGTGAATATCGACTGCGAATTGGAGATTCAGTGACATATCTCATCATATCTCCGAAAACGTTCGACAGAGATACGCTTTCATTCCCGGTTCAGTCCTTGCCGAGTCTTCCCTGGCATGAGGAATGGACAGTAGCTCACATTTCGCGAGACGGAACTAGTGGCGACTTGAAGATTTCCCTCTCGGACCGAACACTAGCCGGCGTCAAGTGTCAATGGCATCACACCCTGGTCAACTGCTTGGAGTTAGAGAAAACCAAACTGCTCACGGCAATGGCCTTCGAAGCTGTCTCGCATTCGATTATTCCAATTACCTCCCAATTGTCGAAAACAGTCATTGCTAAAATAGCTCGTTTTGAATGGGAGATCCCTCGTATCGAACGCGAAACAAGAGCATATCAACTACTCGAGGATTCAGAGCTGACGCCTCGCTTTCTCGGCCATGTTCACGAGAATGGGCGCGTTATCGGGTTTATATTAGAGAAAATAGAAGGACGCCCTGCTTCTACACGGGATCTGAGTGCCTGTGAAACAGCTCTGGAGAAACTTCACGATTTAGGATTCCTGCACGGGGACGTGAACCGATATAGTTTTCTCGTCACAGAAGAGGGTGCTAAACTTCTCGATTTTGAACACCTCCAAGAGAATGCTAGCCCGGATGCAATGCAAAACGAGCTAGAGAGTGTACGTGCGGAGCTGACAGATGAATCGGGGCGTGGTGGGGGCTTCATAATCCAGGATGATAGCAATTGATATTGGAAGTCAAGTTGCTGGCATGCGGCTTGCCTAGCACATACGACCATAGGGTGTGGAGAACAGGGCTTCCCGTCCGCTCAGCCGTACTTAAGCCACACGCCGGTCAGTTAGTACTATGGTGGGTGACCACATGGGAATCCTGACTGTTGTATGTGAAGTTTTCTTTTTTTTTTGTGTTTTTCTGAATGTTTGTCGAATGTTCTTTCTCCTCAGGCGAATGTGCGCGAGGGACCAAGGAGAGCCTAAATTTCGGCGATCGACTATGGTTGTTCCGGCGTCAATGTCGGTGCCGAATGGGCTTTTTTGGTACGGCTGGAGTGTGCAGATTACAAATGCAGTGGGTTGTTCCTGACATTGGCATTGCTTTGCCGCTCATGGGGGCTACCGTCGTCTTCCAGTACATTAGCGCATACCTCCTGGATATGACAATTGGTTATAGGCGGTGGGCCTCATGGCGAACCCAGATCAGTTGTTTGAGGACGAGACCGCATTTTCTTGGGCAGCAGATTGGAGAATTAAAGTGGCGAGGAGAGTTACGCGGTGGGAGATGATGATTATGAACGACGTTGATAGGTGGGATTAGAGGTAGTGGAGATGGATTGAGAATTATCCTCTAAAGAATGTCTCACTTCTAAGCCGCGGGGGGGCTGGGGGAGGCTTTTGGACAGCTTAGAATTACCTTTGGCACTTACCTCGAACTCTTTCTCTATGAATACTGCTCTCATGGGGCAACTTTGCCGAGTGTGATGTATGGGAGCGTGCCGTTGGCACAGACATCGGTCCCAAAGAGTTGAAACCTCTGGGGCTCAGTTCACCATTGTCAATGTGTGGATCTAAGGGTTCAGCGCGGTTCATAGTTCTTAGTGGTGATGCCAACATGCATTTTACGAGGGAGTTGCATCAGCTCAGGAGAACGTGGCACTCCATCTGTTTGTCGATCATGATATGTGGGTCTGACGGCACGGCTCGTCCGACTGTGTGGAGTGTTGAAGTGACGGATCTTTCGTGGCTTTGGCGCACTTGGAGAATGCAGATGGCTAATCTCGGATCTCACGCATCTGCAGACTAAGAACACTAATGAAATATTGCGTCTCCAAATGAGTATCGGCTCAAATCCTGCCTATAACCTTGTCTGAAAAATCAACATTCCTTGGTATTCCAGCCCCAGGAGCGACCATTAATTGGCAAGACCTTCTGCAACTATCCGATCCCGTAGGCGATCAATAGATCCAGTTGGCTTTCATTGGATTAGGTTTCGTAGCTGACGACGTTAGCCTTTATAAGCGGGATGAAGCTACTGACGATAGTCTAAGAACGTACATGTATTACGACCTCGTAAGGGAAACTGTACATGCAAAACTATCCCACCCGATACGAGGCTTTCCTGTGACTCAGTGCAGGAAATGCGGGGAATGTGCAGCGTCCACTCCGCTCACTGAGAAAATTCTGCAAGGCGATCTCACAATGTGGGTCTGCGCGGCTGGTACTGACGAAAAAGAAGTAATTGCGTAGTTACTGCTGGTATCTAAGTAAAGAGGTTGGGAGCCTACCAAGATTTTGGCGCTCAGCTCTCGAGCTGAAGCCAAGAACCAGGAAGGAAACTTCGGCGATCAATGTGCTGGCCTGGTTAATTCTGAAAGTACATAGGAGGATCATGGTTGTGAAAATGGGATCTCCACCGACAGGGCAGAGTCTGTGGTAGACGAGGCGGAAGTAGTATATTCCTTTAAGATACCTGATGAAGCGTCTTTCAAGCGCCTTTTGGTAAGATATCCTGAACTTCGGTCCGCTGTCGACGGGAGCGTATCGTTCGCGGAGTGGAACGGCAACGGGGCTGGAATACGAGATACGAGATGCAAGAGCTCAAGAGGGGAGAGGAGGAAGAATGAGGAGGAGAACTACAGCAACAACCCAACTTTCCTCCCAGCGAATCTCTATCCCGACTTCGTACTTCCCATAGTTCGGACGACACCTCGTGGCACCAAGGCGGTGATAGGTGGCAAACTTGAGTAATGGTGACACCGCTGATCATTTGTCCCTTTAAGCCGAGCGCCCTCTCCGCAACAGATATCACCCTTCCGTGGATGATGACCCTAAAAATGGGAATCGGAAACAGCTTCTACATAGGAGCGTCTTATGGAGTGGCCTGACCCTTGGGAAACAAGACAAGCGAATAATATTGCTACCAACACTCAACTCCCTCATTTTCCCGCAAAGAAGGAAACGAAGGCCTCTCTAGCCGAAATCAACAGATACCTTTCTGAGTATCATCATAATTCAGTCTGTCCTCAATTCCAGAACCTTTACTCATCACAGGGTGTCTCCCTCGAGAACCGGTACTGACCGCTACCGAAGCTAGCCTCTTGGTCCGCATCGTGCCAAGAGATTGTAATGAACTGAGCCCCCGCTGGGATCTGGAAGGATCCATGAGAGTATCCTTCCTTAATGCATTTCTCAGCGTCCTGGCCACACGTGTCCGATCCGATGTGGGCGGGGTCGGATGTCTTTCCAAGCTTTTTCGATCCCAGATACACCGTGTATTGCTCACCGGAGACCAAGTCATCGGTGATCTCAAGAATGGTGGGGAATTCATAGGAGGACGTGAGCATTGTCGGCTCCGGTTGGCCCGGCTTGGAGAACTTGGCGTTCCATTCCAGCTGAAGATGTTGCCAGTCTTCTACTGGCACGGAACAGCGGCCTTCAGAATCACTGCTGGAGAAACCAGATCGTGAATTAGTGTTTGTAGATATCTAGGTTGAGGAGAGAATGGGTTGTCTTCGTACCGTGAATCGGTGGGGCAAGGAGGACAAGGCTCGCATGTAGGGCACCCTGTGGGGGTTTGGGTTTGAGTCTTGGTTGGTGTTTCCGTTACGGTCGTAGTTTCTGTAACCCGAGTGGGTGGGCACGAGGTTGGTGGCGGTCCAGGGACCGAAGTGGTGGTGGTTTCAGTGGTGGTTTCAGTGGTGGTTCTACCCGGCACCGTTGTTGTAGTGGTTTTCGTCACCGCTGGTGGCTGGCCTGGCCGCCCGGTGGTAGGAGGGGCTGGCAAGGTGGTTGTGGTAGTCACAGTCACCGTGGGTGCATCCGTTCCGGGCACAGTGGTCGTGAATGTCTGCGGCGGCACAGTTGATGTTACTGTCTGCGTGGTTTTGCAATTGACGGTGGTTGCACATGAGACCTGGAAGTCAGATGGGCCCTCCTTTGCAGCAACGACCTTGAGTGCCAAAGCAACTCCAGCAATCAAGGGTACAAAGACGTGGGAAGGCATGAGGAATCTTGAAATTCAGTAATATTCAACAGACAAGGAACCGGAGCTTAGGAGTACTTGATGGATGAGACTGCGGTTTGTTCGTCTGACGCTCTTAGCTTTTATACCTCTGATGGCTTGCTGACCTATGATAGCTGTTCTCGTTTTTTTTTTTCGACTAGAACTGCAGGTGGATCCCGAAGAACTCAAAGGATTCAGCTTACGCCTTCATTCGGGATCTTCGCCACGGCATGTTTTCGATGATATCAATGTGCATCTTTGGCGTCATGGAACGGGGCTTGTGTCCGCAACGAGGTCAGGATCTGGGAACTATTCCCTGGAGGCTCGAGGGTAGGCCAATCCACGAGATTAGGCAATGGACAAAAAGTAGCATCTCGTGGTCAAGGCAAGTCTTCCGAGGCTATTGTGGAGTAACTGAGCAACCTCAGCTTGCGGAGGGTTCAAGTCCGCGATCGACGCAGCAATATCTAGCTGCGTTACTATACAAGGCAATTGTACGTACGTAGCTGGGATGATCTATCTGCAAGCTTTGTGGATGGATCTTCCACGGACATGGTGCACAGATCTTCATCCTGCATGGGACGGCATATGGTAGTTCTTTTTTCCATAACCATGTACATACTCGACTGCTGAACGGATTACCAGGTCATCGGTAACCCCGACGGACAGAAGAGTCAGAAGAACTCTGGGACTCAGCTATGACGACAGACAGCAGCTCGCAAATGGTATAAGAAGCCCGTGATCTGTATCCTGGACTGAACCCAAATCACTTTCGAGATATTGAACTCTTTCAAGTTCAGCTTTCAACCAACTCAACCCCCAACAATGCGTGTCTCTGGCAGTGGTGCTCTTGCCTTGCTCTTTGCTCCGGGCTATGTTCTGAGTGCAGGCTTCTGTGATAACATCCAGCCATGCGTGCCAACCAAATGGGTCACTGATATGGGAACATTTGATTGTACCATTGGTGATGGTGAGTCCCTCTTAAAACATTGAATGATGTCAGGCTCTGACCAATACATAGGCCAGTATGATTGCAAGACTGTCCCTGGAACCGTCCCTCCTCACTTGAAGCCTGGAGCATCCAGGGATGGGGACAAGGGCAACCAAAAGCCCCCGTCCACGGGTAGCTATGACAGTCCCTGCAATGGCGGCAAATGGAAAGGGCTTTGTCTTAAAGGCTGCCATGAATCTCTTCTAAACATTGATGGGATCGAATACGAGCGACGTTGCTACCAGTCGATGACGGGTGTAACGCACACGACGGTCGCCGGGTACTCGTCCCCAGCACAATGTTTGCAGAAGGAGTGCACAGGAGACGATAATTGCTTGGGCATTGAATGGGCTTACAATGTGGACAATGTAAGTCATCGCCGCGCGAGATTTTCATATGCCTCAGGTGCTTACTATTTATGTTCAGCCACCTTGCTGGGTTGCTAGGCGCGCGGGTCCGACATATAAACCCGAGACCCGTGACTATAACACATACCACGCACTTGTCAAGAAGGGAGAAGTTGCTTGAACGAATTCATCATCTCATGCTTCGGTACATGCTCGACGCTGCTAAAGCAGATGATGAGAATCAGGCAATGACGAATGTCAATATCCATTGAAGAAGAGATGAACGGATCGTCCAACTTGCAGAAACGATCATGAGGTTGAATTTGTGGCCGGGATTGCGGTTACGACGGGGATGATTTTATTTCGTTGCCATGTTGGTAGATTGAATTTATTATTGTTTTTGGGGTCCCCAGCCTCACGAGCCTTCACATCTACCCTTCACATCTACCGGTTCCAAACTTATCGGGCATAATTTTACTTGAATATTGTAAAAGCCCACCCAGTCTCAGTAACGTAAATGTGAACCCTATTATTCGGTAGGCTCAGACAGGGGATAGGATACGGCTGAAGGACGCCAATACTACTACGAATTCGGAGTGAAACAACTCGATAGTAGCAAGATAACCAGACTAATCGCTTGGGAACCCTTCCGGTTCCCTTCGCGAAAGCTTTATATATTGTACGGTGTTCGAGCGGGTCTAATCTATACATGTGCGCCGAGCCTTCTCCGATCTTCCTCCGCGGCTCCCGAGGCGCCTTCGTAGCTAAATAAAGCGTGTTGTGATACAATAGGGGGCAAAAGTCTGTGTGCATACCGCTTCACCTATCCCATCAGATACTGATGTATATTCACGGTTATATATCCTACACCACCAATCCTTATTGGATCATACTAAAGTTAAATATATTGAATAATCAGATTTATATACAGACTTCTCTTGTGAAGGGCTAAAGCAGGACTTGATTCAATCTATACTAGGCCACGAACGGTGTTCGATAAACTTAAGGAAAGGAGTTCAATGCGCCGGTCCTCTGTTATTAGTATGCCAAGGTTATGTGTCCTACGTGATCAACACCGGGCCCTGGCCCGTGACAAGTTTAATAAGATTAAGATTAGACGAGTATATAGGCCAATCTTTAATATATATCCTATGCTCTTTAAACAAAACCCGAATGTCTTTCGTTATAAAAAATTTTTTAGTATTTTGCTAGAATATCATTTCGGATTGATAATTATCCATGCCATGGGGGAGGTGTGGGAGTAAAAATAAAAATGTGAGTGGTTTGTTAGGGTGATGGCAATGGGGCCGAGTGCAGACAGACTTTTGACCGGGTAGTGTAGTAACACTCGGCTCTGGGAGCTTTATTGCTCCTGGAACCCCAGGCACAGTTGCCTAGGACATAGGTTCGCTGGTATTAAGTGGTGGTGCTTATCAGAGCCCTCTACTTGGCATACAAATGACCACGGGGAAAAACACGGTTTTACTTCTTGGATTAGAAGTTTTCGCAGTAATGAACCAGCTCTCCTGCTATAACGGACACCCTCATTTATAGAAAGTTGTAGAGGACAAACTTCATAGATGCTCTACAGAAGCTCCCCATCATTGAATGGAGTCCCAGATGAAACCGCGGCACAAAAGCAAGGCTCCAGGGGCTCCATGGAGGCTTCCAGTAGCCAGAAAGCCTTGCTGAGTCGGCTGGCGCAAGGTGCAGATATTTCTTTCTTTTTTTACTCTTCCTCCAGAGTGAATACTTGTCTCTGCGTTGGGCATTATTATCTTCTGGTAGTTGTCCCGCCTATATGGCTTTTGCCAAATATATTGTGATTTTGAGTTTGAACCTCGGATCTACCTGCATCCGCTCATTACTCGGAAGAGGCATTTCAACCACTGACTTAGTAGAACCCAACAGTCTTCAAAGATCTCCACATGGTGTCCACGTTCACTGGCCCCCAGGCAATTTTGTCGCCGATTAGGTCGACGAGGGCGTACTGCGAACCCGAGAAAAAATACGCCTCGCGCTCCCCGCGCCTCGGTTTGAACACGACAGCATCAATCGTCTTGAAATTGGCCTTGGCTAAAGCATTGAAGCGCAATGCTGTATGTCCTGCTTCCACAAGGAAGTTTTGATTCACATCGACAAGAGCGTATGTTTCTTTGCGGAAGAAACAAATGACGCTTGCGGATTCGGGCCCTTTGAACCCGAAGGACATTGCCGCGTCCACCAGGTCGAAACCAAGATCTTTCAAGCAAGGCCATTTCTCCTGGAAATTAAATGGACCGCCGTCGTCGGCAAGTTGACCGGTCTGAGTATTGAGCCTCGCGCAACGGGATCCACAGAAAAAGTATGCGTCGATCTTGTTTTCGGGTGCGCTGAATATAGCGTTGATTGGGGTAAATTCCAGATCTTTGAGAGCAGGCCACATTGACCAAACATCCTTGGCATTCTTATCGATGGTATCCCAGACGGTATTGATCCGGACGTACTGTCGATCTTTGAAAAAGTATATCTCATCAGTTGACCATGAAAGTGGGACCGCCGCCTTGTTCGAGCCAGCAGATCCTGGCTGGGGAGGAGTTGTGCCGGAAGACCCTGGCTGAGGTGGAATGGTTCCCAAAGACCCTGACTGGGGAGGAGCTCTGCCAGAAACCCCCTAAAACTCCTTTGATCCGGTCCAGCGGGTCGACTCCCTCAGGGATCGTGGAGTAAAGAACTTGCCCATTTTTCTTGAAGTCCCTAATGACTTGTTGGCCGCCATCATCGCGGACAATCCAGTCAGCAAAATCATTTGCCATTTCCTTATTCTTCGCATTCTTTGCAACGAGAACGTGAGCAGGATTAAGTAAGACGTCGTTCTCGTCGTCCTTCCCTTCCGCCTAGGTTTGTTGTCAACGTGGATGTCCCGAGGCGTTTTCTACAAGGCACTCACAAATATGGTAAACTTTTCTCTTGTCTCGTCTTCAATTGCCAGCCAAGTTCCTTTGTCCGTCACAGTATACTCGCCCCGGTTTGCCGCCTCGCGAATAGCTTGGAAAGGGAAACTAGAGAACTTGTGATACCACACGCTTGAGGGTTCAGCCCACGGAACCTGACCAATCGTGGCCCAGAGCAAAGACTCGACAATGTTCCCCGCAGATTTATCATAGCTGTGTAGATGGGATTAGCTTCCAGATGTCAAGCTCTTGATACCGTGATGACGAGAAACTGAGATGCCTACCGGGACAAGAACTTGATAGGCGACTGTGAATCCTTCTTCTCTTCCATTTGACTGAACAACTTGGTAAAGAGAGAAAACACACTGGCCTGACTATTTTCTGGGAGGGCGGCAGGGTTGGTCTTTGGGCCTATTCGTTGCATCAGACCATACGGAACTCGAACTCTCTGTTTGGAGCCCACGGCTCAGAAAAGACGTAAACATACCAATTAGCAGCCAATGGTCCCGCCATGCGTAAACAACGCGGTCAACAATATTGTCATCCAGTGCGGTCTTCTCAGCCACGCCATGATAAGTGATAGCAACATCGGCGACTCCTTTGCGCAAATTTTCAATCGAAAAGGTGGTGTCGGACTTGTACCATTCAACGAGGAAAGGCTCAACTCCCTTGCTGTCAATGCAGCTATGAATTTGGGCATGAGATTCTTGAGCCGCCTTTTTCTTGTAACAGTGCACTTACTATTGGACAAACGCTTTTGCCAGTGCTTCCAGCAAGCCAGATTGACCAGATCCGCCCGTAGCAATGCGGAGAAGAACCTTCTCCTGGCGAATGCTGTACACGGCAGAGGGAGCAACGGGTTCAGACATACTTTAATAGTACTATAGTATAAGAGATAATCAATCGCGTCAATAGATATGGTTTCCAAAAGCAACGCTCCAAGTTATGAGCTTTATATGATTCAATGTGGGCCACATTATGAGATGTGGCTAGCTGAGCTTTACAGTATCACGGCCCAATAACAAGTCCGCAGAAAATTGACCAGCGCCTGATCTACATGAATCAGTCTACAGAACATTCCTTGTGTCACCTGGTCATGGTGTATGACGCAACATGGCTGCAGCTAATATATCAGGACGTTATCATTGACTTGCAATACCTAAATCCGCTCCGATCCGCCTGCTGCAGATATATGTCTTGCATACTCATGACCGAGATCATTTGGAGTACTCAAAACCCGCTCTTCCTGATCCTGGTTAGAAATTCAATGCGTGTTGATCTGATGGAATTGACTTGGTACCCGAACACTTATTCCCAGGCTCCAGTCCGCAACCCTAAACTGTGTACAGGCTCAAGTTATGGAGCTGGACGTGCGCTGTTCTGTTGCTCCTCGAGCGGCCTGCATGTCAATAAGCCATCCAGCCCTCTTCCAGATTATCAGAGAGTAAGTAGTATTGCCATCTGGTTGACAGTGCCGCCGGCGACATCGAGGTTGGCTGGCTGAAGCAGATCCACAAAATGTGATCTCAGCTGCGAGATCAGTTCTCGTGGGGAAGTTCGCAGAAGGCTAGTGTAGGGTAGAGGTAATAATGGCTCTCCGTAGGGGTCGTAAAGCACGCCCGACAAGTCGTGCATAGCCATTGTACACACAAGCTTATCTGTGACCGAATTCACATCATCCACCTCCACGCAACGAAATTGTGAACGATATGTTGAGCAGGGTGCTCAGAGCCTAGATCAGACCAGTGATCCCGCTATTCAGGGGGGGCATGCCTCTGTCGATCCCGAGAGCGTGGATCTCTTACGTTCGGGTACGTGGCTTGGTTACACTACGTCGTACCTTCGACAGCATTCAGAAGCGATCTACTGCTGTAGTGGGTCTACAGGCTGCTACTTTGTCACAAATATGGCGCTAGCAAATAGTATCCGCTTAATTGTTTGATGTGATTGGGTCGCCAAGATCAGCCTAGATCGTGGAACGCTTCATAGGCTTGACTCTAAAATGTATTATCCACTTGCCTACCAAATCAGATCGTATCGACCGTGCGCCCACTGCAGCCTTTCAGCTCCTCATTTCCTTAGGGTGTTGATACTTTGAAAGACCCCCTGCCCGGTCTTTCTTTTATTCTCTTGCCTCTACCTCCCAGACTTCCCCCTTTTACCCAATTATCGATTCATCATGGCTGAGGAGGTACGCCTTCCCTTTGCTGAGTGCCCTCCCTACCCCTGCATGTTTTGCGGCTCTGCAATTACCCACACGATTGTTCTACCGCCCCGCATTTTCTCCCTCTTCCCGGGCATCCCAGATCCCTCTTCCAGCCAGGCTCCGCTCAAAAAGAGGGTCGCTATAGTACTAATTTATGAATAGAATGATCTCACCTTCGACTCGGCTGAAGCCGATGGGTCAACCACCTTCTCCGCGCAGTGCTCTACTCTGACGAGGAACAGCTACGTCGTCTTGAAAAGCCGCCCATGCAAGATCGTTGAAGTGTCCACCTCCAGGCCTGGGAAGCACGGTCACGCCAAGGTCCACATTGTCGCCCTCGATATCTTCACCGGCAAGAAGTATGAGGAGGTATGCCCCTCCACCCATGAGCTGGACGTTCCCATCGTTTCACGCAAGCAGTACCCTCTTGTTAGTCTTCCCTTGTTACGAAGTTTGCGCCTCGTTCTCTATCACTGACTACTTTCAATAGCAAAATGTAACCGACGATGGCTTCCTCTCTCTCCTGGATGACAATGGTGACACCAAAGACGATGTCAGACTTCCCGACGGTGACATTGGTTTGGCCATTCAGCAATTCGCCGAGGAAGGCAAAGAAACTGGTGAGTTATACCGCTTGATCCGGCTTTGCCACTCGCCGAAGGCACTCTATCTCACATACCGCTTTCACTAGCCGTCATCGTCCTGAGGGCCATGGGTGAGGAGGCTGCCATCGCCGTCAGGGATGCTGCTACATAAGAGCCGTCGTTGGGCTTGGATGTGGGATACACTGACGAGAAGAGTTGCTTTGGTCGGCATGATATGTGTTAATCGAAGATCACTTCTGGCTCCTAGTATCTCATTATAAGACCTAGTTCATAGACTTTACTACTAAAAACCGGCCGCTCGAACTCTATAGTTTCCATACAGGCCTTTATATCCCACGTAATATTGCGGTTCCTCACGAATTTACTCAGTCGATTGTGACGATTGAATTCTGGCCTTGCTTTGTATACAATCGCGCGGAACTAGAATTTACGGGACTCCCTTGTAAGCCTAAGATTGTACGTTTAAGTTGTCCCCATTTGTTCTATGATTTTAAATGCAATGTGACTCGAAGCGATCCAACCATGCACGGCCCCCAGGTCGATGGGTGGGTCTACCAAGATATTATTGGTTTGATAGCCTGTCCAGAAGTCAGCTCTGCTCTAAGACGTCGAGACATATTGAGTGGACGGGGCACTAACCTGTCCTGATTTCAAGTCTTGAAGAGCTATATGTAGGGATTGTGCAGGATAAATTTCTGCCAGCCGATCAATCGGCATCTTCCCTTCTCGGAACATTTGGAATAGCTGAGGAATAAGCTGCCGAGTGTTAGCTTCGTGTATATCTGAGACAGGTCGGGAGGGTTGTCTGATTAACAGTACTTACCACATGCGGGTTGGAGCGCCCCTCAATAACGCCGATAATGCGCTTGCAAGACACAAGCAGATCTAGGGCATTGATACTCAGGTTTGTCTGAGACGATGGAACGCCGACAAGGGCAAGTGTTCCTGCATGGGCCAGGCACTTGACAGATGCCTCCAGTAACATGCCCACTCCTGTTGTATCAAGGACAAAGTTCACTCCACTAGCCATAGAATTCTTAACTGTAGTCTCCAAGCCAACGCTCTGTGCCGTATTGATAACATCCGTGGCTCCTAGCGCGGATGCCAGTTGCAACTTGGTATCCAGCAAATCAACGGCGATAATCCGCTGCACACCCAGCGCTTTAGCAGCCATCAATGCTGCCAGGCCTACTGCACCCATTCCAATGATCATGATGCTCTCATCCTGCTGAGGCTTCAATACATTGAGCACAGTGCCAGCCCCGGTCAGGTATCCGCAACCTAGTGGCGGAAGATATTTCAGTTCGTCTGGGCGCGCATCAACCTTGACCACAGACTTCTCGGTCACAACAGCCATCTTGCTGAGCGAGGACTGTCCAAAAACTGACCATGGACGGGTGTTCCATCTGCAAGTCGGATTGGCGAGCGGGTATCTGACCCAGAGCGCGCATTCTTCAAAAAGTTTATTTCAGTGGCACCGGGACAGCTGCCACACTCATCTGCCTCACAGGCTTTGCAGTGGCCGCATGTATGGAAGGATAAGAGAACCGTATCACCAACAGCAACGGATTTGACTCCCGATCCTACAGATTGCACGATACCCGCTCCTTCATGGCCAAGAACCGCGGGGTAGCTGCCGATGGGCATACCGCCCGTCTGAACCACAATATCCTGGCAAAGCGATCAGGGAACTGGGCTTGGTTTCAAGGAAAAGAAGCTTACCGTGTGGCAGATGCCGGTGTATTTCATGTCCACCAGAACTTCGTCCTGCCTGACCTCATCCAGAATTACGTCTTTGAGGACAAACGGAGATCCTAACGCGGGAACCACGAAGGCTTTCGTATGAATGTCTCTCGGGGCGGCCATGCTCAAGGATGCAAATCCGGATTCTAGGGACTTGCTTGTATAGACTGTTGAAGCATCTCAAGGATGAGAGTAAGTTGGGAACGTTCAAGTATGATGACAAAATGCAGGAAGCAAATTGCGGGGCCCGGGGTTATCCCGGTTTTCGCTCTGCGCGGAAATCAACCCCGGTTCGTCATAGGCGTTCTGAGAAAAATGGGAATAGTGGTTTTCCAGTTTTCCAAATAATATTTTTCGACATAATACATTTAGGTCAGAAAGTAGTCTCTGTTACAACGATGGTGTCTGTTCATGGCAATTTGGCCAATCTGGACGGTGCCTTTATGTTAGACGCTCCTGGTGGTTCTCATACCCGTCAACTCCAGTGCGCTCTTCGAGGCTTTCTGTATCCAGCAGAATCTACACATTCCGTACAAGGCTAAAAGCACGCTGAGTGATCGTTGAGACATGTATCCGGTCGTGTTCGAAATATCAATTTCCCTACTGAATTATTGGCACACAGAGGTAGGTTAGACATCACACATACTAATTGGAGCCCCTCCTCAGTAAAAGATGCTCTTCATCAGAAGATATCTTCTTAATCCGTCACTGGCAGTCTAGAGAGACTTTTTCTAGGACTGAAATTCTGTCCCTCATTTCTCTCATCCACTTGATCCCAGCCCGTTTCCAATGTCGCTGTTTACTGCTTGTCTGGAGACTTTTCCTAAAGGCAGAGCGAAATTAGTATTGTAGAGTTCTGCGATTAGATAGACACCCTTTCAGAGTTACTATGCCCAGCTGGAACTATACCCGGAGGACGCCTATGCGTACGAAAGACCCAATATCCGACTGTCTATGGAAAATGCAAGGACTGATTGTCGCTCAGATCCCATGTTTCTCCGGCCTGGGGTCCGGGAAAGTATTGCCCGTATTCCCAAGCGGATGACGGATCGGACTGTTCGAATATAACTTACTTGGTCGAATTTGGACCGGTTTCGAGTCATATCCAGAAAACATTGGAATCATAGATCAACGAAATTGCTCCCAAAAGAACCGACGTTCACCACCACTTCGTGCCGGTCTTCTCTCGCAAGGATAAGTGCCCTGAGAGTAGTTGCCGTGCGTGAAATCGCAACTCTCTGGCTCTCCATAGCTCTCCAAATCTCCGATAATGATTCATCTGGATGATTTATCCCAGACTGGATACCTGAGATTGACGCCGTTGCAAACGAATAGTTCGAAACCACGATCACTATTCCCTCCCTCGCTGCGCCTGGTGCATGCATCCTCCAAGACCCTTAATACAGCTGCTGCCTTAGTTACCCAACCAAGCGAATACTCTGCGAAGCTAAGAGATGAACGTCCAAGAGAATACGGTTTCCTTGCAGCCTTACCCAATCTTTTGGATAAGCTGCTATTCCTTCAGGAGATTGTATATGCTTGCGATTTTCCGAAAGCTGATGTTGTGCCCTGTTCACTCGCTACGCTGAGGGTAATCATAACCTCGGTGACCCCGGCTTCAAGGTTATCCAGGCTAAGCTAAACCATCGTTCGGTCGTCACTCTCTTCCACCCAAACCATCCAGTTGATACGAACCTAGTCAGCAGTCTCCCTCAGTTGGTCCTACGGCTCACGCTTGAGACGACCACTGCCATCGATATGTTGCATAACAAGACAGTGCGAAATAACCCGAACTGCAAGATAATTCTGTCCCACGTTGGTGGGGCCTTGTCCTACTCGACGGCCACTCCGCGAGTATCCTGCATAAGGGCCAAGAGGAGGTCGATGCCTTCCGGAAGATGCGCAGAACGTCCACCTCGATACCACTGTGGCGGGAACAGAAAATGTGCTTCACACTATATAGGTGTTAGAGCTAAGCCTATTCATTTGCTATATGGTAGTGACATTTCCTATGCGAACAACAATATCATCAAATTTCATACGTCGCGTCAGGATGGATTCCAGTTTGAGGATGCCAGCTTGGCAGTGAATGTCAATCGCGAGAATACATTGGAGCTGTTCTCCGACTTCGCTAGAGATTTTGCTTTCTATGTGGAAAGGATCTGTTGATATTTCACTGAATCGGAGCGTGAACCGAACCGTAATATACTTCCGAATGGCAGGCCAAACATACGTCATCATTAAATCAAGCTGGCATCCCTGCCGAGAGTTGGAAATATGTTAGCAATACTCCATAGTAATGTGGCCGCTCATTTGAGCGACCACCTTGAGAATAAACAGTATCAATATCGGGGTATTTCGGGTAGTGTTTCAAAGAACCTGGCAATGTAGCGTATCCTGCGAACGTTACAAGTGAATGTTGCAATCGTTTGTGTCGAAGGAACGTTGTGATATTGATGCGAACACCACATGCTGTGTCTCTTTTGCATATCTATTGAGTTGATAAAATAGATAATATCCTAACCAGAAGCCATATTTTAGGCTTTATGTAGTCCAATACTATAGACCAATGAATATCGAGCTTCCCAACCTTGGAGGGTACAGCTGTGGTCACGTAATTGCATCTGCATCGAAAAAATGCATCTTTGTAAGCGATGGAATTGAAGAATGTAACTTTGATGCTCTTTATAAAGCACAGTATGTCTGCAGTCATTTTCCCGGGGCAAGACGCCTGAGGAAGATGAGTTGCGTGTTGTCATTGACCAGACGCTAGAGCCGTAGGATCTGCATGAAAAAGGGAGTATAGAACTCATCATAGGATGGAACTAACAACCAAGCATTGACCTACGTAGATATACACAGCAAATCTTAATCAGGGAAGATCCTCCAGCAAATAGGATTTGTTCTGTCGGCCAGTATGCTGTCGAGTAGCTGTAACGTTACATTGGACATATAGAGGTCAAATCAAAAATACTATTAACAGTTTTCACGTGTGAGTAAGAGCTCACCTCATTCAGTCTAGACTCAGTAGCTCGGGAGAACTCTTTTTGCTTGGGTATTCAAAATTTGAAGCACATATAATTTCTTGAATTACAGAGATAGCAAGTCTAGGCGGTCGAGAGATGCATAATATCAGCTCATTGAGGTAACACATACTCTAATTAGAAGGGATATGCTGACATTCGCCACCAATTTACTGCAACCCAAGGTAGTTAAGTAGTGTCGCACCGAAATTTACCCCACAGTTCGTATTATGGTACTAATTTCTCATTACCAGTTTCTGAAAAGCTCTATGTCAGTCAGTCTCCCAAATTGAGTCGAGCTCTACAAGCTTTTATTGACAATATGGTTCTTGGCATGGAGGGAGTGCAATGGAAATGCGCAGTGCGTTATGTTGCGCGAATATAGGGCTGCTGTGATCTTACTGTGAAATATAATAAAGCATAGGCCAATCTAGCCGGTAGGGAGGGGACTCTACTTTTCGCTCTAGATAAATATAGCTCTTGTCAGAAACCCATTCATCTTCGGCAGTAATCTTTATCGTCGGTAGAAGAACAATTCTAGACCACATATTTATGGTTCGCAAACCTGGCAGTTCCTGGTTGACGTTCCGTCTAATAGAATTTTGAAGAAAACATTTCTGTACGCTGCACGATTGATCTTCTTGACTCGGTCGAATAGACCAGAAATCAGTGTGAAACCTGCGTCAATTCATGTCAAAATTGATTTGCCTTTCATTCTAAAAGGGCCCAAAAGAGTAAAGTGACAGCTTTTTTAGAACCCGGTCGATTTCATCTATAATAGACAGATCAACTTCTGACTTCAGCAAATATAGTCTTGTGTAACCGGTGCGGTTACAGATATATGGGGATCAGATACTTGCGGAACGCCACTTTAGGATTCCTTTTAGACAAGGATCGCGTTTTCGTAGGAAGAATATCCCTGTCCTTGAACGCTAGAACTAGCTAGGCTGGTATTACAACCGGTGAACTATCTTGGTGTCTCAACATATACTTTCCAACTTTCGCGAAGGCGTATGTCCACCAACAGACGGATTGGCGACTACTGGTACGGAATGTTCATACAACTCAAGACGTATGCAGTTCACTTTACGCTTCAGAGAGCAGATGAAAAATATTTTGACCAGGTGGAGAAGCGCTACGTTGCACACATTTTTTTTCTCGATGAGGGGGCTATAATAAGCAACAGAGTCCTCTTGGCCTATCCTGCATCTGCCGGTATATCGCATCCATGTTCCATATCTAAGGAGCTTCCACATTGAATAAATTTGAGATCTATTACTCTCAGCACTGAAATGAATGTCATTCTATATACTGACTCGGCACCTCCCCGGTCAATGTGGATACAGATGAGCTTCCACAGTATATGGAGTATCTCAAAGGAGCACAAGGCTTGAAGGGCTAGCCAGAGAGACAAGTAAATCAAGACACTGAATCATAATGCCGTTTATCATAGGACTGATGACAAAGAAGAACAGATTCGTGAGGCTTACAAACATTAGATCCTCGATTTTTTTTTTCACCAGCATACAGTCCATCAACTACCGCTATCACCGGATTGAAAATGCTCTTGATCAAAGACCTCCGGCTTGAGACCATTACTGTGGGAGGCATATTCGGTTGGGAACGGGTAACCCGACCAATAAATGGCCATTGTAATGGCTATTGCAGAAGATGGAGACAGGCAAGTGCTCATGTTGCAGTCGGGTAGCCAGAGAGAGAAGCTAAAGGGCCCAGAGGAACTTGATGTTAGAACAGCTTCAATAGTGAACGGGCCTTACCTGAAAGTAGTGGCAGACGATAACTATGTGATCCGGGTCGACCACTCATCAGATATCATGGTTCTCTCCAATGTCGATTACCGCATTCCATTATCATGGAGAGAATGAATTCTTCCAGTGCGGAAGTTTTTAGCAAATCTGGCTATGGCTCTGCTATGATGTGGTAAAGGGAAATCATCAGGCATCTGGGGATTCCGAGGCTAACAATCATGGCTGTCATTCAGAAGCTCTAGATTGATCACCACCGCATGAGCTGGTCGTCGCAAACCGACTCAATCGCGTTCTCGATACTCTTAATACACATCAATCTGACGCAGCAATCCTCGTTTTGAAATAGTCTTGGAGTGGGTCGTGATCTTCTGAGGAAGCGTCTTTTCGGAAAGCACCTTCTACCACCTCAGAAGATTCCGCGAATCCTGGGAAACTCATAAGTTTCAAGGGAATAATACTTGAGGGAAGAACACATCACCCACCATTCCTTGAACGTGGTACTTATACCGGTCCTGTGACTAGGTAGCCGATGGCATCTTACAGGAGAGGAATATCCACGATACGCACTGTGGGAGCCGGTGACTTTCTGTTCTGTGAAAAAGCCTTCGGATATGCCTTTCACGACGACCATACACACAATACTACGCGTATTGCCCAAAGCCGAGACGAAGAAGATCATTGTAGCTTCCTCGTTGGAAGTGTGGTCGAGTTGAACTGCTGCAGATGCCCTACACTCTCTCAAAGGGTCTGTCAATTCTATGAGTAACGATGAAATGCACCAAAGCAGAGTGACAACTGTCACCGCTGTGGAATATGGTGTATAGTTACCTATACCAATCATTCTTGGGTGAGGAATTCTTGCCGTTCCTTTGTTGGGGGTATGATGGGTTTCTCGTGATGCAGGGAACAGTACACCCAACACGGTAATTAGCCTCTAGTCCCAGTCCCAATTGAGAATGACGATGGGGAAGCAGTCGAGATTCCACATTAGAGCTTTAATCCCATTCTTAAAAACCAAGCAGAGAAATATGCCCGACTGTCATATGAAGTTTCTGTGCAAAAGACGAAACATTTGACAAAACATATGGCAAGGCTCCCGAGCGAGCCGATGGGTTTACTGGCGGTGATAGGATAGCAGTCGCATTGGATAGCTAGGATCGCCAACTAATCAAGATTTTAACTTTGGACCTATGAACAACGAAGGATACTAATTTGGACTCGATAGGCTCACCCTCGTGACGTTCGGAGGGAAAGGGGGCAGGATAGGAAACTTCGTTTGCGAGTCAGCCGACCGCATGCAAAATGAGCGCATGTCATGTTTTCAGGTGCATAAGCATTGTATGCAGAGCAGTTAAATTTAGCCCAATATACAGTAGATACGCAGCTCCTTTGGTTCTTCAGAAATTGTGCCGAAGTCAACCGCCCTCACATGGTTCTTTTGTACATTACGGCGTCCTCTAACCAGGGTCCGGCCGCCACAAAACGCCCACCACCTACCGCACTTTACCCTACGTCACTCTGAAAACGCGGGGAGCAAAGTCCGCCGAGAATTTCTAACGCTATTGCGTAGCTCATGTATAATAGCGCTGTTCATACTATTGAATTTGACCCCTTGACGTCGACAGTGGTTTAAATCCGTCATAACTTTCCGCCACTTCAGATTCATCAGTTGCTTCAATTCTACCAAAGCACTCTCCTTATTAATCATTCTTTTGGCCTGGAATGATGTTAGAATGGCTCTTTGAGTAGGGGCAGGGCCTATCCTAGATGGTCTTGCTGGATACCTTCAGTGCGATAGGAGTTTCATTCTATGACAGTATACCAGGCTTCACAATCTCTTCTCCATCTCCAAGGACAGTAGCTAGTTCTACCGTACGGAGGGAATGGAGCCTTTCAGATTTCTCGGATATTAGCACTCCGCACTCAAAGCGTATCCTTAGTTATATCGGAAAGGTCTGAGAGCATGTTACTGTAACACATTGTTATGGTCATCTGAAGGTTCTTCTCGAAGTCTGTGCATGATTCCTTGTTTTGGGTATAGCTTCCTGGAAATGAAGTGAATGATGGGCCTCATATGGAATCAGACAGCATTCATCTTGAGATTATCAGCTACTAGCCTTGTTCGTGAAATGGACACCTCGTCGATCAAAGTTATTACACGTAAGAATGTGACCATGGAACTCGTTCAAAATGTACGTTTCAAGTATATGATCGACCTGCATCCCCGCAGTAGCCGCTTAGGCTTATAAGTTAATTTGGCCAGATTCAAGGAATTGCACATCCCGGGGGAGGTTCAATATCACATCAATCTATCTGAAAGCTTCGCAACAGTGGATCTAGTAGAATTCCGAGATTGAGTAATGAATTACTGGACATGAACTTTCATGGACATACGTAAGCCTTCGGAGAAAGCCAATTACATATTAACGCTCCTCACTTCAGCTCAAGACAGAGCCATGTTGGTTACATTTAATGGTTGCAAAGGATCGTGAAGCCCAAATCTGGTGATGAAAAAGGGTCCCTCATGCGAGTCGGAGGGGGGATTCAATATTGGGCGTTGCCAGAACCTAATGACTATTAAAGCGCTCAAGGCAACTTCCAATTTGGTTTAAAACCAAACCTTTCGATTCCTTCCTCGGAGTAGGTTATTGGTTCCTCAAAATCATACTCTCCGAATTCTATTTTCACTCACCTGCCTGTACGCGCCACTGTTTTTTTTTTCCCACTCGGCGGAACGAAAGTCTCTCCAAAATGGGCCTCGTTATGTGGCTCTTGCTTTTAGTCACCATGGCCACTGCCATGACCACCTCATCATTCAGTGCTGCCAACTCTACGGTTACGACTTCTACAACCACAGTACCTACCAGTGTAACGCCTGCTCCATCCACGACTGGAGATCGGCTTGTCTTCTGCCATTTCATGGTAAGCGCTTCCATAATAAGCATTCCTTGAATAAACTGACACAGTATCATGGCTAAAAAATTCAATAGATTGGAATCACTAGCAACCGCCAAAGTTCCAGCGACTATGATGACGATATGAAACGCGCCAAAGATTTAGGCATTGACGCGTTTGCCTTGAATATCGGAACAGATTCATACACGGACACCCAGCTTGGGTACGCGTACGACTCTGCTTCTCATAATGGGATGAAAGTATTCCTCTCCTTTGATTTTAACTGGTGGGCCACGTCCCAAGGCTCTGCCGTCGGAGCGAAAATTAAACAATACGCCGACCACCCTGCCCAGCTTTCTGTCGACGGCAAGGTCTTTGTATCATCCTTCGCTGGGGACGGGGTCGATATTAGCGCGATGACATCAGCAGCAGGCCAAGATCTTTTCTTCGCGCCAAACTTCCATCCCGGTCAGGGCGATTTCAGCGCTATCCAGGGTGCGTTGAACTGGCTAGCTTGGCCTAACAATGGAAATAATAAAGCTCCAACACCCGGGCACAACGTTTCTGTGGAAGATGGGGATAACGCTTATATCGCCGCATTGAAAGGAAAGCCTTACATCGCACGTAAGTTTAGAAGGGGTTGCCTGGTAGGACTTTTGAAAGATTTTGAGTGACTAATGCTATTATCGCCTCTTTAGCGGCTTCCGCCTGGTTCTCGACGCATTTTGGGAGTGAAGTTTCTTATAGCAAGAACTGGGTATTTCCCTCAGACTTGCTGTGGTTCAATCGTTGGGAAGAGATTCTCAGTCTCAAGCCTCGCTTCATTGAGATAATCACATGGAATGATTACGGTGAATCTCATTATATCGGTCCGCTGTCCTCGCCCCATACTGATGATGGCTCCTCTAAGTGGGTCATGGACATGTAAGTTTCCCCACCAAAGCAGTAGTGTTATGCTGTTGATTGTTCTACTACTAAATTTGTCACGAATGATTCAGGCCCCATACCGGCTGGCTAGAGATGTCTGAGCCGTTTATTGCAGCCTACAAGGCAGGCAGCCAGAACGTATCAGATTACATTCAGGATGAGAAGTTAATCTATTGGTACCGACCGACTCCGCGCAGCCTAGACTGTGATGCCACGGATACAACTATGGGAGGTAACCCCAATAACGCCAGTGGGAATTTTTTCCGGGGCCGACCGAATGGATGGGAGACGATGGCCGACGAGGTATTTGTGGTCGCCCTACTCAAGTCCCCGGCCACCGTCCAGGTGCAGTCAGGAAACCAGTCACAGCAGACATTCCAAGCCCCTGCAGGAGCTAGTGCATGGACGGCACCGATGGGAGTGGGAAAGCAGCAATTCTCGGTGACGCGTGGAAACCAAACTTTGCTATCTGGGACAAGCCTGAATGATATCGTCGACACCTGCATCTGCGGTATCTACAACTTCAATGCTTACGTGGGAACTCTCCCAGCACCAAAGTCAATCGACCAACTTCAATCGGCAGGACTGGCCGAGATATCACAAGGCCTGAAGGCCCCATGCCCAACGAACACCTTGGGTGCGACATCTACTAGTAGCGTCAGCCAGCGGCGCAAATGGTGAGGTACTTGGTGAGATACATGGTGAAATACTTGGTGAATCTAGTGTCATGTACATTGGGAAATTTGATGTTCGCCCTACGCTCTTTATTTTTGAACTGCAATCCAACGTTTTTCATCTGTCTACTTGCTACGAAATCTGTTAATTTATTGGACCACACCTGAATCCTGACGAGGTGAAGCCCCCAAGAATGCTAGGCGTCTTATTTCTAAGCATCTTATTTTGATTTGCGCGCGGGGGATCTACATAGAATGAAAAACACCTAAGCATCTTTGCACCCTGACTAGGACAATCTGCGTCAAGCCGTAAACAGATAGGAAGGTGTTCGATAGAATATTCTGCATTATACAGCAACCAGCCTGCCACCTACCCGTCCTACTTTCTTTGTGGCTGGTATCTTTTTGGAATGTATATTCATTCATAGGTCTATTTGATAAGAAAGAACCACCATTTACATGACCTCTCTCCAAACTGTCCATAGCACACGTAGAAAACGGTACTGAAAGAGTTTAATCTCAATTCTTAAAAAAAAAAAAACAAGGCCCGAAGCTGGACGAAGGAACGGTACAGTTACGTCACGAGGATTCAAACGAGCTAAATTTCACGCAAGAAACCACAGCTCCAATTGAAGACAGTATAACGAGTTGGATACATCCAGTTATACAGCTCTTCGGTGCTCAGAACCAGTTTGTCTGGTTTCCATTGTGACTCAAGAACATGCCGCTGGACTCAGCGTCCAGATCCCGAATGACCTGCAGGCACTTTCTGACACTTTCCTCGGGCTGGATTTGTCCCTTCAGTTCTGGCTCCACTGCTCTAAACAGCGACAGCATGCCGGAAGTTGCTTGAACCACTTCGGCGGGTTTCTCTCCTGTAAAGTTGTCAGAACCATTCTCTGGGCATTTTATATCTCGGTATATGGCCACCTACCCATGTCCCACGTGTCGACCCATCCAGGACTCAACGCTAGCACCTTGATCCCTTTCGGCGCAAGCTCCACGGCGTACTTGGCAACTTGAACGTTCATTGCGGCCTTGGCCGCGGAGTATCCGACACCGTAGGTGATACCAGCTTTTCTGATGAGACCAAAGTCTGCCATGCCGCTTGAGATATGCACAATCTTCTTCTGGCCGCCCTTCTCAATCAGGGGCAAGAAGGCGTTGGTCGCCCAAAGACTACCGTAGACGCCCGTGTAAAGCGATGGCTCAAAGGACTTCCGGGTCGCTTCAGTATCGACAGGAATTTGCGAAGGGCTGAGGCCCACGGTAGCTACATCCACAGCATTCGAGTTGTGGATAAGAACATCCAACTTCCCGCCCGTGATGGCAGCTGCGGCAGAAGCGGCATCGAGAATGGACTTTGGGTCAGTCACGTCGCCTTTGATGGCATGAACGTTGGGGGGAGCTGGCAGCAAGTTCAGAAATTGCTTGCGACTCGGGGTTGCGCACAATCGCCAGGACTGTATTATTTTCATTGGCGGCGAGCTGGCGCACGAATTCGAGGCCAATGCCCCGAGAGGCTCCGGTGATTGCGTATGAAGCCATTTTCTATTGAGGTGATTGAGTTGCTTTATCTGTTGAGTGACTCGAAATGAATTGCGATGCTGCTGATGCCATTTCGCAGTCGTGGAGTCTTATTATAACTATAGTTTGGCCCCCAATGATAGATGACAAACCGGGGCGGACGATCCGGTGTGCCCCGTCTCACCCTGATTGCTCGACAATCGGCCTCCCTCGATCGGACCCGCTCGATCGGCCGCTCCGTTTCCAGCACTCACAACATGAACTCCGCTGTCTCTATCAAACGAAGGGCCTGTGTGGCCTGTACGGCTGCTAAGGCAAAGTGTACACCGCAGGCCGCCAACCTGTGCCAGCGGTGCGCTCGCCTAGGCAAGGCATGCACATACCTCGATCTTCCGCAGACGAAGCGGAAGCGCAAGGCTGCACCAACGTAATGTGTCCCAGCGCATAGTTCATGGATTATGGCACTAGTGTTACTAATGCTTGATGTAATGCAGCCGAGTAGAGTTACTGGAGATGAAAGTCGATCAGCTCATGTCGCAGCTGGGTAAGTCAACCCAGCAGAACATGACGACTCCAACAGATACTCTTCGCCCGACTGCCCACGACTCGGCCTCTGACCGTGAACTGGAATCGGATATGATGAATACCGATGCGCTGGCCTTTGCTGTCCAGGATCCATCACACGGTCTTGCGCCGCCTACTACCTCCGCGATGGAGGGCCAACCGACTATCGTGGATCGGGGTCTTCTAAGCGAAGCCGAAGCAGAGCGCTTAATTACGAGTTTCCAACTGGACTTTGTCCCCAAATTTCCCTTCGTGGTCCTGGGACATGATGAGACAGCTGAAAATCTGAGGAATACGCAGCCTTTCTTATTTTTGTGCATCGTGTCTGCTACTATCGGCAGCGCATCCCCTCTCCGCGAGGCCATTGCGGACGAAATCATGAAGCATGTCACACTAAGGATCATGGCACGGTCCGAGAGAAACTTAGAGCTCCTTCGCGGCCTACTTGTTCACGCTGCGTGGTACACATATCCTGGGGAGAGGAATCACCCGCGGCTTCTTCTATTGATCCAAATATCTGTTTCTATTTTACAGGACTTGGGTCTGCACAAAAAGATCAATCCCACCCCCGAGGAGCAGCGTGTCTTACTTGGCACATACTGGCTGTCATCTCAGGTGAGGGCATCTAAAATGCTGGATGCGGCTATAACTAACTGCGGCTAGCATCGAGGAGAATCTCGGTCGGCTGACTAGCATGAGGCGGGATTCTCAAATTGATCGGTGCATGCGGGGTTTGTCATCGACTAAGCAACTCTCAGATCGATGGATTGCACCCTTCATTCACTTGCAGTCTTTCTTAGCAACGGTAGAAGACGTCCATTCTTCGGTACAACCAAGTGGAGGGGTTGTACAAGTCCAGATCATGAATAACTCTCTACAGCAACAGTTCAATAACGTGAAATCATCTTTGGAGAAAGACCTCACCGGGATTCCTTCATCAACAGGTACGTTAGGGGCCTTAAAATAATCAATGGAGATTAACTTTTTTTCGTGCAGGAAATGCAATACGCACAGAAATAAAATATGTTGAGTTACATCTCGAGGATTTATGCCTCCGAGAAGAACTCTGGGTCATGGAGCCTAACAGCGCAACTCGCATCTCCATGTTAATGAACATGATCCAACGAGCCAAAGAGCTCATCCAGACCACCCGAGACTTGAGGATTTCCGAAATTGGTCAAATGACAATAACTACGACTGCTCGCCTCTGTGCTGCGGTGGGTTACATACCCATGTTGGTATTGACCTTGCTCACCCTCATCACTGGCACTATTGACGCTACTACCGAGGCCCTAGCACAGGCAGTTGTTGACGTAGCAGATTACCCCAAGCTTATCACAGAGCTTGCCGATACGTTGGATGTGAGGTTCCAGGGCATGTCTGCTGCAGAAATGGAGACAGACGTTGTTGGTAGCCTCTGTCTGAAGATGCGCCAGCTAGCACGCAGTTACCCTTATCAGGTCAGGAACCTTATTGGGAATGCGCTATCCCGCGATGCACGGCAGGCTACGTCTATGATAGAAATCCCCGCCAATGATGTTGCTTTGGCACCACAGGTCTGGCCGTCAATCTACGGCGATCTGGATGATATATTCCCCATGGATGATATACAATGGGATTCTCTATTGAGCAGTTTCCTTGGGGTTACTAGCACTAGTTAGGATAGCCGACACAATTTTGATGAAGCACGGCATTGTCAGATAGTATCAATGCAAATGACGAGAAAAAGGAGCAAATTTAGGATCCTACTAATTCCCGCCTAGTTTCCACTGTTGATCTTGAAACCCAAGAAACGTGGGCGCAAAAGACGCTCCGCCACCCGATTTACAGTGAATGTGAAGGGGCACTCGTGGGAGCAACACCGGAGCAACGGGAGTAAGTGGATCGGGGGCTCCGGCCTCGGCCGAGTGGCGGCGATAGCAAATTTCCGGACGAATCAAAAAATGACGCGAGAAAAAAACATACAACAGTCAGGATTCCCATGTGGTCACCCACCATAGTACTAACTGACCGGCGTGTGGCTTAAGTACGGCTGAGCGGACGGGAAGCCCTGTTCTCCACACCCTATGGTCGTATGTACTTGGATCTCTTAAGAGCTGGGTGATATCGGAGCAGGAGATTTGGTGTTCGCAGCATTGGGGTCATGGTATGAGCTACAAGGGTCAACTTGAGGATAGAGGAACTTTTCGAGAGGAGTCCCTGTGTTGCACGCAAAGCGGGCCTTTCCTCCGGTGATGTCTCGGGGGGATTGTCGTGCATCCGAGGGCATCGCCTCATATATTCGTGCCGCTTCCAGGTTCGGTCTGCGGATCGTGAAGGTAAAGGATTGGATTAATTTAAGATCTTTGTCCGAGATGGAGCCAAATTCGATCAAGTTATTGGACTGAGCGGAGCTATTCTGAGGTTCAGGGCTCTCGATTCGCCGAGTTTGCGGTGGCATTCTTGCATATATGTAAAGTGGAACCTGGAATATATTATTAACGGGAAGTCTTGTAGGTAAGTATGTTGGCAGGCCCCCGGCGGGGCTCAGAATAGAGGAAGGTGGTAAATACCGTGCCACGTGCGGATCTTCTTTTCCTGTCTTTTTTTTTTGAGAGGGGTCCAACTGGGATGTTTCGATTTCAACTGGTTTCTACTGCTCAGAGAGCTCGGCCTGTAGCTGCTCAGCATTGGCTGACGGCGCTGTTTCATCAACACCAAGAGATTGCCGCATCTTGCAAATTCCTTGGATCATCGCAAGAACATCCTTTGGTGCATGGTGCGCAAATTCAGATGCGGGGTTGTCATCGCGGTGTAGTTAAGCAAAACGATAGTCATTGACCCTTATGTTTTTAGACAGAGTGTTAAATAAGGCGATGGTAACAGATTGAGGAACCAGGGAGCCCAACGTCAGCTGTAGGTAAGTACGTGAATAATAAGAAGAGTGGTATAAAGGTAGAAAGGGAGAGCACAGTAGTATTATGATGAGCTTCAACACAGAGAGAGTGAATAGCTGCACTGTCCCCACAAACTTGATTTAGAGATCACTATCACCTTCAATGTGAAGCAAAACTCAAATTTCAATCAACATTATATCTCTTGGAGCAGTGAATGACCAGGAAAATTGAAATCTGCACGGATGGTAACCTCAAGCTTCATGAGGATTCCCACTTGCTTGCTACCGATTATAGACTTGAGCTAGATCACTTATTCTTTCGAACGCTCTAAATCACGTACCAATGCCCCAGTTCCTATCCCATATAAGGCGCAAATGTGAGTTTATCGAGCTTCTGATGCCTTGACGGTATGGCAGGGATTAGTAGTGCATGCTCGGTGCAGGCCGCGAAAGGGAAACGCATACAAGATTAGAATACAAGGATGCTACAGTGGAATCAAAACTCACGGTCCATGCCATTTGCTAGTACTTAGTACTAGGACCGACCGCATCTCCAACCATGATACGCGCCACGCGACACGAAGTCGAGGCGGCATCCTTCCCCCTCCCCCCTCTTGGCCTCTCCGCCCTCTGGGCCCCAGTATCAGACTTGGGGTCCTCCTCGAGCCCCCCTCTACTCACCAGTCTCAGAGGCCTGGGTTCCTACCTCCTCACTGAGGGAGCCCACCTCCCCCCCAGTGGTGGTGGCGCCACTGGCCTCATTCACCAGTTTGGCACCGGCTGGCCGTTTCTTGCCAACTACGATATGATGATTAGCCTGGAGTCCGATGCTGAAATGCGGTCTGAGGGAAGGCACTTACGACCGTAGCGCTCCTTGATGAGCTCTTGGGCGGTCTCGAGCAAAAGGAGAGACTTCTCAACCTCCTTTTGCTTTCGGTTTCCTTTGGCGCCAAGCCGCTTGTTAGCGTACGTACTGGCGCGGCTGGCCCGGGTGCATGCCTTGAAGAGGCTGGCCTTCATCGCCTCCTCGTGGTCTGTCAGGCGCGTTAGCTGGACATTTTTGGATTGGTGGGGCGCGATAAGATTAGTTCGTACCATTCTCTGGGCGACCTTCTGGCGTCACCTCGACGGGCGCGCGCGAATCGTCGCTCATCTTGAGCAGTAAATAGCTAGCTCTGGGACCCTGTTGGTTTAGAAGTAAGCAGGGGCCTTCTGCTTACAGCGTATGAGGAAGGAAACAGGAGATTAAGGGTGGTGGAAAACGCGGTGGTAACTGGTTGACGCGCTGGGACTTGAACAAGTAGAAAATTAAACGAGAGAAGGGGATTGAATGGTTGGTATATAAACAAGTGCTTGGGGAAGTGCCACCGCTTCCAAAAGAAGAAACAGCAGTGATTCCCCAGCGTCAGCAGAACTATATACACGTGATTCAAGAATAATATGGGAGAAATGGTCGATCAATGCAGTCCAGAATGTCCGCGTGGACCATGGAAGTATTATTATTAAGCGGACAAATCTTCTTATACAAACTCAATCGCCCAGTCAAGATGCTGGGTCTCGATGGCGGGATACCCTACCGCCATTAAAAGGCATTGCCACTCTTCAGGGCACCAGGGAAATCACCCTGGATGGCTTGCCAGAGTGGCTTGCCTCCTGCTTGAAGGTCCTGGAAGGCGGGGCAAGTTAGGTTCAGCAGGGGTACTGCAAGAGCATCAGTGATGAAATCCAGTGGACCGGCGAGAGTCTTGTAGATTCCGGCAAGAGCGTTCGGGCCGGCAAATTTCAGGACTTCAAACACAAAACACAACAGATTGTTTCCTTCCAGGAGATTTGTGAGACTATACACGCCACCTGTGATGTTACCAAGGTCAAGTCCGGCGAAGCTGTTCACCTCGCCCATATTTCCTCCGACACTAAGGCGATACCCGTTAGCGATATGGATGAAATGAATCAAAGATAGGTCGCGCACCTTGCAAGCTCAGGATATTTAGCTATAAAGTCAAGGGTATCGAGGTTCAGCTGGACAAGGCCATAATCGACAGGAGTTTTATACCAGTTTTCTGGGATTCGTTCCCAGCCCTCGCGATAAGTAAGGTTTCCGTTCTCCTCATAGATGGCGAAGAAGTTTCGAATATGCTCCTTGGCTGAAGATCTGTTAGTTTGCCTGCCTCATGTGTGGGAAATTTGCGATCTCTCCCAGTGACTCACTTAAAGTACCCTCTGGATTTTCCTGCGAGTGATTGCGGAACAAGCGCCCGGGGAAGATATAGCCAGCGTTCCGGGCGAGAAGTCCAGTAACGGGACCGTAATAGAAGTTCGGGTTTGTCTTGATGGTTTCCTCGAAGCGGTTCTTGGCTCTCTCTGCCATCAGGTCCATGTCGAAGGTATCTCCAGAAGCCATGTTGTACCATTCCATGAACTTGTCCATATTCAATGCATGGTTGTTCCCGGTGACATAAAGGTCGTCGCGCGTGTTTGAGGAATCCGATTCGATGAAATTGTGGGAGCCGATGAGTCCTTGCGGGGTTCCTGGAAAATGTGAGCATTAATAGGAAGTTGTGCAAGTTGTATTTTCGTTCCCTGGAACATACCAAGAATCCCCCCCAAGTTGCCCAGCAGGTTCTCAACGCCTGGATCGGGACCGCCGATGGAGAAGCTGGGGTCCAGAGAAAGCGGGTTGCCAGTCCAGACAGTGCCCATTATTGCAAGTACAGTGGCCAAGTCTACTCCCATTCCATAAACTGGGGGGCAGTGTTAGATATCAATTCACGAATATTGGATCCGCGGAGCTTTTTCACCTTTGTTGATGGCTTCGATCACGTTCGCGAACTGATTGATGATTAGTGGGGCGCGTGTGTTCGGTGTGAGGGTCTAAACATACTGATACTACTCCATTCCGAGGAATATACCCATGATTCGCGAGAGCATTTAGACCGGGGCAAGGTCCCCGCTGGTCCCCATTCTCGAAGTCAGGCGGCTGGAATTGGTGTTCGCCAGTGACTTTCACGTATTAATTAGCAGGACCTGCACGAAGGAGAGATCGAGTCAAACATACTGTCAACTGGAGACTTCATCAAGTCAAACAGGAAGCGTTTCTCGTTTTTTTGCTCTGCTTCATGGTCTTTCGCATAGGGGCATCGCTTGTGCAAAGCCTTGTGTGCGGAGCTACCCCCATGGGGTCCTTCGGTCCCTGGAAAACCGAGCACAAGACCGAAGATCACAAACAGACAGACTGCCTGTCCGAAATTCAACAACCACATGTTTCCAGGGGATTCAAGTCCTTTCTCTGGTAGACGAAAGATGAGATTCAGGGGAAGATGTTCCCTCGATTGGGAAAGGAGGATCTATAATTCAAAATGCCGATTGACGCGCTAAAAGGGTTTCGTTTAAGTTTATGGACCCTCCAGACATGTTCATGAACTACAGATGTGACCTGAGCCCCTAATATTGATTGGATTTCCAATGGACGGCACCTTATCACCCAAAAGGGCATGGACGAGTATGGAGGCGAGATTGGGGTGGCCAGGGCCAAGGACACAATAGGCTTCCTGTAGGCTCCACCTTGACACATCAGATTCCAACTTTTGTTCGTATATTCGCTTAATGCCGAATGCACTCCTGAAAGCCAAATTTATCGTCCACAACGTTTAAGATGGCCGGCATTTTTATGTTGAGGGCGATCCCTGCCAAATCTACCGACCGGAGCTTCCCCGGCGGCCCGTGTACGTCAAGCTTAACTATAAACGTCGTTTGCCCACAATTTCCCCCCACATAATTGAAACTTAAAATACAGGGATTGTCGTCTCGGGAAAATATCGGCGAGGCAATGAATTGGGGGAAAAGCAACAAGATCCTGGTGCTATCAAAGGGGTTAAGCCAACCAGCTATCCCCAATTGACCACGAAGGATCATATGTACTTGGGTGTTAGACGCCAGGAACGAAGCTGGTCGAGGCTTTGATGTTCGCCTAATCATAATACCCAAGCCGCGATGAAAAGAAAGGGAAAAAACCAGCGGGGCAGAATGTCAAACACGGGAAGACCCCTGAACGTGGAGACCGGCAGCGCCATGCCGGTAAAACCACCTAAGCACAGCTAAAACAAGCGCCACCACTTGTCTTTACTTCTTTCGTACCATATCCGTGGCAATCACAAAAGGCTGGACATGCAGGGGAGTTAAGCTAGGTCTTGGGGAAGAAAGGCAGGTGTAGATCCCAATTCGCCCGCTTAATATGCTTTTCCAGGCCGTTCTAAAGGCATTTAGACTATGTGGCCGAGACCAGGGTCAGCCTTGTCCTCTATGTGGTAATCAGCACGAGGACTTACCAATTTCTTGGGAGGAGCAGATGTACTTCAAGTCTATATCTTCCTTCATGATCCTGCTGGTCACAATCAGCTGAATACCTTCCTTGCGTTTCTATCCAGTATCACAGACGCGATGCGTGTTCTTGGCGCAGTAGCCCTGGCGGCTGCATTTTTCGCTTCCAGTGCAATCGCAGCATCAGCCCAAGAGTTAGCAGCGATTCTACCCCCGTGCGCGGTATGTGCCAGATCAATTTAGTCCTCTCTTTGCTTCTAACAGAAAGTCTCGATAGTTGGGTTGTATGAAATCTTCTCTGGCAGAGGCATCATGCGCGCCGACTGATCAGGAATGCTTGTGTCTCGATCCGGGCTACACTGCCGCTTTAGAAGAATGCGTCATGGCAACCTGCACGATCCGACAGTCATTAGGTTAGTCTTTGAGACAAAGATAGCGAGCTATAGCTGACCGATCAGTGACGAAAAATGTCACAACCCAAGGATGCCACGCGCCGATTCGCGACAGAACAAAAGTGGTGTCCTATACCGGCGTCGGTGGCGGTATAATAGCTTTCATTGCTTTTGTTCTTCGTATGATCGCTCGACTGAAATGCTGCGGTGGCATGTTTGGCATGGATGACTACACTATGATACTGGCAATGGTGAGCCGAACCTTCTCCACCCCAGAGTCACAACTGGCTAACAGAAAGCTACAGGGCCTTACAGTTGCTTTGTCTGCTCTCTCTGTTGTCTGTATGATATCCATCTCTTTGCTTATATGGTTCGAGAGGCCGAATCAAGCTAATGTGGTTCTAGTGGCCGATGCGGGACTGGGGCGAGACATGTGGACCATTCCTCTCGACAATATCACTCGCATCCTTTATGTATGTGATTGAAGACAACCCGTCCACCCTTCATGCGAGGTCTAACGGTATTATAGATATACTTCTGGGATGAACTGATGTACTTGAGTATATTACCCCTTACCAAGATCTCCATCTGCTGCTTCTATCTGCGCATCTTTCCGGAGCGACGATTCCGAACAGTGACTTACATTATGATCGGTATCAACGTCTGCTACTTGCTCGTTTTTGTCTTGATCTCTGTCTTTCAGTGTCTGCCCGTGGATGGAGCTTGGCTGCATTGGGACGGCGAGGGAAATTATAAATGCAACAACATTAACGCCCAGGGATGGTCATCAGCCATTATCAACATGGCTCTTGATATCCTCGTGATGGCGCTTCCTCTGAGACAACTATATCATCTGAACCTCTCGGCTAGGAAGAAGATATACGTGATGTGCATGTTCTCACTTGGTATTTTGTGAGTATTGTCTGCCACGTCGCCATCTTCAAAGCTGACCGAAGACCCAGTGTCACTCTTGTCAGTATCTTGAGGCTACGCTCCCTTATTGTTTTTGCTTCAACCGAAAATCTCAGCTGTGAGTATCTCCCATACAGACTACACACCTACTTGATGCTCATTACATATTACAGGGGACTATGTGAGTGTCGGATACTGGAGCACAGTTGAATGTGATGTTGGCATTATCTGTGCCTGCTTACCAGCGATTCGATCTCTCCTGTGCCGTGTGCTACCGGGTGCTTTCGGAGACACCAACCCTAGCAAACCGTATGGAGCTAGCTCTCGATCCCAGTCTCGAGTAGACGGGAAGGCCCATGTGCAGATCAAAAACGACAACCGCGAATTTTACCCACTGGAAGATATCGACCACTCAAGCGAGACTGCCCTGGGCCATCATGGGGCATAGCTTGAAGCATCGGCAAGTTGCCCCCAACGGACTGCGGCGTGAACTGGGGAAAAAACAGAAACGGTCAAGGCTACTAGTATTAATTCGCTCTTTACATTCTTTACTTTCAAAATCACCTTTTTATTTCAATCTACTGTTAGCCCTTCTGCTTCCTACCAATACAAGCTTATTTTCATCTGCCGAAACTCGAAGGATTTAGAATTCCCGACAGTCTGTTTACCCCCACACAGGCAGAGTAAAGTTAATTGCGACGGGCCCATATTCATTTCAATATACACTCCTGAAGGCCTACGGCGGATATACCCCCGCGCGTCATTTGTCCGCACTCAAGGAATTTGCTGTCCGCGACTGGGGGAGCACTGAGGCAAAGGCATTCCGCCTAGAACTAGGGTGAAGAACGGGAAATTAGCCGAAGTCAATCCCCACTTCGTCTCCACAGGACCCCCTTTCTCAATCCTTATAATGGGGACCGTTTCCCCGTAAGGCAAGTGACAGGTCAAGTGTGGGGAAGGCCAGCCAACGACCAGCCACCTCACTCCATCGACACTAGGGCACAGTTAGGCTGGGGCTTACCGAGGACGGCAGAACGCTCCGAAGTGCGATCAAAAGTACCAGGTGATCGGCAGCGCTCGAAAGGATGAAGCTTAATGCAGGCCGTTGAATTGGTGGCCTTCAACGGTACTGATCGGCGCACCACGGGAAGAATCAGAAGTTCCGGCTGGTTCTCCAAGGGGCTGGGAAATACCATCGCGTCGAACTAACGCACTTCTGGAGGAAAGCCATCGGTTCCAAGTGCACTTCCAGTGGGCTGGACTCTCATCAGACGGGAAGTGGGCCCTCCTGTCGTGGACTACGCTAGCCCTAATCCAACACGCGAGGTCGATACTGGTTAGGTTGGATAAGCTTGGAGCGATCCTCTTCATCATTATCCATCTACTGCGGGCTCAGGGGTAATGTTGATTTTCTGGATTGGTAATACCATGCTGATCTGCTGGGGGCTAAGGGGAAAGATATCAAATTTCGGCCACGGGATAGAAGTCCTCCCGAGGGTGGGTTGATTTCCCTGAGGATATTATATATGAAAAGGGACACCTACAAGGAGCCTAAGACGCTGTAGTTGATGTTCTTGTATCCAATAGTCCCTCATTAAGTTTTTTCTTTCTCTGGCGTTCTTTGCGTTCTCTTGGAGTACGACGTACCCACTATGCGGTTCCTTCAGGTCTTGGGATCTCTGTCAGCACTCTCGGTTGCCCTTGCATCGTATGTGATACACACAACGCAGGCAGACCAGGTTTCTGCTCTCCATGTGCAGCCAGCTCTGGGGTGATTACATGATCTGACTGATATAACAGGAGCCATACACCGGGGGACCCCCACCATTCGCGCCATGCTGCCCACAAGCGATCCTCCAACGATACCTCTGTCGAGTATGACTATGTTGTTGTCGGATCAGGCCCAGGAGGTGGTCCGCTAGCGGCTCGTCTCGCTATTCATGGATTCAAAGTCCTTCTTCTGGATGCCGGCGATGACCAAACGAATGCCACTCGGCAGATGGCCCCGGCCCTGCAGCTGCAATCTACTGAATACGAGCCTATGAAGTGGGATTACTTTGTCCATCACTACTCAAACATGACACGCCAGGAGGAAGACTCCAAGATGACTTATCAGACCCCATCTGGGGAGCTCCATGTTGGTCCCAACCCGCCAGCTGGATCGGAAGCTCTGGGTATCCTCTATCCTCGCGCCGGTACTTTGGGAGGATGTGCCGCTCACAACGCCATGATGTATGCCACCTACAATGAATTCGACGGTACGAAAAAACTAACCATCTTATTTCGACAGCACTATTTACCCCTACGAAAAGGACTGGGACAACTTGGCCAGTGTCACTGGCGACGACTCATGGGCGGCATCCAACATGCGAGGCTACTTCGAGAAGCTCGAAAAGAACCGATACCTGCCCAGCACCCTTGTGGGTCACGGATTCAATGGATGGCTCACCACGAGTCTTACCGACCTGCGCCTCGTGATTGAGGACCAGAAACTCCTGTCGCTCATCATTGCGGCGGGAACGGCCGCAGGCAAGAATCTGATCGGGAAAGTGCTTAACACGGTCACGGGTCTCGGTGAGGTCCTGCTGCGTGATCTCAACGATCCCTCTCCCGCGCGCGACTACGAAGAAGGCCCCTACCAAGTGCCACTCGCAGTCGACGTCCCCGAATACAAGCGAACAGGCCCTCAGGACTTTGTTAAGAGAACTGCCAGTGCTGTCAACCCCGATGGCTCCCGCATGTATCACCTTGATGTCCAGCTTGACACCCTGGTGACCAATGTCCGCTTCGACACATCTGGCAGCAAGCCACGGGCGATTGGCGTTGACTACCTCCGTGGAAAGAGCCTATACCGTGCGGACCCCCGGGCATCCAAGACGGCGGCCAACGGTATCCCCGGCAAGGTGAATGCTGCACGAGAAGTTATTCTCGCCGCGGGCGCCTTCAACACTCCACAACTGTTGAAGCTCAGCGGAATCGGCCCAGCGGCAGAGCTCTCCAAGCACGGCATCAAGACCCTTGTCAATCTGCCCGGCGTGGGATCGAACCTGCAGGATCGCTACGAGGCCACCGTGATCGGCAAGTCTCCTTCCGATTTCGTGATCACATCGAAATGTACTTTTATGTATACCATGCCCGACCCTTGCTTGGAGCAGTGGGAAACCGATGACCTGTGGAAAGGTACCTACGGCACCAACGGTATCGCCATCGCGGTGATTCGCAAGTCATCCACCTCTGAGGGGGAGCCTGACCTGCTTATATCCGGTGCCCCTGCTAACTTCCAGGGTTACTATCCCAACTACTCTTACGAGGGTCTCAAGGATGCCCGTCACTGGGCTTGGATCACCCTGAAGGCACGTAGCCGTAATAACGCTGGAACTGTTGAGCTGCGGTCTACTGATCCTCGGGACATGCCCATCATCACCTTCAACTCATTCGATACCGGAGTGACTGAAGACGGTGCCGATGAGAAGGACCTGCAGGCCATGTATGACGGAATGATGTTCTCGCGCTCTATCTTCGAGGACTTGATTCCTCTCGACGGTGGATTTGAAGAGACCTGGCCAGGCCCCAATGTCACCACCGAGAGCGAAATGAAGGATTTCATCAAGCGCGAGGCTTGGGGACACCACGCATGCTGTACCGCTCCTATTGGCGATGACAGCGACCCCATGGCTGTTCTGGATGGTAATTTCCGGGTTCGTGGGGTCGAGGGTCTTCGTGTTGTGGATGCTTCTGCTTTCTCCAAGATTCCAGGGTACTACATTGCGTTGCCAATCTACATGATCAGTGAGAAGGCAGCCGACGTTATTATTGCCGATGCCGCGTGATTGTGCAGTATACCACTTCGCAGAGCGTATATTTGTGAATAGCTTCCATGTAATTGATATATCTAATATGCTATAAATATTCTACAATTTTCAAGTGGTCGTGCCCTGTCTATCTACAAGTAATCAATTCCAAGACTTAGCGATCCCAGTAGCCAGATCTAGCCATGCAGGCTCGGCCTGGGTAGTAGCCATTTCGATACCACCGTACAGGTAGAGCTACGAATCTGGTTTCCAGTCGAGAGATGCAGAAACCTCGCCGTCCAGCATATGAGATAGGTCATTTCGCACATAAGGGAACAGAGAGACTAGCGTACTGACAAAAGAGAGGCTTCCACTAGACTTCACTACACAGCAAATTCGGTATACATATGCAATCTGATGGAAGGCTACGTCGCTCACGCGCGCACCGTCAAAGCTACAACGAGAATGTAAGAAATGCCGACAATGCCTATTACCACTGACACAGCAATGGTAGCACCCCACGGGGCATCAGAAGGGTATACCTCTCTCACTAAATGGAATCCCAGTCCCACATTGATGATCCCAAGGGCTAGCATAGCACGCCCAAACCATCTATGTAGATAGGCGAAAATACTCTTGCCTCCACTTCTGCGGAAGTAGCGGTGCTGTAGCAGTCCCATTGCAGGCTGAAATATCGCGAGACCAGCGACGACGACGATTCCGATAATGGGATGATAATGCGTCAGCAGACCAAACTTGTTGGCCAGCGATATTCCGAGACCGAAGCCGGCAATCGCCACGGCGAGTGCAAAAATCTGGAGGCCGCCATGGATGGCCACGGTGTTGGAAGACCGACCAAGTCGGAGGTATAGAGCTGCCGAGGGAAATAGAATGACAAATGCGACGATCATCAATACGCCGTGGGCGACTTTTTCTCTGTAGATCAGCTTGAAGTTGGACGTGGCCGTATCTGTGAAGCTCCCGCTGTTGCTGCCATTGCTGGGATCCATGGTGGACTGGGAGAGTGCAATTTTAGGAAGACAGTTTTGATGGTTTACGGAGGGAATGGGTCCAAGGCAAGGAGGAATTCAGCAATGGAGGGAACCTCATGACTACTGTTTTTGAAGTATACTCAAAATAACGTTACCCTGCTACTCCCAGCATTCTTCTAATTTCGTCAACAGACATGTTTATTCGTCTTAAACGTAAGTACTGTTCCTAATCAGGGCCATACTAGCTGCGACGATCGATATGAGTTGACCGGTAAGGCGCACGGAAGTCTAGCCTTCAGCCACGCAATCACATATGTATGAACAGCTTGGCGTACCCTCAGCTTTTAAGACAAGTGATACATCAGCCTTGGCAGTCAGTTCTTGACTCGCGATGCGATTTCACCACACGGCTCGAGTATCCCAGGACAGCAATTCCACACCCGCCACCAATCTGCTTTAGTTTTGATAGATCTATTAGCGATCGGTCCCTTGCCAATCTCTCGTTCAGAGATAGGCCATTATCCAGCTTCTTAGTTGATCTGGCTTCGGTCATCTCCAGCACTCGTTTCTGTATCCCAGCATGAATAGCACTTTCAAGAAAGATCATGTTTTGGTCAGCAGACAGATAGGATTTAGTCGCAAGTCTAGGTGTTGGCCCGACGGTTTTATGGTTACACAGCCCAGTCTGATCGGAAATTCTGGGATATGTAAGTCTCTGTCATTTAGTCGTCGGTAAATATTCGATCAATCAAAGTTTTTGCAATACCAAGGGCTTGTACCGAAAAATCAACGCATCCCGCGTTCTGTGGCTTTGCATGACACCAAGGTAGTATCGCCTTGGAATCCGAGAATTCCACCTGTCTCATTCATATCGGTCAAGCCTGCTTCGGCCAATACTTGGTTTACACTGACACCACAAACAACCCAGGAGCTGACGAACAATGCTGACAATACCATCATGCAACATAAGGCTAGTCTGGGAGCTCACCCTGTCGTGGACCCTCTCTTGAGACATGTTTCCGAAATATATTCTTGCATGGGTTCCTTTCAGTGTCACTCTGACAAAGGCGCACAGGACTAACATCTGGACCATAATGGGCAGATTGCCGGAGGATAACGAGCATTGGACTACAGTTCTTCCTGTGGATAGGACCTCAACGTCTGTCAGCTCCACTATCCAGCTAGGCTAGCCCGGGGCAATGCCGAATTCAGGAAAGGGAAAATGATACAAATACCACCCTCCCATTATTGACGACGGTTGCCACAATCAACTTGAACATCTGGATTAGAAATGGAACAACTTGAGACCTCACTGATTGTATTGTAGGATATTACCCAGCTCTTGAGTGAACCAAGTACATACGACCATAGGGTGTGGAGAACAGGGCTTCCCGTCCGCTCAGCCGTACTTAAGCCACACGCCGGTCAGTTAGTACTATGGTGGGTGACCACATGGGAATCCTGACTGTTGTATGTTTTTGCTTACCGGCTTTAACCCTACCGCAACCGAAAGATTTTGGACGAAAGGTATGGGGTATGGTGGGTATTAGGAAATGCACGTGACTGGGCGATCCCCACAGTGCCTGGAGATACGGTTGCCCTGTAAAGCCGCGGACTTCAAAATAGTGGCTATAAAGATTGACCGGTCGGGTGCTGTACGATAAAGAGTAACAGTCTTACATTGCTCAATGCGCGCACTCAAATGCACTGGGAGGTCAAATTTTCAAGTGAGAAGATCAAAAAAACCCGTTCGGGGGAGTCACATGATGCTGAGACGTGCCCCTCTTTCAGGCTATGGGAGCTTGGTAATAGGTCTTGTTATGAGCCACCGTACTAGTCTATTTCATCATGAAATCGACAAATTTTCCTGGCAAAAATCATGGACTTCAGATTGGAGATAACTATGGTCCAATCAACTTTGCCCCAGGTAAGCTAGGGAACTCGACAAGGTCGTGGTCCACGGGTTGCCCATCGCTTCCCACTTCCAAGCAATCGGAATGTCCTCTGACAAATTGGGTTGCCAGATAATTGTATACGGGACCTCTTCGTCACAAGTCCGCGTGACGACAAGGAAGCATTAAAACGCAAGAAAAAGCGCCATGCTGCCGGAACTTGCGAGTGGATACTCTGCGCAAAGGAGCTTACTGCCTGGCTTGGTTCTGGACCGACGGTGGGTCCCCAGAGCCAGACGGCCCAGGTCCTATGGCTTCATGGTAACCCAGGAATAGGGAAATCGACCATGGCCATATACCTTACGGAAGAGCTGCCGACAGCTCTCTCTAAGGCAGGTGGGGGAACGCTAGCCTACTTTTTCTGTGACTCGGGTTTCGACACACGTAAGACCGCGACCTCCGTTATCCGAGGGCTTCTCTACCAACTCATTGAGCGGCACGAGGAGCTCCTTAATTATCTCTTGCCAAAATACCATGCACGCGGGGCAAATTTGTTCACCTCATTCGATGCCCTCTGGGAGATATTTATGGCCATGGCGGCGGATCCGACCACTGGCCGAAAATACTGCATCATTGACGCGCTTGATGAATGCGATCGGGAATCGCAAAAAGCCTTACTGCAGCAGCTGGAAGATACCTTTGGAAGCCGAGAGATATCACCCAATATCCGGATATTGGTCACTAGTAGGCCATATCCGGAGATACGTGAGAGCTTGGAAATCTTTCCAAATAAAGACTTGGCTTCTTTTCCTCAAAGAGTAAAGGACATGGATCTTTTTATCGAAGAAAAGATCAATTCCCTGGCCAGAAGAAAGAGATACACCAGCAAGGTTGAGGGCCAGGTCCGCAGAATCCTTCGAGACAAGTCCGAAGGTACATTCCTGTGGGTTGGCTTGGCATGTGACGAGCTAGAGGATGTTCCGTCAAAAGATGCCGTCCGCGTTTTACAAGATATCCCGCGAGGACTGAATTCACTCTACGAAAAGCTCCTGGAGGAGAGTTTGAAATGGAGTGAGACGAGCCGCGACATTATCTGGCGCCTCCTGAGCTGGGTGGCTTTGAGTTTGCGACCACTCACTGTGTCGCAGCTCTCCGAAGCATGCGAGCTGCATCAGGAGGAAGAAGACATCAAGACAAAGCTCCAGTTCACATATGAGGATATAGAAGCTTGCCGCTTGATAATCATCATTCAGGACGAAAAGGTGCTCCTACTGCATAAATCAATAAAAGATTACTTGGTTGGGACCAAGCCGAGTAATTTTATCCCGGAGTTCGAGGCACATGCCCGCCTTGCCTATCGCTGCGTGAATATTCTCATTGAGCAATTCCACAGGAGAAATAAACGAAACTCCAGCTTCTTGAATTATGCGTCTCGAGAATGGCCCAATCATGCCCGTATGGCCAAGTCAAGTTTCAAGGTCCAGATACCACAAGAGGAATTTCTCCAAATCATTTCCCCTTCTCGGGAATGGTGGCTACAGCAGCTGAGGTCAGAACCGTTTTTTTACTACATCCCTGGGAGGTTTTCCATATTTCACATAGCTGGAAAATGGGGTATTTGTGCCTTAGTGGATCACGCTTCCAAATTGGAAGTTCAGAAATCCGACAAAGAGGGAACTTGTCATGTTTTACCTGTTGATTGCGTGGACGATTCTGGAAAGATCCCTTTGAGCTATGGTGCTGAATCAGGGTATCTATGTGTTGTTGATGCCTTCTTGAGCCTGAGCGGAAAGGTGACTCCGCCGGTAGTCAAGGCTGCAGCTAGAAACTGGATGAATGGCAAAGCAGTGATGGAACTCCTTCTCGATCGCTATGGAGACCAGATCACTATCACTGATGAGGTAGTTAAGGCTGCAGCTGGAAACCAGAGGCATGGTAAAGCAGTGATGGAACTCCTTCTCGATCGCTATGGAGACCAGATCACTATCACTGATGAGGTAGTTAAGGCTGCAGCTGGAAACCAGAGGCATGGTAAAGCAGTGATGGAACTCCTTCTTGACCGCTGTGGAGACCAGATCACTATCACCAATGAGATAGTTGAGGTTGCAGCTAGAAACGGGAGCAATGGTAAAGAAGTGATACAGCTCCTTCTTGACCACTGTGGAGACCAGATCACTATCACCCATAAGATAGTTGAGGCGGTAGCTAGAAACTGGAGGGATGGCAAAGCAGTGCTGGAACTCCTTCTTGACCACTGTGGAGACCAGATCACTATCACCCATACGATAGTTGAGGCGGTAGCTAGAAACTGGAGGGATGGCAAAGCAGTGCTGGAACTCCTTCTTGACCGCTATGGAGACCAGATCACTATCACCCATAAGATAGTTAAAGCTGTAGCTAGAAACCAGAGGCATGGCAAAGCAGTGATGGGACTCCTTCTCGATCGCTATGGAGACCAGATCACTATCACTGATAAGACAGTTGAGGCTGCAGCTGGAAACCAGAGGCATGGTAAAGCAATGATAGAACTCCTTCTCGACTACCTTGGAGACCAGCTCACTATCACTGATGAGGTAGTTGAGACAGCAGCTTCCAAGGTTGGAATGAGGAGAATGACAAAGCAGTGATAAAACTCCTTCTCGACCACCTTGGAGACCAGATTAGCACCTCCTACCATTCCAACTCCGTCAACCAATTGCGGCAATGAATAATGGAAAGAAATTTTGCCGCAGACTTGACCTCACTATGGCAGTAGTTAGAAGATTGGTAGCCTAAATTCTCAGGCCTTAAATTTTGAGGTCAGGGTTAGGGTCGGCGATGTTGGACCCTGACCCTCTTAAGGTGTGGGTAGAGGTTTGATCATGACAACGCTTTTGCATGAAAAATACTAAAGGAAACATAAGAATAATGATATCTCTCGAGGTCACGAGTCTTGGCACATTTGTGTTGTTGGATATCCATTGGATATCCGCAAATATCCAGAGGATATGAGGTCCATATCCAAATCCGCAGCTTGCGGATATGTATTGCGGATATCCCTGGATATTGTGGATTGTGCCGCAGTCTAATAACATGTATTTTTTCACCACACTAACACTATAGAAGCGAAAACAGCATTCAAAACAGACCTGCAGACGAACGCTTCTTCAGAGGAGATACACTTTCCTATGTTTCAAAGTGTCGCTTCCCGCTAACCTCCGATTATAGCAGAAAAATATCCCTTCCTGCAAGGCCGTGAAGAGAATACCAGAGATCACAAGACCTATCATGATCAACAAGCCCCGTGGATAGAGCTCGGAGGATTCGTCCTGTCTAAAGATCTGGGCACCTCCCATCAGACCGCCGGTAGCTGTCATTACAACTGTTTGTCAGTGTTAGCCTTCTGAGGCCTGTGTTTTGTATGCTCGAGGACCTACACATACTGTTAAGGTGAAAATGTTAGTGACATCATTTTGCTTTCGTGATAAGAGGCAGACTCACGCCATATTGATGCTTCGTTCCTCGGGGCTTCCGCTATTGACTTGAATCCAAGCATTGTGGACAGGGTGATACCCTACCGCGAGGCCATTTGCTGTGGTCCAAAGCCCAAACTTACTCCAGGTCCCGACATGGGGCTGGATACACCTTAATGCTATAAGTGCGATCAGATAGCACGCCTGCGCAGTCATCACTGTGAAGCCCCATTTTCGAAGCTTGCCGCCAGCCCACGCAAATAAGAGAACCACGGGGAGAGTTATAAAGTTGCCAATGGCTGCCAAGGCATTCGCCGAAATTCTCGAAAACCCGAGGGACACCATGATGCTGGGAGTATATGTCGTCAGCGGGCTCCAGGTTGCGAAAACACAGGCTGTGGCAAGAAAATGTGGCCATTTTCTGAAGTTGGTCACAGTCTTCCAGACCACCTTCATTGGTATCTTTGGCTGCGAAGATTCTCCGGTGCTCAAATCAAGGTGAGTTGTACCCTCCGCATCTTGAGGGATACCATCGGCTGGTCCACCCGGAAGTAATGCAAGAAGTGCGATTGAAACCAACACAGTCCAAACCCCCTCGACTACCGAAAATGTCAGCTCAAATGGCCACCAATGCGCGATCTTCAGAAAAGCCTCACCTAGGAAGATCCATTGCCATCCCCACAGGCCACCTTTCCCATCCAACTTCAACAAGCCTGCTCCTATCAACGGGCCGACCGCAGTCCCGCCAAACATACCAAAGAAAAAGATGGCGATTCGTACCGTGATATCCTTTTGTGTGTACCACATGGAAAGAGTAAACATCGCGCCCGGAATAAAGCCGGCCTCTGCAAGGCCAAGAATCGATCTCGTGATAAGAAACCCAGTACGGTTGCGAATGAATATCTGCATGGCAGCGATCAATCCGAACACTAGAACTTGACCACCCAGCCACCAACGGGCACCGATCTTATCTGTCAGCCAATCTTCTAACAAAGGTCCAACCGATATCTTACCCGGTGTAGAACAATATTAGAGGGGATTTCGAGCACAATGACACCCAAGAACATCAACTGGTTTCCGAGGTTTATAGTGTTCTGGTCAGCGGAAATCTTTGATGCGAAGCCGCCCGTTAGAGCGCTCGAGATGTTTGTTCGATCCAATTGGTAGCTGGCGAAGGCGAAAACAAGCAATGGGAGCACTCTCATATCCGCGCTGCCGAGTAATCGTTAGCATTCATGCACCAAAATCATGTCTAGCAAGCCACCTGGTGCATTCTAATACATTTTGCGACGTTCCCCTCGGGCACCCGAGTCGCTTTCGACGTCATTCACGACCGTGGTGCTGGTCTTTTGACTCTCATAACTGGGTTCGGAGAGCATCATAGAGAGTATCCTGTGATGAAACAGGACTCCGAAGGGTTGTATCTTTTTCCATATGAACAATTTACTGTGAGTCTTTGTGGACTTTCAAATGTACGTCAAGGACCCCCGTAGCGACAGGTGAGGACCCTGGGAGCCATGTAGCACCAGCATCGACAAACCAAGCGTCCCATCTCCACATCTGCCCACCTTTCACCATATTAATCCATACTCCAGAGTCTTGCTCCTTTGTTCTTTTCTAGGTCGAGGGGCTATAGATTCTGGAGCAAGAACCTCGGAGCTTTCAATCCGCTTAAAAGTTTACTGAGGAACGGTATCCTCGTCCGTACCGACGCCAACACGTTACCTCTTTACAAGCGTCATGCCACTTCTCCATTTCTTACCCTTCTTAAGTTTTGTAACCCCATATTCTCCGCAACGGCACCCCATCCGCCGAGCGTGACGCGCTCAACCTTCTCCCCATAGTTATACAGTTATACACCCACCACGCAACTCATTCAGAGCACGAGTTCCATCATCACCAAGCGATCCATTGAGAAAGACTCGATCGCCTATTAAACTACCAGGCCTCATCACACTAGACGCATCGAGACACTCCGTCCACAATGGAAACCAGGTGGCGTAGATAGCCGCAGACGGCACGCCCAACAGACCGAGGGAAATCAAGACCGACTCAACAACTTCCGCCTCAGATATAGCTGGCCTCTGGAGGTCGACCCGCATATGATAGCTCATCCCGCAATCATTCTCATCAGGGCTTCCATCCTTTTCCCAAGCCGTTTTCGCAGGTATCCTGCCACCGCATATGCGTTGGTTATAATAGCATGGCTGTCTGCAAGGGACTGGCCTCTACCCGATCATCATCGCGTTGATATATTGCTAGCTATGTTGCGACGATGGTATGCAATTCTCTATCTGCAGCAACGCGAGTGAGCTGGCCACCCGATTCGAGCCCCACTTCACGAGACAGATCCCCCCTGGTTTCATGGAAATATGCAAGATCGATCAGCCTCATTCAAGCCAAGAAAAAGAAGATTCCAGAAGTTCATGCACAGTGGCCTTTCGACCTTAACCGCTAAACAATGGATTGTGCAGCTCAGAGGAACGTCCATATCAAAGATTGTCGTGTGTGGGCCAAAATAATTTACGTTTCTTACTAGCTTCGTGTTATCATCGTTTGATAACCGGCTACCCCTGAAATCTCCCATCCTCCTCCGGTTGCTCCCACTAACCACCAATATGCCTACCGATATTGCTACACGCGCCGCCGTTTTGGCCCTCATTGCGATAGGTAGACCGCACGCCGAGATATCTTCTATATTAGCCGTTCCGAAAAGTACGATCCGAGATATTCATTCTCGCGCGATTCAACGCGGTTTCGACCATAATACGCGACCCTTGAAGATCTGTGACGCTTATGTGGTTAATGCGCCGCGCTCTGGTCGCCCTAAAAAGCAGAGGGCTGAGTCACAAGATAATATTTTTACGGAGGTTCGTTCTGATCGTTATGGCCAGGAAAAGACCTATACTGACTTTGCTAGCGAGCTGAGTCCGAGAGCGACAATGCATCTGCACTGCTGGATTGACCACCTGCCAAGACATATTGAACAGTGTATGAGCCTGGAAGGGGGTGGATGGGTATCAGGAAGGGTGATACGAGGGAAAACAATACTGGTCTAGGTTAGAGATAGCTTAAATATTGGGTGCGCGACAACTCTCGATAGGGCCGGGCCGTATGTGAAGCGCGGGTTTGTCGGCGGTTTCCCGCAGCTTATCTGCGCCCGCCGCTCCCCGCAGCCGATAAGCCGCGCAGAATAAATGGTGCCTATCGGTACTTGGCCTGCATTATTGGATCACATCAGGATGGGAATGTTCGACTTGGTCATCGTCAATGCGCGGGTGGTGTCTGCTAGTGACATTGTGTAATCGGCCCCTGTCCGTCCGCTCGGCCGTTTGCTAACAATCTCAGGACTTGTTGCATCGGAGTCAAGAATGGCAAGATTCGAACACTCGTAGACAGTTTCGGAGACGAGGAGATCCAGAGCGCTAGGGTTATTGACGCACAGTATGTCCCTCCAGTAAAGGTAGAGTAGAAACCCGGAGACTGATTGCATCTTAGAGGAGCTTATGTGATGCCAGGAGGCATCGACGCCCATGTTCATTTATGTCAAGATCTGAAAACTGGTATGTGATCCTCCATTCGAGAATCAACTATCTGGACAGCATTTGACTCTTTCAGGGCCGCATGGACTGGGAGGTGCATGCTCGGATAACTTTGAAACGGGTTCCAAGAGCGCCGCCGCGGGGGGAACCACCACAGTCATCACATTCGCGACTCAGACTCGTGCGGAAGAGGATAAGAGCTTACTCGATGTCATCAAGGCGTACAGTGCACGGGCAGAGGCTACGGGGAGTTATGTCGATTACGGCTTCCACATTATTATCGTGCGAAATGATAAGGACGTGCTGCAGAAGGAAATGCCCATCCTGAGAAAAGAATGGGGAATCAGTAGCTGCAAGCTGTTTTTGACCTATGAGACGCAACGGCTGACAGATTCGCAACTTCTGGATGTTATGTATGAGGCCAAACAGAACTCTATGACGACGGTACGACAGATCCGTGAGGGGGAACGACTTTTATGCTAATCGTGTAGATGATCCATGCAGAGAACGGTGACATGATCCAATGGCTTACAGGTAAGGAGTGCCATCACTCAAATTACTGCCAATTGTCAAGACTAACATGTTACAAAGACAAGTTGGAAAGCAAGGGAATGGTCGGTAAGTTAGAAATGGCCAGCTCTTGCCTGATCCTCGGTTGATGATTCTAGCCCCTTATTATCATGCTCTTTCAAGGCCACCTCTGGTCGAGGGAGAAGCCACAAATAGAGCCATTGCCCTTGCGCAACTTATCCAGAACCCTATTCTGTTCGTCCACGTGGGCTCCGCAGTATGTCTTCTAGCCACCCCCAGAGGATCAAATATTGACCCGTTTTCCCAGCTCGGAGCCAAGAATGTGCGCAGGGCGCAGACAATTGGACTACCTGTCTATGCAGAGACTTGCCCTCGATATTTCCACCTGACATGGGAAGACCTGGTAATTGCATTATTCTTCATTTGCCCGCGGAACTGTCGCTCATCTTCGTCAGAAACGGTTCCACTCCCCCACATGCTTCGAAAATAGCAAGATGATCTGCTCACCACCTCCGCCTCCAGACACGTCTGATCAAGAAGAGTTGTTTGTGTATGCCAGATTCTAGTAAAAGATTTTGAGCGGCTCTAATTCCTATCAGTGGTCTTGAGAACGGCACATTCACCATTTATTCATCTGATCATTGTCCCTTCCGGTACGACCATCCACATGGCAAACCGTCCGGGGTACTCGAGGACCCAAAGAGTATGGAAGGCGAGCAGTACTGTGAGGGTGATGAGCTCCGTAGCCTCCTAGCAAGGAAGGAAGGCGCTTTCAGGTTGATCCCGAACGGTATACCTGGCGTCGAAACCAGACTGCCACTTCTGTATACCGGAGCTCTCGCAGCTGGTCGAATTACTCCACAGAAGTTTGTGGAGCTGACATCGACGAACCCTGCAAAACTTGTGAGTGGATTAGGATTAACATGGCACTTCAAAAACTGACAGTATCTAGTATGGTCTGTACCCGCAAAAAGGTACGATAATGCCTGGTTCTGATGCAGACTTGGTGATCGTAAGTCCAGAATATTTCTGTGGGTTTGCTTCCTCGCTCACAATTGGCGACAGTGGTACCCAGACGACTCGTTCAAACCGTTCAATCTAGCAAACTCGATGCTTCATCACAATGTTGACTGTAGGTCTTATCTCTTCTTGAAAAGGGAACTTGAACTAATGCAAACCGAAAGACACTCCTTACGAAGGAATGAAATTTGTCAACTGGCCCAGATATACCATTCTTCGCGGCAAGGTAATTTGGATGGAGGGAGAGGTACAGGGCAAATTGAGAGACGGCCAATATGTCAAGCGTGGACCTAGCCAACTTGTACGCGGAGTCTCGAAGACTACCCAGGATCCGCGTCGTGTCGCATCTTGGCTCTACGAGTGATGTATGCTCTAGTGCCAGCTTCGCTTGTGTCCTTTTCTTGCACCAGTTTAAATAAGACACGCCTCAGTAGACTATTGTCGAATTCAGGAGTTGGTTTGCCAAGCCCTACGATGAAACATCGAGGTGTAGGTAGCTGTCTAGGCATAGGAAACCAGCAATCCCTAGTGAGGCCTCGGAAAATCAATGCAAAACTGCTAGCTTAGCATAATGTTGGGAATGGGTATTGAATCTTAATTAATACTTGAATTAATCTAATAATAATCTAAAAATCCCAGTCTCCCTGCCAGTATGACCAACCCAACCATGGTCCGTAGCAAGGTGACTCTCGATCGCCTCCGGCCACTGCCTGTTAGGAGGACAGAAATTTGAGCCACAGAGTCTTGTGACGAGTATAGCATTCACGGAGCAAACGATTTACTATGCCTGAAGAAGAAATAAGACAGAAGCTGAGGAATATCATCATTTTGCAGTCGATAGATTGTCATTATGTGGATTGATTCCGAAGATGCATATTCAATTTAAGTTCCTATCATGTTTCCTTTGAACACAGATGTCAGTCTAATCTATGCACAAACCACACCTCATTCTTCCCAAAATCGTAGACCGAGATGCCATTCTTCAAGGACGGTATACTAATAATATTGAGCACGATCAGTCCCTCATATGCCACGTCTTCCGATGACCTCAAGCTTGATATACAGGACCGATCCTCGGTCTGGTAGACGAGACCTTGTCCGTAGTGGTAAAACATCCGACCTCCGATCTCAAGTCCAAAAACAGGGGCCCTCCATCACATTCGAAGACCCAAGTTTTGATGGCTCTGTCACAGAGTGCAGGTCAAACAGAGCGTTGATAGGTCCAACAACAGCAGCGGGAGAGAAGCTGAAGTAGTTCACAGTATCTGTAAAGACATAGAATGGCACCTTGTTCATAATGGAAATCTTTCCGGCTCCATAAGCCACCGCAGACACTGTGAATGCCCAGCTAGGTCAGGTATATTTGCCAGAAGTGAAGACAGGAGGGATTTTCTTGACTATTTCAACCATGAGGCAAATCCCAGCTCGTAATCCAACTCGAGCCGACCATTTGGCCCTTGCGCAGTAGGGCCTGCGGATAAGGCGTCCAGCTAAACCCCTCATGGTTTAGTTGACACCCGCAGTTGAATGGAATTAACGCCACCGCCCGAGCTCGCGTTCATACAGCTCAGGTAATATTCGCAAACAGAGACTCTCTTGTCCTTCTTCTTTATCGCTTGGATTGTCGAGCTTCCATAAACCGATGAACCGTCAGTGTCCTCGGGTACAGAGCCAACTCTCCAGCTTCGGGACATAACAATTCCCTTTTTCGTATGCACCCGATCACTCCCTGTTAGTCTAGCAGGGATAAAATTGGTCGTGCAGCGCTAATGCGTAACGCGTAAACAAGAGGCCCAAGCTCGGCAATGCCAACTCAAGTGGGAGGAAATAATGGCTGTTAACCCCAGGAGTCCACTAGGCCGTCTCTGTGTTCACCACCGACATCATGGCTCATCCGCCCCCCTACGCTTCAAAAGATGGGACTGAGAAGCCGCGCGGCCATCAATTTCATACTGTGTGGAGTCTCACACTCCATGTGCTCTGCCACCTGGTCTGAGGCCCTACTGTATTAAGGTGCCTACGGTTCATGGCCGATGACCTGTTGGGGGCACATAATGGTGGACAATGGGCCCTCACTGATGAGACCCTCATCACCCACCTGCTATCTGACGCGACCAACTGTATTCCCGACCATAGAATATGCTTAATGTTATTTTTTTTTAAAAAAGTATTCATCTCACTCGGTGGCCGCAATATGCCTCGTTGTAGACCCTAAGGCCCGCTTGGCTGCTGAACTACTACGATACGTAGATCTGCGATACACATCGTGATCGTTGTATCCGGCTTCGTTAGGAATAGGGTTCGAGACAACCGAAGGCCGAAGGGAAATTGTATAGGGCCTCCATGTATTGTCCCCTAGTAACAGGCTTTGTTCTTCTCCCGCTCCTTCGGCCCACCCCGAGGTATGGGGAAGGGGGCCGGGACAAAGGTCGTAATTAAAATTCCCCAGCAAGGCTCCCCACAGGCAGCTCTTTAAAGCCTTCAAATATGGAGAAATGTGGGGACTTGATACTCCTCCTGTTCTGTATCGGCAGTTCCTTCCTGCCTCTTTGGCCAGTCCGGACTACGCGATCAAGTAAACCAACCACGGAAATTGCACATATGCTGCGCGTGGAATGTAGAGGTTTGAATTTTTGGTCGTTAGAGAACTTAAGCTTAGGATTAGGCATACGGGGGTATGATCTGCAGAATCAGGCCTATAACGGGCATAGTATTACCAGGATGATATCGCCGAGAATATGATGGCGCTCGGAGTCAAGCTTTTTCTTGTGCTCCTTTCAGCAATCGGCGGTGGTTGGACAATATGGGCTGTACGGTTTCGCTGCATAAAGTGAATGCGTCAGTTGGAAGAACCTATCATACCCATTCCCGTCGAACTTTTATCCTTGTCGTCTATATTTGGGGTCCGAATCGCGAGTCGTAGGATCTCACTAACCCGTCCCGTTAGGCGGCCACAGCGGCACACTGTCAGCCCCGAGGTCTTCCGCCACTTCAAGAGCATTGATGGAAATTATGATTTTACTTTCAATGATTCTGTTCTTTGGTTCGTGCGGAGATTATTTGGTGACAACCTAGGTCATGCAACAAGATGATATCGGTGCAGTCAATCGGTTGATGCACGCATATTACAAGCGTGGAGAGCTGTCAATGGACAAGCCTAAGCCACCAGCGGGAAGGGAAATATGGCGGCGTCTTTGGGGCTCATTAAACATTGTCCTAGCTTTAGTCTGATCTTACACAAACAATTCACCGTTTTAGTTTCCTAAATTTTGTCTATTATTAGCCCTAATGGCCTTTATTTTGCGCATATACCTTGCTACTGCTCATACAGTCTCTTAGAGAAGCCCCAAACGATGAATTCGTGGTGTTCCAATGATGTGGATGGCTATAGCTGTTTTAGGCTGACAGTTGATGCGACGAACTTGTTTCTCCGAGGAAGCAAAGCGCAACCTTGGACCCGATAAACTCGTACCTTCGTTACATCCGGGGCCCACATAGGTATGTATTATCTTGTCCAAATACGCGAAGATGCATGTATCGACCTCGCCAGGGGAGGCGACCCAAACCAACCATAATGTTGCATGAGTCAGATCTACTGATCCGCGATAGAATCCATCTCATACAGGATGACCAGTTCCATTCTATATAATTGACTACCCACGGAAATAGTGGTCCATGCATCACTCACGGTTCCTCAACTTTAATGCCCACAAATTTTGAGAATGCTACTTTTATGGTTTACATCCTATGTGTAAACTCCTAATCAATGTTAAAGTGGTTCTCTTGTCTGGTTTTCCCCGAAGCGAGTTCTCTCACTTCTTGCGCAATTTGATTCGCTTCGCAAAAATCAGCCTGGCCCCCTTGAGTCTCCCGCCCCAGGACCCGGGGCCGCTGCCCAGGGTCTGCGTATGGAAATACCATCACTGAGATACCGTCGAAGCTTTCTTATTTATTTTTAGCTTTTCAATTAAGTACCATTAAGCTCCTGCGCAATGCCAGTGAAGTCTCCAAGATCGGCATCGCCCCATCAAGCCTCGAAAAGTCTGATTTCTGCGCATCGGGTTGGCCCCGAGTCTAACCTCTGACTCGTAAGAATCGAAAAACAATGATACAGCGACTTATGATAGTCAGAGCACACATGCCGATGCCTCGCTTGGGCTTGCGTCCGAATCGCCTCAGATTTGTGGTTGTATTCAAAGAGATCAGGAAGGGAACATTTGGAGGCATGCGATCTATGTGCCAGGGTATAAGGAGTTCTTCAGTAGCGAGTCACGATATTATGAATACCGTACAATACGCGCATCCACCAACAGTAGTGGTAATTTTGGTAGCCCGTCGGGGGCCAATTTCTTTATCCACGCGGTCCCTGCGGCTGTAGCGTTGAATGAGCGGCTCGGTGGGGTAATTGTTGGTCAGATTTGCGAGCTAACTGTACCTGGGCAAGGCTTTCAAAAGCTAAGCAGTATCTAGCCATTAGACTAGTTGGCGAAGAATAAATACAATGCTTAGGACCGCTATGTGACAATTGATCGACCTGCCTCACTGTCCGTGCCATCAGTTCAGCTCTGCTCATTGTCAATATGGCCATGTCGGGTGAGCCTCAATGCATTGCTCTTAGGTTTGTTCCCGCCGCAGCCTATCCCACCTTCGCGAACTGTGGCTGATTTTGTGTTGCTATGGTATAGTGCCCCTATCCTCGGCGAAAATTGGGCGAAAATAAGTGATCCAGTTGAGCGTCGACGAGCTCAAAATCGAGTTGCTCAGCGAGGATATAGAAAGCGTGAGTAGCCTTCCAAATGAAATAATTGTGGAAACTCGAAAGAAAGGGATAAAACTAGGATCACTGACGGAATTTCTAGGGTTACGCAACGGCGAAGAAAACACATCCCAGCATACTCGCAATACATCCAAAAGCCAGGCTAAGGGCTCTGTCAAACCAGCCGCTAAATTGTCACCTTCGCCAGAAAAAATACTGTCCCAATTGGAAATATCGCAACAGCCCATCTCAGTCCCTTCACCACATCCACCAAGGCACCAATCATCACAACCGTATCCACATCATCGAACTCATCCTCAACATCAAACACCTCCGCCATTGCCTCCAAATCTACCCTCTTACGCCTCACAACTAGACTGCCTTACGCTCGCAAAACGGGCCTGGACTCCATCACTCGATGAAGACCCGAATCCAGGCATCTTTCATATGGACCCAGTTTCAGACCCAAAGTACCCAAGCTCCCACAAACTCCCATCTCAGCCATTCCGCCCATCCCCGATACAGGCATGATTGGATCACCCACAGCTTCTATGATGATCCCAACACCGCGCATGACCCCAGAGAGCAACGGCTCCTCCCCCAGGAGCTTTGATTCCCACGGGCACACAGCCCTACACCGCGCCGCACTCTACGGCCACGAATCCGTGCTCGCTGTGCTGCTCCAAGCCGGCGCTGACCATACTCTCCCCGATAGCACAGGCCTAACACCCCTTCACCTGGCGACTAAGCAGGGGCATATCAGCGTGGTGAACCTCCTGCTAACCAGCGACCCTCAGCCCTGGAACATCGTCAGCCAGGTCACGCACACCGGCGAAAGCGCGCTCCACCTCGCCGTGCAAGCTAAGCAACCGGCTGTCCTTCGGGTACTCTTGGAGCACTCAGGACGGGTGGTGAATGCACAGGATTGGCTGGGCCGTACGGCGCTGCATATGGCGTGTGAGTCCAATCAGCAGGAGCTGGTGGAGATGTTGGTTCAGGCGGGGGCGCAGCTAGATATTCGAGATTTCGAGGGCCAGCCCTTATTGCACAGCGCCTGCATGGGTGCTAGATTGTGATTTTATGGGATTGGAGAGTGGTGTTATTGATATTTACTGGGGATCCTTCGGGTTTAGACCAGGCACCCTGGTTTGGTGTGTTGGCTTTCTTTTTGTGATATCCACACGGTTTAGGGTTTTTGGTGCTTAGACCGAGGCGGGACGCCTCATGCTTGCCAGCCTCGCGGTGATTTTTTTAGAACACTTTCTTTAACCCACTATGGGATGCATGGCCCTATGTTATTTAGGCCTATTATTGTCTTAACCCTGAGCATATTTTGTCGTTTCTTTTCTTTGCTGGGCTGCGGCTGATGCAAATATATTATGGTCACGGTCGGCATAGGGCTGCACCGGGCCCGCATGCCATTAACTTGAATCTATCACGACTCCAGAGCCCTGAGCGATCTACTTTAACATGCAGCTCAGAATTTGGGCACAAAAAGCCCGGCATTCGTCCACAAGGGGGATAGGAAGACCAGAGTCTGTCCAATTGATGCAGCCGTGTTCACCTTCTGGTCAAGGGTCGAGTAGGTACGAAGGATAAGGCCGATGCACTCCCACAATGTACCAATTACAATGACCGAGCAGAAATTCTTCTATACATAAAAACCCGAACGCTATGGGCCATCCATGTCAGACCGAAAAGCACGTAAAAAAAGCCTCAGCAGGGCCATTAGCACAGTATTTATATAGGGCATTTGGATCAGTAAGGTCTGTAGACGTCAGTCAAGCCTCTGGGGTAAAGATAATATCAGGGACACGTACCGCATTCCCTATGCCGGCCCATGATTGTAGAGAAACAGGTATTATAGCTTTTTCTTGCAGAGACTCTGTACCACTCAGAAAAATATGACCGATGGAGAAAAGAATTATTGGGCTAGATGATAGCGGAGGGTCAGCTTTGAACCTTCCTATGCCGTTCGAAAAAAGATGCCTGATCCTCATTTCAATTTACACTAGACCCTGAGGCCTCTTGGGGCCCTTGGCAGGATCTTTTACCTCATTTTGGTGACGGTCCCATGCTGCGGACAAGAACACTGCCAACCCGCTGCAAGGCGAGCTAGCGCAACTCCAGTGAGACGCTTGCACCCCCACCACAGAGCTGGACAAGCCCCACTCTCTAAGCTTGCGCCTCGTAGACCTTGGCAGTCCCATCGTTGATCTTAACTGAACAAGCTGGCGAAGTAGATAAACTGGAGAAGATGGCAAGTTCCAAGTGATGAAGGTGCGTATACCGTATCTCAGCACTGTGATTGCAAAGTCATGTTGGGTCCGACTGACGACATTCCCAGGGCAGTGCTGTCGGAGCCGTCTCGAACTGGCCGATACCAGAGCAGCTGCCTCTTCGTACACTACTGTGAGCAGCGAAGTGCTCACAATCTCATATGGGAACATTTCACACACGCCTTTCATCACCACAGCGTTACTTTCGGCGGCGCTTGACCTACGTGCTAATTCTCTCCACGATCTTCAAACGGCGGGTGGGGCAGTTTCTTGATCGTCGGCGCTGGAGCTTTGGGCACGCTTTCTGGGCTTTACGGTCGATCGACTAGCCCAGTGACTGAACCGAGATCCATCGGCACTCATTCTCGCATCCTCACGCCTCACTTGTCTTCGACGTGTCATTATTATGCTATTATTGGGCGTTTGAGTTGCACAATGATTTGGATAGACAAAGCCGAGGGCGAAAAGGGACACGCCCTAGCTGTTTCACCAAACAAAACGCACTGTGTAGGCGACAACGAAGAGCATAATTATAGCTTTTCTTAAAACGAGTATTGTCTAAGCAAACCGGTCTTTGCATTCGCTCCCGACAAGCTGTACAGAAGCAGTGTTTATATCGCCACTTATTCCGCTATGCTTTTCCTCGACCTCGCAGAATTGTATGTCAAGTAGAAAGCACGATGGAAAAAAGAAAGACACCCCTACAACCGAAAGCAGCGCTAATAAACAGGTTACAACCGAATCGCGCGTGAGGTGGATGCAGAAAGGCCCACCGATCACGGATTTCAGCCAAGTGCCACAAGGCTGGCCTGCGGAAGATCATGACATCCATGAAGAGTCAGTTTTAGACCTGCTTTACTCGAAGATAATCTTCTAACTGAGAGAACAGTGATGTGGTGGCAAATATTCAGCGATGCAAAGACCGCATCAAGGAAGGTGTTATGCCTCACTGGTGGGAGCGACGACTGAAAAAATACGAAGAATGCAAGACCCAGCTGGACACGATGATGGCAGCAGCGCCGGCCGGTCTCAGCATGGCTGTTTGTTTTCGCATAAAGCACCTCGGGGAAATCAAATGTAGTATCCAGAAGGCCGGCGACAAGCTCAAGCTAACCGCTACCATTGGAGCAATTGTAAAAGCCTATCAATCCGGGAAGCTGACTTGGCATGAGGGAATGGTCACTTATTGGTCGCGAGGGAAGAAGATCTGCAACGGCCCGAAAGAATTTGCTTGGGAAGATTTCGATCGCTATAACCGGCAGTATAAGGGCTATGAAGAGTTCTGGGTTGAAGGTGTAAGTTTATGTTGCTCTACGGATATTGGCAAATTACTGAATTTTTTTGACCAGCTCTATGGCCCGGGATCTGTGCCGGTCCTTCCTATTTATGCCCTCGGAATGCACAATTCTTGCATGAGGTAAGTACAGTACTCACAGAGAGTTTTCTCAGATCGAGGAATCCTGAACAGGCTCTAGGTTGATTTTGCTCTTCGACTCCCGTCAAAGCCTTTTATGAATTCCGGTGGTGAATCTGATCAAGACGAGGCTGATAACGATACGAAAGATACGGGCCAAGAACAAGAGAACAAGACCAAAAAGAAGAATAACAAGAGTGAAGACAAGCCAGACGAGGATATAGAACAAGACAAAAGCATGGAGTTAACGTTCCTTGATGACACTGGCGCAAGCGTGATGGTCATCTACCAAGACGATCTCGAGAGACTGGAGGATAAAGCACGGGAAATGGCAAGGATTGTTGGCGCCGTACGCCTATATGGTGCATTCGGGGGATCCTGGGCAGTCATTTACAAGATGGAGGTTAACATGAAGAACCACAACGGTGAGTGCATGCTTGACTGGACACCAATCCAGGTGGCCGTGGTCGACTGGGATCGCAGGGTTGGCGAGGCGCGTCTGAGTGGCCCCTGGATGAGGCATCGGTTTTTCGTCGGCAGTTCGCCCGACAACCAGGGGATCCTGTGCGTTGCCAAGAACAAAACGCTCTTCAAGCAGATGATCGAGCCAATTCCACAGTCAGAGATTATTGGAGTCCCGGCAAACATGAAACTGTTTAATGCTCCAGGGCGTGTCTTCGGGCATTATCGAGGACATGCCTTGCCTGGGCTCAGCCCAGAACCGGATGATTATGATTTGGCGGTTCAATATTGGAACTATACCAATCTCCTCGGAGAAACATCGGGCTCCACTAGCAAGAGAACGGGTGGAGATGGGCCATAGCATATCATGTAAAGCTTCAAGTACCATAGGGCTTCAGCCTAAGTCAAAGTTAGCCAGAGTCGGAGTTTACGGTTCGCCAACAAGCCCCCAAGGTATTTTTATCTGTTTTGAATCACTTGGATTATTCGCACTCGACTGGCCAGCCTCGTTCAGTGGCTTCGCGCAGGAATTATTGGGCGCCAAATGCTACTCGAATAAGCATCCATGTGGTTATTAATATCATTCAACATTTCAAGTTCATGCCGGACAGAACCCATTCGAATCAAGCTTCTTTCCATGGGTTTTTTATTATTATTATTATTATTCTGAATGAGGTGTATTATATCGATTCAGCGGAGATCGATTGTACATAGAACACGATACTTATCTAGTGCGTGCAAAATAAAACTCCACATTGGACCGAGAATTGCGATTCCTATTGATCTCTTGAACCCTTGTGCCAGAGCCTCGACTTCCGCGGAAAGGGCGCGTTGCGTTTATTCTCCGGGTGCAGAATGGCCTGTGATACGTCCACTGTGACCCGATTTCAGTTCTTATAGGTAAAATTGCTCGTCCCACCCATAAATGTGGGGTCGGATTCGGCTCTTGAGCTGTTTTCCATGGATCTGATCGGGCTGTTGTTTTGGGCCCTCAATCGGGCATGCCAAGTGCAAGGGGTGACCGATTCCATGGATCTGTACGAGCGTTACCAATTGAGGACCGTCAGGCCGGTGAAAAGGATATAATCATTCGCAGTCTTTGTTCTCTTGGATTTTCGACAAGCCGCGGCATCGGTGGATGGGCCAATTCACGCAGCAGAGATCAATTGGTGCGACCAGAGCCCGAGCGCTCAGGTATCTCCGGGCAACTCAAGCGCTTTCTCCCTCCAGCGGTAAAGATCATAATAATAGCAAGAGACAGCAAATGGCAGAAGAGAGAATTTAGAAATACGAGCTCTAAGTTTATGATTCCAATTTGTAGACTGTTTTAGGCGGAGGAAGGGCCCGAGCCCGGATGAACGATGCTCCCGGAAGCTCCCACCGCTACTTAACCGCCCGGCCAAGTCATCAAAGCCGCAACTCGACCACTTACCTCCCAAAACAACCAGATCGCCCAGTATAACGACACGTCGCTTATTGCGCTTTGACTTAGCTTTAGTTCTTGAATTCGCGGAGCTTCTCATCGATTCTGGCCAGTCATTCTCGATTCCCAGAGACTCAAACTTCGGACTTCTCCTCCCAGGCCGGTGGGGACGATGCTCGGAGTCCAGCCCTTTTTCGCCGTCGAGATGGCAAGAGGCAAAAAAGGAGAATTAGGGCCTGGGAATTTTGTGCTGTGTACTCCGTATAGATTTTATGTCCGAGGCCACTCACGAACCCCCCAGGTCTGACGTCTCCCCACTGCTGCCCTAACCCTCATGGGGCCTAGGTAGTGCATTAGCCAGGTCCAGGCCAGCGCACTGGTGACCGGCGATGGATCCGAGGCTTAGCTCGGGTCTAATCGAATACTAGCGGGGCCACGCAATGATCCGCTAGGGCGGAACACGGTGTTTCAGGGGGGAGCAATAGATCGGGGGGATTTTGATCAACGAGGCAAGGGATTTGCAGAGAACGGGATGAAACAACGCGTTCAGGCCTGGAAAGCCCCGAATTCACATGACTGGACATTGGGGGCGTCCTACGTGGGATTTACGTGGCCCTGCGAAATGTGGGGAATCCGTTGCCACCAATGACGAATGCACCTCCGGCAGAAAAATGAGTAGAACAGAGCGCATGAAAATGGCTTTTCAGCATCTCCTCCACGAACCCCCTCTTGATGCCCGAGATCAGAGAGGGGGCATCAGAGAGGGGACTGTTGGTCTAATATGTTGTACCTGGGAACTCCTCGCACAATGATCGGGTCAGGACTCCGAGCAGATGATCGTCGCCCTATCAGCGTTGCTGCCCTGAGTTGAGTCCACGGATTCCACGAGAGACGCCACCGGGTCTCCAATCCCAGCCAGTATTCAGTCCCCACGCCGACGCGGCCATGGTTCGTATACAATTGGTCCCACTTTTTCTCATCTGCCGCCATTCTTCTTTGATGCAGCGGTGTCAGATGTGTGCGGTGTTCCTGAATTCGCTGTCAGGGGCAGAAACCCAATATAGCCCCAAAACGCCCGCCCCTTCACTGCAACCCTCGTTAGTGGGCTCATCCTGTGACAAGACCAGCTTTGCTCCAAATGCCACAGCTCGAAATATTAGTGCCGGACAGTATATATTGTGGATTGAAAACGGGCCGTCCTACCGGTCCAGCCAAGTGTGGAGCAGGGGTTAGCTTCCAGTGGTGGAGCTTCTAGACGAGTCTTGAGGATACATTTGAAGGAATCTTTTCAAAGGCTCCGCCGGGGGCTTCTCACCACATCTATGCGCTAGGGGCTTATTTCAGACCAATCACTGTTGCTCTATTGCCCTGTCAACGGGCCTTTCCCCCGATATCCAATCCCAGTCTCTCCCTGGTTCCTGATTTTGATGCTGCTACCGTGGGTTCCGGCTCAACTCTGAGGCCAAAAAAACGGTAATTATGCAGAAAAAAAACCCAATTGTAGAAGCACTCCGTCTCCACTCCAAGCCTGATGGAGCCGTTGAACATGGCCTGGTTCCTTTGGGGTCGTTTGGCTGGTAGGTTTGACGCACACTTGACGGGCATTTAACCTCCCTCTTGCCCCCCTTCGGTGACTTTCTCCTTTCCTTTTTTCAGCTGTGCGAGTCTTGTCATTCCTTCGGACCTCTTGTCCATCTGCCATCCTAAGTCCTGTGCCGTGCACGGTCTAGGTTTACTATCATTTACCATCCATTCATTGAATACACCCGAGAACCGGCTTCTCTATATTTATACACTCCTTTCGTGTGAACGCACAGTCTATACGCCGAAAACATCGCAAAAATGGTTTCCTTCACCAAGGCTTTCACTGCCGGCCTGATGGCCTCCGCTGCCATGGCCCTGCCTATCAACAGCCCCGTGCAGAAGCGTAGCACCGCCAAGCGTGGTGCCGCTTACAACGATATCTCTACCGTCTTTCCTTTGGCTAGTTCTGGTACTGTCTCTTGGGCTTACAACTGGGCCGGGTCCCTGAATGGTGATCTTCCTTCTGGAGTTGAATACGTTCCCATGCTGTGGGGTGCCAAGTTCTTTACCGGATGGGTCTCCGCCATCGAGACTGCTCTCTCTAGCGGTTCTTCTTACATCATGGGCTTCAACGAGCCTGACAACACTGCGCAGGCTAACATGAGCCCTGGCGAAGCTGCTGGCTACTACCAGCAGTACATCACCCAGAACAAGGGTGACGCCAAGCTCATCTCTCCCGCGGTGACCTCCTCCACTACTCCCGGTCAAGGCCTCGACTGGTTCGAGCAGTTCATTGGACAGTGCTCTTCTTGCGATATCACTGGTCTTGCTGTTCACTGGTATGGCCCAAGTGCCGATGAGTTCAAAACATTCATCGAAAGTGCCATCGATACTGCTACGAGGCATGGCCTTTCGGAGGTCTGGGTTACCGAGTTTGCTCTTGATGCCGACATAAACGGTGTCACCAACCAGGCCAATGCTATCAACTTCCTCAACGAGGCCATTCCTTACCTCGATTCTCAAGATATGGTTACCCATTACTCGTACTTTATGAGTGCTGAGAACTTCCTGCTTTCCAACGGCGCGCTCAACCCTGTTGGAGAGGCTTACGTTTCTACCTCGGATTAAACTCTCGGGTGATAGTCCAGATATACAAAGCCAGACTCTCGTCGGAGTTTGGAAAGCTTGGAAAGCTCTGATATTTCTTCAACCGTGGCTGCTTCCAGTCATCACTGTCTACAAGTCATCCTTCGTGAATATGTTCTTATATCCATTCGAATTGATGCAAATATGTCCACCTGAGATAAATTGATTTCGTATTCTGTTCTACACGAAAGATTGGGGGCTTCGTAGTAGTAATTTGGTATAACTCAAGGAATGCAACCTTAGTAATGCGTGATTAATTTGATCCTTCAGCTCTGGACCCCGAAACATGAAACATGAAACATGCAAGGTTGAATACTTCAGAGTCTGATAGTAGATTTTCCTATCAGGAAATTTGATCAAAATGCCACGCTTGCGAATTTCCTATATAGGACATGGGGCCCGGGGCCACCCGGCTATGTACAGCAATGTCTTCTAAATGTTGACCTTTTGCAGCCTCAGGCCTGCAGATTTATCAGCAGACACTTTGACCCTCCCGAGGTCGGGAGGCCGGTGATTGATTGATCGCCTTAATGTTATTCCGCCTCTGTTTCCCTATTGACTCATGATGTCCCTGTAAACCAACTATGACCTGTGGTAATATCTTCAAGTTAGGATCATCACTGCTTGTGGTGTACTAGCACTCCGATATTGCGAAATTATCGTTTCATTTTCTCGCAGAACCATTCAGTACTAACGAATGGCATGTGGTCTATACCGAAAAGCTTCTGTTAGTCCAGCGGTTGCGACCGCGCCTTGTAGGGCTTGAGCCTATCGAAATGACACCTAAAGATAAGGTTTTGCAGCCTCAACTGGGAATCAAGTACTCCGGAATCTATTGAACAGAAGCACAATGAATGCTAGCATGGATGCTGGAGCGAGTGGGGTAAAGTTAAGCTGCTGGTTAAGCGCCCTCAAAAGCCCAAACCAAGCCACCGGCATGGTAACCTTGCGGCATGACTGGCTAACTCCACGATTCACCGCCAGACTTCCTGTAGCTAAATCACGCCTATTTTTAGAGATCTCAAGAAAAATATCAACCCCGCTGATATCCTCGAATGTCTGTTCGTAGCTGTCTCCCAGCCCTTCCAATGCCTCATTCGGTGTAATATGTCGCGCAAAGCCAATGCCGCAGTCGAAGACGCCGTCTTTTCAAGACTTGGAGATGAAAGGGGCGACGTGGTCCATGTGAAATGGAGACCGTTATATCTCCGAAGACGCATTCTATTCGCATTCATCTTCGTCTTCTGTGCCTTAATCGCGACTCTTGCGGCGTTGGACCAGACTTCGAAAGCAAACTCGGGACTCGCTACTCCTATCAAAAATCTTCACTATAGCTGGACCTATGGCCCAACAGCTGTCCTGACGATTGTCGCCGCTGTGTGGTCTCGTGTTGAATTTCAGACGAAGCAAAATGCACCATGGCAGGGAATGCTCAGCAAACCCCAAATGGAGGCAAGCAAAAGCGTGTTATTGGACTATGTCTCCATGTTGCAGCCTGTTACCATTGTGAAAGCCCTCCAGAATAGGCATTACTTTGTCGCAGCCAGTGTCTCCTCTTCCTTGATTTTACGCCTGCTGATCATTTTTTCGACTGGTCTATTCTCGCTCCAGCCGACCCCCATAATCAAAGGCGAGGCCCCGGTTCAGCTGACCACATCCATCGACACCCTTAATGGGAGTGCGAAGTTGAGCACTGCAAGTTCAAAGGCGTATGACGACTTGAATGCCATAATCTACAAGAATGCCCCATATGGCGAAGGGACAACTTCAAAAATTGCATACCAAGGCGTCTCATTTGCCGGGCTACCGTCGAATTCTTTAATCAACGCGACGATTGAGACTATAAGCTCCGACTTGGAATGTGAAAGTGCGAGCTTCAATGCCGCGAACTTTAGCACATACGGAGAGGGAACCCTCATGACAGCAACATGCAACATGACGATTGATTTTGACAGTATTTGGGACAACAACGATCTCCGGCTCATCACGCAGGTTGGACCAATACAAAAATGCAGCAACTCTAACGACACAGCGGACCAACGCATCCCTCTTTTTATCGGCAATACATACTACTCAACAGACCACCCGGGGATTAATGGTAACCCGCCGTTGTTGAACCTCTCATTGAGCCGCTCGGTACAGCATATTTGCAAGCCGACCTATACAGTCCGAAGTATTTTGGCAAATTTAAATACTTCTGGGTCATCCTCCATGGCACTGGGACAATATGTGGGATCAGGCTCGATTCGAAAGAATCTGACGGCTGTGGATATCGCGTCACAAGCCTTTTCTTACATGAACACATACATGAAGTCTCCAAGACCAGCTGACAGTGACGAGCTGTTCAGTGGCGACAATGTGACCATCGATCTTTCTTTCAAGCTTGGTGCGCGCCTCTCTGGATTTCAGGGGACCGCCCAAGATATCTTCGAACGTAACATGACGGTGCCTTTGTTCTCAACATTCTACCATGCAATAACCGCCCAGGTGGTTGGTGAAGCGTTATTTCAGCCCAAACTGTCGAATACTACTGGGAATGTGATCTCTACGGAGGATCGATTGCTTGTAACCGATCTCTCCTTGTATGCGATGATAACTTGCCTGATTCTACTGATCCTGCTTGTCGTGGCGATGACCTTGCTGAAGGCACACCAGGCTATGGCCCCGTGGAATCCCAATACAATGATGGCTGTTGCAAGTATCTTGGCAAACAATCCTGCTCTTCAAGAAGCCATTCAGGGAACAGGTCTCATATCCGAAAAGGCTTTACACAATCATCTGTCCGGCCAAAGATACACTACACAGATCACCAAAGACGGCCTTCATGTTGTAATTGCAGGGGCTTCGATGGGAGAGACTAAATCCCCAAGAGAGGCACTTGCAACTTGGAAGCCGTTTCCTAGCCGCTTCTTTCGTGCCGGCTTTTTCGTCATTCTGGTCGGCATTATTGCCGCATTAGAAGGAGTTCTTCGTATTTCACAGACTCGGAATGGCCTGGGAACCGTCTCTGATAGCGCTTTTATACACTACTCTTGGACATTACTCCCAGCATTCATAATGGTGTTGATCAGCCTGTGTTTTGGAAGTATAGATTTCAACGTCCGATCCCTTGCTCCGTATTCCAAGCTGAAAGAGAAATCTGGGGTCGACTGGCAATATCTCAAAACAACAAACTACATGGACTCGTTGGGAGTGGTCAACATCCTCAACGCCCTCCAACGCAGAGAATTCGCTGTGCTTATAACATCATTCGCTACGATAATAGGCTCAGTGCTTACAATTGTCTCCAGTGGTTTATATTCTGCAATGGATACCTCGGCCGTTAGCAGCGTGAACTTCACTCAAGGTTCAATGCCGATGAACCCTTTGACTTTCTCACACAAGCTTTCGGTGATGAACCAAGCAAACCTTACTACCTCCATCCAAAATACAAAATATGGAGTCACTGGCGCTCAGACAGCAAGTGAAATTTTGCAAAACAATCTGTCTTTTCCCCAGTGGACATGGAACGAATTGGCATTCCCGAATATGACTCTGCAGCTGCCTGTCACGGAGGAAAATACCACTGGACTTTACGCTGATATTCTCCTGCCGGCTTCGAGGTCATCTCTCGATTGCCAGCTGAGGAATCTGTCACAGCTACCTCACAGCTTTACTGCTATGCCAACAGACTCCACATCCCCATATGCCGGGCCTACCCTGTTGGTGAATACCACGGTTCTACCATGTTTTCAAGACGAATCAATCAGGTCGGAGCAAATCCAGATCAGGGGAGCGGGCATGAACACAGCTGTGGAGGGGAAATATCTACCAGTTGGCTACTTTGGATCAACACTCCAGAGCATTTGCTACCTCAATGGCTCAAGCCTCCAAGCCACGTACGAGCGAAACAGTGCCTATAATTTCAACAAAAACCAAGTCACCTATATTTGGGGCAAGACCACCGCGAATAAGCTAGAAAACTTGGTTGAGTTAGCTTGCATGGATTCACCAGAGACAGTGCAAACCAAAGTTCGCCTAAAATTGCCTGAGTTGACCATTGATGAGACTCGGCCTCCGGCTACGATAGAATCAACGGCTACAAAAGCCGACAACGTACTACTTCCATTGAATGATGCCTGGTACTATCTTCAGTCTTATGACGAAAGCGCCACTGGCCTTGGCTCATTCTTTCAAGCGCTGGTCGCTGGGAAATATGCCATTCCTCGAGAGTATCTGCGCGATATAGACAGGACAGACACAGTCGTTGAAGCGATCAAATATCAGCACAGGATCATCAGAGCGCAGCAGCTAGGCCTGGACGCTCAAGAGGCAGCGGATGATATACTCAAAAGCAAGCCTCTGTTGGGAAATCTGACAAACCCAAGCGACCGACGGCTTTTCCAAGATGCCGCCTCGACAAGAGCACTAGAAGCTCTTCTTGCAATAATGCTTGTTCTCGGTATCGTCAGTTCGATATTGTTGAATACAGACGGTGTTCTCCCCAAAAACCCTAATAGTATTGCTGCGATTGCTAGCCTTCTTGCAGACTGCAACTTTTTGGAGTTTTTTCATCACGTTCCAGATCCAACTGATGAAAAGATTGGCACAACAGTATTCTCAAAATCCCGATTCCATCTTGGCTGGTTGGAAAATGAGGATTCGCCTGGCCCTAACTTAATGAATAGTAGCCTCCCTTCATTCCAAACCCCAGCTCTTAGCGATGATGCAAAGTTCACGATTTATGTTGACGACTATGAAGGGAGGCCATTTTGAGATGGAATGCAAGGTGTTCCACAAGGAGATTCGTCTTATCAAATTCTTCTGTATATATAAGTGAAATTTACCATTCTGCATGAACAAATTCACCGTATTGGCATTGCACAAGTGCTATGTAGAGCGTACAAGACAGAAAGATTTTGAACCGTATTCAAGTTAGAGTAGACTCCTTTCCTATGCTAAATAGAAGTTTATGACAAAACCTACTGCATGCATTCCATCTGAAACTCCAAGCTCCGGGTATTCCCTCATCCCACAAAACAAAAATTTAAGAAAGTAAGAAGAAAAAAAAACGCCACCTTGGATATGCGAAGCACAAACACACCAGATCATGTCATCGTAACATCCCCTGCGGGTGTGCCCGCGACAGAGGATTCAGGAGGCGCATCAGCCATCGTCGTATCCTCTCCGTCAGCTCCATTCACAGGAGTAGGAGGAGGCAAGTTCGAGTCAGGGGCAGAATCGGGACCAGCGGCGTCCCCATTCACTCCCCTCATCCAGCTGCTCTTCCCAGACCCGAACGGTTCTGTCCAAACCACCGCTGACAAGCATACGCTTCCCATTCAGCTGGCCCGTATGAACACCTAGGACAACATCCGTGTGACCTTCGATACGCTGCAGGATGTTCTTCGTAACGATATCCCAGCAGACGATCGCACCGTCCTCGCTCCCGCTCACGGCAAATGCTAGAGGTGGATTGTACTTGACGTCCGGCGGCCCATATGTACCGAAACCGCCAGAAATACTGTACTTCTTGTTCTCGTGGCCCTGGAAAGTCTTGATCACACGACTCTCCACATAATTCCACAGGCGGATACAGCCGTCCAGGGTCCACGCCAGAATATACTTGCCGTTCGGCGAGAACTTGACAAATGTTGCAGGGGGGTTGTCTTCGTGGACGAGGGTTCGGAGACACTGGCCCGTGTGCGTGTCCCAGATACGGACGAGCCCATCCGTCGCGCAGGATGCGACTAAGGTGCCATCATGCACGACGTCCATTCCGGCCACGGGGTCGGAGTGGGCGGGAAGGGATCTCATGACCTTCGCCCGGCGTACATCCCACAAGAAGACTGCTTCATCGTAGGAGCCGCTTGCAAGCATATTGCCCTTGGGCGTGAAGGCAATTTGGTATATGTAATTGTGGTGGCCCTTAAAGATCTTTGTGTGTGCTCTGCCCGTTTCAATGCTCCAGAATCGAATTGTTTTATCGTCGGAACCGGACGCAACCCATTTTCCATCCGGAGACCACGCAACGGTCGAGATTCCTGCTAAATGACCAACGAAAGTGTATAGCGGCTTCCCGGTAGCTGTCTCCCATACTTTGACAGTTGCATCGGCACCTGACAAACAAGCCCCTTGTTAGCAATTGCGTAACCTTATACGCAGCATTATAGCTGTAATAATAGGACAAACATACCGCCACTGGCAATCATTGTGCAATCGGGAGAGAACTGGACAGACGACACGCCACGCTGATGGGCTTTCAATACGAACTTCTCGCGGTAATTCAAGCGGTCTGGCTTTGGAGGGAGAGGGGGCTCCGCAGGAGGAGCAGGGGTTGGAAGGCGATCTGATGGATCGCTGTGGTTGTCAGTGCGACCCTCATCGGTGCTCATTCTATCATTCGAGGCGTCCTCCGAAGGTGTGCGGCCTGGACTACTCGGGGCTGCAGAGCGCTTCGAAGGGCTGTGCCGAGAACGAGAAGTGCGTGAAGAACGCCAGTACTCGTCTGCATCCACAGCTAATTCATCAGGGCTCTCGCTTCTGCTCGGGGGACGCTTCTGGGGAGTTGGGCGTTGCGGGGTGAAATTCCTCGACCAGCTCTGTCGGTGTCGATGGGCTGGCTCGTGATTTGAGACCACTGCAAGTTCATCTGACGAAGAACCAGTTGGGGAGCGACGCGAGACGCGCCGCCGCGGTTTAGTATGTGCATGATCCATTGTCAATTGGTGCCCTTTGCGAGCGATGCACGCGAGACTTATCGCTATCCAGAAAATCAAAAAAGCGCGTCGGCGGGCGGTGAGATCTGTAGATTCCATTTACATCACCGATCTGCATTTGACGGCTACGTACGGTTTCCCTACCACCACGCCAGATAGACATCGGCCCAATGGCCTCCCTCGATTCCGAGACTCCTCACTCGATCAGGATCCTGACCCTCAATTGTTGGGGGCTCAAGTACCTCGCAACCTACCGCCATGAACGTCTTGCGGAGATCGGCCGGCAGCTTGCTCTCGCCAACCCACCCCCCGAAATAGTAGGCTTGCAAGAATGTTGGACACAACAAGACTACGAAAGCATCCGCGACCAAACCCGACACATCCTCCCCTATGCCAAATTCTACTTCGGCGGCATCTTCGGCGCGGGCCTCGCAATCTTATCGAAATGGCCAATCGAGGAGAGCAGCATGTACGCCTACCCGTTAAATGGACGACCAACAGCATTCTTCCGCGGCGACTGGTTCGTGGGCAAAGGCGTGGGCTGTGCCCGAGTGCGCTTCGGCCCTGGAGCTGACGACATCGCCGAGGTCTTCACAACCCACTTGCATGCACCCTATGAACGCGAACCGAATGACTCGTACATTTGTCACAGAACCGCGCAGGCGTGGGAGATCTCGAAGCTTATGCGTGGAGCTGCTGAGCGGGGGCATCTGGTCATTGGTCTAGGCGACTTCAACATGCTGCCCTCGTCGTTTGCACACCGATTGATCACCGCGCAGAGCCCTGTGCGCGATGTCTGGCGGGAACTGCACCCAGACTCATCCGTCGGCGCTGCAGTTGACGCAGTTGAGAAGGCGAGAAACAAGCCTATCCCCACGGCGGAATTTAATCTGACAGAAAACGGTGCAACTTGCGACGGGGCCTTCAATACCTGGCGCTGGTCGAAACCTCTGCGCAAGCGTCTTGAAAAGGGCGAGGAGGTTAACATTGAGAAGGACGTCCCTGATCCGCGCGCAAAGCGTCTTGATTATATCTTCGTTGGCGACGGTGGCTATCCGCCGGATTTCCCGAAGTCACGCTGGTCAGTCGAGTCTGCGCGGGTGAGTATGACGCAGCGCCATCCTACTCTCCGCTGCTCTCTGAGCGATCATTTCGCTGTGGAGGCAGTCATTACTCGCTCCACCGAACCTATATCTATTCCCGTTTCATCCAATGCAGCTGATATTCCTGCATCCTCTCACTCCCCCTCCTCTCCATCCCACGTCGTCGAAGCAGGTATCTCCCAACTCTGCCCTCTCGCCGGACACATATGACCAGATTATCGCTATGATCGATAAATATGTGCTCCGCGAGCGCTCACAGCGCCGCTGGCGATTGGCCCACTTCATAGTATCCGTCATAGTTTCAATCGGATGCTTTGTTGGGGTTTGGTGGGTCGGAAATCGTACTTACATCGGATTTATCCTGGTTCTTGTGAGCACTCTCAACTTCGGGGCCGGGATCCTCGATGGCCTGATAGGCGGGCTTTTTGTGTCCAGTGAGCTTCGAGCTCTGAAAGAGTTCGAATGGGAGGTCAGAAATGCACAGAACCTGGTTATTGCTGCTGAGCGGGCGGGTGGGCGTGGTTCTAATGATGAGGCCAAGTAAACGGTTAAGGCCTGCGAGTGAGCGATTTGATTTGCTTGTAACTATATCCCGATTCACGATTTTATAGACTATGCTGAGTTCTCGTAGCACATTTCTTAATGCATAATACACCTTTCCATTTATACCAGCCAGCCCGGGCCAATTTACTTTGACTACGCATAAGAAGAAAAAAATAATGCGTGCACCAAATGAGTGTTGGCGTATCATTCAATCCATCATAACAACTTGAAGCTAGATAGTGGCTCCTAATAAGCGAGCGAATAGCGGAATACTCTGAGAACAGAATCTACTCAGCACACTCGCGCTTGCGCTCATCAAAGATGCTGAGAGCCTCCTCAGCAGCCTTGACACCGCTCATAGCCATCGCACCAAAGGTAGGGCCCATGCGGTTGAAGCCATCGATCTCAGACAGCTCCATACCACCGATGATAAGGCCCTTGGTGACCTCACGGGTGTTCTTGACAATCGCATCCTCCGCAAGGTTCATGTCCAGGCCACGCATACCACCGAGCTTCTCGATGGTGTTCATGGAGACAAGGCGCTTGGCACAGAAAGCGCCGAAGGGGCCGTCGTGACCGGTGGTGCTGATGATGACGGGCGCGTTGATGGTGTTGGGGTCCATGCAGGAGTGGTCGTCGTGGTGCAGGGTCACGAGCGTCCAGTTGACGACCACACCAGCGAGACGCACTCCGTCGCCATCGGGCCGGGTGATCAGGTCCTCAACGCAGGTAGCGTTGAAGAGCTTCACATTGGGGAAGGAAAGGACGCGCGACAGCAGGGTCGAGGTGAAAAGGGCGGCGTGCTTGACGACCACGAAGTTGGGGTTGTTGGGCTCCTCTTCGTAGGGCACGCCCAGCTCTGTCAGGAAGACGTCCGCTGGACGGCGGAGGACCATTGCGGAGAAGAGTTGGCCGCCGAGCCAGGCACCGCCACCTGATTACGCAGTTAGTAACTTGACTCGAATAGACTAGTTCAGCAGGAAGGAGAGGCTCACCTGGAGAGACGGAAGCCTCAAGAATGGCGATCTTCAGGTCCGGACGGGCCTTCGCGAGCACGTAGGCGGTGCTCAGGCCACAGGAGCCGGCGCCGACGATGACAACATCGCTCTCGGCGTAGTTGTCCAGGTCCTGAAAGTAACGGCGAGTCATCGCGCGAGAGACCTGGCTCTCGCGGATAGGAGCGAACTTGAACTCGTCCCACTTGCCGCCGAACTGTTCCAACAGCTTGCTCTGGCCCTGGCCGGTCAGGACGGTAGAAGTAGTCTCGGGGACAACATTCTTAGTCTTGATGCCAGTGGGGGCAGTAGCAGGCTCGAAGATAGCAGCAGGAGGAGACATGGTGGGGGATCAAGTCGAAATGACTTTTGCCTTATGTTAGTATACTTGACTATAAGGGGGAGGGAAGGCATGATCCTTTCGCTGGTATTATCCAGATCAAGTTTTGGCCGTATAATCTCAGGACGAACCCACGCCGCTGGGCGGAACTCCAGATGCTTCTCATTATATCCGAAAGGATGTCGCGAGTCACCTCTGGAGAGCCCAGCTTTGTAGGAACGAACACCGGCCCACGCACTTATTATTTTAAGATACCTTGATCCCGAAGGGATGATAATTCCAGCCAAAGAAACTCCATGGCTTCCCACAGTAGTGGGCTGATGTACTTATTCGGTTGAGCTGTAGGCATGTTAGCTCTTATCTACCTTGGCAGCAGGGTGATAGTTACTGTTTGTTTGGGGTAGCAGTTGATTCGATTGAATGAAGATCAGTGAAGTTGGAAGGAAAAGGCCGAAAGTGAGGGGGCAGACGACCTTAAATGTGCCACAACCCCGCCTTACGAGTCTGGACTTAGGTTTGTGTGCTGTCATCGCCTCCGAGTCTATCCGCACTCTAAAGTCAAAAAGCGACCGGTGAACAGAGAGGGGAATGCTGGGGTTAACCGCATCATGACGTTGTTTGTACATTGGACGCGTCCATGGTTTTACAATCTAAGCTACTAATAGAATCTCCATAAACCAGCGGTCTCGTGCTTAGTAGACTCACAATTGATTCTCGAACGCGTCAATAAGGTCAACTGCCGAGTAAATAGTTCTTACTGTCATGTCTGGCTGTATAGAGAGCGACCTAGTGGACAAGGCGGGCCTTTCTCGCCGTGTGTACCTGTGGATAGAAGTGGGTGCCCCGGGGGACTCTGGTCCGACTCATTATCGTCCAGTCTCGTGCTTTGTCGACGTTTACCGTCAGATGAAACCCACTAAACCGGAAAAATCAAAGTGCTTTTGGATTGATAGTTTCGTCTAGACATTAGAAAACACCAATCCCTAGCTTTTCATCGCACATATCAGGATGGTAGACATCTGACATCATTTTATCATCACAAATGCTTATAGAGCCACGGCAGAAACCAGCAACACACAACGATCGGTGTTCGGCCGTTCTATGGTATTACAGGGCATACCTGAAGCCGGCTCCATAGTTGTCCTCGGGAGACAATTCTTTCTTGCTAGGGTCGACCGCAACCTTAGGCCCGTACTTCTTGTCCAGGCCCTTATTCATCCACACCAGGTAAAACCGGAGTACGAGGGCGAGAAATGTGTTGAACAGCATGAATGCAGCACAAATCCACATGCCCCGAAGGAATCGTGGAGCTTCAGAATCAGGAAACACATTAGTTCCCAAGAAAGGACCACATTGTCCAATCAGGTTCATGAGGATAATGCCAGCGCCACGACGGCTATCAGATCCTTGATTGTCTAAACAGGCCTCCAGTCAGCGTTGATCTCCGGATGCTTATCGGAAGATTCGAAGCCTTAAGAGCTTCTTTGCGGGAGGGGAAGGCGATGACTCACTGAGTACCCAGGGCAAAAGATTGGCGATCGCCGGGAACACTCCACACGCAGCCACGAAGACACCAAAGTACCGCACACCCACTGTTTTCACGGTGGCACACAGAATATACCCCACACTGCCGATTAATGAGAGTCCAGCAATCATGTATCCACGTTGCTGGAGACGATCTGCAATCCATGGAGTGGCAAGGGTCACGAGGAATGAGGCAAAGAAAACAGGGGCAGTCAGGCCCTGCGCGTCGATGGACGTGAACCCCATCTCCTTGAGGATACTTGGTAAGAAGACCGACAAGGAGGAGAAGCTGACATTGCAGCTGAAGTACATGAACTGTATTCAGAGACACATTAGCGCAAATTCACAGCCCATTGCTCTCTCGAAGAGACTTACAGATAACAGCCAGGCCTTGGGATCAAATAAGATCTCGACCACTTCTTTCCATTGAATCTCGAGCTTTCGGTCCGGCTCACCAGATTGCGCAATGGCGCGAATTCGTGTCACCTCTTTCTCTTCCTCTGTCAAGAACTTCGCTGTCGCGGGAGAATCCGGCAGGAAGAACCAGGCAAGAAGCGCAGAAGCAACAACAGGCAATCCTTCCACCAGGAAGAGCACGCGCCAACTTGCAATGCTCTCATGGCCTGAGGTAATTCCGTAGGCCAGCGCACCCGCGAAGGTATTGGCGAGTGGAGCGGCAGCAAAATACATGCCACAACGGAGACCGAGTTCGTGGCGGCGGTAGAAGAAGGAGAGCAGGTAAGGTACACCAGGGCCAAAGCCGGCCTCGAATATCCCCATGAGGAACCGGAGTGCCATCATCCCTTGCCAGTTCTGTGTTGCAGCTTGGCAGGTCGAAACGAGGCCCCTATATGTATGTCTCTATGAGCCCCAATACATCGCGTTCCATGAGCGTCTCGACTTACCAAGAAAACACCATGAACGCACACCATTGATGCGGCTTAACAACCTTCCACATTATCGCCTGGAACTCGAAAACGGCATACGAGATGTAGAAGATTGTGAGCAGCCACGTGTACTTTTCGCCTGTGAGAGAGAGATCTGTTGACATTCCGGCGATTTTGGCATTGCTGTTTCTGTGTTAGATAATTGACAATTCTCCCTTTCGCGTCAACGGATAACGACGAACCCGATATTACTTCGGTCGAGGAAAGCAAGTAAATCTAAATTGCGACACAGCTTAGCAAGATGTTTCCATGGCGAGCGTCACAAGAAAAACCACATCGAGACTCACAAAAGAAGGCTACCAGCGTTGTAAGGCGCAGATCCAACTTGCGCAAGACCCTATGCTCTAATTTCGGATCAATGTCTGGTAGAGCTAGCATTGGCCCTGCCGCCGATTGACCTACGTCGCTCTCCTGATGCGCAGATGGTACAACCTTCTCGACATCTGGCTCGGGGGCTGCCTCCTGGATTTGATCCTCAGAGTCATTGCGCTTGCCAAAGAAACCCATGGTAGGAGGCGGGCCCACAGCAGGACAGAGGGGAGTGGGATTGGCTTTAAAAAAAATTTATCTCGATTTTGGGGCGCCTGGTCTTTAATAGTGCGGGGGCTCAGGCCCAAATTCGGGATCAACAAGATGTCGTAATGAACAGGCCGCTTCTCCGTTGATCGCCCTTTCTCCGTAGATGTGATTGGTGTGACGAGCGCCGCGATCGCAGGTTCTTTCTCCACCGACTGAAATCCACGCCGGAGATGTGCTTATTCTGCCGAATCTAGTGGTTCTTTGTGGGGCCCGCATTGCTGTGGGTCCTGCGAAAGCTTGGACTGCGCCCAGAAGGTTTGCTTTCTATAAATCATAGCGAAGTGCATGCTCTATGGAAGGTGATCACTATGCTCTTCAGAGAATAGGGCTACCAATGAGCGAACAGGGTAAGGCACACAGACGGGGTCGAAGCTTTTGAAGAAGTGGCCGAGGGAAAGTCCGAGCTTTGGAATGCGCGAAAAGACCGTGCAAGGAGCTCCCAGGCGACCCATGCAGACTTTCCACCGGTGCTTTACAGGGGTGGGGTTACAGAATTATATATACACACTGCTCTCCTCAGGATCTATGCACAGAGTTCAGGTAGCTCTCATCAGATAAATCTCATTTGATTGAGCCCGGCTCCGCCGACTTTCCAAGTGGATAAAAGTACTGGTATCCACTGTCCCGAGCCTCTATATGCCAATGTAAGACTCCCGCCCGGGGTACTGATCAAGAACTGCAAAGTTGCAAGCATTCGTGAACCTACGTGAACTCATGTCCCGGAGAAAACGAATCAAGGTTGCCCAGGTGTCCTCAAATCGGAAGGGTTTGGAAATCCAGGGCCGGAACTTGCCATCTGGAGAGAAAAGCAGCTTCAAGCTGGAGACACTATTGGCTCATCATAGTTACTCAATTGCGCGGTCTCGAATCATCTGGCTCTTTCTGCCCGCTAAGCTTCATCAACAACGGTAAGATCGATGTGGTGGTGCCTGCAATTATTATATATATTTGAACAGTCCCAATATCCGGACTTGCTGGCATTTCCTTCAAATTGATGGTGATTCTAAAACTAGGCCAGTATGCCACTAGTTAAATCTACCATGAGCTGTTTTCAATGGCTGATTAGGTTGGAATAAAACAGGGAAATTTGCATTTGCGCAAAATCTTCTTCCCCAATGGTGGTTTCTGCCTCAGGTGTAATGCACTTCTGGTCTCTTCCGCCTCCCGCGCCGCATCAAAAAACCTCCCGCGTCGCGTTGCAGGAGCTCCAACCGCCACCGTTCAAGTCCCACGATCGTCGCTTTCTCGTCATCCACGTCGCCATTGGATTCCTCATCAATCTTGTACGAGCATCGCAAATAGTGAATTGAGAGTCCCTTTTTGAAAAGGGTCGTCGCAAAGATGGATGACCCGGCCAGCCGTATGCCCGGGCAGCTGGTACGTAACCCCAGCCATTTCGTTGTCGCTGGCAAAGTCTCTATGGCGATCGACACCGTTCTGGATACTGTCTAACCTGTCGCAATGATATTAGCTGCCGCACATGCATCTGGTGTCGCAGTACCGCTATCCGAACATTCATATGATGCCAAATGAGACCGCCGTCGAGTACCTGAACAGCGCTCCCCGAATCTGCCAATCAAAGCCCATGCATTGGACTTTCTTAGATTGCCCAGCTGACGGTACTGTCATGCTCACCTGGCAGCCACTGAACCACCTTGGCAACAATTTCTCCAGCGACGGATATGTTTGGGCCGACGCCGAGCAAGCATATACATTCGAAGCTCGGGGCTACGTACGTCGCACAATACAGATCGGTATAAAGAAATTCACTATCTAACCAATATCCAACAGACCGTCGAAATGTTTCTCCACCGCAGCGGATACAATCCTCGGAACGAGAACGTCGCCACCCACTCTCGCAGACGTTATCGCATTGTCTCCTCCAAGGTTCCAAACGCCCCGCAACCAGACCCAGCCCTGTGGATCGTGCACTACTCGAGGGCCCCCCAGCAAGACCACATGGCCGCCAATCGCATCCCCCCAACCCCCCAGGTTCAATCTATGATGGCGCAACGCCGATTCCTGCAAAGCCAAGGCCAATTGGCTCGCAAGGAGTTCATGCTGCACGACCGAAATAGCTGGCCGACAATCCCCTTCCCCTCCCAAATGGGTCCACAAGGCTTCCAGCAGCCTCAGCAACCCGCCGTGGCCAACGCCCAGGGCAGACCAGGGTTTTACCCGCCGGGAGGCCCTCAGGCTGTCAACGCAGCTGCTATAAGTATGGCCGCGGGTAAACAGCCGCGCCCGAGCCGACCCCCACCGTCGGCAGTCAATGCGACAGTCGGCGACTTCTCTTTGGAGGACGAGGATGTTTCAAGTGGTGACATGTTGGATTTGCTCACGCCGCGTGATGTCAGCAAGATGCGCTACATGCAGCATCACGAGTGGATGAACGAGATCTTCTCCTCTCCCTACGCTATTTCCCAGATCACTCCCGTCTCCTTAGGACTCGGCCGCAAGGGTGAGCTTGAAACCTTGACGCAGGGGATCTTCGACGCCCCTGCTGGCGAAGAAGGAGCCGATGCCGAGGTCCCTGAGGTCACCAAGCTCGAGCCAGCTAAGGCCGAGGAGTTCACGGAGCGTGTGGCTAAGAAGGTCGCCGATATGACCGCGGAGATTGAAAAATTGAAGAAGCAGCACTCCCGTCGAATGGAGCGTTTCAACCGAAGCTCGCTTTTCAAGGAGTCTGAGCTTCGTCTTCGGGACGCCGCCTCGGACCCTGCGGAGACTGGTACGGAAGTTTGGAGGCTGGAAGGTCGTATTATCATCCCGGACGAGGATGGCGAAGGCCCGGCCAACCCCATCGAAGAGAAGGCCAAGTACAAGGTTGACGATATCGTTCGCGATGTGGAATCCGCCTGGAAGAAGCAGATCAAGCCCGAACCCAAAGTCTCATGCGTGGAGAAGGGTGGTCTGCTGGAGAAGATTGAACCCGAACAGAAGGATGAGCCGGAAGCTTTCCCCAGTGACATGGTGCTGGACCAGGCCGAGAACCTTCTCACCGATTTCGACCCCAACGGCGATGGTGTCCCCTTGTCCAACAGTGAGATCCCCGGTGACGTGGACATGGATCTGGGCGACCAACTGGGGGGTGGCGCGAACGGCGAAAACGGCGACTGGGTGATGGTGAATAATGATAACAAAGATGCTGTGCCTGACGGCAGCTTGGAGGCCGGCTTCGACTTTACCAACATCGACAGCGCCGGCGACGCCCTTGCTGCTTACACGGAGCAGAACGACGTCCTCGATCTTCCCGAGATGGACTCGGCGTTCGGAGACGCATTCCATGCCTCGGACAATGAGCACAGTCATCACCCTGACGCAGATGAAATGTCCTAAGCGGGAGGACGGGGTTTCGATTTGGCGCAATTTTTGATTTGCTGGTGCACTACTCGTTTTAGCACATCAGCTCCTGGTGTTCGTCGGTTTGCGGATCTGGAGGTTCGGGTCTATGGTTTTTTTTTCATGGCTTTTATCTTTGATGTATCATAACTCCCATTCATTATCTGATCTGAGATTGCCCGAAGAAAGTGACAAATTTTTTCTCGATTAATACACATCACTGTTCAAGCTTTACCCGCCATGACCTACTTCCAGCCGTTACCCAAAGCCTAATCTAATCTCAAACTCCTTCATAATCTCATCACTAGCCACACCCTCCCAGGCCTCGACCAAAACCGACTATGCCCCGGCTCCTTCAACATTCTTGACCATCATCTCCCCTCTCCCCCAGCCGCCTTCAGCTCATTCTGATCCCGAAGCGGTGAAATTGGATGCCTGAATTGGGTTGTGCTGGGGGCGGAGATAGTGCAGAGAAGATCGAGTGTGACTCTTTGTCGCCCAATGGAGGGAGGGGATTTGGTGGGTCCAGCAGGAGGAGCTGTGTCAGTGAGCCGTGGACGAGGCTTGTTGGTTTGGCGCTCGTGGTGGGTTTGGGGGGTGCGGGGTGTGGAGAAGAGGCAGTGGTCGAATTGTGGACAATTGTCGATGATCCGGGTTTGAGGAGTTCGTGCTGAGGAATTGAAATGGGGGGCTGCTACTCATGGCTACAGAGCTTCTTCTTGGCGATTCGAATTGGCGTGTTAGGGGCATTTGCTCTTTTTTGCAGTAGATTGAAGACAGCCCCACTGAGGCCCTACGGTGATCGGCTTGCCTGCTGTTGAGTCGATTTGCGAATTGCTACACACTTGCAGATCAAGGAAAGGGGAACCTAGGTTTGCTTATATGGAAAAGGCCATTTAATAGACCGGCTTTTTGGACTTGACATAGAATTGAGCTACAGTGAATGGTTAGCGGAGATCCGCACGTCAAGGACGATCTGAAACACGGAGATAAGATCTGTGAACCATGATCAGCATGATCGGCGCCATGACCGTGAACAGCTCCGGACCTGCCAGTGCGCACTCACTAACTTTCAAGGCTAAACCTCACCCGGATAAGTTATCCATGAATTTGCCTTCAGCCGCAGGGTAATTACGCATAGTTCGACCACATCCGCCCCTCCCGTAAATGACGTCAGGCAAGAGATTCGACCAACTGCGGCCAAAAAGGCAAGACGACGAGCCCGTCATCGTGGCAGGTGCGCCTCGTCCTATTTCTTTCTTCCCCCCTCGTCTTGCAATCTGCACAGTAACCTACCCCGGGCTCTTACTCTGTATTTTCCACAACCCAAGCACATACACTTCAAATTTCACCTAACCAGCCATGTATGTTGCCCCCCCCGCACCCCACTTCAGATAGACCACCCAACTTACCCCAATCTCCAGGAGTCGCTCCATGTCGTTCCGGCCTCGTCACCGGGATACCTCCGGCGGGGGCCCGAACTTCATCACCAACTTCCGGGGCCTGCAAGGCCCCGAACTAAGCCGCAAGATGGCCCGGCTGCTCAAGACAGAGAACACGGTCATCAACGCCCACGAAACTGCAGGCCGTAGCCGTACCTCCGTCGCCTCCCAGCTCTCGGAATGGGGTGAGTCGACCGGCGATGACACGATCTCGGACATCTCGGACAAGATGGGCGTGCTGCTCGCCGAGATCGGGGACCAGGAAGGCTTCTTTGCACAGAACCTCGAGGACTCCCGCGCCGTGCTGAAGCATATCCGGAACATGGAGAGCTCCGTGCAGCCGTCGCGGGACCAGAGACAGAAGGCGACGGATGAGATCGCGAAGCTGAAGTTCAAGGATCCGAACAGCCCGCGGCTGGCGACGCTGGAGCATGAGCTGGTGAGGGCCGAGGCGCAGAACTTGGTCGCAGAGGCGCAGCTGTCGAACACGGTATGTTTGAGCTGAGGGTGATGCTGTGAGGGTGCGAGGTCCGCTGACTTGATTGGGTTTAGATTCGGTCGAAGCTGAAGGAGGCGTTCGATCTCCATACTGCGGCTGTCATCGAGCGTGCGGAGAAGCAGATTATTCTTGCTCGTCATGCGCGCCGTCTGCTGGAATTCGTTGACGATACGCCTATGGTCCCTGGTGATGCTCGCCATGCTTATGATCGTCAGTCCGAGGCGCGCCAGGTTCTCGAGGACGCCGAGACTGATCTCCGAGCGTGGAAGCCTAGTGTTGAGCCTCTGGCTAGCCCCGAGGCCCTCGCGGAAGAGGGCGAGACCCGGGAGGTCGAACGGGACTCGGTGAGCATTACTAGCGAGATTAACGATGCTGGTGTAAATGGAATCACCGAAGAGGTCTCGTCGGTTAAAATCGAGACCGAGGCTCCCACTGCAGTCGTTGTTTAGTAAGAAGCTGGCTGTGCTTCTCTACTAGTCTGGATGCGGAGTCGTACGTCAATTTTTGATTGTGCAAATGTTCAATTCGGGAAGTACCTATGTTGAATAACATAGGAATTCGGCTGTATGTATGCGACTCAGTAATCAACGTCAATCAAGTTCTTGCGTATATTTCTGGAAAAAGTTTTCTAACTGGTTCTTCTTGTTTGAGGAATGAAAAGACTTCTGCAGTAAGAATAATTCGTGATTCCATAGCTTTTCAGGTAGCTTGTTAGGAGGTAGCTTTTGAGCCATAAAAAAAAGGGAACTATTTCTGAAATATAAGACGGGTATATAATCTATCAACACAAACTCCGGTCAATCATGCCGCGCACCGTAAATTTGAATCAACCCTACACATGCGAGATCGCCGGAGTAACCGCAGTAAGCAGTTTTCCGGACGGGAAGGGACCGCACCAGCCGAAATTATCACACCGACACTGGTCATAATCGGGGCAACTATACGAGATTGTCAGCTTCCACATGAACACCTCGAGACCCAATATCAAGAGAACTTACTGCACCGCCTCCTCCCCAAATACAACATGCCATAACGTTTCAAACACCCAGCCCACTCCATGGCTATCCATGAGCGGGACGCTGGTCTCATTGACCCATCTGAGCATCCGAACATAATCGCTCTTCGGGCGCTGCCGAATCCGAGCCCGGCTGAGCGCAAACTGGGCGCAGCAGACGCCGCCAATTTCCTGCGGGACGTCTTCTAGACTGCCACCTAGTATATCCACGTAAACTTGCGTGAAATAGGAGCGGACATCGTGATTATCGATGTCGATTTGGGTGGGTGCATGCGGGTGCACGTGGGTCGGGCAGCCCGGGAAGAGGGAGCAGCGGAGATTGAGATATCCCTTTGCGTCGACAGCTTGCAGCCGGAGCGCGGGGAGGACGGAGTCGGTACGGACGCCGAAAAGGTCGTTGTGCCATTGGTCTTGGTTTGAGTGGATAAAGATGGAGTAGGGTGGGAGAGAGTCGTAGTAGTCGATGACGTAGGATAGGTAGCTTGCTACTTCGCGGCCTCGGAAGGACTGGGGGATGAGGAGCTCTGTTTCGGGGTCGTCATCTGTTGTATATACGAATGGAGTATTTTGGGGGCTGTGGAGCAATTATGTTAGTGTCATTTCCATGCGGGTTTGTTGGGTGGAAGACTAGCTTACTGCTCTTGAATGTAGTCTCGAAGCCATCGTAGGTCGTCTGCCCTCGTCTTTGATAGGACGAGGCCGATAGTGGTTGAATTTGAGCCATATGCGTGTATCTTTTGTGAAATCTCATGGACTGCCTTGTCCTTCTCGATGTCTTCTGGTGATCTCTCGAGTTCTTCTGGGGTCCCTGTTTAACGGTTAGTATGGAGTCGCCGACAGGGGACACATTGTTCAGGGTACACAAGCTCGTACGTACTTATCGGTTGATCGACGGTATTGGCTGAGATGAACCTATGTTGAAAGATGATAATGGTGGCAATTACTGCAAACAATATTATAGATCGTAACATCGTGCGATGCCTCGTCCATGATGACCTTAACAGATGCTGGGAAAAGCCGTAGTCGCTGGAGAGAGTCGGCGACAAGATTCCCTTTTCCGGCATGGCGAAGATGAGTCGGTTTCTCAGATTTCTGCAGACATGCGGAAAGGCTCATACATAATGAAAACTCCGCAGCATCCGGCGGCTCTTGGCCGGGGGGCATGGGAGACGCAAGGTTGTGTTGGCCCATCCAAGACCCCAGTATGATCCTTCCATTATTCCTAGAGCCGATCCACGCCGATCCAACCGACGTGGTGGGTCTTTGGGCCAAGTCTGCTTGTCACATAGCGCCTGGATGCTCTGGAAAAGCCTTGCTTACCCTGATCTTCCAAGGGCCAAGGCTGCAGCGGAATCAGGTTTCAAACTAGGGGGGTAAATTGTTCGCGTCCGCCCTTTTGCACCCTCTCCCCTTCATCAAAGATCGAGTTTCCACTGCCAGTGAGAAACTCCCAGTTCGCGTCCTTCGCAGTCAAAATTTGATTTTCATGGGCCTTCTCTACATACACAAAGGGAGCACTGGATGATCAGAGACGACCTTCCTGCATCATGATGACATATGCCCCATCCACTTTGGAAAAATCCCTATTTACTCCACAGAACGCACCCGGACCCTCTGGTGTCAAAAGAGGATTTGTTTCGGTCGGATTTCAAATAGGACACATCACATTAGGATAGACTTTTGCGCGCCCTCGCGTTGTACACCGACTAGTGAATCCGCTATTCGATTGATGCGCCAGGTACCACCAAGGAGACTCAAAAACACCAAGTCCTGCTCTAGGATTTAGAACGCTACCTTGGGTCTTCGCCGCAAAATGATTGTGCTCCACGGAGTACCCGCAAAGGTCGCACAGTAGCGCGACTGCAGTTGGTGCCCCTATCTTATGGTGTCCTCGCCTAACGACCAAAGTAGCGCGATGTCAACAGGGCCAATCTTCTTCGTGGAGCTCGCCTACCTTAATCAACTAGAAAGGAAGTCTAGGGCTGAATTGCGGAGGAGACGCTATCACCCATTGACAGTCTCAAGTTCCCAGTATCTGCTCATGGATCACCTACCGTAGACTAGTGCCACGGACCCAGCTACGGACACAAATAGTATCATGTCTGCCTTCGGCCTTGGCTCTTCCTCACATCGCCCAGCCTTGCAAGGCCAGAAATTCAGGGTCTGCGGCGCAACGTCACAGTGGCTTGGGCCTTGGCGACCACGCACGCCCAACTCGGAAAAATTGTCCGCAGTCTCGGAAATAATTAGGCTACAGAACGTGTTTCTCTGTTTCGTATAAATATTTTCAGCGAGCTCTGAAACTGGTCATCGTCTAGAAACTTATTCCATCCAACGCGAGGGAGCTTTGAAGGTTTCAGGCGATGATAATCACGTGACATTACCCCAGCATGGAGCTGCTGAACTCAAATCCACGTGCCCTAAAGAACAACACTGCTAATACGAAGTCAGCAATAAGCTGAAAAGCTCTTTCATCCTCATGTCAGCTGACTCGAGTGAAAAGACCCTTATTCAGGAATAGTGGCAGTGGTCCGCAAGACTGTTCCAATTATTACCACTTCTTTGTATGACACAGCGCTCACGAACATCTTTCTCAACTAGCTGATTCAAGTTCCTGACAGCTTGAACCCTCTTATATCTCGCAACCAGAGATCGACTACGATAAGATATAAGACCTTCGGTTTACAGAGCCCATCTCGGGCTGATGGGCTTCAATTCAAGAAACTTCAAGCAATGCAAGCAAGAGCTAAGTGCTAGTATGGTAGGTACGTGCTACCCGGGATTAGCGCACAATAGGCAATATTTATTCAGGAGCGATCATATCTTGAAACAATGGAGTCTAAGCAAAAGGCATGGCTACAGTCTATGTTGATTCTTAAGACGGGAGAAACCATTTGAATTGCGCAAAGTATCGCATCAATAATACGAATAGCGAAAAACGATCTTCAAGATTAAAGGCGTCGGATATTCCAACAGAAGAACTGAATTGAGTTTTGTACTTGAAAAGTCACCGAAGGTCTCCATGTTGTCCCTTTCTACATGTATGCTTGATCGATTTGTATGACCCGCACGTGACCGTAGGCGCCCAAGTGACGCGGAACGTCGAGCTAAGGCGAACCTGAAGAAGCTCCGGAGCTACCACCATCACTTTCTCCTTCACTCCATCCCGACTCCCTTTCCTTCTTCCAACCGCTGCCTGTTATAAATCACCATGGACAAGCTCGTTGCCCAATACTCGCGCCCGGCGCACCAGAACGAGTTCCATTCCGACCCAGAGCAACAAGACCTCGACTCGGGTCTCCCTCCACTCTCCCTCAAATTCGCTCTTCCCCCAGTTGATAACGTGAGTTTCGATTGCCGGTCTGCTGCCGTAACCCCGAAAGCCGCCTGTGACTGCAGAATGGAGGATGACCCTCGTCTCTGTCACGGGAGAGCATCAGCTATGCAATAGCTAAGCAAGCTCCCGGCCGAAGGAACAACCATCACAATGCTAGCAGGAATAACCTGGCTAACGGTCTTTCTTTTTCCTCCGGATTTCTAGCATGCCTCATTCCTCCGTGCCATGACCGATGACCACTCCAATCCCAGCTGTCCCATTAAGCTCGCTCACGGAACCACAACCTTGGCCTTCCGGTTCCAAGGCGGTATCGTACGTCGACAAACTGATTAGCTGCCCTGGTCGCGATTCGATCGCTAACGCATATCCCGAATAGATCGTGTGTACCGATTCCCGTGCAACAGCCGGAAACTGGATCGCCAGTCAGACAGTCAAGAAGGTTATCCCCGTATCACGGCTGAGCCGAGGAGAGGACAAGCCCTCAAAGGACCCTACACCCGGTCTCTTGGGAACCATGGCTGGTGGTGCGGCGGTAAGTAATCGCGAAAGGAGGCTCTGGAAGAGCCGCCGCTGACAGATTCTAGGATTGTCAATACTGGTTGCGTTATTTGAGTCAGCAGTGCACGTTGCACGGTATGTCTCCCGAGACGACAATCATGAGGAGATTGGGCTTATGCTAATTCGATACAGAAATTCGACACAAGCGCCGCATTACTGTCGCCGCTGCATCCAAGATCCTCGCCAATTTGACCTATGCTTACAAGGGCTACGGTTTGAGCATGGGTACCATGCTTGCAGGTGTACGTTTCCGCTTTTGCGAAATGCCACATGTGCTTTGGAATCCAAAACTGATCATAATCTCTCTAGGTAACTCCCCAAGAAGGCCCGGCGCTCTACTACATCGACTCAGACGGCACCCGACTGCCAGGAAACCTGTTCTGTGTGGGATCTGGTCAGACTTTCGCCTACGGTGTGCTAGACGCAAACTACAAGTACGACTTGACCGAGCAGGAGGCCCTGGATTTGGGCCGCCGTGCCATCCTGGCCGCCATGCACCGTGATGCCTACTCCGGTGGTTTCATTAACTGCTACCACGTCACGGAAGCCGGCTGGGTGCACCACGGCTTCGATGATATGAACCCCATCTTCTGGAAGACAAAGCTGGACCACGGCGAGTTCTCTAACGTTACCTCTGAGCTTTAAGCGGGTTGGGATTCGGGATATGCTTGAATGTGTACTATTCTCCATACTAGAACTTCACATGTTCTTCAGTTGAGACTCTTCTATCGTAGAAGCCAGTTATGTAGTGCATAAGCCTACAACTACAGTAATAGGACTGGTCGTTCATGGTTGTTTTGCTCTCCTGTAGTGAATTTTTCATTTTGTATTTGAATGAAATCAAGGCTATCTTAAATAGCCAACCTGAAACTTGAAGATGGCTCAGCTCGATCAGATATCTCCGGCAGCCAGGTAGACATAGCACCCGCCAGACGAGCACAAACATGCTAAAGACAGGGAAACTCATGCTCGCTACTCCCCCGGTAAGATACTCGGTCGAAGAGGATATCGGACCTCCTGGACAGCCACAATAGAATGACAGAACCTGGATTCGTCGCCCGTACCCCCGCAAGACAGGATCGTCTGTGCGTTCTGTTGAATACCACACCCCAGACGAGCACTTCACAGAGAGCAGCACTAGCCTTTTCAAGGCCTGCACCGACGACAGTAAATCGTCGAATTCGAATAACCCTTCGTACGAGGGGTTTTCTGACGTCGTGCATCCATGATGGTGCTTGCTCGCTCTCTTCAAGTACAAGCTACTAAAGCTTTATTCCGGCCACGAACCGTCTTTCCTCGCTTTTTGCGGGTGCTTGTTCCAGCAGTGACTGATATTTGGCCAGAGAGATCACACGAATTTGTGACATATAAAACACGTTTCGAGAAGGTCATCTCCGTTTACTATCGAACAGCAGAAGTACGGGAAACCCGGCTGGCGTCAGCCACCACAACAGTTGCAGTCGCTGTAATAGTAGTCGGGGTAGTCGCGTCGAGACATAGCGTAGCTCAGCCGTCCATGATCGGTATCGCAGTCCTGTGTTGAACGTGCCATATATAGTATAGCGGGATCTAGCTTGATGTTAGCCATTCTTCAAAGATCTTTGCATCGGTTGGACAGGTTGACCGACCAATTGTCCAAGTCCCAGGCGCCATGAGGCAAGATTGCAGTAAGCCTGGATACTATGCGAGCATGATCCCCAAGTTGGCAATCTAGACCTTGTCTGTGAAGAAGCGATAGATGAACTCTGGGAATCAGCAACCTGGAGCAAAGGATCTAGTTCCTGCCCCTCCTTTGACGAAGGAATACCCCGTTATGCGGTGGACAACAGCAGCCGAAACACTGAAGATTGACCTCCTTGGAGACCTATGCCAGGCGTGTATTTTTCAAGAAAATTCGCAGGCGAAGTGGACACTAGTACCTATACTTGTAGTAGTCCGTTGTTCACAGGTAGTATAGCCCAGCTGAAAGTAAACGGGATTTTCAATATTGGAGACCGAGACAAGTTGACGGCGTAGTATCTCAATATCATCGTGATGAAGCAACGATCCATCAAAAATCTGGGTATTTGTGGCCTGTATTTATTATACCAGTGTCCACGAGTATATAAGAGCTGCCAGCGAGCAAATCTTTCAAGTTCGAGAGACGTGGAATGATATTGGAGCTTCGTATAGATGCGTACAAATATGAACAAGGAAAGAAAAAGAAGACCTCAAAGAAGATATACCGGAAGACGCTCCATCTATGACATAACAAACCAAACATTTTTTACCCGACAAACACCAGAAGTCGGCAATCTCCAAGGAAAAAAAAAACCCTAGTTGTCAATCTTAAACTTCATCCTGATGCCCATCGCCGCCAACTCAACATCCAGATACCTGAGCACACCCGGCACCGCAACAACAGTAACATTATCACCCCCAACATACCGCAACCCAGTACCATCCTCCCAAGCCTCCGCCCTCGAATCATTGAATGTAGCCTGACGGGCGCACCGACGACACCTCACAATACCAGCCTGTCCACCCAGCGCCCCACCCACGGACGCCGCACCGCCAGGCGCCTGCTGATTCGGCGCCGCCTTCGCCGCGGCCGCAACAGCACCAGGATTAATAGCCGCACGAGCGCGCGAGCCCGAGCCCGAGCCCGCAACCGCCACCTGTGTAGACAAGAACGAGCCACACTCCCGACAGATCCACGCAAGCTGGGAATCAGAGCAATTCATCAACCGGTCCTGCAGCAGATAGGCTGCACCGTGAGCAATAAGCGAGTCGCGCTCCATCTCACCCACACGGATACCACCACCCTTTGCACGACCCTTGACGGGCTGCCCGGTCAACGCATTGACGGGGCCGGTGGTTCGCACCTGGAACTTGTCGTTCACCATGTGACGCAGACGCTGGTAGTAGACGACACCCATGTAGATGTCGGCGGCGAACTCGCGGCCCGTGATGCCGGAGTACAGGGGCTCATTGCCGTAGTAGTTGTAGCCTGCTTTGCGGAGCTGGTGGCCGAAGTAGTCGGTGGCGGTGTTCTCTTCGGAGAATTGGAAGGGGGTGGAGTCTTGGGGGTGACCGTGGAGAGCGCCAGATTTGCCGGCCATGGATTCGATCATTTGGGCGATTGTCATTCCTAGGCATTGTTAGAAGGAGGGTTTTAGGGGAATATAAGAGGAAGAGGGAAAGAGGAAGGCTTACGGGATGGGAAAGCGTGAGGGTTGATAATCAGGTCGGGCTGCATGCCACTCTCGGAGAAGGGCATGTCGACTGCGGGCCACAGCTGCGAGCACACACCCTTCTGCCCGTGACGGGAGGAGAACTTGTCACCGATGATCGGCTTACGGGGAATACGGTACTTGACGCTGATGTTCTGAATAGGCTCGTTTCCGTTCTCTGAGCCCATGATGCGGATGCTCTCGATGTAGCCAACTTCGGCATCCTTGTACTTGAGGTAATGGGTGATCCCGTCGACATTGACGTAGGTGTCCGAGGCAGCGTCGTAGCGGACGTTGTGGAAAGCAGCGATCTTGTCGCCCTCCTTCACCCGGATGCCGATGTGGGGGAGGCCGTCTTCGTCGATCAGGTTGCGCACGTCACCGCGGACTTCGTCGCCTGGGGCGAAACCGAAGAGCTTCGTGATTTCGCGGCGGGACTTGCGGCGCTCCTTTTCGGCGAGAGAGTGGATCTTGGTCTTGTAGATGGTTCCGTGACCGAACCCGCGCTCGTGGGCGGATTTGTTGATGATCATAGCGTCGTCCATGTCATAACCGGTGTAAGAGATAATGGCGACAATGGCGTTCATGCCGTTGGGGAAGTTGTCCAGACCGTAGGCGTTATAGAGTGGAGGACGAACAATGGGCGTCTGACCGGTCTGCAGACGGTACAGCTTGTTGTCGGTACGGAAGGCGATGGATGTGCCCGGGGTACCCATTGTCTGCTTGCTCATTTGACATTGGTACATGTTACGGGGCGACTGGTTGTAGTTGGAGAATGGGGTCATGTTGGCCACGATGGAGAGCATATTGGTGGGGGTGAACTCGATGTGGGTAGAAACGCCAGGAACCAGGTCGGACTCCACACAAGCGATTTCCATGAAAGGCTGCTCGAATGGTCCAACGAAATCGGTCTTGTCCAGGGCAAGGTGTTTGACGGGGCGGTACATTCTTGCGGATTGTGAGAACATGTAGATACCAGGGTACTGTCCACCGTTGGTGTTGGGGATATAACCAATCTCCAGGTCGCGGGGGATGTTGTTCTTGCCCGCAACCTTCCAGTAACGCAGCGTATCGTGGATCTTGAGGGCTTGCTGAGGAGAGCAGAAGCCAATGATACGACCATCCAGCTGCACAACGACACTATCATTCAAAGCCACAGAGGACGTGGACTGCACACCAAGCTGGACCAGGACCTTGGGAATGTGAGACACCTCGAGGTTGTCGGTGGCAATGAGACATTTGTGCGCCAAGTGGTTCAACAGACCACACGGAGAACCATCCGGAGTATGGACAGGACACAAGAACCCCCCAACTCTCGGGGAGCAGTTTTCGGACAGTGGTGGTCTTCAGTTGTGCGAAGAAACTACCACGGTGAATCATGCGGAAGTGAGAGATGAAACGGTAGAAGTTGATCTTCTCGGCCATAACGGTATAACCCGAGGTCTGTTGCAAATCCAAACCAGTGGGACTGACCAAGTTACCGGTGGAGAGGAAATATTCGAGCGCATTACCAATGTTTTCATTGGAGCGCTTGACAATCTTTGACAAGAAATCGCGCTCGAATGTCGGGTCGGTGAAGGTCGCTCCGTTGTTGCGGATAGACCAGTCCCGGGCAATAGGACCGAATGATCGCAGCCATTCTTCAATACGCTCTTTCAAGATCATTCCGTATAGGAACCCACCGAGCAGGATTTCCTGGTTAGAAACCGCATCCGGGTTGTCGGGAGCACAGTCCCCAGCAACCAGGGCATACAGCTTGCGGATCATGAAAATGATCATCTTGAACTTGTCGTAGTCCTGAGTCTCAGTGACATTGTAATTTCCCAGGTGCGGGAGCACGACCTTGCGCAGGAACTCGGTCCCGCAGTCATAGTCCGACATATCTGCCGGCACGCCGAGCACAGGGCGGAAAGACTTGCCCAGGTGAGAGCGGCAGTCGGACTTGCTGTGCTTACCGTAGGCCTGGTAGGTTCGTAGCAGAAGTTCGACACGGTCAGTGACGAAAGTGTTCTTCATTCCATTTGATGTGGCGCCGCCGACAATGCTCTCGAAGATTTCTCGGTCGTTGGTCTCCACGAGCGCCTTGAGAATCATCATCACGGGGACCAGGAACTCGTTCTTGCGCCATGAGAAACGGAAGGTAACGTTCCCGTCAGACAAGTAGTGCAGGACATTGGTTTGCGAGGTTTGGTCCGGTCGAACAGATCGTATTTGGACACCGAACTTGGTGTAGGTTTGACCCCGCTTGACGAAAGAACCACGGATGATGGACATTGGATAGTTCCGCTTGCCGACGATCAGCATTCGAATGAGCTTTTCGTTACCATTGACGATAAAGTAACCTCCCAGCTCCTCTGACTCCTCCTTATGGTTGACGAGCTCCTCGGGGGAGGCCTTCTCTAGGTGGCACCGGTTGGTGCGGACCATGATAGGGACTTGGCCGAGCTCACGGATTGATTCCATCCAGTCCCCGTTGTTGACCTGGTATTCGAGTCGTGCACGAAGCTTGCCACGGTAGGTCGCATGCCGCTCACGGCATTCCGAAGGGTAGATTTCACGGTTCTTGGTGCTGTATTTGTTGGTTGGAGGAAGGGTAGGCTTGTCGAGGAAGACTTCTCTCACGCGGACATTGAGTCGGTTCCGTCTGGGAGGTCGGCGTCCCTCTGCAATCCGGAGCTTTCTCTGCTCCGCTGTCTCAATGTCGCCATCGAGGAAAGTCTTCGTGCCAATGTCCTTCAGTGCAGCCTGGAGAATTTTGCTGTCTTCGAAAATCGCATTGAACGAGTCGACATGGGGCTTAATGGACTCTGCCAGGGAGGGAAACGCAGTGTGGTCCTTTGGTGGGTTCCTGAAAAGATGGTCTCTTCTTTTGGTGTCAAATTCGACCGACCAGTCGGTGTTGGTGGGAGCGGGTGCCATGACTGTAGCTCAAAAAGTTTTTTTTTTTCCCTTCTGTCTATAGTCGGCTGTCGGATGATATAAAAGCCCAGCAATGGGGCTCTGGAAAGGTGACCAAAATCGCACGGTAGGCAATCGGGAAGAGGACAATTACAATATAAGCCCCTTCAGCCTCAACCTCCCAGAGAATCTGGGCAAAGCGAATATGAGCCGATGGTATTGCAGCTTCGAGCGGATAACGGGAGAGCGACTTTTGGGGAAATTTTTCGAGGTGGAGCTGCCTATCTGCACGTGCTGATAAGGATCTCTGCCTGAGGCCTTCACCAGCGTGAACGGTGATGTACAAGGAATCTACTGCGATGGATGATTTTCCCTGCTCTGGTGATGTCTATATTCCTCGTAGATCAAAGAATGTGAACATGACTCTTGGGTTCGTAGTTCCGCCGTCTAGTTGTATCCTCAATACGGGCGCAACCGCCCCGAAGCCAATCTGCATGCCGCAAGTGCGCTACAAGCCGGAAGAGCCTAAGCGCCCCTCTCCAAAGAGTCATGTGTTGCTCTTTCGCATTGGCGCCCTGCGAACTGTAACTCTACCCCTTCGCAACGGCTCCCCGGGCACGCTACTTAATATCGCCGAACCCGGGGAAATAAAGAAAAGACAGTTCCAGCTTTTTTTTGGACCTTAAGGTGGCTTCGGAACTCTCTTGTGGCTGCATGGTTATTGCCTTGCCTCTCTTCCCTCTATTCCCTATTTCCTGCCTAGTGCTATCGTCATTTCTTTTCTGATTTTATTTTTACTTCCCCCTTTCCCAAGGGAGCCGCAATTCAGGCCAAAGCTCTTTTCCCCGAATCTAAAGTTTCTCATAGCCGGCATCTCTACCCACCGCGCGACCCCACTCGCAGGTCGTCTTGTCCACACATTCTCCAAGTGACCTGCATCTGACCGCACCGGGAGCTCTTGACGATTTACGGGGGGCGGCTTTGGCAAGATTTTCTTGCTTTCTTGCTTTTTGCTTTTTGCTTATTTGTACTTTGCTTTTGCTTTTGACCTTCACTTACTTTTTTGGACCTCTTCTTGTTCAGGGCTCAGGAATAACCTTCAGCCCTGGACCTCCTCACCTTTCCACCCCCACACTCAACGGAAACCATCCACTAACCCTCCGGCGCCCACCATGGCTGGGATCTTTCGAACCATCTATGACTGGCTCCTGAGGATGTTCTGGTAAGTGGGACCTGGTGATTTGTGGTTCTCGGGAGCACCATGCTCCCCCGGCCCGTCCCCCCCGCAGATGAAGTGCTCACCCGTGCAGGGCCACCGAGATGGATGTCACCATGATCGGCCTGCAAAATGCAGGCAAATCCTCCTTGCTGCGGGTATTGGCGGTGTGTTACTCCTTCCATTCTTTCCTCGTTTCGGAAAAGCTGATCATGTGTAGGGCGGGGAATTCACGGTCGAGTAAGCCCGGCAAAAGGCCTCCGTAGAGTCCCGACTAACATTTCAGCTCCATTCCGACCATCGGTTTTAATACCAAGCGTGTCCAGAAGGGCCATGTGACACTGAAATGGTATGTTGATGCATCTGACTAGCTGGGAGGGGGGAGGATGTGTGATTGACGTCTGAGCAGCTGGGATCTAGGTGGTCAGCCTCGCTTTCGTCCTATGTGGGAACGGTACTGCCGGGGTGTCAACGCGATCGTGTAAGTGTGCTTCCGTCCCAGGTGACAGCTTGTCCACAGCTGAACCATACAGCTATATCGTGGATGCCGCCGACCGGGCGGCCTTGCCAGCGGCTACCGATGAGCTGCACGAGCTGGTGACCAAGCCCACTCTGGATGGCATCCCGCTGCTCGTGCTGGGCAACAAGTCGGATTTGCCGAACAAGCTGTCGGTGGACCAACTCATCGATGCGATGGATCTCAAGTCCATCACGCACCGTGAGGTTAGTTGCTATGGCATCAGCGCCAAGGAGGAAACCAACCTTGACGCCGTGCTCCACTGGCTGATTGCGCGCGCCAGCCGGTGAGCGGCCGCTCTCGGGGGTTTGATTGACGTACTCGTAATTTCGTCCCTTATCGATTCCTTTGCTTTTTGTGCTGAGAGCGTTCCTGTGCTTTGATTATATCCAGTAGACTAGCGTTCTGGCTCGCAGCCTCGGATGTAACGACCGTCAACGATTCATGCTGTCTTCTTTTTCTTTTCTTTTTTTTTTTTTTGCCCATAGCAGCGATTTCACTTTCTGGGCCATGGTTTATTCTTTCTTTTCATGTGGGAGAGTGCAATTGAAGGGCTCACGCCCAGTGATGTTCTGATCCGGATGTAAATCATGTGCGCTAGTGTTACCAGGTTAGCTTGATCTGGTGGATTCACTGGGTCATTTCTGGTTGATTAATTTATACAATTTCCCTTGGAGACTGGAAACAGATGCGACATTGAGCACTTTAGGAGCCCGTTTGACGCAGTCGAAAAGTCAGAAAGATTTTCAGACGCGAAATCCGGGGGGCAGCGTAAAATAAGAGTGTACACGGACCAACTGATGCGTTGGCATTGCAGATGAAGGGGGCCCTAAAGTAGTGGCCAGCGGCCCCGCCAAGGAACAACTGACGTCGGTTACAATCTATTCTGTTCAAGTGGTCTCTGTGCCCACTGGGGATAGAGCCTAGATCCTAGGAATCGATAGAGTCGCACATCGGGGGCTCCAGCTCTACAGAAGATCTCGAGATGGGCCCCACATGGGAAAGGCTCTGGTGCCACCAAGGTCATGGTTTACCGGATCTGGCCTTGGTGATTTTGGCCGCTTGTATAAGCCACTCCGACGCTTCCATGGCTGGCGTTCTGTGTCAAGTGAGCGCCTGTGGAGGAAACAGCACTGCGTCAGCCTTTTCTCGGATCCTCGGGGATTTAGCTCGAAAAGAATACAAAAGAACAATCCATGCGAGTGGCGTCACAGTCGGTTTGTCGCGTGATTGGCCGTTTGCTTAGTTAGCCGGACTGCGCCGCAGCCAAGGCCTTCGAGATCCAGACTGGAGAGCGTATATCATGAGCGTATGCCCTGCCCGTGGCGAGATACTCACAATTCCAAATCCTCGCCAGCCTCTTCTCACTTCTCGGCGGATCATCTGTGACATTACGCGCGAAAGCCCAAAGGAGTATATAGAGGCTTGGGACTCTTATGAATCATAGGGTACCAGTAAACTTGCAGCCTAAAAGCTCGGGACCCACAGCCCCAGCGATTGATCTTCTCTCAGCCACCTGCTTTGCGATATTAAGTACTCTCTCTGCCCCTGTTCAACCATTATCCATCCACCATGGTTTATTGGTACGTACACTTCCTGGTCGAGTAAGCTCCCCCGGAATCTGCTAACGTGCTACAGTTCTGACTTTGACGATGGTTACTGCGATTCCGACTGGGACCGTTGGGGTCGTTGGGTCGCTTTCGGTGTGATAGTCGGCACTGCCTTCCTGCTCTTCTTGGCTTTCGCGTAAGGCATCCCCGTCGGCCATCGAAGACATCGTGCTAACATGTGCGAACTCCAGATTCTTGAACGCCCGTCGCCGTCGAAGCCGCGGTCTCCAGCCCATCACGGGGACCGCGTGGATGGCACCACCGCCAGGCCCTCCTCCACCCAACCAGCCATACTATCATAACGAGCAATTCTATCAACCTCCGCCGCCTCAGTACTCTGCGAGTCCAACCAACTACGGCTACTTCGGCGCGCAACCTCCTCCTGGCTCACAGCCTCCCATCGAGCTCCAAACCCCTCCCGGTGTCCACCCGGCTCCAGAGCATAACTACGGGCCACCGCAAGGCCCTCCCCCGGCCAAGTACTAAAGCCGGGCTGCTCATTTTGAGTAATGATTTTACTTTGCGTGGGGGTTTCGCTGTGAGCAGATCCTGCCGCAGTGCACTCTCAGAGCTCGACAAGGGATGACTGATTTATGATCTTTTGGTACCATGAAAACTTTGGCGTTTGTGCTTCTCAGACTACATTTAGTGAGATTTCACTTCTTAATCAATACTCTCAGGGTCGTATAGAAAGACCAGGCCTTGTGATTTTGACTCTACTTAAGAGCTTAGACCACTCCCGCTGATCGTGGCGAGGACAGGCTAGGTTGTAATCTTTGTGTATTTCAAGCCATAGACACTTCAGATCAAATCACGAATATCCTGAGCTGAAAATTCATTTCCAATCGCGCGATTTAATCTTAACCATACAACTTTTGTCTCAAGTCCACTGGTCGACGCAATAAATCAACGCGACTGTATGAGTATTCAAGCTCCCTGGGATACCCAGCATTTGCAACCCCTGTAAGACCTTTATTCAAACTCACATAAATACGAGATACGCCCCAAATAAAGTACATACCTTATGGATCCTGCAGCCCGGGGACGCGATGGGGGCGATGCCCCAGGCACCCTCCCCACAACCCACCACCCACACCCACTTTCTCGCGTCCGCGTCTCCAACACCGCATATCCCAATGGACATCGACGACATCCTCGCCTCCGTCGACCGGGGCCCCGGCGCCAGCCCCGCGGCTGCGGGCATCGACCACCAGCTCCTCACCCGGTTCTGGGTCGCCGAGCGCGCCGTCTCAGAGGTCCTCCCGTGGCCCGCGCCGCTGATGGAGCGGATGATGGATCGCGTGCGATTGCAGGTACATACCACTGGCCAGCACCACTGCAAACCCCTCTAACTCAGTCTCTCCGTTCCCCAGATCGAAACAATCGAAGACCTCGCCGCCTCCTCCGCAGACGTCGACCCCAACACAACGCACAATCCCAACCTAAACCTCCGCCTGTCGATCCTCCAAACAGACCTCGCCCGTACCCAGTACCTCATCCGCAGCATTCTCCGCGCGCGTCTCGCGAAACTCACCAAGCACAGCATGCACTACCTCGTGCATCTCGCTTCGCGCACAAAGAACCCCCTCTCGCAATCGCAATCGCAATCACAATCGCAAAGCCAGAGCGCCGTGCCCCAGGACTCTGTCCCTGATATCTCTGCCGTGTCGGACTTTTCGCCGCTCAGCGCGCAGGAATCGACCTTTGTGCATGCGCACCAGAGTCTGTTGGCGGGGCATTACGGGAGTGCGTTTATGGGGGCGTTCCCGCCGCAGTTGAGGCGGTTGGATGATAATGCGGGGGGCACGAGTATGGTGCAGGGGCCGGATCTGAAGGAGGTGGTCTTTGTGCGGTGTTTGGGGACCGAGGTGCCTGTTTTGGTGGATGGGGAGGAGGAGGATTTTGGGGTTACGATGCGGATGGGGGATGTGTGGGTTGTGAGGTGGGAGGGGGGTGAAGGGGGCGTGGAAGAGGGGGAGGTGGAGTTATTATGAGGTTGGGTTCATAAGGGGATCTTTCTCGTCCCTTTAAAAGGTCTGGTATGGTTGGATTAGGGAGCATTTCTGGCGTTTGGGTTTCGATTCAATATACCATATCACGATTTACGGTATACCCCGGTTATCTCGAGCCATTGGGTAACAGCTGCGGCAATCAGGATAGAGATGCATTGCTCATGGTCATGGATTTCAGTTTTATTTTCAGATTTTGTTTCGTCATGCATTGAAAGCTAGTGTAGTAGGTCGAGATAAAGTATCCGGCTATGCTTGGACTCCCTCTCTGATTCATCCCATCGTCAGCACTGGAACTGGAGAGAACATGATCTTCTCCGCAGAGTGCAATTTAAACCCCAGTGACGCCATTCGCTAAACCCAAAAGAAAAAAATAACCAGAGGGAGACATGCTAAGGCAGAGAAATGGAAATACAAAAGAGTAAAAGCAGGAGGCCCGCATCATGCAACGTATCCGTATGTAGGTGGGTCTTCGCTGGTTCGCTCCAAGTATTCGCGGTCAAGCAGACTCTCGATGCGCTTCTTGATCATGTTGACGTCGGGAACGAAGCGGGATGAGAGCTGCGAGAGGACTTCAGTGATCAATTGAGTGTGTGTAAGCGTTTTGCGTTGTCTGCGTCTAATTAGCATTTTATTCAAAGAGGAAAAAAAGCTGGATGGGGAATCTGACTTCATAATGCGCACAATGGCGGCTTCAATTGTACCGGCACGCTCTTCGGCCATCTTCTTCTCTGTGGATTTGCGCTGGTCTTGGTTCTCGACCTTGTTGGCACCTCCACTGACCACGCCGATGCGCACTTTGATGAACGGGCTTGAGAACTCGTTATTGAAGGAGAACTTGTCGGTGGGCTTCACCTCCTTGCTCATGGGTTCCTTGCGGAGGACCCGGGTTTTGGGCGCCACAGCGAGAGATTGGAGGTTGCGAACGATGTCATGTTCTGGGATTTGAGTACGGCCTTGGATTTCTTCGCAAGTCAGACTTGCGCCATCCGGAAGGTCGTTAAATAGGAGTAGAATGATGAGCATGTAAGTCGAAACGTTCAATTCGTAACGCTGGACCTTTCCATTGCTGCGGACAAACGTTGCGCGGACATCAGCTGTGCCCATGGAAGACTGCCATGAAAGCTTGCGCCCGCTGTGTTTGCCCAAATAGAACTTTTCGAAGCTCTGCTTGACGGATTCGATTTCACGAGGGAAGATCGTCGGAGAGGCCAGAGTGCGGTCGTTCGCATTCGACATGATCTCCATGGGCCACATCGTACTGGTGAGAACGTTGATTTCGAGGTCGATCGGTTTCTGGTCAGGATCCGCGCTACGAGCGATGTGCTCCTTGTAGCTGGCTGTCAAGTCCTCTGACACAGCCATGTCCTTGAACATGGATTCAATGCGCTGCGTGAACTGGTTGCCAACCTCCATCTTCATCTTGGAGATCATCTGTCGCTCAGCATCCATACTCACAGACCGCTTCATCAGCAGTCGACGAGACAGGTGCTTCTTGTAATATGTCTCGAAGAGATCTTTGTCTTTGATGTATCGCAGGAGTGTAATGCCGTTGTCCAGAAGTGCGTCGACTTCACTCTCTGTTTTACCCTTGATCCCCTTCTTGAGATTCTCGTCGAAGAAGAGAGACAAGAACTCAGAGCTGCGAGGCTTAAGATTAATGAAAGCCGCGAAACTGGCCTCAATGGAGCTTTGAAGACCCTGGTCGGACTGGAAGGCATTTCTCCACACGTTATCAAACCTCTCCTTCAGGGCTAAAATATCGTCCACCCATTGGATAGCGGATACGGTCTGCTGATTGACCGGCTTCTCTTTGCTCTTCTTCCCATCGGCGTCTTTTTCTGCTGGCTGTGCAGGGGGCTGGGGTGCAAAAGACGAGGCATTGATCTCTTGACCAAGCTCCACAATCTTTTTGCTAACAACCTTGGTGAGTGCCTCCTTCTTATTGTCCACCCTAGCATTCAACATGTACACATTGTGCAAACCATCCATCTGGTTTTGATCGAGCATATGGACAACACCGGTGCCTTCCAATTGCACGACTTCATCAATGTGCCTCAAAATGAGAACTTCATCCACAACGGCAAGGATCTTCGGTTCAGTAAGCAAAGAAAGCGTTGTGCGAGCTCGCTCCTGCTCTTCGATGATTCGTTGGGAGGCGGTCTTGCAGAAGGTAGCAGCGTCTCCCACTTCCAGGAGCCGCTGTGCCTCGGCTTCGTAAAACTCCCGGGAGTGTTGGAGGAAAGCAGGCTCGAATGTTGAGAGATACAACTTGGAGTTTTGGTCTGCTCCCACATTTTCATAGAGACCCTCCAGCATTTGAATGCAATGTCGGATCAACATTCGGTTGATGACATGTCCGGCTCGCTCCTGCTGGATCGTGAAAAGAATAGTGGATTCTAGAAGATCTGAGACTGTGGTAGGTTCGTCTGGACGGACTTTTGCTCGGAGAACATGATCTCTGAACAAGGTCATAGCGACAACATTGATCGACGGCTTGGACTGATCAACGGCGATGATTCGATCCTGTGAGATCAAAGAGGTCAACGACTGGGTTCTCGTCTTTTTTTTTTCGATGTGGCTACGGCTTACCATGTACATCAGCACATCGGTGATCATGCCCATGCACAGCTGGTGATTTTCCCATGCTTCAGTCAAGACACCCAGGAACTTCTCCCCCGCTTCGCGGCGCTCATTGGTCTGGTCATAAACCTCCGATGAAGCCTGTGCGGTATGAGCTTGAAGCAGAATCGGAATGATAGAGTTGATGACCGTCTTCTGAACATTCTCACGCAGCCAGTTGCCAATGAGCTCTTTCACTCGATCATATAACTCTTGGCCCTTCATCATGAGCACGACCTTGTAAGCATTTCGATAAAGCTGTTCGAATGAAAGCTGAGAGGCATTTCTCGTAAAGATTTCGTTCAGGGAGGAAGCGAGCGTCGCCCAGATGCTTTCGAAGTCGTCCACTTGGGAAGATACGAGGCCCTGAAGATTTGTTAGTATGGCTCTGCCTCAAACCAGATGGAAGTGGGGGCGGTATAGACACGTACCCGGCGCGGGGCCCGAATCTTGTGCCGAGCTCTCATGGTCGCCATGTTGAGAACTAGGGCAATGGGTGAGTGGAACGAAACAAGCCGAGCTTCGGGAGCATGGGAAGCTCTAGTCAAACCAGCTTCGTTTGAAAGAGCATCTTTACACTCCGCGGAGAGGCGGTCGGATTATTGCTCTTCCGCTCCGCCTTTCAAGTACATCATCGGGGGCGCGCTGAAAGATCTTTATAATCAGTTCAATTCCGTCTGCTCTTTTTCATTTCTGCTGCTTAATCGTCCTTTTTTTTTCCGACTGCATTAAGAGATAACCATGCGCCCTTTCATGCCCAGGGGTCTGCGCCCTCTCGTCTCCTCGACAATTTCCAGTTCCGCGCGCACGCCGTCAACGCGACTTTTCTCATCACAGCTTCGACATGTTCGAGCTCCTTCAACACCTCTTAGAGCACACCCAAGTCTCCGCCGTATTATTCCGCCAATATTGCGCCACAATTCCTCTTCGTCGAAGCCTCTCACCGACGCCGTAGCCGAGGACGAAGCACACCGCGCCCTGCAAAACGAGGAGCGCCGCAAGGCCGAAGCTGCGTACCGCATCAGCTTCACTTGCAAGCCATGTGGCCAGCGGTCGGAGCACCGCATGTCGAAGCAGGGATACCACCACGGCACCGTGCTCATCCAATGTCCGTCTTGCAAGAACCGACATGTCATGAGCGATCACCTCGGCATCTTCTTCGACAAAAAGTACTACACTCGAGGATCTGCTGAAGGAGGGCGGGCAGACTATTACACATGGCATGCTCGATGGAGATATGGAAGTTTGGGAAGATGGTACTCTAAGGAAGATCGGTGGGACCGCTGCTCCCGAGGAGGTGCCGGATGGCCAGAGTGAGGGTGAAGCGGATAAGAGCGAGGAACAAAAGTAAAGGAATTGTGTATTGATCTTTCTGAGTTTCTGGGGGTTTATGGTTGGTGGTAAATATGGGCTTTAGTAGACATTGGTTGGCGTTGTGATTTGATGCTTGTACCATATGATCTCTTCTCTTGGCATGGCGGGTTCCAGGTATCGAGAATTTCAATTATCTCTTTGGGTGGTGTATTCAATAAAGATGATACCCATGGCTGCCATTCATAACTCAAAGTTCAACTGAACTCATACCAAAGCTCTTGTAGTGTAGTGATAGAGACAGCTAATGACCCATTGAGGTTCATCTGAGATCAGATTTACAAACCTGGAAGCTGAAAAATGTACTAAGGTGCAAATGATAATTCAAATCACTCTGAAAGATATAATAGGACTGCCGACATTTGAAAGAACTGCTCTGCTGCTGCTCCTACTCTGCGTACAAGGCCAATTGTTCAATGACCCACGACTTGCGAGGAGAAAGGGTTTGCTTCTGTGAAGCGAAGGACCGAAACTCGTCCTACACGATCGCTGATTATCGCTAGATTTCCTGAAAAAGTTGCCTCTGAATCCTGTAGCCGATATTCTGGGGGTATCCAAAGGATATCTTGCCCATCGAAAGTGATCCAGGATTGATCGTGCTTCAGACCATATCCTACTTGACATGTCGATGGCTCCAACACTCTAGGGTTTTTTGTGTTGCTCATGCCTTGCGACGGCTGAAGTTTCACTGTGCAAAACTTAGTATGTAAAATGGTCGAATCTAATATATCAAACTGCAGCTGGGAATGAGGACGGACTTGAAGTGCAAGCATTGCTATCCAATGTCCTGTCGCAGTATCCAAGATTTGTACAAACTTGTCTGAAAGCACAGCAAGTCTTGTGTCGTCATAGGACCAAGACACAGAATTAATCCAATTGACACTCAGCTGCACACGCTTCTTGCCTCCCACTTCCATGATCCACAATTTGTGAAAGCTATGGAGTGCGAGGTGCTTTCCTTGGGATGACCAGACAATTTTCCTTGACCTGGCAGGCACTGTGTATGACCATAGCCACTCTCCTTGCAGAAATCCCCAAATTTTGATCACACACGGCGTTTCGCTGAGAGATGAATATAGGGAGTGTCGTGCCACTAATAAAGCAATCATAGTCTCGTCTCGTGACCAACTAAGATCAGTATGCAACCCCGCATATTCAGCAGGCGTTACATCAAGCTCGAGAGCCAGCACATTCCTAGTAAACAAGTCCAATATCTTGGGAGTTCCATCAGCAGTGCTTACTGCAATTTTCGTCCCACTATGTGACCAGAAGAAAACTGTAGACTCCATCCATTATGGGGAAAGATTGACTGCTGGATGCGTCTACAAGTACGAGTCGATTACCACGCGCCACCCCTTTTGACCCATCCAGCAGGCATGCAAGCCAGGGAAGATGATTTGACCATGCAAGGTAGTAACTATGCAATGGCTTGTCCAGTGTCATGGTAGTCATACATTGGCCGTTGACTGCATCCAGTATCCTGAGAACACAATCGTTCCAGACCTGAAAAGACGCTATTCGTTTCTCATCGGGCGACAAGAAAGCTGTGGACTTGCAGCTACCGCCTGGGGTGAAACCTGAAGCTTTTTGATGCCTATAATCCCAAATCTTCGCTGTGTGATCTTCTGAATTGGAGAGCAGTTGATTTCCGCCTCTTAGCCAAAATAAATCCTGGACAGGTTCATTATGTCCAGTCAGCGTTGCTACACATTGCGCCGTCGCCGGCCTCCAGATTCTTATCTTGCCGTCAGTTGAGGCGGAAGCAAGGATTTCATCATGAGACCAAGCAATACAGTTGACATGGAATCTGCCTTTCTCGAGAGTCGCCTCACATTGGCCAGTCCGGGGATTCCATATCTTTATTGCGGATCCATGCGTTGATGCCACCCGATCTTCAGATTCGTTTTCTGGCCAAGCAACAGCACAGTCCGTGAACCGACTCAGAACCACAAATTCTGTTGGAACATCGGAACATATTATCATGTTGGTACTTGGGTCCCAAATTACAAAGAAGTCTGAAGCTCCAAACGCAAGCAGGTTTTTATGGGAAGGCCAAGCAGCGGGCGACTGCATCCCCATTCGATCCGAAAGGCCGAGTTTGTCTGCTTTGACAACATATCTACATGTGCCGGATTTGAGCTCCCAGACCTTTACTCCGTAGCTCCTTGACGGAGACACCAGCCAGCTCCCATCAGGGGACCAAGATATTGGATTTCTTTGAGTCTCGTGAAGTCGATATAGATCCACAAAGGTCCATGAGTCTTCTTCTATAAAGGTCGAGACACATTGGCCACCCAAAGGATCCCAGATCCTGATCACCCCAGTATTATATAATACTGCAAGCCGAGCTCCATCATGCCGCCAAGAAATATCGACTCCTCCATGGCCGCGTATACTGCCCCAGAGTGTCGATATACGCTCAGCGGTAAAAGGATTCCAGATCTCTACTCTTTCCAAGTAGCAAAACCCGATTGCAAGGTAAGTTCCATCATGTGACCAAGAACAATGCGCTACCTCCGATGGGCCATTTAAAGGGACACCGGAAAATGTACCAGGAACAAAATCATCATCCATAGTTTCTGTCTTGAACTGAGAGCTTCAAGCCAGTATAAATATTCTTCTTGTAAAAACCTTTCTACTAAGCTACCTTCTTTACGTCGGCTACTAATCTAATCAAGATAGTAACTTGAAGCTTGGTAATGATCGACCCAGTACAAGCACGCATATTCAGCAGTTGCTAAAGGGTTTGGGGTAGGAATTTTGACGGTCTCAATCGAGGTCCCAGGGAGCCTCAAGCTGAAGATATCACGGCGGAGACAGGAAGACATGATTTCCAGGGACTGCCGAAACATTCGGCTGTGCTCTGCTGGTAAACTTGAGCCCAAAATCCGAGGCAGCTCCCTATTGAGAAAATCCTTTGCAGACTGGTGCACGAAAGTAACACTATCGTTTTGCACTGTGAGAAATGAGCCACAGGAATCAATGATTCTCGATATGAACTCCTGATCCCATGAATAGTCGCCTGGCATGCTAATATATGATAGTAGTTCAGCCAATGTCAGAGGCCGATATGCGGTTAAAGTAACAGCCAAAATTTGGGTGCACAATTCCGCATCATCCGAGTCGCTAATTTGACTTATCATTCGCTGGTACAGTTTGTCCAGCCCTGGAGGAAACATCGCCATTCTTTTCCGAGCATTCCACGACGATGTCCTCAAGAGCTCGTCGCAGACCAAGGCTACCCAAAGAAATGTTCCTTGTGAATTTGCCATCAGATGTTGATGAACCTCATCACGAACTTTTTCGCTGTAACGCTTTGCTTCGGAAAGTCTCGCAACCCTCTCTTGAATGAACATGTGCACAGCTTCAGTGATATGTTCTGGGTTCAGTTCTAGTCGAATCGATGATATCAAGGGTTGAGTACCAAGTCGCTCCTCAATCTCGGGCCAATTGCGACTGGAGATGATCCATTTTGCTTGTGTATGACTAGAGGAAGCTCGATTGATGAAATGGAGAAGGCGATAAAGATCTATCACACATTCATCCAGTGCATCAATGACGAAATAGGTGTCTCTCAGCCCCGGGTCGCTAAGAATATTCGTAAAGATCCTTGAAAGAGCGTTGAACGCATTGATGTCCTGAAAGAGGTCTTTCCCCGCGTGATCATAGTTGGTCTGGACATGAGAAAGTAGTGTTTCCTGATTCTTGATCAGGGAGTATAGTAATCCACGCAGGACAGCCGTGGCTTGATTCGTTCGCGGGTCGTTTTCTTGACAAAAAAAGAAGGCTACATTGGCGCAATTTCCAGTCGATCGGGTCAACTCGTCAATAATACCGCACAGAAGCATGGTTTTGCCTTTCCCTGGATCTCCACGGATCCAAAGTGAAGGATTTCCTCCGTGATATCTCCATTGTTTGAACGCCTCATCTTCTAAAATCCAGCGGTATGCATCTCTAAGGAGTCCCCCCCTTGAACTCTTCAATGCGAGCTTTATCGTCGACAGAATCGGTGATTCGAAGATCCCTGAGACAAGCTGAGTCTTGAGCTGGCCCCGATTGAACTATTTGGCTCAGTTAGCTTTGCCTGGCTCAATAAGAGCTATCCACTTACTGTGAATATTGCCAGTATTTTTCCCAATTTGGAATCCGCTGTTTGAACCCTGATTTCCGAAAGATATATGCCCCTCCGGCTCCATTGCAACGAATAAAGGCCTCTTAGTCGGAGCAAGGGCGTGTTGCTCGGTCGTGAGGCTCAGCTCTGGGCGCATATCAGGCAACCCCGCGATCAGGTGATCATGCTCGAAGCGCCGAGTATATTGCTTTTTCGGGCCCCTGAACCACTTACATGTTCAATATGCAATTACTATCATCTATGGCCTCAAACAATGAATACCAGTGTGCTATAATCTTTGAACTTAGAAGCGTGACTATTGTGATTACATGCAGCAGTACGGGAATAGGTCAGACAAGACAGGATACTAAAGCTCATGCCTGGAAGATAATAGCTGAACCCAGTACCACCGCCGCGAGAGAAACACCGAGAATTGAGCCAATCTCGTTCCAGTTTGACCTTCTCGGATGCAACCTTGCAGCACCATTTGAAGTCGATGCAGCAGTGCTGGTAGCCGTTGCAGCGGCCTGAACATCAGTCTCAACATGATACATAGTCAGCGCTTGATAATATTGAATCGGGGTCAATGATTCCGCAGAATCGTCGTTTGCTGACCAGACCTGCGTGGTCGTCGAAAATCCATCCCAGGGCATCGTGCCTGAGAAAGTCTCTTCTGAAGTTGTCGAACCAGCGTAGTTGACAAGATACGCTGTGACTTCGGTGGTGGCTGATCCATGTGTATATGGGGTAGCGCAAGCTTTGGTGGGCTTATAAGAGGAGGTAATAGTCCAACAACCGCCTGTAATATCCGCTTTGTACCCACTTTTGTGAACTTAGTACGATATGAACCATCGCCATGAGCTATTGGAGGCATACCTGGGACAACAGACGGCGATCGTCTCGCTGGGCTTTAAATGAGCCGCCAATATTACTGGGAAGTAGGTTGAATGTGCTCCTAGTTCGGTGTTTTCGGTGGCTTCCTTGCCATAACTCATGATACCCGAGGTTGTGTAGGGCTTCTCTCCATCTCGCGCGGCCTGTGCAACGGTTTCCCACCCAGCAGGACAGTGTAAACCTGGCGAATAATAAAGCCCATAGGGGGCCATTGTTGAGAGTTGTGATGACAAGGGCGTGAGGGTATTGGTTGGAGCACACTGAGGATAGGATGGACCACAGTTTACAGTGTACTGTAGATCTGGGCCCGCGGAGCCATAGTCGCCGGTATCGACTCTTCCTAGGTAAAGATTACCTTCAGGTCCGTTACATGCTGGAGCAGGAGTGAACGTGGTCGTGACCGGTCCCAAATTCATAAGGACGTAGGGTCCATAGGAGTCTGGAATAGCAGTGGTCATGATCCCGGACGCCATGGCAGCGGAGGTGAAAGGGCGGTTCCTTCTGGCTGATCACGATAATAGAAAGAAAAGGAATTTTGCTGGTTTATCAACGAGAAACCACTTTCGCTAATTTCCCAGCGTCCCCGGGGCCACCGAAGATGAATGGTTTGATATTTCAGCCAACCAAAGGTCATAATGATGGTGCTTCAAGGCCCACTGGCGGCTTGGCAGGATCCATAACCAGGGACAATAGCCACTTGATCTGAAGCTAGTGATCAGATTAGTTAGAGTATCTTCTGGTGTTGCATAGAGGGGGCCGCAGAGGGGGCCGCTAAGGGAACGGCCGCCAAAAGCATTTTCAACGACCTTGTTGCCCAATTTTGGGGGGGCGCAGATTTTTTGCCAAGGACAGTTCACTCACACTAGTCACAGAACCCCTGTCTGTGGGTATATTGAAGCAAGTTTCTATCAAATCAAAACTCAGCTAGGCATGCTGCTGTGCCGCCGAGCACAGGCTTTCAATTTTTTGATTCATAGACGACAGGGATCTAAGGCGACCTTTACACAGGATCTCGGGTGCCGCAGTCCGCTAATCAAATGCTTCGCTGTGATCAACGGTCGCTCTAAGTCATTGTTACTCAATTTCTGCCGGTCAACCATGTAGTCTCCACTATTAGCAGGTCTATCCCTAGAATTGGAGTAGAGCACTCAGTAGATAGTATCTATTACCTGTCCTAGTCAACATCCGAGGGAGCGAGGCTCACTCGCGCATCATGCGTCTACAAATGCTACAAGGTCTTTCTATGATAAATGTACAATGAAATCAGATTGTGCAAGGTATATGGAATATCTAAGAATGCCCCAACGCCAGCTTTTAGGATGCCAGGGAAGCCCATCATAAAGTAGTAAAGAAACATGATTCTTTTTACCAGCCTCGTCTCTTGCCGCGGTGTTCCAAGGCTTTTTCGCGGCGCTTGTCCTTCTTGCGGTCGTTCTTCCTCCTCTTATCCTTCTCAAATCGTTCGGGGTCAGCGACGGCCTCGATACGGCGCTTGGCCCGTCTTCCTTCACGGCGTTCCTTGATACTGTCTTGGACCTTGGTCATCTGCGCGATATACTCCGTGGTACCAAGCTTCTTTTGGAGGGAATCCAAAACTTCGTGACAGTTCGACACAAGAGATTTGTAAGTCTCCTGGAAGACCGGGTCGGATGACCGGGGCGCGGGGATAGACGAGTCTGTCATATGCTGCAGCGGGAGCAAGATCACCGAGAGAGATGGGTAAATTTGCTCGGATTCGAGGTGACGGACAAGGGCAGCGAGAAGCGTGATCGACGCAGTCTTCGGGATAAGAGCTTCTGGCCGATTGGATACAACCTCGCGGCGGAGGAGAGTCGAAATTTGTCTGAAAAGGTAGCTCAATGCGGACTTGTCGTGCTTCACGCCATTAGCCTTATGCTCATCCCCCGCGTCACTGCCATCCTCGGCATCATCATCCTCATCCTCCGACTCGACATCTTCTGCGCTGAATTTCTGGAACTCAATGCCGTTTTGCGCACAGCAACGTCCAAGGAAGACCAAGTTACGCACGCTTTGCATCGCCAATTCCTCGGTCACACCAGGGGTGCGCAAACAGCGACTGTTAGCGCGGAGGAGCTGAAGCATCGCTTCTTTATCCAGAACCAGGCCAGAGCTTCCAACTAATGGGACCGCACCGTAGCCAACGCCGGCGTGTGTCTTTGCCAGGTCAGCCAGCCACATTCCAACCAGATTTGCGGCGCAAGTCTTCACCCAGGCATGAGGGAAGAATAGCGACTCCTGAATGGCTGTCCAGATAGAAGCACACTTGGGGCTGAGAGCGAGCGAAGGTACTGTCTTGCAGAGCTTGGTGAAGAGCTGCAGAGCGAAATATAGGGTTTCCCAATTTGCGTCTTGCTGTTCCTCAAGGATCGGCTGCATCAAGCTTGGCAGGATCTCGACTACAAATCGAGCTTCCTTGTCCTTCTCGATATCTTCAGCTTCGAAGAAGATGCGCATGGCCTGCAAGCCTATGCTTCCCAGAGCCATGTTGTCGGTCTGCTCCAACCAGGCGTGGAGGGGCTTGAGCATGGTCTTCATGACTTCCTTGTCCGCTCGGCTGTAGAACTGGCCGAGCAGAGCCCCTGCCATTTCGCGACACTCGGAGGATTCGTCATTGGCCATGGCAAGGACCACAGGGAGGAAGAAGGTGCTAACAATGTCCTGGGCCAGCTCAGGGCCAGTCTTAGACAGGAGCATATGCACCGCTTCCAAAACTGACTGCCGTCCTTCCTGGTGCTTATAGTCGAGGTTCTTAGCAAGAAAGCCCAGCTGCTTAGTCCATCTGCTCTTGGCTTGGGGATACTCAATCAAGAAATGGATGTAAGTTCCCCGAGCAAGGTCTCGTGCAGAGCGGGTCTGGTTAGTAACCATCATCGTCGCAATCTGATCCATAAGTTCATAGATCTCTGGCACCATGAACTTGCGTGACATGACCGCCCGGATGAAGTTGAATGTGATACCCTGGCGATCTGGCTCTTCAATATCGGACGTCAGTCTCTGGAGAAGATATGACAGGTGACCATCACGAATCTTGGAGCCCTTCCGTTCGCGAATCATAGCAGAGATCAGTTTCAATGATGCCTGGGCTGCTTCGGAGTTTGTTGTTGGTGATTCTTTGACCAACTTCACAGCCTCCGTAGTATACACCTGAGAGTTGTCATCGAGCTCTGGCATGGGAAGCTTGATAATCGTTGAAAGCAATCGCATAGCGGCAACCTTAACTTCCTCATGAGACTGTACGAGAGCATCTCCAATGATAGGCAAAAAGCCAGACAAGTTTGTAGGTGTTGACAGTGACCCGAACTTGTTCAGAACGGCTCGGAGAACATCCAGTGAAAACCGAGTAAGCTTGTAGATATGAGAAGCAGTCGTCCCTCTCTTCTCGCCACGTTTTGCTCCCTGGAGCTTGACCAAAAACCGCTCCTCATATTTGAACTTGGGGAGATCCTTGTCGCCAGAGGGAGTCTCATCCTGATAAGATTCCTTGATGATTTCGTAACAGAAGACGAGGAGCTCACGACTTTCAGCTCCAGGGTTTCTCAGCAAGCCAATCCCAATTCTTCTCATGAGCTCATCAATCTTCTTGACCATGTTGGAGTTGAGCTTCTCACGCAAGAGTGATTGGATCGGTCGGATGAGGTTTGCGAGTTGGCCAATGGTAGCATTCTTTGCAAGAAGTTCCATCGAATCGTAACTCTTGCTGCTTTTGACTTCCTTCATCTTGCTGACATAGTCCTCTGCATCCTTCTCTTGACCCACTGTGCCAAAAATATCGTCCATGATGACTGCAACAAGATCCGGGAGACAGTAATCAAGGGCGCCTTGAAGGAAGTGATCTGTGGTGAAGACAAGCATGGAGTGGACGGTGAAAGAAGAGACGTGCAGTTGATAACCTCGCAACAGCGTATGCCTCAACTCCTTCAGAATGTATCCGAAGTATGACGGGCCCAATAACAACGCAATATCGTTCAAGGTCTTGCGAGCTGTGTCTCGGGAATCTTGCGCCTTACTCTTAAGAATACTGCAAACATCCAAAAGAACAGGGGGGAGGCGAATAGCCATATCTTGCTCCGGAAGAATCTTCATCAGCTTGATGGTGGTGACGGCTGCTGGAAGACGCAAACTCATTTCCGCCTCGTTCTTATGATGGATGAACTCAGTCAGGAATGGGATGAAGTTGGTTGTCAACTCCTTCGAGACTTGCGCTAATGAGGGTGCAGATTTAGCGAGCTGGCACTTTGGTGCGTCCGAAATCTCCATTTTGTTTTCATCTTCATTTGTCTCGACAGGAACTCCGTTCTTCTGAGCAACCGCGATCGAGAGAGCATCAGACATGCGACCCAAGAGCCTAAGGATGTTCTTCTCCATATCGGGCTTGCTCTGCATGTATCCACGGTATCGCCTAAAGTTGGCACGAAATTGATTCCAGTCGAGCCATTCTGCGACAGATCCAATGGTAGCCACTGCCTCGGCGATGAGATTGTGCCCGCTCTCGTCAGAAGCCTCCTCAAATGCAAAATGTTCAATCAAGGGCAAGAAAATCTTGCCCAGGTTGTCAGAACTGATGACGCCATTCCTTGCTTCAGTCGCCAGACGTCGCAGAGCTCGGAGTCGACGGTGCTGCTGGATGTGGAGGATGTTGTTGAAGAACGAAGCTTCCTCGTCGTCACCCACAAGTAGTACATGCATATCTTGTACTGAGGGTCTAGTGGGATTCAGCTTCACGAAGTAACCCAGCACAGAGACAATTTCAGCTCGAACCAACTCGGACTTTTGGCGAAGTCCACTCTGGAGAGCGGGCAGGAGAATATCGTTCACCAGAGCCTCGAATTCCGCCACGTTATTTTCAGTAGCTGCTTTGTCAATAAAGCGCTTGAGGCCATGAGAAGCACTCGTCCGGACAGCAAGTTCCTCCTCATCCTTGACATGGAACAGCATGTTGTAAAGGAGGGGCCTCCATTGCTTAGCGTTGAGATTCTGCGAAAGCTCTTCACTGATTCTTCGGAAAGCTTGTAGACGGCGTTCATAGTCTGGCTCGAGCCGTCTCATAGACCGAGAATTCAAGTCCGCGCACAGCTCGGCAACTTCCACAAGCTCAGGATCATGGGAAGCAAGAGCAACGAATACCTTGGCGAGCGTTTCTCGGTTGGAATCATCTTTGAAATAGTCAAACATGGACGAAACAGCATCGAATACCTGCTCGAAGAGTTCTGGATCTTCGCTCGGTTTGTACAAAGGCAGAAAGTGTTGCAGGATCTTCAGAAGGCCGGACTTAGTCTTAGGGTTGACACGGTCTGGAGGTTGACGCAGCAAATATGTGGCGATGCTGATGAGGCTGGATGTCTCGGTCGAAGATTCAACACATGGAGCAATCAAAGAAAGAGCAGTGACGCCTGAGAATAGCACAGGCTTGGACGGGCCTCTTTTCAATAGGCGCCCCAGGTGGGACAAGGCATGCTCCAGGTAAGGAGAGAGTACCTCCGATTTAATCTGATCGGCCGGAATATCAGACATTTCCCCTTCCTCCTCCAGCTTTTTGCCGCTGGCTTGTCCAACCAATGGTACAAGCACTTCGTCAAGAACGTAGATCTTGACTTCGTCACGTGCCGACTCAATGCTAAGACAGTCGATAATTTTTGTGATGACGTCTTTGTTATGTTGTACGAGATAGAATGTAGACCGCGGAGCAGAGGCCCAGGTGTGGAACAGGCGAAGCAAACCAGAGATGCCCTGGGCAGTCTCAATGGGGAACTGCTCGAGTCTAGTATCAATCATCTCAGAGAAGATAATCTGGACGTAGGGTGTCCAGTCACGATCAGGAGTTATCGAAAAGACAAGGCTGAGGCAGCGAATACATGTTTGACGAATATTCTGATACACAGCCACGAGACGCTCGTTTTCGTGAACTGCAGCATAAAGAGGATTCTTCTCATTATAGAGAGCACGGTATGCTCGAACCAAACAGTAAAGTAGGACACTCATGGTTTGCTCGGTGAAGGGGCCCATCCTGTTCTGAAGAGTATCGAAAACGGTTTCAAGCATCTTCAACAGACCAAGCTGCCTTCTCGGGCTTGTGAGCTCATCCGAGAAAGCAGCAAGATCCGGCTTGTTGTCTTTGGCAGCATGCACCTCGGCAAGGGGACCGAACGCGAGCTGCATGAAGACTCCAAACTCATCTTCTGAGAGATGTGAGAGAGTGCGCAGAATTGCCTTTCGTCTTCCCGACTGCCCAGCTTGCGCTGCACCTGCTTTGGAAATCATTCGACCATAGAGCAGTCGCAGGAGCACTGGGATCAAGGCAGGACGATGCTCTTGCTCGATCAAGCTATCCTCGCTTCCAACATGCACGAAGACTGCCAACTCGTCCTTGAATCGCACCTCGTCAAGGACGTTGAGCAGATTCTCCTGGTAAGGCAGAATATGAGGATTCTTCCATGTGAAAAGAGCTTTAAGGGCCAATTTCTGGGTTTCAGAGTTACCATGGCAAAGAAGACCCAAAATCGCTTCGTGGACCTCGGTGGCTTTGAACAGAACTTTGGGGTTCACAAATTTTCCAAATAACGCAAGCATGGACAGACGATCACGGAATCCCCATCGTAAAGGGGTATCAGCGTGTTCCGCTTCAGTCTCGTCGGCCGGAAGGTCGTCCTGGTCATCACGCGAGGCCCAGGACAAGAACAAGGGTACAATTTGGCGCGACCTCTTCTCCGCCACGTTTGGTGCTGCATTGAGAACAATTAAAGCTTGGCTGCGAGGTCTGTCAGGGATCAGTCTGGCACCCGCATGGTCTTGCTTGAATTGCTTCAGCAGGCTTGAGCTAGGATCCTGCATGGTCTCCAAGTTAGACGACAGAGCACTTTCCACTTTGCCAACGTTGAAGCACAGGAAATCACCAGCAGCATGGTAGTCGTCTTTTTTTTCATCCGATATCTCTTCGTCTGAGCTTGAGTCCCGCTCATGCAGCCATTGAATCGACAAATCTGAGACAATCTTCTCGCCTTCTGGATGTTCGCTCATGGACTTCAGAGCCGCAGCCGAATCGTCCCACAAGGGGGTCATCTTCTTCGAGAAAAGACCAAAACAGAAGTAAGGTACCAGAGTAGCCATCCATTTTCGGGACGCGATCTGAGGGTAGAGGATCGCAAGCTTGCGAACATGCATTGCAATAGGTCTAGCACTCTGGAGTGTAAGTGGGCTCTCCTCAATTTCGATGGCCAAGGAAACTGGCGAGGAATCTTCTTCATGGATGCGAACAAGGAGCTCACGCAGTATTTGAAGAGATACCAATCGTAATCTATGCGAGGGGCCGGCAAGATTGAAAATTAGCTTCTGTGCAAAGTCTTCAATGGCGGGATTCTGCAGGTCGGAGGAGTCGGTAATCGAAGAAATGAAGGATGAAACGCCTTCCAGGAAAAGAGGGAGTTGCGCGAATTTTGTTGAAGCCGACAGGATCACAGGCCAAAGAGCCGTATCAGTTTCCTTGGCTTGGGAGGCCAATTTGACATAGGTCTTGAAGGCTTGTCCGAGGTATAACTTCAATCCGTCATTCTCATTTCCTGAATCTGACGAAGCATCTTTCAAGGCCAAAGAGATGTTATCATGCAGCTTCTTCACAAATATGGAGAGCATTGCAGAATCACTAAATAAGGAAATGGATTCTGAAAGTTTTAAGAAGGCATTCAGGCGAACTTCGTCATTCGTGGGATAGTTGAAGGACTCATAGATATGAGATTCCAAGGAGTCAGGGCAAGAAACGTAGCCGGGTTTCGAGGGTTCTGAAGCGATGCAACCTGTCTGATTCAGTCGAAGCAGTGCCAAGCATGCCTCCAACTCGCGGTCCTGCCAAGAGGAGCTGATGAACTTCTGGAAATAAGGAAGCAGCAAACTTTGGAACCGTTCTGATCCCCATCCCGAGAAAGTGGTACAGAAGAATAGGAAGTACTGCGAGAGTGACCCGGTGGATACGATTTCCATTATAGGGCGGATGAATCGAAGCATCTCATCCATTGGAGACATTTGGAGGGCATAAGCGATTGCCGTGAGAAGTTGGGGAATGGCATCTGAGTGCTTTTCAGGCTCTTTGGAGGCAGGTTGAAGGAGCGAGACGAGGATCTGGTGCACAGTTTTCCAGTCACTCACTCGAGATCCCTTGCGCGTTGCCACACAGATAAGCATGAGATGACAGCACTCCAGGAAATTTGGGTTTTCTGGCCCCTGCAAACGGGATTCAATAAACTCTTGGACAGTACCAAGGATGGGTCCGAAGGTCTCAGGTAATGTGTGATGAATGAGATTGGTCACAACTCCATAGCCAATTTCTCGTGGCGCGGATTTGTTTTCATTCGTTGGGGGTATTTGGTCCAAGACGCAGCGGAGAACCTCAATGCCGTTGGAGTGGATACCATTATTAATGCCCTTGATAGCATCAGAGAACATAACCATCAAGCCTTCCTTATACATCGTAACATCCTTGCCATCCTCAGCAGTTTGAGAAATATCCGCATATAGAAATGACACGGCATTTTCGAGAGGGGCCTTATTCTTATAATAGACAACGCCTGCTTTTCTGATCAAGAAAGAGATGGATTCGGCGGCAAATCGAGCAACGAAGGGCTTCTGTCGCTCCTTCCCCAGGTATGGAGTCATGATTCCTAGCAGTTGCCTTAGGTCCGGTACCAAAAGCCGGGACAAGAACTTGAAAATCCATGCCAGGCAAGTAAAGCTCCATTCGACAACCTCAACATCCTGGTGTGTTGCAGCCACTGAAGCTACCAGTGTCACTGCTGTCGCAAAATGCTTCTCGAATCGTACGCCCAAATCTCGTGCAAACTGTGCCAACAAACTAAGGAGCGGTTCCATAGAGTGTTCATCCCTCTTCTCGATAAACTCCACCAGGAGGCCCATAATCTTTTCTTCGTGGTACAGGATCTGGGCGAGACTTTCGGAGAGGGAATTGACTCGGCGAGTAAACTGGGAGAAATTGTCGGACAGGTTCATATCCACCCAGTGGTCGAGGGCAGACCGGAAATATGAGACGGTCTCGCCTTCATCTTCACCAAAGCTGGTGCGGCGCACGCGGTGGATCGGATCGATTTTGAGCTTTGCGATGCGCTGGGAAAATGGCTCCCACCGGTGGTTTTTTGTGGTTTTGGTGCCATTTTTCAGGCGTTTGATATGTTTGTCTCTCGAGCCTTGAGCCACCATCTTGACGGACGCAAGAAGCAGCAAGGTCGCCGATTCAAGTACTCGGAGAACTTTTTTGCTGCCCGCATCCAATACAAAAAAAGTTGAGCGGTGTCCGGTGCTACTTTCTTCCGCTGCGGAAGGAGACCGCGCAACGCATTATATGATTGGCTTATACTATACCGCCTTTTTCACCGCTTTTTAAGCATGTATAACATCAAGCATGATGGGTAATCATCACTTAATGAAGTTACCCTTTTGATACCATGGATAAACTTGACAGCCTATGGATCGCCAGTTCTGAGGATTCACAAGAAACTCGAATACATGATATCGCTCTAAATTGCTCGTTCTGCCCAGTCAACAATTCTGACAAGCCTAGGCGGTGTATCGATTTCTGCCGTCACGAGGTGGACCGAGCTCCCTTCCAGAAGTGAGAAATGCGCCGCGATCCCAGTCACAGTAGGACTTGTTCTAACCGTCGTTTCTTGCTTTCCAGACGGCATTATCGTCATTCCAAGTCATAATTCCAGGAAAATTTGCGTTCTATATATATCTCGTCGCGTACTAATCAGAAATAGTCAATGCGGTTGACTAGAGCGATATCCTAAGCCAAACCATGGCTTCTAAGATGTGAGTTCGCGCCAAACGGGATAATGGCGCATGAAAACTGATATGTGGTCAGCATCGTTCTCGGCGAAGTCAACTGCCAATTGACCAAGGCATTCACCAAACTATCAAAGCTCCACACAAAGCAGAACTTCGCTTTTGCCATTATCGTGGGCAATCTCTTCGGGAATTCGAGTACCGAGAAAGACCTTGCCGAGATTACGGAGCTCTTGCAAGGCAATATCAATGTGCCTGTCCCAACCTACTTCACGATCGGAGATCAACCACTACCAGCCCAAGTTGTGGAAAAGATCGAGTCTAATAATGATGAAGTCTGTCCAAACTTGTACTTCCTGGGCAAACGAGGCACCCTCAAGACCTCAGAAGGCATTCGCATTGGTGCTTTAGGCGGCAAGCTTGAGGCTTCAGACTCCAAGAAACCAGAAAGCAATGCAAGTGGGAAGTTCCAAGCCACATACACTGAGTCCGACGCGCGCGCACTCTTCGGCGCCCAGGGCGTCGACATCTTAATCACAAATCAATGGCCCAAAGGCATCCGTGTGGGCTCCAAAGCCCCGCTCCCAGAAGACTCGCAATTGCTTCCTCCAGAAGTCCAGTGCGTCGCCGACATCTGCAGCAAGCTCAAGCCTCGATACCACTTCTCGACATCCGGCCCATTCTACTATGAACGAGAGCCTTTCTTCCACATGCCCACCGAGGACGAACCAAATGTCAGACCAATTACCCGCTTCATCTCCATGGCCGAGTTTGGCTCCGACCAGAAGGCCCTGTACGCATTCAACCTCGACCCAAAAGCCGCACCTCCTCTCACCCTCCCACCCGGCACCACAGCGGCACCCTTTTCGGCGCCCCAAAAGCGCAAAGCTCAACCTAGCCAAGGCGAGTACTTCAGTCGCTATGCCGCATCACAAGAACCCAACCATCGCCCACCTGTGCACCCACGAAAGCGGGCACGCGAGCGTGCTCCACCGCCCGGTCCTGAGAACTGCTTCTTCTGTCTCTCAAACCCCAAGATCGCCACTCACCTAATCACATCTATCGGCAATGAGGCCTACCTTACGACCGCCAAGGGTCCTCTCCCCCCAGATCAGTTCTTCCCTTCTTTGGGGTTTCCAGGCCACATGCTCATCATCCCTTTCTCGCACTCGCCGACACTGGATTCGATCCAGGACGCCGAGTCCCGCGCCGCAACATACAAAGAGATGCAGCAATACCGCAGCGCATTACACCAAATGGTCAGCGAGCGGTCCGGTGGCAAACTCGGTGCCGTGACATGGGAAGTCAGCCGCGTTTCTGGCATCCACACGCACTGGCAATTCCTCCCTGTGCCCATCCACCTCCTCAAAGAAGGACTCGTGGATGCGGCGTTCATGGTCGAAGCCGAGAACTTGCAGTACCCAGCCTTCACCAAGATTCCCGCTTCGGAATCCAAAGGGCCCGATGAAGTGGGCGATTTCTTCCGTCTGTGGGTCTGGGCTCCAGCAGAGAAGGACCACACGGCCGAAGAATCCCCCGATGCTCCCCCGGCTTCCGAAGGGCAAGAGCATGTCCTTATGCTGGAACTCACGCCTGACTTCCGATTCGACCTCAATTACGGCCGTCGTGTGATGGCTAAGCTACTTGAGCTGGATCGGCGTATGAACTGGAGAGATGCGACCCAGTCGGTAAAGGAAGAGGAGGTTGATGCTGCGGCGTTCAAGGAGGCGTTTAAGAAGTATGATTTCACGATGGAGTAATACCACGATGTGTGAGCTGGTCCTGGGGCGGAGTGGACGGACCGGCTTTCAAAAGGGAGGAGTTTTTTTTATTTTCCGTCAACGTGACTATCACATTGCTTTTAAGCTCATCTAAATATATGATGGTTTCTACTCTCAATTCTCTGTCAATTGATCAACTGGTAGACCAGCCGTCCAACTCTTGACATGTACGGTCAAGACAGATAATGATATGACTACCGTTGAGACAGGGTCGAAAGCCATCCAAGAAAGGAATTGTCCGTGATACTGAGCGAAATCTTCAAGGGTTTTTGTCCAAGTCGAAACATTCGCGGTTACCGAAGACGAATCGTCGGAGACTGGCAGGACCACCAGGCCTTGACCCCTGACTCACTGCAGACTCCGAGCCATTGATAAATAAAGGGAGAACGGAGAGAATACCATTATAAAGTACCGCATCCATTAGTACAATCCGAACCAGTTGCGAGCCTGATTAGGCCAGTGGTCATTGAGAAAAGGCTTGGGATCCCCAAAAGCAACCAGAATGAGACAACTGCCCAGCATGTCTATCCCGAACTTCCCCGGCACACTCATACCATCATAGCGACATGGGAGCATGCAGTATGGAACAAACACCACTCCGGTAACGACGAACTCCTTCAGGGAGTCCTAGATCATGGCCACTTAATATTCTCTCCAGAAATTCGGCCGTTCCAATACGAGCGAGATTTTTCGGAACAGATGAAAACTTTGTGGCGTGGCTCAGCAGAGAGATGGATTTCGGCCCTTTGGTTCAAGTTGGCGCCACAGAATATTGTTCAGTGCGGCCCGGGTTCTTTATCCGTGGAGAGAATTGTTCCTGCAATCACGAAAGAGTCTAGAGTGATCTGAGTAGAAGTATTGACTACAATATCCGGAAGGTCTCGATGCTCGATGTCTCGATGATTCTGAATGCGAAGACCCTTAACCGAGCCGCTACGCTCCACTCCGGCCATGACTCCATGAGACGTGCACCTAGCAGGCAAGCCCGGTCAACTACCATGTACGACATCATACGCACATGCTGCGCATGTATATTGGAAGAACCAACTCATCATTGTATTGTAAATTGTTGAAAGGCTGTCAAAATCTATCCCAGATCCCAATGACCAAAGGGAAAAAGCCCCATCATCCCGAGGCATAAATCATATACAGTGCAAACCACGTGATGCACAGAAAGAAGATAACTAGACAGGCATAACGATCGAGGCATGGGACATGAAAAGAAAAGACGAAAAGAAGTGACCATGGTATCAAAAAGTGCTTTCCCGCCTCATACCTCATACCCGCATAGCAGGAACAAATCTGTACAAGATCCAGGGAATCCGTGAGAAGGGAACGAGAACAAAGAGTCATAAATATGAATAACACCCTCGGGCTAATTCCTGCACCGATGTGTTTAGTGCATTGGGCCTGGGCCTGGTTGTCTTCCGCTCTGCAGAAGACTAGGTGGACGGTCCCGGGTTGGCGATGTTACTGCCATTCCAACTGAGTGGTCATGACCACCGTACTCTGAAGGGGGCTGTGACTGGAAAGGAGGGGGTGGTGTTGCCGAGACACCGGGGGACATGACGCGCGAGACGTAGGTCGGGGGATACTGGTTTGAGCCGAAGGAGGGCTGGCGCTGGAAGCCCGGGCCCCGGTGCTGCTCTGGGCCAGGAGAGGTAGGGCTAGCGTATGGCATCGGGGCGGGGCTGTAGGTAGTTGGCGGCTTGTATGCGGCCACCGGGGAGGGAGAAGTGAGACCACGGTAGCCGGCTGGTGGACCGGCGTCTAAGGGGCTGTGGCCCGCATTGGCAGGGCTGTAGTCCTCGTAAGGAGATGAGTAGGTCGCCTGGTGTTCGTACGCGGAGTGCTGATCGTAAGGACCGGCTGCGCCGACGGGGGATGTGAGACCGGGAGAGCGAGGAGCTCCAGCGTATGGGTCATGTGTGCCGTATGCGGCGGCTGGCCCTGGCGACCGGCGGCCGTATGGATCTGGAGGAGTGTTGAATGCAGCCGCTGGGCCAGGGGACCGGCGGCCGTAAGGGTCCATTGCCGGGGTCGTGGCGGCAATGCCTGGAGAGCGACGTCCATATGGATCTTGGGTGGCGGCCAATGCGGCTGGAGCTGGGGAACGGCGGGCGTATGGATCTGTCGGTCCAAAGCCTCTGTATCCTGACAGCGCGTTGGTACCGTGCTCAGGTTGGTAGTCCGAGTAGCCACTTCCTGGGTGCATTGGCGTGCCTGCTCCATGTCGGTCCGGATGGCCCATCGCATTCAATGGTTCCATTTCGACATCCTCATGGCGATCATCCTCGACGTGCTTGTCTACCGCAGAAGCCCACGTAGGCATCTCTGGCAGAGCATCCTCGTTCACAGTCGAAGATGGCGCTTTGGAACTGTCGAATGTGGCCGTGGTTACAGCTCCACGGTAAGCAGGTGGCGCAGGCCTAGGTGGCTGGTCGAAAGGTGTTGCGCTATGAGGATTGTTGAAAGTAGGGTCATCATAGTACTTGGGCACCTTGTTACGACGTCTTCCCGAGGGGCAGCAGCATGAGAAGCATGAACAGCAACAGGTACAACACTGGTAACCAAGGCAGGCACAGTTTATGATGCAAGCTAAGATTGCGAGCACGATTACGCCTCCCACAATAATTGCAGCGATCACAGGCCACCTATACTCCTGATTAGTTCACTATCCACTTCGGGTCGCATGAAGATCCGGGGCAACCTACTTGCAGTAGGCCTTTGCCATGCATGAATCCCAACTCGACAAGGTAGATTTGGCATTGCTCAAGTCGGACGATAGGTCTCGGCCCCATAAGGGCATATTGGTGGGACTCATATTGAGCAAAAGAGTGACAGGTCGGTATTCACAGTGGAATCCTCATTCGTAGTCTCAAGAAATGAACGCGCTGGAGACCCAATGTGTAAATGTCCTCGCCGAATGGACGTTCTATTGCGATGCACAGTCCCGCTGAGCAGCGCAAATCGAGACCCGCGAGGGGCGGACGCAGGGATGTCGACGTGGAGGTAGCGGGGCGGCTGTGGCTGGTGCTGGTGCTAGAGTACGCAAGAATGCTGCTGTTTTTGGCGATTGAAGGGTGTATAAGGAAGGGATTGAGGGGTCTTTCGAGACCGATGTTCTCAAGGGTCAGGGCCTTGTGTGGCTGTGAATAAGCAGGCACCAGGACTCGGTCGGGGGAGTTCGTGAAAGCGCCCGTTTAAGCAGAGACCGGAAGGCCGTAGGAAGACACAACCAGCCCCGAGCCCGGTAGAATCTAACGAATGACTGCCTGGTCAGGAAGGGAATGAAGAAAAAGGGCTCGAGATGAGACACGGAGCAGATTGAGGTTCAGGGTTGACAGGAAACCCCATCTTTTCTCGACATCCGCCTATCAGAGACTCCGCATTCTCGGGGGAGAGACGAAAGCGCCAATCGTCATTAACGATGCGGGAGGTGCTCCACCGTTTGCCGATCGCGCAAATTCGAAAAAGAGGTGCCTTGCAGAAGTCCGCGGAGAGTCGCATTGGCAAGGCGAGCGTTCTATACAAGGGACTACAGGAAAAGAGATTATTGAAATTGGTTTCATTCTTCTCGGTGGACATCAGGTATCAACAGCCTCCATGGATAGGCCTTCCAGCCGCAACTATTAGATCCTACAGGTCCAAGCCGAAACTCGAGGCGGTCCTGTCTTCGCTGCCAGGCATCAACTTATATGTACAGTTGGTGAATGCAAATAAAATCCCAGAAATCCCCTGAAAAATAGTCCCGGGTTATGGGACGGGTAAGAATAAAGGGGAAACAGATTAGCCATGGGAGAAAACAATGCAGTCAGAACACGGATCGCTTGCAAGGACTCCAGAAAATGCGTCGAAGGACTTAGTAGATCGCCATCGGGATGCAATTCGGAATGCAGGGGACAGTGTTTTTTTTCGAGGGTAGTTCAGAGAACTGTACAAAAAAGGTGAAAGACAGATTACAAAAGGCAGTAGATGTGAAAAAGGATTAGTTGTGGAGAGAAAGGAACGCCAGCAAAAGGCGGACTGCTCGTTATTGCAGTCAGGGCAAAGGAAAAGAATCTGTCGAGAAAGGACCGAGGACATCTGGCTAGGCAACTTCGATGGGGGGAAGGGTCATTAAAACAAAGGAAATTATTCTCGAGGTCGGTTGCCGGAGGACGTGTCATCATGGTTGTCCAAGGTCGTTCGGGTGAGTTCATGGGTAAGAGTTTCGAATGCAGGACAATGCCGCGCAAATTGGTGAATCGAGTGTCCAGATAGGGACTCACAAAGACAAGAGAAGAGAAGCTGACAAGTAAGGGAAACGTTGGAAGTCGTACGGTGCTCCGAGGACGGAAAACAGAGACCGTGAAAGGAAAGGAAGGGAACGATATCAACGTAGATGTCGAGTAGGTAGTTGAAGGGTCGCGAGGTCGGAATGGGGAATGCGCTCTGCGCAGCTCCACGAAAGATAACGTTGCCAAAATTGCAAACCAGTGCTGATATCAAAGCCGACCAGCGCGACGACCCGGAGGATTCAACGCAGAGGGCAGGGTGGAGGAGAACTTTTGGGCCACCAGGGAGAACGCAGGAAACACAAATGCCGCAAAGCAAAACACCACGCTCCAAAGAGAAATAAGAGGAAGGCAATATCCGTAAAGCGCCGATGGGTGTAAAACGACCCGGGTATCTAGTAGGAAAGCATACGACGACCGGGAGTGCGATTGGGTAGAGGGCTTTCAGAAAGCGAAAATGGGGAGCTCATTATATGATCGTCCCCGAATCGACAAGGGCCAGTAGGGCTATCTTCCATCTGGGGAGAGTGCTGACCAAAAGCGAAGGTCTGAGCACGGTTGAGCTTGGAACGCTGCTTGACCTTGCCAAGCCCCCGCTCGCAAGCAACCTCATGCTCTTTGGCGGTCATCTCCACATAGTTCTGGGGATAGCAGCGGCCACTGTGAGTTGCGAAGAAGGAACTGTAGCCACCATCCAAGATGTACATGTCGGGATAAGTCAGATGAGGATAGGTGTCGACATTGACAGCGCGGTCATGGTGGCGAATGTACTTGGCCATAATGGGGGCCCGATGGGCAGAATACTCGCAGTGAAGAACCAGGGCAGTACGAGACTTAGGAGAATCAAACAGCTCACTTGCAAGGGATTCCTTGTCGTTATAGTTCAGGGCACCGTCAATGTGACCGCCTTCATACTCATATTCGAATCGGCAGTCAACGATCATGATATTGTCAAAGTGCGCATCGAACTTCCCATCCAGTAGATCTAGGAGAGTACTCTGATTGATGCGAGGCAGAGAATCAGCCCGGTCCTCATTGGTGAAGTGAGGAAGGTGCAGAGTAGGGGCGGTCTCGGCATCAGTAATGGACTGAAGTGGGGCACTCGTGGGTATCTTCGCTTCTTTCTCCGCAATAACATCCCCCGGATGCTCATACATACTCAGCGACCTGCGGCATTGCTTGCGAGGGCGCATCAACGGATGAGAGGGCTTGCGAATGGAACTGGTGGATGGAGAACCACTGCTACGAGCATGATGGAACGGGGGACGCAGACGAGGTGGTGCCAGGCTGCTTGGGTTACGTGACACGGTCCGCTCCTGTGGCGGAGAGTCGCCGAACATGTCCTCCAGGGAAGTAGAAGTGCTCAGGGATGTCTTGGATACTTCGGAACTGAATCGAAAGGGAGGTGCCTTGCCTTCTGGGGAAGGTCGATTCATACCGAGCTGGAAAGATTGCGCCTTGCTACGAGCCAAGCTAGGACGGAGGAATGGAGGACGACGTTTTCTAAAGACCTGTTAATTATCCAATACGACCGAGATGGGGGACAAAAAGCAACAACACGTCAGACTTACTCAAGAGGAGGCCCCATTTCCATTGGAGATGCTTGCAGCGGGCTATGAGCCGCTGAGGTGATTGGAGAATCCTTGGGAGTGGCACAAGGCGATGGCGAGTGCACTTCAATCTCGGTGGTGACCACAAAGGCAGGCTTGTGAGGTAACGGGCTGAGTTCCATGGTATCCATTCCAGGTGCTGGGGATGAGGATGGCAGAGGCGGGGTCGTCATCATTTCATCTAAAGATGTTTATTAACAGAATGTCCCTCGTACACATCCTAACACGTACCATAGCCGTTGGCCTGGCCAAGCATATTTGCAGAGAACAAAGAGCGACGGGGCGTGGCCAGCTGAGGGCTAAGAATAGAGTTAGTCTTCTTTATCCTCAATTGCCCCATGTGGATCGCCGCTGTAAACGCACCTCTGGTCAATGTGAAAGTTCTGTGATAGATCAGCCGCCAAACTGGCAGCAGGTGAGGATCCACGCAGTGGATTCATGTTGAAATAGTCAGGCGCAGACTTCTTCATTGACAGGTCCTTGAAGTTGAAAGGGTTTCCTCCAAAGCCACTCAATGTAGCGTATGAAGCCGGAGCATCGCCGCGGCAACCCCGTCCAAAAAGCGCGGACGTGGGTTGCATCGCTGCTAGCGGAGACGAGTGTTCCATACTGCCCGAATTGAATCCAACCAGGCCAGATGCTGATGTGATACACAGTGTAGGTTGACTTGCTATCGACGCCGAAATAACCTAACGGGGAACCTTGAAGCCCTAGGGATGGCCACCGCTCTCAGAACTGCCCAATCTATCAGGATGTTTCCTCTTTCTCTCCAGCGAAATCCCGACCCTAAAAACCCAGATCCCACACCCAGGTAACCACCGACTGGGAAAGGAATCTGCTCGAAGTACCAGGAGGGATCACAGAGGCATGGCCAGGCGGTGCGGAGGTCCGGGAAGTTGTCAGCGGTAATTGGAGGGGCGGAGAGAACAGCTCGTGGGCGGGCTGAGGAGGGGGGAGGACGATGCAGGAAAAGCTAACTACTGCGAGAAGTATGAGCGGGAATGGTCCACCACCGAGTCGACCACGATGGGAGTTTTGGCGGAGAGTGTCGAATTGGTCGAGAAACGTGGAATGTCAAGAGAAAAGATCAAGAGAAAAAAAAAGGTGGAACGAAGCGGTTAGAAGAACGAAAGTCATGAAGCTGAAGGGATGGGTCTGTTGCAATGGCAACGCGAGTGGGGAGGATCTCCAGATAGTGTATTGCGTACGGTAACGGAGGATTGGATGATGTTACAGGCCTAACCTCCTACGTAATTCTGCGGCGGCACCAGGGCAGGCACTGGCTCCGTACTATACTGCGTATGGCCAGTGGGGCCCTTCGTGCGCTCCAGGTACGATCGCTTTGGTATGCAAGCTATTGGTGCAAGTTGCCAGTCTGGCGCTCCATTCAGTATCGATGCGCGGTCGCATGTCCCTAGCCCCGAATTGTCAAGGGGAGAAGAATTAAACGCAATAATTTTCCCCTTTGGGAAAAATCCGCCTGAAAAAGAGGATGAGAAAAGCCCTGCCGTATCCATAGGGCAAAACCCGTGAAGCTCCTCTTTGGCCCCAGCTCTTGGTTGCCCGGGCTCCCTTGCCGCCCATTGTCCAGACTACCGGCTGCTCAGCAACCTCAGCGCCTATCAGCGCCGGCTTTCCTATTCTCCCATTCCTTTCCTAGTGCACGGTCGCTTGAGGCCTTATCCTTGGCGCCATGTGCCTCGGGCTACCCGGTTGCTCTACTATTACTTAGCAATTAGAGTCAAACGAGGGAGCCCCCGTCCTACAGCTTTGCCCCCCCCTGGCCTGAAGCTACCCAGCTCCCAGAATATGGGGAACTGAACCATCAAATCCACCGTTCGAATGTAGCAAAAAAGGCCGACCTGTGAGGGAGCTTCATTACCTGTGAAACCGTTTCAATTATGTTTCTATCCACTCGGCCTCTCGGTCCCAGCACTGGAGGAAGCCCTAACATCAGAAATTTTCTTCTCGTCTCTAATGGGGCTTGTCACACTTTCTACTCCGTAAAATGGCTCTAGAATGGCGCTTTCGGTGCGTCTTCCATGGGTCTTCGGGGTCCACTATAGCAAAATAGGGAAAGAAAAATACAGTTGCAATAAAAAAAATTTACTAAGTAAAGATCCGTCGCCGGGCTCCCAGTCCCGTGTCCATCGAACGAAAGCCACACCACAGCTGAAAAAAAAGGTAAAAACGGAGCACGATCGAGCCTAAGGAACCCAAGCTCCACCCCCGTTCCACCTCGGAAAAATTGGCTTCAGGAACCAAACGAGGGCTCAATGCAAGTGATGCCAGGATCGCCCATGCAAGGGAAAGCATGGGTTGCCCCCCCCAAGGGACTTCTGCAATAAAGATCAGATCTCACTGCACCCAGATCTAGGGTCATCACAGAGCATCAATGGCTGGAAATCTATCTCCAGTATTACAATATGCAGTATGCTGCAATTCACGGCCTTACTCGGTATCTCCATAATAGGCAGCACTAGTCCCCTCGGGGTCTCGTGAATGGTGGGCTGTAACTTCAACTGGAGACGATCATTCCCGAAGGCCGGCGAGTTGTCGGGGAGAAGACGGCCGAGGAGGCCAAACGAACCCGCATCGAAACCTATTAGCATCGTCTCTTCAGGGGAGCACATCTCCGGGGTCGAGCCTGAATCATGATTGGGATGGCCGGAATTCCTAAGTAGCGATTCATGGCGTCGAAGTGTTCGTCCCTGCATGATCATTACCCCGTAGGGCAGGGGGAAGACCACGATCGGAACTTGGGATTCGCTAACCCCACTCAGCGACCGTTTGTGCTGAACCTAAAAGGTAGCATCGAGCAAGGAATGAAAGGTAATCTGACACTAAGCATGGAATCTGGTTGTCCAAAGGGCCCTTGAAGGTCTTCATGGCTCCCCTATACTCAGTTACCTTGCATTCCAGTTGATCAAGGGTCCGCGAGGGGAACGTTCAATGTCGCGCATCCCTTCCGTAAGCCCCCTTCGTAGGAGATTTTTCTCTTTAATTGCTATTCAAGGGCCAATTGTCGGAGAAGTTTTATCACTGCAGGAAAATCAGTTCCAACGATTCCCCAGGGGACGATATTTGGTGAATCGTGTTTCCCCGAGATCTCCGTGCAACGGACAAAAACCAGTTACGGCTGGATCGGTCGGGGCCAGATGTCGACCATGCACTAATATAACGTCACTAATCTTCCAAAAAGCCAAGTCGATGTCCGGGTCAATCATGCTTCGGCTCCGAGGATGAGCATAGTCATGTTATGTATCTGGAGCCCCGATCTGGGATGATCAACACGCCCGTTCTTAGTATCCTCGGCTCGTCGCCATTGCACCAGATGCGTGTTTTTACGATATGTCAATGGAGGCGCCCCGACTTGGGATCCAGGCGCCGCTTGTCATGCTCCAAATGGAAAAAGAGCTCCGACTGGACCTAATTTGCCACCGAGTGAGGCGGCTCTTCGATGGACCTGAAACTGCTAGCGGATGGAGCCCGCGACTACCAACCACTCGCGAACGCGCATCAGAGGAAACCCCATTCCTGCACCCCACGACTATCTCTTTTGGGCTCTGCTCTGACCCCTCTTTTCTCGAAACAACGGCCGAAGTGGCTGCCGTCGCCGGGCATCCCACCGAGCCACATCACCGTGCAGTTACCGGTTGAGCCGTATCATCTGCAACTCGCATCCCGCATGCTTTCAGCCCGTGGGAAGTCAACCATGCGGTGAGGACTCGCACGGTGCACCCAGTTCTCCAGGGTCCTTATTTCTAACGCTGGATGCCCAAGTGGCCTGAGCCGCCCGTGAGGGCTACGTCACCGAGACATCATCGCTCATTGATTTATATTTCCAAGACTTTGACCCGCGCGATCGGGGCTCCAATTTTCTAGATTTCATGGGGCTGCTAGTGCAATACTAAGGACAAGAATATCTCTCATGACGTTGATGCCGCTGGCCTGGTTCTGACCATTCAGAGATCGACGTCTGATCAACAAAGCGCTCGATCTCTGGGACGCGTTCGTGTTGTTGATGTATGGATTTGGCAATTGCAGATGCAATGATAGCCTCGCCTATCGCACCCGCGCATGAGGAAGCACCAATCAGGCTCGCAAAGCTGCTGCACTCGTCGGTAAGCTGACCAGGATATCCCGTGTCCTTGAACAGCACACTCGGCTAGTCCGATCGCTGTCGCTGCGCCACGCCTGCATCGTTCCCTGGAGGTGGGGTAGGGCAAAGGTTATCCATGATGTGATCCGTCAGCTGCGTCACAATGCCATGTGCAACGGACCAGTGGTGTCAAGACTCCAGCCGATGTGTCTTGTCGCAGCTGCGGGGTTCATCACATTTTACTTTCCGGGCTGCAGCAGCTGCAACCCCAAGTGTCTGGGCCCTTTTCCCCTCTTCGCCTTATCCGTGATGTCAGGCGCGTAGCGTAAACAAACCGGACTTGGCAAAAACGCGAACCGGATGCGGGATCCCGTGACTCCATGTTGATTCGGGGGCGAGCTGAATCGTGATGTCAGCCTCCATCGCGATCGTTATCTTGAATTATCTTGATTCTCGACGGTGCGTATTTTATTCTGTGTATCGGCCAATACCCGTAGTCAGCTTTCTCGTGCTTGTCAGGATCGTCCTGTTTACCCTCGAAACTCAAAGGGCCCAGACCTCCAGCCGCGAGCCTTCCCCGGTTGAGACTCCTGATTTCCCAAAAAGCTCAAGAGTCCCCCCCCCCAGTTGCGCGGACAACTTATTAATTTTCCCCCGGAGGCCCCCGATCTGCAGCACTATTGAATGGCCCGGCTGCCACTACCCATGCGGTGTCCCACGTCCCTCGGCTTCGTGCCTGTCAGACGCCTACACTTACTCTGACAACCCCCTGATCGTGGTGCAATGGCGCCCTAGCGACCGGTCTACTCCCCTAAACGCTCTGGTCGGTCCCCCACTCCAGCTCGCACAGCCCCGATTGCGATCTGGGGAGCTGACTAGCGGGCTTTCCGGTAGGCTTAAAGCTGTGAGGATAATCTGGAGGGCTCGGGATGGAGAATATGTCGCTGGTCTTGGCTTTGACAAGTATAAGTGAGTCAGATTTTAGTCGTCGCTCACAGCCGATTGTTGATTGCCCGGTCAAAGAAACTAGGGAAGCTTCAAAGCCAGGATTCTATCTATCGGATTTCTGAAACAGGAGTCCGTAGGTATTGCATGGAGCCCCGCCAGAGCAATCGTCGCCCTGGAGCTTTCCGCGGCAGCCGTGGCCTAGCCCAGTCTAGATTATCCGGACAATCGTGCACACGCCAATTCGACGTCCTCCGTACATAATAATATTAGAATTGGGCCTCCACGGAGAACACGTAAAGTCCGAATATTCCTTCGAGCAAAATAGAGCTTCTTAACATCGTGCGGGAGTACCTGTCATCTGCCCCGATGCAGGTCCCTCGCCACGCCAATTTATGCATGCACCCCGACAAGGCTACGACATAAGGTTATTATAGGAACGGCGAACGATTGACAGATCGCAAAGTTTTTGCCATGCTCACGATATGTATCACCGTTGGCGCCCGTTGCTGTGGTTGCGATGTCTATGCAGTATCCATTCGGTGATATATCCAGAGCTATAGTTAGGCCTGTAGGCAACTATTATATCCACAACTCCAGCATACTCCATGCACTCTCTATATTAGGACGATGATGGCGAAAAAATCGCAATCCTGTATTTATGGGCTTATTCACGTATCATATCCAAGGTTTTGCATCGCCTGATTCTTGTGTCCGCGAATGCCGCCGGCGTCTTGCCCACTTTTCTAATCAATATCCGGCGCCGCTATCCTGCCAGCTGGCCCGACAACGGTGAGCTCGGACGGTGAAGACGTCAGCTCAGTGCATTTGTGGACCTTTGATTTAAAAATTATGGTATTCAGGCTTTTGTCGCTGGTCGTCTTGCTTCGTATCGGCTGAAATTCGATCTCTGTACAGCCGTCGGCGCGACGCGGAATGCGACCCCTGAGTACGTGTCCAGTGAACGGATCAGGTTTTCAGTTGGCTGAAAGGCCCAGAACTGGTGGGCTGGAACTTTGCAATCTTCAAGCTGTATTGATACATAGAACAGATCGTTAAGTCGACGTATAAGCTCCTAGTAATATGCCGCAGTTGACTTTCCATCCTATTCAACTTCAAGTTCGGTGCTGCCATCCTAGCTGATGGGATCATTAGGATAACCACAAGAGTTTTGTTATGAATTAAGTCCAGTGCTATCAATTGTTGGTCTGCTCTCGATGATCCGAAGCTCAAAGTGGGCTCAAGAAACCTTTAGAGAAATTCAGTTACATTTCAATGCGCGACGACTCGGTGTACACCCGATGAGTCCGCTATATATTTGCGGACGGCTGTCACCGTGAAAAGTAGTGCTTCCCTAACATCACCAAAAAACCTCTCAAATATTTCGAGTATTAGCAAGATACATCCATGAAGGCCTAGCTATACTTTCTATTAGATACGGGAGCCTTTCGAATTGATTTATTACTAAATGGGTCACTACAACTGTCAATGGAAACTGCAAAGTCGTCGCAAATCCTTATCAGCTTATCGCAGAGCACTAAGCCGAAAAAGGAAATCGAAAAAATGTTTCCCAAGCTTCAATTCTAAAGGCGCGAAAGCCACCACCAGGCATTCTCGGCATCCATTCACCAGTCAGCAATGGCGCCCGACCACACAACCAAGAAGCGACGCCGCGAGCCTTACAACGTCGACACAAAGCTTGTGGAGATCTACGAGGACCTCGCCAGCGAGAAGGACGAGATTCGCCTGAAAGCTGCGCAAAGTCTCGTCTCGCAGTTCACGCCGGATAAGGCACCGGCTGACGACCAGATCAAGAGAACCCTGCAGAGGCTCTTCCGCGGTCTCTGCAGCAGCCGGAAGGCAGCGCGGATTGGCTTTTCCATTGCGTTGACGGAGATCCTCACCCAGATCTTCTCGACTACCCGCGAGTCTTCAGAATTTGGTATCGCCGATGTGCTTAAGATTTGGGAGTCGCAGTCCAATTCTTCGGGAAGCGAGTCGGGACAGGTAAGGGTCTTACGTACGGCATGCAATGATGCAATTGTGCTAAGATATTCTCGTAATAGGAGCAACGCGACCACCACTTTGGCCGTTTGTTCGGTGCAGAAGCGATCATTAAATCCAACATCCTCTTCGAACCCTCCGTACCCTTTACCGAATGGAACAAGGTGCTTGACCTCATCTTCGAACTTGCACAGAAAAAGCCGTGGCTTCGTGAAGAATGCGGCTGGATCCTCTATCGCTGTGTCTATGACCTCGCCGCGCGTGGTGCCGACGCCAAGTACGTAGAGGCTGCGGTGCACTCTCTGAGCGCCTACGATTTGGTCCGCTGCCCCGAAGGTGTCGCGGTTTGGCTCGCTGTCAAGGACATGTTTCCAAACGCTAGCCTTCCGAGCAAAGCCTGGAAGCACGATGACCCTCTGGACCCTAAGGAGCGCAGCAGTTTGTCCAAGATCATGAAGGAGTCTTCTTCAGGAGATTCGCAGGGCGGCGGCCAGGGTAATCCCAAATCCTCTGGAGTGTGGAATTCTAAGCTTCATTTTGCTTGGGATGCTGTTATTTCTCGCACGAGTGACGTGTCGAGGGATACAAAGTCCAAGTCATCCAAGTCTTCGCGCTTGTCATTCACCGATTTCTGGGTGGAAGTTGTGGACAGTCAGTTGCACTCGTAAGATCAACAGGTATTGCAAAAGCTAACACTCGCAATAGATGGACTTTTCGCGTCGTCGTCTTCCGATGAGCGAAAATACTGGGGCTTCCTCCTCTTCAACAAAATCCTCAATGAGGGCTCAGAACAGCAGGCTGCTCACATCTTCAGCAAAAACCTCGTTCGCTGCCTTACAAACCAGCTCGCAGTGGAGGACCGCTACCTTCACCGAATGGCCGTCAAGGCCTCCAAGGCAATCCAGGCCCGTGTGTCTAAAGAGCCTGGATTCGCTGCCGCTGCAGTCCGCGGGTTGATGGGGGCGAGCGGAGCCGTGAACTTCGACCAAGCCACTAAGACCAAGACCATTGAGAAGATTGTGGCAGATGCCAACCACGAGGCCTTGCAGGAAATTATTCCTCTGTTCGAAGAACTTCTCCGACGCCCCGGCACAAGCGACGAAAAGGCCGCTGCGTCTAACCGCCACTTCATCGCCAACCTTCTGCTCTCGATTGTGCGATCAAAGGCGTCCACCGGTAATGATGACTCGGACGAAGACTATCAAGCTGTGCTTGAGCAGATTTTGGCTATCTTTGTTCGCTTTGCGTACTTCATGATGAACACCGGTGACCCTGCCACCGCTCCGGAGCCCGTGCTGTCTCAGGTCACCCAAGAAGTGTTGCGCAGCAGGATCAATTCTGCTTTGAACAGTCTCCTTGCCTCGCAAAAGTATGCGTCGTCCATTCCCTATGCAGTCGTGAAACAGATTCGCGATGCAGCGAAGTCGGAAGAATATGGCAAGTTCATCATCTTCATCGATGATAAATTGCAAGAGTCTGTGAAGACTGCTTTCAAGTCTTTGAAGAAGCTTTCTAGCAAGGTAAGAAAAATGCAATAACTTTTACAAAGGGAAAATCGTCTAACATCCTTGCAGGAGAAGAAGGGAGAGACATCTGGCATCGGTGCTTTCAAGCTTCTCTACTCGATGACCGTCTTGCAGGTGTACAATGGCGACGCAGATGCAGTGTCGATGTTGGATGAGCTCGAATTCTGCTATTCGAAGTTCTTAGGTGACGAGAAGACGAAGGACAATGCTGATGCATCGGATGCCTTGGTTGAGATCCTGCTTAGCTTCGCCTCTAAGCAATCGCAGCTTTTCCGTCGCATGAGTGAGCAGGTCTTTGGGGCCTTTGCCGACCAGGTCACTGAGAACGGCCTGGAGTCTTTGATCTCGGTATGTCATGCTGTTCCTTGCCAGATTATTGTATCGTCTAATTTTTCCGCAGATTCTGGAAGCGAAAGAAAGCTTGGCTGGCCAGCAAGAGATGTTTGATAACGACGAGGATGACGATGTCGAAGACGTGGAAGAAGCCGACGATGACGATGATGCGGAGATGATCGACGTCGATGAGGACGACAGTGACGTTGAAGTCATTGAAGCTGGAAACGCATCAGACTCCGACAACTCGAATGAAGAAGAGTCGGGAGACGAAGGAGAAGATCCTGCTGAACTCGCAGACTTCGAAGCCAAGCTCGCTGCAGCACTTGGCAACTACGGCGCTGACCAGGATCCCAATGCGGACGATTCCGACGCCGACATGAATGACGACGAAATGGAAGCTGTCGACGACAAGCTGGCACAGGTCTTCCGCGCCCGCAACAACGCCGCCTCTCAGAAAAAGGACAAGAAGGATGCCCGCGAGAACATGATCAACTTCAAGAACCGCGTGCTGGACCTGCTCGAGATCTTCGTCAAGAAGTGCCATTCCCGCGTTCTGGCGCTTGATCTCCTGCTTCCTTTGCTGCGACTCACTCGCCGAAGCACTGTCAAGCAGATTGCCGACAAAGCCAATTCCGTTTTGCGCGAATACACGAAATTGTGCAAGGGCCCCGCTCTTCCCAAACTCGCCGACGACATTGAGCCCGTGTGGGAGCTCCTTCGTGCTATTCACAAGGAGGCTAGCCACAGTGGTCCGCCGACCCATTCGACTGCTTGCAGCCAGGCCAGTCTGCTTCTGGTGAAGGTTATTGTTGGCCACGACAAGGCGTTGATTACTGGCGTGGTTGATATCTATGCTGACACTCGAAAAGACCAGCTCTGCAGCACCAAGTGCCACGTCCAGCCTTCGTTCTTCACGGACTGGAACAACTGGTGTGTGTCGGCAAGCAAGCAGTTGAAGAGCCAACAATAATGCGCGAACGAACCTGTATCGACTCCGTACCCTTTTACATAGCTCTTAACTGCAAGAAAGCGATAAGCTATCAAAAGTCATCTTATAATCAATCATTATTTCCAACCATACAACCCAAACCCAAGTACCTTCGCTCTATAAACCCCTCAGCATCTCCGCCAGCCACCTTATACCTCTCATCCCTGGCCGTGACAGCAGCATTACTCTTCGCCGTCTTATCAACCCCAATGCCCAACTCCCTCCATTCTCCTTACCACGACATTCCTCCCTTCTTCCCTCATCTTCTCCCCTGACTCATCCTCAATCGCAGACGTATCCTGCTTAGCCGGAAAAGACACACATCTGCCGGAAACCCCTCCACTGCCGCAAAAGCCGGCGACACGCGCGGATTCCTGGGCTTTTATGGTGCGGTGCTTGTCGCGTACTGGGATGCGGAGGGTAGAGCCTGGGGTTTGGTCTATTAGGGAGAGATGGGCGAGGAGGAGGCGCGTTATAGAAATGATGAGTCTGAGGCGAAGCTAGCGGAGGTAGGGGAGAGGACGGCCATGGGGCTGGGCTGCGCGATGGATATTAGAATTGTCTTTGGGCGAGGTGCGTTGATGATCGCGGTCCTTAAGTCAAGGTATACGTATCAGGGCTGGGGGATTAGACCTCAAATTCCTGGACAGGATACTCGGCCTCGCAGGGTTGAGGAATTGGGTAAGTTCACGGCGACCACGCGCTGAGTTTGCCAAACTTGCTCGAGAGTGATGAAGAATGCAGCTGCGTCGACGATTGTCTCCCACATGTCATTCTTCTAGAATGGTAATTAGCATTGACCAGACAAAAAGCCTCTTCCGCATGTACTCATGAGCTTGTAAGAATTGCGTTGTGGGCTGAGCCGAGGGTGTTGGCTCAACCGGCCGTCCTTCTCACGAGGACCAGATCCAACGCAGTGACCATCGCGGAGTACATTGCATACGATTCAGGCTTTCATATCATAAAGTCCGAACATGTTAGTTCCTCCTTACCCCAAACTCAATCCTGACGAGAGCTACGGCTAAGCCCGTTTGATTTACCACCGGGCATAACCTTGGAAGGGTAATAACCCATTATGTGATGGACAGGTTCTTCGCGCCCGGGAGTGAACCGGGGTCGAGAGTGACAGTGCTGGTCCTGGTTCACCGCGATTCTAGTCTGGAAATAATTGGTACATCAAGTGTCTTATCAACATAATCAAGCTTTTGAGGCTTTAGTTCACCCCGCTGTCCCCACTCCGGTCCCACTTGGAAGTCAAAAACGTCGGAATTGCCGTCTTTCCAGCCGCCACCGCAATTTCGCGGGATTTCCGTTCCCAGAGAGCGAGATGGTTCAACCCAAGCCGAGTTCAGTGAGAAGAAGCCTTATTTATGCCAAAGCGAAGTAGAAAATGCAAAAAAAAGGAGGCTGAAGTGAGCTATTTCTATTTCTAGAAATCTAATATGCAATGTGTGTCTCGGAGCAATGCAAAGCTTCGAGCAGGCGCATCGGGCCAGAATCTGATGCTAGCTCCGGATACTAGAAATGAAATCTCCATGATCCTCTGTTTTACAGCTTCGAAGGGGACCGCTGCGCTGACTGTTAGTCCCCGGGCCGTGGTGCTTTCTGCTTACCCTTTCGAATGTAAAGTCCTTTGATGCTACTCGCTGTTAGTATAAGGTATTCGATGTCGGATACGGAGATACCCACGTTCAGCCAACTTGAGCTTCTTCATATCTCTGGGGCCTTCCTCGCCCTCAGACAGGCCGTTGTTGGGGTTGCCTTCCACGACGGAACGCCACTTCCAGAGAGGCGTGAACTGATCGGGGACGCGCTCGAGTTGATTCTTGACGTGCTAAAAGATGTCAGAAGTTGAAAGGGAAAAAAAAAACCAAAAAACGGAGGGATACATACTCGACCAAGGATGGGCAGGAACTTGAATCCATGTCCGCTGTGAAAACGTGAGCATCGGCATCGGGTATGTTGGGAAAGAGAAGCTTACGAGCCACCAGTGCAGATGAAGAGGGAATCAGAGTACCCGGGAACATAATCAATCACAAACTGCCAAATTTAGCCTCTGTAGCCAGACCAAGCTATGTCGGTACTTACGTGGTTGTCAATGCTGTCCGTGTACCAACATAACTGCGAGGATCAGCAAACCGTCATCCAAAACCAGGTACGGTAAAGGCATACCCTGCTGTCTGTAAAGCCAAACTCCGCCAACTCAGGAAAAGCGTCGTAAATAACTCGCTTCATATGTGAAAGGGGGTGAAGGGGTACGGTGTTGATCTGATTGTCGCTCCATTTGGTGCGGGGGGTCGAGATACGCCTGGGAAAATTAGTCACTGCGCATTCAGCTGATCGCCAGGACATACAAGTTGGGCGCAGTAGGGTGGTCTTGGAAGTTTGTGTACTGGGAATCAAGTCAGCGTGCGGCCTGGGACAAAGAGCGAGCGTGCTAACCTTGCGCCCCCGGTAGCCAAATTTGAGACGGCCACTCTTGCTGATCGGGAAGCCTCCTCCCTGATAGTAACTTGCAGAAAGGTTAGCATGCATGTCAATCGCTCGTGTCTGCGGACCTACTTTTCTCCCCCCCCCCGTCGGTACGACCATACTGGGTAATTGTCGGGATGGAACTTGTCCCGCAGATCTTGTCGGTGTGGAGGAATATCAATGAACATGACGGTCCCAGCGGTCGCTTCGACGGTCTGGTGGGCCTCAGGGATGATCGAAGCGGTCCAGCTGCCGGCTGTGAGGTCATTTGATTAGCGGAGGATCTTCACCAGCTCACGGCCGACCTTACCAGCCACGATGACAAGATCACCGGTGTGAGTGAGACCATCGACAGTCTTGATCCCCTTGACTCGTTTGCTTGAGCCAGTGTCTTCCACCATCAATCTGTCAATTTTGCCTGCGGGGTCTCCGAGAACGAATTTCACTCCTAGTTTCTCGCACAGAAATCGTGCATACACACAGGCCTATGCTCAATGGTCAGATCGCAACGCTGGGAGATTATCCCTTCCTAATACGGCGACACACCTTGTCCGCGATGGTGATCCCCGCGTTGATGTCGATAAAGCCATTGGTGTTATTTCCGTTGATCCCATCGAGCATGTGGTACTTGTCTACCCATTTCGGACTGATGTTGCGCAGCCGATGCTCGTCGTTCACGTCACCCTAGATAGGTTTTGATTAGGGGCTACATCTATTGGAGGAAGGTTTAGAGTTTCAGATGTCAGACATACTTTGACAAACTGCATCTTTCGAAAGTCTGGGGCTGTTTCCTGCATGGTCTGCAAACTCTCTTTGTAGAAGTCTCGCAGCTCCGAGCCCTCGGCAAGAAAGTAGCTCCCACATAAGTAGAGCAGCTGGTCCTCTGGGGACAGCCCCGGAGGAAGATCTGCAGCTGCACTCTCCTTGATCCTCGTATTCCAGGACAGCCAGATTTCCCGCGCCTCGATTGCGAGGTCTTGGTACCTAGAGCGTTGTTCAGATCCTGCGGGGCCTGCGATGCATTGAATTGGGCAAATGATCTTACACTTGCTCCTCCCCGTATGCCATGCGGAAAACTTTGTTGATGTCTGCAGATGCACCATCGCAGCCATTGGACGGGTCATAAAAATTCTTGTCCAGCGTGCAGCGGTCGAAGATGGTGATGTTCTTGTATCCGCTTCTGGACAGCCACAAAGCCGTGCTCAGACCGAACACGCCTGCGCCGACGATGATGATCTTGTCGTCGGAGGAAACCATGGTTAACTGTTATTATCTGCCCACTGCCTTATCTGGCTTGACTCCGGGTGATTATATAGGTCAGATACAACGAGACAGCCGGGGATCCAGTGCGGGAATTCCGTGACGGAGCCGTCCTGGTTGGATTTCTCATTGGCACCTCGGGTTCGTCCGGTCCAGCGACATGACTTGCGCCTCTGATTGGCGTCTCGGACGGTGCCGACTCCACCGCTATCTTGCATTTCTTAGGTTTCTTGGGTTTCTTTGTTCCAATCAGCCCGGACCCATCTGATACGCGGCACCTTCCATTATGGGGCAGTTCTCGGGCCATCAAAGACGGGGTAAACGAAGCGGAGAGATAAGCTCCACTGAATCTACACAGTAAACCACGGTGTGCAACCGCAGATGTGCCAGCTGATGTCGCTTAGCATGGACATATAAAACCCTGTAGCTCGTGGCTTTTCTTTCCATGTGGTTTACCCCTCCTCGCTTGCTTACATTCCACACAGCTTCAAGTTAAGTATGGGGTTCAAGCTCTCCGCCCTTGTGCCCGCGGGCTATGGCAAAGCTATTCATAATGCCCCACGGGAGGTGATTTTCAACCGCCAATTGATGTTTTCAGCTATCGTCTATGCCACTGCGGCAATTCCGGCGAGTAAGTTCCAAATGATCACCAAATTCCAGCGCAGAGCGTCTCCTAATGCGAGAGGTAGCCTGGGACCAGGGCTCTGCATCGGTCGTCCCGTCTCTTCCAGGATTCGAGAAAGCGTTTGGGATTTCATCTGGTGCAAATGCGGGCCAAATAAGGAACTTCATCTCCATTGTCTACATCGGATATGCCGCTGGTGCAGCCATGAGCTTTTTCATCAACGATACTATCGGTCGCAGGTGGTCTTTCCGGCTGTACACAGCGATCTGGATCGTGGGGCAGCTGGTCGCTATTCTCACCCCCACGCTCGCCGGTTTATACGCTTCTCGCATCATAGTCGGAATCGGAATTGGATCGCTCAGTGTGACTGGCCCAGTATCGATTGCGGAGATCGCCCCGCAGGAAATTCGCGGTCTCCTAACCTCCTGGTATGTCGTTGCAATGAGCTCTGCACTCCTAGCCTCCACCTTCTGCGTCTACGGAATCATCGTGCATGTCGCGGCGAGCAAGCTCCAATACCAGCTGGTCTGGTTCCCGCCCTGCATCTTCATGGCCTTCATTGTCATCGCGACTTTCTTCATCAGCGAGTCTCCCAAATGGCTCATGGTCGTCAACAAACGCGAGGAGGCTGTTTATGAAATGTCAAGATTACGCGGTCTACCGAACGATCACCCCCGAGTGGTAGGCGAGATTCTCGAGATCCAGCACGTTCTCAGCAATTCCGACTTCGGAGTGGGCGACCGCCGACCACCATTGGGGACCCGACTGAAGATTATCGTGAAAGAAACCTTCACTGTCCCTTCCAATCTGCGCCGTGTACAGCAATGTCTGATGTCCTACCTGCTGGCTCAGTTATCCGGAGCCAATTCGGTGACCTCATACTTCGTCCCGATCCTAACCCTGGTTGGTATGGGTGGCAACAAGTCTCACGATCTCTTCTTAACAGGAATGTACACTTTGATGAAACTTTGCTGCACGATCATCGCATCTTTCTTTTTCATTGACGTGCTCGGCCGGCGCAAGTCGCTTTTCGTGGGCGCCACCATCCAGATGATCTCGGATCTCTATCTGGGAATTTTCATCAAATACCAACAGCAAGGTGCGGTTTCGCACTCCGCCTCGCAGGCTGCTGTTGCAGCTCTCTTCATTCATGCGTTTGGATATGCCGTCGGTAAGTTTGATGTCTCATGGAATCGTCCCATCCCCTACAATACCTCCTTACTTACACCTCCTCGCCCCAAAAAGGCCTGTATACTCTCCCGTATGTCTTCGGTGGTGAGCTCTGGCCCAACCACCTCCGCTCCTTCGGCGCAGCCCTAGGACAGACGTTCCACTGGCTCTTCTTGTACGCCATGAACTTCGGCACCCCATCTCTCCTCGAGAAGACCAACAACTGGGGCGCATTTATCTTCTTCGCCGCCTGGTGCTTCGTCGCCCTGCTCTACGTCTACCTCATTGTGCCTGAAATCTCCGGCCTCAGCGTCCAAGAAATTGACAGCCTCTTCAAGGGCCCCTGGCTCAAAGGCTACGGCAGAGTCCGCTCCGCATCCGGTCTCGAAGGCGTGGAGCCTACGAAGACCGACGAGGACCCCTTGCCGTAAGTAACTACGCCCCCTTAAAGTTCTGACATCCCCACGAAAGACACCAAAATAACAAATCCACCAGGGACGACAGCAGCACCCGGAAAGGCCCGTTGACGAATGTATAAAGCTTCTATGAACTTACGATAGGATTGACATGATAATTTTGACAAATGACACGAAACCTCCCCCGATTCAGCCCCACTTTGGCTCAAACCCCAACCCTTCATTCATAGAATCTCCCAAAAAGTCCATAAAAAACCGATCCACCCCATCCAGTAGCTCGAAGTGCTCGATCTCCGTCATATACTGAAATGATCCTCCCGCCGCCGGCCCCGCCGTAGGACTAGCCGCCTTCTCCACCCCCTGCTCCGACACCGCCGCCATCGTCCGATTCGCCAACGTATCCAGAATATCGCGGTACGGGGCCGCGCCCTTCCACCGCTCCGCGATCACGACCAGGACCATCAGGCAGTCTGTGCAGGTACTGCTAATCTCGTGGAACTTGGCGCTGTCGCGGACCCCCGCACAGCTCCACAGGCAGTGCAGGTACGTCAGCCCGGCCAGGAAGAGGGTGTACACGGAGCCCCAGGTGTAGTTGACGGGGCGGCCGATGTACTGCCGGCGGTACTCGTGGCAGATGGTGGCCGCGGCGGCGGAGCACTCGCGGAAGATGCGCTCGTCGGAGTCTTTGCTGGCGAGCATGCCGCGGTAGAGGAAGAGGATGGAGTAGGCGTGGTTCAGCTCGAACCATTCCTTTTTGGCGAAGATGGAGAGGGCGTTGGGGCGGGGTGGGGTGGGGGGAGCGGTCTGGAGCCAGGTGTCCAGGTCTTTGCGGAGGACGTCGATTTGAGTGGCGCGGGAGTGGGGGCTGGTGGTGTTCGTGTCGGAGTAGAGGCTGGCGTGGATGCGGGCCCAGAGACAGCGGAGGCGGAAGACGTGGATGGCTATCGTGACGGTGGATGGGGGGTCGAGGTGCGGGTTGCGGAGGGGGAGGTCGTGGGAGCTGTCGGAGAGGTCGGTGTCGTTGACGTCTAGAGGGAACTAGGGGAGGATGAGAATGAGAGGAAGAATGGGAGGAGAGATTGAAGAGGGTGTGGGAGGGATATTACCTCGACGTCTACTTCGTGGAGAGACAGGCAGAGGGGGCGGCCGAGTTTGATGGCTGCATCGCAGTCGATGCCATAGGCGCACCAGAATACTCTTTTTTGCATCTCCAGCTGGAGGAGGTTGGATGTGCGGCGGAATTTGCTAGGGTTGCGGTGATAGCCCAGTTCGATGCATTGGCGGACGGCTAAACCGGATAGTTTCCTGTCGTGGTGTGAGTGGGTGTTGGTTTGGGCGAAGTTAAGTGAATGGATGTTTTTACCATATAGATGGGCCTGATGGCGAGCGTAATGAGAACATGCAACAGCATAAGATGCCCTGGATCGCTTCGAGGTTATCCAAGGAGAGGACGAGGTCCATATAGTATCGAGCGGAACTGTAGAGTTCCTGCAGGATTGTTAGCTCGATCGAGGCACGGCAGAGTCAAGAGGGCATGGCATACCTGTGCTAGAGATGCCGAGTTCGGCAGAAGAAACGCGCCGACAGCATAGACCTGCATCGATTAGCTTGATGGAGACGGAGCTCGGTGTGTGAAGCTCACCATGTTGATGAAGTACAACGGTGTGGCATCGAATCCAGTAATATTGGGTGTTTCCTCGGGCAAGAGAACTTGTCGTTCCCAGAGCCGGAACGTCGGCTCGTGCAAGAAAGGGTACTGCGGATGGATGTTTTCGAAATAAGCATTACTTAGTTTCACACCGACATCGTATTCTGGTAGGAGGCGGGGAAGTGGAGCCTCGATTTCGCCGCTATTTGGTTCTGAAACACGACTGCCTTCTCGAGACGTACTTTGATTGAGGCTAGCAGCCACAACCTGTGAGAAGGCAAAGGCAGACGAGGAGCCCAGATAGTGAGGCTCTGCGCCTGTCGCATTGAGGGTGAGGAGCCCGGCATTCGATGCTAAGCTTCTATCTTCACTCCGTTTCATGGAGGCCGTAAATGGACTACTATGCTCTCTTGGGGATGCCGCCGCCAGCTTCGGCGCGGGTTTCGTGGACTGCATCCCCAGCAGTCCCTCGAGCTCCGCTACGCGTTCTTCTAGAGACTCTAAGTAATTCCGTGGTTGGCGTTTTTTGGTAAACGGGTCTTCCACGAGACACGCTGTGCTTGTCATATTAGCGAGTTGATCGCCGCACAAAAGAGTCTTTTAGACAATACATATCTACTGGAAATACAGACAGACTTACTCAGTTGATATCTTGCGCAATTTGCGCATGATGGTACATGGTCGTCACACTATGTCCGTTAGCTGAGCAGGCCCTTTCAGATTCTCTTGGTAGCAAGGATCGCGCATACTTTCAGCTTCCTCTCCTTACAATTCACGCACGCGACCTGGATCCTACTGCCCGTCCGAGGGGGCCGCTGGCTCTCGCTATGAGGCCTTTTACGGTAGTTGTTGTCCATGACGACGGACCGGAAATCCCGGGGCGGCCTTGTGCTGGCCATGGGTGCCACGCTTTATATTTGACTGTGCGAGAAACGCCTTTGAGAAACGCCTTTGTGATGCGGTAGCCAATTAAGAGCCGCTGGCAGATAAGATAGCGCCGGCCCTCATTACCCTAGAATAGGAGAAGCCGGTTAACCGGGCGCGAATTGTGACTGTGGGGAAGCACCGAACAAGGGTATGATCCGACTATTTCCAAATCATCTTAAACTTGGGGCCAAAAGGGCGCACAAAGGGGGGGCCATGACCCAACTGAAACTGGAAGTCTGACAGCTCTTGATAGGCCACGCGGAGCGGCCTGTCAGGTGACGGGGCTTCCCCGCGGCTTCACTGTTTGTTTCGTTTGTCTCCTGCGGCTGCAGCTCCTGTCTCCAACTTCTTGCTTGCCCTAGATTTCTGCCTCAAAATAGGGTTACGCAGGTTAGGTGTGCTGGTTTCCGAGAGCATGTGCCAAGGTCTGAATTGGGTTTGGAGCCAAGAGCCTCCGAAGCAGCCAGTGATATCAATCACCCAACCTGTAGACACTTCCTGGGAATTACCAGTAGATCCTAATTTGCCCCAGGGATGAGGCTTGCGTGGCTCAGGCATATTCTGTATGAGTTTTCACAGGTCTCTATGTCGGCAGGAGAGCAGTCTTTGAAGAAGTTTCCGAATAGAACGTATATTGTTACCTCTGTAGAAAGCTGGAGGAGAGACCAAGCTTCCGGACACTTGAACATTTCTCTCAATTCTGACTCCCAGATTCCTCACGCAATGATCGAACAAGTCGTAGATGGGAGATGTTCTTGCTTTTACGCTTCAGGAGTCGGCAAACCCCTTTTGAGGCATAGCTTTGACTCTTGTCCAAATCTGGATCGTTACTTCCCATTTTGTCGCGGAGGGTGTACTTTCCCGCCTGACTCATGTCCTAGGTGCTTGCACTCTTAAACAGAACAGCACGCTGGCCAAAGAGAGTATTTGATCGCAAGGCCGCAGTGCCACTTATCCTAGTGATACGCAAGAAGACATCGACTCGCAAATTGAACACCTGAGATTATCGTCACCCTAAGAGCCCTCAGAATGTTGTCTCCGTGTTCGCTTCTCCGACTGCCGTGCGAGCTGTTGCTGTCCATACTGAGATTTTTGTTCCCAGAAGACTTCATTTGCCTCGGTATCTGTAACCGGTATCTCTACTCGTTATTTGCATGCGAAAGATATCGCAAACACGGAATGTACTCCGACTGTCCGAGCTTGTGCCTCATTTCGCTAGCGCGGAGGCCGAACGCTGAACAGAAGTGGGGACTCCTCCAAAGGCTCGAACGGGACCTGCCAAAACATTTCCCTTGTCACGTCTGCTGTATCCTACATCGGATTCCCGACGCGAAGTTGAACAGAATCATGGGAAGGTACCACCCGCCAGTGTGGCCAAACCTGCCTTGTATGACTGGCCAAGGGGATGTCCTATTAAGATACCCAAACCGGGTCAGGAGTAACACTCGGTCCCTGGGGTACAAGGGCTATCCCTGCGATGGGTATGGTAAAATCGATTTAGAATGGAAGTTCCCCGGAGAATTCAAACAAAAGATTCATATTTCGCATGTGCAACTTGCGATGAAAAGATTTTACAACGGTCCTGAGCACGGGATTGACATAAACTCGCTATTCCCTCTCCAAATACGGCGCTGGCATCGGGGGGATTTTCTTGTCCTCGAAGGAAGCAAGGATATGCGGAGAACCACCTAGTCTTTATATTCGGAGTCAGGATATAGTTTGGACCGACGAGACGGAGACTTCTTGGGCGATTAATGAACACATTGACCCCATATGCCGAAAGCATAGCCATCATCCGGGTTTTCCGCCCTATTCTCTGCCCTATCATGGCCCCTTAGATACTTTGAGGCCGTTCCAGACTTACTGCGTGAGATGTCAGACGGACTTTGATTTTGATATCCGCGAAATCAATTCGCAAGACAGGGCATTGATCTCAACGAAGTACCATAGTTTCGGCGATGGCAAATCCCTCAAGCCGTTTAGAAAATTTGATCGCATAATCTTTGCAAACGGCATGATACTCACATCCATACCAACTCCTACCTACCCCCGGATGGCTTTCGAAAAACAACCCTCCGGTTTCCTGCCCCTGTCTGAACTTTGTGAGAAAAATATTGCACTGATATCCGAATGGAAAACCTCAGAGGTCTTTGAGACTGCGGCCGAAAAGTTTGACGACGCCGATCCTCCCTGGCGGGACTACATTGACAATTCATCCGCTCCTTTGATCACTTGCTGGAAACTATGCGCCGGGCCATGTAAATGCTGGTGCCCATCTTGTACTAGAGAAGCCCTTTGGAGGATCTGATTCAATTCCCGACCGGTATTGCCGCCTGCAGTCACATCGCGATAGTTCGACACACTGGATAGTATTCGAAGGCCAAGGCCCAAGGAAGAGATACATAGATTCTTGGGCGAAAGATCCCTTGAACTGAACGCTAGGGCCTTTTTGCTCAGATACACAAAATGATGAAATCTTCAAATAGAAAACGTGACTGGATAGGTACAATTCAGCTTTGCAAGAAGATACCACCTTGCTTTTGATATTAGAACCCCGTAATGTACCGGTGCTCCGTAGTCTCCTCCAGCACCTCCAGCCGCATGCCCACTTCAATGGAACCTTCATTCCTGGGCGCACTCAGCATCCCAAAACAAGGCTTATACTTGATCCCCTCATCTATCCGCCGATACGACATTAGCGTATTCCACGGCTGCTTCTTATGCTTGACAGCTGAGTCAGGATCAACATTCGGCACCTGGCACCGCGCGCACCGAGCCACGATATCAAGATCCAAACTAATAGGCTTTGAACGGGGCTCCTCAGCATCCTTCGAGACAGGCCCAGAGGTAATCCGCACAACCTTCCAAGAGTCCTCGCTCCACGGCGTCTGCCCTCGGACCACGATATTGGGCCGGAATCGCTCCACTGTAATTGGATCTTCGCCCTGCTGGTTCAACCGCGAGTTCAGTTCCGCGAGCGACGCATCCGAGGCAATCAAGATCGGAAAGACGTCCGGGAACCCGGTCGTCTGCGTACGACCAAGAAGCTTCGGATGGCCATTGCCTTTCAGCACCCGCGGAGTGGGGCCCTTATACGCCAAAGCAACGGGGCGGCCCAGGAAAGCGGAGAACGGGGCGTTGACCTCATCATTATAGATGTAGCCATCCGTATCGTTGTCCCAGATACGCACAGCCGCGATGGTGGTGTGTGCGGCTAGCCATTCTGGCGAGGGATGGGATGGAATGCGGATTGTTTGGAAGGGCGCTTGGGCCTTCTTGGAACGAGTCCGCCCTCGGTATTGGGGATAGTAATGATGAGCTCTTCCCCATCATCGCTCAGCCCGGTCTGAATGCGCGTCATGTCCTGGATCTGGCGGATGGTCAGGAACTCGTGTGTTTTGGCATCGACGAGCATCCACCGCCGATCGAGGTCCAGGCCATGTTCCTTGAGAGTAGTCCGTTGCACCTCGAAGCCGCGGCATGACTTGATTGGGTACATGCGCAAAGCGATGATTTCGCTTGACTGCTTGGGCCGTTGCCATAGCCGGAGGCGAGGTAGAAGATTGTATGCCGATGTTTTGCTGGTCCACCCTTGAGTGCGGGGAGCAGTAGGACTGGGAGCAGGAGAACCAGGCCTACGATCCATGGCATATTGGGTATTTCGTCCAACATTGTCCGCTCTGGCTCAGCTCATACTCGGGGAAAGAGATGGAGGGGAGTATAAGTGGAGTTTCAAGTTGGTCTCGTCCTATCGAATTGATAAGCCGAGTGGTTTTGCCGCGTCCAGCCGCCTCGGCGAAATGTCCGACTGACGTTAAAGTTTTGACGCGCGAGAAATTAATTCTCATATGTGAAATATGTACGGTTGGATCGACATGTACATCTAACCTGCGCTCTCTCGTAGACATCACTTGTTGTCGTTTTAGTCCAGTCTTACTAGAGAAGCGGATCTCAGCTCAAAACAGACACCTTGACAATCTATCACAAGCTACGGCCATGTCAAAATAGCGCGTTTGACACGGCCCAGAGGGTTCATAGTAATGAAGAAAAAAAAATTACATGTGCCCTGGACTGGAAGCTCAATTAGTCTGTCCTGAATTGATTCCTCGAGGAAGGTGTTCGACAAGGGTGTGTTTGTGCAAGACTTTGAAGCCCTATCTCACTAGGCATCACAGACTAAGGAAACCCCCGGGCCATATTTCAGTTAATACCAAGGCAGCCATTGACACTAAATAGGATGCTGAGAGACATCACTAACCGCTTCGAACGCTAGCTTGCCTGTTGGTAGAAGCCAACGCCAATTTGGTCCCCGCCAAGCCGGTAGTCAGCGGGGCGGAGATTGCGCACCGCTAGGCGAGGTGCTTTAAGCCTCATGTAGAAGTCTTGGCTAGACTAAAGGCTCGGCGGAGCGTACCACAAAGTTCAGCTACGGTGTTGGGGCGTTAATATGGAGACGCCCATTTCCTTTACCGAAATGAGGCTCGTGACTGAAGTGCCCATCGATCTGCTAAAAAGCACGGATCTGCCCGCTCCATCCTCCACAAAGAAGTATCCGAGCGAGACATTTCCTGGTCACCAATTATTGATCCAATTTCAAAATGACTACTATTTCGCATCATGATGAGCAATGGACCTTCTTCAACAATGGTCCCGTTACGACAACATTCACACCTGCTCCCACATGCTTGGGTACAGCTGAAATCCTGCTTGGAACAATCGGGTCAGAAAACCCATATATCATGTACAGCGTCCAATGTGATACTACCTCGTTCCCAAACTGCGTGCCAACAGCCACCGCTACCCCCTCACTGGCCCCTGAAGACGACTGGTCTGCTTCTGTCGGGAGCTACTACTCGCCAGGCCTATACTGCCCCTCTGGCTGGGCGACTGTTGGACAGGCCGGACGTGATGGCGACAAGCCATACACCACCTCAGGGGCGATGAGCTGGGGCGCGAAGGACCGGACTCCGTATTTCGACTACATGCCGACGCTGCTGGCGAAGAACTTGCAGCCAAGCGAGACGGTTGCGCTCTGCTGCCCAAGGTAGGTACCGCAAAACTTGTCAGCAAGGCCCACCCACCAAGCTAACCAACCTCAGTGGCTACACTGCGGATATCCTTGGCGGATGCTACAATACTGTTCCTTCGTATACTCCCACCCAGGCCTGCGCCATCGACGACACTACCATACCGGTTGTTGGCTTATCCACTGCCGCGATCACAACGGATGGAACTGTGACAGAGAAGCTCGCCACCACCAGGGGACTTTTCACGAGCCAAGAAACTTATTCTGTAACTTGGGGCTCGGGTGCGCGCTTGGCGGATTACTTGACGCCGTTCCACTATGTCACCGCCGTGACGCTAATTCACCACGAGTCTGATATTCCTGCCACTAGTTCCGCCAAAGATACATCGGCTGGTGCTCCTGAGTCTACAAGTTCGAACGCGGGGGCTGCTGCTACCACTTCAAATGCGGCCGCAAGGACCGGGTCGCAGATGGGTAAGTGGCATGGATCGACTGTCTTTCTCGGCGGTTCTCTTGCGGCAGCTGTCTTAGGTGCTGCCATTATTTTGTGAAATATCATTTGTGATTGCTTTTTACTTCTCAAGAAGAAGAATGAAACCAAAATAAGATAAAAGAACCCACTCTAAGACTCTAGCCTCAGAAGTCTTAAAAATATGTACACAACTCTACTCCTACTCACTTTCACCATCAGATGAACGCGAGGAATCCGACAGATCTGAGTCAGCGGTCTTTTTGGACTTAGAAGATGACTTCTTCGACTTCGACGTTTTCTTCGCCTTTTTCTTGTTGTTGTGTTTGGCTTTTAACTTCTTGGCTCTTTTCTTTTTGAATGATTCGGAGTCACTTTCACTCTCAGTCTCGCTACTCTCGTCGTCATCCTGGTCATCGCCCCTGTCTGTGAAGTCATCGGAGTCTTCTACACCGGGCCAAGTGGGACGAGCAGGCTTCTCCCTGGCCGGGTCTGGTCGATAACGATCATAGTCTGGTAGACTCCGGTCCACATCGTCCCTTTCGGAGAAGGTTCGTTCTGGCACGTTCACGGTCAGACTTGCGCACCGCGGTCAGGTACGACTCAAAGTGATTGCTGGTCTCGACGACCGCCTCAAAATGCTTGACCCGCAGCTCGGGGGTGGACTCCTCGTCTCGCGGCTTTTTCAAATGATCCCAGTCTGCTAGGGCCGCGGCAGTCTGGAACGCATTCTTGATCTGACGCCCATTCCAGCGACTTCCGGCATCCCATTGTTTTTCGGCAAATTTCATGATCTTCTTCTCGTTGAACCGGAGAGGAACATTGGAAGCTTCGTTGGTGCGCTTGAGTCGGTCCACGTTCTTCTGCCATACCTCAAGGGCTCTCTTCTTGCTGAACGGAGGGTAGTATAACGCACAGTGGATTCGGGACGTCGCCGCTTCGTCAAACTGACCGACGCGGTTCGTCGTCAGAATGAGAACACCAGAGTAGTACTCGAGCACACGAAGGAAAACTGGAATCAATGAGCGTTGGGTCCTAGTCAGATAAAGATGATCCTTACCGGAAACGAGACTATTCTGCTGAAGATTTCCCTGAATACGTTCTCCCAGGAACACATCCGCTTCGTCAAGTAACAGTACACAGCCCCATTTCATCGCCATATCAAAGAACTTCTCCAAGTTTTGTTCGACTTCTTGTGCGGTGGTTCCGCCAAGGTCGCCACAAGTGATCGGAAACAAAGGTCGGCCAGTGTGGGCAGCGACACATTCAGCCGTCGATGTCTTTCCGACGCCTGGAGCTCCATGAAGGAGGATGATCAGCCCTTTCCCCTTACCCCTGACGATATCGAAGTCTCGTCGCACAGGCAAGTCCAGGGGATCTGCATCCAGGGGATCTGCCTCCATGCTAGGTTTGGCCCGCGCATGGGTCTTCACCAGTGCTCTTATGATGTTGCGGTGCCGTTTAGGCAGAACAAGGTCGTCAAAGGCATCGTAGTCCCCTTCCTCGATCGTGTGCACTTCCGTTACCAAATCTATGCTCAAAGGATCTGTGCCTTGTCAGTGATCCAGTGCTTCAATCCAGGGATTTCAGGCTGCAAAGGGACCGTACACCACCTGCGGCTAAGAAGGACATATCCGAATACCCTGGCTGGAAGGAGAAACAGGTGATCCTTCTCCATGAATCTAAGATGACAGGGCTCGAGAAGCGTAGTTTCTCCAATAAATTCCAAGTAGGCCCGAGCTCGGAACTCCTCGCCATCATAGCTAATCCCCGAGGCAGGATCATTGGTCTCTGCTTCGTCTTCGTCGATGAGTTGAATTGTCCTATTAAATTCGGGCGGGCAAATGCCTTGGCTTTGACTTCGAAAAGCCATTTCAAAGTCAATAATAACATCACCATCTATCTTTAGAGCTCGAGTGGTTAGTCTATGTGTATTCGGGAGGAAATTGCGGACACGAACCTCTTCAAGCTTGCGGAACTCGTGAGTCGTCATGTTCAGCCCCTTATATCGTCTGTGTGTCCCTCTAGCCAATTCACTGAACCTCTGACCGCGGTGAAGGATTCTCAATCTCTCCGAGCTCTCCAGGTATTGTAGAGGGAAAACCTCTAACGCTGTAACAGGTCGTTCACCAGGGTATAGCACGATAGAGAGCATCCTCAGAACAGGGCGGACAAATTGGCCGTCGTAGTCAAAGTGAAAGCAGTTGATCAATAAGTTGGAGACCGTGGTACGAGAACTTTCGTTTTTCCTGGGAACAACCGACATCCGGCCTCCAGAAACTGAGAGCACGCGAAGCACTTGATAATCAGGCTCTGCGGTAACAATCTCCTGCCCCGGCCAGAAAAGATACCAGAGCTGATGGAATTCGATACTCTCTACAACGCCTTGCTGAGCTTGGTGGTATGTTCGCACTAAATCTGCTAGGTCGTTATCCAAAAGGAAGACCAAGGCTCTGAATCCATCCAAAAGGATTCGTGTGAGATCTATGTAACCATAGGTAGTGTCGCTCGCCACAGTCAGCGTACCGAAATAGTCTGTAGCTATTTCAGTGTGGTAAGCCAGTTCCAGGGGAAGCCACGGTCTGGTAAGAGTGACCATTAAAGCTTCTGGATGGTTTCCTGCCAATTCAGCGAATTGTTCTTCTAGCGCTTTCAGCCGTGCCCGAAATTTCTGCTCGTACGGAATTATAGCTCGAAACGGTGCGACATGATCATAATTGAGAGCCTTTAACCCCATAATATCCTGCATTTCCGAGTGAAGGGGCTCACTCATCAGGCGGATTCGAAAGGGTCGTGTTTCTGTCTTCTCAGTGGCTGATCCATCTGCGCTATTTGGCTGTGCTTCCTCGGATCCCGCCGCGGCTCCAGGAGGATTCCGCGCTCCCACATAGATGGGGGTATCGATAGCATATCGTCTGTATTTGGTCCAAAGATCGTTTGCGATGTAGGTCAGACCCCCACGATAACGGAAGTGCTTGCATGCTTCTTCATATTTTCTCTTTTTGTCGTTCAGTCTGCGTCTGTCTGAAGTGCGTTGAGATAAATCAGAGTCAGAGTCGTCGACAGAATCGATTGACTCGGCAGATACAAGATCCTCGATACCCATTTGTCCTTGAACTGCACGTCCTGTCGTTGTAATTTTACGAAGGTCCGGTTTATCAATACAACCTCAGGCGAGGATTTAATTAGGGCACGTGAAAACAAAAACAGGAGAAGACCAGGCTTCGGTACAGGCTCGCACAAAGCCATCAAGCAAGCGACTCCCATCAAGCGAGATTTATTCCTTTTACAAGGTGGGGTATTCCTGCCCAGGAAAAAGTGGCGCCAACCGGCATTGCCGCTGCATGTACAAGGCGGGGTGAGTCGCGATGCGGCTCCCATCGCCCCAAAATCACTTGCGCCTACCACAGAGCGCCAACACATACAGCTTCCAGTCACTGAGGCACAGAGTTGTCGTCCTGAGAGATACCAAGTCTCCTCGTGTTGTGCACAATATGGAGGGTTTTCCAAACGTCTCCACCTCGGAGGTGAGATGTCAGCTGTGGCTGACGGGGCTGCTCCGCTCGTTTGCAGATAGCCTAATAATTATCAGCACATATAGCGCCCGGTGGTCAGAAGAAGGTGGCGATTGGTTTGCTGAGAGCCAATGGCCCGTATCCCGGGAGATAAGATATTTGTTGCCCGTCACCAACGCCAACGCATCATGACGTGGTGAGATGGAGAGGGTAAGCCGAGCGGGGGGCATGTCAAGAGAGACTGAGCCCAAATCAGCCCGCAGCATTGGATTAAAGCTTCATATGACCTGACCAGCATTCTTGCACAATGCCAGACAGCCCACCAACGCCCATGACAATAGTATCGCCAGGCCAAGATATCCAATCCATTCTCAGCAATAATGAGCGTGTTCACGAGACGGAAAAAAGGATTGTTGGGAGGTACGCGTCGGAGGAAACCGGGCTAGGTGTCCCAGCGTCTCTCGCGCAGTACGACCTCCAGACACAACGACTCATCGTCTCCGACTCCAACGCGTCCGAAGGTACAATGTAAGATCAGCAAGGCATGAGAAAAGCCAAAGACCTGCTTTTTTTTTAACACTCTTGATAGAGGCGTCCCGACTCAGCAACAAGATATAGTCAAATTTGAAGAGCAGAAGTTTATTCAAAAGCTACGAGACTACGAGCAAAATGCGAAGCCCAAGTATAGGACTTGGATCAACATCGATGGACTACACACCTTGGCCGAGGTGTGGGAGATCCTTGATCTTGCAGTCGCCAAGTATAAGGACAAAGATAGAAGTGGAGCGTGGGGCCGGGTCCGACGAGCATTCAGAGGACTGGGGCAGAACGGCGAGGCTGTCGAGAAGTGGCTGGGGATGGTACCATCCCAAGAGAATTATTTGTCGGTTATCTGCGGAGGTGTGAAACTTATTCTTGGGGTAAGGACTGGGCTAGCTATAGACTACGCCTCGTGCGTTAGGGTCAAAATATTAACTCGTGTGACTAGGCCGCTGCAAGAATGAGTGACATCCGCGACTCGGCGCTGAGCGGGCTCCATGACATCCCCGTCCTGTTAAGCGGAGCACAACGTGTCCTTGGAATTTACAATTCATCGCAACAGCTTAAGGCTCTGAGTGCCTCTCTCTACGTGGCTACCCTAACCAGCCTCGGCCATATTCTGCATTATATCGGTCGGAACTCTGCGAGCAAAGCCTTGGAAGCCATGTTCAAGCAATCGAGCTTCCAGAGAGACCTCAGTCGAAGTTTGGAAGCGATGCAAAAATGCCGAGACAGCTTCAATGAAGAGGCACGGATCTGCGGGATTGAGATGCAAGGGGAAATAGAGAGCGTATTACAAGACACCCACAGCAATGCCCAGGAGATCCAGGGAGAGCTTGTCCTCATGCATCGTTCGATGCTAATTGCGTATAATGAGCAGAAAAGAACACAACGCCTCATTGAAGAAGAAGCCCTGTGCCTCGAAGAAAGAATCGAGAGCATGAAAAAAGGACAAGCGGGGCTACAGGAATCCTTGAATCAGCTACTTGGCCTCGTGAAGGGAAATCCCCTCCTGAACAGCAAAGCATGGGCGATGAGTAAGTTCCTTACCTGTATATTTTCATGAATGCTGCTCTAGAATTTCTGCCTAACGAGCTCAATGGTCAAGATAGGCCATTTGATGCGCCTCATAACCCCTTCATATCCCTCGTTGCCAATCCATCACAGACGCAGTCTGCTACAGGTAAATTTTGCAACCGGTCAGGAATATATTGATTATTGGGACGCTAAAATTCGTCAGCGTACACGATGGGAGACCTACGACGCATCGTTCTCTCCCGATTGGTATACAACTCGAAACGCATGCAAGCCGACGTCCAGGAGAACTACGACCACGGCGCTACCATGCCTATCGCCCAGCAAGACCGCTGCGTCTACGTGATCAACTCCCCTCAACTAGCCTCGTGGACCACCTCCCAAGACACGAAAATCCTTGTCATCAACGGCCACCAAGCTAGCAGAAGCCTCCGTTCCCCCCCTGAGCTTCATCTCCGCGCGACTCGTCTACACAATCGACTTTCAGCGCACGAAAGCCTCTCGCGGAAACCATCAATTCGCAGCTATCCACTTCTTCTGCGGCGAACACTCCGATCGACACGATAAATTGAACTCTGCAACCGCAATCATCAACAATCTGCTTGCGCAATTGCTGTCTTCGTTCAAAGACATCAACTACATGAACCTGATCGCCCTCGGCGATTTCGACAGCAACGACATCAAAGCGGTCTGCCAGCGATTCAAAGCGGTTTTGAAGCTCCTCCCTGCATCCGCAGTTGTCTTTTGTCTTGTAGATAACCTCCCACCCTATCTCATCAACGAGAAGACGTCGGAGGGCGCCCGAAATCTACTCCATTGGTTGATAAGGTGGACCCATCGACGAAGAAATCTACAAGAGGCGGGCCAAGCTTGTACATTCAAATTACTTCTCACTGCTGAAGTGCAATTTATGGAACCGGAAATCGATGCGCTGGATGAAGCCGAGGTTATGAACGTCCCCGTGACAGTTCCCCCAGCCGGAGGATTCACGGACATGAAGTGGGACACGCGGGTGGGATCCGAAGTCGACAAAATGATTTAAGGGTTGCAATACCGTGTGCTAATCAGCAGACGTTCTGGAGCTGGTATCTGTTGCCAACCGTGACATCGACTGTTAATACAATAGGGGGCAAAAGTCTGTGTGCATACCGCTTCCACCACCTCATCAAATAACTTCTATATACATGAGTACATACCTCACACCACCAATTCTTATTGGATCATACTGGAACTCAATAGCGTGAAAAATCGGGTTCATATACAGATTTCCCTCATGTAATATTTTGTATAATAGCCCTTGTTCGCATCACATTATCACAATCGTCGTGAGTTAGTGTTTAATCAAACATGAGAACCGGTTGATTCCTTTTCCTTTTCTCCTCCGGGTAAGGAGAATCCTGTCCCTCACGGGGATTTGACCTTCCCATGTGGCTATGGAAGGAGTCTAATTGAAGTATCCCTTCTCAAATTTCTGCCTTGGAGAGAGCAAGGGTTGCAATACACTAGGTTGCTGCCGTTTTGGAACGATGTGGTGATCGACTTAGGGAGATTCGCTTGTAGTAATATTTCATGCTCATCACTGCCTCGATCTCGGGGTTGGCTTGGTGCCATTGGTAGTGATTGTACTTTTGTAGAGGACTGCAAAGATACCCCATTTTTCTGTGTCGTTCTCTCCGAATCAATGGAGGGCTTCGAAACCGCATTCCCCAAGGTATGAGACGACATCGGTGCGATCAGAATCGTGTGGCCTATAAACTGATGCGTTCTTTCCCGTTGAATGACTGTTGTTCTTCAATGTCAGTCCCGAGCAGTTCATCCCAAAGCTCTTGCGAATGTCGAGCGTTGGTCACCAAACGCTTCACTATATTTATAAAACCAGCACCGGTAGCAAAGCAAAGAGGTTGTTTCCCTACTAATTATCAATCATATTGTCTACCAAATATTCACCCAATGCCTCGCCTCCGTTAACAATACATCACCTAGTCCAGAAAGAAGGGAAAAACTCGGGATTAAAGAGCTGCCGTGGCCATCAATTGTTGCCGTCAATAATGAGTACCCAATCATCCGGGACGCCGCAGCACGGAAAGTACTCGCAGTCATCGGGAGCAACCCCTGCAATGTACGCGTTGAACACGATGTCTTCAACCGTACACACAGGAATTGTAAAAAATCCCGGCGTCGCAAGGAAGTTTTGGAAAGCAAAGTCGCCTTTAGTGCCCAGGCCGTCAATAAACATTATATCATCAGCACTAGTCGGGTCGAGGTGGTAGCCATTCTTATTCCCGTTCAGCTGAAACCCTTGGAAAGAACTATGCAAAAGGTAACGAGTTAGCGGTCTTTTGTATTCCTCGGAGGATTTTGGAGCGTACCTGACAACTATGTCATTCATTGTAACGTTCGACCACTCTTGGTTGCCGAGGGTGAGCTGATCCAAGCCTGCGAGCATGCCCATTTATCCCCACGGACTCCCATGCTCGGGTGCACCGTGAACATGTAGAGTGAGTAATCGTCAACTGTAATCCGAAGCCTGTTCGCATCATCGTCCGAAAGGCCCCAATTATTCGCACCCTGTTTGCTGTGGAACTGATTGTCGATGTTGTCACTGTTCAAGCCATCCGCATAGACGTGCTCAAATGGGTTCGTCTGATTGTTCGCGCCTGGCTGCATCAGGATGACAGGATTAACATCCGCCGACAGGGCCCACGCCTGGGGAATCAAGAGAGACAGGAGGACAGCCTCCATGCCCGGCTGCAACGTCGCCTGGCTGACGTTGCCCCCAAAAGCCTCTGCAAACACTCCCCCGGTCAGCATTGTTTGTAGAGAATCAAGATTCGACCCGTTGAAAGTTGCACTCAGCTGTGAGTTAATAAAGCCAGTGAACTGTGTGTAGAGACTTGCCAGACCGTTACTGATCTCGGTACTCTGAGCAATCTTGATTTGTGCCGCCTGGCCGGAGTCCTTGGCAATCGTTAAAGCGGTGGACACCATGTTATTTGAAGCATCTTTGAACCACCCATGGTCGTTCTTCCTATCAGCGGTCTTTGTGAAGAACGAGGAATCTTTGAGGACTTTGTTCCAAACGTAACTCCCGATTTGACCATATCCCAGCGTGATGACATCAAGGATAAGCTTAAAAGCAGTGTCGCTCTCAACTTCGATCGTCGCAAAGGTAGCGGTGATGTTGCCGACCTTGTCCGCAACAGCACCATGAGCATCTGTTGTCCCGTCATACCAAGCTTGGAACAGCCCTTGGAGGTTGGAGAAAGCGTCAAAGATGAGGGCCCCAGCAGGAGCATTGGCGTCACAGATGTTGACGTCCTCGCAGTGTGTCTGGTCGTCAAGGAAGCACTCGCGTGTTGAGGGCTCCGTGCCTCCCGGCGTGATATTGAAGTACCTGGCGAGCAAGGAAACCACATTTCCCTCACTGATAACACCGGCGCCCACGTTGGAACGGTAGTCGTCTAAGCCGTAGGCCAAAGCGGAGTCAGCTTCCGCGTTGTTCCATCGGTCGACTGCATCGACAGTGTCCGCCACACCCGGATCGGAGCATAGAATGCAGGGCCAGTTGGAATCGTGAAAGTTCGACTTGCCGTTCAAGCAATTCGGGTTCTGCGTGGGACCGGTACTCGTTTTGGACTTCGTACACAGGCTGGGAGGGCAGTAGCCGCGCGCGCAAGCAAATGCGCAGAGTGTCTCGACGGCGCCGGACTCACCCGGTAGCGCAGTGCCGACAGTACCGTCGCCGTCAGCCGGAGTCTTAGGGGGACCGGTCTTGAGGCAAGTACACGGCTCTGGACAGACACCATACATACACGTCATGGTACAAAGCACTTGCAAGTCTGGCGGATCATCTGGACCGGTTCCGGAATTGCAGTCCTCCTGTATGAACGTGCCGGGTTGCGTGGGGAGGACTGGATCGGTGATGCCCCCTGGATCATCGCCCTGAGCATCTTGAGAACATTCATTGAACCATGTCTCGGCCTGGTTGGTCCAGGTCCCCGTCAATGCGTGCATGTCGGCCCGCTTATCGCCTTGGAGGTCGGGATAATGCATACAATTCCCAGCACGGTTGCCCATATATCGCGGCCCAGCCGGCACCCATTCGTAGCGGCTACCGGAAACATCCTTGCGGCCGTTGTTCCACCAGACCCAGCCGTCGCCATTGAACTTGTCCGTATAGATCAAGTCGGCTCGACCGTCGCCATTGACATCCGCCCAGTGGAGATTTGCTCGGTCTTTCTGTTCCGAGTATTTGAACTGGTCAATATATTCCCACGTATCGTCGCTATTGTGGATGAAGCCCCAGGTACGCCCATCTTTCTCGATGCATAAGTAGTCACCCTTTCCGTTGCCCGAAATATCCGCAAACTTTACGGGAAGATCAAAGATACCTACACCACGCTTCTCGGGACAGTAGAGATCAGGTGCCGGGTTTGAGTCGTACTCCCAAGTCCATTTTCCGGTGGCTTTGTACTGGTTCTTCCATAGCTGTGGCTTGTTCTGGTTATTAGGATCGACCCAGACAATATCGCAAGCCCCGTCGCCGTCCCAATCAACAAGGTGAAGGTCTCGACGATCGAGCTCGGCACCCCAGGTCGACGGATCCCAAATAATGACTGCGGCGTCCCAAAACGAGGGCCCACCGTTGACCACGCTCTTCATCCCGCGGTTAGGATACAAGGTCATTTGGCCAGTAGAGAGCGTCCAGACATAGTCCATCATGCCATTGGAGTGGCCGACCATGTTACAGTACTTGTCGCCGTCGGCTTTCAGCTTAGCAGAGCCAGACCCGGAATTTTGCCAGACGCGTAAGTCAAACTTATGCCTTTTCCCATCCGTGCTGTGGTCAAGGTAGACATAATCCTGGCGTCCTAGTAATCCAAAGGCCTCAGGCACGCCGTAGACCCGGGCGAAGTGAATGCGTTCGCGAACACCGTTGACGCCCATGCCAGCATGGGTCGGCCCGGAGTTTGAGCCCTTCTTGAAGGCCTGATGCCAGGCAATGTTGAGGCCATCGCCGGGCTCTCCCTTTTCGCAGCTCCGCGTGTTGGTCTGGGTATAAACCTCGCCTGTGTCACCGATCCACATCCAGTCATCGCGTCCCTGCGCGACGGATTAGTAATAGTTATGAATACGCGTGTGAAGGGCCTCACATCGCCGTTTATGTCTTCCAAGCGCACGCCCGTGAGATTGCCCATGTTCTGGCCGGTGAACCTCTTCCCGAGGTCCTGCCAGTAAGCTGGAGTGTCCTCAATCCAGCCATTCCGCCAGCAGTGCATGTCGCCGTTCAGAGCCAAGACGCAATAGTCAGCCCGCCCATCACCGTCAACATCGCCGAGTCTCACTTGTGCCTGTGGATAGCCGTCCTGGGCGGTCATTATCTTGCCTTGTCCACAAACGTCGGTGGGTTCTCGTCGTTGCCGTTGCCTTGGTTGATAGCAGCATACGCGTCTCCTTCGGGCCCGATGCACACAAAGTCATCCAGACCATCACCATTGATGTCAACAAAGTTAACCCCTTTAGGAATGCAAGGAATGACGACGCTCATGTCGGCAACCTTGACGTAGCGGTTCGATGAGTCTCCCGTATTCCGCCAGACGCCGTACCACTGCGAGCCGTCCTCTCTCTCGTACCAGCCAACGAAGTCGTCCCGTTCTCTTGAGTATAGCCTGACGAAGAAGTACTGACCCCGGTCGTAGTCGCTTTCGACAGTCAATACAATGCCCTGGGACTGGCTGTCATGCAGATAGATGCCGTCATCCTGGCCACTACCCGTCTGAGTCAGGCCTCCGGCGTAGACTCCGTCTCCGTACTTCTTCTCACAGCTACTTGAGCCCGAGCTTATAGTGAGGCTTTGCCCGGGATTCGTGATGTACCCGGCTGTTATAGCCGAGTGGATAGCTTGGTACCAGACGTCGGCCATTTTCGAGTAGCCTACATCATTAGGATGTATGGGGTCGGCATAATCAGTGCTCAGGTCCAGCCAGCCATTCGCCGGAGATGGTTGTGGCGGGTCCATGTCGGCGAGAACGACCTTCTTTTTCTCGCCCTGCATCTGTGTGACGAGGTCGCGATACTGAGAATTGACGCTCCCGCGGTGGCTCTCCCCCACGGAATCAGCACACGGAATCAACGTCGAGAGAACGACCGTCGTATCGAAGCCACTGTCCAGCAGCATGTCAATGAGCGTCTTCATCCGTGCACCAGCGTTGGGAATATCGAGCGATTGAAGACAGTCATTTGTGCCGGCATTAATCAGTACTACATTCGGCTTGTATTGGAGCGAGCCCTTCGCAGCAGTTTGGACTTGGGTGATAACGTCTCCTATGTGTGCTTCCACGTCCTAGATCCTGTCAGTTTCATAGTTGCCCATTGAGGGAGATGTCGATCACCTACGCGGTCTACCATATCTCCATTTTGCTTGGTGCCAACCATGTCGACTTCGTACCCGGCATACCTGAGCTGATCTCTTAGTGGTTTCCGGTATCTATCATAGGTTCAATGTCAGTAAAGGAACTGCCATGATGCATAGGGCAAATGGTAGCGACTATCACACACCCGTTTCCAGTGGACGAGAGGTAGCCCCATGTAATGGAGGCACCAAGAGGTAAGATCCTCAGCAAGAGCGGGGTTGAGGTAATCCTCGCTTCAAGAGACTTGGATGTCATGTTGTTTGATGGCACATCCTGTTGTTCTAGAGCAACTCCATGACTAGGGAGCGCCGAGACCATCGTCGCCACGCCTGCCCAGAGGGCGAGAGACAGTGACGAGAACCTCATGGTTCAGACGAAACGCAAAAAGCCTTATGTGAACTCAGATACTCGTCCACGAAAGGCCAATGGAAGAATAAGAGCTTCATTTTTGGTATATGAGGCATCTATTTATACAGCAACACAGAAGCCTTCAACTTGCTAGAGAATCTGAAGGCTGTGTCGCGTCGGCTATTTTCAACTCTGGCATGACCATGTATAAACCCTAAACCAAATAAGGTGGTGTGTTTTCGAGCAGAATTGAATTAATAGCCTCCCCATACTTGCTAACTGATATAGCACGTGCAGGATACTTGACTACTAACTGGCTATTATGCGCCCCGTGGAATGATTCAGGGCAGAAAAACCCGCGTACTAGCAAAGCATGAGACACAGGCGTCCCTAGTAACGACGTCGGGGGCCTTACTCGTGACAGGGATAACACGTGGTAAATCAAAGCCCCAGTGAGGGTTCCTGCACCACACGCTATACCTGATTCAGATATGCCAAGAAAAAGATAAGTTATATCCGTACCACTAATAAACCCTGTAAGTCCTGCCAAGACATTTAGCATGTAGAATTTTATGCGCGTGATCAATTTCTCAGTTTTGGAAAGGCCAATTTGGTTAACGAGATGTTCTACTAGACCATCTTTTTGGGTCTGCTTCATGACATTTAAGCAGTTAATTTCTGGCTCTTATAACTCACGAGAAATCAGAGTATGGCAATTTAGGAGATCAGCGACTGTAGGACCGAGGAGCACTTATGTACAGGGTTTTGTATACTGAAAGGCTTGGCAGGAATTATACAGAAATCTTAAGGAAGATGTACCTCATCAAGAAGGGCTTAGTGCTTATCGTGCGAGAAGCCGAAATGTCGCGCGAGAAACCTTAGCTTAAATGAATCCCACGATGGGCTTATTCGGCGGAAATATGGGCTCGGCATTTGCACCAAGTAGTAGAAAGCTGTGAAGGGCTAAAGCAAGACCTGATTCAATCTATGTCAAGGAATAATGGAATTCGATGGTCTTTCGCCATCGACGCGACGTTGAAAGCGTTTGATGTCAAAATCGAGACCCTTTGATCCGAAGCCGCGCTCATTTAATGATAGTGGAGCAGGGTCAAAGGGCCACCCTACATCCTGTCGGCGGGCTTATGGCTGAAACCCGGGCTAAGACCAAACCCCTGGCGAATCTCCCCATAAGAGGAGGCGTCTATTTTAGATGAAAGAGTAAGCTTTAGTCTTTATTCAGACCGGAACCTCATTGCGGAATCCCATTGAATACTACTATCTCGCCTGGTCAACTGATACCACCCAAATCTGGTAGCTCCCTCACAATCTAGCTAGGCTCATATGCTATTTATAACTATCTTAGAGAAAGGAAAGGAAAGTAGGTCCGTTACCGTTCCCGCGAGATAACATACTACTGCATTGGGAAGGCCACGGTTTACGTGACCATATACGGACATAGGCACGATATATTGCTCCTCCGCCCTTCTTTTTGAGGGTTAGTAGTCTCAAACAGCCCGCGCGAGTTGTAGCTTCTCCGTGTGAACCCTCGCCCTCGTGCACGGAGCCGTGCGTTTGCTCGTAATAATCAAGAGCTAAGACCCATAAGGGCTCCGGAAGCCCGTCCACTTCATTAGGCCTCCATCCGTGGACGGCTCCTAGGGCGTCGTCTGCGCACTTCAAGAATCGCTTCTACCTCATACTCTAATTCTCCCTCACCCATCGCCGGCGGTGGCTCGGAATCATCCGTGACTTATGAAGGGAGGGATCAGTAGCTGCTAGCCGGATAAGGTCCATGTAGAAGACCCGGTAAACCCCTAAGCCCTGGGCGTTCAACCGCACAAAAGGGCTTTAGCACCTCCAGGGCTTCATATTTCACGTGCGACCAGTCAATCTTAGGAAAATTAGGAAAGGAGCGAGAGACATCACCTTCCGACCTCTGACATCTACGGAAGGACGAAAGACAAACGGGAAACACGAGGAAAACATCCGGCAAAGGCTGGTCCTGGCAAAATCCGCAGAGACAACCGCCAGAGGGAGGGAATATCCATCAGTAGTGTATCATGCCACTGCCGCAGGGACCCACTTCTTCAGCAGGCAATGAATATAGCAGACCAATCAATTCTCACTGTTGGTGTAAATTAGTGATTTAGGAGAAACGACGGACGAATCCAAGATAATGGAGGAATTGGGATGTTCGAAGGATATATCCGGAAGCCTGCAATTCTTTATTCGACGGGTCAAATGAAAGGATCCAAAGGAAGCTGAGGGTGAGGAAACTTTACGGCAGCGCTTGTTAGCCCACTTCTCATGGCTGACTCGAACTCTAGCACAAGTCGGTATACTCCGCCAGTAACGAGATAGTTAACGAGATAGTTACGGTCCCGAATTCCTTTAAGTCTCATGCCTAGGAATTTGAAAGTGTTCCTAGTTCCTAATTCAGCAGGTAAAAATTCAGCAGGTAATGATTCAGCAGGTAATGTTGGAGCATGCAGGGAGAAAGGGGTCTGTAATGTACGGTATGAATTGGTAAAATATGTAACTCTGAAAGTTCTAAAATGACAGGCACCGCATATTTATACGGTGAGTTCCTTACATAAGAAAAGTAATGCCCATATGCCAAGAAATGAATAAGCGGTAATACGGTGGTAATGGCACCGTGTGTTCCGACAGGTAATGAGTTTAGTGACCGATGGCGGACCCACCCGCGGGAGGGCCGAACCCCCTCCCACAAGTGCATAACTTCCGCAGGGTTTTTATCGCAAATGTGGCAAGCAATGACATTGCTCTTGGCCGGAATGAAAATTCTCTGGAATGAGTAAATGAGATCTATATAGTGAATTAGAAAGCGGCATAAGATAAGATTTGGTCAGGTTATCCCTGAATGACTCTAAAATCATTCGACTTTCCAAAGTCATCTGATCGCATGCCTATGCCGAGGTTCAGGACTTGTTAAATCTGTACTACATGGACGACATAATGAAGAAGCTTAAGTCCAGTATATATTACCTAGATGATATGCGCATTACGAGATAGACCTATTCGCTGCGCTCAACTGCTGAGAGAGTTATTATCAAAGATAAGTTCCTTGTGTTGATATCGGGGGAAAACGCCATAGATGCACTTCGAGAGAGCCTAATTTAGGATTCACAATTTTCGGCATGGATGCAATTGGGCTATATGACAAGATATGGGATCAGAGAAGCCATGTTGACGTCCAGGAGATGTACGACATTCTTGATGCCAAAGATCTTTCAACATAGTAATGCATTACATTCAATAAAGTAATGGCTTCAGTCAACCCCTCCTAGAACTATGTACCGCGAGGTCCAGTGCCTACAAAAGCCTTTCAGTTTAGGTACTAGATACGTAGAAGCCAAAATCATAGGCCGGTTAGTGCGGATTATTGACGCCAATTGCTCATAACCTCCAAAGCGGGTAATAACTGCCTTGAACAATTCCTACTTGTACTCTTTAAAACAAAGCTATGTATCGTTCGCTACATAATTACATTATCAAACGAAATTATCATTCCAGGTTAATAAGGACCGAGGCCATAAAGGTGGTAAAGAAGGGAAAACAGAAATGGAAGTGATTGTTAGGATGATAGTAGGGGGCCGAGTGCACATAGACTTTTGGCCGGGTGGTGTAGGATGCTTTATCAATGCGGATGCCATGTCCAAGATGCAAGATATTGTAGTAATTAGAGCCACATAGCACTCAATTCAAACCATGATATAAAAACCCCCCCCTCCCTCCAACAGGAAAGGAAAACGATGCAAACCATCACTCCGAGTCCCCAAACCAGCAGTCCACCACAGCCCTAATCAGACCCACAGTGACCTCCCGCCCCCGCTCAACATCCCCATCGCCCGCCGCGGGCGGAACATGCAGGAATAACACCCCCCCGATCTCTGCCCTGCTGCTGCGCCAGCGCCAAACTACTATAGTAAATAAAGTCACACAGGTAGTGACCGGGGTCATACGAAAGCCGCAGATCCAGTTCTGACGAAACAAGGCCCCTCCACGAATCCAGAAGCCGCTCATTCGGCGCACAGGGCCCCTCCGACCGCGACGCAGGCTTGTCCTCTGTCGGTGCCCTGCCGGGGGTTAGTATCGGGGGCAACCCCAGCTCCCTCCACCGTTTCTCGCCGTCCTCGTAGCCCGTGCGCCCGTCGACGTCCGCGATCTGGTAGTCATCTCTGTGTGCGAGCGCTTCCACAGAATAGTAGAGCCGCGTCGCTGCGATGCCGATGTGGAGGACCAGATCGGGGTGGCGGCCGTGGGCCGCGACGAAGTCGTCCAGGATGGAGGGCAGGGTGGCCCGCACGGATGCGTAGGCCACGCGGATGGGCGAGGGGTGGATGTGGAGGGTGATGCGCCTCCCCTTGCCGCCGGCAGAAGGCAGGACGGAAGGGAGTGAAGAGGCGATTAAGTAGGAGACGTTGACGGCGTGGGATTGAAAGGACTGGCACGGTCAGTTCGGGTCGTGGGAGGTTGATCCGCGGATCGATGTCACTCACGCCAAATCCCGTCACTAGCACCGAGATGTCGGGGAAGAAGCTTGCGGGGCTGTTTGGGCTACGCAGGCCGGGTTAGCGGGGCCATAGTCGCCCATTCTAGATCCTGTAGCCTGCTGTAGCCTGCCGTGTAGCCTGGGCTTTCTTCGGTATAAGGACTTGGAGGAGAACGTAGTAGAGATAACCTGGAGATCGGTGAAAATGCGGGGGTTGGCTGCATTGGTGGAGAAGCAACGGAGTCCATTGATTGGAAGTGCTTTAGCATCTGTTGCATCGGATCCGGATCTGCTCGATTCCCGACAAGCCCTACCCTGGCAGCGTTGGATGCATCGGCCTTCGCTTAAGTTCAGCGGTTCGTGCTACTGCAGCGCAAACATATTCACGGAAGGGCCCGCTGGCGCTCACCCTTGCCCCATCCAGTATGGATCGTCGTAATGCAAGTGTACTCGTTTTCGAATTCTCGTTGCCAAGGTACAGCGGAGACGGCAGGTCCCCCACATGGAGGGTTGGTTGCCTACCGAACAGATCAACTTCGCAACAGCGTCCGGCCCATACAGCTTCCGACCTGAAGGATTTGGGGGCATCGTGGAGCGTTTGGGTCTCCACCTTCTCGGATGCCCCAGTCCGAACCCGAACGATCTGCAACTCGTTTCACGTAAAGAGTCCATTGGTCTCTACTTATCGTTCCCTTAAATCTATAGGGGTTTGACTATAAAGCTATAAGTTTGTTTTGAATCTTCAGCTTGCGTCAGGTCCGCGTCCCCTAGCCACGATGGCGATGCTAACCGGGCTACTCGAAACCCCTTATTTCACCCCGGGCGTGTGTATAGCCCTGCTCGTGATTCTCATCTCGAGTGTCTGGGACGACTTATCGACTGAGGTTCCCCCACAGAGGAGTGCCGCTCGTTGGGAAGAACTGGTGGAATCTATCCAACAAGAAGGCAAGGGCGCAATGGTCCCAGTCTGCACGTACGTTGATCACGGAGGGGTTTGCAAAGGTACGTAGAAGTAGGATCGGAGGACTACGCAACTTCCAGCCGTTGAATGCGCCTAACTGTCACCCCTCCAGGGCCAATCTGTCTTCCAAGTGATGACCCCCAGTCACCCAACGATCATCCTGCATCCTAAATACATAGATGAAGTCAAGGCTCACCCGGATTTGCACTTTCTGGAGGCTATTAGGAAAGTGAGATCACAGGAAACAGAATGAGAACCGAGCCAAAAGGTCCAGCAGCTAATTCGTGTTCAGAACTTTTTTGCGAACCGCGTTCCAGGGTTTGAAGGCTTCCATGCCGGAGGAGGATCTGAAAAGGGCGACAGGATCCTGGTAGATGCTGTCCGGGTAAACCTCACCCAAGCACTGGGTAAGAACCCAAAAGTGACTCAGTCGTTCATGGCTAACTGTACAAGGATCCCTCACCACGCCACTAATGAAGGAGACTGCCTTAACTTTAGACGAACACTTTCCTCCCACGAAAGGTACGCCTCTACACAGGGCAATACGCGTAGATGTATAGAACAACCCTAACCCTGCCTTAGAATGGACCCCTTACATCTTCGCCCGGGAGCTCCCTTACGCAGTAGGCCGCATCTCGACGCTCATTTTCCTCGGCGAACGAGCTGCCCGCAATAAAGAATGGGTCAACGTCGCGGTGAACTACACCATCGACGCCTTCGACGCCGCCCGCGCCCTGCGCATGTGGCCGGCGATCATGCGGCCCCTCGTGCACCACTTCTTACCCTACATGAACAAGGTTCGTGCGCATCTGAAGGTCGGCCGGGCGATTGTCCAGGAGGAGATCGAGCGACGCGCCGCCATTAGAGAAGGCCGGTTACCAGCCGAGGAGACGCCGCACACGCACTCCGACTCGCTGGACTGGTTCACGAATCTTGCCACGCGGTACGGGGAGCCCTATGACCTGATGACCGGGCAAATGGGGTTGTCGCTTGCGGCGATTCACACAACGTCGAATCTGCTGACGAACGTGGTGTACGATTTGGCGGCGCACCCGGAGTATTTCCAGCCGCTGCGGGAGGAGATCAAGGCCGTTTTGGAGGAGGACGGGAAGCTGAAGAAGACGAGTCTGTTGAAGCTGAAGTTGCTGGATAGTATTCTGAAGGAGTCGCAACGGATGCATCCTGTCAATTTGAGTGAGTGTGCCAACCCCCCCCGTTTCCGCTGGCCGCTTTGGCCATCCAAGAAGACAATCTGACCGGACCATTCACGCGCAGCATCCCTGATCCGTATCGCGAGTAAGAAAATCACCCTCTCGGATGGCAATATCATTCCCAAGGGCGCCATCACTGCCATATCCGCACATGTCGTTAACGAAGATGAATCTATCTACCCCAACGCCGCTACCTACGACGGCTACCGCTTCCTCAAGAAAAGACAGCAACCTGGCCACGAGCACCGGCACCAGCTCGTCACGACGACAGCCGAGAGCTTCGGGTTCGGACACGGGGTGCATGCGTGTCCGGGGCGGTTCTTCGCATCGAATGAGTCGAAGATCGTGCTCCTTCAGCTGCTGCTCAAGTATGATTGGAAGTTTCAAGATGGGGTGACCCGGCCGAAGAACTTGGAGTTTGCTACGGAGTCCGTACCGGATCCGACGCTGGCGGTGTTGTTCCGGGCGAGAGAGCCGGAGGTGGATCTTGGCAGGTTTTATGATTTGGGGGTTTAGTGGGTGGTGGTTATAATACTTCTGTCTTTTCATGTGGTTCTTGTATTATTTGATACCAATCAATGGACATGACCTTGGAACATGCAGAGTTCAAATGCATAGTCCCATGATCGTTTCAGGAACCTCAAATGCAGTACCAAGAGGATACAAACTGCCCGGTGACCGAGCATTGCCGAAAGCATTGCCTGGTAACGAAACATGCGGCGAATGTGCATCAACCCGCTCAACACAAGAAGAGCCGACTGACATCCGACATTAATCCCCGGACAGATCGGTCTCTTAAGCACGAAAAGCATGAGAATGGATCATAATGTTCAATGGTTAAAAGTATGGTCTTCGGACGAGTATGAGATCGTAATCAACAAATGAGCAACGGTATCAATTGCAACGTCAATTCCAGAATAATGAGCAAAATCGCCTCGAAACTAGAGAAATAGATCCGTTCCCATGCATTTGAAGAGTTATGGGTGTCAGAAACCAATTTCCCCAGCAACCGAGCACCGTTTCTCGTTCCTCCGATCTTGCCATCCCAACCGGCTGTACAACGCAATGACGCAGAGCAACCGTTCTGATCCACATTTAGCCACTGTCAGCCCATCATCATTTAAACCGGGTCCAATATGACTCATGCTAAGACTACCCGGGGAAACGAATCGAATAAACTGTGCATTTTGTATTAGAGATCTATTGACGTTTACATGGCATCGTATCAACAACCAAGCGCTCTCCCCACTCGTATCAATCATGAACATCGCATATCGTGCCGGGCACGGAGCAAGAAGATCATTTATTAGGCTCCGCGCCCATGAGAATCTGCATTAATTCAGAGGTGAGCACAGTGCACCTCGTAGCTGCCGTACACATTGTCGCCAGCTGAGCAGCTATCGAGGGCGATATCAATGGCGCCGGTCTGGCAGGAGGAATCGCTGAATACTTGCACTGTTTGGAGCTTGTCAGCTACCGTGTGGATATTTCGGGGAGAAGGACTCACCGGTGCAGTTGTTGATAGCATATTCGAAGCTGACGGACTTCACGGTGAAGTCGTAGTCGAACGGGTTGCAGGTATTGACATAATCACCGTAAACACCCAGTTCGCCTTGGTTCTGCTCCAAGCAGCCCGGGGCACCGAATAGACGCAGCTGGGCATAACGGGTGTTGGCAGGCGTCGCGGGTGTGGGGGCAGCGGAGACCATGCCGAAGGCGATGGCGGAGGCGATGAGGGTGGAAAAGAGCATGATTGTAGGCGGGTTTTCTCTGAAAAGTGGAAGCGTGTACCGGGTGTTGGAGAAAGGGGTTAAGAGATCTGCGGAGCGGAGAGGATTGGATGCTTGATGAGATGAAGTTGACATGCTGGGGCATGAGCCGGCTTAAATGTCTTTCAGGTTGCAGTGGCAACCGCGTAACCCACTACCCCTCTCTCTGCATGATCGCATCCCCACGTTGAGGCTATTCTTGGAACTATACGGCTCGACGCTTCTCGACCCAAATCCGTGCGTGTCGAATGAGTAAACCTGTCTCACTTACTCCGCTCTCTCCGCAGATTGTCTCGGACATATGATTGCTGCCAGATTACTCAGTGCAGTTCTTTTTTTTTTCCCCTCTGGAGGAAAGAATCTGAAGTTTTGTTTGACACCCCAAGGATAGTCCCTGAAGATTCACCTCCAGCTCCTGGCTGTTGACAGCAACGAGACCCCGACAAACGGCGGTCTCGGATGGCAGCCTCAAGCTTGTTTCCCCCAACTTTTGATTTGTTGAGGATCTGCACGATGACATCAAATGTTGAGACGCCGCCTATCAGGATCGCCCGCTAACTGCTTTGGGCGGGACCCGTACCAAAGGAGATCTGCAGGCCTCCGCAATGGTAGAAGTCACGCCACTTCCATTCGCTGCATAAGCACAGGATAATTATAGTCCAGATTAATCGAGAGCCATGAGTTGGATCCAAGATGGTCAATCCGATTGCGTTGACATGTTTCAAATGGCCCGTCCTGGATAGGATGGCATCCGAGCCCTAGGAGTTCTGGAGGGACAAACAAATTTCAAGCTTATTACCAGTACTAGATATTCCGATTGAAGAGGTCTAGAAGAACTGACGTCTTGGTCCGAATAACCTTTTCCTGATGGCTGAATCGCGGGGTTGTTCACGGCTAGCCAAGACGGAATGAGACAATGTCTTAGATCCTTCGATGGCCTTTCTTGGGGGTTGATGCATCCATTCGAGAGCGAGTCCTGAGATGTAACCGGCCACGTCATGATCACCAATATCTAGTAAGCTCGTAGATGCCGAACTGGCTCGTCAGGCTCTGGTTCTCCTCTCATACAGAACGCCATGTACTGAGTAGTACTGAGTATTCGTCATGAACAAATAAAAGACAGCCCTATGCATGCGACACTCGCAGGTTTTACTCTGGGTTGGCCCTCCCGCTATTGCTGCTTCATAAGCCCAATAATCTATCCACAGCCCGAGTAAGCTGACAGCTAACGGTAGACGGAGCTCAGAAAGAGGATGTCTCGGCATCAACGGTACATCCAGCAGCGTCCTAGAGGAACAAAGCATGCTGCCAGACCATCTTCTAGAGGAATTCTCCGTCTTTGGCTCCACCAGAAGCTACTTACGCTCCACATTCGAAATCTGTGATTATTGGAGATAACCGGCGTAGAGAACAGGCCAGCATATCTGCCATATCATTGCCGTCTGCTAAGCAGTGCTTGGTGCTCCACACTGCAGCAATTCTGCCAACTAGGGCCGTTTACTCTAGGATACAATATTTGCGATAACAAAGTGCCTAGCTCAAAGTACAGATTTCCTACCTGACTCCATCTAATCTTCCGAGTCATCCCTCACATGAATCGTGCATCGGATGAAGGGCGGCAGCACAATGATGGCTGATGGATCAGGTCCACAGGTATGTGTATCTCCAGGGCTCCAGGGCTCGGCAAGTAGGGTTGACAAAGCTCTCCTTGAAATCAAACAGCGGAAGCCCGCATGGAACAATAACTCGCCAATATCGCCTATTTCGCCAACATTTCCCAACCTCTTCAACTGTTCTATGGCAGGCAAAATGCATCAAAATTGACTTTGCACGCTCGATGCAAAACTATTAATAGAATCATTGAATGCGTCTCGGCTAAGGACAGCGCCGAATCTAGATGAAGTATTAGCACAGGTCCGGGATTCCAAGGATATCACATACCCATGGCAAGTAATGTATTGCAGCAGCAACTCGCCCAATTCCTTGATTTTGCGGATCTCCAACTGTGGGGCCCACGGCTGCTGGATGATACATGACCAAGCTTGGATTGGACTGATCTCTTCGTCAAAGATAATCTCATGAGACAGCGCCAAAAGGTTGTTGAAGATAACACTCGAGTTTCGTATAGCTTGTGCAGATCCCTGATTAGGGCAATTTCGCGGTGAGTTCTGGGAATTCGCAGTTCCATGCCCCTGTCCATCCGCATGGAGATGTGGCGCAGGCAACCGAGTGAGAGACATCGTTGCAGTCAAGGCATGGCCATTCCCTTCGTTAGGAAGTGGCTCGAGGTGCGGAAGACACGGGTTCTCCAGCCTGTGAATCAATTAGCGACTGAAGCTCGCACAGTAGATATGACGAAAACGTACGCGAGGACGAACTCAATGCCAACCTCGTTCAGGTCTTTGTCGCATAACCGCTCGGTGGTATTCCCCCATTGCCCTAGTCCATTTCCAATAGTAGGCTGTAATGCCACAGAGCCTACGGGAATATCATCGGGGGTTGATGAGGTCTTGAGGATCTGCTGCCGCGCAGCGGGTGATCCTTCAAGTGCAGCACTGGAGGCGGCTGAGTATGCATCTGGGGGGCTGCTCAGGGGGAACCAAAATTGGTCCCCCGGTTGACCAGGGCAGAGGACCCAAGGGTCTCTCTGTCATATGGCGCTACCGGGTATTCGAGCCCATTTGTCTCCAAGATAGCCTGGAGGATACTGATGTGGTTGTGGAGATGCTCGGTTTGAACCTGGAGATTCATCTCGCTGGAGCGCAGGCGGAGCACTTCTGTCTCAAGGCTCCTGACATATTGCTCTTTGCGCTCGCGGTGGGTACTATTTAGTATCAGACCCAAGCAATTCAAGAAATTCGTGGGAGATCCGGCTTCTAATAACCGACTAACCGTTGAGCCCGTCGAACTTGTTCTCTCCGTTTGGCAGTGAAACGGCCTTTTTCCTCTAGAGAGAAGGTTGGTATGTCAGCAAGTAGCACACTCCAGCGCTTTGAATGTCCAATATATGGGCTCATAGATGGCCGAATGAGATACCTGGAGGATCTTTCTTATCCTTCTCTAGCCGATGCCCAGGGAGGAATGTGAAAACCTTCTTCATCTTGGCAGGGGATATGGATGCTAGTCCCAAGATAGACAGACACGATAGCTAATCAACGAAGGGCCTTGTTCGGCTCAAGCGTCGACCCGAGAAAGGATTGCGGAGAAGAATGCAGGAACGAGAAATAGAAGAGTAAGAAAGTCAGATAGAGAATGGACCCCACCTCTCGTAATCAGGCTTTTCTCCATGAAGCTTAGCAGGGTGGCCGATCTCACTAAATTTAGTGGAGCATGTTGAAACAAGCCAATCCGAGGCTGTTTAAGGCCCGTGTGGGCCCCTCCAGCTGCCGATCCCAGACTTGGTTTCCATAATCCAAATTTCCTCTTTGGTATCGCGTTAGTCTGCGCGGTTGACTGCGTAGTTAAAGAAGCCGGAAATTAAACAACACTGGATCAAGGAATCCAGGAGTCCGTGGACTATATAAGATGTCTTGCAAGGCCATCATAATTACCAAAAACATCTTCTCCTTCGATTGAGTCTTCCGTTGGGTCTTTTCCGGCCTTGTACTTTGCGCCATGCCTTCTCCCTCCATGATCATTAGCCTCCTGGCTACATCCCTAATCGGCTACACCGATGCTACCCCTGTAAACACTCGTTCTACCGCTATGCGCAGCTGGAAATCAGCCAGCGGCTCCTGTGATGCATTGGCCGCTGGCAAAGCCCTGTATCTCCAATCCAACGACAAGCCCAACCACCTCATTAGCATCCCAATTGCCCTCGACGGAACCCTGTACGGCGGCTCCGCCATGGCGACTGGAGGCATGGGGGGGCGATGAATTCAACGCCATGACAGGCATGGGCAACGCACCAGACGCCCTGGGCTCCCAAAGCCCCGTCTACGTCGCCGGCGATGTAAGTCTTCCCCAAAGAATGACACTGGCACATACCATGCATCACCCATATACCGATACGCCCATACGAGCTTTCCACTCCATATGAAAATTCACTCTAACGCCCATCCTCAGTACGTCTTCGTCGTCAACGCCGGCTCCAGCACCGTTACCCAATTCAAGGTCTCCAACACAAACACTACCCTCACCCGCCTCGGCCAATCTACAGTCCCCGGCGACTTCCCCGTAACCGTCACCGCATCCGAGAAACTCGGCCTCGCCTGCGTCGGATACACCGGCGCCCAAGCGGGCGTCGCCTGCGCCGAGTACAGCGCCCACGGCCTCGCCGAATTCAAACCCCTCACCACTTTTGCCCTGAACCAAACGACACCTCCGTCCGGGCCCCTGAACGGTGTGTCGCAGATCAGTTTCGCCGCGAACGACACCCGGCTCGTGACGAACGTCAAGGGCGATGGCACCGCCAACAACACGGGCTTTGTCTCCGTGATCCCGGTCTCCTGTGACGGTTCTTTCGGGGCGGAGATGCGGTCGTCGCCGAACGGTACGGCCGTGCTATTCGGCGGCGTGGGTATCCCGCAGAGCACCGAGCTCTTCGTGACGGATGCTTCCTTCGGCGCTGTCGTGCTGGACCTCGATGCGGAGAAGGACGTTGTCACGCTGAAGGGGAAGAAAAAGCGTGCCGGGCCAGAAGGCGACCTGTTGGGCCGCATACTCTGCTGCGCGGGAGAGCGTGTTCGTGACGGACGCGGCGGTCAACCGGTTGGTGGAGATTAGCCAGGATGGGGAGAAGATTGTTTCGATGCTGGAGTTGAAGAATGGGGATCCGGGGCTGACGGAGGTGCAGGTTTCGGGGCGGTTTGTGTATGCTTTGTCGCCGGGGAATGGGACGACAGAGGCGGCGATTACGGTGGTGGATTCGTTCCGGGGCAAGCAGGTTCAGCACTTCGGGCTTGGGATGCTGGGGGTTGGGAAGACTGCTGCTGGGCTGGCATTGCTGCATTAGGGGCCCACGGGAGGGTCTTTCGTAACCTTCCTTTCGATTCTGGCACCTGGTCATTGGGTAGGTCTAGAGGTCTAGAATTAGCCTATAAATTTAGTCTGTATCGATAATCTGACTTTTTGGAAATCATCAACGGGCGTGCTTGAACCCCGAGAGCCTCTTCGACTCGCTGTAAGCCGTTATGAAGCGTTGACGGCCTGCGACATCGACTTTATTCCCAGGTCTAAAAGTGGAAAAGCATTGATGGTAAAGATAGTAATATTGTCAGACTGACCGCGGCCAGCTTCAAATAGAAAGCAGCTAAGAAGTATTCTGAAACAAGCCCAGGGCGTAAGAAGCACAAGCAAACAAAACACCAGCTCTGGGGCAGAAGATCTGTCATATCATGATGAACGATGGAAAGAAAAGCAAGATCCGGACGACCGATGTTAGAAAAATCAGTAAATCGAAGCCATTGACTAGGAGCGGGACTTCGTTCCGACGACCGAACTAGTCTGGGAATCACGAGCGGTATCACAGAAGATCATGAGATAACGGCGAAGATCAGTCCGGAAGTGCAGGTCAGAACGTATTATGGAGAATGAAAGGTAATGAGAAAAACAGAAGATCGAAGAATAAGCACGCTGGCAATAAGAGAACCAAAACACCTCGCTCGCATCTCGGAAATGTCGTCGGCCAACTATCATGTGCGTCGTTTCATTTCGGTTCGTCTATGGGGTCGCGTATGTATCGTCGTGCACATTCTTTTTTTTTATGGGTGGAGGGCGTGACAATTTGGAGTGGACGTCGTTTTGCCCAGGGTGTACCGAAGAGAAAAGAGAGATGAAGATTCCAGTGTCCTTTGGCGGGGGAACATCTGGATCGGATTGTAAATGGAAAGAAATCAGTTGAGAAAAACAATGTTCAAGAGAATGTATCGCCTCAAGAGGCGGGTCCGAAGACAGGCTTTTTCGAAAGGTCGAAGATTTTGAAGTGTTTTTGTTGTTTTGTAGTTTTCGGGCGGTGTGCAAAGACACATCGAGTGACTTGGTCAAACACCGAAAATGAAGAAAAAATAGAAAAGCAAGGTTGGTAGAGAGTGGAATGGAAATGGAATCCAGGCTGTCTCAAGCTTCAAGTATGGACAGTAGCTCCAGAACACAAAATGTGAATAAGGTAACGAAAGTAGGTCCAGACTGGCATCAACTTTTGCTTTTCGAAGTCGGAGTGTCATGGCATGCAAACTACCATGCGACCAAGGCGATAGCAGAAGTCCTAATCCAGGGAGCCATGAGATTAGGAAGCACGGACAAACATAAAGTTGAAAAAGCCAGCCGCGGACTGAAAGAGCCCATCGCAATTTTCTCTTCGGGTCAGGGGTTGTGTTGCAATTTTTAGGCTACTCAAATCGACCAGCAAAGCAGGACTGGGACGAGAGCCATCTTGAGTATCGTTACAATCATAAAAGGCCGTGGCTGTCGTAAAGGAGACGGGAAAATAGAGGATCAGGAGTAAAGAAGGAACAGGGAACAAGAGAGACCCTTTGTAGTTCGTTCAGGCCATCACGCAAAGTGAAAGTAGAACACAGCTCGCAGGCAGGTCAGGTGAGTACATCATCCTTCACCATGATATGTTGAAAATATCTGGGGGGATGTGGTTGACATGATAAGGCTAGAGAGCACCTAATGGCGCGTAGATGACATGTTGAGGATTTGTCGACGAATGCGCTCAGCATCAGAGAGACCCTCTTCGAAGGGGTTCATCAGAGTTGGCAAAGACTCTGAGGCTTTCGTTTGCTCCAAGATAGGAGAAGGGTTCTCCGCTGGCCCCGGGTAGGACGGGATGCCCTGGGAGAAGGGGTCCGACAAAGAAGGCGCATGGCGGATCATGCGGCCTGGTCCCTCGCGACGCTTGAAACCACCTTCAACCTTGAAAGGCGAACCCAATCGCTTGATGTTCTCACCAAGACTAGGGAATGGGTGTCGCATGGGCGTCTTGGAGACAGGGGTGGTATCCTCAGACTCCAATTGCGAAGAATTCAGAGAGGAAGGAGGTGAGAATAGCTGGTTCACATCCCGGGGACCAACAGCTCCACTAGTGGTAGCACCCCGGCTGCGAATGCGGACGCGTCCATGCCCGATATCCTGGAACTTCTGATCGCGGATGTAGTGGTTCAGACGATGGTGCACTTCCTCCTCGGAGGGATCCTTGTAGCCATAGGCGGGACTTGATGAGAATACATTATCATGATCAGCAGGTGTCATGTTGAAGTAGGGAGCACGGCGTAAGCGACGGCCGGGGACATGGATAGTTTCGCGGCGAATAGCAGTAGGGCGGTCCTTAGGGGTTTGGCTTGCTTCCCCAGGCCCCCCATGTATTGTACACAAAGGGCGATCCGAGGCGAGGGACTGGGGGGAGATCCACATTGAGGAACTGGTTCGACGGCTGAGACTGAGCCAGGTTGGGTTGAGGTACAAGAGGATTCTGCACGGGTTGGTTGAACCATTCAGGCTTGGGCTCACTGGGAGCAGATACCGGCTCCTCGCAAAGCTGAGCCAAAGAGGGGTTTTGACCGGAGGAGACCAGCGAGATTCCGAGATCGCGGGTCGTAAAAGTCTCCTGGGGTTCCTTCCATCGGGGCATGTTGGTAGGCGGCTCAGGCGTACGAGACTGCATCATGCGCTGGTAATGAGGCACGATGGAGAATTTGCGGCGACACAGCAGCTTGAGATGCTTGCGAGTCTTCGAGTCGGACTTGGGCCACACAGGCCCGGCCTTATCGGCGACGGCCTTAGGGGTAGAGCTTCCACTGCGGTCGGCGGCTTGAGTCTGACGAGTCTGGGTAATGCGGGTGTTTTTATTCGCCCAGGTCTTTGCAGCGCGGCGCGCGACTCGGGAAGTGACTCCCAGAGGAGGAATACATCCCGGGGTCATCTTGAACGGTGTCAGGGTTGGATCTTGAAGGTACAGCTGGTAAGTGTTCCACAGGTGATTGTCCATCTCGCGAGTCCACGACTTTTCCTTAGTTGAAGCCCGCTTAACCTTCTGCTTCTTGGGAAGAGTCGGGGAAGACATCTCGGGCTCCTTAGGGAACTCCAGAGGGAAATTGGAATCGCACAGATCAGTCTCCACACTGGTGCAGCTCCCGCCAACTGAATAGCGAGACGATAATGTATCAATAGACTCCACAGAAGAATCGGAATGATTAGAGCAAGACGAGCTCGGGCGCGAGCCCATGGGACTCAAGTCCCCGTGAGATCCATGGATTGGTAGGCTCAGAGTCGTGCGGAGCTCCAAGAATTTGAGCTGGGGGAGTCTTGAATTCCATGCGGGTGCGCGGCGGCGCAAGATACCGGTCGTCATTGCTGTTGTTCTCTTCCGGACTGGGTGACTCGCTGTTCACATGAGGCACCACTTCAATCGAGGGCAATGGCACATCTGGTAACCCTTGGAACTGGAACAGGTCCAGGTCCATGCGAGCACAGACATCAGTACCAGAGCGGACGCGGTTTCGGGGTAGTCGGCAGCTGGAGAACGAGTGACGCGGTGGTGGCGGAACTTCGACACGGACAGATGGGCGCTCGGGAGTCTTGGGCTCGTCATACAGTGATGGGAAGGTGAAGTTCTTGGGCAGCGTACGCGAAAGCTGACGTTGAGACATTGTGGATAGATCGCAGATAGCTCGTGGTCTGACTTGCGTGGATTGTGGGGTTGGATCGGGGGGATGTGAGGACCAACGCGAGGCGGCGTAGGGGGGGGATGGGACTCTTGTCTATCAGGACAATTCAGGTTGAAAAAAAAAATAGAAAAAGGCGCGCGATTCGCTTGAACGGGTCGTGAGTCGTTAGAGGAACAGAAAGAAAACGAGTCGAACGAAAGATCGCAGTGTCAAGGAAATCGAGGTCGTCAGGTGGTGTTGCGGAATGCGCCAGCTGGGGGATATCGGGAAGATCACCAGATTACAGCTGCGGTTCCATTCCCTTCAGAGAGCGGAAATAGAAACCAACATCACCGAACGCCAAAAACAGAAAAAGGAAAATGCTCAAGGCGATCAGAGATCGCGTCGGGTAGGGGAGGGGGAAAGGTGGAGGAGGTGAAAGGGGTGGAAGAGGTGAAGAGAGAAAGATAGGTTGGGCAGTTAGCGGGCGATGGAGTGCAGCAATTGGGGGCGTGCGGGTGCGTGGGAACAGCGAGTCAACTAGGAACACGCCAAACTGCGGGCGTGTGTGTAGCTCGGCAGGCCTCTTGGTCCACCAAATCTGCTAACTCGGCGCTACTCGCGACTAAAAAAACCGAAAGCGTTCTGCTAGCCTAACAGGAAACACGTTCGATTCTCAGAGAATGTGTTGATGGGGGGTTTGCTTTTGTTTAGATTTTCTCGAGGCTTGCCCTTCTAGAGGCTTTGCAGCCGGACCTTACTTGATGCACCCTGCAGAGTGAATACTACAAGGACCTGAGGTCATCTGAGGGGGACACTGCCCAGGTGTTCTCTCTGGGTATTACAGATAACCAGTTGGCCAGTCACTTTACTAGGGTGCAACAAAATTTCCTAACTATACTGGCACGGGATAGGTGGCCCTGGAATTAGAGGGGTTGGGAGAGCCCCGTGCTCCAAGCCCCAGGCCAATTTTAGGGAGATGCGGGCGATCGTGGGCTCGGTTAAACCCAATTTGACTCCATTCGAACCGACTCTCCCCTGCAAGGGCTGCCTTTCCCCCAAAGGATCTGCCCGAGAACGGGCACGCTGCGTGTGCATATCGTGATGGCCATTGCAGATTCTTCCTCGTCTCTCTGGACTACGGAGGCTTTTGCGTCCCAATGGCCACTTGGCCAGCAGCAGATGTACGAACTAATGATCTGTTGGAACTTTACAGCCCATACCCACAGTGTGCATATCTGGGTCAACATGCCCTCCAATTCTCCTCTGGCCCTCTCCCATCCAACAGAACAGAACCCCCCCTTGACCCAAAATCACCAAGCCAGTATGAAATTTTCATGATCCCTCCGGGTATTGTGCGGTGTAGACGGGGCGGAGAGGGCGTGGGGCCCAAAAAACGCCAATATAACTCGATTAGGGAAGAACGAGGCACCAGGCGCGTCTAAAGCTCCACATGCGCGTCGCGTCACGAGGCGTGAGACGCGCCGCAGCGGTAATCTTTCGTAACGTTTCATCGCAGTGCGGAAAAATACGCCATCACCTGACGCGGCCCTGGTCTCCTCCAGCCCAAACGCCAAACGCTCGCCCGTCCCGGCTCCACTGTTCATGCACTTCCCTTCAGGTACCCGGTATTGGGGGCAATGAGCCCGGGTTGCACCGATCCACCAAGGTAGAAATGGGAGTTCTGAGACGGAGCTCGGATTGCTAATTGGTCTTGTGGATTCAGGTACATTGCAGTCGCGGATAGCTGTGTGCCGGCTAATAAAGGCCAAGTACCGGGAAGATATACGCAGGTAAAAAGGAAACCAAATTAATATTTACTAAAAAATCTTCATATAGACAAGTAATCAATTCAGAAAGACTGCGCGTGAAAAACCAGAAGGGGGGTATAAGAGGTCGTAAATGAGGATTGGGGGGTAATTGGAAGAACCCCCAACAGACATGGGAACAGGGCAGGGAACAAAAAATACAATAGTAGACATGGTGGTCAAAGTGCGTCAATGGTGAAAAGCGAAAGACAGCGAACAATCTCAGTCCGAATCAAGAACGCTCAAGCTTCTTCTTCCGATCGGCCAGCAAAGCCTCGATCTTCCGCAGCTGCAGTGCGAGACCCTTCTTCTCAGCATTAGCAACAAGCCAGTCCTCCATACTCTGACGAACGTGGCGCATAGACTGGATGACGGGAAGCACAGGTGCTGACATAGTCACATTATTGTCTCCGTACTCCATTCGAGCCCAGCGGTCAGCAGTAGGGTTCAGGAGCAAATCAAAAACATCCGCCCAGAGCTCCCGGTCCCAGTAGCGCTTGAGGGACTCGCGGATGCGGTAGGTGTGGGTCGTGCCGGAAGCATCGCCTGTGCTGCGGCGCACGGGCATCGACTCGAGGTATTTGCCAAACAAGAGAACATGGATGACACCAGCAATGCCGTACAGATCGATCTGGTGCGTCCAAGGACGCATCTCGCGGATTTCATTGCATTCATGGGTTCCAGTTTCCCAGTCTGCAATGAACTGCACTGATGGAGAAAAGGCGTGCATGTCGATGCTGCGGCCAAAGTCGATCAGGTCTAGGCCCTTGCTCCGCCACCCGTAGTAGCCGTTTGGAGAGTAATATATACTGTCCCGATGATCCGGCCCGTCCGCTCCAAGATCTAAAAGGGACAGCTCCTTAGTTGGGACGTCGTCCGGGGTTGCCTCGTCAAGACGGACTAAACAATTATCGGCTTTGATGTCGCCGTGAAGAACGCCATTAGCGTGCAGTGCTTCGACCGTGCGGAGAAGCTCAACGGAAAAGAACATAGCCAGGGATTCTTCAAGCCCGCCTTCCCCGTTCGAGCCGATTTGCTCGTTTCGAAGAATGTTGACAAGGTCGAGTAATGTGCCCTGGCCGCGATAGTCCTCGACGAGGAAACTTTCACGCTGATGAACATGCAATTCGTGGGCGCGAACAATGCTATCCGTGGCCCGAGAATATTCAGAGCTTCGGACACGCTCATATGCAGTTCGAATCATGTAGAACTCCCATGCACTCGAAGACCCATTCTCCACCTTGACGGCCTCGAATGGGTAACGGGCAGTAGCGTACGGACTCGCTCTTTTGGAGCGCGAACCACCTCCACTGTGCAAAGGAGAGTTTTCATCATCGGAGTCGGAATCGTAGGACTCAAGACTATCCACGCTTTCCGCAAGATAGACCGGGGCGTATGCACCCGCTCCGAGCTCTCGTCGGATCAGATAGCTTCTTTCAGCTCCTGGAAACTCGAGGATGGGCATGTCAAGCTCATCATCAGGGCACTTTGAGCGTCGAGCGTGATTTTTGACAAATTTCTCGATCATAGACCTATAGTTACTTTCTTTCACATGGCCATGATACCCAGCATAAGTTGCCAACGAAGGCTCGAGCGAATTCAAAATGGTGTTGCGGATTCCCTTATCTGTTGGGTTACACCGCAAGTCTTTGATAATCGCCTCGCGGCGGCGTGCCTTGGGGGCAATTGACTTGAATGCTGTGGGACTGAGAGGAGCATCCATAGCAGAAGATACGGTTTGGTCTCCATGGTATGGGGTCGTGGTGCCAACCGGGCTGGAGAGAAGCAAGTCGCCCATTTGCGGTTTAGATGGGGTCTTGGCACTGTAGAGCTGATGACGAGCCGCTGTCATTGATATCGAAGACTCCGTCCGCTCTGTGATGGGGGTCATGACCGGTAGTCGATTCTGAGCCATGATCGCAGGATCACGATATGTCCCGTATGGAGGAGCATAGTCCTCTGGCATTTGGGGTACGAATCGTTCTCGCTCCGGGGTTCCTGTGTTGGATCGGTCGCCACGAGTATCATCGCTAATCATCGAGTTGGTGGTAGTATCGCCAATCCCGCCACCGGGGATATCTTTACTGGGGCTGAATTCTGTCCAGTCGTCCCCAATGATGCTGCCTCGAGTGGTGTCCGCATATTCCGTATCGTCGTATGACTTGTGGAATGTATGAGTTTCTTCGTCCGCAAAATCGCTCGAGGTTGAGGAAATGTGACCTGTAGTATCGGCAGTACTGGCACAGTCGTCATCTTCATAATCACTGCCAAACATGCTATCGTTCGCGTCGTAGGTCTCGGCCTTTAGCGGCTGGTTGAAAAGATCGTATATTTCATCCGTAGCGGCGCGTGTGTGCATAGTCATGGTTGGCTCTCTTGTACTCTTGCGGCGGACCTTAGAATTCGAAGGCGAGTCAAATTTCATTTTGACTACCAGAATTGTTAGCATAATCGTCCTTAAACCAAAGCATTTGCTGTGGTTTGTACTTGTCTGTGTTTCTCCCTGGACCTTGAACCGCCTTGCTTTGCTGGCTTTTGCATCGTGAGATTCCTCGCCCTGCGGCGGCCGTTCTTCCATCTCAGGCTTCGATTGCGCTAGTGGCTGAGAATCGGTTTTGGGGCCAAGTGCTTTGGGCTTCAATGGCTGAGACTCGGAAGCACTTTTGTTGCCAGATATCTGCTGCAGCGGCTCCTTCTGCGCCTTCCAGTTCTTATTCATCCAACCCCGTTTGATTGCGCGTAGTTCCTCGAAACTGACTTCGTGGGCCGGATTATGTCGATCCGGATACACTGCCTCCAAATGGACAAACACTCTTTCGCGACGGCCTGTCCGAGGATTTACCGCTTCCCTTACATGGTGTTCTGGAACTGATGGTTTAGGTGCACTGGGTTCTTGAGAAGGTGGATTGGAATTGGACTGTATAAACACGATCGAAACATGACAAGCCAGCAATTAGTCCTGTGATCGTAAATATAAGGGTCGAAAAGGGGATGAGCAACTCGAAAATTGCGACTCACCTCGTCTCGGAAGATAGCCATCTTCTGTGATGGACCTGCCTTCTTTCCCGCTTTCAAAGTCTCTCCCACCCACGGTTTCGCCTCTACCCTGTTCTCCTTCTTGCGCTCCTCCATGGACCCAATCGTTTCCCATCCCTTCGTCTGTCCACTGGTCGCCGGCTGGCTTGCCTCCGCATCGCCATCCGAGAAGATGGCCATCTTCGGCTTGCCAGATTTTGATTTGGTGCCTCCCCCTACCCGGGGCTGGCTGCGCTGTGATGCTTGTGGGTCAGAGGTATCCGAAGCAGCGAATGGATCAACCTTCGCCGCAAGCGCAGGCCGAACAGTCGGAAGCGCAGGAGACGAAGGCCCGGCATCTTGTGGCCGCTGCTCATAGCGCTGCTGGAACTCGCTGTATTTTCGCAGCAATCGCTCAGCAGGGCGAGCCTCACGGTCAATTCCGAGCCTGTAAACCTCATCTGCTTGATTCCAGCGCCCTGCGCCCTCTAGCCAGGCGGCGAATTCTTCGTAAAACAGCGCCAGTCCCTCACCAATGTGGTGCCGGGCAAGGAACGCAAATGTCTCCCGTGGGGCGTCTGAGAAAAGTCGGACATAGTGTAGCCACAGCTTCAAGTATCGTGGGTCATTTCTGTAGTGTGATGATGAGAGGAAGGACTTTGTCGCTCGCTCCAGGAGCGGGAGGAGGCCGGATTCGGCGGTTGCTTGCGCAGAGGGGTACGCGTTCAATGTCCATTTCACATAACGGTCGTAAACGTCGAGAGGGTCGTCTGATTCTCCGATTGATTGGAGTTCGCTTTCGTATTCTTGTCGGATGGCGTCGTTCAGGGTTCGTGTGTCATTGGGTGTAGGCGAAGCCAGCTTGTCGCTGTTGCTGCCACCTGAGAAAATCCGGGCGAGTTCGCGAGCTGATCGGCCTCCAGGGAGCTGTTGGACGTTTTCTTTCTGTGCTTCGATGATGTCGAAATCAATGAGATCGGGGGCCGCCATATTGGCGGAATCGTAGGATCTCTTGCACTTGTCGACAGGACTTTGAGAGAAGTCGAATTCAAGAGTGGGACTGTGTTGCCAGCCGATTAGGCGTTGATAAACATCACATGACGGTTGCCCCGGCGATCAACTTGGGGTGGAACACTATGGTTCATCGTCAAGATTCCTAATTTGGCGGACGAACTGGAATATATAAGAATTTTAAAATAGGCATCAGTATGGAATTTCACTTGCTATCAGCAAAGTTAAGATTTTCTGGCTCTCTGAAGTGGGAAACTCTAGTCAGGTGTTGCAGGTGTTTTGACATTGAAGGTGGGCGGGTCCTTAGCAATATATCTCCCGTCGAATCTTCGATCCTCCAATCATCTCAGCCAGGGGTATTGGTCATATTACTAACCACGATTCATCTCAGCAACACCGTTAACTAGCTGCCATTGAATCCGAGGATCAGAGAGGGTTTACCAATCCATGAACGATGTGTGAACATCCCGACGAGGAAGGGTCCCACATTGATGACTCCCAGGAGACGGGCAAAAGCAGTCACAAGAGAAATCTCAGCAACGGGACCCCCAACGGCTCACCACTGAGGACATCCAAGCGACAGAAATCAACCAAAAACCTCAAGGAGCTGTCCTCCGACGAGTCTGAAGCGGAAGAAGATCCAAAAGCGGCTCCCACCAACGCCAAACAGGGCAAGAAAGCTGCCTCTAAGGCCACTTCAAAGGCTGCCAAGGCCGTCAAAGGTGACCCCGACGAGGCTGAAGCTAAAGAGAACAAGGTCCCGAGGAGAGCCAGAAAGACCAAAGAAGAAAAGGAAGCTGAATCGATGCCGTTGGCTGCACGTACGAAGGGCCTACGAATGTTCGTTGGTGCCCATGTGAGTGCTGCGAAAGGTGTATTCAACTCTATACACAATAGTGAACACATCGGGTCAGTAGAGAGAAGGTTCATTTTCTATGTGTGGTTGTTAATATACGAAAAAGTGGTAACGCAATTGCGCTTTTCCTCAAATCTCAGCGCAAATGGGACAATCCACCCTGCAAGATAACGTTCGGGACCAGTTCCATAAAGTGTGTAAAGAGAATGGATACGACGCCACCAAGTAAGTCACCCTGAGCCGACATACTGAAACCCTTCTCATGAGCCCAGGCATATCCTCCCGCACGGCTCATACCTTGTCAATCTTGCCGTAAACGACAAAGCCAAAGCCAAGCAAGCCTATGACTCCTTCCTCGACGACCTCCGTCGCTGCGAAGCCCTCGGCATCAAGCTCTACAACTTCCAGTAGGTATCAAATAAGTCCCCTCCAAAGACCTAAGACTAACACTCCCAAGCCCCGGCAGCACCAATGGGGAGCCCCTCCCCCGAGGCCCTCACCCGCCTCGCAGCGGCCTTAACCAAAGCCCTCGAAGAAACAAGCACTGTGATCCCGGTCCTCGAGACAATGTGCGGCCACGGAAACACAATCGGCGGCTACTTCTCCGAATTCAAGGAGATCCTTGCCCGAATCCCAGAGGTGCATCATTCCCGTATCGGCATCTGCATCGACACATGCCACAGCTTCGCGGCAGGCTACGATCTCGTCTCACCCGACGGCTTCAAGGCATTCTTGTCTGAATTCGACGAGGTGATCGGTCTGAAGTACCTTCGCGCGCTGCACCTGAATGACTCCAAGACGCCGTTCGGGAGCAAGCGGGATCTCCACGCGAACATCGGCACAGGTTTCCTGGGTCTGCGGGCGTTTCATAATGTGATGAATGAGCCGCGGTTCGAGGATATGCCTATGGTTTTGGAGACACCGATCGATGAGGGAAAGACGGGCGAGGATTTTGGGGTCTGGGCGCGGGAGATTAAGCTGCTGGAGTCGTTGATTGGAATGGATGCCGAGGGCGAGGAGTTCAAGGCGCTGGAGGCGAAGCTTTCGGCTGAGGGGAAGGAGACGAGGAAAAAGCAGCAGGCACTGTTTGATAAGAAGGTTGAGATGGAGAAGAAAAGGAGGCAAAAACTGGCAAAGGAAAAGGGCAGAAGAGCTTATTGGATATGATAGGATCGAAATAGTCTAAGGTTCCCGGTTTACAAGGTAGGCACTGGCCATTACTAGGAGTAGTGGCTACGCAATAATCCGATAACCGCCTACCGGTACTAGTACGGTGTAGCGCTACTCGCTCTCTCTGTTCATGATGTATACGTAAAAAGTGTCATTTCAAATAATAGGTGGGCGAGAGCCCTAGTAGAAAGATATATGATTGTGGTATCAGTCAAGCCCCAATGCAACGAACCCAACAGTCGCCATGCAAGATAAGAAATCCAACTCGGACCAACCCTCAAAATCATGGCTCCATGGCCAAAAGCAGCATTAGCATTACATATCCGCACATACAGGCCAAGGCGAGGAGCGAGTCCCCTAGACATGCATCAAGCATATGTTCAATGGGAGGGATATAGCAAGGCTGGACCGCCATAAGGACGCCATTCAAAGGTGGCATATAACATATCGGAAAGAAGAGGGTATCCAACAAAAAAAAAAAAGAGGCCTAGTGGTGGGCTCGAACTGGAGAGAGAGAGGAGGTAGAATGAACGGCGGGAGAGCCTTCCCGATCAGGATGCTGAAGGCTAGGATTCAAAACCTCTGCCATGGATGTGGTGGTCGGGGGAGCGGATTTAATGGGTGATGGAGGCCCATCATCTTCATGAATGGTGGCAGTCGAAATGGTCAGGCCGTGCATAGCACCGCTGGCTCGTACACGGAATGAACGTCGCTGGTCACCAGAAGACGAGACATGAAGATCATCGTAAGGAGCAGGCGCGGAACTAACCATGGTAGTCTCCTGGTTGGCAACCCGGCGATAGTCACCGTTGTCGCCACTGCTGGGCTCACCATCAGTCTCCGAATCGGCGCTATCATCGCGGTCCCAATGGTTTTCTTGGGCCTCGCTGCGCATTCGGGAAATTTTCATGTAGTTGTAAGCGCCAATGCTGCCAATAGTCACCACCAGACCGGTGATATTAACGGGCGTAAGTTTGTCATGGAAGATGACGCCAGCCGCACTGATCGTGACAACCTCTTTAAAAATGCCACAGATGCTAAGAGTCACAACGGAAGATCGTTTGAGGAGGGCGAATTCAGAAGCAATCATGCAGAATGCAAGTACACCAGGGAATACAAGGAGACCAAATCCGATCAGGTTTCCATGCTGTGCAGCAAGATTGAGGTAGCCTTGATGGATCTCATTTGGTCCCTCGAGGGTGAGCGCTATGATGATCAGAGAGACAAACATCACAGGAGTCAAAAGGAAAAGAGTCGAGAACGGATTGGATGTAGCCGGATGCCGGAGGAGAAGAATCTGGGTCAGTCCCCATCGGAAGCCGGAAAAGAAAGCAGAGGCAATGACCAGCGTGAACCCGAGGGCGTTGAATGCGGTCTCACCGGCGACCATCATAACAACTCCGATCGTCATCGTGGCAATGATGAAGATCAGTTTCATGGAAGGGGTCTCAAGACGAAAAAGGAAAGCGAAGATAAGTACGAAGGCTAGTGCGGAGGATTTGCACATCGTGAGGAAGGTGAGGGAAATGAACTTCAAAGACATGTTGCCCAAACCGATATCGAGGGATGTTGCCGCACCGCAGGGGACAAGGCGTGTCATATAGAAAAATTTGGTGAGGACCGATCCTTCAGACTCCACCATTGGGGTTGGGGAGCCTGGCGCATGCCCAGGGCGTAGGTGTGGAAACACCCATAACAACAGGGCGGAGAATATGAATTGAACAGCCATGTGCAGGCTGGTTGTGAAAAGGGGAAAGGGGAAGACGACGTCGTTCTCGGAGAACATCCACTTATTATACTGCGAAGGACGGGGGTCGAATTAGTTGCTTGCTGCATGGGAGGGGAGACGCGCCTTGAAAGAATTGGACTTACAATTGAGATCGATAATGAGAAAATATACCATAACAGAATCAATCCAGCATTTACAACAAGTCGTTTGACCACATTTCGGTCAGCTAGATTCATCTGAAAGATATCTCGAGACGATTTCCCATCGGCGATGCGGGCATCCAACTTCTGGCGTTGTCTGCGTCGTCGACGTCGCTGGCGTTTTTGCTTTGCGGTCAAGCCCGTCTCCTCGTCGTAGCGGTCGTCATCATCCGAGCTCATTATGTCCAAGTCGCGATTATCGATGGCCGGGGAGGGGTTTTCGGACGTATCTGTGTCCTCTGCCGTCAATGGCTCGCTTTCATCCCATCTGTGGTCCCCTGGGCGGAGGCTCTCATCCCTCCGCTCCGAGAAATCCGGGTGTTGCGATCGAGCTGCGCCTGTGAGCATTGAGCTCCGCCGGCGATGATGGCTTCCGGGGGCAGGGGCAGCAGACAAGCCCATTATGAGGTCGGTGAAACGCGGATAAAGAGGAGGGGTGGGGGTTCAAGAAAGTCGTGGATGTGCCATGTACGGGGTTGGTAAGGGTGCGACCGGGGGTAATCACGCGACACACCCTGGAAGATCCGGGGGATCGACAGCGGTTCAGATCAGGTCGGTAAGAAGGAAAAAGGTAGGGAACGAACAAACGTGAAGCGAAGGAAAATCAAAGGAAAGGAGTCAAAAAGCGGTCACGAGGGAAGAGAAAGCAAAGTTTAAGAAACATTGAAGTGCAGATGGGGGCGGGCCCTTTTTCGCCAGGCGGTGGTTCCTCCTTTCCCTCATTTGCTGTTCGCTTCGCGCGAATCTTGTCTAGTGATGTAGGAGATCGAATCTAAAAACCTATTAAGTCCGGTATGAATCGATCGGATCTCGCCAGACCTACAGCTACGACACTGGGATCCCAACCCAGGGGCCTTCCTCTGGTACAAGTAATGGTACACTCGGTTCCAGACACATCCGGTGCGGTGAGGTCAGGGGTTCAATGCCTGATTACAGATCTTTGTCAAGCAACCTTCGAGATGGGAACCTGGTAGGGTTGTAGAGATAAAGTCCCCTAATCTATCAAACCTGGACAGTGTCACCTATATACAGATTGACAGAACAACTGGTGCAATCTCTTCAAGTACCGGCTTGGTGGGAGGCATTTCGTGCACTTCGTACTACAGGTCTTGGCCCCCGTCCGCCTATCAGCGAGCGTGGACATTACTTGATGGGGCCCGTGGCAACGTAGATGAATCATCGATCGTCCCTGGAAGATTGGACCTCTTTCTTCGAGGGTTGGGAGACGCTCCTCCAACCATTAAAGCCACCCTTGTTGTTCTTGATGGGCATCTTCTGCCACAGAAGGGATAGACCGAGTAGTAACGCGCTGGCATTTATAGCTAACGAGACGGCCATGCCTCCGTACGGAGCCATGACGCATAATGATGATTTTGCTGGGAAATCACTCATCGTTGGGAAATGTATTCCTCCTATAATCGCGAGATAATCGACATGACCTCAAATAGACAGCAATAATCATCATCATGTCGTTTTTCCCAGAGCTTCCGGTCGGAAATGGGTTCATATAGATTGCTGAGTCTGCTCTTCCACGTCCCCCGCGCAACCCATGTTCGTTGAATTGGTGCTGCACCATTCGTTGTTCGAGTGTAACACCAACATAAAGAAAGTCATCATTGCTCTTTCAAGTTGAAGCCGACGGCTGCATCCACCCATCAAAGCCCGCACCATCATGACGGAGAATGTCTACAACGCCATCGAGGACTATGGTCTGATCGGGGATATGCACACCTGTGCTCTGATCAGCAAAATTGGAAGTTTGGATTATATGTGCTGGCCTGTCTTCGATTCACCCACCATTTTCTGTCGCCTTCTGGATGAGAAGAAGGGGGGGATACTGGTCCATTGAACCGCACAAGACGGTGATCAACGCCCATAGCAAGCAGCGTTACTTGCCATACTCAAATTTGCTCGAGACCCGATGGAATAATGAAGACGGGGTTGTCACGATGACTGACTACTTTCCAGTCAGCCCCCAGAAAGGCACCCAGTCAGGCCGAATGCTATCGGGCTATTGTCCCTGCAACGACCCAGGGGCTAATCGTTTCAAGTCGGGCCTTCAGCACTCCGGTGTGATCAGGAAGCTGGAGTGTATGCGAGGCTCCATGGAGTTGAAAGTGGAGCTGTTCCCCGCCTTCAACTATGCTAGAGACTCGCACAATACCAGAGCCAAGCTGGAAAATGATCTGCGCGAGAATCCACTGCAATCAATTCACTTTGAGAGTCCAACAGAGCGTCTTCAAGTGGAGATTTATGCCGACTCTCGGGAGCCGGACAAGACCGGGTTCCCACAAGCCAAGTTTTCTCTTGAAGAGCGGATTGGTCTCAAAGGACGAGGGCTCGTTGCCTGGATCCGTTTGGCCGAAGGGCAAACCGTTCAGTTCGTCCTGCACAGCCCCGAGAAAGCTGTCCCAAGCTCCGCGACCATGGCAGCGTACCTGGGCAAGATGGAGGAACAGACTTCCGAATACTGGACCAACTGGACTCGCAAATGTGTATTCCGAGGACACTATCGGGAGACTGTCGAGCGCAGCCTCTTGATCCTGAAGTTGCTCACTTACAAGCCCACGGGAGCAATCGTCGCAGCGCCGACTTTTTCGTTGCCGGAAAACGTGGGCGGCTCCCGTAACTGGGACTATCGATACTCCTGGGTCCGTGACACCACCTTTACGTTGTATGTCTTCCTCAAAATGGGATACAGGGCCGAGGCGGAGTCGTACGTCAACTTTATCTTCGACCGGATCTTCCCGCACGCGGCCCAAGATATTGAGCCTGGAAGCAAACGGCCCTTCCTCCCTCTCATGTTCACTATCCGTGGCGAGTACGACATTCCTGAAGTGGAGCTGAGCCATCTTGATGGATACCGCGGTAGTAGGCCTGTACGCATTGGCAACGCCGCTGTTTTCCATACCCAGCTGGATATCTACGGCGAGCTCCTCGACAGTATCTATCTCTACAACAAGCATGGCAATCCCATTACCTATGATCAATGGGCCTCCATCCGCCGCATGGTGAATTATGTCGCCAGTGTTCGCCACACGAAGGACATGTCTATCTGGGAGTCTCGGGGACAGATTCAAAACTTCATCTATTCTAAGGTCATGCTTTGGGTCGCTCTAGACCGGGGCATCCGCCTCGCTGAGAAACGCTCTAGTCTTCCCTGCCCCGATCGATTCAGGTGGGTCCAGATCCGCGACGAGCTATACGACGAGATCATGGAAAAGGGATTCAACGAGGAGCGTGGGCATTTCTGTCAGAGCTACGAAAGCCGAGATGTTGTGGACGCGTCTATCCTGATTGCGCCCTTGGTTTTCTTCATCGCACCCAATGACCCTAGGTTCATTAGTACCTTGAAGCGGATCCTGCAGAGCCCCAAAAAAGAGGGATTGTACAGTGCCAAGATGATCTTTCGGTACGACCACGTCAAAGCCAATGACGGTGAGTTATCTTCTCGGAGACCTTCGGTCAGCCGAGTCATTTACTGATCTTCATGTTTCACAGGCGTCGGCGGCGGCGAAGGCGCGTTCATCATGGTTACTTTCTGGCTTGTGGAAGCTCTGGCGCGTGTATGGACCTACTTGCTTCGTGGCACAAGTCCGCCGTTCAGCTTGCTAACTTCTTATATACAGGCTGCCTCTTATGATGTCGCCATTCCCAACATTTGGAAGCTGGCCCTAGCACACTTCGACAACATCTTGTCTTATGCTAACCACTTGGGGATGTTCTCTGAAGAAGTGGCAATCTCGGGTGAACAGATGGGGAACACCCCGCAGGCGTTCAGCCACTTGGCTTGCATTAGTGCGGCGATAAATCTGGAAAAGCTAGGCCTCGAAAAGGCAGGCCGGGAGTGAAGATCCAGCAGTTTTCTTTGTGCCACAGAGAATCATGGCACCAAGCACTGACATCTTCAACAATCTGCTCTTTATTCAAATTCGTATTTCAAATTAGAAGCTCTCTTAATATTCTTCAGCAATCGTGATATGAGTCTTTTGCTATTCGAAGCCGCAGCAAGTTTACGCATTCAAGGCAATAGTAGACTGGGATTTTTCTAACATTCCTCCCTCCTTACTCAAGTTCCCTGCATTGCTGGAAGTGTCATCGCGAAGACGACGAGCTCCTAGTAAATGGCCAAGTTATAAGGCGGCATAAAATGCAAATGCACAGGTGCGGGTGTGGGGAGCTTACAACGCCCGATCTGCGACACGACCCGCCTGTCTCCACTCAAGCTTCTTGATTGTTTTCCCCAGACCCTCCTACCTTTTCTCTCTTTCCTTGCAGATCTCTTGCAGATCGAAATCATCCCTTCCAGGCCATTTTCATCAGTTCTAGGGCTTCTTATTTCCTCTTTCTTTGCGTTCATCGGTTGTGTCGTGCTTTTGCCGTGCGGTCTTAGCTGGCTTGCCTTTTTAATACAGCTATTATGTCCCCTCCTGCTCATCCTTTGTTTTCAGTCTCGTCTTTGTTACGATCCTTTTATTGGTCTGTCGGGATTGGGGAGTATAGGTTCGAGACAATCTAATCTTCTAGATTATATGCTCGGGCCGATGTCTCCTGGGAGATATTTTCAGGTCCCTTCTTAGAACCCTAACTGGTTATAGGTCGGGTCCTATCTCTCCTAGGTTTCTTTACAAGTTGCTGATTGTTATCAGTTACTAGGAGATTTGATCCTCTGTCTGTAGGTGATGATCTCTCCGAGGGTCGGATTGGATCAGAGAGATCAAGGCAGAGTGTATCTGTAGCGTGTTCTTGTTATACACTCGGCTCTTCGATGTCCAGGCCTGAGTGTTGAGCTCAGCTCAGATCCGTTCAGTTTCCCTTCTCAGTCGAGCGTTTTCGCGGATCAGCTCTCCTTACCTCTGTCTTACTCCTTAATTTCGCGTCTACAATAGCTTGCGCCAGGCGCCCCTTTAATCACCGTGAGGATGCCTGCTGAAACCTTTTCAACACCTCAAACCGGGTTTCGAGCCGCTCTTTGTCCAAGACGCCTTCTTCAGGGTCCGATTTCTGAAACTTTCCTTGCTGGTTATAACTAGGAGCCGTATCCCGGGCGCTTCTCTGCCTGGACCCACCCGTCATCGTGTATATAGGTCCGGGCTACCTCGTTGCTTTACCTAGTTGTTGTAATTGCGGATATTTGATTTCCGCAGGTCGTATATAAACTTGCATTCTCCCGACTTGGTTCTTTTGGGTGTTCCTTCGCGAGATGATCTCATGTGACGCACCCGAGAGCAAGGAGCTCGCGATGCGTGCCCTGAATCCGGAGAGAGTGAAGAGGGCGACATGAATGCGTTGCCTACACCTGGCGTCCAACGTCAGGTGAGCTGTGAGAAAGCCTTGCTGTCAGACGATCTTTTGGACGACTCATCGTCCGAAAGCTCGGATGACCAGCAGGGTCGTGGATTGGAGTTTCGGCCCCGGGAAATCTTATTCTACGAGAACAAAGCCTCGATCTTCCGGGCACGCCGCGGCGCGATCCGAAGAACTCGTGCCTCCCGTAGCATTTTGTACGAGTAGCTCTCCGCTGTTTTATCTTTTTCTTCTTTTTTCTTGCTTCTTTATTCTCATCCTTAGGGTTTGGTGGACTCTGCGGACCCAGAACGGCCATTTGCGCTTATGTTATGGCGCAACGTTTCAGGGCACCAGATCGTAGTTATCAATCAATTGATCGGTTCACGCTGCCTTCTCTCTCCTGTCACTTTCCAATTGCCCTCGTTGACTCCGAGCCCTCGGCTGATGGTAGAGTGTAAGTACTGACGAATTGTGTACATCTCAAGAACTACTTGATCTGACGTGAAAGTGATCTCCACAAGCGATATGACCCGCTGTCTAGTGAGGCAAGAGTCATGGCTTAGAGAGGTTGACTGCTGCGAGCCGCCTTGCTAATCGGTTGTGAGAGCGCCCTATAAAGCTGGCCTCTCTTTAGCAACGATCAATATGCATCCGGACAGATGGCAGACCGAGGCGGAGCCCCCACATGGCTGCCAGGGGTGTTTCGCCACCAATTAAATATACCCGTGGGCCGCAATCTTCCTAGTACAGGGACCGTCCCGCAAAACGTGGCCCAGACTGGCCCAATTGGTTGACACGGTCGGCTGGCTTGGCTACCGTGGGTTGCCTTAAAGTTTGACCTACAGCTTATGCTGTATCATTGGAAGGGTCTTCTCTCAGTGCTGTATTCTCATGTGCACAGGTACACAGCCCCCGAGATTTCGATCAGAAATTTTCCCGTTCCGGTGCGCACTCGATAACCTCAAACTAGCCCTACTGCGTACAATCACACCCAGCCAGTTGTAAATCCTCCGTAACCTGGGTCCATATCAGTAATTGTGCTCTACAGACCCACGCAGTTCATGCCAAGGACAGAAGTTCGGTAGTCCAGGGGCGACTCAGGGACGGAGAGGAACCGGGGTCCGCGCTTCCACCTAGAACCAAAACGGTTTAGAAAGTGAAACGGCCCCAAGGCTTGACCCTTTTACACGTAAACCCCATCGACCCTCTAGAATCTATCTCTAGGGTCCCGGCCGCGGGCCCCGTGCGCCCCTCTCCCCTCCCATCTCACACACCCTCACAGCTGGATGAAAATCCACCCGCATAGCCTCCCCCGGCCATGAGGTTCATCTCAGCTATGCCCACCGCAATGGGCCCCAGCAACCAAACGATGCGTATATTCCTATACTTCAGCATAGGCTATATCCTTCTTACGCTATACGTTCGCACCCGCACCGTCCGCGACCCAGGCTCCCTCTTCTTCGACCCCTGGACCGCCTACGACCCCTCCTACTCCGCCTACCGGCTGGGCCAAGGCGAAGCGTACATCGACTCGATCTCGAATTCCTCCGTGCACCCGGTGCCCAAGGCAGGCCCGAACCCGGAGATCTGTCTGGGGATCGCGACGGTGGCGCGCAAGGGCATTCGGTACTTCCACGACGCAGTCGGGACGGTGCTGGAGGGGCTGAGTGCGGAGGAGCGGGCGAATATCTATCTCATTTTGTTTATCGCGCATACGGAGCCGGCGAGGCACCCCGCGTACCAGGAGAAATGGCTCTACGAGGTCCCCGACAAGGTGTTGCTGTACCAGCCGGATAAGATTGATATGCAGCGGATCCAGGCGCTGGAGAAGGATACGGAGAACGTGGGGCGAGGAAGGCGCTGCAGGACTACCAGTATTTGATGCGGGCCTGTAACGATGTTGGGACGAAGTATTTGTTGCTGATGGAGGACGATGTGGTTGCGCAGGATGGATGGTACCACCGGACGCGGGAGGCGCTTGCGATTGCGGAGAAGAAGACGGAGAAGCTGGGGGCGTCGAAGTGTAAGTTCAGTTCTGGGTCTGGAATTTTCCCATCTGGAATTCTTGCCCCTCCTGACCCGGCGAATATTCTGGTATTCCGCACGTGGGTGGGCGATGCAAGGGATGCGGGGCTAACCAAGTTTCTTTCTTTTTCTTTGCTATAGGGCTCTATCTGCGGTTGTTTTATTCAGAGGAATTCTTTGGCTGGAATTCAGAGGAATGGCCGACTTACCTCTGGTATTCGATACTGGCGATCGTCGTCGTCGCGTTGGTGTCTCTTGGGTCCCGACAGTATATCCCCAGCGTGAAGCCGCATATGCCGAACAGCACTGTTCTCCTGCTGTGTTTCGTCTGCACGCCACTGCTTATAATCCTCTTTTTCGCCGCGGGCCGGACAACCATGTTGCCGCTGCCGAAGGGGGTGCATCTTATGCAGAACTTCGGCTGCTGCTCGCAGGCCTTTGTGTTCCCACGCGAACGAGTGCCGGAGCTGCTGGAACTGTACAAGTCGAAGGAGGAAGGATATGTGGATTCCATCACCGAGGCCTATGCGAACGAGCATGACGAGCTTCGGTGGGCGCTGATTCCGAGTGTGATGCAGCATGTGGGGCGGCAGAGCACGAAGTCGACCAGCGACACTGTGGGTCCGCCGCGGTATAAGACGAAAGCCGAGATGAAGGGACCGGAGCGGCTGTGGAACTTTGCTTTCGAGACGATTGACCCGGCAGCGATGAGTGCTGAGCACGAGTATGCGAAGGAGGACTTTGCAGAATACGTTGACATCTCCATTTGACGCGCTTGCATTGCGGGGTTATTTTCATTTGCTATCATTTACTATAGCGAGGGCAACTGCCCTGTTCCACGTTTGAGATACTATTGTACATTATGCATCATCAGTTTATACAAGGCGGAATAGATTGTACCAAAGCATATCCAAGGATCTGCTAGGCGTACTCGTGGTATGGAGTACCCCCGTCACTGGGAAACTCGGCGGTCTAGAGTTGGGATTTCTTTGGCCGTACCCCTTGCTTGCCCACGCGAGTCGCTACACGTTCGGGGCCACGAGAATGCACGATTGAACGGTTCGAATGACAACCGCAATGCGACACGAGCTCTTCCAACATGCATGGCCCAAGCTAATAGAGCATTAGTTTCGGGGTATCAGAACAGCTCTATTGTACTAATAAATAATATAATGATAGCACAATTTTCGAGGATGACCACATCTTTCCGAGAGCGTGATCTCCTACCTCAACAACCCCTTGACTACATTTCCTCACTACTGCTGGTCACGGCCCTGAGGACTACGATGAGCTAGCCAAATCTACGATTCAACCAGCCCAACACTGTGAGCATGTTAGAATCGAGTCGAGGACATTGGCTGTCACACCGACAAGCCGAAGAACCTAGATGCAGATCCCAGTAGGGATGAGAGAGCCTGCCTGCTCAAGCCTGCCTGCTCAAGAGATAATCTGATCAAGAATCTGATCAAGAGCGAGTGGAAAATTGAGCTACCAGCCCTGGAAAAATTGACGACCTGGCCGCGTCGTGGGGGCATCTTGGAGTCGATACACCAGAATGGGCCTTCAAATTTAGCTGACCTGTCCTGCACAATGCGCAGCATAGTTCGAACCTGCCGAGTTGTGAAGCCCCTGTTTGTTTGCACAAACCAAAGAAATAGGCCTAAAACTCACTTATCAATCTTGCCCAAAATCCAAATTCTCCAACCTGAAACTTCCAGATAAAAGGGTTTTTAAATAGCAATTTCCCAAAGTCCCAGAGGCCCAAAAATGCGGAGACGGGAGAGAAGTTGATCGGTGGATCATCGACCGTAAACAGTTTAGCCCGCGCGATAGCTCGCACATCACCAGCCACTTGCATTCGCCCCTGGGCTTTTCTTTTTCTTTTTCTTTTTCTTTTTTTTTTGTCTCCTTGCATCTTCTGCATATCGCTCGTTAGTCTCGTAGATCTGCCATCGTCGCCGTGCCACCACCTTCCATCCCAGCGACCTCGGTTCCTCGTTATCGCAAGGGAGGCTCACGTGGTGTTTATTGCATGAACACCCAGCTTTTGTTTATATTGCGCTCGCTGTGTCCACGGGCTTCACAGTTCCAGCATTAATTCCCTCCCCAAAATGCCGTCACACGTCTCCGACACCCCTGCCTCTCCGAGCATCCCCGAGACCGCAACCGTCTCGACGACCACGTCCTCTCCACAAACCCTCTCCAAATACAAGCGCGGCCGCTCCGACCTCTCCCTCTCCCAGGCCGAGGACTTTTCCCCGTCAGGCGGCGTCTTCCAGTTCTTCGGACACTTGGTTCGCTATGGCCGGTGGAGGAAACGCGGCCGCAAGCCAAGCCAGGACGACGGTCGGAACGTGCGACCAAGACAAGAGTCCCCGCCTCGGCTGCCTGAATTAGCGCTGGACGAGCAGAAGATCGAGCTGCCTGCCACGCAGACGTTTGATCCCATCACCGCTCAGACCAAGAGCTGAGCTCGGCGGTCTATAAAGTTGACGGGCATATTAGATCGTCGTTTCTGCGAGATGACGATGGGTGACGGAATTGCTATACACGAAAGGATCGCGGCTGCGACGGGTTCGGCCGCATCAGCAAAATCGTCTCGGTCGTGCGAGCCACAATCGGGTTGCTATTTCTGTTTTTTATTTTTTTTTCTCCCTTTTTTTTGGGACATGTGATTAGCAACCGTTATAACGAGCAATGAGAATCTGAGAGCGAGCTCTCTCATGTCACCAGCCAGTTCATCAATTCAGTGCAACGCTGGAGATAAAAGAGCTTCAGGGCTGATGTCGGTTGGCATTGGTAAGCTCCACAACCCTCACCTGGGCAACTTGCTTCTGCTTCAATTGACCCAAAAATGGTAAATGCACCGTCTGCAGTTGCTGACCAATGCATAATAGATGCTTCGACTTTGATTGAAGTCATTCAATACTCCCAAGATTGGAGGGCGATCTCGTCATAAGCAGCGATACTAACCGCTTACTGCGAAGAACCTCGATAGTTTACGCGTCAGCCGCTACGGGTGTTAGACGAAATGATACAAACCCCTATAAATCATCCAGACTGCTAGTGCCTCCTATGCTTCGTAATTTACACCTTCATTTTCTCCATCCCCTCTCCCAAATGCCTCATATGCACACCCTGACTATACAACGCAATCATGAACACTACAGTCCGCCGCCAGCTTGGAGCCCCGCACCTTCGCCCTACTATATATCTACAGGCTAAACCTAGAATCAATGATCCAGAACGCCCCCATCTGTAAAAACCCAATTACAGCGCTCGCAGCCACCGCATTGACGGGATATTCGTGTGGGCGATCCTGGCGTACGAAGTCACTCTCCAACGAGCTGCAGCTTCGAGACTCCCACCCTGCACATTGCAGACAGCCTCGCGGCGTATAAGAAGATCCATGTCCCGCATACCAAGCGACTGGGTTTGTTAGGGCCGCGGGGGACTTCTTGGGTGTTTGCAGGGGGCGGGGCGTTCGTGTGAGGTTATTGTTCCGCCGAGCGAGGAGCAGATTGCGGCGGTGCACCGGGTGATTATTGAGGAGGTTGCTACGGGGGCGGGAGTAGGTTAATTCGACGAAGGGGATGCTTGTGAGGGGGGTCAGATCTGGTGGAGCGGGGGCGCAGGCTATTATGCTGGGGAGGACCGATTTGGCGGTTGTGCTTGATAAGAGATCTTTGCCGGAGGGGGGCATTCCGATAATTGATCCTGCAGTGTATGCGAAGCAGGCTGCTGAGTAGGTTTGGGATTGAGTAGATTAGCTATGCTGGACTTGGTATGAGGATTGACATCGATAGATCACTAGTAGCAGGCTTCTAATTCTCAGTACAAAAAAAACAATTGACAAAATTTATCGTGCTCCCTCATATATCACTTCGGTCAGCGATGGCAAGGCCTCTTTGTAACCTGTTCTAGGTCGAAGGGAAACAAAGGGTAGAGGCCTTCTTCGCTTAACCGTTTCCTCCATTTCAACTGTATCGAACCCCCCCCAGAAAATCCTCATATCCTAGTTTTACTAAAGAACCCTTACAAACTAAGTATTGAACTCAGAACGATCGAAGAAACAGAGCTTAGGCCTGCAAGCCTGGTCGCTGCCCGGCGCAAGGGGCTTGCCCTCCATTCGGCCATTCAATGAAGAGTCAAATAGATACTGCGGGCGGCCGTCAAAGCTAGATTAGAGCCGGTTACTGCAGCAATGGCGGCGAGGAGACTGCTAGGCGTGATATCAGTCAAATAATGGGCCGGATGAGCTGTAACTAGATAGGAATCACGTAACTATATCATGACTAACTCCTGCTACCCCCACCCCCGCAAAACATCTCATTAGAGGACCATAAGCACTCTCCACTTCTTACCATCCAATGCCAAAGATCTCACTTCGAAACTGAAAACCTCATGCCAGAAACGCAGAAGCCTCCAGTGCCGACTTCCGAGCGAATTTGTCATCGATCTACAACAGACTCGGAATCCTCCTTGGAGTACTCAACCACAACTCCATCATTTAAGTCCCAATACTTCCCCACGGCAGATCACTAGATAGCTCTAACCCTTCAGTCCTGAAATCTAAATCTAACTTGAAATACCATCAAATAATTCAACCCACTCCCCTTCACAATGACCACAACCTCAACCCAATGGACCGTAACCCCAAACGCCCAATGGGCCGGCCTCAAACAGATAACCGTCCCGCTTAACCCTCCAGGCCCAAACGAATGCCTCGTCAAGATCCATGCCGTCTCGCTCAACTACCGCGACGTCGCCATCCCAATGGGGACATACCCCCCTCGCCTCCCGGGACGGCGTAGTCCCCTGCTCCGACGCGAGCGGCGAGGTCATCGCCGTAGGCCCCGGCACTCGCCGCTTCGAGCCCGGCGACCGCGTGTGCACGGCATTCAACCCCGCGTACCAGTCCGGGCGCATGACCCGCGCGATCCGGAAACGCGGGCTCGGCAACCTGCTGGACGGGACGCTGCGCGAGCACGCCGTGTTCGCGGAGACGGCGCTCGTCGCGGCGCCGAGGAGTCTGGATATGGTGCAGGCGTCGACGCTGTCGTGTGCGGCTGTGACGGTGTGGAACTGTCTGTTTGGATTGGGGGGCCGGGCGCTGGAGGCCGGGGACTGGGTGCTGACGCAGGGAACGGGGGGTGTTAGTTTATTTGCGGTGCAGGTTGCGCTGGCGGCGGGGGCGAATGTGATTGCGACGACGTCGACGGAGGAGAAGGCGCAGCGGCTGCGGGAGATGGGGGTGCAGCATGTGCTGAATTACAAGGCGGATGCGACTTGGGGAGAGACGGCGAAGAGGTTGACGCCGGATGAGGAGGGGGTGGATCATGTTATTGAGGTTGGGGGGGAGGCGACCATGCCGCAGTCGCTGGCTGCTATTCGGACTGAAGGGGTGATTTCGGTGGTTGGGTTCCTGGGAGGAGCGAAGCAGGAGCGTACGGTAAGCTTTGAGGCGATGTTGCCCACGTTGGCGATTGTGCGGGGGATTAACGTGGGGCCTGTCAGTCAGTTCGAGGCTTGTAATGCTTTTATTGACAAGCATGGGATTAAACCGATTGTGGATCCCACGGTCTTTGAGTTCGGGGAGGCTGTGGATGCGTTGAAGTATCTATGGGATCAGAAGAATTATGGGAAAGTGGTAATTCGAGTCAACTAGTCACTACAGTGTATATCACAGGGAATCCAAAAAGCATACGAATAGCAGCGAATAAACAGAAGTACAGAGGATATAAGCAACAAGGAATTCTCCAGGGCTGAGCCTATCGCACGTATTGAACCTGCGAATGAGTCGAGTGGCTTTCAAGGCTGGTATGGCTTTCAAAGAGATCCTCCTCAATCTCCGTCACGGTGGTCGACGAGCCAAACTTGTGTAAGATTGTCGCAGGCGCCAGCTCGCATTCGAACTGGGTCTTGTGCTCTTTCTTCTTGGGACGCTTGACCGGGGCATCCTCGTGTGGAAGAACAGTCCGAGGACGGGTGACAATTCCAGTGTGGAGATCATCGTCCAATTCCTGCACGTACTTGTAGGCTTCCTCGCCGGTGATTGCCAGACGCTCATAAGAGTCCAAGCCTCCAAGGCGCCACTCTTCGATAGGGCGGGGGCATCCGCAGATGTCGTACTCGAAGAATCGACGGCCAGTCTTCTGGTCTACTACCTTCCGGCGGTTGTAGAAGGCCCCGCGAGGCTTGTAAGCTGGGATTTTGGGGTTCTTCTTGTGGATCTCTTTGGTCTGCTCGACTCGGTAGTTCACAACTGGGTGGATATACTCGCAAGTATCTCCCAAGGACTTGACAGTCTTGCCCTCCTTCGTGGTTGCGTATTGGCCAGGAGTGCGGTAGTGGTGAAGGTTGGCCCAGTACATCTTGGTATAACTGTCTTTCATCTGACCAATACCCCACCCGTACTCGCGCAGCCCCTCGTAAGCAGGCTTTTCAGGGATAACTTCTTTGCTGGGAGTGAGAGGGTGAATCAGAGCTGTGGTGGTGCTCGAGGCATTGCGCCAGGCCCAGTCTGCCCAGGTTTCAGCCTTGCGTGCGTCATTGAAAGCCTTCCACTTCAAGTAGGTATCGTTCAGGTCGACGAATCTGCGCTGGCGCTTCCTATACTCGTCGAGGATGAAGCGCTCGTCAATGGACAAGTGCGGCTTGATCTGGTCAAGCATCCAGGAGAAGGTGATGGTGGACATCTCCTCCATGTCGCCCTCGTTGTTCAAGGTGTCGCTCGAGCCACCGCCGATGTTGATATGATAGCCAGGAAACCAAACCTGCTTCAAAGTAGAGTTCCTCTCCTTTCTATTCTGATACTTGACACGGTCGCGAGAAGCGGCGTTCCAGTTCTTTGCAGCCAAATTGGCGTTCTTCGCTGCATCATTGACCTCTTGGTCTGTCGCATCGGATCTGGCCTTGGTTTTCTCAGCGAACTCCAGGCAGTCCCAGTATTTGTCCTCTGCTTCTTTTTCAGCACGTTTCTTCACCTCCACTTCTGCCTCAGAAGCATCTTCCTTGGGGATGTAGAATAGGACGGGCGCAAAGGCCCTGCGAGATTCATCCAAAGCCAGGGCTTGGAACGCATGTTTGATGTCTGGAAACTGAGTCAGTCATACAAGCCTTTCTAATTCATTAGTCTTGCGCCCGAGGTGTACTCACTTGCAGAAAGCCCAACGTTGTGCCAATCACCGTGGTGCTTCGCGACAAGGTAGCTCGGAAGCTGGACACCCATGACCTCAGGCATTCCCAGAGCACCCACAGTGTCGTAGACGCCGACCAGCTCGACCTCTCGCGACCCCTTTTGCGCCCACTCGCCCTGGGGACGCTGGGCCCACACCAGCTTTCTTTGTGGGTCGCTACCAACACCTTGCCCTTCATCAAGCTTTCCCCACATCCACTCGTACCAAGCTTCACTTCTGTGGAAACGAGTCCCCGCCTCCTTCTTGAAAGCCTTATAGACCTGCCACAGATCGGCAAACTTATTCAAGTCGCGCTTGTGGCAGATACCAATGTCAGAGATCAGACCGGCAATAGTACGTGCCGTGTAAGCACCGCGTGAGAACCCAAAGCAGTAGATCTTGTCCCGGGGTTGAAGTTGAGCACGCAGAAGTTGTATGCTTCGATGACATTTCCCTCGAGGCCAACGCCGGTCGCGCCCTCGATGGCATCGCCAATGGCAAGGGCCGTGGTACCCACTCCAGAGTCGTACCAGACGACTTGCTGCCATTTCTCGTTCTTCTTGTCTGTACCAGTGCTATTTAGCGCTCGGCAGAGCCGAGTCACATTGGAGGGCACATTCTTCTTCCCAGAGACAGCGGATTGCCAAGTGCCGTCACAGCAAATGATGATGCGCTTTTTGATGGGCGTTGATTTGGCGTCTGCTCGTTGACGGAGGACACAGTCCTCAGGCTCGAGCTCGTAGCAATCGTTGTCGTAAGCTTTGGGTCCCATTGTGAGAATGATGGGGAAGATGCAAGTATCAGAAACTCAAAGTATATACTCCTGCCCCAGCCCTGGAACTCTGGAGATCCAAACTCAGAGCAATACCTCTTCTATTTATGTTTCCCGGCTCATAACTCCACTAGACCCCCGACCCACCATCTCACCAGACTGACATTATCGTTGGAGTGAATGTCGCTTGTATGCCCCAGCTTTGCCCACGGCGTAGCTTATCGCGACGCTATCAAGTCCAGCCTGGCCAGCGTAGCCCGCCGCTCGGACGAACCCATTCTCCACTGCGTAGGGAATGTCCGGCGCTTGGCCGGATCGGGAACCCCTTCAGCTCCCCGTGGATACGAGTCCTTCAGCTCTCAAGCTTCTTGTGGCGCTTTGGGTGTCAGCTCGGCTTTAGTGGCTTTTCCTGGCCAATAGCAGTTCCTGCATCGCCGGCTATATCCACGAACGCTCCCCATAACCCAGTTTGGCACGTGGAGCGTCTTCCCCACAACCCGTGCAGAAATACCCGAGATAGCGCGTACGCGATGGGGATAATTGTAGCGAGCGTCGGATCATACGTTTCTTCAGTGGAGAGGATGACCGGCCGAAATAAGGTCTTGGGGACTTCAAGCCATCCGGGTCTCATGTCAATGTGCGAGTGTTGCCTCTGCTTTTTGAGGTTGTGTAGACCGCCAGCTAGACATATATTGAAGGACGACTAATTCGAGGGCTCTCGGCAAAGACTCGGGATTAGCAAACATGCGAAACTTGGACGAACCCATGAATCATCATTCGGAATTGATTTAGTGGCTTGTTCTCTATGCTGCGCAAAATTTGAAGGTGTGGCGCAGAGGGCTTGTGCACCGCATCACCGGCTGGCTGAAGTCCGGGAAGCGTCCGTATCCGACTGATAACGAAACAAGCCCCGGTACTCTGATAGTCTACCATCAGGGATCAGCCGAGATGGGTCAATTAGTATTTCAAAAAGGAGATGCTTGATTGGTTTCCTGTGTGGTATCCTCTCTGGATGAAGGTGGATCTTTGGGAATTGGATGCCTTCGTAACACTTGCAGTCGAACTATAGGTGCGGTGAATGTAGATGTATATTCATCAAGTCTATTAGGTGCTTAACAGAAGCGACTGCCTAACGCCAATCATGCCTGATATCGAGACCCCTACTGTACCTTTCAAGGACATCTCACACCTTTCCTCCGGACGTCCCTCTCTTCACCATAAGTGACAGACGGCGGTTACCAGATTAGTAAATTGCTCCTAACTCCGATGTTCATCGCGCCTCGAAATACAGTGATATGGCTGATGGTCCAGAGATAGTAAAGCCAGACCTTCAGAAAGAGGAAATATAACTTGGCTGAACTCAACGCACTGGTCAATAACACCCGTGGACTACTTAGAACATATTACTCATGAGGCTACCCCCCTATGTCATCTTTAATCAGCTGATCATCGCGTGCGAAGGGTGACATCAACCACCGAGAACGCGCATATGCAAGAAATAGGTCAGTACTCATCTCAACCAGGGCAGGTATTAAGGATTAACTTTTTTCAGTTGGGTTGAGCCAATTACTCGTCTCTGCTAAAGAGGTGCCTGCTTTTGCGGAAGGCTGGGGACGGATCGCATTCCCCAACACAGTCAGCTACGTGGAATCAATCCAGTTACCTACCTGATATTGATCCGGTCTTTGCGCGCCCGCACAGAAGAGGAAAGATTGTTATATCTCGCTTTTGAACCGGCGGAATTTGAACGGTAGAGTCAGGCGGTAAAGAAAGGAGGGTCGGAGACTAATCGATTGCCATTAACTAACTATACTCCGCTTCTCCACGACATACTTCCGACAACCTTTCCCAATAACACCGCTTTTCCTCCTGATCATCCACCTTCCAAAATCATGGCCGACTCCAAGCCCGTCTTCAGTCCGGCCTGTCCTATCCCCTACGTTTTCCAGCCTGCAGAGAGGATCCAACAACTAAAAGATTATCTCCAGACTGAATGGGGCCAAATCCAGCGTGTAAACGCGGAAGCTCTGATCAGAATGTATGAGAGTGGGGAGCTTGGCCCGCGTCAAATGGGAGATCCCCATGTTTACCTTTTGGATGGGAAACGGGTTGATAAAACCCTTTTTGAGGATAAAGCAATGTCTGCAAACAGTCTTAAATGGATCGAGGTATGTTCTTAAATCTCTACTGAACATTTCTTATGGCGAATCAAATTTCTGATATTATTAGGGGATTTATCAGGGGATGACCCAGGGGCGCGGAATTCAGGCAATTATCTAGTAATCTATCTGACATTACTGGCTGAGGCTAATTGCTTCCTGTCCTTTGGCTTGCCTATGTCCAATTTCAACGAACGTAATTAGGACTCTAATCCAGTATCTTCGTGCTAGTCTCACCATCCCTTCCACCGGCTGCGAAGTCAGTATTTCACTCTTGACATAGTCTCTCAACGCCACCACCAGCGAGCTACCTGGGAAAGCATCTCCGGAGAGAGAAAAGACAAAGAGAATGAATGACCGGTGGAGACGGAGCTGATATTGCGGAAGCTACAACCGTGAAACTTGTTTGCTCTCGCACTTATGTTCGATTATTCTCCGTTTTCTGCTTCTCGAGGCCGAGAAGGCTTTTCGAAGCTAGACGCATTATTGCCTCTTCCTGCCGCAGCCATCTTAGATTAGTGTAGAAGCCGGGGCCGTGGTTCGTGAGGATATCCCCAAATTATCAACTCGCACGTTTCCAGAGTTCCCAAGGCGTCTAAGGATGTTCCCTTATGATATTCGCATGTCCATATCCGACGCCATGGCATGTCGGGCAGGTCACATATGATAGCCATCAAATAGTCGCTTTCAATAACCCACGTTCTCATGCCCCTCATACTTGCCACGTAGCCAAGTGGATTAGAGGGTGGAATCCTGGGTTTCGTCTTAGAGGGCAGTGGGACTTGATGGTATGCCAGAAACTTGAATATTTACTGTTTTGATCACGAGACAGTAAATTCCTTCGAATCACTGAATTATTAGTCGCCAAATTTTACCAACGTGGACGCAATGAAATAACCAATTTTTTAGAAACAACAAGAATGGGTCGGTGGTTTGGAGTGGGGATGGGGCAAGACATGTTTTACAGAAAAAGGCAAAAAAAAATTAAAAGCCCCCGCCGTGAGTCGAACACGGTACCTCAGCATAGCAGGTTAATACAAGTGCTGCGCTCTACCAAATGAGCTACAAGGGCTGGTTTAGGTAATACCCTTTCTTTTCCTTTACATGACCCTGGCTGCTACTTGTACAGGGTGAGCTGTCTGAAAGGCCGCATCTCGTTTGCGACTCTACGTGCCTACTCTAATAACTCATGTATATGTGCCTTTCTGCCTACCCAAAATGCTCCGTGCGCGACGCTCCTCTTGTAGGAATAATTTCTTCGTAGATTGCCACATCTCCCAATTTTGATGAAACTCGTATGGCTGAAGCCTTCGCAGCTGTTATAGCCTGAGAGAAGCCAAATTTATCATATGTCACTAGTCAGCACGAAGTAGATCGAGAATGCGAAGTAAGAAGAGATTGGTATATAATCAATGACTACGTTTGGGAAGAGATAATACTCGGTCATCATCAGCAAAAAGTGGATCCATTCCCATCATGTTACAACCCATAAAGGCGCCCTTGCTATGCTAAACTGATATCTACGCCAAATTAGACTGTGGCATGCTCCGAACCAGGGTTCCCACCAAGAATCTCTCTTTCAATCAGCTCAGCTTCAATCGCTGTGCGTCTTTCCCGCTCATACTCAGAGGAGTTGTCCTTGAAGACGTGGTCCATCTGCTCCAGTGTGCGCCCTTTGGTTTCAGGGACGAAGAAGAAAGTCCAAACCCCGGACAAGAAACAGAAGACGGCGAAGAAGATATATGCACCGTAGTTCGTTCCATCGACCAAGGGAGGCGTGATAAGACCCTATTGGGCATTAGCGAAGGTGCCTAGCAAGGAGGGAAAAGAAAAGATTGTGAACTTACGATGATGAAGTTGTTGAGCCAATTCGAGCAGGTAGACAGAGCAACACCCTTGGCACGCAGCGAAGAGGGGAAAATCTCGGATGGCAAGGCCCAGGGAATAGGACCCCACGTGGCCCCGAATGAAATCATGTAGAATAGCAGAAATGCAGCGCTCACCCATCCTTGGGCAGAATGGCCTTCCCAGTGGTTGTGGCTGTAGACGGCGACCAGAGCGGCAATAATGACGTGGGATAGAGTCATGAGTGCAGAGCCACCCATCAGAAGCTTGCGCCGTCCGATGATATCCATCGTGAAGATACTACTTGTAACACCGACCAATTGTAAGACATTGAGAACGCCGGACATGACAAGCTGCATGCTGTTGTCCAGGCCCATGTTGGCGAAAAGGGAGGGAGAGTAGTAGATCAGGGCGTTGATTCCGACGAACTAAATCGGTGTTAGTTGAGGCCTGCTTATGTATGATCAAGAAAATTGTATAGAGCTCACCTGCTGGAAGAAGCTGATCATGACACCGATATGGGTTCGGCGCCAGCATCCCTTTCTGAAGCAATCGGCCCAGGAAGCCATTTCTAGAAGGAAGGAGTCCTTGATACTCCCACTTTGAAGGTTGGGGTGCTTTTCAGCATTCATTTCCTGGTGAAACTTCACCTCGGCTTGGATGTCCAAGTACTCTTGCCGAATACGTCTGTCAGTAGGCGGCAGATTGCGCAATTTGCAGAGGCTTTTCAATGCTTCTTCATTGCGACCTTTCGAGGCTAGCCAGCGGGGAGAAAATGGCAGGGCAATCACGCCCGCGAGAAGAATGAAGCCGGGAATCATTTGCAGGAGGAAAGGAAGACGCCAGGACCATTCCCCGGCCATATAGCGGGTTCCGTAAGTGGTCCAGTATGCGATCACAATGCCCAGCACGATACACCATTCTTCCAGAACCAGCAAAGTTCCTCGACACTCTGGGGGGACCTAGTAGATGAGGGCAGTCAGTAAGGCGTAAGTCTTCATAGAAGTATAGGGAAGCATACTGATCTCTGAGATGTACAGAGGAGCCACCATGGACAGCATGCCAATTCCGATACCGCCAATCAACCGAGCCACAGTCAACATGGAATACTCCACGGCAGCTGTCTGCAGGATTGAGCCGATGGTGAAGATAATGACCGCAACGATAATCGAGTACCGACGAGAGATCTTGTCGGCAATCCAACCTTGGTTCAAAGCACCGACGAAGGCACCAAGCTCAATCATGGCAGTCAATAGACCCTTCCAGAAACCGCTTTCCGAGATGCGAGGAAACTCGCCGAGGAATTGGTCCATCACCAAGATTACCGACACCACACCTTGATCATAACCAAAGATCAACCCACCCAGCGTCGAGCACGCCGCACACAGGAGCACAAACGGACTGCTCACCAGGCCGCGGAGACCGGGAGGACCATAGGGCTCCCGATCGGCAGTGATGTCTTCGGCATGGTGCGTGAAGCCATCGACGTCGCTCGATAGATGTTTCACTAACTCTGGATTCTTTGCCATGATAATGAAGAGAGATGGAGGGGAGGGATGCACCCAACAGGTATAGCCGTTGGATTTCCTGAAAGTGCTCCTTCAAAAGCCGGGAAACAGATGATATCGGGCAATACTTATACACAGTTCCACACTCGCTACGAGCCCCCTCTCTTCCGGGGTATGGCCGACCGATTGGTAAAAGCCAGAAGGCTGATTGGATGATTGCCAAGGCCATCCCGGTCTTTGCGGGGTCCCGAGAAAGCATGACGGCAAATCCACGGCTTGACGGTCATACTAATTGGACCCCAGACCGTATGGGGAAACGACGGGGGGTGATCCACTGCAGTTCGGGGTGTGGGGGAGCTGGAGAACAAGGCGTGGTTACCTAGTCCTGCGCACTGGTTGGCTGGAGGCCCGGCTTTTGAAAGCCTGGTCCTTCTGGTCCTTTCTGGTCCCTCCTCATCTTTGACCTAAATCTCGTGAGCTCGCAGGGGCGCCTGAAGAACATGCAGACAGAGGAGGCCGTAGGACTATTGTTCCCTTGTAGACGCAGCATGAGCAGCAGTCACCTCTACTCGTAGTTGCTCAAATCTCTACGGCTTCTGTGCGACTTTGCGACTACGATACCCCCCCGGTGCCTGGCATTTCTGCCCTATTGCGGCCCTCGGGAATCATCTTCCTGATAACCATTTCGCTCCTTCACCCCCCTGGATGACCGTTGCCTGGGAGGAGGGACTTCGGTTTTGGTCCGATAGAAACTCTCAACTATGGGACCAGTCCTGGTTAGGCATGACCCATGCAAGTGAGACCGGAAACTCTCCTCCATGCCCAGACAAGAGGGGCAATAGACGGCCCGCCTCTTCCATTGGGCAGCGTATTGTCGCACCGAGATCGTGATGCCATCCAGGTGAGATTAACATCTGATCTCCAGGCGTGATGAAGGTACCCCTGGCGGCTGGAATCTCGTAATTGCAAGCCTATTGCTCCTCCAATTTCTGGGGTCAGATGCGATTACGAGCAAAGAGGTTGGGCATGGCTTCCCCCCGTTCCGCCTGTGGGGTTGCAAAAAGGTGGTTATTGAAAATGTCGGAATCGCAGCCCCGACATTCTCGAACTTACCGTCTTCCACATCTTTCCAACGGATTCCAGTTTCCGGTGCCACGACGTCACTTCCCCCAGAATCCTGGTGATACCCATCTAAGCACGCATATCTTCATCTACCACCATGGCTTCTTTCGTCGAGGAGCTTTGGTCCAGCATCTTCGTACCCGGCCCCACCCCCACGCTCCTGGTCGCCACGAACGTCACCTTTGCGGCCCTGCAGCTCGTGCTCTTCGTCCTCCTCCTCGCAACCAAGAGCATCCATTTCATTGCTCTGTCCTTGTTGAGTGCCGGCCTGTGGTATTCTATCAACTGGTTTGCGCGGGAGGTGCGCCTGGCCCAGCTAGCCCAAGAGGCGGAGAAGAAGAAGCAAGCAGAGGCCGAAGATGGCCCCGATAAGGGAAAGGGCACTGGTGCGGTAGAAGGGGGTAGCGATACCGAGACGGAAGACATTACTGCGCTGAAGACATCTACCTCCGCCATCGCAACCGGCAGTGCTGCGTCGAACACCTTGCGGCCTGTTGAGCGAGACCCCAAAAAGCGACCTAGCTTTGGGGCTGATAGTTCTGGCTATGTGAGCACCGATAGCGACTGGGAGAAGGTGGGCGATACTTAGATGGGACGATTTCCCGATAGACTTGGGTGGTATCCTATGCCTGCGCTATACAGAGCTGTGCTAATCACAGCGGGCTTGAGCGGAAGGACTGCTCTTCTCCTTTAGTTCTGGATTTTATTTCTTTTTTTTTTCTACGGACCTGTCAGATGTGACATGATACCCCCTTTGTTATTTAGCGCTGGCCTCTTTTGTGGGCTGTCGTATGGCTTCACGGCGCATTGCATCGTGGTTCTTTTGTTTTGGGACCCCCGCTTTCCTCATCCCAGCGCTGTCTTTGAGCCAGCGACCGAGGACTATGACAAATAGCATATTTATGAAGCACATCGAAAGATCAACTACTAGCAAACATCTTATTCTTGTCCGTCCTCTATAAATGGCATTGCAAGCAAAACGTTGTGAAGACATGTAGAAACTCCACGTGACCACGCGCGTCCATCAATTGAAGGACCCCAACTTCCGCTAGCAACAACAGCATTCAAGCCTCTGGAAGCCCCGCTTTTCCGGCACCAACGCCTTGCTCAGAATGTCCCTGCTGCTATGAGCACTTCGTTAGCCAATGTCCCCCTAAACGCGGGACGACGACGCGTCTTCAACTCCGTCTTCTCCCCCGCGTCACTCCAAGCCCGATCACCATTCTCTCCGAGCGAGAACGAGAACCTGAATGCGTCTTTCCAATCGACCGGCTCCTCTTCTACCGTGAGAAATGACTCGTTCGCTGTAATCCATCCCGATGGGGTCGCCGACTCCGACCGAGATTGGGACCGAGCATGGACCGCAGCAACTGCCTTCCTGGCAGTCCCTGACCTAGGCTTCGCACCGGTCTATGAAGGAAAAGATACAGATGGAAGTGATGCAATCCAAGCATTCGGCAGGTTAAGCCCTCCTTCCAGGGAGACCGCAGATGCTCTGACTTATTTGGTCTCGGCGGCGCCACAGGCCGCAGACGAATCGAAGAACCTGATTAGCTGGTACGGCGATGAGATACGGAGGCACTTCCTTTTGAACCTCCGGGGAGGGCTACATCAGGTATGGAATTGGCACTGGAATCCGGACCACCGGGCCATCTGGGAGTAGAGCTAATCTGAGGCCTGTTTAGCTTCTCAAACACCCCGAACAGGCCGGCCTGCTTCGCGATATGGTGAAATGTTTACAGTTAGCGCGTCGAATCTACTTGACCCCTGTCATTCACGAGCTTATGCCACGCCTGAGGGCGTCGACACAAGGCGTGGTGCTGACCCAGCTTCAGCGAACCTTCCATGCTGTGGTGTCATATTCTCTGCCGTGGTCGCAGATATCCACACTTTTGGCAGGAGAACTCGCGCAAAGTGCGATTGTCATCCTCGGCATTGATACTCTGCTTGAAGACTCATCTTCCGATGAGGACAGCGAGAATGATATGCAGATAGACCGTCATTACTCGGTTTCATATGATGACTGGAGACAACAGAGCCCCGAAGACCAAGCACACATGATGCTCGACAGCGAAGGAAGCCACGTGACTATCGCTAGGGACCAGTTGTTGGCATTCATGAATGGCCTGGAGGTGGTTGGGCTTGGTGGTGATAAAGCGCAGAAGGTATTTGCAAGCGTCATGAATATCATGATGACGGAGTTTGTGCGCGCGGCGTACACAGATCGATGGGAGGCACCAACATCTGCTCTTGCACACCTGCGGCATTGGGTAGACAATGTCTTCTGTCGACTCGTAGTGCAAGTTCTGGCGACCATCCATACTCCTACAACCGACAATCGAGTTCCAAGTACTGCAGATGTCAGTTCTGGAGATATAGAGAAGTGGCAAGAAATTTCGGTGGCTCGCCTCGGTGCTCTGCGGACGAGCGAACTCTTCGATGTGATTGTGGAGTGGCCTGCGAGTGCTGGCGCTATTGAAGACCTGCGCCAGTTCATCACTCATCCTGCGGCTAGGGCCTATGTCACCCAGTCGTTCATTGCGTCGTTGAACCAGCGCTTGCTCCACCCAGGAGCTTCTACGGTCGAGATTTTGCAACTGTACATTTCCATCATTCGAGGGTTCCATATCCTAGACCCGAAAGGTGTCTTGCTCGATCGGATTGCCCGCCCAATCCGGCGTTATTTGAGGGAGCGTGATGACACCGTCAAAGTCATAGTCAGTGGATTGCTGGCAGAGGCACCTGTAACAGCCGCGACAGAAGCAACGCTGCCCTCCAGCACTGATACATTAATAGAGCTATCAACAGAGCTCGCGCGAGCACACAAGCTATCCCTCGAACATAAGGACAGCGAGCTGGACTGGGATGATGCGAACTGGATGCCTGATCCGGTCGACGCAGCGCCCGATTATCGCAAGTCAAAGAGTGCCGACGTGATCGACAGTCTGGTCAGCCTCTTCGACTCGAAAGAAACATTCGTCAAAGAGCTCCAAACCCTCCTCGCCGACCGCCTCCTCCAGAAACGCGAGCACTACGACCAAGAAGTCTCCGTCCTCGAGCTCCTCAAAGTACGCTTCGGCGACTCCGCTCTCCAAGCCTGTGAGGTGATGCTCCGCGACATCTATGACTCGCGTCGCGTCGACGGTGTAGTCCGCAACGACCAAGGCCTCAATAAACCCCCCCACCCGCATGGCAAGCAAGCGCCAGCCCCGGAATGACATCCCCGAGCTCCACGCCAAGATCCTATCGCGCTTCTTCTGGCCCGAGATCCAAGACCAAGAATTCAAGATCCCCGACGAAATCCAGTCCATCCAAGACCGCTATTCCGCGGGCTTCGAAGCAATCAAGCAATCCCGCAAACTGACCTGGCGCAACGGCCTTGGCCAGGTAACCGTCGAACTAGAACTCGAAGACCGCTCCTTCTTAGAAGAGGTGACCACCTGGCAAGCAACCGTCATTCACGCCTTTCAGTCCTCCGACGAGTCCACCACAAAAACCGTCGAGGACCTCACCGAGGAACTCGAAATGGCCGCCCCTCTAGTCCGCAGCGCCTGTCTCTTCTGGGTCAGCAAGCGCATTCTCGCCGAAATCAAGCGCGACTGTTTCCGCGTTCTTGAAACCCTGCCCAGCGAGGACGAGCAGCATGTCGCCGGACCGGGCTCCGCAGAGGATGAGAACAGCGTGGATGACGCCGCAAATGCCGCTGCTGCTGCCGAGGCTGCGGCTGCAGCCGCAGCGAAGGAGACCGCCGAAGCTGCTGCGATGGAGAAAATGAATCTGTACTGGCAGTTCATTGTCGGCATGCTCACGAACCAGGGCGCGATGCCGCTGCAGCGGATTGTCATGATGTTGAAAATTGTTGTGCCGGGCGGGTTCCCGTTTAGCAATGAGGAGCTGCGCGAGTTCCTGGCTGGGATGGTAACGAGGGGCAAGCTGGAGATTGTGAGTGGGGGGAGCTATAAACTCGTGCATTAGATGGAAGTGGAACTTGTGCATATGCTTGGCGTTTTGGGTGGTTTCTTATACCCTATGAACTATGAGCACCAGTAGATCAATCATTCCAATAAGACATTCGTATTCTCCGGACTTGGTAGAACTGCAGCATTCCTTTGTCGTCCGTTCCTTGTTGTGGACGACCCGTAGCACTGATTATTGTGTGTGCTAGTATACATCACAGCTTTGCCTACGGGTTTGTCTGCATCCATCGATCGCCACCAAGAGTCTCATAGGAGCCCTGGCTTGACCGGCCCTAGAAGCTTGGGCTAGATCTCCAGTAATCCACTCAATCAGCTTCTTTTGGTTTACACATACTATCATCTGATCACGCCCAAAGCCCCTTTACCCATACCAATGTGAAGGATAATAAAATAAATTCAAAGCTCCAAAATGCAAGATATCAAATCCACCCCCACTACGCCTAATCCGCATCCAAAAGCGCCACAGGCGGCTGATCATCCACCTGGATCCCGCCCCGCTTCTTCTCATTACTATCCCAAAACGGCAACTTCCACCCTCCCTCGCTCTCCGGCGTCGCGAGCCACAACCGCATAAGGTGCCTGCGCGGCGCGGGCGGCGCGTGGTCTTTGTACGCGGTGCGGGCATGCAGGACGTGCGAGTTTGCGACGAACTGGATATCGCCGATCTCGAGGACCATGTGCAGCGAGTGGGCGTTGCAGGTTTCTTCCAGGACGCGGATGGCTTCGTGTTGGGCGTCGCTGAGGGGGGGAATGAGGCCTGCGTCCGAGAAGCGGGTGAGGGAGCGGACGAAGTAGGGGTCCCATCTAGAGAATCGTTAGATCTGCCTTTTTTCCTTCCTTCCTTTCTTTCTTTTGTAGGACTAGGCGGCAAGGATGCAGGAGCTTACTTAGTATAAACGCGGGGGTTCTCCCCGCGCTCGAGATACATGACGCTTGTGCGGATCCACTCTTTCTGTCCCTTGCTGGTCTCGCCTTTGCGGTCGAAGTACCAGATCGGTTCTGTGAGGGTCTTCAGGACATCGGGGCGTTCGGCGGCCAGGTGGTTGTAGACGTTGTGGGAAGAGACGATGTCTGACTCGCCGCCCTCGAGGGCCCGCGCGATACAGAGGAGACCGACGATGTCGCAGTCGTCGGCGTGGAAGTATTGACTGGTGCGATCATTAGTTCTGCTGCTGTTGGAACAGGTCGTTTCTCTTCCGGGAGACTCACCGAGCGTTGGTTCGGTAGATTCGAACTTTGTCGATCTGGGTCGAGTCCTCGCCCAGGTCCTTGACATGGCCGAGGACATGGCCGCGGCTGTTCTGGCTGACAAAGTAGCCAAGGTAGGTGCCCAGGCCCATGTATGCGACGGCGGATTTGTGGTTACCCCATTCTTGGACGGGGAAGCCTTTGAATAGAATGAAGCCCTTGCCGTCGATCAGGTCGAGGCGGAGTTGCTCGAGGAAAGGTGCTAGGTTGGGGACTTGGAAGTTACTCTAATCCGGATAAGCTTTGGATATCCAGGAACATAGAAGCTAGTCGTTGTGGAGGAATACCTTTGAGATTCCGGTGAGAGGAGTCTTCGACGCTAGGAACGCGTCGGCTGCTGCACTAAGCTCGGCGATCTGCTCGGGGGTGAATCGGTGTGTCCATTTCTCGGGCTGATCGCGATAATCCTCCGGTCGCCAGACAGTCTTTCCGGTTATCTCCTTAGGAAAGCGCTCGAATGGCACGATGTGGTCATAGAGGGGCTCATGCTGGCCGGTTGTTTTGAGGCCATCGGGGAAGATGTCCAGCGGGGCATGGAGATTGTGGGGTGCAGTAGGCAGAGCGTCAGTCAGCGCGGGAGCCATATTGATCCAAGTCGACGAGCTTCACGTGTGTAGCATAGAGGAAGGCAGGGTGCCAATGAGCTATTTATCTTCTTCTGGTTCTACGAGTTTACCGGCCGAGATGGGGTAGGTTTAAAAGTATTGGGTGAGGAATCGGTGGGCTAGTATGGCGTGCGAGCACAATCGTCATGCCTATTCGATGCCGATATTATGGAACACGTTGGAACAGCCAGTTCCACAGAGTCTACAACGGATCATTACATGATTCTCGTTTGAGGGGGGTTCTGCGTTGCCTCATTGGACGCTGGCTCGACGATGGCGCAATTCAAGGGGGTCGATGTTGTGATGGCGACCTTCACTAGTTCATCGACTCGGACGACATAGGGCAACTCTGCAATTAGGCACAATATTAAACCGTGCTGGCCATGTGCATGGTTCAACGGATGATATGCACCGGGTAAAAATAATAAATAATATCCGAGTCAACTGGGTCGACCGACAGGGCTGGGAAGGCGAGGTTTTAATGCTACAACGGAGTCCCTATCCCGCGGGCCCGAAGTATAGAGCGGGGGCTCTAGGCTTCACAGAGCCCCTGCCAATCCATTCGGCCGACAGATCGATAATTCATATTGTTGAAGATCGTCGTTGATCCGAAGCTCGAGACGACGACCCGGGTTGAACGCTGTAGAGCTCACCCGCAAGCCGCTGCGTCACCAATAGTTGGGCAGGATGGTACATTAGGTGGGCTCTGGAACCAAGGATCAGAAGGGAATTGACTAGATTACCGGTTACTGGCAAGAATTGAAAGTATAGAGGCATATTTGGTATAATAGATTTTAGCATTCGCAAGGGCGGGATCCGGTGTTGATAAAGCCCTGATCGGTTTTCGACGGGTCCACGCGTGACTTTGTGATCGCTCAGGTAATCAATGGCCCTCACGCATGCATGAAATGCGTGAATGATTGTGGGGTCAAGAACACATTCCCTGTCATGATCTACTGTAGAATCAGGCTCAGCATTAGTTATAGATCTCAATGGGAATTATGCTCATCTGCGACCACAGCCATTACTAACGGTTCTTCTGCTGGAACCCCACCTAGACAAGGATTCGGCTGCCTCTTCTGGTTTTCGCTCTCCACTTTATTAATCACAGAAACCCTTATCAGGCATGGCGATCCGAACGCTCTATCAGAACATGGTGAGAAATCGTTCAGAATGAAATATCTCTCGGTCACCTTGACAAGCACCAGGTCTATCGTACGATCTATACTCCCCTTCCTATCTTTGAGAGTATACAGTGGAGCCTCATAGGTGCTGAATGGCGTCCCAGTCCCACCCTATCCATGTCGCCGTACTAGATACCGACATTCCGTGCCTATCGGTTTACGCTCAGCGGGGTCTCTATAGTTCGCAGTTCCGCGTCCTACTCCAAGCGGCTGCAGAGCGCCTCAACAAGAATGCGAGGACCAGCCTCCCAAATGGCCCACTCGGCGTGCATGTCACTGCTTTCGATGCCGTAGGGGGATCATTGCCTCCACTCGAATCGCTTCGCACGAGCCCGGCGTCTCCAACCGAGACGCCTGCCTCACTGGGCCCCATTGATGCGATTTTGATCACCGGCTCTGTATGCTCCGCCTACGACCCGCATCCATGGATCAAGCACCTTACTTCGTACATCCAAATGGTGCACGCCAATTTCCCCTATGTCAAAATGTTTGGCTCCTGCTTCGGCCATCAGCTCATCGCCCAAGCACTCCTGTCAGAACCTACCGCAGACGCGCGGTGTACCTTTCATGTTGAGTCTGCGCTGAGTGGCTTTGAAGTAGGAATCCACCCCATCACCCTGGAGCCGGCTTTTACTGCACATTTCCCACCCCTTGCCCGCTTGTCGGGACCATTCCGCATCCAGCTGGTCCACGGCGACCAAGTAGTCCCAACTCCCGCCGCTGTGGCTGCATATGGGACGAATGTGGCCCTACCTGCGCCCTGGATCAACATGGGCAGCAGCGCTGTTTGCCCGATTCAAGGGCTGTACAGCCCCGGCCGCGTCCTGACATACCAGGGCCACTTCGAGTTCGACACGTTCGTCAATAGCGAACTGAGCCTGGAATTTGGGCGCCGCAAGAACTGGCCGGCGGAGGTCGTTGACAGTTATCTGCAGCAGATCAACCGCACCCTCGTGCCAGGCCACGATGATGATGACGATTCCAAAGCTGCAGCGGAGGCAGTTCTGTTGTTCTTCGCTGGCGAGGATCAGCCGCAGAAACATGCCTTTATACAGAGCGATGGGTTGCTTACGCCGCCCCTTGAGTAGATTTCCTTTCTGTGCTTTCCACGGTCAATGGATGTGAGGAATTGTTGGATATGTTGGTCTGCGCAGCAGCTCCTCATTCTTGCCTGTTCGCCCTATCATCGGGAGCGGAATTGAAATAATATGAGTACATTATAGGGCCGGAGTTGATATCCAAACTCTCCATTACAGGGGCTTCCCCAACGATCCCTGGAGGTTGGAGAATCTTCAGGCCCCTCGTGAGTGGCAAGATGTAAGAGATGGGTTGCCTGGGCTGATCTAGATCCCATCTGAGACGCAGCTGGTATGTTAGCCTGCAGGGAGCGATAGAGGGATCATAGGGAGAAGGAAACCACATAGAGAGAGATACATAGTAATTTAACCCAGAATGCCCAAATTACCTCCGGATACAGTTACGGCCGAGTCCCATTCATCACAGATCACCCTCGGGCAAAATACCGTAACGAAATTTGGTGTCGACACAGCTCCACTGTTACAGAACCTCCGCTCAGCCGCTTCGGGAGCAGCCCAACACTGGCATCAGGCTGGGCTCTACCGGCTACATACGATCCAGGTATATCAGAATCCACAAGTCCAGGCACTAAGCGTCCTGCCCGCGTGGAATTGGTTTTTCTTTTCTTTTCTTTTTTTCTTTCTCGATTTGCATGATTCCCCTCCTGCACGGGGCTATCCAGAACCGGGATGGCGCCCTTGCCGCAGGGGCCCCTTGGCCAATCAAGCTTCACCTAATTGGCACTACGAGGTCCACGCAAGCGGCACAGAGCCAATCATTCTGCTTTTGGAGATGGCTATTCATCGGCATGTGCCCCGGAGGAGAGCGGTTATACAGTGTACCGGCTCGGTGTAATACGGGGGGTTCTTACGCATTGCAGTTGGAGCTGGTCGGAGGTTCGTTTTCAGCTCTTCCAGGGAAATCAGCACAGGTGGGGAACTGAGCCTGCATAGATTCCCCCCTCTCTTGAGCCTCGGTCGCTCGAGTGAAATCGGGTGTGTCCTGCCATTACGATCTCTTTGTTTCTTGGTCGTTATCTGATCTGATCCAATGCCTTTTTCTTACAGCTCTAGTTTGCTAGCTCTGTAAGTGGGGGATGAGGTTTAATACGGTATGGTAACGTGGCGCTAGGAATTTGCCACCCGGAGCTCCCCTCCTTCGCTCGCCAGAGCTTCTGGAATCCCAAGCTCGAAGAGCTGGGGAGAGCTTCGGAGGGGCCGCTGATAGCGCCTATCGCACCTTCCCCTATCAGCACAATCCTAACGGCAACTATCGATACGTTCTTTCTTGCTCTTGCTCTTCAGTTATAGTCCAATAAATAATAAAGCCTCCCAGGGCCTTCGGCGCAGCGCCGGACTTTCCGAGCCGGGCGTTATTGGAGGGAAAAAAAAAAAGGGAAAATGACCGTATCTCTAGGCATCAAAGCTCGAGGGTCACTGGATGTCTGTATATCACACCTGAGGCCATGTAGCATAATAGCTAGCATTCAAAGCTAATCTAGCTATTCCAAATACCAGGTACCGTCTGTTAGCTTACTCGTGATAGAGCAGAAATTATCCTTAAACCCCCTTAAAAGCAAAGAAAAAAAAAGCTGCAGCTGCGGGGGGGCGTAAATTACGGGGGCAATACCCGCCAAATCCCTATCCGCACTTTACGGATCGAGTTCCTTTCGATGTACAGCGTTCGCCTCTTTCCCTTTTCTCTTCTTCCTTCTGCCCGTCTCTTTGCACATTTTGTCTCCCTAACGGCCCCCAGTTGGTGCTTTTCCTCTTGTCTACTTTCTTTTTGTCTTCCCGTGCTTCTTTCCCTTCTGTTCTTCCTCCCAGAGAGGGTTCCCTCCCCACTCCTCTCTATATATGCACCATGCCCCCTCGAAGCTCGCTGACCGGCTCCTTCTCGGTCACCGACGCCAACAATGAGGTGGTGTGTCCCTTGAAAAATAATGATGGGTCCAATTGTCGCAAGCGCTGTCTCGGGGTAAGTGCCTCTTTCTTAGTCCCACCTAGCCATTATCCTCGTCGGCTCGAAATGCGCCCGGCGGGCATGGCGAACAACATGATGTATAGATATAGAACCCCTCCCTCCATATCGTCGGCGTAAAAATCTCGATCTAGACCCTGGAAGCTGGTATCAGAATCTAATCAGGCCCCAACAGGAGAAACGTTATCGCTCCATGCAAGAACATATCCGACGTGCGCATCCGAACCACTACATCCCGAAGCTCCCGGCCACCGAAGAGAGCTTCCTCCTGATGGTCAATACCCCGCCGGAGCAACGGGCGCATCTTTCTCCCCCCGATCCTGTTCCCCGCCGTCGTGGTCAGTCGGATTCCTTTGGTCTGAATGTGCGCATTGCTAACGGTTACCTGCAGATGCGGCGGATAGAGACATCTATGTCGCCGATGCCAGCTCCCCGGCCACCCCTCGAGCTCTGGATGAACCCCACCCCGCCGCGGCCACGGCTGCTGTCGCACTCGCTCAATTACACCACCATCGACTAGCCTCCGACTGGGAAACCGATACTGTAGGTTCTTCGAACCCTCGCCTGTCTTGCGATGCCTTTTATTTTTTTTTCCCCCTTTTGCGCAAATGGGGTTCTCCCTCCCAAAACTACTCGCATCCCAGGTCGCTCACACCCTTCAGGATACACATTCCGATACCGATCTTGCCAACGATCGCATGCGCTCGTCGATTGAGTTGCCGTCACTGCGCGACCATTTCAAACAAGAGTCTTTGCCTCCTTTTTCACCGCGACCGCGAGGACTACTTCCATCGATCCTCAACCACTCCCCACCCGGCCGCTCATCCACGTTACCTCCCATCCAGCGCAAAGAAAAGCTTCCTCGGTCGCGCAAATCGTCAATCACTCAATCAGCCCGGAAGCCGAAACATGAGCGCCAACGGTCCAAGGAACATGCGCGACGGCCCAGCCTGGGCGACAGGAAAGCGTTGTCGGCTGAGCCGCAGACTGCCGCTTGGGCACAAGGAAAACGCTGGGAAGATCTGATTGAAGCTGCGACGTCAGCTACAGAAGCTGATGATGATCGGTACTCAGAGGTGAGTTTGGATATTGGGGGAGCAATACAATCCTTAGCAAAGAAATATAGGTTTCCTTTTCCATGAGCCCGACTAACTCAATTCAAGGCCGGTCGGTCCCCCACAATTGCCCCGCTGCTCGCCAATGCCAACGTCACCTCAGCACCTAATTCAAAGAATCGCTCTTCACTTCCTCCGGCCTTTCAGCCGGGCGGACTCCCTCCACTTGGCTCGCATCGGGCCTTCCCACCCCATTCTTATGCTGCTTCACCATTGCACAAATCGCTTACCCCCCCCGCCATTTGAAGGACCCCGTGGTCGCGATAGTGATTTAGAACCATTCCCTTCCATTGAATCGTCATTGGACTCTATGTCCGTTGCATCTGGAGGAAAGAACTTCCCATCCTCGGCATCAGGCATTGCACAGTCGGTCACCTCTGACTCCAGCCCTGTTATGAATTTGGCTCCGCCCGTCAACCAGCGTCAGCATCATCGGTTTTCCAACCCGACCCCATCGTCTTTCCGCAGCAAAGATATCCAGATATACTGTGCAAATTGCAAGCGTGCTTGGGCCCTTAACGACTGCTACGCCTGTACAGAATGCATCTGTGGCGTCTGCCGCGAATGTGTCAACATGTTCATCGCCAGTCCACCTACATCTTTCCGCAGCCCCGGAAACGGTCCCTTGAATAATGTGACTTCGCATCCGACAAGTTACCCCGGACCTCGGGGCTGTCCTCGCTGCCGGACAGTTGGGGGCAAATGGAAGGCTTTCCAATTGGATTTCAAATGAGCCACGCTCCAACTCATGGCTTTATGGATATCATGACGCAACGTTATATATGGTCGTTCTTTCTTTGTCTCTTATTCCCCCTTTTCTATCCTTATCTTATGACCTATCTCAGTGCGGCGCAAGTTCAACAACCTCAGCGTAGCGACAGGATCTCGCTCTTCCGACCAGTACTGCGCAGGTCTCGCACGTTCAAAAAAATGGGGAAACAAAGCTGGCCTTTTCCCTGGTGGTCGTTTTTCTCTCTTTTGGTTTTTTTTCTTTTTTTTTCCTTTTTTTTTCTTTTTTTTTCTTTAATTTTTGGATTCTCCGGTTGGCATCTCTTGGGGTTTATGTGTTCTTGTCTATATGGTTTCTGATGATTTGGTTTACTCTATCTGGATTTCTCACCGTGGATCATGACTTTATGCGTTGGTTTTCTGACTTTATGCCCAATCACGCACTTTGTACTGCATTTATTCCCTTCTTTTTCTCGTTTTCACGATGCTCTGATATTGATCCTAGTATAGAAAGAGCCCTTGGAAGTCCAGACGCCTCGAGGCAGTCTCGATTCTATTTATATTCTCAACTTGACATCCGTCTCTCTTTAATCCTCCCAAATAACACTACTCAATCCCTCAGCAGAACCCACCTTCCCAGGCTCGCCTACCTGCAGAACCGCAATCTTCTCCCCCCAAATCCCCCGTCTCCCGATTCCTCCTCACAATCGCCACCGTCGCCGACGCCTGGTTTCCAATCGCCACTAGATCTCCCGCCCGATTCACCGCCATAGTACGCGGAACCTTCCCCAACGCCGGCGACCGGCCCCTCACACTAACAGTCCCATCACTCGGCGCCCGATCCAGCGTGACCACCGAATCATTTCCCGCAAAGCCTCCATCGCTCCTTACAGAGACATACACCTGCTCCCCCAGCAACCTGATCTCCGCAGGCGTCGCGCCCTTCGGCATCGTCGCATTGTGCTTGCCGTACGGCACGACCGTCTGCCGCACGCTCAAATCCAGACACCCGTCCCGCGCATACGACACGTCAAACACCATCAGCGTGCCCCCGATCTCGTTCACAATGTACAGCTGCGTTTCGCCGACAGCGGCGACCTGGCGCTGGTGCGTCGTTGAGCCCGGGCCCGCGGACGTCGAGCTGTTGCTAGTGCCGTCGGTCCAGAAGACGCCGTGGCGGGGCCCGCTGCCAAAGGTCACATTGACGGAGGGACAGGTGTGTAAAGTGCCGGAGGAGGGGTCGATGGAGTAGATGCGGAGGAGGTCGGCGCCTAGATCCGGGGAGACGAGGAAGGAGCCTGTGGGGTCGAGGAAGATGGAGTGAGGGTGGGGGGTGTCTTGTTGGGGGGTTGCGCCTTGGTGGGTTAGTTTGAAGTGGAAGGCTTGTTTGGAGGTCGCGTTGTTGGTTAGGGGGAGTCGGTAGGTTGAGACGGCGGCGCCTTCGCTGGGGGTGGGAAGTTAGTGTTTGCTTTTTCTTTTTCTTTTTCTTTTCTTTTCTCTTTGGTTGTCTGGGTTATTTTGCAGTTGAGGAGGAGGAGAGGGAGAAGAAAGTGAGCTAGGAGGGAAAGGGTTATATATGGGAATTGCCCGGATCCCAGTAGATATCAAGGTCCCCAAAGTCTTCCAAACCCTAATTGGGGAAAGAAGCAGAGAAAAACAAAGAAAATTGAAAGAGAAAAAGAGAGGAACGTACTAATGCGCGATAGCAAGGTACTTATCCCCTGCCCCAGCCTCAAAGATAGCACTGTACACACCACCGCCCACCGTCTCCGTCTTCGCAACCTGCTTTAGCTTCCCATCGTGCGAGACTGCATACGCGCTCAGCGAGCCGTGCGTCGACGGATCGGTCGTCCCATCCTCGTCCGAGCAGTACAGCGTTTTCGACTCTGCGTCAAAAGTCAGCCAGCTCGGCATATTCCCGCACGTCTTCTGGGTGTCGGTGATCGCGAGCTCGGAGCCGGAGAGCGAGAGCGAGTAGACGTTGCCATTGTAGTGTGTCGCCCAGAGACGAGCCGGAGCGTGAGAATGGGATGGGGCGACGGGCCTATGCAGCGTTGAAGCAGCGGCTGTGCTGAGGAGCGAGAGGAGAGGCGCGTCGTAGAGACGCATGGTGTATTATGTTATGCAGAATGTACCTTGGCGAGTCCAAGTCCGTACAGTGGTAGTAGAGGAGAACACAGCGGAGAGAACTGGGCGACGCTCTGTATACTACTGGGTATAACGAAGCCGAGGGCTGGAGAGGGGAACGAGGACGGCAGCTACGGAGATTTACGCGAGAAAGCGCGGGATGATCAGCATTGTTTGGGATGTTGCATCGGCACGGACGGTCTGAAGGGAGCAGCAATGCGCTTCAGACCGTGTTTCGTGGGATAGGTGGAATGGATCGTCGAGGCGCCTACTGCTTTATGCCGAAGTGTGGAGTCGGTGGAGCGCGGGAGGGGGTCGCGGTAGGCTGGGAGTCCAGGGGGCCCTTTCGGACTTTAGGCACTTTAAGACTGCTTGGGGACGTTGTACTCGGCTCAGGAGGGAATTATCCCGGTGGCTGATGGGCTTCCTTAAGAGAGTGCGGTCGGGCGAGGTTGGGGGATTTTGGGGCGCTGGGGGCAGGATTTGGGGTGTTTCATGCGTATAAGTGGTTCTTGGCGTGGATCTATATAGATTGAACGAGTCTGCCACGGGGTTAGTTGTTTCAGCGTCTGCGGGTTTGGCTGGGGTGTGGAATATCGGGCTTGGGAAGTAGTACTTAGTCCGAGTGATATTTGGAGAGTATATTTCATCGAAAACCCTCGAGTGCATTGATAAATCCTAACCCTTCGAATCATCCCTACCTGGAAGATGTAGTGTGTTGCATAATAGCTACTAGTAATATATATGTCGGTGTCAACCACAGGCGCTCTTTGAGCCGCGTCAAATTCTAGGACCTGGACACCTTCAAATCGGGTCCAACTTAATTGTCCTACGGGCAATTCATGATACCCAAAGGTTCTGTCCGCAGGATATACCCGTTACTAGTGTCTTAGGAAAGTCACTTCGAGGCCATGAAGGATACTAAGAACAGACCAATTGACAGTCTATAGGTAATGGAGAAATAGTGAAATGCCACTGGGCGCCGTGTCACAGCCCTCCCCCTAGTCCAAAAGTTGTTGTGGGAGGGGCTGGTCAATTGAGGTTCCGGTAGCGTGGGGGCATACTAATAATGCGATGTGCCGATGCCAGTAGCTTCAAGCTGCCTACCAATAGCCCGCGGTCTCTTCAACTTCAATGTCTTTTTTTAAGCTCCCCTTTCCAAGTGACCTGGACATCTCTACATCATAGTAGAGGCACATATATTCCATTCTCACTATCATGATTTAGTTTTAGAGCTTTAGCCTACTGTGGCAAGAATCCCGATATGCAGACTCATTGAACTCCTGACACCATTCACTGGACCCGGGCGGCCCGCCCAAGTTTAGCCCCAGACAAGCGGGGTACTCCCAGCTCAGCCCCAGGAAGTTGACTCCTCCAACCCTCGAAATGAGCGAGGAGTACACGCCAGGCATCGTATGTGTCCTGGCCTTCGAGCAGATGGCCGTCATAGACATGCTTGGCACTTGTGCGAAACGTAGTCCGAGTTCTCAGCCTTCGCATAAGAGACCCCCTCAGGCGAGTAGTTAGACACGGTATAGTCTATCCCAACCATCCAGGGCCAGTGTGAAGTGGACAACGATGGGAAGGCGGAGGATTATAGCTCCTGTAAAATTGCCCTACATGTGGAAATGTGGGATCATGAACGGGTGTCACAGTAAATGAGCTGCGGTAGGTATCCTTCCGGGAGACTGAGGGGAAATACCTCCCGAATTGACGATAGAGATCCGAGTCGTGGCGAGAGCAGAAGTCAAGAGATAGTACAACCTTCTGAAGGGGACTCACTTCGTAGATCGTGAAATGACATTTTGGTGTTTTGCATTCGTTCCAGGCCTGCATAGCAGTGTCGGTCCCGATTTACGAGCGCATCTCGTGATCTTTTGAGTCTACAACCTTCGGGTGAATCTTTGCCTACAAAAGGATCAGCACAGCCTGACAGCTTCATTTCTAAGAACCGTCGTGGCTCTGCAGCCGACCGCTCCAGCATTGATTCTACACAGTTATTGGAGTCTGCTGTAGTTACATCTTCAAGGTGCAAGCGCGCTTGAAAGCACACCCCGAACAACCTTGGCATGGAATGGGCCTTTGCTTATTATCACGATGGGTTGAAACACATCAAATTCTCCATCAATTTTCATATGATGGGTTGTCTTTACAGAAAGTCACCAGCTCCTCTAGAAAGAAAATCTGTGACTACAAAATATGCGACAGTTAGTCGAAGTCATGTAACCGTGAGTCATGGTGACTCGAGTTCGTATTCCACGGGAAGTGGGAACCAGATCGGTATTAAAGCGATCAGCCTCCAGCATGAGTGATGTTCTACATCAGCGCTTTTCCAGATTTTCTGAACCACAACCAAAATGGCAAGCAATCGGGACGAAAAGGATGCTGTTCGCGAAGAGGTGCAGCAGCTCCTCGCCAAAACGCCATTCGCTTGCTCATCGCTGTCACGGCTGTCTGGCGGCACCGCCAATTTCGTCTACCGAGGCCAACCCGACTCAGGAAAACCCAATTCGATCATCATCAAACATACAAAGAACTATCTCGCTTCCAATTCCAGCTTTCAGCTCGATGCCGCACGATGTGTAAGGTTTCTTCTCTACTGGATAATCTACCAACATGGCAAGAGCTCATTTCTATGTTTAGCACTTCGAAGGAGCTATATTGGAGGCACTCCACGATCTCAACCCTTGGGAGGCAGAGAATGTCTCCGTCAAAGCACCCCGACTCCTCCACTTTGATCGCGAAGCCAACACCCAAGTCCTGGAGGACCTGCCAGACTCCGTGGACTTGAAGAACTTCTTGATCTCAGCGTTGTCCCGCGAGGTGTCCAAACCCACGGCACGATCACTGGGCAAAGCACTCGGGTCCTGGCTACGGGCTTTCCACAACTGGGCCTCCAGCCCCAACCAAGCCCGCTCCCCCCTGAAGAAATCTCTCGCAGATAACAAACTGAAAGGTCTGAAGCACTACATCAATTACTCTATGTTGCTGGAGACTATTCCCAATTTCCCAGATATCCTCAAGGCCGACGCGAGCACTTTCGCGCGAGTCCGCGATTACGCCGCTGCAGAGCCTCAAGAGGATGATCCTAATGCTGATTATGGGATTATTCATGGCGATTTTTGGACCGGCAAGTACGTTGTTTCAACTATCGGATTTCGAATTCGGCGCTAATAGAGGACCACAGTGTTCTTATCCCCAACGTTCCACCCACCAGTCAATCGCACACAACACTGCTTGTCATCGACTGGGAGATGGCTCACGTCGGCTACAGGGCTTTAGACCTAGGCCAAATGGTCGCAGAACTGTACGAAACGAAGCTCTTCAAAAATGTGGAACCGGGGCTGTGGATCCTCGACGGGCTTTTGGAGGGGTACGGACCTCTTTCGGACAAGACGGCGTTCCGTACTGCGATTCATGTGGGAGTGCATTTGGTGTGCTTCGGAAGCAGGGTGGCTGGATGGGGAACCGCCCAGCAGGTTGAAGAAGTCGTGCAGGTGGGTAGAGATCTGATTGTGCACGCGTGGAATGAGGACAAGGCTTGGTTCCGTGGACATGACCTGGCGTGTATCTTCCAGGAGTAAAGGGGACAACTTGTCGCGCTGTCTCATTCTGAGGAGCACTTGAAGGCAAGGAAATGATATCAGAAGTCGAAACATAAGACCTTACGAAACAGCCACGAAGGGCCCTAATCTAGCATACTTGGTGGCCAGCGTGATGGGATTGAAGAAGCTGCCTTAATGTGAGGCTCGAATAATGGTACACGTGAAATCCCCGACTCGTCTCATCAGCAAACATGGCTCTCATTGGATATCATAATAATTCGCAGGAAACCCTCCATCAGCTGGATGGGCTGAATAGTTCATAAGAAGTGATTGGGTATCGACATCAGATAGATAGAAACCGGGACTGAGGATCTGCTCAACGGCATTGAAATCGGGGCCGGGCATGGTGTTAGGATGAAGCATGCCACCGCCTAAAGATATAGGCGGTGCGCCGTGCGAAGGAAAATGGTCGAACTGCGGTATCACCCTGTCCGTTGGACTCGTATTCACATGATCCTGGCCCACTGGGGCTGGCGGTGGGGCTGGCGTGGCCATCGAAGGGGAGTCAAGGTTTCTAGAAGCCAGGGGGCCGCTGTCATTGCCTTGGCTGAGAAGAATCTTTTGGGCTCGGTCGAAGAGTCGAAACATGACGCCCGCGCTCCAGTATGTGTCCCGCAAATTGTCTAAAATAAGCATGCAGAGCTGGAGCTTGTTCTGGCCGAGGTTGGCTTGGAGTGCGTTGCCGGCCTTGCAATCAAAGAGGTGAATTTGCATGGCGGGGATTAATGACGTGATACTGGTAAACGTCAGCGGTGGGAATGATGATCACAAAAGGGCATACATACAACATCGGCTTGATTTTTTTGACGGCATCGAGTTCGATGATCCGCTCGAGGAAGGCGTTGGTAGTGGATGCAGCCGCTCGGGCTCGGCCTTGGACCATCTTCTGCCATGCCGAGGATGAATTCTCTGGGAACGACGCGGGCGCATTCAAAACATACGGTCGATAGAGAACTGTCAGGGCAGCCCTAAGGAATAAAGTAAGCAGAGCAATCAGAATGAACCGGGCCCAGCTTAGCTTACTGATGGAAAATCTGAATATGGCAATCATGAAGTCGAACAATATCGCTTGTGTCAAGCAATGCACTCAGAGGAGGAGGCTGGCACGCATATAATTCATGGAACAATGAATCAATATCGTTAACACCGGGCTTAGGACCCTTCAGGCGGTAGTGCATCCGCAAGATCCGGCCCAGGGTATCACTAATTTTGACCAGACTGATCCAGATGTCTGCGAGTTTGTCTAGGTCTGGAGGAAGGAATTGTCGCTGAGCTTCGGGCGAAACGGTATGGAATTCATTCAGGATATCGCTCATGACAGGCAACTTAACATCATGATCTTCATCGTGGATGCGCATGGGTCGGCCCTTGGCTAGCGAGACCCATCGGTCACGGATCACGCAGGTCCACCAAAGACGGCAGGTCAGATGCCGCTTCCCTTCTACCTGTGAATGGCTGATATTCCGAGATTGCGTGTTAGGATCGCGATGCAATCCAATACTTTGGGCCAGTGTAATAGCGATTCCAATCCAGTATGATGCTCCCGTATGCTCTTGGGCATCGCTATACCAGTAGCTCAGCAGGAGCACGGACTGGATTAGGGTGAGAGTATCCGAGCTGTGATCGATATCGTAAAAACACTGACTGGTGCATTAGCGCGAGAATGACATCTATGCAGGGATGGGTTTCGAGTACTTTTGCCCGCTTATACATGGCCCGCTTCATGGCCTTTCGCGACGAGAAGCCCGCTTGCTGCAGGACATCCGCTTCGACAAACTGGGCGGGGTCAGCGAGGAAACGCGAAGGTGTGAGTAGATATGGGAGACCATACGTTGGTGGCTGCGAGAAATACACTCCACAAAAGTAGCAGGTTCATATCCTGGTTTTCCTTGGTCGTGTATGCATCAAGGAACTTGGATGGTTCGAGCACTGGTAGGAAGAAATGCACATGAGCAAAATAGCACCGCACCAATGCGTCGGACACATTGCGCGGAAGCCACGAGAATCCGCCCTGCTGCGAGATGTATTCCAACTCATGGGGCTGGAAGACAGTCCTCCGGTTCGAGATATTCCCCGCTGTCAAGGCGTTAGGCGATGTATGGGCTTCCTGCGGAACGCGCGGATGGCATAGATCATAGACAGACTGCCTTGGACCACGATTGTCCCCTGGAGAAGATTAATACGCGCTTGCAGATAGGCACTGCGGTCGGCTCCTCAGCGTACCGATGTAGGTATGAGCGCTATCGTCAGGGAGCGGCTCTTCTTCTACCTCCACGGACGTGGACTCGGCAGCCCCGGACTGATACGCGCTTGGGATACCATTTCTCGGCTCTCCATCCTTCCGGCGCGAAACGCGAGGGCTGCGGTCGGTCAGCGTGTACATCGTAATCGCTCTAAACCGTATACATACCGATGCTTTTTACGAGGCAAGATCTCGCAGACCACCCCCTTGTTGATCACGGCCTCGTTCTGGCAGTTCGTGCAGGGGGGCCGGTCTGGGTTACGTTGCATCTTACTTTCCGGCGGTTGCAAGCGCTACAGGCCGCGCGCGACCGTCGACTCTTCTTGACGCCATCTTCAGACATCCTGGGAGATTGTTGCCGAAGAATGCGAAATTGCCGAGGGAGCGCGCTTGGGAGGGGAAACGGTGGACGCTGGGGTTGTTCCTCAGTGGGGCCGGGCCCACCCGGCAACTTCGGTATTAGCCTCCTTTTTTCTCCTGACGAACTCGCGCAAATCCGGGGCTGTTAATCAATTGGAGCTCAAATGAACGAAAGTGGAGGCGCTGATGCTCGACAAGCGTCTACTTGCTGCGAATAGTCCAAAAATGATCATTGCTCAGTCTGCTGGTGCGAGAGTAGGTCATTAAAGATGAATGGCCCAGGCAGCAGCATAGAGAAGCCCGATGTGAGGATGATCGGCGATGTCCACGACGCACGTACGGATATCCTCACCTTCTCGCCGGAGAAGGAGAAGCGGCTCGTCCGGAAGCTGGACCTCTGGTAAGCCAGAAGATCTCCTACCTGTTGCTAAAGCAGCTTGAACTGGGCTGATCGGCACGAAGGATCATGCCCCTCATGATGTTCACATATACCCTGCAGAGCTATGACAAGGGGATCATGCGCTCTGCCTCACAGTTCGGTTTCAACGAGGATCTTGGCCTGACCGTTGTCATTGGACATGGAGCCAATGGAGCCGCCATCACGGATGATCAACGGTACTCTAATGCCGCCATGATGTTCTATATTGGCTACTTGGTCGGGATGTACCCGATGATGTACCTCGCCCAGCATCATTCCGTATCACGTGTGATATCCTTGGCGACTTTCTTCTTCTGGGGCGCCGTGGTAATGTCTACAGCCGGCTGCAGCAACTATGCAGGGATCATGGTTGCTCGTTTTGTGCTTGGCCTACTGGAATCGGCGGTGGCTCCCACCTTCACGGTCCTGGTGACATTCTGGTGGACCCGTGATGAGCAGGCGCTACGCACGGGGCTATGGTACTGTTGTGTCGGTGTCGCTACTACCATCTCGCCTCTCATCAATTGGGGACTAGGCCACATCAAGGGCCCGCTCTACCCATGGCAGCCCATATTTCTAGTTCTAGGCGCCATCACAATACTGTGGTCGTTTGTGCTTTTCTTCGCCTTGCCCGACGACCCGTACTCGACCAAGAGACTCAGCGAGTCAGAGCGCGCTCTAGCGATCCAGCGATTAAAGCGCAACAATGCGGGCACCATCACGCATAAGTTTGATAAGTCTCAGTGCCTCGAAGCATTTCGAGATTTCAAGATGTATAGCTGTGCACTCATCATTCTTCTCACCGGTGTTCCCTCTGGTGCTCTTGGCACTTTTGCTACGATTGTGATCAACGGGTTCGGCTACGGTCATTTCGAATCTCTAGCTTTGACGTGCCCGATTGGAGCCATCACAGCACTGGCTATCCTATTGGTTAGCTATGTGACTCGGAAATGGGCCGACACTCGCTACTTATGCATAATTGTCTGTGCGCTGATATCCATTGCTGGCACATTGATTTGCTGGTTTGGTCCCCGCAGCAATAGGGGTCTACTGTTCGCTGGTATTTTCCTCATCGCAGTCCAAGTGGCCTCGGGCGGCTTGGCTGTTTCCTTAGCAGCTTCGAATATTGCCGGCCACACCAGTGAGTTCCTTCTTTCTCCGACGATGACACCACCACTGACATCAAACAAGAAAAAAGCACGACTAGTGCATCCATTTTTGTGGGCTATTGTATTGGGAACATCATTGGGCCGCTAATATTCGGAGCTTCGCCGGGACCACTTTACCGCGCGGGTTTCATTGGTAGCTTTGTGTGTTTATGTGGTGTAGTGGTGATCAGTGGGGTGACATGGGTCTACCTCCGCAGAGAAAATGCGAAACGGGGTGCAAAATCCCCGGCTACTGATGGGAGCCAGGTTCCCTCGATTGAAGAGAACTTGACGGACATGGACAACCATGCATTTCGCTATGTCTTATAGTATGAATACGAATCTTATCAGGTTATCACACCTTTCGCATAAAGGGTCCTACCTTAGTGGGCCGGCTCGTCGGATTTGATATCCGTGAGATCAGACTGGCCACTGATAAGCGGGTACAGACACGTAGACAGCTCTTTCAAAGCTCAAGCAGGCCCTAGGAAGCGACTCTCCTGTTATCTCTGGGATCTGTGCGTTTCATGCGTGATTAGGCGGTGGGGCAGCCTTAAAGCGCAAACAATCGCTTCACACGCTTGATTTCGGCAATCTCGGCCCTTTCGGTGCATTCGGTGCCCATCAAGGGAACAATGTTGACTGTTGTTAAATCCATCTCCGGGCGCTCCAAGTTCATATTAGAAGAGTGCGATATCTCTAATCCCACGTGGTAACCGGCAATGGCGACCCAGACAATGGACGGCATGGAGCCGCGTTTCTCGCTGCCGGACAGCACCCCGAAGTCCAGCAAAACAGTGCTAGCCATTGGAGGCCTAAAAATCTACGTCTATGGCTTAGAAGAGGCTATTGCAGGCCAGACACCGGACAGTCATGGAGATCTGGCCGTCTTCTACTTGGCACACAACCGAACCCGCACATACCTCGTCACCGAAGGCATCGCACACGAAGTGTTATATCGATATCGCGAAGATAGCACGAGAGCGAGGTCGACCCCGCTGATTGCGGTAACTATGAACATGAGGAATCACGGTGATCGGGAAGTAAGTAATCACGAGATATCTCACTAGACTCTAGAGGTTATACTTACGCAGTCTCAGATTTACCCACCCGCAAACCGCACGTGGCAAGACGGCAACGAACAACATGCGTATGTACAGAGCCTAATCACCGGACCAGCTCGTGCTAACTATGCCAGAATGGATCTTGTCTCAATTATTTCTGGATCTGCACAAGACTTCAAGCTCGTGCTGGACTATCTCCCCGCCTATGTGCCCCAGTTTACCCGCTTCTACAACGTCATGGCCGGCGTCTCTCTCGGCGCCCATACCGCCTGGCGCATTGCCTCGCTCGCCTCACCCGGCCAAATCCATGCCTATTGTATGATTGTAGGGTCGCCCAGTATATCAGATCTTTTACTCGCTCGTCTCAGGAATTCACCCCGCCGACAGCGACAGCGCAGAACAAGAAAGCAATTACGAAGGCTTGCGCGGGATTATGAATATCGAGCAACGACTTCGCTGGCCCCGGGCTCTGGCAGACGTGGTCAGCCGCGATGATCGCAAGGTAGCAGATGAATTCCCTACGGACGTGCCTCTGCTCCTCTGCAATGGGGTGCATGACAAATTGGTTCCTGCCAAGCACACGGCGTCCTGGGTCGAAGATCGGCGGCGGAGGAATCAAGAGAGCGGAATTGAACAGGATATCACTTTTTTCATGCAAGATAACACGGGCCATAGCTGCACGAAGGAGATGGTGGCAATGATGGCCGTCTGGTTACGGGATATTCTTCCTCCGAGCCCTCGCTCTCCCCGCTCGTCCTTATAGTCGCCACGTCAATGCTGCATGACAGTACTTGCATAGGCATAATCATAGCTCTTATTGCAGCTTCGAGAGTACCAGTACATATTCATGGGGTACAGACCGCGTGACAGTACGACAATACGCAGAGCACCAAATTTTCTTCACTGATGAATAAGATCACCCGAGCTCGAAGTGCCCTGTAGCCCAGTACCAGCATAATTTGACCGACGGTGATGAGAAATCAAGCCCTCTTCTTCTGAACCGAGCCCAAAATATAGGTAAACCCCGATCGAGTCCCCTATTCAGCTGAACTTCTAGCTGACCAAGACTATTTGGGCCCCATGCGTCGAGGCCGCAAAAGCTTCCCGCTCCGCCAATCAGAGCCGCCATCGCTAACTAAGTATGGATAGCTGCAGCAACACCACCAATCGCAAACGCCGATCCACGCCCTGCTTATTTCTCGCTCGTGTCTTCCTTCGTGTCAGAAAGCATTGGCCACTTTCTAGGATCTTGTCTGGTGGGGCTGACGGCCCGCTGCATTTCTTCTCTTTCTCCCAAACACGCCGCGAAGTAGGGAGCTAGCTGCTCGTTGGAAGATGGATGATGATATCGACGCTCCCGATCAGAGCCATGCGCAAGGTAACTTAATTCCACTAGGAAGCATTATAAGCCAAAGACTTGGGATAACTAACGGTGTATTCACAGCGACCCGTATGGAAGAGCCGCAGCCCGAAGTGCACGATGTAGCACAGCAGGACGCGGCGGGAGATACAGCTTCAGCAAATGGGGAAGCCGGTGCCGGCGATGTACGTGCAATCGCCGACGAATCAGATCCTCCAACAGAGCATCTAGAAGATGAAAGCGAGGCCGTCGACACTGAGGATAGAGATGCGGCCTCCGACGAGGAAGAGGCAGCCTCAGCGAATGGCGATAGCGATTCAGATGGTACAGATTCAACTGCGAGTGAAGAAGTGGCCCCAAAGGACTGGAAAGAGCAACTAGAATACGAAATCAAGGCGGGTGCTCTTGACAAAGTAGAGGCGATCCTCGACAACGAAGATAATGAAGGGGCTCTCGAGATTCGATTCGAATACCAATTCCGCAACATATCGAAACCTACTGAGGGTGTCACTCCGCTAATACTCGCGGCAACGTTGGGTCATACCGAAATAGTCAAGCTGCTCATGAAGCGCGGGGCTGACATACGCGCAACGACCACCACCTACTCATATACGGCGTTCGCTTTGGCAGCCCACGAAGGTCAGCTCGAGGTGGTCAAAGCAATTCTCGAACACCGGAAAGCTGAACTGGAAGATGACGAGAAGCCGGAAGACATTCTGGAATGTCGCGCTGGAAATGATGAAACACCCCTGATTTTCGCTTCATGGTACGGTCGGGGTCCCGTCGTGGATTATCTGATCAGCGAGGGAGCTGATGTCACTGCGAAAGATAACGATAATAACACTGGCCTTCATCATGCCGCTTGGGAAGGTTCAATTGACCCTACAACGAGCCTCCTCAACGCAGATCCCAGCATCGTGGATTGGAGAAATGACAGTGAGGAAACTGCTTTCCTTCTCACAGCACGAAACGGGGCTCTCGCAGTCGCAGAGTTCCTTCTCGAAAAGGGAGCCAGTTTGACTGCCCGAGACATTGGCGAAAGTACCATTCTTCATCTTTCAGCGTGGTACGGACACCTCGATATGGTCAAAAAGTTTCTGGCGGTCCGATCTCAGTTCCTCGAAGAACGCGACAAATCAGGTCGGACTCCCTTTTTGCGTGCCTGCTGGGAGGGCCATGTGGATGTCGTAGCGTACTTGATTGAGCAAGGAGCAGACATGCTTGTAAAGGCCCAGGGCGGCGAAACAGCTTTCCAGGCTGCAACCGCAGAGGGACATCTGCAAGTCGTCAAGAAGCTCTACGATAGCCACCCAGAATTCCTTGACATGAAGAGAGATGATGGCCAAACGGCCCTGATTCTTGCCGCTTGGACCTGGCATCTGGACATCGTGAAGTACTTGATGGATCAGAAGGCTGACATCCACGCCAAGGATGCCGAGGGCGACAACATTCTCAATAATGTCGTCTTTCCGGAGAATGGAAAGCCAGAGACTGTTCTTGAGACTCTTGAATATCTCCTGGACAAGGGAGCTAGGCTAGATTCCAATAACACGGGAAGGAACGCGTTCCAAATTGCCGCATATGCCGGGAAGGAAGATGTCGTTAAACTGTTTCTGGACGCACTGTCAAAAGATCCGGACTCAGACGGTGGGCCTATGCCAAGTCATTACTATACGGCCAAGGACACCTGGGGAGACACTGCGTTGACCGACGCTGCATCGAAAGACCATATCTCTGTGGTACTTGCCATCTTGGAGTCGATAATTTTCATTCCCCGTCTCCTGCCATCGACGACGCTTATATTTGCAATGAAAAAGAAATGAACATGGTTTCTGAGCTCTTCATGGATCTACTGACGGCCAAAGAAGAAGAGTCCAGAAAGGGCGATGATGATGGTGAGACGAGAGCCGACCAAATCAAGCTGGTCGAAAACCACTTGGAGGCCGTACTGTACTGGGCCGTCCAAAATGGTAAACACGAGCTCGCAGAGATCTGCGTTCAAAAAAATCCGAAACTGGTTTATCTGGACAAGGGAGGTGCGTCGCTGCTACACATAGCGGCCATAGGTGGCAATGTCAACATCATGGATCGGCTTCTTCAAAAGAGGCTGCAAGATCAGGATGACCTCATGACCAGACTATTCGAGCAGAACCTTCTCAAAACCCGGCCTGAGCATCTCAAACACAAACTACCGTTTGCGGTGAAAAAGGTCACACCGTTTCATCTGGCAGTCCGATACTCTAACCTTGAGATGGTGGAAAGTCTTTTATCCTGGGTGGATGATGAACCGAAAGAGGAGGGAACATCGCCTCCGGCGGCAAACTTCCCATTGAACATCGATCAGGCCAGGCCAGAGCTGACCAGTGTTCTGAAGACCATTCTCCAAATGACAGACGATGGGGATACCCCAATATCGTTGGCTGCATCCGGGAACACCGGGACGCATCGCGATATTGAGGAGATTCTGTGGAAACGGCTGTACAACAGTATCCAGAGGAACCCATGGTTCTTTTACGACCCCTCGACGCCCCAAGCTCCATTGAGCCCCGAGGCTGAACGTGTTCTGGAACTCGCAGCCCAATTCGAAAACCCACGCGATGAATTTTACCTGCGGAAGTTTCTCCAACGCATGCCTCAACGCGTCGGTCATCGGCTTTCTAAAGACCCCAACACCCTGCAACTGGCTGTATACCACCAAGTTCCTACGGTCGTCTGGTGGCTCCTTTCCAACGGGGGTTATATGAGCGAAAACGACATGCGGGAGGCCCTGCAGCTCTCAGAGCGAGTGAAACGGGTCCCTTTCGGGACAATCATCCATGAGCTTTTGACGGATCCACCGCCAGTCTTGAAGCGCCGAGCTCGGAGAGATGACCATCGTCCACCCACCTTCCAACACGCCCGTCAGGAGTATGATTCCCCCAATGGAACTGTCTTGGACTTCTATGATGAGGATCATCAGGTCACATTCCAGATTAAGCGCCGCCCATTGCATGATATCATCTATCAAGATGGGCCACAGAAGATCATGACTGCAACTCAGTTTTCTGATCTGTCTTCCCTCAAGAAGGCGGTCTCGGGCATAGACCGTGATCGTGTGGAAGTTCAGTCAAAAGACAAAACAAAAGAGACTAAAGGGGGACTCGATCATGATGGAGCTCGCCAAAATAAGCCTACTGCTGATAATGCGGGGTCTAAACGGCCAACTGAGAACATGAACAAGCAGAGGGTGCCGGATTTGAGATGGATCCATCTCCCTGTGAACAATGTGAGAGCCTTGAGACCTATTTTTTTTTTACAAGACTACAGCTAACAAAATACCTCAGCTTCGTTGCGTGGAGGTTCGTGGGCTCCTCAGGGCTACGTGATATGTGATGTGGGACTAACTGAATTCAGGAATTAATGGTTCGGATTTCGTTGGACAAGGACGTGAGGAACAAGGAACATCGAGCTTTGTCTCAGTTTGTCAGGAAGAGTTGGGCCGAATTGCCAGCGGGTAAGCGAAAGACTTATATGAAACCGCAATGTGTAGTAAGTGCAAAGATACAGTTTCCTGAGAGCTTCCTTAGGACTAACTTTGGTAGTATGATGGCCGCTTGAGCGAGAAATCCGACAATCGTGCCGCCAGCGATGGGGAGGAGGCGGAGACTCAGCAGACTGACACTAGTAAACCTGAAAAGAGGGTCGCTCTATATGTATGTTGCTCACCCGTGAGCACCAATCTCTGGCGTTATTAACATTATCCAGATGCCATATGTTTTCTGGACTCAATGGCCCTTGAATATGCCCGGCAGAAGTGACACAGACCTACCGCAAGTTTCAGAGAACCAACCCACTCCACGTGCACCGATCGTCCACAACTCCTTGACTCTGGATCAATATTACTATGTGTCACTGAAGGACACTGCCAAGCGAGATCGAGATCAGGTCCTGTGGCGCTTCATGGAAGTTGAAAAGCAGAGACTGAGATTGGAGGAAGAACGGAAACTATCTGGTTACAAGCGCGAGGCCACGTCAAGAGTGGAACGGCATTACAACGAGGCACAAGCAGAGGCAATGGAGCTCAAAATCGAGAAGGTTGTCGGCTCAACTCAAATCCTCATCGTCAACCAGCTATGGCTTTGGATCCTAGACGAAAGTAAGTTCTCATTCTTCCCGCATTCTGTGCCCGTCTAACCACATGCCTTCCAGAAACCATCATTACCAGCACAACAAAAGAGCCCGAAGGGATCGAGTCCAGTTTCTTCCAGCGTGTTCTTACCACCCTTCGCGCACAAGAAAGGAGTTCATGGCTGTCTGTGGAATATGTCACGGAGCTGATTCTCAGCACCGCGACGGGGATGTTCAACAAAAAAGAGATCAAATTTCTCGATCTCAAGAAGTCCCCTCTCGATGTCTACCGTGAATCTATTTTGAACGTGGTATGTAGCAGCTAAATATACAGACCGGCACACCTCCGCTAATCCTCAAAAGCGTGATGCGGAAGCAGAATTGTTCGACCGGTTCAGGCAGTCCTTAAAGTCCGCCAACCCATCAGATTCCAGATCCAGAAGCCTATCACGAGCAGATACCACAGCTGCGAAGACCACTTCTTATGCGAAGTGGGATTCCCTAGGCGGGCGAAACGGAACATTGCAGGCAAAGATCCGCCGTGCCCAGCTGACTCAGGACCTCGAAAAGGAGCCTCGGATCATGCAGACCGAGGACAAGACCGAGGAGAAGCCGCCGAAGCAAGAACTTGGAGGATCAATCTGGGAGCAGCTCAAAAATTGGTGGAATCGGAAAGACACCGACTCTCAGAAAGATTCAAATCCATACCATGACATTGCCCGCGAAGCCGAGCTTCTTCGGGAAGTCAAAGATATCAGTGATGAGCTCAACATGCTGAAGAACCTGGCGGAGGATCAGGAGGGGGTCTGGAAACAATTTTGGGTCCCAGGTACCACGCCACGCACGACCTACACGTACGACACGCCCTCTGAGATCAAGGGAGAGATTGAAGAAATGATCAAAGAGGCCGAGTTTGTACAGCAGGCCATTGACACTCTGCTCGACTTGAAGCAGAAACAGGCCAACATCACCGAAGCTCAATATTCGAGGAAGCAGAGTGACGACACTGCGACCCAGAGTGACACTGTCATGGTCTTCACTGTTGTCACGATTTTGTTTGTAAGTTGTTCTGATGACTGCGCTATTACATGAGCTGACTGGCTATACAGCTTCCGGCGTCCTTCTTGACCAGTCTGTTCGCTTTGAATGTATCTGATTTTCCTCACGAAGGTGGCAATGTCAGCTATCAAGGATATTGGATATTCCCCATCATCTGTGAGTGCCCCAGCCGCTGTGTCTATCTCTCGCGCTCCTGGATACCATTATCTAACATTTGTTCCCTTTCCAGTTGGGGTCTCAATTTTGGTCTCCGGTTTTTTTGCCGTTGTTGCCTTCAACGCTAGCGCAGTGAAGAAGTATTGGGCAGGACGGTCGAAGCGACGCTCGCCCAAACGTGATCGAGTGGAACGACCACAGCTGGATCGAAGGTCTCTTACCCTGGAGGGCTCCAGTGGGAGTGATACCCTGGTGTAGTAAATAGTTGATAATGTACCTACGTAAGTATAATGATGGTGTGAATCGAATTTTCAAAAGCTATATGTGCCAGACCTTACACCTATAGGCCTCTCAGTCGAGCAGAGAGCAGTCGAGCAGAGAGCAGACGAGCCTATGCTGAAAGAATATCAAAGACAAGCATTATCTCACCTCACAATACCCTTTCCACAGACTCACAGGCAACTCCCTTGGGTTCTATCATCCTCGCGAACCCTTCTGCTTTGATTTTATTGCCATCGAGAAGTTGTCAGTCTTTGATCTCACTTGCAATCGGCCACCAGCTCCATCTCAACAACCCATAAATCAACATCACTCGCGCATCGCCCACTACCTCACCTCCTCGTATCCTGAATCTCCGCCTTCAACCTTGAGCTTCACAAGCTCCAAAGGCCACCCAAGATGTCTCGGCCTCACCAAAACCTCCTCACAGCATGCGATGGTAAGCCCCCCCAACCACCTTCTCACGCGTTTGACACTAAGACCATAAACCCCATACTAATCCAGCCACAGACACCAAATTCCCCTCCAGATTCAAACCGCCACCCCGAACCCACCACTCCGACCTCTTCATCCCCCACGCCCTCACCGACACCGAAACCCGGCTCGTAAACCACACAAACCCCCAACAACTCCTCATAACCACCGACGGCGCCTGCAACCAAAACGCCTGGTCCAGCCGCCGCGGCGGCTGGGCCTTCGTCTACGGCCCGTCCTCCATCCGCGAATACCCCGGCGCAAACGTAATCTGCGAACGGCTGGAGAAAGAAGGACCCAACGGGCACGCTTACGCGGCAACGAACCACCGCGCGGAGCTCCGGGCCGTGATCGCCGCGCTGCAGTGGAAGAACTGGGCCGCGGAGGGGTTTACGTCGCTGGTGATCGGGACCGAGTCTGCGTATGTGGTGAACGGGATCACGGAGTGGGCGAAGGAGTGGGTGCGGAACGGGTTTGTCACGCCGGCGGGGCTGGAGGTTGCGAATTTGGATCTGTGGAAGGTGCTGCTGCAGGTGGTGGATTGGGTGGAGTATGAGGTGCTGTTCTGGCGGGTTGGGCAGCGGGTCACTGGGGTTGCGGATCATTTTGCGAGGGTTGCGGCGGAGAAGGCGTCGGTGGTGAGGTTTAAGGTCTGGGTTGAGGGAGGTGATCGATTTGAGGATTCTCTATCGGATACTTAAGAGGGGGAGGGGGATGAGGTGGGGATTACTAGGGATCTCTACTGGTTTCGGAGCTTAGGGTTGATATGGCGAGGCTGTTTAGGGGGGAAAGAGATTTTGTTGTTTCGGAGTTTACTTGGATTTTCTATTTCTTTTCAGGACGAAGTGGATCGTGGACTGGGGTACATTGCTACGAGATTGATTGAGGTGGAATGCTTTCGAGGATCAAGGAGTCAGTCATGGATAGCTTCGGTCAGTCTCAATATCCTATTCTGGTTGGAGTACCCGACTCATATAGGGACAAGGCATGTCACATTCCAAGTAAAGTAGCTCAATTGGAAGAGAACCACAGACAATGTGAAGTGCAAGCACTGGACTGGCTGTAGAAGCGGATTTCGTAGTCTGCTACCTTGACTACTTGTATCTGCCAGTGGACATGTGAGCCCCTGAAATGTTTCATTTCTTAAAGAAGGAGAAGTGTGAAGACGATCGGTTAGAGGCTTAGCGCATGCCAGGTAAGGCAGGAAGGTATGGATCCATAGTCAATCACTTGTAGGTAAAGACGACGAACTAGAACGAATCAATACATTATGTGGATAAGACTAGGCGACCTCAAAAGCTTTATAAATGTCTAATTTCTGACTCTGAACAGAGCTATGCAGGATAAAGCGCTTGGGGGATGTTTAACGAGGAAAAAGAGGGAAATAATGACAATAAATGAAAAGTCCCACGATGGTGCTACGAGTAGCACATGAATAGAGTGCGATAGATGACTTTGAAATTCATGCGGGAGAACAAATCTGGTTTGATGTCAGTGTTTCAAAATGAATACAGATGTGTAAAGGTATATTCGGGCTTGAAGACACAAGGCAATCTGAGCCACCTTGCCTCTTAGCATGCCGTAGCCATAGCATTCATTTACTAGCAGTATTCGATCTTGATCCCGCTGAGCTACGAAGTGAAGACCCACTAACACCAAAGCATACAAAAGCTACATATTACGCCGGTACACGCTGTGAGAGAAAGTCAAGCCACAGGGGCAGATCAATTGCTGAGGCAAAAATAAACCTAGACAGCGTAACGCCATAGTTCGTCGTAATCACGTCCCAAAGAGGTAAAAACAAAGGGCGGATTGGCCAACCCGCCGCTCGCTGGAAACATGACAGGCTCAGAAGCAATAAGATCAAGTAGAAAGTGCCGATCCAAAAACAGAAAAGAAAACCCCTCCGCCATCGCCTAGCAAGTTGGACCCTGCAAATAGAAGAAAATGGTGCCAAAGAGTGAACCGCGGTTCAAGGCTGGGTATCTGATACTTCCTCATATTCGCCTCCCCACCCCCCATCCCTCCATATCCCAGTTTGTTTTGTTTTTGTTTTGCTTTGTTTTTTTTTTTTTTTTTTTTAAAAAAAAAAAAATTAAAAAAAAAAATTGGTGTGCACTTGGAGCTCAACATTGCCGTGCTAGTTAGGTCGGCAACGGCCCATTTCTTTGCATTCGGCATGGTCTTGAAGGTCACAAACACACAACCTCCACAGGTCTTTTGTCGCCGGTTCAAGTATTTTGGGTTGAAATCGTTGAGGGTCGTGGCAGCGCAGTACGTGATACGTAATGAACAGCAAGAGAGTAAAGGAAAAGGTCGTGAATGTAGATAATAGTACAGAGACAGTATACTCCACGTACGGACGTGAGGTATTTTTTTTTACCGAGTGAATGGGGCCCAGACAGTGCTGAGCCAGCCTGTAGGAATGCCAACCTCTGAGGGTTGGAGCATGGATAATTGGGTCCAATCTCCTCCATCCAAGAACGCCAGGACATCGTCTCCGCCGAGACTCGTCGACAGGAGACTTGTGTCGGGGCCATCAATGGACGTCAGGGGTGGTGATGGTGCAAGCTGAGTGACAGGGCCCGGTGGTGGGAGAACCGGGATACTGTGCGAGGTAGCCGCGCTAATCGGCGGCAGGGATTGGGAGTATGGAGGTGGTGGCCCCGACGGACGCGTCGGCAACCAGGAGTTGATGGGCTGCAGCCGATTGCTGGTGGCGGTCAAGTATGATGATGGGGACTGGGTACTTGCCACTAGGGAAGGAAGACTGGGAGGAGAGGATGAATTGTATAGAGGGCCGTCAGGGTGGTGCTGTTGCAGGGACGGTAGGGAGTAAGGGGATTGAGATGGCATTGAGCGGCCCGCGTTGGGTAAAGGCAGACTCGGGCGGCGATCTCCCTCATGACCAGGCAATGGCATGCCAGGGCTATTGACGGGGACCCAGGACTCGCGGCGCCCATGGCTGTCCTCACCACCTTCGCCCACTTCGCTTTTGACGTGGCTTCCAGCATCACTGAGGTTTGTCATTCGGTCGGCCATGGGCTCTCCTGCGATGGCAATAGCGGAGCCATCGTCCTCTATGCCCGGTTCTGGAATTTGATCTTCAATGGAACCAAATTCTAAAAAGAGTTTCTCGAGCACCTTGAATTCCTCCAAGCCGGCAGGGCCACCGTCGCGCAAAGCCCGGATACCGTTGGCGTGGTCAGAAGCATCCGACACGCTGTCGAGACGGTTGCGCGAGAAACGGCGGTAATCACGCTTGACCTTGGCCAGGTACGTGTTGAGGCGGTTCAAAGTACGGAACCACCCCACAGCCATCTTGAGACGGGGGCGCATCTCTCGCAGAATATCTAGCGCCTTCCGGGCCTGCTGGAGCCCGGGCTGTGGGCTGTCATGGCTGGCGGGTGGGGGCTTGGCACTCATCAACCCATCAGGATCCATGTGCGGAAAGTGCGCACCGTATACACCAATGAATGCCGCATTGTAGATGGCAAAGCCGATCAGAGGGTTCTCGACGAGGGCCCCGCGTCCTTGGCAAGTAGCCACAAGATCGATCATCTGCCGAGAGGCCTTGAACAGCTCGCGTGCGCTTTCCCGCCAGAAGGACTCGGGAGGGCCGTGGACCTTGTCAATAGGAAATGACGGCTCGTCCAGCGGGCCCACCGGCTCGTTGCAGCGGACGGGGAGGAAAGGAATATATGCACGATGCAGGGCAATGACAGATAGAAAGTAGACCACGTGCATGACCGTATAAGAGGCAAGAGTGGTTTTGTACATAAGGTGCGTATCCGTATTTCGCAACGAGTATTGCAAATTCCGGGAAAGGCTATCCTGGAAGTCATTGAGCTGCGCGCGAAGAGTCGCAAATCGAGACTCGGGATGCCACGGCGGATATTGCTCGATTCGCCGGCCGCCTGCACAAGACCACTTGGCGATGCTGCCCCAGATACGGATGATCCGGATGACTCGACTGAGAACAGATTCCTCGGCACCGACCTCCCACCGGTCCACGTCGTCTTCACTTGATTTGCGCCTTGAGACGGGCGACCAGGCCTTGTTATCCGGGGTGCCATTGGTCGGAGCAAGTTTCTCATCGCCAAATCCTAAGCTTTGTCGAATACTGGGAATTTGGACGCCCTGGGATCCGAAGCTCTGTGGGCGGCGCGCCGTCGGCTCACTGAGACGCGCAGTCCGCACCCGCTCTCCAAATGCGAAGGCATTGTCACTAGGCAGTTGGATGTCCAGGTCCTTCACTTGGATCATTCGCGGTCGGTATTTCCCGCTGCTCAGGCAACGATCGAGGATGAAGCAGGCCCAGAAAGTACGTCGCTTCGTCTCCTGGGCAATGATATCGTCGGAGGTGGGTTCCTTGGTCTCGACTCGGCGGAGACCGAACTGATCGACCTCGGTCTTGAGATGGGGGGATAAGGCGGAGAAATCTCGCGCAGGGAACTCATTCTCTAGCTCAAACGGTAAACCCATAGCCTGCGCAAGTCGGATCGCCATTCCCGAATACACCCAAGCGCTCTTTCCGCGACACATGCCCCATTCGTGAAGAGCAAGCATTAACAGCGCCTGGACCCGGGCCAGCTCGGGAGCAGCCAGGCTTGCGCCATCAAGACCGGCCAGCCGGCTGCGCAAAGCTGTCGCATAGAATTCGGATGCGGCGAGAGGATTCGATGGGTGACTCGGAGTAGGAGGAGAGTGGAAAGCAACGAGAGGTGGGTGGTAGCGAGCCGTAAGTGCGAGGACACCGAGGGGGATCAGCGAAGCCGATGAGTCGACCTTGGGGTCTACGTTCCGGAGATCTTGGCCGTCGATCTGGGATGCAGGCGGAGGTGCGGAAAGTTGTCGTATCTGGCCGAGGAAGGTTGCCGGGTGAAGGAAAGGTAGATGCGTCGCGAAATGCGACTGGAAAAGGTCAAAGACGGCTTCCCATACCTTTGCGGTCAGGATGGACGAGTCCAGGGCATCCAAGCCCGCTTTCGAGCCCGCAGAGGGATTCGCAACCCCAATCACCTTCCGCGAGCGCTGTCGCTTCGGTCCATCCCAATCTCCATTTCGATCGTCGCCCTCTGCTAATGCAGCCAAGTCTCGTTTGGCGCCGCTCACCCCGATGGCAGGGGTTGGGTATACGCAGTCGCGGCCGGAAGATTCGCAAGCGCGGCAGGTAGTGTCGATGCCATTGTTGACGCACTTGATCTTACTGCGCCGGCACCGAGCGCAAGCGATGCTAGATCGCATAGTCGTGTCCGTTTAAGCCCCACGATTGGGGTGGTAATTGAGAGCGTCGGTTTTCGGGTAGTCAGTCCGGCGTGCGGTTTCCCATGAATCTCTTCTGTTCGAAGGCGGTACCAAGAGCCGGAGAATGTCTGGGGAAAAAAGTAAATCGGGGCGCTTTCTTATTTTTTTTTTTGCCCACGTTCACCAGATCTGCAGCATGTTCATGTTAGCAATGCATTCAGAATCTGGATGTGTAGAATTCAGCCAAAGTGCAATAAGAAAAATCACTTACAACGAGGTCCTTGGACTAGGGAAAGGGGGGGGGGGGGAGAGAAGAAGGAAGCCGAACGGGAATGAGCAGAGTGTGGGGAGAACAAAGTCGGGGTTACCGGACCGGGAGTGGAAAAGTTGGGGCGAAGGGCTAGTCGGAAGGGAACGGGGCAAGGCTCGTTTCCTCTCTTTTTTGGAAGTAAGAAAAAGGCCGAGAGCCGCTGGGGAACCAGGCATTTGAAATTGCGGAGGCCCAAAGTATGCAAGGACGCGCGCTGGAACGATTCGTGGAGAGTGGAACCCCAGGTTTCCGGGAGCCGAAGAGTGGGAGTTTTAGCCCAAAAATCCCCAAAAGTACGGGGGCCTCGGGCTCTCGTGGTCAAGCTCCACTTGGAACCTGGATTCCTGAGTAGGTCCGGACCACTCTCCTCTACATGATCGCCTTCTGCGATAATTTCTCTCTTGTCGACTTCAATCCTGGCTCTCATCTACGTATGTACGGAGGACTATAGGGGGCTCCCTTCAACTCGTCAAACCTCCTACACGTCCCGAGACCGACGGGTTTGGCAGTGGAAGAGGCCCTCGAGGCCCGAGCGGGTGTTCTCTGATCTCATGATCGGCGCATAATTCATTCCGGCTCCGGGGAAGTCGTGGCTGGCGCTTCTTTTATTGCTTCGCTGTCCAGACTGTCTCTTCTTCATGCACCAGACTGCCCAAACTGTGGAACACGTCCGGGAGAGAACAGAGCAGCGCTGGTCGCACCGGTCCAGGACCGGATAGGAACACTGCCCGGCTGCAATACCAATGCCACCTCTTTCCGACTATACCACTAGGTCCGTCTCGAGGGTTGGCCCATGGTCCCGAGTGGGGCCCTCTTGACGGTGATAGAGAGTGTCCTGGGGTAAAATAAACCACCGGCACGAAAAGTGACATTTTCCAAGTCCAGAGGCTTGGATCAGCAAATGTCGAGGCCAGAGCTTCTTTTGCAACGGGGGCCAAGGGGGGAACTCATCCCATTTGCCGACGCGGGAACTCCAGAACGGGCAAACGGGATGACCCAACAGAGACTCGGAGAGTACAGCGCTTTTTGCAACCAGCCAAGGAGGGTCATCCCCAGCGATCCCAGGGCCTGTCGGCTTACTCTGGACCCTACCTCACCTGGTATACTTGTAAAGTATACCGCAATATACCAGATGAGGGGGAAAGGGAGGAGCGGTTGCAAGCTCGGCTTGGTCCCATCTGTGATCCCTCGGGTATGCGTTTTCGTAATGCCCCCCCCCCCCCCGGACTTCCCTGCCTCTGCGCCCAATCGACGAGGGTTCCTGGGGCCCCGGGGGCTCCCCGCGGGGAACAGCGAGATCCACGATTGATCCTCGTTCCTACACTCCGGAAGTTACATCAAGCCCTGGCGTTCTTGAGGTCCCGCTAGCACCCACGACGGCCAGGATCGGCTTCGCTTGTTTCTGACGGCGGCTTCTGTATCGTGTTACCCAAACAGTCCATGCCGGGTTGGTTTTCCTGGGGGGCTGATCACTTCTCATTTTGTTTGGGGGTTCAGCGGTCGGTTAAACACGAACCGAACTCTGGCCGCCATGTCATCACAGCCCTAACATCCTTCTAGGGCTGCAAGAAGCCGAACCCGACCAGCACCCGAGGATTCCTTGGCTCTTCCCCTTTTTTTTTGACTCTTCTCCACAGAATACCACATGCATCCCTTACATGGGACAAGTCATACGCCGAGAAGTCTTTTCGGCCCCGGCTGGTGGACGCTATTGGCCCCTTACACCCGAGGTGTCAGCGAACCGAACCCCGGGGAACCCCGCATTCCAAGGTTTGATGGATTTGCATTCAGGTAAGTCGGGCCATGGGCCCCGGGCCCCAAAGGGCTCTATAGGACTCTTTCATAGCTCTGGATTCGTTTCCCCATGTATACAGTCTCGCCTATTTTACGTCTTGTGTCCACCTTCCGCACCCTTTTTGCCCGTTCTTACCAGAGACCCAAAAGGCCACGGCCTAGGGCGGGGAAATGCATGCCAGTCTCGTGTCCGGAGTGGATCCCCCGGGGGATATCTTTTTCGGGGGCACATGCGGAGAAGCTTAAAAGGGAAGATTAAGCAGCCGCCACCGCTGCAACCATGCCGACAATGCGACTTTAAAAGGATTGCCTTCACGTTATGCAACAGCACCCCTGGGAGTATATCCGGCCGATAAAATGCATAGCCCCTTCCCCACATTATTTGCTCCCGATCGTGGGGTTTCCATCTGGTAATAGGAACGTCCTGAGGGGGGGGATTCAAGGCAGCTTGGCTTGATTGATCATTGCCGTTTTCTCTGGCCATTTGCTTTTTCCACTTTCTCCTTTTGGGCCTCGACACGGGAGGAACTGATCATTTGATCTGAAGCGGGTACCCAACGGCGTAATCTCCATCCAGGCCCAATGAACGAGTCAAAAATAATAAAATTCAGAAGGGGAAAAACCCTGCCCTCCCTTTCGAGTCCCACTTGGTCCCCCTTTTTTTCCCGACCCAAATCCCCCGAGCATACCTCTCCGGATTACCGAATCGGGATCTCTCGTAGCCTATTCGGCCTCCCTTTTCTGCACCCCAGGCCGCCCCAGAAATGAGCAGACCACACAAACGGAATAGTAGGCGACAATCTCCCATCCAGGAAAACAGTCTCCCTCCAACCCGGAGCGGAGCCGACGCCATCCGCCATCCGCCATCCGACCCTTGCTTTTTCCGCTTACTGTCCTGCTGCTGGAGAACCCTCATTGGAGGGGGGAAAGAAGATCTCCATTAGCTTGTCACACCCCTATAACCCATCTCGACGAAGATTCAACCCCCAGTCTCAATCCCAATCCCATGGAATAAATTTAATTTTTTTTTTCCGGACCCTCATACTCTTCACCGGGTTGAAGACTGGGTTCCCCAAAAATCTCCACATCGGTCCGGGAAAACAAGTTCAGGGCCGGTGGGATCCCGAAATGCCGAGTGTCCCGACCCTGCTGAAAAAGAGGACACCCTTTTACCCGTGACTTTTTTTTTTTTCTTTTTTTCTTTTTTTTTTTGCCCGTATCGTCATTGCTGCCGCGTTCCCTGTTCCATCTGCCCTGCGTGCGCCATGTATTTTGTGTCAGATCCTCCCCGCCTTGAGCTACGTAGCGGGTTGCCTAGCAGGAGCTAGCCGCGAAGCGGCAAAGCTGGGCCTGGTTGATGGTTGGTCCTCTGGGCATTCGAGACAAAGACTACTGTAGACTAGGGCTTGGCTAGAATTTGCTGGGCGTTCTAGTTCGAGTCTGGGGCGGCCGATTGTTGCCCGGGGCCGTTTGTGGCTGTCAGACTCGGATCAGCAGGGCCCCCTGTCCATAACGAACTGGCTGTGTAGTTGTGGCCTGACAATCGGCCTTTTCCTTTGGCGCTATAGGCGCTCGTCCATGAACCCGGTGACTGGTTAACAGGATACGGTTGCAGTTGTGCGTAGGTTGTGGGGCTGCCTTTTAGATTGGAGGTCTATACGGAAAGTCGCGTCCGTGGCTTCTACCGGCGGCCGGTGATTGCGACTAGATTGGGGCATTGGTGCCGATCGGTGGCTTGTGGAATCAGCAGCATGGGAGGCCTGGTGGCTAGGGATTACTAGTACGGGGTATTGCGGAGAGTGAATCAGTTCTAAGCGATATTGTCCCCCTAGTTGCGCCAAGACACAATCCCGTTCGAGAAAAGGACACCTAGAAAAGAAAGATGGCATCGGGGTCTGCTAATGCCAACAGATACCAATTGCCGCTTATGGACGATATTCCCAAGGCCGGTAAGCTGCACATGCACAGCGCAGCTCATTGTATACGTTCTGTCCACCCAATTTGCACCCAAGGCATACCTCATTCCTGAAAATGACACCGGTTCCTGCCAAGCTCGACCAGCTTAAGTAAAGAAGCGCCGTGTACGGAATATGCATCTTTCGGACGAATAGATTATGATATAGGATTTTTCACCCAACTATGCCAAGATACACCCGGTCCTGGGAAAAACCACCAACCTCTGCCACATTTCACCAGGTTAATGTAAACAAAATACTATTTCCGGTCCATTTTCAGACGAATCTACGACCATTGCGTATCGTCCACCTAGTTATGTCTAGCTATGTCTAGTTCTGAAAATGATACCAGCCTATGCTAATTCCCATCAGGTTGATGTAAACAGAATACCATTGACGGACCATATCCAGACAAATCCATTTTCATGGCGTACCTTGCACCAACCGTGCCAATATACATCCAGTTCCGAAATCGACACCAGCCTATGGCAAGCTCGATCAGCTGGAAATAAACTGCCCTTCATGGTCCATATTCGTTCAGATGATGTCAACTCGGGGCTAAAGAGGCGGATTTACCTATCCACCGTGAAGACTCCTGCAGAGCTGCTGCTTGCCCGTGCAGGCTCTCCTACAAGATCCGTCGACGCCGAAAGTCAGCAAGCAATAACCCTTCAGGAAGGTTAGCCAGTATAGCCAAGGACCTCAAAGCTAACAAAGCTGAATCAGCCCCTCGTATGGATTCATCTGAGCTTCATACTCAGCCACACGAACTCTGTCTCAAGCATGCCGGAACAGTCCTACACGGCTCAGTCATGACCTGATGCAATATGCAGTCTTTTCAACTCTACAAAGCCAAGCCTTGCAAAAACAAGAGATAAGAGATAACTTGTATTATGATATGATTCTAGAATGCCAAAAAAAAAAAATGGGTGTGAACTGCGCCAGACCAAGCTGGCCATGCGTCCCAAGCACATGAAATTTTAGAAGAACCTAGATTGCGTTAGCTGTGGCCCGATGATCGAAAAGCTCTGTGAAACGTACCATGCGGCAACGGCGATAATCAGATACATCGTCATGAGCAAAACACCCTCCAGCCAATGAGACTTGCCGTCTCCAATAAGATAGTTGACCTAGACCATGTCAATATGATAGGGACCAGTTAAGAACAAAACACAGTTGACACGTACCAGCAGAACAGCCACGAAGAGCAGAATCACCTGGAATCCGTCGAAGTTGAGAGTCTAATTTCACCATTGTTAGTCGTGCTCACGCACCAGATGCAGATCCGCCTCCACGTACCATGTCATCTTTGCCCATACACCACCCGATAACAACCACGAGCGGCAGAACAAGCAACGCAATCTGCATACTTGAGCCCACCGCAACACCGATCGCGAGATCCATCTTATCCTTGCACGCGACCGTGACAGCAGTTGCGTGTTCTGCGGCATTGCCGCAATCGGAAGCAGAATCAGACCGACAAAGGTCTTCCCGATAGCGCCGGAGGCAGTAACGTCGTCGATGGCGTCAACCATGAACTCGGCACAGACACCGACCAGCGCGGTGGAAATCACCAGGGTGAGGATGGCGGACAGGACGCTCAGCTGCGGTTGCTCGGGCTCGTCGTCGGGATCCTGCATCTGCACCTGGTCGGACTGGGCGCCCAGAGCACCGGCGGTCATCTTGCCGATGGAGGCGAGGCCGCGGCTGGCGTCACCTTCACCGATGTGCTGGCGCCGCTTTTCGACCTTGGGGCTGGGGCGGTTGTACATCTCTGTGTGTGACTTCAGTTGGAAAAAGAGGTAGGCGCCGTAGACGATGAGCAGAAGGACACTGGTTCCTGTGGGTAAGACATCTTAGTATGAGTTTATTTTCCCGTGAGGAGTTGGAAGGCCGTACCTCGAGACAGCTGGGCAGTATTGCTGATAAGGTCAGCGGGCTTGGCTGCATTCAGGGTTAGTAAGTTCAATTCGGTCAGTGAGGACAATTGACTCACCATCTGACCAGTTATGGAAGGCTGTGGGGATGATCAAACTCGCGACTGCGAGAGCAAGCAGACTGGCAGCTGTCTGTGCCACTGTGACGTTGAAGTGCTGTTCCATGCGGTTGATGCCTCCGCAAAAGAAGCACATGCCCATGACCAGGAGCAGGTTAGACAGCATACTTCCAATCAAGGAAGTTTGCACGATGAGAACCTCGTCCTGGACGAGAGCTATGATCGAGACGATGAGTTCGACAGCATTGCTATCATCTTATTAAATTCTGAATCGTCCGGTCCAAGTCGCAACAAACATACCCGAAACTAGCGTTAAGCAGACCACCAATTGTCTCACCGGTTCTGAGGGAATTGTCAGCCCACCGTGGTCTTCCTCAACAAGACACAGGGACCAGAAGCAAACATACCGTAGAGCGATCTCCTCAGTCGCATAACTCAGCATTGCAGCGAGCGGACTATAAGAGAAAGGATCAGCGCCAACTTCCAACCACCTATAGCCCCAACTCGACAACATACATAATAGCAATAAAATTAACCACAAAGATAGCCACCGAATTAGCCCCAACCGCATAGAGCGCAACTAGAGATCGATTAGCATCAGCGCCGCATCCCCTTCAACGAAAAAAAGAAAAAAAAGAAAAACATACTCCCAGCCGGCGCCGCCAAAATCAACACATTGATCCACGAATTGAAAACCGTTGCCCGCAGCTGCGACGCAAGCGTAAACCGCTGCTTAGTCTCCCCAAACTTCTCTTCCTCCTCATCCTCTGGCTCGGTCTTCTTACCCAGCCCGAACAGCTTCCGGCGCCGAGGCTCGCTCTGGCCCTCGCGCGCGTACGAGTTGATCGGGTTCTGGCTCGCTAGAGACTCGGGGTTGGGCGGGCTGAAGGAGGGTACGCTGCCTGCGCTGCGGGGGGAACAGGATGTGCGGCATCGTAGGCCCGAGTGGCCGCCTCGGCGGCGGCAATGTCCTCAGCGTCCAGGCCACGGGTGGCCCCAGGTTGCGATTCCTCGAGCTGGATGGATTGGCGGCGTTGGGGGCGGCGCTTGAATTTTTTGAAGGGGTTGTGGGTTACTTCGCCTTCCTCGTCATACCAGGCTAGGTTGCGGGCCTGGCGGCGGTAGATATCTGGGATCATTTTAGCGTGGGTGGTTCGGGAACAGGGTGAAGGTTGGTATTGTGCTGCGCTTTGGCGCAATGTCCGATGTAAACAAGAGGAATGGTGGTCGACTCACGCATTATGGAATTGCTGTACTTGTTCTGTTTAGACAGGGTAGGAATGATATGACAGTGGTGTTTTTATTATCTTCTGCAGATTGAATGAGTATGTCTTTGTTTCTGATTGCTTTGTTGTCGAGCCAAACAGCCTTTTGGGATATCGACCAGGGTGGGCAGGATATTTAGGACAGAAACAAAGACCTAATAATAAACGGTCAGGCATAGCCTGGCCGCCGTCCCACACCGAGAAAGGCATTCAGATCGGAATACGCTTCAGAACTTACGGCGAAGTGAAGGCCCTAGTTAGACAGGACAGGTCATACACTGGTCACCCTCAAGTGGTAATCGTTGCGAATACGCGAGGCGTGGCTGTGTCTCGAGCCACACAAAGCAGGTGAAACTAATGACAATGAGACCACCAGGGTGCTTGCAAGGCCAGGAGGTCGATTCCGGGGAGGACTTTTGTTTTTTCTTCGCTCAGTAGCCCACCGCGCGAGGTTCAAGCAAAGTAAGGGGGAAGATCAGAAGTTAAAGAGCGACGCGCGCGGCAGACGAGCAGGGGAGAAATTCAGAAGGAGTGGACAGGACTGAAGAGCGGCCTAAAGTCCAAAGTGACAGCAGCTTTACGCAGTACGGCCCCGGGGGGATGAGATCTGTTGCAATCCGCCAATGTTAATTATCGATTGAGCGAGGGTGGCTGTGCCAGGGGGCGATCGTGATGAGTGTGGAGTTCATATGCTTGGCACTGTGGCACTTGAAAATCGCAATAATGCGGGATTTGCATTCTGGTCTATCAAACGGACTCAAAACAAGAGATAATAAGACCAAAGCCCCGATTGATCGGATGGTCGCTCGAGGTACTCGAAACAATCGCGATACTTGGGCAGGGGACTTGGGTATGTGGAAAGTCCGCGGGGCAGCCGTCCAAGACAAAGCAAAATACACCAAGAATACCAAGCAATACAAGAATTGCTTCCGAGTACGAAGCTTCCGGGTTGGTCTTGTCGCCTTGGCAATGCATTTTTTGACTTTCTTATTGGGGCCAGCGCTTCATCTCGAAATTGATGAAGTCACACCGCATTGACATCCTTCGCAACTTGTGGCACCGAAGGAGGGAAAGGAAGTGCTGGAGACGGCGGCTCATGATTGGACAAGTGCAGGGAGAGTTTCATTTGTCAAACCACCAGGCCGCTCGATTATGGGGCAATTTGGTACCACGCCGGCCAATCATCGGACGGGCACACATGCGGGCCAGGCGCCAAAGCCCTGGTCATTGTGGCATGAAAGATGTGGCAGTGGCCACGCCCATTGCATCTGGCATCCCATCACGTGTTGGGTCCCAAAGAGCTGGAGGGGGAAAAAGTAGCGATGCCATCATTTAGTCCTGATTGGATTCTCATTCGCTGCTCAGCGCCAGGGCCATGATGAGGGCAAGACGTAGATCACATGTAAACCGGTGCGTCAGTGGCTGCAGGATCCCTTGCCGCCGAGGCACTGGCGATGGGCTCACTCTGTCCTGCGCTGGAGCGTTGGACGCATCTTCCCCCAGATTGCGTACAGTCATGACCCCCGAGTTTTTACTGTGGCTCAAGTTAGTCAGAGTGGCTGATTCAGTTAGCGCCGAATTCGACTCCAAGGCTCTTGCGCCTCCAAGGGGACGTAAGCCCATTCGACCTCAAACAACAGCCCTACAGGGCAGGACGGAAGAGGGATGACAGATTTATAAGGTTCGCAGGGGAATATATCTCCTCCTGGATCTGTTTGCAGGGTTTTATTCCGTAGGATCAGCTGTGCTGGGTTCTGTGCTGATTTATGCTGCTGCCTGTTGCTATAATTAGTGTGGAGTACTTCGACTGCTATGCAGGGTTTGAGCTCTGAACCGCCTAGCAAGTGGACTACGTTCGGCGCCTTCAAGCTATTACGCGAGGCAGTTTGGACTGCATATAAGTCTCAATTTCACCTGTGCCGTTGGATGGGAATCTCCCTTCAAACTTCCCATAGAGTGATTTGAACTGCGTTCCAATGCTATAAATGCACCACAGAATCATGAAGCGCAGAGTCAGCTGCAGCCATGAGTTTAGGCCTTGAAGATTTACGCAAGCAGGGACTATGTTAGGCAAGATGTGAGGCATCACCTTTGAACTAAATATCGGTGCATTGGGCGACCGGTTTAGAAAGGGGGTACGATAACAATCACGATCTCTTGTCCGAACTCGTGATGCGCCATGGCGAGACTGTTTGGCTATCAGGAAAATAGAGTCGAGCTATGTAACGTCCAATGCCAATTTTTTGGGACTTGGGATTCGATTTATAACATTTTGATAAGAACTCGTTCCATTTTGTGCGCTTACAGACCACCCGTATCCGAGTCTGCGGCCTACCAAGTAGGGCTCAGGATTATCTATGCTGCCAGTACAGTGATCAAGGAACTTAAACAGTCAAAGGCACAGAACCGTCGGACCAATAAAGCACTTGTGAATAATTGTCTTGTATTTTTAGTTTAAAACATGGTCAAGCTCGAGGCCATTCACTTTGGCGTTCGCGAGGGCTGTCGAATATATTTATTCGCGCTACTACTAGTATTCGGGAGCTGAAAGGATCGGAGAGTATTTCGCTCACGCTCAAGATTGGGCCTCTGAAGGCTTCAAGTTCCTATATGTCGCCTTCAACAACAAAACCCTTGACAGACTCCTCTAGTACTACTCACAGTTGGATACAACAGAGGGTAAGCTGGCTCGAACGTTTCACGATTAGCCTTTAATATTATCCTTAGTTGGTCCGTATCCAGGGCGTGGCCGAATGCATCCGTGATTTGGAGTCGGCTTTTCCCGTCTAAAGTTTGGTCAATTGGATGTGGCAAGGATGACAGTGTCGTTCCCCTTCGCGCCCATGCCTGTGTTTTGACTGAGAAAGAAGATAGGTTCTTCGCGTCAGTTTAGCAGCGCGACCCAGGAGCATGTATAAACCATATTGGCACCGACCTCGAAGCGGAATATCGGTGCACGGGATCCTCAGAATACAGCTAAGCACCTGGAAGATTCCCCGTTCGTGAATAGCACTATCCATATACTATCTTGTTGGTCGATAGTCCAAGATCGATGAGACTGCCAAGGCTTCGAGAAAGCGAGCTGCTCCACAAGTAACCTTGATACCTTTATTTTCGTGTCATTCCCGATCCTTGAATCTTTCATTTACTCTAGGCATTACACCTCCAGTGAAAGTAAGAACTATTGGACATAAAGTTACTCGATGTTGGATTTACCACGAGGTCACAGCCGTCCGCACTTATCTGCCAGGCCCCTCTAGCACCAGATCGAGACCTGAGCAGAGTCAATTAGGACCGACAATTAGGCATGTTACTACGGAGTATCAAATTATGATTTGCAAAGGGGTTTGGTGGTACTTGAACTTGTATGCCCATGCCCAGTGCGCAGCTCGCCGAACAGGTGCTCCGCAACTCAGAAAGGAAGTATCCCAGTAAATTTCCAGGATGTTGTATGTTTTTCCTACGGAGTGATGGTTGGTAGGGGGATCTTCCTGCTGATGATATAGTGATGTGCAAGGCCCACAGGGATAGTCAGGGAGTTTCAACACAAAGGGATAAGGCGCTCAAATAATATTCAACTAGTATTAGGTTAGACATCAATGAAGCCCATTTTAGATGACGCCATTACGATCCTCTATTTGCCAGTCGCTCCGGAATCGGTTATCTAGGCAGGTGGGATGTTAATCCCTTTCCAGTCGAGGGGTTCAAACGAAGGGACGGGATAGGCGACCCGCCCATTTATTATCCCACACCAGACCATTATAGGGCGGGGACGGCAAATGATTCAATTTCAGGGATTGGCATTTCTGCTAACCGAACCGAGCCGTGTTGTCGAAGTACAAAGATAAAGAGAATTTTTCTGCCTGAAAGGGCACCCTGGATGAAGAGTAACATTACCGAATAAGGGCTACATTGCTATTATGCAGTTGACAAGTTGACTGCAGGGTAAAATACCTCCACGGGATCTATCGTTACAGAGGCATGGGCAGCTGAACCTAGGGCCTGTCAAGGAACGTGCGGCATTCCATATGTGATCATTGCCTTGGCTGGCATGGCTGATTGATCTCTCAGAAGCAGGATCTCGATCAAATGGCAGCCAAAAAAATGTTCCGAGAAAAAAACATGGTGCCTGGATTGGCGCATTCCTATCGACATCATAATCTTTTCTTCAATGGACCCTGTTGCAGACAAGCTTTTCCAGGGTAACACCGGTCGCCTTTAGCGCCTGCGCCGAATGGAAGTGGAAGCGGAGGATCGGGCGCACTGGTAATGTGAACCGCGTTCGCCACTGTCATTTCCCGTTTAGATCTGATGCTTTATCCTCCGTACGGGGCGCGGTTTCGCGAGCTGGTTTCGCTTTTATGAAGAATCAGAATTTCAGACGTCCCCACAGGCCTGACTATTTGGGGAAAGTGGGGGTGAGAAGACCCTGACCCTGGACCAGTCAGGGTCCGAAAAGCTCCACGGGCTCCGCGACAAAGGGCTCGCCAGCCCCGATTTTCATTAATTGTGCAATGCGTCTCACTGGTGGAGAAAGAGGTCTGGACTTGGCTAGCGGGGAGTTATAGTGGAGAACAGGCTTGTCTCAGGGGCTTGGGGTCCAGGAACCACACTTTCATTGGCTGCCTAACCAAGACAATCATGGGAAGTGGACCGCAAAGGGTTGCCGGCGGCCCTGGTGGACCTTCAGGGGCCATTCAGGGCCCAATGGCGTAGGCGGGGCTGATATCCTGTTCGCCCATCCAGCGGTGTCCAGCTGGGAAAGAGTCCATCTGATTGATCCAAAGACACCAGACACTGGCTCCATTGATGCGCGGGCACCCGCAACACAGCCCTCTTGATGATGTGTCGTGTGGAAAGGCAGAGTGACCTGCCTGAGTATGGCCTCCCCTGCGTCATTGATGTACCTGTACCTGGATTGGCTGGTCAGCGAGCAAAGGGCTCTTCCTACGGAGAGCCCGGGCCTTTTCTCGCCAGGGCGATGGATCCGCAAACCCACATCTTGCCGGGGGGGTCCCCTATTTTCTTAGCTCCCCCTTTCCCCTTCTAATACTTCCTTCCCTGCCCTTCCTTTCGCGTTCCTTTTCCTTTCGCTCTATCCAGAAGGCTTTGCTGCCATCCTGTCATTCTTTTAGGATCGAATTGATTTGATTTACAGCCTCTCGCTCACAATGAAGTATTCCCTCATTGCAGGCCTCTCCCTCCTGGGAGCAGCCGTCGCCGCCGATGTCCCTTCCATTGAGACCAAGGGCAAGAAGTTCTTCTACTCCAACAACGGAACCGAGTTCTTCATCCGCGGTGTTGCCTACCAGCCCGACTTCGAGGGCGGTGGCTCTACTACCTCCAAGCGCTCCACCACCGACTACACCGACCCATTGGCCGACGTCGAATCTTGCAAGCGTGATATCCCCTACTTGGTCAAGCTCCGTACCAACGTCGTGCGTACCTACGCGGTCAACCCCAACTCCTCTCACGATGAGTGTATGAGTGCCCTCGCTGATGCCGGTATCTACGTCATCTCCGACCTGTCCTCTCCCAGCGAGTCCATTGAGCAGAACAACCCGACCTGGAACGCCGATATTTTCGAGCGTTACGCTTCCGTCATTGATGCCTTCGCCAAATACCCCAACGTCATCGGTTTCTTCGCCGGTAACGAGGTCTCCAACAAGATTTCCAACACTGACGCCATGGCTTTCGTCAAGGCGGCCGTCCGTGACACCAAGGCCTACATCAAGCAGAAGAACTACCGTAGCTCCCTCGCTATTGGTTACGCCACTGACGACGATGCTACCGTTCGGGAGGACATCTCCAACTACCTGGTCTGTGACAGCCCCGCTGACTCTATCGACTTCTTCGGTTACAACATCTACGAGTGGTGTGGTGATGCTACCTACCAGTCCTCTGGTTACGCTGCCCGTACGGAGGAGTATGCTGACTACCCTGTCCCTGCTTTCTTCTCCGAGTACGGTTGCAACACCCCCCGCCCTCGTGAGTTCACCGATGTTCCCGTCCTGTTCGGTCCCAAGATGAACAATGTCTGGAGCGGTGGTATCGTCTACATGTACTTCGAGACTGGCAACAAGTACGGTCTCGTCTCCACCGATGGCAACCAGGTCAGCACTCTCAAGGACTTCGAGAACCTGTCTTCCCAGATGGCCAAGGTTACCGCCACTGGCGTCAACTCGAAGGACTACACTCCCACTGCTGCTCCTACCCGCAAGTGCCCTGCTGTTGGCAAGGACTGGAATGCTGCCAGCGTCCTGCCTCCCGCTGTTGACGCCAACCTGTGCGCTTGCATGTACGACACCCTCACCTGTGTCCCCAAGGACGGTCTCTCCGACAAGAAGATCGGCAGCACCTTCGGTTACCTCGGTGGCTCTGACGGTGTGATGGATGGTGTTGCGGCCAATGCCACCACTGGCAAGTACGGTGCCTACTCTGGCTGTTCCGCCAACCAGCGTCTGGCCTGGGCCATGGACCAATACTACTCCAAGCACGGTTCTAAGGCCTCCGCTTGTGACTTCAACGGGGTTGCCACTACCAAGTCAGCCACCTCCGCCACTGGCTCTTGCGCTGACCAGATGAAGGCCGCTGGTACCGCCGGTACCGGTGTTGTCACTGGTAGCCTCGCTGCCAACACTGGTGGCTCTGACTCCGGCTCCGGCTCCGGCTCCGGCTCCTCATCCTCTAGCGGCAGCGGTGCCTTCCACCACTCTCCTCAGGCCGTCCAGATTGGTGCTTGGCAGACCGGTGCTTACGCCATGGTCGCCATCGCCACTGGTGTCTTCATGATCATGCTGTAAGCGCTTCCAGCTGGAATGTGGTTCGGCCTTCTCTCTTCTTATCCCCCTTTTGCGATGTTAAATCGGGTGCCATTGTATTACCACCGTGTACAATCCGCACAAAACGGCGCCTTTTCTTGTATTCGTGATTGATTCCAACCTGTTTATACGTAATTCCTATTTGAGCTGAATGGCAAGCTGGTGTTCATCTGTTATTTCGGCATTAGCCTGACGATCTAGACTTCCATTCTATCTACAAATCTATTTTCTAGACTTGTGATGAACCTATACTCTTCGCAATGGCATAGCAGTCTTGGTAGCCTGACTACTCAAGTTCGGTTCCTTGTACGACCAAGTGCCCCATGTATAGTTCCTACCGTACAAGCCTCTCCCCTTCCTCACTGGACGCCAAACTCGCAAACTGCACCCTCCTAATCGCATGCCCCTTCCACATCAACAACATCACAAAAAGAAATGAGAACACCGCAAAAAACCCCATCATCCCATACACCCATCCCACCCCCACCGCCTCCACCCACGGATTGATATAGAAACTAATCGTCAACCCAAAAACAATCCTATAAGCCCCCACCACAATCCCCGCCTCAGCCGGAAACCTCGTAAAACACTCCACAACATAATTCACCGTAACAGGCACACTAGCCAACGACCCCACCGTAACCAGAAACACGCCCAGCGCAAGAACCAGATAATGCAAATGATACTTGAGCGCCGCACCGAAGATCCCCAGCCCAATCGGATTGAGCACCAGACTGGGCAACCACAGTACATGCAGCCTGTACTCGGGCTTCCAGACCCCGTTGTTCCAGCGCCGAGCGAGCGCGAGCGGGAGCCGGTCGTTCAGCCCGTGGCTGTAGAACTGGACGACGATGATGCCGAGCCAGTGGCAGAATGTGAAGGCTGCGTTTTGTTTCAGGGTGAACCCGTAGCCGCCAGCGGAGACGGGCCTTTGGAGCCACACGGGGGTTAGAGCGTTGACGCCGACGTAGAAACCGAAGGAGATTAGGGTGAATATGCCCATGATTATGGTGACGGGGCAGAGGCCGACGAGGAAGGGGGCGAGGCTTATCTTAGCCTTTCATTTTGTTAGTTCCGGGTTTGGGAGGGGGGTAGGTTTGGTGTTGGTTCCAGGTGGGAGGGGGACGTACGGTTTCTTCCCAGGTGGTGGGTTGGATGACGCGCGTGCCGAAGAAGAAGGTTGCTAGTCGGTTGGCGAGGAAGCGTTCTGGGATTTCGGGGTTTTTGGAAGTGTCTTCGCGGTCGAAGCCTGTTTCTTCGAGGACGAGGAGGCAGCATATTATCGTGAAGCCAAGGAGGCCGACTGTCCACCAGAATTCGACCGGGAAGAAAGCATTTGCTGATATAAACCCAGAGAAGGTTGGGCCGGCGATGGTTCCGAAGAGGAATGACATGTGCAGGAATGTAAATGCACGCCCGCGCTGATGAAGAAAGAATAGGTCTGTCAGGATGCGCGGTCCGAGGACTGTGGGAACGGCGCCAAAGAAGCCTGCGAAGAGTCGTGAGATGATGAACGGGATATAGTCATCGGCGTGGGTCATCACAGCTCCCCAGACCTGGCAGACCAGAGTGCATACTAGACACCAGAAGATAACCGAGCTACGGCCGAGAAGATGCGAGATGGGTGCAAAGAAGAAAGGCCCTGCTGCTATACCGGCTAAGGCGGCTGAGTTCTAGTTTTAAATCAGGTCAATTGAGGTTCGTTTGAGCAGCACAGAGTTGTCGGCGGAGAGAAAGACGTACTGGATATGACTCTTCTGTTTTCGTCTTGTGGTAGAGCTTTTCTTGGTCTGCAAGATTGAGCTGCCCTGATAGTGGTGCTACAGCTCCCGCGAAGGACGCCAGGCAAAGCACCGCAGTAATTGCATACTTGCGTTTTAAGGTCCAATTCTGCAGTTGACACTGTTAGCGATAGATCTATGAAAGTAGAGAACGAAAGCATGGAGCAAAGGCATGGAACCATACTAAGGGGTCCTGGGTAAGGTTGCTAGGCCTAGGGATGAGAACAAGCTGGTCGTGGTCGTGGTCGAGCCCCTCACTTGCCAGTGGAGAGCTCGACAGAGCGGGCAGTTCGACGTCGTCCTTCTCACCCATAGCGTTCAAAGCGACTACCGCCTTATAGAAATCGACGCAGGAGAACCTGGGGTAAGCTCTGTCTCCATACTTTTGGCATTAAAGGTGACTACGTAATGACACGAACCCCCCCTGCATATATTTGTGCTGACCGCCGATCTGTACGCGTCACAGCTGGTGGAATCGGCAAGAGGGGCCCTGGGAATCAGTAACACCAGCCTTGCTACTCCCTTACCGCTCTAATGAATTGCTATATGGTCTGTTAATATATGTGTCTTCTGTGCTGATGTGGACAGCAGTACGATTTGCGAGTCGGACAAGGGCAAAGCTGCTTTTCGCGCCCTTCGCGTGTTTTGCCACCATCATTTGCGCCGATCGTAGGAGCCACGAGTAGATTCCGGGCTGGATCGAGGTCTAGTGCTTAGATTGTCCACCAAGCTTTATGAAGGCCTTCAGGGCTGTAGGGCTGGATGCCGATCTGCTTCGGCCAATTCAGACTTGGGTGAAAAGATTCTAAACTGCGAAGTCGGAGCCGCCAACCGCAATTCGGCGCTGGCAACTATGGTTTCCGGCCACGGATACCTTCCCAGCTATTTCCTCACTCCTGAATCCTCACGTGGTCTAGCCAGGATATAACGATACACTAAGCTGCTTAGGTACAGCGCCAACGCATAACGCAGACCCAATTACTGATAAAAGCCGAGGCGTTATTCGGCGAAGTCGGTGGTACTTAAGTTTCTGACGATCGCGAGATGGGTGCAACTCCGCACTGAACGGGGAAAACACCATGGCAGGATTCGGCGAAACCATGCATAGGCCGAATGGGCCCTGAGCCATTAAAAAGCGCTCGATCGCTGCAAGGATTCCTGAACTTCACGAATCTGATGTGTATAGACGACATGATACCCGGATAGATTCATAATATTCGAGTCCCCTTCTACTACACTTCAAAATGGCAGAGCTCAAGTCCAGCCGGAAGGATTTGGAGTCTCAGAGACCTTTATCTCAGCTCAGTACCCCGCGTGACTCAGATACAGAGCCAGCAGACAAAGAGCCGAAAGAGTCGCCCCCTCCAGGTGGCTTTGCGCTTCCGTTATGGCGCAAAAGCTTGATTCTATTCGTTGTTAGTTGGATGACGCTCTCTGTGACATTCTCCAGTACCTCTCTACTCCCTGCCGTTCCCGAGATTGGAGCAGAGTTTCATACTAGTGATGAACATCTCAATGTGGTTAATTCAGGTGTTCTGATTGCCATGGGCTTCTCGTCCTTCATCTGGGGGGCCCATTGTGAATCTTTTCGGACGGAGAATTGCCTATAATGCGGCCATCGTTGTGCTGTGCGGCTGTTCGGTCGGCATGGCGCTGGCTATAAATCTGAAAAGGTTCATTGCCATGCGAATCTTGAGTGGTTTCTGTGGAACTTTCTTCATGGTAGCTGGCCAAACAATCATTGCTGATATCTTCGAGCCGGTATGTCAAACTTGTGCCGGCAGCTCTGGAATCTTTCCTACTAGTAGCTAATCTTGGTAAGGTGGTTCGCGGAACAGCAACAGGCGTGATGATGGTAGGATCTGTGAGTGGACCAGCGATCGGTACATAATCTCTCATCCAAGTTCCTTGATTTCAGGTGTTAATTGAGTCTGTAGGACCATGTATCGGTGGAATCATCGTCACTTTCACCCATTGGCGTATCATCTATTGGCTCCAATTCGCCATGACCGTACTTGGACTCATTCTGTCTCTTCTCTTCCTCCCGGACTTGGAAGTAAAGAAGACAGTCAAGGAACCTCAGACAGTGAAATACGTGCTCAGCATGTTCAACCCTTGGCATATCCTCCGCCCATTGCTCTATCCGAATATCTTCCTTTGTGTGAGTTGCCTTGTATTCTCTCGATCGATACGCGTTGACTCATGATGTCTTAGCATCTCTCCTGCGGTCTACTAGCAACATTCCAGTACGCCATCCTCACCTCTGCTCGCCCAGTATTCAACCCTCGCTTCCACCTTACCACGCCCCTAGTGAGCGGCCTTTTCTACCTCTCCCCGGAATCGGCTTCCTAATCGGAAGTATTGTAGGCGGCAAACTCTCCGATCGAGCTGTGGTCAAGTGGATTCGTAAGCGGAATGGCGTTCGCCTGCCACAAGACCGACTCAATAGTGGCCTTATCACTCTCCTGCTCGTTCTACCCGGCGGAACCCTGGTCTACGGCTGGACTCTACAGGAGAAAGTCGGTGGCATGCCTGTCCCCATTATCGCCGCCTTCTTCGCTGGCGTGGGTTTGTTGGGCTCGTTCAATGGCCTGAACACGTATGCTTCAGAGGTCATACCTCAATTTCGCTCAGAGGTAGTCGGTGGCAAATATGCCGTTCAGCTTCTTTTTGCGGCGGGCTCGACGGCGGCTGTTGAGCCTTTGATTAAAGTTATCGGCGTAGGCTGGACCTTTACAATTTGTGAGTTCCGTACGTCTGGAATAGAAGAAGTGGATCTAATCTTGGCCTCCGTAGGTGCCGTTTTTGCTATCATAAGTGGATTTAATGTGTTCATAATCACGCGATGGGGCATTGATATGCAGCGATGGGCGGAGAGAAAATTTCCCCTTAGCGGCACAAAATGATACTTACGAGAAGAAAGCATATGAGCGCCACGAACAAATAATTCGCTTCGATAAACGCATTCATAGACGAGCGTCGATTCATTTGGTTTTGGTTTGGATGTCCGGGACCTGTCTCATACATACCCCTTACATACAAATACGCATACAGGCTGCACATAGAATTCAAAAGGTTTTATGTTTTCCAAGATATTGATTCCATTCTAGATCTCAATGCCCAAAGCTCCTTAATTAGGTCTTCGCAGATAATGCGTCACGATGTGACTTAGAAGGAAGATCCTAGTAGGCCCTCGCCGAGCCAGACGATCGCGTTGCCCTTCAATTGCTACCATAGTCACTTCCCCGTTTCATTAGGAACCGTGGATTCCAGGTATAAGAGTAAACACTTGATCAATAGCTGGGTGGAAAATAGAGCGGCTAGAACGCCTGCGGTCAGCTTCACGTTTTCATAGATCCGTAGAAATGGAGTTACTTATCTCATATAGCACGGTCATTAAGTGTTTTCATTTGAATCGGAGCTCGACATCATGATTCCCTGGAATAAGCTTGTTGATTATCCAAGATTTTGACGAAATCTTCAGATTAGAACACAGCCAACAGAAGAACAATTCACAGTATTGCTCGAGAATCTCGTGCCGAAGGATACGGGGCCTTTTTCAATGAGGTAGATGCGTAGATGAGTAGGAAATGCAGCGGAGTAGTGATCGCAGACTAATGATGGAAACGGAACAACGATGGTGTGACGTCTGCGGCAAGCTATGTCATAACGCGAGGACCTGTCACATAGCAATGGAGCTATCTGAGGAAGACGGTTCCGATTGATTTTGACTAATCCGAAGTGTTCTGGTTGGTTTATTCGGGGAGTGGCCAACGCACTTGTCTGGTCAAGTCCCTTAGCAAGTAATCGAATCCTTGCCGTAATTTACTTGGGTAGGTACAGTTTCTTCGCTGTCTTAGCAAACCAAGGAACTAGAACCTTCATTTCTCCGCTTTTATGCAAGCCATAGTCAAACTTTAAAGCCCAAAAGGGCCTGGAAAATCCAGCAAAGGTCTGACTTTTCGCTCCTATATCTCATACAGTACAGTAAGACTGTCTACACGACTCTTTGACCACGTGAATCCCATGCAATACCAATGCTGTCTGTCGCTCCCCTTCACATATGATATGCGCCTGAGTTATGGTTCGAATGATGTCAGGATGATTTTATAATCCTATCAATAAGAGAATGTCTACCATGTGACGACACACATTCCTTATGATTCGAGACTTTGGTGAAGTGATCCATGTACGAATTAAAGTCATAATGATATCTTCATCATATGATCCGCTATTGACTTATGACTTTGCGATGATCTGGGTTTGAGTCATATGCCTCCTATATGAATAAAAAGTACGGGGTGTTGGTGGGATCAAATTTGCAATATCTTCCAATTTACAATATCTTTCTTTCATCAATTCACCTTCAAAGAAACATCAAGACTTCATAATGGCAGAGGTAGCAAAGTAAGTCTCCCCCCTTTAACTTGCTATTCAGTCTAACGTGAGTCCCAAGGCCAGTGCATACCACAGCGTACAAGCCTCATCCTACTGAGAAGATGAAAGCAGCTCTCTGGATGGGTTCGAAAACGATCGAGCTGGGGGAGGTCCCGAAGCCTACTATCACCGCCCCGAAGGATGCCATTGTGCACATCACTCACTGTACCATATGTGGTTCGGACCTGCATATGTACGATGGCGCCCTGAATAAGGTCATGGAAAAGGGGCTAATTATGGGCCACGAGGCCATCGGCATCGTCGAAGAAGTTGGCCCTGAAGTCAAGAATTTGAAGGCAGGAGACCGGGTGGTCATCATGCCAGTCATCGCATGTGGAGAATGCTTCTACTGCAAGCGTAAGGAGTTCTCTCTCTGCGACAAAACCAACCCGTCCAAGGAATTGCAGCAGATGTACGGACATCGCTTATCCGGCATCTTTGGCTATTCCATGATCACGGGGGGATACCCTGGCGACCAGGCTGAGTACTGCCGCGTCCCTAACGCGGATCTCACCTGTGTTAAGGCTCCGAAGAATGTCGCGGCCAAAAAACTTGTTGGCCTGGCAGATGTGACGCCTACTGCGTGGCACGGCTGCGAGCTAGCGGAAGTGGGGGAAGGCGACGTCGTTGGTGTTTGGGGTTGCGGCGCGGTCGGCCTCTCAATTCAACGATTGGCGAAATATCGTGGAGCCCGCAGGGTTTACGCGGTTGACAAAGACGCGCACCGGCTCAGTATCGCGAAGTCTTTTGACATGATTCCTATCAATGTGGAAGAGCATCCAGATCCGGCCCGTCAAATTTTATCTCTTGAACCGCACGGTCTGGATCGCGGTATCGAAGCGAGCGGTTTCAGGAGTACGAACACAGTTACCCACGCTACCATGAGAGCACTAGGTGCTGAGGGCGACAGCTCGGACACTGCCAGTGCGGTGATCAAGGCAACACGGAAAGGTGGAAACGTCGCTCTAATTGGTGACTTCTTCTTTGAGACCAACGACTTCCCAATCGGAATGTTGATGGAAAAAGCCATCACCCTGCGCGGTGGACAGCTCTATGCCGAGAAGGTAAGATGTCATGCCTCTTTACTATAATCTACCACAAGGAGAGGTCAAGAAAAGAAAGCACCGCTCCACCGGATACGGACGTCACTAATTATTGCCGTTCAATCTTCTAGTACTTCCCATTCCTTGTAGACATCGTTGCCGACGGCAAATATGACCCCTCATTCATGTTTACACACGAAGGTAGGAAAAGCTTAGCATGGGGGTAGCCCCTTTCCTAGCTCCCTATTGTATACGTTTAAGTCATTGGCACCATCTAATTCCCTTTCTTCTCTAGACAAGTTCGAAAACATTGCGCAGAGCTATGACGCATTCTACAACCACAAAATGCCCGGAGGATTGAAAGTGTGTCTCGCGACGGCCTTTGGTCGGGCGCAGGCCTAAGGTCGGAATTTCATGGGAAAAGTAATGTGTAGTGCCTGTTTGAAAAGTCCTGATTTTACAAGAAATTCTTGTAAAGCTCTTACCTTTGGTTGATATTCAAAATGACACAGCGTATAATTTTCATGATCTTGGTAGGATCGTTATTATGTGTCATGAAGGGCTTCAGTTACCGGCCATTTTCATATTTATCTCGCCTTATCCTCCGTAATACTGTAGGTCCTAGGTCTGCATTACCAGCCTTAACCCTGGTGTTTCGACTAAGGCTTCAGAACTTTGCTTGCACAAAGCATGAGAGCCAATTTTGACTTGATCTGTCAGAGGAAATCTGACATACAACGGCCCTATCATTATAACTAGTGTGTCTTGGCAGTGGGGCTAGGGGATCAATGGAAGAGTGGAGGTGCACCAGGTTTCGGGATGTGCTGTGCTATACACGATGAAGTATCCAAGACACGGCTTAGCTTGGGTGGAACCCTGTCAGCACATGGTTCATTTACGGTATTCCATCGAGCAGAACTTTTCCAGTAAGCTCACGAGGTATGAATAAGTAATATCTTTAGGGTTGCCTCGCTCCGGAATAACAGCACGAAGGTCTCCCGAATTAGTTGAGCATCGGATGGCAATCATAATAATTAAGACTATCCATGAAACCGACATTAGAAAGCTTGGTGTATCGTGGATAGTTTGTGGTTTTGATAACTGGCGAGCTGCCCTATATATCTCACCATCTGTTGGTTTCTCCCCATTTGCGTACTCCTCAAGAAATGAAATTTTGAGGTTTATACTCATATCTACCGAATAGGGATCTAATCAGACTAGTAATGAGAACATTTTGGCACAGACATACCGCCCCCACGTGCTTATACCTTAAGACACAGCATATAAGCAATGGCGGCCATGGAGACCTTTTAATTGCTCTTTTGGAATTACGAAAGTGGGTATCCCTTCCCTGGAGTTGGATAAAAGCGAATTTGCAGGCATGCCAGCGTTCTTCAACGTGTCCGCCAACTTGAGATGATGGCGGGATATGATTCGAGAGCTCGAACCGGCGACAACCGCTACTTTGGAAGATCTTCCAAAGCCTTCCTACATTCTTGGGATCGTATTGACATGCTGGATCTCCTAAATCAATATCCGAAAACTTGACTTGAGTGGGGCCTTTGAACTTCAACCACCGTTCGTCGGGTTGTTTGGACTTCCTCGTCGGTCAGAAAGACCCCGGCGCTTCACGCAATCCTTTGCGACAGCATCCTTGTCTTAGCATATCGATGACCAGGCTAAGATATTGTACGCTAATCTAGATGGCTGAAGTGTGTGAAGAACGAGGATTGCGGTTGGAATACCGCTACGGGCTTTGTTTAGTAGTTCTACCTTGTCTTATCACCTGGGCAGCCTCTCATAGGTTAATGAGACCCATGCCAAAGTTGCAGGGATCTTTTGCATACCGTAGGGATCCGTCCGGTATGTAGCGGGAGTTCTCACCTACTCTCACACCGTCTAACATACTCTATCACATACTCACACTGTTTCACTCCTCGTCAGACCACATACGAGCAGCATGCGAACCTCCCATATAGTTAAGCTACTGAAGAATTCTAGCACATACGACCATAGGGTGTGGAGAACAGGGCTTCCCGTCCGCTCAGCCGTACTTAAGCCACACGCCGGTCAGTTAGTACTATGGTGGGTGACCACATGGGAATCCTGACTGTTGTATGTGAAGTTTTTGCTTTTTTCCTGGTTAATTGAGCCTATTTGGGTTCGAATTGTCCAAAGACTCAAAAATTGGAGCCATTCAAAGTGTTCCCGTGTTGACGGCAACACTATGCGCAACAGGGCGACTTCGACACATCAACATCAACTAAAGGGCCATGAAAAAGTGATGTCAAGCCATTATAACATCACTAGGCTAATTTGGCAGTACATTATTATTATTAATTATTAGGTTTTCCAAACCATTGGGAGCCAGATAGGCTGGAAAGGAGTATTTAAATTTTTTATCAGATGCTAAGTTGTGAATAGACATTGGTCGCTATAAATTCGTAATAAGCGGGCGCGAACGATGGCAACTGTCTTTGCCTGTAGATAAGAGTGATTGCACCATATCCGTTGAACTTAGCAAAATCTGTTATTTATACCAGTTGACGTGTTTGAAGGGGCGTTCAGGCCGAAAAGTCGGCCTATAAACCATCAGCCCCTCACTGACGACATATTGCAACATAACGATCGAGCCTAGAGCGGCTAATCAGATGACTTTCATCAATGGAGACGAGTATGATAGGTTGATCTATCATCTAAAGCATAAATTAAAACCCAAATCCTGCGTAGCAGTTAGTATGTAATACAAGATATAGCCCTCTAGTTGGTCTAATATCCGTATGCGACCTCGAACGGACAACATTAGCAGATAGCCCATTCACTGATATTTAGTGTACTCCAAGGCTATATGGATTATGGTCACCTGATGTCCCTATCGATTGACTAATCTCTAGTATGAACCCCTGGGGCCACGAGGAAATTTGTCGTCTGAGGAACCCCATGGGCTCATCTGTGCTGCTGCGTGATTGGTCTGCATGATTGTCCTTATAGTTATCTTCGCCGTTCCCCGGATTGAGTTTCAATTATAGACTCCTATGGTACTCCCAGCGGGAAGGTACAATCCTCCTAGTCTCGTATAGATTACTTACGCTAATGATATAGGGGACCGTCTCGTACTAGACTACTTTTAGATTTCGAATACAATAGCGTTTGAAGCTCTCTTATAGATTGTTCTGATTATCTAGGGAGTGGAAAGTGTCATATTTCAAAACCAACAAAGTTAATATCACGCCCATTTAAGAAGCGAACCGAAAATCATATCTTTTATAAAAGCAGTCAGTTCGGATGGACGCGGAAAACCCTCGGATAGTATGCTCTGATATCATACCTCTTGTTGGTCATCTCCGGGTTTTCACGGAGATAGTGCTCTCTTTGCTCGCTCGACATTGCCGCCCATTTTGATGCGTAGTGCCTTTCATGTCGTTAGCGTTGAGGGTTTGACATTAGTGTTCTTGGGACAATTTACCTGTTCCACCAGTCATAGAAGAATTTGGCCGCAATGAAAAGCACAAAGCTTGTCACGGCCATTGCGATCAAAACCTTGTTTCCGTGCTTGTAGTAAGGTTTGTCGTCGTTGACGTAGATCTGTTCATGCGGGTAAGTATTGGGTAGAAGTTAAACTGGCTTCGCAACCGGTACTCACATTAGAACCTGCGATAGCACTGAGCTGTATGGCCATATTGTACAGCGCAGAAGCCACTGTTCGTGTCCTCACGGATCCCGCATTACGAGAGGTCAACGCAACTAGCACAGGATGAATACTTGGTCCTCCGACAAGAAGAGTAAGAATCGCCCAACGAGGCCAAGGCATGGCTTTTTCGGGTAGAACCTCGAGGGCAATGACGAGGGCCAGATACCAAAGTTCACAGCAAGCGCCCAGAAGCAGACGTTGGTTGGTCCGCTCAGCAAGCTGCGTGGTAGTAATCATGGTGATAATCGCGATGACGGCCGAGGGAATGGTTAAGAGGTTGGTCTGAAAGGTTGAGAAGCCAACGCTTCTCAGCTGCAGTGTGAGATAACTATTAGCTGGCGTTGTAGGGAGTTGCCAGATAAGCCCAACGAGAAAGATCGGCCACATATGGTAGTCTTTCAACGACTCCCAGAGACGTCTCGGGGTGACGGGCTGCCGATTGTGCATAGATCCCTTGCTGGGGTCGTCACGAAGAATTCGGTTTACAATGATCTTCTCTTCGTGCTCATTGAACCACCCTTCTCTGCCACGAAATCCACCTTTAGTTTGGACTGGGGATGCTGGCATCCAGAATATAGCGATGATCCCGATCACGCCGGTAATTAGGCCCTCGTAGGCAAAAAGATAGCGCCAGGAGCCGCCTCCGTGGGAATCTTTGATATGGAGGAACCCAAATGCGAGGAATGAGCCGATGATACCTGCGACCGTATATGACACCCAAAAACAAGTTAACCTGTTTGGTAGCTCATTCGACTTGTAGAAGAAAGAAAGGAAGAGAACGGTGTCCGGGATACTAGTACGGGTGGTTAGTGATAAAGCAAAGCTCGAATCACGGCAAGTGTTTCACTCACAATCCTCCTTCAAATAATCCAAGCAAGGCACGGCAGGCAAAAAAAGATCCTCTTCCACTGAGAAAAGCCTGGCAAGCTGCAATAATACTCCACAGAATCATCTGGATAGGAATCCACCGATCGGGTCCAAGTCGCTTAGAAATAAGCTGAGAGGGCATTTCTGCCACCAAGAATACCACCAGGAATATTGTCTGCCCCAGGTTATAGTCATTTGTGTTCATATGGAGATCTTCCAAGAGCGTGCTCGACAGGGCCTGGGATATATTTCCTCGATCGAGCTGCAGCGCGAAGAACGTCACGCACGCGAAAGTACAGACACGGATATCAATCTGGCCAAGCAATGTCAGTAATGGACTTAAATATTAAGATATCTTGCGGATGGGGAAGGGAGTTATCACTTTTCTGACAAGGCGCTTTTCTTCGCTTTCAGTCCAGGTGAAATCGGGGTCCCATCGGTGAAGTCCCTCATACCCGTCAATCGGTCGGTATAAGTGTTGGCCTTCGGTGAGGTCAAATGTACCTTTGACGGCTTGGGTTTTGCTTTGCTGCCATTCTGTGTCAGATAGGTTCGTATCTAGAGTTCGCTGAGATCCTTTTGGATCTGCTGCAACCTGCGTAGCATCCTTTGCCTCGATTGCCATTTCCCGTGATTGTCCGGCAAATACGGCGAAGGCTCAGAAGAGAGATTATGAAAACGACCTAATTAAGGAGCTGCATGTGCACTTATTCTAAAATATAGAGCACGGACGCAGGCCCGGTAGTGATGATCACAGAATCCTGGTCGATGGTGAACTGCGATGGCGAGCTACGATAGCCACATGTCGTGCGTGCGGGCGTGGATGAGACCATACCAGTCCGCCTCCCAACCACCCTGGCACAAACAAAAGTTCTGGAATGGCGGCATATCCTATAGCACTTGACAAATTGCAAGCCGCAGCCACATCGCTTAAAGTCGCGATTCTCGCAAAGCCGTCCTAGTCGACGATCAACAGGTTGGGCTTCCGTAGAATCACGTTCTGGAGAGAACAGAACTTGCCGCATTATCGGCTTGCATCACTCGGAGGTTTTGCCACGCCATATTAATTGACTGAGATTGGCTGCATTTGTGATAATGGAAATGAAGCTCACGTATTAGTTGATCGGAATAGGCGACGCAACCCTTTCAACTTGATTTTATTTGCGCTTACCTCGCGTCGGCTCTCAGGGTAAGTCACAACTTATTCTTTCGGCAGCTGAGAGGTACCATAGGCACCGGCTATCTTCACTTCAGAATGAAGCCTATTCGGAAGGGTCTTACAATTGAGGATAGCACATTTCATATTCTCTGCATTGGTGATTGTTGTGGTTGTGTTGACCAAGTCCGATAGGAAATCCACACACGTGATGCGCCATACTTTGCTTTTTACATAGTACGTCTGAAAACTGTCACAGCTTAAGATAACCAAATTGCACATAAAATTGTTTCCCCATTTCTAAGGCTATCTTTTTAGCTAGCCTATTTCGATCCGAGTCTGATATCAGGAACGAACGTGATAGAAACTGCTCATTAGTAGCATCATGCTATACCGTGGATCGAAGGATAGAGTTCGATATACACGAGGAGAATGGCAGGTGAAAGTGGTGTGTCTAGAATGTGTAGACGACCAGCTTTTGCTACCAATGGCGACACGGAGACCTGATTGACAAGTGACTCACGTGGTTTCCTGTATCAACAGTCGCAAAACGTGACACCGAAGTTTCAAACACATTTGAAACCCTAGATTCTGTCGAGAATCATACCTGCTTTTGGTTTTTCGCTTATACAAATCCTCGACTGTCGCTCCCAGAACTTCGTGTAGCAATGTGAATAATCCCCGAGCGGCTCCACTTGCCAATAACCGGCTTGTGATTGGCCGGGCTGGGTGCGACGCCGTTGAGACGGGCCCTCGGCGAAACTTCCACATCGCCGAACACATGCCAAATCGCTTGAAAGAATATGGGCATCGCACAATGACACGGAATCAAGGGATCAAGCGACAGTCTATGTCTGTGGAGGTAGACGAAGATAGCCGACGCCAAAGGAGGAAATTTGTTGCGTGCGTACAGCGCCGATCCTTAGACCATCGCTGCTATGCGCTTGCGTACTGACTGGTGGCAGGTGCCAACGATGCCATGCTCACAAGATCAAGTGTTCTGGCGACCAGCCGTGTACTAAATGCAAAGCTGTAGGCTGTGCTTCTGAATGCGCATATGCCGCTCGTGATCGCCAAGTGAAAGTCAGCGAAAAGTATGTGCTTCCAAGGCTTGAGGCCCCGCAGGCCCAGAGAACATGGCGAGGCGACGCCCACCTATTATAAGCTTGAAGGAATCGGGAGCTTACCGTTCCAACTACCAATAGTTACCTCGAAGAGCTACTAGCGGAAAACCGGCGGCTCAAAGAGCAGTCGGTGGCCTCGGCGGACGTGACCGAGGCTCAAGTGCCGCCAAATACTGAGCGGTAATCACCTTGTGTGCCCTGGACGGATGGGAGCTGACTGAATTTAGAGAGTTGAATCGGCCGAATGCGGATGCACCGGACGCTACAAGCATCCAGAATCCAATTATTGGTGACCGCGCATGGTTTCATCGACATGATCCGTCTTCCCCGCCCCTGTATATTGGCGAAGCAGCTTGTTCGGCTTTTGCAACAAGGTTTCGCCGGTTCCTCACAGGAGACAATGCATTGGCACACATTGCACGTACACAATGGGAGCGCGAAGAGACGCTTGCTGCCGTTATGAACGCAACCAATGTCGAGTGGCCCAGTCTGCACCATGCTCGGCTTCTGGTCAAGATTGCGATACATCAAATCGGGTATCTATACCATTTGATGATGCGCAAGGCCACCCTCGATAAACTTGAAGAGGTTTATCAGAATGCAGACTTTGAGTCTACAACCAACAAGTGCCGGTTCTTCGCCCTCTTCGCCTTTGGTCAGGCGTATTCCATCCGCTCCGAGTCGACATCTGTATCGCGCGTTCCAGGAACAGCGTATTTTGCAAAGGCAATGAGTCTGATACAAATTGCCCCGGAGAGAGCCAGTATCACTCATATCGAAACGCTGCTCTTACTTGTCAGTGATCTCCTTGCGTGTGAAACATATTATACATCTTATGGATCAACAAACTAATTTCTCACAGTCCCTGTTTTCTTACTACCTGAACCGTCGGCTATCTGCCTATATCCTTATCAGTAATGCCATGAGAATGGGCTTGACTATCGGGCTGAACCATAATATCCCAGAGTCTCAACTCATTGATCCCGTAAAGCGCCAGCATCGCATTCAGATATGGTGGACCATCTACATCTTCGATCGGATGTGGGGTTCCAAGATGGGCCTGCCCATGCAGATTTCTGACGAAGACATCCACGTCGATTTGCCAAGTACAATATCACCAACCTGGCGACACGAAGAAGAGCTATCCGACGCAGACTACATGACAGCCAACGTCAAGCTAGCCGGAATCGTTGGGGAAACCATCACGAAACTCTACAGCCGACGGAAGTACCAAGAGACCTTCCTCCAGCGCGTCCAGAAACTCCTCAAAGCGCTGAAGAATTGGCTCGAAACCCTGCCCGAGAGCCTCAAGCTCAATATGGAAGACCTAGAATCCAGCAAAAAGCCCGTCGTCTCCCTTCACATGGCCTTCAACCAATGTGTAATCCTAACCACCCGCCCGACCCTCCTCCACCTCCTCATCACCCTCCGCAAAAATGAATCCCACCCCCCAGCCTCAGGCCGCGACGCCATCTCCCAGCCCGTCCTCACCCTCAGCGAAGCCTGCATCCATGCCGCACGCCACTCACACTCCATGATCCTCACCCGCTGGATCAACGGCACCATGCCGACCTTCGGCTACTTCCACGCCCACTACCTCTTCTCCTCAGCCCTCATCCTCGCCATGTCCAGCTTCGTCCCCATCGGTAACCCAAGCGACATGAGCGGCTTTGACTCCGCCCTCGACCTCCTCCGCTCGATGACCGAAAACGGCAACCTCGCGGCGGCAGAGTTCTACCATGCCCTCGAGCAGGTCAACGCCTGTCTACGCCCGTACCGCGGATCAGCAAGCCTGCGCCCGCGGCGCGTCGAGGGCGCAGCCGATATCCCTTCTGCTCCAGGCCCCGACCCGGCTACCGAGCCTGCACCCTCAGGCACGATTGCAGCTCAGGGCTACGCCGGGTCTGGGGCTTTCGTCTACGCTTGCCTCATCGTCTGCGGCGCTCCCGAACCTTCTTGCCGGCGGGCCCGGGCCAATGCTGGCGGGGAATGATTTGCTGGGCGGGCAGCCTGCTGGGACGGATTATGCGTGGCCAGTCAGGGATACGGTGAATGGGTATACGACGGAGATGGCGTTTCTGGAGCCTACGATGCAGGATTTTCTGGCGCAGTCGGATATCGATTTGGGGCTGTTGCATCCGGTCGATACGTTTTTGAATGAAACGGAGCATTTATATACGTTTAATGAGCTTTAGGCCTAGAGACCCATTTTTATAGTTAAGAGTGAGGCATGTTAGATAAAAAAGAAAAGAAAAGAAAAGAAATGCAAGCATGGCGCACATTATTCTACAGGACTTTCATGGAGATTCGCGAATATCGATTTCGCGTGAAATAATGTGATGCTGAATGGCAACATTAGTATTGGGGGATGACGAGGGATTTTGCTTTTCTCGATGCAAACATTGAGCTGCATGGTGTCAGTCTGAGACTGGAACCTTTTTTTGAGTGTTTGCAGATTGGTTAGATTAGGGTTATGTGGGATTACTGATAATCCAATGCCAGGAACCTCGTTGGTGAAGAATGAGTAACAGCAAACCTCGCATGAGATACTTGCTCAAGACCGGTGCCAGTTCGTTAGAAAAACTGACAATAGTAAGCATATAGACATATATTAGCAGCCGCTGGGAATTATAGCAGGAAGTGGGGGTTGGACCCTGGCTGGATGTATATGATTAGCCCGATATAATTAGCTCCCGGAATCAAGGCTACAGGCGTGGGCTGATCTTCTCGAGACCGAGTACGCAGTCAAGCCCAGAAAACGACGTGTAACCTAGAACACGAAATACCATCCGACGCATTTCAACTTCAGATCATTCAAAGATACAGCAAGATATCACCCCTGAGAACTGCCATTCCACCTGAAACTGGACCCGATTGATTGAGAAAGGGCGCGATGTTTTGGGAAAACAGACGCGCCCGCAGGAGGTCAAATTCTAATCGCCACAAGATAGTCGACATATTATAGATGTCTATTCTCGGCGTCAGTCAACATTCAATGCGAACCTTGGACCATGACGAGCGAGGATATCTCTGAAGACAGAGAATGCCTGATGTGAGGACGAATCCCGGGCAGCCATTTCGCGTAACCAATGCATTGCCCTCCGGATATCCTTAGCAAGTCCGAGAGATTCGATGGTTCCTGGATGAGAGCGAGTAAAGAGCTCGATGAGGAGAATCGTGAGAGATTGCACTATATAATGCAGAATGCACCACCATGGGCAAATTCGGTACAGAAAAGACGCGTCGAATGCGTCTGGGAAGATCGAAAGCATTTGCTTTGCCGTTTGAACGCAAACCGTCGCCATAGCATCACATTGATGTCCTGAAGCTGGGGAGCCAACAGGCTGATAAGCTAAGTGACGGAGACACGGTTGGGTAATGACAAGCTTAGTCGTGAAGAACTGAAAGGCTAACCGAGCTCTTTGGAGAGCCAGAGGGTGATTTATGGAAAGCCGGGCGAAGTTGAATTGTGCTGGAAGCCGAGATAGCCATTGATCAGCCTGATCATTGAAGGTTGATATTGCGTTCTCTATCTCCTTCCATGTCCGTCGCGTTGCTCCAGGTGCATACAGTGCTTCGATGGCCCGTCGCATAAGGAGCCCCAGGTCCACCGCATACAAGAAATAGAATGTCATACTAGGGGTCAATGCCTCAAGCTTGATTTGATTAGATGGCCCTTCTTGACTCCCTAGCCCCGACGTTTGAGACGGCCCCGGAGACCTATCCATTGTGGCCTCATTCAACCCTGGTATGTTATCGTCGGAGAGGAGGGATCGTAAAAGAGTATTCCGGAGTCCATGGTCGGTAATAAGTTGCTTGACGGCTTCATCTGGGAAATCCTCGTCTCGGTAAGGGACGGGTAGGGGTGTCGTACAAAATGTTTTGCCGACACTGGGAGGACGGCCAGTCATCACGGAGAGGACAATATCGAGGGTGAATAACGCCCACCAAACTCGATATCGGGTCTCTTTCGAAACGTATGGAATGGAATCGCTCTGGCTACGAAGATTAAGGCCCATGGCTACGGCAGAACGAATCGCAATCCCGATGATCCGCCAGGACCTATGTTGAAAAGACAGGCGATCGGTTAAAAACCTGCAAAGGGTCGAGGAGGATGATCGAGAAGAGAACATACCTATTGACCTGACCGGTGGCAAGGAGAAAGAAGGCCGCTAATCCTTCTACTTGGGTCTGCTGGAGATTGGGGTGATCAAACAACGCTACATTTTCCAGACTTAACCGCCATGCCCTAGTAAAGAACACCACGGGTTTATCAGCTGGTTCCGCGAGTGGGCCATTGAGTAGAAAAAAGTTTCTTGCCCCGATAGCAAATACCAAGTTCAGGACCGCCATCCACCGCTTCCCAGGTTGTAGATTTGGATTCGAGTAGAAGGAACGATATTGACCAAGGAATACACTCTTCCCAATTATGGGGAAAGCAGGGTGGACCGTCTCAAAGTATGCCTCAACAAACTGATCAGCGATGGTTTGGGGAGGGCGCCCTGTCAACTCGATTTCATCGAAGCAAAGTAACTCCATCTCTCCTAGGAAATAGTTAAGCGACGAGATCGAGGGCCGATCCAGTGTTTCTCCGCTCGGGGTCGAGCTCTCCTGGTCAAGGTCTCGCTTGAGTCTGTAGAGCCATGTGATTTCAGCATGCTCACCAACAAATCCAAGTGCTTGGACTTTTTCATCACGGTTGAAATCTTCCTCGGTATGGTCCATGGCCGCCAAGGGATGTGCCGTGCTGGAGCCATCTTCCGAGAAGGCCGCCGAGTGCGAAATCTGAGCATTAGAAAGGAGGCGAGAAAGTCAGTAGGGAGTGGTGAACGAGCCCACACGTAGGGACCTGGCAAGGCTGGCAAGGGCTTTTAGGGGGGGGGGGGGCGGATCTGGGGTGGACTCACTCTGACTAATTGGTCACCCAACATTCGATCGACGAACTGGCCTGATAGGGTGTCGAGTTTAGGATAAATCTCGCGAAGCACATTCTCATAGGAATGCACCTGTGCAGTGAGATCCTCCACTTGCCTAGGAACCCTGATTAGATATTGCAGTTCCGGAAAACTCTTGGGTGTCCACGTACTTGACCATTTTCTCTCGTTTCCGGTAACTATAGATACACTGGAGACCCGAATCCTTGCATCGTGTGCAGACAGGACGGTGGCCGCTACATTTAGCCTTCTGTTCACGACAGTTCTCACATGCTCGGCTGGTACGACCACTGCTAGTCCAAACGTTGGGATTAGCAGAGCGTGGTATGGGGACTTTGGCATTCGAGAATTGGTCCTCAGTGGGTTCATTGGGAATACCGGCAGGACCGGGCCCGAGGGGATGGTCAAGGTTAGTAGAAAATCCAAACGGGGTCGAATGAACTAGGTTTGGAGCCGACCAGTCATACACAGGCGGTGTTGATTCGCCTCCAAGGATGCCTGTGTCTTCTGTCGTCTCGGGGGGGGGGGCTGAAGGGGGGTTGCCCACTCATCGCGAAAATGCCTGGACCTCGGAGGTTTGATGTGGACGCTTGCTGACGACCTTTCGGATAATTGCCCTCCAAGATAAGAAAGGGTTCAAAAAAAAATTAACAGAGGATTGGCCAAGGCGAAGGGTAGGTACCAAGGCATAACCTCTTTCTCCGGAGGCGATCGTGCATACACAAAAAAAAAAAAGAAAAAGAGTCCGCACAAAATGTTCCCGCTCAGAAGCTCGAAAGCCCAAAGAGGCTTGGGCCCACGAAGCCGCGACGTGTGGTATGCTGGATGTGAGCTCCGAGGTGATTTGCCACTAACCGCATTCGTTGCAAAGACCAATCAAATCCGCGCAGTAACGAATTCTGGGTCTGAGGAGCTTAGGAGCTCCGGAAACCCGATATTCAACCGTTACCAGATTGCTGCCCAGTATCGTGACCGATATCTGTGCGTAACGATAAGAAGTAGTGTCAACAAACAGCCGCTACGCGTAGACTGAGCGTTTTGATCCGAGGATATTTGCATGGCGATATCTTTGCAAAAAGCTCCCTCCACTAAGGTCCGTATGGTATCACTCGTTAAAAAAAAGACCAAGAGTGATGATGCCCTTGATGATGCCGCATCAAAAATCATTATTGGGCCGGAAAAAAAAAAAACGCAGAAAATCTGTCGATACGTACGTCCTCGAGGATTAAAATAGGCGGTGTCGAACATGGCTATCCGACGGGAATCCTAGCGTTCAGATAGGCTGTCGTTGGTTGATCCAAAGCTCCATCCCATGTAAAACGTAATGAATTCTTTCCGATAGACTGATTGCCTTTCGCAAGTTGGAAAGAATTATGAGCAACATTGCGGGTTATAGTCAGTTCTGGCTGCTTCGACGATCCCATATACCGAGCTGTAGGAGGTTGGCCCACTGCACAAACCTCCCTGTATCCACCCAGTATCTGAGACGGACCATCGCCAGGCCTTTGTCTTGCAACCCGACCCATAAGATACGAAGCAAATCTCGCCAAGGAGTTGGCTAGTGGCCTTCAAGACATCCTGAATTCTGTTATGTCAGTGGCAACGTCCTTCCGTTGATTCATTGTTCAATTTACCTGTCTCTCCTCTTTGTTCGAAACAGACGATTAAGCCGCTATCCTGCAATTCCCGCCCGCGTCACGATTCCTTGTCGAGCAAGCCCCGGTAGATTAGACGGAAACGCGTGAAACATCGAGAGGTAGTCTGAGGATATGTTCGGTTCATTGATGAATCAAAAGAGTTGTTGGCGATTTTGAAGACAGCCTTAACAAGGCCGTCTTCAACCCGGGAGCCTGTCAATACGCGCCCTGATCTCGATTGCCCCAGGGCCGCGGCAGGAAAATGCTCTTCTGCAAAAGGTAATATACTCACCAGACGAAGAAAGACAATACATGGAAAGAAATGAGAGGATGGAAGAAAAGAGAAGGTTGAAAAGACCAGGGCGGCGCTTGAAGAGGGCTATCTCAACAACCCAACCTGGAGTGTCAGTTTGCAAGGACATCCGCGGAGGAATATTAATGTAGGTGCATCGAAACTGATCACGGAGCCAGGCTGTCGCTTTCCCAATTACCTAGTACTCCCCAAGTTGTCGTCGATATTCCCCAATGCCGTCGACAGAAACCTCATTTTGAACATGACAGAGTCAGCCGACCCATCCGGTCGGGACGACCCGACGATTGTCGTAGAAAATCTCCCAGCCCTGTACCATCGACGAAGTTTTTTTTTTTTGGCTCGGATATAAAGCTCTGTTGTGGCTGGGCTCGTTGCTGTTGTTTCAAGTTATCTTGGCTTCAAAGGCCATCTGGCCAGCAGCTGTCTGTTGGAGCTCAATAGTAGGAGTCCGTCACACACTTTGCCTCGGACGAGACCAAGCACAGCGGCGATACCCCTTGATAATCCGTATGTTACTTTCTCGATACAACAACGGCGAGGTCGTCCGGCTGGAGAGTTGACAGCCTCGACTTGGGGAAGGGACAACTGAGAACTCATCCACTCAAATCCTGAGGGTATTCCCGAGCGTCGATACTTTATCCATAGGCACTGGATGAATATAGAGCATGGTCAGTCATGGGAATCAAGTTTCAGTGAATTGAAGCGGCATCTCGCAAGTCCCTTTCACATTCAGACATTGAAGCAACGGGACCCGATACTGAAGGAAGCACTGCAAGAAGTGTGCATGAGTAGTAGAACCCAGAGGTAAAGGAGTCAGACGGCTTTTCGACGATGCTAATAGTTTAGTGGGTCGTTTTGTTCAAAGATCTCGTTGATGCCTTCACAGACATTTCATCAAAACTGAGGAAGCAGTCTTAAGAGGCCACCGTATCTGTGCTTTGCTTGTGGCTGCTTCAGACACCTTTCCAGCCAAGTCAAATGCCATTTGGAAATCGGCGACTGTTCGTTGGTGACATATTACTGCTGTGCAGTGCAAATCGCCGTGTGACCTGGTTGGGATTCTTCATCATCATTTTTATTTGAAAGTTGCTGAAGCACCCCACAGCCTTAGTGCCTCGCAAAATTTCACTATATGGTCTCTTCGTGTCATACGGTGGTGCTCAAAGGGGGGATGATTTGCCACTGACGGCAAACAGAGGCGACCGTTCCCGAATACCTCGTCATCAATGGGAGCTTCATCCCAAGATGAACGATCGGGTCAAACTTCGAGTAATTTTTGCTCTTTGGAAAGCGCAGGGACCGATCGATGGTTGTGTGAGGAAGAAGTTTCAGGATGGACCTGATTCATTCGCCACTCACTATCTTGCGGAAAAGTGTTCCGACGTGGGGAATCTAACCCTATGGACATTGCCCCTTTCGAAATCTTCCGAAAGACCAGGGGCTTTCCGCACAAGAAAAGGTTGGGAACTTAGCCAAATGGAATGACAGACACGGAGAAAAGGAGACAGAGGGTCAGAGAGGCTCGATTGACAAGATGCAGAGAAGGAGCAAAGTATCTGCCGATTTGCCTTCAGAGTTCAACTAGTTGTTGTTGCAGTTGCGCCCGCTACGCAAACCTACGCAATTCTACAGGCTGCTGCCCGTCCCACCTCCTTTAGCAACATTCTATCTTCTCGCCAATCTACGTCTCCAGAGTTCTAACAGGGAAAACCCCCATAAAAGCATGAAAACATCTACCTGTTGGTTTCTCTTGGAAGTATCTCGGTTGGAAGGATTGCGATCATCCTCCGGCTCTTCCGTATGTGGCTATGGCAACAAGAGATCCAAGGCTCCAGGGCTGCAGCGCGAGCGATTACAAAGCGACAGCCAAAGCCGCGGGCCTCGTACCAGTACGTTATCAGCCAACCACTAGCCGATCAGAAGAAGCAGCGTGCCCGACATTGTACCAGGCCAGGTGAATGGCTCTTTGCTCCCTCTAGGGGTAATTGGGAAGCCCTTAGATGGAGTCCTCAGATGCATTTCGTCCCACCAGTTCCCGGTTGGAACGGGAGGGATGGTGCTCTTCTTGCTCCTGACCTTCGAGCCAATGGGCCAGAGGTCGATTCGAAGTGACAAATGACCTCTGCTCGCACCATGGTCCGATTGCCCCCAATCTCTCCAGCTCACGTCAACTCATGACATGTATTTAGTGAGAAGCTCTCCTGACGTAGCTTTTCCGTCCTAACCGTCCGATCCCGGGCACAGGTAGATCTAACGGGTCTTATTCGCTCGCTACACCTTCCGGGTAGCAACCGCTGGAGCCAACTCGAACCTACTCGCCGTGACTTGCTAGTCTTAATCTTGATGCCTGTTTAGATAGGTCCACTAATGGTAGTAGACTAAGGATTGAAGCAGTACATCATGAACATAATGGAAGATTCCAATGCATAGTTAGTTAACTATTTACTACAAGAGCTTACAAATACTACCTGAATGTTCTGAGATACACACATTTAAAAAGCCTTCAAGCTTACACTTCAGTCCTGTGTACCAGAAAGGGTGCTCTTGTGGATTGAAAAAGTTTCACCCCTGCGGTTCACATCCCTCAGTACTAATGCACTGATATTCATAGGCAATGACGCAGTTGCCTCTGCTGTTCATGAATCGGAGGCCTGAGGCACCAAAGTGGATACACGTGAGACGTTATCTTATCGCGCGCTTTGCCTCCGCCTGATCAATGTCAAATCAAGTCCCTGGATCGAGGGAGCTAGCAATTCCGGTTCCCTGCAATGCTCACGGGAATAAACTAGACCATGTCGATGCGTGGGCCAATGCGGCAGTCTCACTTGAGGCAAGTGAGCGCTGCCAGCTTGGAAACACTGTCAACCGCCCATTCCCATGCATCACGGCGGGATCATGATCCTATCCCCGATGAGCGTGCCGTGCGCATGTTTCCGAACGGGAGCCGGCGCCAATGTACCTTGTGGGTTCACGATGAGACATTTTCCCGCGAAGAAATCCTCTTCAACCCATCAGCCTTAGGTGAAAGCGGAGTCCAGATTGGTGATGTCGTTGAGATTCTGCCCGCCCGAGCGTCTGAGGACACGGTCCATGTCGCCTCGAAGCCTGATGCGACGCCCAAGGCCGCCCGGGAGAGTCATATCGAATTGAACTCAAATCCCCAGTCGGATTCTACGTCCAAATTCAAGACTCCCCTGCAGAGCCGGTGTTTGTTTGTCGTACGGCCTTTACCTCCGGAGGTGAAAGCTCGCCAACCGAAATTGGAGGTATCAGTGACAAGCAGCGTAGCCAATACGTTCGGGTTCAAAAGTCGCACCCACGTTTTCCTATCCGTCGTGGATCGTCAACAGTGCGCGGCGTCCCATGTGGACATCTCCTTCCGGGACCAGTATATGGTCCGGTCAGATATGTGGCGGTTAGTCATGTCTGAGCTTGTGGATAAGATTGTCTACAAAGGCCAGAAGATCATGTTCATGGGAAGCATCAAAGCTACCGTCAAGAACATCTTCATTCGAGAAAAGAAGGTTTTGTCAGGGTACTTTTCTCCACAGACGATCCCCGTTTTCCGAAGCGAGTCCGCCAAATATGTTCTCTTCATCCAGATGTCCCGGGAAATGTGGGATTTTGATTCTGAAGGCTCGGGGGACATCTTGTTCAGTCGCGTCATCAACGGATTCCTGCCAGAGCTCTTCAAGCGATGGGTCAATTCGGATGCGAAACATCTTGTCACAATTGTCCTCTTCACCCGAGTTGAGTATGAAGCATCCGCCAATGTTAATACAGACATATCTGCTGGGGATTCCAGCAGTCATTCTGGGCCGAATGGTGTGCCGACGCGAGATTTCTATCGGGTTGTGGTCAATGACATGGCGTCTGGCCATTGGACTACGATTTTGGATGAATTGAAGAAGAATTTCAGAACGTTTCTTCGAGATGTCTCAATTTTGAAATCCAATGAGCCCGAAACGGTAAATGGAGGTTTCCAAAACTCTTCCAATACACATACGGCAACAATTGCCGGGCGGCCCAGTACAGCCTTGCGTGGCAACATTCTCGAGGCCATTCACCTTGCTTCGGCTCATTTAGCATATGACCATATTGACAGAGACATGGTTCACACGGGAACTTCAATCATTGTCATAACGCCGGGGAGTGGCGTATTTGAAGTCTCGTATGAATCTCTTGCTTCTACGACAGAAGCGTTAACAAACTGGGGTATTGCGATTGATCTCGTTTGTTTGAGCCCGATGCCTTTGCACTCCGTCCCTCTTTTCAAATACCAAGGGCCGGTCGAGATACAGCAAAGGAGCGTGAAGGAACCCAGTGAAGCTCCTAATTTGTCTCCAGAGGTGCATCCCTCCGTATCGAGTCTGGTGAGCAGGTCTTCATATCTGTCTCCAGGGTCTTTCCTATCCGCAAGCCGGATGAGAGAAAGGAATGCTTTACGGCCAAGGAGCTGGAGCTATGGCATTCCCCATTGGTTGGATATATCATATTGGAACCCCGAGACTTATCGAGAAGCTCGGCGAATCCTGAAGAACGACCTGAATGCCCCTATTCCCTTCACTGTCACCAGGCCCTCTAAAGCCTTCACGCCTCGGGTTCGGATGTACGAGATCCAGATGATGGGTGTGATGGAAAGCGAACAGTCTAATATCTCTATCCCTTACTTACTGGAAAACCGTGAAATGGCAAGAGCACGCAGCTCTTGGCTTGTTCAAAATCAAAGTGCACGCGCAGCACCAAGAGCTCGCTTCATCAATACTTCATCATACAAAGCCCAACTCAGCGATAGTCTCCGCCCAGAATCTCATTTGGTTGAAAATGCTGCGGATCATAATGAATTAAGTCCAAGGGAGCCCCCAAGATCTCGCAAATCTGTGATGGCTTGGATGGATCAGTATGATGATAACATCTTCGCCGCAACGCCCAAAAGGAACCACGGGCCAAGGCCAAAAACAAAACGTGCTAGTGAAGCTGAAGTTCAGGCCGTGAGTGCTCATGAACGAATATCTGCCCGGTCTGTCTACGGCTTAAGGGAGCGCGAAGTGAACCAGGGCGATGGTAGTCAGTTCCCGCGAGCAGGCCCTCGCAAGATTGACGCAACTGCGCCCATGAAAAGTCCCGCTTCATCAAATACTAGTAGCCCGCCGCCCCCGAAGAAGCCCGCTTTGAAGAGCAAGTCGATTCTGCCATCTTCAAGGATCTCAAGAACAATTAGCTTCGCACTTCGTGGTTTGAGTGCCACTCCACCTAGAGCTCAAGCAAGTACGGGTGTGCATGTGGAGCACGCGAACGCGATGCTTATGTCTAATCAAAAACCCACCGGGACATTTTCGGACACTAAAAGCATAACTTCTTTGAGTCCATCGGAAGGCACGTCAACTCATACAATTGCCGGAGTCTCCTCCAGACCGTCAACGCCTCCGAAATCTCTGCACGGAACTCAAGTGACCCCTTCGAAGCCGATATCCATCAGAGCTCCGAGTCAGCAGAAAACGCCGTCTGAGCCCACAGAAACGCAAGACGCTATAAGGCCCCGAGAGCCTCTGTCTTCCTCCGCAACCGAGTTGCCATTCAATGGTGACGGCCGTACAGAACGCTATGGTCGCCCCAGAGATCACAAACCTGAATTGAATGTCAAGAATGGCTCACGTGAGGAATCCAGAGGCTCTTCGGGCAAGGCTCTGGCCCCGTGGGTGCGACCAGTCAACCCCTGCAACACTCCAAAAGATGTTTTGCGCAAAGCAAGCTGGTTTGGTCGCTGGCAGCACGCTTACCCTCGCCCACCCCACGTCGCTGTGGTGAAATGGAAGAGCCTCAAGTCACCAGCTATTCTCCCTTTGACCACGGAGGAATTCCCGACCCGTAGCGAGCTGGCCACCGACTATCTGCAGACACCATATCGGGTCTTTCCTAACGATGAAACAGAAGGTATCGAACCACCAAAAACTCGGGGAATACTTCTCCGGGAAATGATTTCGCTCCGACTCTCGCATGGATTCCAAATCGTAGTTGGAAAAATGGTTGCTGAGAGTGCAGGCCAACCTAGCCTTGAGTTTTTCAATGTCTTTGACACTCGAGGGCTTGAGCGTGATGGTGTGATTGTCTTTCTCTCAAAGGGAAATGCTATCCATCGCCTAATCACTGTCGATTCTAGCGAGATCGAGGTCACACGTTTCACTCATAACAAATCTGCAGCTCTGGCGTCGCCCAAAAAGCCAAAATCCGCTGTGTACCGTTCAGCAATGAGAACAATTCTTAGGTCTGAGTATGAACTCAGGGAGATTCAATTGGACGCAAACACGGAAGAATACAATTGGAACTACGCGGATAACTATGTTGCAGGTCATCGTGATTATCTTCATAATCCCGCACAGCAGCTACACTTTTGGCGCGTTCGATACGTCCTCATTCCGATGCACCTCAACAGCACCTCGCACCGTCATTTGCAGTCTTTCAAGGATGATAATGAAGAAGAGATACACCTACTTGGGATCACCCAGCTGACGAACCTCTGGCAACGAAATAAGTATGTCTCACCAGAGGAGAAGCGCTTCGACTCTTCGAATAAGAAAAGAGACTTGAATCCTCTCAATATCATGTACCAGACGCGCAATCCGTCCGAGGTCGTCGCAGCTGAACTAGACCGAGTGTTGCTTGCTGATCCTGGGCTTGACCATCTTCCATCTCAGCTCCTACCTGAGGCGGAGCTACTTGAGAGATCGAGCGTCAATCTATCTTCTCTGGCCCACAAGATCCAAAGTGACAAGGGTGTCCGGATGATGGATCGGCGCTGGCACTGGAGATTGCATTATAACTGTTTCATCGGCGTGGAGTTCACAACATGGCTGCTGCAAAACTTCCGGGACATCGACACTCGGGAAGAAGCAGTGGCCTTTGGCAACGAGCTGATGAAGCACAACTTGTTCCAGCATGTTGAGAGACGGCACAATTTCAGAGATGGAAATTACTTTTACCAGATCAGTGCTGAGTACCGCGTCAATCGTCCTGAATCTCGAGGTAGCTGGTTTCCTCAACTCCGAGTAGACAGGTCGACGCCTGCAACTCCCGCGCTGCACAATGCAAAGGACTCACCCGTCAGCCTACATGCTCGTTCAGAGAGCACTGAGGAACGCACGCCACAAACCCCAAACTCCCCCGCAAAGTCAAAGAACAAGGTTGCTATCATGCTCTCTAAGACTTTAAAATATGACGTGGATAGCCGGAGGAGGTCAAATCGTGCCGAGGTGGTAGATCTTCACTATGACAGGCTGCACAATCCAGAGAACTGCTTCCACATCGAGCTCAGCTGGATGAACACGACTCCCAAACTGATTGAAGACACCGTGCATTCATGGGCATCCACAGCTGATAAATACGGTTTGAAGCTTGTCCAAGTCCCTATCGCCGAGGGTTGCGCGATCGACAAGACCCAACCCTTCCGAAAGCCATATCGGATCAAGCTGAAGATCCCACCACCCAAGGCTCCAGTGCATAACTTCTTCAGCAATGGCACTTTCGCCCAACCTGGCCCTCCAGATCGTCTCTACTACGAAAAATGCATCCTACGCAAGTTTGACTTTGTCTTGGATTTCGAAGAAAGCACTGCATTCCCTGCCGACGTGGAAGTGTCATTCTCCTGGGGCAAACCCGACTTCAAGTACCCGCAGTTCATCCACCGCTCCGGCAGCCTCCTGGCCCAGATCACCGACGAGGGAGACTTCCTTCTGCTAGCGAACCGTCTCGTGAGCACCCGCAGCTCCGCATCTCGCGATACTCGTTTCGACCCCAGGGCAGACTTCCGAGGCCGAGACCCGATCGATCGCGTCTCTCCCCGTCTCTCCCCTCTCAGCCGTCCACTGCTCGACATCGGAAGTCCCATGTCCCAATCAACACCCCTACCATTGACTCGGCGAACCTGTACCGCGCCCCCGAGCACATCCTGTTCGCGCTGCAGGACTTCTGCCACGATGAAACGCTACTAGGCCAGTTCTATAACGAGTGCCATCTCCATCCTGTCTCGACGAAGGCTGAGCCTGCTCCTGCTGCTCTGATGGATACTTCAATTCCCTCGCTGGAACTCCCTGCTAGCGTTGTCAGTCATCATATTTCGCCGCCGCCTGGAATGCCTTCCAGAATCACGCCCGAGTCGCGCGATGGGCGCGAGTCGAAGGATTTGTTGAAGTCGCCCGATTCATTGCGTGCGAGGGCTCGTGGCGATAGTCTGAGCTACAGGGATAGTCCGCGGAGTGGCGCTCTCCGACCACTACGTGGAATTGGCGAATAGTTGATTTCCTTCTCATGTATTACGAAACGCTTTGTATACGAAAAGCCACGTCTTGCGATAACTATAATAAATAATACCAATGCCCTGTTGAGGCATGGCTACAGTTGCTGTCTTATTTCAAAGACTCAGTCGTAGGAGCAAAAGATTCATTAATAGAGGCATCAGATCTAATAAGGCCAGGCTTCTAAAGCAGATGAAAAGAATGGGTATCATAGTGAGAACAGGGTAGAAGGGAAATGCAAGCAAAATGGAATCAGAAGACTTCTGCTAGTAGCTGATCCAACATGCATCGGGGCGGGTGAAAGGTATGCAATGCGAAAAAGACAAGATTGCAGCGAAGCTAAGCAAGGAATTACGGTTCCAGGCGTGTGCTTTCTGCCACCACACGACAAAAGAAACCAATACATCACCAGGCCTCCTCGACATCAAGAAGCCACTTGCGGATGCCTTGTCGCAGAGTGTTGTCAGCACCAGCCATTGCCCTCCTACGCTCTCTATCAGCCAGCCCGGCTTCGCTGTCAACATCTTCGCGACAGTGCTCTGCGGTGACACTGCGTACGACTTCTTCAAGAGCACCAAGTACCATTTTGCGGCACTCAGCGCGGGGGACTTCAATAGAAGGGGGGTCTTCTCCTCGAGGAGTGGTCTGTCCTTTGTCTTCCGCCTTCCGATTTCGTGTGGGGGATGGAGCACGTGAATGAGCGAGAGATGAATGGCCACTTTGTCCCAAGACTCGCTCAACGGCATCAACAAGGATCCCGTCGAGGTCCATCACAGGCTCCTCGATAAACTTTTCTTCAACGGCATGCGAAAAGCTGTCTTCGGCTGGGGGAGCTTCAGAAGACCTCCCACTTCCGAGGAATAATTGAGTGATGCTTGGTGAGCGCGTTTCACTGGACCGACGAGTGTTGTTCAACGGGCCACCAGGTGATGGAGGAGATTGATTCAGTCCACCATGATGACCAATAATAACTTTGCGCTTCAAACGGAGACGCTTGACAGTAGAAGTCCTTGTGTCTGCGATCAAGGTGGTTGCAATATCCACCCATCTCTCAGAGCCTTCTGCATCAGGGGTGGTAGTAATGTAAGGGGTAGGCTCGGCGGACATGGCACGCTTGATATCTTTTTCAAGGGCTTCGTATGGCCGAACTGCCTGCAATGAGAAGTCTTCGTGGAAGTTCTTCAACCATCCAGCAACGTGGCTGCTCGGGCTATCATTATCTTTGGTAGCACCATAGAATCCAGAGCCGCTGCTGTGCGTTGATGCCATGGCATCAATACTTGTGACCGAGGTTCTGGTCTTTTTGGGCGAAGCGACGGTTGAATCGCCCGAGGAGGAAAGGGAAAGAAAGCCAGGCAACGGAACATCCACATCTACCACACCCTCATCTGCTCTAACAGACAGCTTTAGAGGTGATTCGCGAATCTGGCTTGTGAGAGATGAGGGTTCCGTAGAGTCGTCTTGCGGGCTGTCAGGTGCAGCATTAGTCGCACTGGGGATCGAAATTTTCCCGCTTGGTGCACCATGTGGACTCTCTTGTTCGTCTTCAGTGGCTTCTTTTACCATCTGTCTCAAAGTAGGAGGACCACGCACAGGCGGGCCAGCGATTGTGGAAACCGACCGCTTGCGTGCATCTGAAGACGGGTACATTGCATTGTCATTGGGGAACTCCTGACGAGGATTCCAAAATCCTGAAAATATGCCACTCCATCGACCTCCCGCTGATGGAAGGCTTCCATTAGTGGCTGAGATAGAGCTGTCACTTCTTTGAAGATTTTTGAGCAGCGTTTCCGATGCTAGACTCTCGCTCCCATCTACTCCACTACCATCAGATCCACCTTGACTGGATCGACTTTGCTGCGAAGTAAAGTGTGGAACAGGAACGGTGCTGCTCTGAGTCGTCATGGAAGTAGTTGCGCCACTTGTTGCATTCGCTCGGGAGTCTCGTGGCTGTATTGTAGCACTCAAAGTCTTGATTGAGCGAGCATCGGATCCTCTACGGGCCGAAGTGAACTCCCCAGATGGTAATTGATCAAGAGCATCAGATGACCGGTGGGTAGTTTCTTGTGATGAAACACTAGTTGAGCGTCGGTGTGAGTTGCTGGACTCCATGCGTTGAGCACGCGCACGGCGCTCGATGGCTCGTCTTAGAGACTCTTGCCGAAGTACTGGAACGGTTGGTGGGCTTTGGGAGACGCCCCGTACGGATGTTGAAGTGCCAGGTCGAAGGGGTGAAGGTAGCGGTTCGATTCGTTGTTTAGATGGGAGAAACGCAGAAAGCAGGAAAATCAATCGACGGGCAGTCATTTTGTCCGGACAGACAACAACTGTGCGGTTCGTGAGGGTAGGTTCAGTATCTTGCTGAGCTTTCTGCTGCTGATTGTGACGTCGCCGGTACCATTCCGGTCCAAGGACATTGAGCCACTCCGTGTGATTTCCAAGAAAGGCTGTGAGCAGTACTAAGAAGAAAAAATTCTGTTCTTTGTCACCAAGGCCCCGAACAATAAAGCGACCTTCTTCTCGCCACACCCCCCAGCGACTCTGTCCAGTGACAACATATGGCGTTTGGAGAGCCAAGCTGATTCGTCGGCTGCTACGAAGCGCTTCCTCAGTGAGTTTGGTATTCAAAGACAAGACATTTGCAGGCAGATGAACAATGGTCTGGTTGGTCCGCTGCATATTTGGAGGCTTCGCGGGCTTTGGGTGAGGCCCAGAGTACGAATCAACCTTTCTCAGTAGGAAGATAATCTCATTACGAGCCAGTCGCTCGAGGTGAGAAAGGGTTCTTGTGATGACATCCCAGTGGTCGACAAGGAGGTCTAGACGTTCATCCAAGCTTGCAGGGGGGATGCCGATGATAAGCTATCATCGAAGAGAAAGCCGCCGGGCCATCGATAGTCAGAGTCCAAAGAACTGGACAGGCCTGGACGGGGGGAATCTGCACCCACCGTGCTGAAGCGCGAGACTGGACGAGGAGTGTTGCGAGCAATCAAAGGAATCTGGACCGTGATAGCCACAGCGTACATGGGCGTTTTCTTCTCCTTAATCTTCTTCCGCTTTGAGACATCTGGGAAGGGAAATCCCATTTCAGGTAAAGACTCTTGGTGGTATAAAGCATTTGCGTATTCAGTCTTATCAGCAGATGCTTCAGGGCCCTCTGGAAGGTTAACACTGAACATGCGAGTCAAAAGAACTGTAACTTTCGATGGCGGCTTGTCCCGTCCTCTAGATGTCCCAAAATTATTCGAAGAATCGCCAGCGGTGTAGGCACGAGCAAGCGGACTGCGGCCAGCAGGAGAGGAGGCACTTGCTATAGTTTGTGGCTCATCATCGGCGGATATAATATGCATCTTTGTTGACGAGCCACGATAGCTGAAGGCGGCACTTCCGAAAATACAATTAAGAAGGCCGATGTCATTAGAGTCAACTCCATAACGTGAATGGGCAGAGTCATGTGGCCCACCCCCTTGTGCTAGGGTAGAGCTGCGGCCTCGTGCTCGTGAGAAGGCGCCAGGACTGGCCGGTGTTGATCTGCGTGGATCTGCAGTTGCTGAAAGGGGGCTGGATTCAACAACAGAGGACTGGGTGAGAAGGTTTCGCCGCGGGTTACGCGAGAGGCTGGAAACGGTTCGTGCATGTCGAGTACCAGAAGGCTCCAAGCCCTGTGGATCGATCCCGAGGCCAGTAGGGGTTGACTCGGCGGAGGAACGAGTGTCGAGCAAAATACAAGCATCTCGATCACCAAGAGCATTTTGAGCCACGACCACGCGGAAGTCTTTATTTGCGTCCAACTCAAGCCCCCCACGGTCGTCGTATGCCCCAGCTATGGAGGCATTAGGGGAATTAAAGGTGGTTTGTAACGGGTATGCATGGGTATTTGAACGGCGGAGGAGGCTGGCATCGGGGAAGAGAAGGCCAGACGTATGCTCCTCCTCGGTCACAGATTCGAGAGGGGTGCCCTGGTTCCGAGATGAGTAGGCAGCGGGGTTCAGGCTGGAAGCCGCTGTACTCAAAAGTCGACCTAACATTCTGAAGATCGTAGCGGAACCGTCTATCCCGCGAGGAATGTACCGGGGTATTTCAAAACGCAGGGAAACAAAAATAGGCTGGTCGACAAGTACAGTTGAACTATGGGTACAATACAGCTAGATGGCCCTAGACTGTATCTACCCATTGCTTGTTCCGCTTCAATGGGACCATCCTCAGGGAAAGGAGAAAGAGGTTGAGTGACGAGGACGGGTTTAACGGAGGGGAGTTGTGGAAAGTGGGATGGGCTGCAGGATAGGTGGGGCGCCTAGAGAGACACAATTGGGAATTGGGATCCCACAGTACCCCACAAGGAATCACAGGGGATGATTCAGTTGGGGGAGGTTTTAAACAGGCTCAAGAACGGCGCTTGGAGGGGTGGGAATGGTTTTCGAAAGAAAGGGATTGGGGATCCAGAGCGAAGGACATTAGGTCCTACAAAGTGGAGGTCCGGGTTCGTCAGAAGAGGCGGTGAAGGCACGCCAACGGAGCCACCACATGATCTCAGCCTCACTGTGTCACTGCAGCGCACTTGTGGTTACGCCAACTTCGACTCAGTAAGAGCCCTACAAGGTGATTATATCGGATGATCTTTTAGGGGTTTGACCCAGTTGCCAGTGACAGGAATCATATGGCTCATCATTTGTATCGCTAGCATAATTCAACGAAGATATATGTATACAGTATCTGCCTTTGCCTTAAGACTGTCGTTTTTTAACCTTGTCCACCAGAAGCTTCAGATCGTCCGACGGGGAATCCTTGGATGAATTTTTCTGCTTCTTTTTACGTTCCTGATTGTGACTGTCGGGGCCAACCTCAGTCTCACCATCATCGCGGGTTCGTCGGCGCTTACGCCCCTCGTCGAGTAGGGCTTTCATGCCGGAAGTAGCTTTGAACCGGGGGTTGGTTGGGTCGATAGCATATTCGTGGCTTTCAAAAAGACGAGCAAAACGTGGGTCACTGACATCCATCTGAAAGTCATCTGTGACAGCCACATCCTTGGTTTTATCCTTGCCCTTGCCCTTGCCCTTGCCCTTCCGCCGGGCTTGCTTCTCAGCTTTCTCAATTTCGGTCATGTCGAAATGTTTAATGCCAGCCTTCTTGTCGTCGACCATCAAGAGTTCGAGCTCAGCACGCTGGGCAGCAGAAGCCTCTTCCTCAGCAGCGCGCTCGGCGCGCTTCTTGCGTTTCTCTTCCTTGCGACGCGCTGCAGCAGTAGCCTTGCCATCTGGGTCATCAAAGAACGGGTCGTTGAATCCGAGATCTTCCTCTCCCTCGACAGTTTCTGTCGTAGCGGGTTTATCGTCATCACCGATCTTTGTGGTCTCGGCATCGTTTTTGGACCCGTCATTCTGCACACCCTTCTGCTTTTCCTTCCGTCGTTTCTTGCGCTCACGTTCCTTGCGCACGTACTTTTCGATGGTGCTCTCTTCAATCTGTGGTTCGTTTTCGAAGACACCGCCATCTTTACCGTGACCACCAGCAAGGCCAGATGTAAATGTAACCTCCATCTCTCCAACAGGACCTTTTGTTTTGGTGGAGGCAGCGGGCTCCGCACTCAAGCCGAGTAATTCACGCATGCGCTGTCGTTCGGCTTCCCGCTTCGAGAGCTTGGTGCTTGTGCCTTCGTTTGTAGTACTGTCCACCACCTCCACGCCGCCATCTTCTTCGTCTTCGCTCTCAGAGCTATCACTGCCCAGGTAGGCCTTCAAGTCGTTCTCTTCAATTTCTTGCCGTGAGCCCCTGAATGCTCGGGCCTGTGCCTCTTTGCGGGATTTGTCGTCCGCATCCCAGGTCAACTTGACCTTACTGTGCTGCAAAGCATCGGTGACGAATTCATTGGGCTTGTAGTTGTCAGGGATTCGACTGCAAGTGTCTCGTGGTTTGTCGTCATCAAAATCAGTACCGTCAGGTACAAAACGAAGATCAAAGAAGTTGGCGCTGGATAGGTACTCGGCACCGTCGACAAGGTCATAAACATGCTTAGCAACATCTTCAGACGAGAATGTGAGAATTGCATAATAGTAACGTAGCCTTTCCAATTGGTACCGCCGCAACTGTGTAGAGTCAAACTCTTCGCCCTCGTCGGCCTTGAGCATAGACTTTTTGATGGCTTCTTCCTCTTCGTCGGAGTCGAGCTCTTCGTCTTCTTCGTCCTTCCGATTCTTAGATGCGAAGATCTCTTTTGGAGGGCCCTCGACTTCTTCTCGCTCCATCCTCTCTTTTCCAAACTCACTTGGGTACACTGCAACATTGAGTACACGGCCACCCGTAGGGACGAAGCTCGAGAAGACAGCCATGAGATCTTCTGCCCGAATGTTATCCCAGTCTAAGTTCACGATAGCTATGCGAGTCGTGACGTCTCCTTTAAAGGAACGTTGGACTGTTGTTTGTCGGGGAAGTCGAGTTCTTGATCATCCTCTCCTTCTTCCTCTTCCTCCTCTTCACTGGAGCTTTCTTCTTCAGAAGAAGATTCTGAGAATCCTCCATCGCGAGCAGGGTCATAGTCACGCGCATCAATCCGCTTCAGTTCTTTTTGCACCTCCTCATCATCGTCAATGCTAACGTCATCGCCAGAGGCTTCACCGTCCTCTTCATTGTCTTCGTCGTCTTCCTCATCTTCCTCAAGGCGATAGAATTTTTTCAATTGTTGCTTCGTGTCATCACGAGCCAATTTGCGTCCATAACGATCCACAGCGGCATTGCGAGAGAAGTCCTTGTCATCGAGCATGTGCGCAAAGCGCTTGTCAAGTTTCACATGGGTCTGACGTTTGCTGGGCAATCGATAACGAGGGTCGGACTGGATGTTGGAAAATCTGGGATCGGCTATTTCAAAGTCATGTTAATATTTATCTCTAGTGCTTGCTTTGGTAGCCTGTTAATTTCGCAGGACAGACGCCTGATAATAACTTACTGATTACCGGTGCGGCTCCAGCCTTGGAGCCCCGGGCCTTTTTCGAGCCTTTCTTGTCTTGGCCTGCCATTGTGACCCTCAAGTGACGGCAATTCACCTAGGATTGGTAGAAACAAGATAACTAGAGAGCGACCGTGGTCGGGTTGAACTTCGATTCTGCGGACAAATTTCTTTTTTTCTGCCCGTATTTCGGGGCGGTGGACCAACACGTGCCTTCTAGCCTAAAAGGGGAAATTCCATGGCTGCGTGAACCTGGAAAACCTTGAAAGGAGATACTGTTATTACGTACGTAAATTTGGAAGATATTCGTATGTGCTGCCTTATGTTGGCTTCAGGGTTAGGTTCAGGATACTGCTGTTCAACATCCAAAGTAGCGCTTCTCCATCCAGCGAGGCTCGCCCTCATCTTCAATCCGACCAACGATTACATTGATCTTTGGGAAAACAGTAGTCAATCGCTTCAAGCCTCCTTCTCCGGCAGCGCAAGTCACAAAAACGATCTTCTCTTCGCTGACGCCATGGTCGATAAGTACGCGAACCGCCATTAGTGCGGCACCACCGCTGGACATCTGGGGGTCCAGAAGCATTACAGAGGCATGCTCCCCAATCTGAGGTGGCAATTTGATGTAATGAAGGCCTGGCTCTTGGCTAACCTCATCAGTCTGGATCAACATGCGGCCAGTTATGCAGTCGGGGATGGTGCGTTTCAAAGCGGTTTCAAGACAAGAACCACCCCGCAAGATTGCAACAGCCGATACAATACCCTTGGGATTCAAGCCATTATATTTGTTGCCTTGGGGAGTCTCTACCTCAGCCGGAATGTAAAGAGTCATGTCAAGGGCTCTGGAGAACTGTTATTAGCATGTGCTTGGTATTAAAGAAACTTAGACTGTAATACCTTTCAATGAGGATAGAGGAAAGTCTATCGAAGTAAAAGACGAAATCAACGTGCTCAGTCGCAGGATCTTGTAGAATTGTGTTCATTCCAGGAACTGCGGTGTTGACGGCAAGACGTGGACGTTGCGAGGGAGTTCAACGTCTGCAGCGATGAGTCCCAATTTTCGTAACTCCTCCGTGTGGTGTTCCGACTTCTCTTGCAATTTCCGTTGGATATGCTTGACGACCATGTCTTCGAGATTTAGTATGGCTAGTCAGAAGCCTTGGTAGATCAGTGCTTACCGATGGCTGTCTTATTCTCAATTCCTCTCGGGATGATAATATCTTTACTTGATCAGAAATTGCCCATGCATGGTGGATTCAGAACCAGGCGATTCAAGAAGCTTACCAGAGACCCCACGCTGAGGATCGACGAATCTCGTGAAAGAAGGTTTCACATAGGTGAACCACTGCTTGATGATACCGTCGATATCTCGACCTCGTTCGCGAACATCCCTCAGTACTTTTTCTTTGTTAGTAAGAAAATGACGTATAGAGATGAAGGCGGACTACCTCTGCGGCCTAAACAAACGTCCATGTCGGCCTCGACGAAAATCTAACCACATGTTAACAGCCGTCTGCGAAAAGAATAGCAAGCGCTTAGCATTTACACTTTACCTTGACATCTAACATTTCTGCGATTCTTGGATCATGCAGGGCCAAGATGCCCTCGAGGATAATGACCCGTGGTGAGTATAAAGTGGTTGTCTGGGGCTGGCGTTGATGGTCGGCAAAAGAATATACCGGGATCTGGGCTCTCTTGCTGGGAGCACATCATGTTAGTATCTCCCATGCTAATTATACATTGACAATAAGACATCATACCCCTTTTTCAGCGTCCGCAGAGTTTCCACCAAAAGATCAAAGTCGATTGATTCTGGGCTGTCGAAATCATACTCATTCGCATGAGCCTTGCGATGCTCCTCGGGCGATAGCGACTTGTAAAAAGAATCCTTTCACAAGCATTAGAGCACAAACGACACACGTCGAGATGATTATATGGACACTACCATGACCAGAATCACCACCCAGGGCAAATTGAGGGACCGGACGATCTCCATTGCTACCGAGGTCTTACCGGAGCCAGAACTGCCAGCAATCCCTATAATACTGAGATCCTGCCATGGCGGAGAGTATTTGGCTCCTTGAGTAAGGGAATAGAATGGTGAAATGGACTCCATTATCTCAGAGGAACCTCCACCGTCCCTTTCACATCCCAGGTGGAGATGTGTATCATATCTCTCTGCCCTCGATCAGATCGGGCTTAGCGCGTGACCTTCGCTTCGCTGCTGACATAACCCGCCATGTTTTCTTTTCCGTTTTCTGTGCTTCGGTTTTTCCTTCTTCTCCAACCAGGGTTTCCCTTCCTGATTCAACCCCCAGCGTTCTGTCTTCTCTCCATGGCAGCTTACTCTCGGGTCGCCCTGTACATTTGACATCCTAGCTTGTGATTGCGAAGCTTGGCACCACCGGCCTGAATGTCGTCGGCTCATATCGTATGCCTCTCGGCGTGTGAACAACCCCAAGCTTAGCTTTTAACACTGCGCAGATGTCTCGCACTCCCTCGACGGCCACGCCGACCTGGCATCAGTTCGAGCGAAAGGTCGACGAGGTCAAGCCCTCCAAAACGTGAGTCGAAGCTAATCCTCCCCTGCCGGCGTTCCCCAAACCCCACACTAGAGAGCTCTTGGCTCCATGAGATGATGCATTTCAAAATCAAGTTGGGAATCTCTCTGAAAACTCTTGAAGAGAAAATGTTAACTTGTCTATCTGATTCTCTATTCACTTTCTGATATTTATCGGGACAAAATCTTTGGCCTTGGGACAATTTGTGCTAATATTCAAGCCTAGTGATATCAACCACTTGGTTATGGACTACCTCATTACCAACGGATACCCCGCTGCAGCCAAGAAATTTGCGGTAGAGGCCAACATCCAGATCCGGACCGACCTCGACACCATTCAGGAACGAGTCGGGATTCGAACTGCGATTCATTCGGGGAACATCCAACTGGGAATTGAGAAGATCAATGAGTTGAATCCTCAGGTAAGATTGCTCTGCATGATACACCCCCCCTCCACAGCATTCCCCCTTTTCCGCCTCTGCTATGATTAGTACCAGTTTCATGCACCACTCCTAGTACACCCTTCGGGGAGTTGCGGATAGTCAAACATCTTCAGTCCTCAGTATGAGCAGCAGTAATTCAAAAACAATATTTGCCTTGGCAGCACTCGTTCAAATTCGTTGTGCCGGTGCTGACAGATTTGACAGGTTCTAGATGAGAATCCTTCTCTTCATTTCGCTCTGCTGCGTCTGCAGCTCATTGAACTAATCCGCACGTGCACCTCTACACCGGACGGAGACATCAGTCCAGCTCTAGAATTTGCAACTGCCCAACTAGCACCGCGAGCCCCCACCAACCCCCAGTTCCTGGAGGACCTTGAGCGAACCCTGGCGCTTCTCATCTTTCCCAGTGATAATCTCTCCCCTTCCCTTGCCTCCCTCTTAGACCCCAGCCTTCGTAAAGACATCGCAGCGCAAGTCAACGAAGCCATCCTCCAAAGCCAAGGAGCCCGCAAGGAAGCCTGCCTGCGCAACCTTGTCAAGCTGCGGACTTTCGCCAGGCCAAGGCCCGTGAAGCCAAGAAGGATATTCCGGAGAAGCTAGACATCGGTCTCATCGGTACCAATCATGATAGCAGCGATGACCGCCCGAACACTAATGATACCCGTCGGCGCCCTAGTCACAATGGTACGGGTGATAGTGTCATGGCTAACAATGGAGATTTGGATCCCATGGTCGCTTGAGCTTGTGTAAACACATTGCAGATTCACCTTTGGTCTGACGCGGTCTCATATTCTCTTACTTTTGTCGACTTATTAGCATGGCGCTATGGTGCACAATCATGGGGTTCTCTTTGGCAGGGTTTTCAGGTACCTGTGACAATCATGAATACATACCAATTTTTTTCTTCGGTGTAGACACCTGTTCATCAATAACCGTCAGTTTCGAAAATTCGATTCTCGCTCCAAAAGTGGGAACCGGGTTATTCCAGTAAAGCAGGTGCCTTTTGGGTTTCAAGCTCCTATAAGCGGAAAATTTTGCAGACTCTGGACATCCAGTATTCAGCATATCAACCCATCACGCGAACCAGACACCGTCAAATTCAAGTTCAACGTTTCAGGCGCAGCTTCATGCTAGTCATACCGAGAGTATTAGTTAAATAGTAGTAGCAGGCCATCGAGGATTTGATTCGCTTTATGGGGCCCGCGCGTCAATAGCCGTACGAGTATATGCATTGTGCATGAAACTTTGAAGCTACATAACCAGGCAGGAAGAAATGCGCAATTAAAGGAAAAGGAAGAAACTGCTTGGGCGTACCCCAGCGACCGATCAGATTATTACAAAGCAAACCACCAACTGCAAAGCTCCCTGATCAGCAAAGGAAGATAGGTGCGCAAGCTTGCTAGACATAAGGATGATGAAAAGAATAATCTATGGTAAACTCGCCGGTATCTCGCATGGTTCAGATATCGAATGAAGATTATGAGCTAGTTCAGCCGAAATATGTTTAAAAGCTCATCAGATCTGTTGCAAGTGAGAAGGAGTTAGCTTAGTATTCAACAGCAGCGTATGTTGAAATACGGATAGAGCAAAGATTTTATACGTACCTCTTCCGAAAAGAGCGCGCTTCGCCCAGTCCATCGCTAACATACACCGAGTGCGGAAACTGACGCTCTCCGCAAAATAGATACTGCGCCAGAGGTACATGGCAATAACACCACCGCTGAAGCTCAACCCGCCGAAGTCAAAGATAGCGGCGTTACTGATGTACGCCAAGCTGCCCAGATGCGTGTACTTGAATGCACGGTAAACAGCCTCATCGAGGTCACCATAGTCGATCTCGTTGGCGCGAAGACCGGGCAAGGCAGCGGCAATCTTGGTCAACTTGTGACCGAGGTACACGCCTTGCTGGTTAGCGCGCTGGGCGGTTGCAGGGAGCGAAGTCAGTTTAGTGTCGATTTGGTGCAGAAGCTCTCTGAGCTCGCCGTAGTCCAGAGTGCCGGAGTGGTCCTTGTCATATTGCTCGAAGAGACGATCCAAGCGTCGAAGATGGTTCGCGGCCTGTGGGAAACGCGTCTTCACTCGGTGGGCAACGTCACGCCATTCAGCGAAGGTAAGATGGACCTTAGTGGGATCCTTGCCCTTCTCCCAAGCGATTGTACGCAGGAATTGAATGATATTTTCGGCGATGTTGTTTTGCACGGTGGAGCAGTCGCCCACAGCGTAGACGTCACCCAGAGGGGCACCAATAACACGGAGGTGCGAGTCTGTTTCCAATGCGTGACGATTGTTCTGTCCTTCGAGCTTCTTGGAAAGGGTTTCACAGATCTCAGCGCGGGCTGGTGATCAAGTCAGTCAAAGGTCGGTAATCGTGGTGATAAGGTGAAAGCTTACCAACTCCAGTTGACCACAGGCAGAAGCCTGTAGGAATCTCCTTGACGATCTCCTTGCCATCCTCGATTTGGCTGAAAAGAACGCGGTCGTCCTTTACCTCCTTAACACGCGCGTTTGTCAAGACTTCGACACCGTCGCGAGCAAAACGGCCCTAGGATTTTTTAGTATTGTGATCGCTTAAAGAGACCTAGGTGAGCTTCTTGACATACCTCAGCGAACTTGGAAAGTGCCTCATCATAAGTGTTCAAAATATGGGTACGGCTCTGGATGATATGCACAGAGATCTCATTGCGGAGAATCCGAGGGAAAAGAATACAGCAGGTCTTCGTTAAGCAGGTCGAATAACTCGGCGGCGAATTCGACACCGGTGGGACCGCCACCACAAACCACAAAGGACAGCAACCGTTTGCGCTCCTCGTCAGATGTGGTGGGAAGACAAGCAAGCTCCATATTTTCCAGAACCTTGTTCTTGATCTGGCGAGCATCGTCGATGGTCTTCAAGAAGTTGCAGTGCTCCAGACCTTTGACTCCGTGAGGGTTCGTTACACAACCTGGATTCCATAGATGTTAATATTAGGTTTCCTGGCCCACTGATGTTGAACATACCAACGCCAATGACCAATTTATCGTAAGGCAGATAGAAGTCCTTTCGGTTACCATCCTTGTCAATCTGCGAGACCTCAACAAGCTTCTCAGAAAACTCGACATCCGTGGCCGAAGCCTTCAAGAAATGGCCATGAACGCGATCAACGATCCGACGAACGGGCTCCACCAAAGACCTCAAGCCCAAAGTACCGACAGTAGCCGAGGGCAGCATGGGAGTGAACAAGAAGTAGTTCGTGGGAGAAACCACTGTTACATGGTAATCGCCAGGGTGGAGGCTCTTCAGCAGTGCAATGCTACCCCATCCAGTACCCAGAATCACCAAGCGAGGCTTGTCCTTCTGCGCCAGCATTTCTTCCGAATCATAGTCACTGACCAGATAATCCGCAATGGGCAGATTCTTCGGGCCTCCGCGGCGAGGATTGAGTGCCAATTCCGAAACAGGGATATCCATAGCAGTGGGAGTTTCGCGGTACGTAGTAGCGTCGTAGATAAAGAAGGTCGCAACGGCAAGTGTTGTACCAATAACCATGATACCACACCATGCGACAGTCTTTCGAGCCAAGTTCATGAGAACGGAGCCCTTGGGCGCTGCTCCATTTTTGGCCGCTGCATCTCTCCCAGGTGTAGCATCAGACTGGAGGCGGATCTGGAGTAGTTGGGCATTGGGAGCTGAGCCGAGCACTCGGCGCGGGAGGGGGCGGCGAGAGGTATTCAATTGGCGCAACTGGGGCACTCGTGTGGCCTGTGAAGCTCTAGACGCGTTCAGTCGAGCTGACAGTGTTCCAATTGACCGTAGGGCCGGGCCAGTCGATCGGCCCAGGGCCACGGCCGCGCTCATGATGGGATAAGAAGCTCGAGCCGTGTAGATCAGCAGTAGCTCGGGTCAGCAGAACTGGTTAGGACCTCTACCACACGCTCAAATGGAATGGCTAGGGAGGAGAAAAGGGCAGGTTTCGTTTCCCCTGCTAAGTTCCACGAGGCAGAGCGTACCAGGTTTCCTCCAGGTCCAGTCATGGCCAAGCCGGCGCCTACGACGTCACAATGAATCACGTGCGGGCGGGTAAGACGGGTGTGTGGCATTCCGATCGGTTTATCTCATGTAAGATGGTCCGCGTACAATTTGGGGAAGGCTCGCCGTTTCGAATACTCGAAGGTTCTATTATATACTAGTGTACTCGCTGCTCTCCCTAGGAGCTTAAGGAGGAGCCAGACTCAGCCCACACGGGGAATCAAATCCAGCATGAAAGACCGCTTACCCCATAATCACGCGCCGTCAACTATGCAAAGGCATAACTATTTAATGAATCAATGACCCTTTGACTTGGAGTAGAAAGGAAAAAAAGGGACTTCCACGAAGAATTCCGCCGCACAAATCAAAAAGCCAACGCCCGCTCTCGCCTTATGCAAATAAAGGTCGAAAAAAAGTCATCAGGTAGAAGGTCGAGTAATATATTGGATGTAGGGGTCAAACATTAAGAGATCATTGAAGTGGAATCCATGTCGAGCATTCAGTTAATCCCAGCCATTGTCAGGTTCGGCGCTGGAAGGTTTCTTCCCAACAGAGCTCTTGCGGCTCTTTGGACGCTTGCTGGCACTGCCATTCGACATAGAGCCTTTGCGTTTCATTGGGCGAGAAGCGCTGTCCAGGTCATCGGCTTCTCCAATGGCATCTAGACTGTCACCCTCCTCGTCACCGCGATCAACCTTGAATTCCTCGTCGATCGCAAGCAAAGTCGAGAATTCGCGGCATTTGTTGAGCATGGCTTCTTCGCTCTCCAGGGCAGTCATATTTCTCGCGACAGCCTCCCAAAGCCTATCACCGGTGATACCGTGGACCTTTGTCGCTGCCTTGTTAAGCTCCTTCGTGGCAGGCTTACCGTCTTTGTCTTTGGCATTGGAATTGATACCATAGAGACGGCGAAGGTAAGTGCGGGCCTCCCACAGCATTGATAACGAGGCGGCTGCAGTGGCCAACAGCCGAAGAGTAGCAGGGTTGACCAATTGGGCCGCGGGAGGAGCCCCAGGCATGGGCATGGGTATCGACATAGGCATGCTTGATGGCATTTCCATCATGCCAGAAGGGGTTTCCACTACGGGTGGCCCAATGGGCGTGGGAAGATGTCTGTTTCGATCGCATGCGCGACAACGGTACCGGTTGAAGAGACAATCCGTTCCATGGTTAGAATCGTCGGGACCAATTCAGCGAGTTGGCCGTAGTCAAAATAGGCAAGGTTTTGAGTAATAAAACGTGATAGAAGAAGGTGCTCGGGGGGTCCCCGGTAGTATCAACTTTTTCAGCTCGAAGTTCACTTTGCCGCAAAGATTGGCGAGGAACTTCTTCTGATAACGGCTATTACTGATCTTGACTATCTCGAAGAGAGATGCTAACTTCGGAACAAAAGGCCGTGCATAAGCCCCAGAAGAGTCACCCACAACATCTCGCTGGTAGTAGAATGCTTCCTGCACAGCACGCATGTACTCGCGCTCGAACATAGATTCGTACTGCGAGTGCAGCATTTTGTGCGTTTCAAAGGCGACCTTAGCGATGGCAGGCACTGTTGAGGTTTCCAAAGAAACGAGAACACCAGCACATTCCTTAGGATGAACCAAGCCTTGACGGTTGATACTCGCGATCAGTTCAATTGCGGTCAGAGAGTAAGCGTCCTGTCGTGACTGGGCTACTTTGAGCATGCTCGGTAGAAAATTCTGGGCAATCAATGCAGCAGCGCCGTCATTATCACTGGCTTTTAAGGATCCTCCAAGACGAGTGGAATCCTCTTGAGATGAAGGGTCGGCGGCCGGCAGAACAGCCTTCTCAGATTTACCCTCATGGATGGCGAAAAATTCGGCAAATGCTCGCAGAACAATGTTTTGCAGACCCGGCGCTTCTTCTTGGAACACTTGAGCAAATGACTTCCGAGTAGGCTCGCGTGCAAATTGAGCTGGCCAAGACTGACAGATCGACCCTAGGCTCTCCAGAGCCATGACCCTCAGCTCATGGGGCTGGTTCGGATACGTGAAAGGAAGGATAGAATCAACCATCAAACTAGCCACCGTTCCACCGTTCCAAGTTTGGAACGAGTTTTTGAAGTGATTGGCATACTTCTCAAGGTCGCAGTGCCGACCCACGCAACCGGCGATCCGAATGTAGCTCCTGGCGCGAGCTAAAACATCCGAGTGCTTCTCCAATGTCAGGTCAACACTCTTGTATTGTTGCAACGGCTTCAACACAGACATGGTTAGTTTGACCAATCTGTCTGTGTTTTGCAAAACACTGTTGATCGTCCATAAGCATGCCATGACCTCATTCAGCTCTGAACGAGCGAGTTTAGCGACACTCTTGAAGAGATCATTTTGTACTTCTTTTAAAAGGGTGTTGTGGGACGAGGAGAGAAATGGTAAAACACATCGGTAAATCACCACAACGGATCTGAAGATAAACAGATCATCGGCGGTAGCAAGATGGCCGATGTATGGATGCAACGCTTCCAACTGATCAGGACTGAACAGCCTCGCGTTCGATTTTGCGAATACAGTGATTGTTTGTAGGAGCGCCTGTTGGAACTCTTTACCGGACGCATCCGCATCTTCCACGAGGCGTTGGAACATTATTGAGACCATGTTCTTGCACACCTTGAAATTCAAGGTTGCTGACTTGGACTTCTCTGAAAGCACTGCTTTGAGACAGGTGCTTAAAGACTCCAACGCAGCATCACTGCGCTGGACGAGGCTGATAATCAGGCCAACCTGCTCACCTAACGCCACCTTGAGTTTCGGCGCATCGGTTGTCGAATCAATAGAATCGTGGAATGGAACGAGCCAGATCTCTTCAAACGTTTGACGAGCCAGCGTAGCCACACTTTCTTCCAGATCACCAGTTCGCTGAAGAAAACTGTCAAGGATAGCAAGTTTCAGTTCTAGTCGTGATGTCGTGTGGTATATTTCCTTGAGTAGGCCGATGCAACGTTTGCGCACACCAGCAGTTTGATCACTTGCACAAGCCAGGATGCTGCGGCATCCCTCCTCTTCTAGCTTCGGCTTCAGCACAATACATTTGGCGATCAGTGAGAGCGCCGAGTCTCGCACCATCGGCGATGCGTCTGTAGTGCACCGAAGAATCACACGCATAACCGAAGCATCTCTGTCCAGCAGATTTGAATCCTTCTCAAGCATGTATATGACGCTCTTCAAACTGCGACTACGAACCTTTGCCTGGTCACTGGCAATAGAGTTCAAAAGTACTTTGAGGATTGTGTCGAACGCCTTTCCAAAGCTGGAGTTTAAAACCGTCAGGACGTAGGCAAAACGACCATGAACGTTCGACATGTAGTTAAATTGTATATGACTTTCTAGCCAATGAGGATCGGAAAAAGACCTCGATAGAAGGACCACCAGCTCGTCAGCCATGTCATCAGTCGTCACTGCATCTCTGTCTTCGGAGTTGTAGTAAAGCGTGCAGACGGTCTTCGCCCATTGAGCAAGATAGAAGCCTCGCGCACTCGTCATCTGCCAGTTCTCAGAGTTTCTGTCCTGTGACAGATACTCCAAAGCCATTCGGTAGGGGCCTCGTGGCGCGACCAAATCTTGTGGGTGCAGCGCACGGGATAGAAAGTCCTCAAACTGCTGTTTCAAATAATCGGTGAGCTCGTTATCGGAATCTTCCAGTGCAGGTAGCATGTGTTGGGCAGTTGCGATTAAATCCGAGATGGCAGAACCCATCCATCCTAAAAGCTCCAATGCCATACTTTTTGCTGTCGCAGGGCTCTTGTCGAGGTCTGCAATCCCAACCATTTGAGATGCCATTATCCGAAGAAGCAGTTCAGAGGCAGGCCAGTCGGTGGAACCAAGGACATTAATCAGATCCTCAGTGAACAGGTCAAGAATATTCCGGAAAGGCTGTTCCCCGCTTTTGGTAGAAGTCATAGCTCTTTGAACGATGAATTTGACGATATACTGCGCGCTGCGCATCGCATTGTCATAAAGTCGGTTTACCTTCGCTGCTAGGCGCTCCAACGACTCGTCCAATTCATCTTCCTCATCCGAGTTGAAATTTTTGTTATCGTCAGCATCCCCCATCAATTCGTCTTCGTCCGGGTCGGTTTGCAAACGACGCTTTGACTTGGAAGATCGCGATGGCGTTTCTAGGGCGGTCGTTTGCACAAGTTGGAGAACCAGTGCTGTGAGAAGTTGGATACTTTTCCCATCAGCAAGCTTGAACTGCCGGGCACTTTGGCGAGTTGAGGGAAGTTTTTCAAGCGAGACCGGAATTTCATCCAGAATGAAAGGCCGTTGTTCGGGATATTTGGAGAAAATCTTGGCAAGGACATCCATCGCAGCTCGTCTTGCAGGCTCATACTTCTGATACCCCACGGCCGAGTCCTTATCATTATGTGCATTTTCGACGAAGATCAACTTGGAAGAGAAAAATAATGCTGCTGTGATTGTCCCCTCGGAAACCTCAATACGAGAAAGAAAATCTGCAAATAGAGCTAAGACCTTTTTGCTTTGATGGATCAAACTTCCGATCATGCGCCTGGAAGACGAAAAGAATGAGAATTTATCAGCGTCTTTCCCTCCGGAACGAGACTCCACAGCAGGAATAATGCAGTGATCAAAGACCTGGTTCAAGACGGTCGGTATTGCCTCGATTAGGTCTTCAGGGCAGAGATCCCGCTCTGTCCGACGCCCCGACATTGTCTGTAGAAGCGTTCCAATTGCGAGAAGAGAGTTGAGCACATCCTCGACCTTGGCAAGCCATTCGTGGGTTTCATTTTCATTCGTCGCATCATGTAAGCTGAGGTCAGGACCTTGCGACGCTAGGATGGATTTCTCACAGAGCTTCTGGATTCTGGTAAGATAGTCCGAGGGAATGTCTTGTAGCCTTTCAAACCCCACCACCTTCCTAATGGCTTTTTGCAAACGGGTATGCGCATCAGATGACAAGAGCGCACCGTGTACTTGCAGAGACTGTGCACTGACGAAAAGTGGACTTGGCTTGTCAGGCGTAGCAATGATCTGTTGTTCAGGTTCGATCTGATCCTCAGCCTGGAAGATTTCGTGGAGGAGATCTTGAAGTCTAAGTAAAGCATCATCTGCTTCTGCTTTTTGGTCTCTCATTCCCATCATTGAGGTGGTTACCTCATCCTCATTGTTTATCACCACTTGCGGCCTCCCCATGCTCATCGGTTCTTGTTGTCGCGAGTTTTGCTTTTGTGGAGTAGGCTTCGTCGGAATTACAATAGAAAACTGGCTGTGGGACGATTGAGGCGGCTGTGGCTGTTGTGCTATTTGAGGAATTTGAGGCAATTGTGACGGTTGAGGTAACGGAGAGGGTTGAGAAGGTTGACGAGATCGAAGTGGCTGAGATGATTGAACTGGCTGAGGCTGCTGCGGTAGAAGAGGTGCTGTTACAGCGTTGTTCGCAGCGAAAGCCTGCTGGTTCTGCTGCACAACTACGAGAGGTTTCTTTGCGGGTTCCTTCCGTTCTGTCTTGATCTTCACTGGTGTCGTTTCCGGATCTGTGTTCTATGAGCCCGAATGATCATTACAACCGATAATAGGATTTGGTCTTACAACGAAAGGCAATATCGGTCGAGTCAAGCATCATTTTTGCGAAAGAGCCAAGCAAATCGTGACCAGGCGACGAACCATTGGGGGCAAATTTGGAAGGCTGTTGGTTCGTTTTGAGGGATGGAGGAAGCCGGAATTTGCTGTTGATGATATATCAATTAGCCTATGAAACATAGCATTAGAATGAACAATTCAACATACAACTCAGTTAGCTGGTCGCCGTCTAGCAACTGCTGAAGGTATTCACGGGACGTCTCCAGACGACTTGATTCGTCTTGCCCGGATTGTATTTCCGCGTTGAGCTCGTTCAGCGTATTGCGACCCGCTTGGAGGACATGGTTTATTGAAGAAGTGGTAGAAGGACGGCCGACATCAGGGCGTATTACACAGTCTGGAAAGCAAGCACATTAGCATTGTTGAGGGTCTTGTCATTTTGAATGGAGGGTTTAAGATCTCAGGTTGACAGACCTAAGCCAAACACCGGAGCGCTGGACATGGCAGAGTACTGCAGTGCCTCATCCACGGACAGCGGCCGCGAGCGGTCTTGCAGCGACATATTTGAGGCATAAGCCGACTGTGAGTGCGACTGGCCATTGATGACGACCTGGACCGAGGGTCCATTTTGATCCATGATGGCGGTTATCGACGATATGAAAGGAAGGCGCTAGTCATCGAAGGGGGCCTGCTCGGGGGCAGAGTCATGGCAGACAGCAGGCTCATCTATGGCATATTTCGCAGCGGGGAGGTCATCGGTGGTCGCGATGTAAAGTCCAGGGAAGGAACTCACGGTCAACAACTTTGTCTACCATCTCCATTTAGGTTCCTTGTACTGCCATGTGTGACCGCCTGATTGCGGGTATCAGACATCGCGATGGTCCGTGCATATTCAAAAAAAAAAAGTTATTGTCGCACCAAGTCCACATCTCAGCCATTACTAAAATTTTCGGACGAAAGAAGCTTCGACAGCTGCATTATCGACCACACTTGGCCTCAATATGTCTGTCATTGGGTCTTTGATTTTCTGCACCGACTGCGGCAATCTGCTGCGAGAGTCCACCGGAGATGCCAATGCGATCTTACATTGCAATGTCTGCGGAACTCGCAACAAGGGTATGTGCTTGAACAAACCTACTGATGAATGGAATTCAGCTGATAAGCATGTTTTTTACACCAGACACAATTCCTCAGACAATCATTTCTGAGTCGAAGCCTTCTTCATTCCCATCTGCTCTGAGGGCCAAGCGATCCGCTGTTCAAACCTTGTCCGCGGAGGACCGGAAGACTGAAGCTGTCATCAAGGAAACTTGCGAAAAATGTGGAAGAAAGGAGATGTTCTACACCACTGTCCAGCTTCGTAGTGCTGATGAGGGTAGTACGGTTTTCTACCGCTGTGTCTGCGGTTTCAAGTACGTCAGAAGTATATGGATTTCAATGCAAACGGCTGCTAAAATTTTACACCTACAGGAAAACCTCGAACAACTAAGATATAAAAAGATATGACTTGTACAAAAGCGAGAATTGGGTGTGTTTTGGTTGTATAACATAGCGCGATGAGAGTATCAAAATAACGACGTTACGACATTTTTGTTAATTCTGTTCTTTTCTTTGCATCCAGTATGTTCAAAGGCCTATCATGCCACCGGCACAGCAGCTTTTCCATCTGGTACTAAGGCATATTCGATCTCACCATTCTTCTCGAACTCTGCCATGTCAAGCGCCACAATCACACTGTCGCGCACTACTTGTTCCGGGTCGTTCAAGAACTTGCGGAGTGTGTCCTCAACACCGTCTTCGTCACCGAGACTTCCGAGAGCCTCGGCAGCTTCGTGACGCACCATACCGACCTCTTGTAGATCACTCAGGCACTCTGTGAGACAAGGGATAGAGGCTGGGTGGCAGAGCTGGCCAAAAACGAAGGCGACCTCGTGGCGGAACAGGGCTGATGGGTCCTTGAGGCCCTTAGCCAGTGCATTCACGGCATCCTTCGCGGTTGGAAGATCAGGAGGGGAGGCAAGGTCTCGGAGGCCGAACATAGCCCGGTATCTTTGGAACAATGGGAGCTTCGTGTCAAGCAATGTCTTCTCGAGTTCGGGGATATCAGGTTCGCTCGCTTGCAAGGGCATAGGAGGCGCAGGGTCAATGGAGGCAAAGTCACTACATAGAAGGATAGAACTATTAGCAAGCTAGAAAGCAAAAAGCGACTTCAATCCATCTCTATCGAGCAGAATGCATACCTGGGCTTGAGCTTCTCGGCCTTCCTCTCCTCGGAATTTTCCCAAAGAATACGGTCGACAGCGATGTCGCAAGTTTCGCGAATGATTTCTGGCTCATTTTCATCATCGCGGAGCTTCTTTAGTATATCCAGGCTCTCTGCATATCCCAAGGCACCCAAGGCCTCGGCAGCTTCGTGGCGGCACATTGCATCTTCTTCGCCATCCTTCACGACTTGTTGGAGATAGGGGACGGAATCGGGGTTGCGGGTTTGACCAAGACAATAGGCGAGTTCATGCTTCAACAAAGCGGAGCCAGATGCGAAGGCGGCGGCGATTGCCTGAATAGCGGGGAGGGTTTTTTCGGTGGGAGGCTGGAGGCAGGCCAGATGTTTGAGCGAGAACAGGGCGCGAAATCGGCGAGCAAGAGGCTCTGATTCCGAGACAAGAACCTTCCGCAGGGTCAGAACTGTCTCGTCGGTCGGACTAGTTTCGGTAGTAGAGGGAGCCATTGTGAGGTTGTTGTGAAGAAGGGAGAGAGGGGCAAAGGCCATTTTTTTTCTTGATCTTATCATGATTAAATTTTAGTGGCGGCCCACCTGGCGGGGCTGCGTCGATTCGGATCGGCCTGATCCGCGCTTAATCCTTCCTAGTTCCGCTGGTGCCGACACTTGAGGCCCTATGTTATCCCTTCTAACTTTGAGAGGTCGAGGGATTTCAGTACGAGAGATTTCCAGTGTTTCTTAAGCAAAATTATAGTACAGAAAGGCCCTGTCCATAATGCCGTACGGGCTTGCAATTACTAGTATACAAGGCCCCAAATTTTTTCTGTTCGTTTCTCTAGAGTTTAGTCCCTCAAACAAACTCTTGCGACAAATTTACTAGTATATTTCCAACTTTCAAGTATGTTCAAGCGCTTAATATCAAGTGTCACTCTAGCCATTGGTAGTATTCTCGCGAAATGCCTCCCAGAACAAGCCGCAAGCCGCAGCTAAATTTATGTAAGGGCAGCCTATAGTTAACTAGTAAATGAAGCGAACTAGTAAGGCAGACACCCATCCAGTCCTACGACATACAGCAGTTCCTTTACCACAAGATCACGGACATCGGATGAAAAATGGGAAAAATGAATACATTGCACATAGATTCCATCGTAAGAGAAGGTATCCCAATCTATAACCCCGCTGCACTATACGTTAGACCTAGGAGAGAGCGAAGGCCACCTCTCCTATCTAAAAACGGGGGGCTCATGCTACGATAATCACCAAAACGCAGCTTTTCTAGGCGGAGGTGAAGCTCCTTTTGCGGCGTAAGTCGCAGCCTCTTCCTTGGTAACGGGAGCCGGCGTCACGAACTGCGCCGTATTCTTAGTACCCTGGGGCACAACCTGCGTGAGACGCTGTCTGTCATTTGGGGCCCCGGGTAATCGAATGTTCAAACGGGAGTCAGCTATCACCATATCGAAAGCGTCATTTGGCACCGTTGCAAAGTAGAATAGACGTCGCAAGGTAGATCCATCGGTTCGTTCTACTATGCCCGGGTGATGCTCAGGCCTCGATCCAATGAGACAAGTGATACGGTGCCATTCACACATTCGACGGCCTTTGGAGTCAAGTAGGGTAGACTCAAGCTCGATGATCCTCGACACATACGATGATCTCGCCGAAAAGACCATGGTATTACCGACAATTGGAAGATTCTCACGGTTCGGTCCCAGGATCGCAGGAAGATCCTGTTCCCATATTTCCATGTAGTCTGCTCCAGTGTCATACAAGAATTCAAGCTCACACCACCATTCTGCGCCAGGGGCACGAAGTGCAATGTTGTACTATAAGATTGTTCATGTCAGATACCTAGGTAAGACAAGTAGATATTCAAGTCATACCGTATGGACATTATACATCTCCGAAGGCTTTACCAGTAGCCTTGGTTGTTGAGATGGCGGGCTCCTTTGGATCTATCGAAAATGTCAGTCAATATTCTACTCCGAGAAGAGATTCTATCAAAAGCTCTGCAGACACAAGAACACGTACCCCCTCGACCCAAAAGCTTTTATGACCTTGGTGCTTTGCATTTATTGCTTCAAATTCATCCCAATCAAACGGCCTCGGTTGAGAGAGCTGCTGCCCTTTTGACCAGTACGTGACAAGATCAGTCCAGGCCAGGTTCTTCGTTCTGTACGCGGTCAGGATTGCTCGGACATTGGGAAGCTTGTCGGTGTCTCCGCCTTCTTCGAGCGCCTCTCCCAATCTCCGAAGATCTTGTATCCGGCGAAGAACAGGCAAGCTCAGATCATCCCTCTCTGAATTTCGCAAAGCTCTTTTCAGTGTTATTTTCCGTTCTCGGACACTCTTCCTTTAGGAGGGCTTACATGAGTCTTGATTCTTTTGCCTCATACTCTTCTAATCGATGTTTGAAGAACGGCATGATGTTGTCCTTGATTCTCTCCTCGCAGCGTTGAATCTGGCCTTTGATATCCCTGGAGAAAGTAATTAGCCTAAAACCTGGCTGAGAGAGCTTTTTTGGTCAATAGATAGCTCACTCTTGATGCAAATCTGGTTCTCTTGCATTCCACCCTATAGGGAGCTTGGAAGCGTCAAGCAGCGGCGCCTTCCCCTTATGCTTCCATCTAGGCTGCCGTGGGGCTATCTCTCCATAGTTCGGTTCCGTCTCGGTGGCTCCAAGTTCTTCGGCATACGATTTGTCCAAATCGAGGTCTTTTACTTTGAGCTTCTTCCTGGCGGTCGGGACCCAAGGCGAATTCTCCTCAGATAGGCCCTTCTCAGACGAGTCGATATCCTCTCTGATCTGTTCTTCCATCTCGTCTCCAATACCAGTACCTTCTGCGATTTGTCCCTTGAGTTCTTCTTTGAAACCCTTGCGCATTTTTACATGCCTCTCGAGCTGGTCATTTCTCTTCCGCTTTTCACCTTGTGCAGACATATGAGAACCAGCCGAGGTGGGCGCTGTCGAAACCGCATTTGAGCTGTCGGAGGGGTTGGATCTCGAGATTGAGCTCGAAGATGACTGGGACCCGGCAATCATTGAGGAATACTTGAGGAGGTTTTTTTTGGCTTTGTTATGTTCATGGTAAGTAAAAAGCTGCAGACAGGCAGTTATATGGCAGTCCGCTAATTCCCCAGTATGAGAGATATTAATAACTTGAAACCTATGGGCTGCACAAAGAAATGGCCCAAGGGATTGATTTAGCTCTTATCTTTTTCTGTTCCGCTTTTAGAGAATTTGGATGGATTGGTTGATTGATTGATATTTCATTGTGACCAAATTAGAATTTTACTCATGGATCGGACGTCCTGAGGGCGTTCTATACTCTCAACTTTGCTTGAATTTCGAATGACTAGACACAGTAATGTGAACACCGGGAATCGCTGGCAAGATGCTTCCTGAGTTCCAAGGTGCTTGCCCAAACCTTGAAGCCTGGGCTGATCGGAGCGTCGATGTGCGGAAGTCCTCCTTCAGTAATTTGACTTAGCTTTCCTTAATCAAGGCTATCCTCATTTGATCAAGCAAGTTTGATGCCGCATTAGAGTGTCGATAGATTTCCCCTTCGAATAGCTTAGTAGCATCTTTCCCAATAGCTCCTGCGATCATTGCTGGCCCGCCGGGGTGCTCATTCACAAAGGCCGATACATCGTGGACAGCCCCTCTGATAACAATCAGATTGCGCCCAGTCCTCGCCTCTTGTTCATAATCTTCCCACTTCCAGACAGGCAGTTCATCAAGAGGGATTCCCCAGTTCACTTTCTCACCTTCCTTCTCTAGCAGTTGAAGTTTCCGTTGCAGGACCGATTTATTGATCTCGTTTTGCGGAATACTCTTCAGGTTGGAGGCAAGCCCAATGAAAGAATAAAGCGAAATCAACCATTTGCCCGGATCAATGTCGTACCACTGAATCCCTGTTCGGTAGTCTGTCGGGAATTCATGATGGTAGTTATGATATCCTTCCCCATTGAGCAGGATCGCAGTGGCCCAAGGAATTTGCCTCGCCGATTTCGCATCGGTGTACGGCTGATCTCCAATCCAGTGAGCCACTGAATTCACACAGAATGTGAGTTGCTGTTGTAGAGCAGTGGCAATACAGCCAGCATATATGAGCCCTCCGGTAAAGTCACCATAAGCAAGCCCACAAATTATTGCGGGGACGAGATAGCCCATGATGATAAATAACAGCACGAAGTTTTTCTGCTGCCATTGCACGATTCGGTCGGATTTAAGGTCGCTAATATCCACATAGCCGGTATTGGATGTTTCGTTGTTTTCAAATAGGATCCATCCCATGTGGGCATAGAAGAAACCTTGCTTGACATTATAAGGGTCTTGGTCAGTGTCGACATATCTATGGTGTGCACGGTGATCGCGAGCCCATTTTTTGATGTGATCTTGCCCCGCCCCTGCGCCAAGGAGAGCGAATATCAGCTTCAAAGCTGTACTGGCAGTGTATGTTTTGTGAGCCCAGAGGCGATGGTATCCTAATTTCGCTCGTGTTAATAATGTAGTGGTTCAGAAATGGCCTCAGGGCGCTCATTTCCAGGAGGACTTACCCGTCACAATGGCAAAGGATCTCAAATATGCATAGAATATTCCAAACAACCACGTCTTCCTATTGGCAGGGACCCAAGGGATGGTGAGACATGCTCCAAGGGGGACCACAATAAGTGCGAATGTATTGCGAACGTTCAGAGAGAAGAAAATCGGACTATTGGAGCCTTTCTTTATGGGGTTCGGAGGGTAAGGCTGTGCCGACATATGGTTTCGTTTTCTGGGAAGAATCAATGCTGTTGGATCTGCAATAGGATCCTCCATGTTGGGGAATGTCGTTTCTTCGTCTTTCTGATTTAGAATGCAGTCTAGCCTGGGACCCTGACTTCACTTGGTATAGGAGGCCCCTATAATTTATACTCCATCTGTGTGCCTCATGGTCCTCAGCCAACCAATTCGCTCGGTTACTTTGACTGGCTTGGATTGGGTGATCTTCATCAATTTTCTGGATAGTGCCCAGGTGTGTCACACGAGCATGCCCAGTTACATGCAGATGCGGCGCAGCAGATCTGGCATGTCTTAGCCAGGCTTCTTGCACTATTTCGCAGGTCATATGCCTCTAAAAGTTTTATGCGTCGCAGGTTAGCCCAATGGCCGTTCTTATCTCTTGCCAATTTCAATAGTGCGGCTGAGCTCTGTATATTTGCTTTTTCTTGTTCTACCCATACTGGAAGTGGTATATCGTTTAGAGTGTCAGGGCAAGAAAAAGAAGGAAAAAGGAAAAAGAAAGTATAGCTTAGGTCATGCAAGTGACAGCACTTGGCAGAATTATTGACTTGCGGGTAGCACAGCAGCAGCGGGCTTGTCTACTATTGATTATTTCTTCTTTCTAAGAGGCATCGCGTCTGCAAAGCTTAGAGATCTGCTATCTCAAATTACATACGTGCCTCGTAGGCTTATGCAGTGGCACGTTGCACAAGGTAGGAGACCTCCATGCCGACTTGGGGCGGTCTATTGTGAATTATTACATGGTCCTCCTAGACAAGCTGACACTTTAAATGCGGAGGTACCTACTACAGCATAGACATAACTTCACAGATTTTTGCGAGTGTGTGCTCAGACCTAGTCGTGCTGTACGGAAACGCGGAGATACTGTCAACTCTCCTACTCACGATGGATTTCGTCAACTCTTCCTCGGTCAGACTCGATCTCCCACCATTGAGGACCTTCAGGGTCCCTCGCAATCCAACAATACGCATCCCACTCGAAATCAGAAAAATACCACTAGGGAAGATCTTTTATCCCTGGAAAGCCAATCCTGCTATCTTCGATTTGTCGATGAGCGCCAACTTTGTTTTCACATTTGCTGCAGTGTATGTCACTTCGGTCTTGCTCTTAAATCGATTCAATGCTGGGCGAAACTATAAACCATGGAGTATCAGCCGTACTTTTGTGTACAGGCAAATGATGACTCTCCATAATGCCGCTCTTGCGTTGTTCTCTGCATGGTCTCTCTGTGGCATGCTTTATACTGTCTATTACCACTGGCTTTTGGCAAGGCCAGAACTAGGGACTGCCTCTTCTCTACATTTGGTAGAGTTCCTTTGCCGATTTGATCAGAGAGAATATCGAAGTAAGCGTCTTCCGGCTTTGTCAGAGCTCCAAGAATTATGCGAAGCTGAGTGGTCTAACTCCTTTTTCACCCAGTTTTGAAGCCTCGGATGGACGGTTCTAGAGATGGGGTCATCTATATATACTGGATCTTCTATTTAAGCAAGTTCTATGAGGTGGTGGATACTTTCATAATTCTTTCGCGCGGAAAGAAAAGCTCAACTTTGCAAACATTTCATCACGCTGGTGTTATATTGATTGGATGGGTTGGCTTGAGATACGAATCTCCAATGGCTCCTCCTGGGGCCACTTTGAATGCGTTCGTGCATACACTGATGGTAAGTGGCCACGATCTGCTCTTGGTTCCTTGCTTCCAGTACCACTAGTTGCAGTCCCCGAAAGCATCTCAGCATTGCTAACACGGTGTTTTGCTTCATTAGTACTCATACTTCACTCTACAAACACTTGGAATATCCGTTTCCAAGCCGTTAAAACGTGCTTTGACCATCATTCAAATTGTCCAATTTATAGTCGGCCTGCTTTTTTCCTCTTTCTATCTTTTTGTCACCTACAAAGCCCCTGCCAGTATGAATGAAGGGGTCTTTCCAGCTGGTGCCCCCTCCGAATCTGTATCGGTATTTTCCCAGACCCAGGGACACCAATATCGTCGAAATGATAATTCAACAATGATTCGGTGTCTGGGCGATGGGGAGGCATTTCCTCTGGTTGTGGCTGGCTCTTATCTTTTAGTTTTGATATATCTCTTTGTGAGGTTCTATATTAAAGCTTATACCGTACAGCCGGGCAAGGTGAGGCCATGAATCACCAGTGGGCCCGCTTTGAAGATACCGTCTAGGCTTAGCTGTTGTGTCGAGTGCTTGTCGCGGTATGAACCACGACTTCGATTTTGATTTGCTTCCTGGTGATAATTTTACTGGAACTTCGAATATCCGTTTCCTTCGCTTTTTCACGCAATTATTTGATTTCTCAAGAGACCTGTGTTTAACCATTTTATTAAAGCATATATATAACACAATGGGTCCAATCTAGTAACCATTCTAGCAAGCAAATGTGTGGGCTACACGTTTGCGCCGCTGTTGCGTGTTCGTGGATCTGCAGGACATCTGGATCAGCCCCGAAGACCTTTTATTTTCAATAGATTTCAGATTCTTCATGGCCCATCCTCCTTTTCCAACTCTGTCCAGGTTCTCAGAGTTTCGACACGTGTGGTATTGACTATTCAAAGTGGGATAGTATTCACCTTAATACTAACACCTTGTCGGGTTCCACGTCCGTGGTAATGTTTGCCGCGTATCAGGATGAAGCTACTGGCATGAGGCGTGCGGAGTGGAAATCAGTGGTGCCGCTTGGCGAGAGACAGATGATTCCTTGGGTTTTTATTTCAGACCTGCTCGAAGTCTGAGATCTTGATATGCAAAAGAAAATCAATACTGTGAGGGCGGGGTTTTGCCCTTCAAATGCATTGGCGAATGGGACAGGGAGATATTCCAGGCACTAGCTCTGGGCAATCGATCACGTCCTCAATATTTTACCTGGCGCTTGTATAGCCCTGAGAGTAATGCCCGATGGGGCGGTGTACAGTACTTTTGACAGAAGCATGAATTTAGCCAATGAGCTGAACCTCGTATCGATTCAGCCTTGAGGCTGAGCAAGATCTTCCCCTCCCGGCGATAAATCGTAGTGACTTTCCCGTTTTCCCATTACTTTCTCCTGCGATTATTTCGAGCGATCGAACATTCTATCCATAACCTGCAGATTTATACGCCATTTGAATCGCCTGGCATCTGGCAAGCCTTTGCCTCAGATGGACGGCACTCCAGGGGATGATCACTGTGAAGACGATCAACCTCATTTACGAAAACGCCAAAAGACAGTCCACCATGATAATCCTTCGTCTGCGCGACGCGATAGCTATACTATCGCCTGGTTATGTGCGCTCCCGATCGAAATGGCAGCGGCTCAGGCCGTGCTGGATGAGATTCACGATCCCCTCCCTAGGCTGCCAGACGACACAAACACATACGTTCTAGGAAGCATTCAGGCCCACGATATTGTGATCGCATGTCTGCCCACCGATCAATACGGGATAATCAATGCTGCAACGGTAGTAACGAACTTGAAGCGGACTTTTCCTGCAATCCGAGCGGGACTGATGGTTGGAATTGGTGGAGGCGTGCCAAGCAAGACTGATATACGCCTCGGGGATATTGTGGTCGGAACGAGAGTGATGCAAGTTGACCTCGGAAAGATCATCGGCAACAACGAGCTGGAACGTACTGCCATCCCTCGTCTTCCCCATCAGTTACTTGGAACAGCAGTATCAACCCTCCGGGCAAAACATGAACTTGGGCCGAGCAAGGTGCCGGCTATTCTCCAAGAAAGGCTAGAGAAATACGCTGGATATGGCTACCCGAGCTTACCGGATAACCTGTTCCAAGCGACATATCACCATGAAGCACCGTCTGAAACCTGTGACAAGTGCGATAGCTCAAAGTTAGTAGTACGAGCTCCGCGTACATCGAACGATCCCAATATTCATTACGGTGCCGTCGCATCAGGGAGTCAGGTTATAAGAAACAGCGTGTTTCGGGATGAGGTTGCTCGGCAATTGAATATCATTTGTTTCGAGATGGAAGCTGCCGGCCTAATGGACATTCTTCCTTGTCTCCCCATTCGTGGGATTTGCGACTATTCGGATTCTCATAAAAACAAGGATTGGCAGAGGTATGCTGCAGCTACAGCAGCGGCATATGCAAGGGAGCTTCTTGAGGAACTTCCTCCGACCGAAATCAAGCATCGCACACAGAGTAATGAAGCTTGTGCCTCAAATTTGGGTAAGTCACTCAGGCATCCTCAGAGTATAAGTTTGACTAAATGATTATATACAAATATAGGCCCAGGTATATCACAAAAGCAGGTGGAAAGGGCGGAAAATCAAAAGAATCGCGCGAAACAGCTGCTTGATCTCCTTCGGTTCAAACAGATCGATGCTCGAAGATCAACAATCAAGGACGCTTATTTTAAGACATGCGCATGGTTTCTCCATCATCCAGACTACAAAGCATGGCTTGACTCCAGCAAGCTGTCTCAACACCATGGTTTTCTATGGATCAAAGGGAAACCTGGTGCTGGCAAATCGACAATCATGAAATTCGCGTACTTGAACATGAAAAGGAAGAAACAGCCTTGCCACTCCCTCACTATTTCTTTCTTCTTCAACGCTCGTGGTGATTACCTTGAGAAGTCTGTTTTAGGGATGTATCGGTCTCTACTAGTACAAGTACTGGAGGGTTATCCTGACCTTCAGGAGGTTCTGTCTGATTCTGAGCTCTGGTCTTCTCAGGGGCAAGCTCATAGCTTAATTGGATCTATCAACACACTCAAAGATCTTCTGTCCAGAGCAATCTCTCTACTTGGCAAGCGCTCGCTTACCTGCTTTATTGATGCACTCGACGAGTGTGATGAGCAACATATGTTAGATATGATCCAGTATTTTGAGCAATTGGCAGAAACCTCTACAGAGAACCAGCGAGCTCTCCGAATCTGCTTCTCCAGTCGACATTATCCCTATATTATCATCCGGCGAGGAACCTCTTTCGTCCTGGAGCACCAAGACGGACACACTAGGGATCTAAAGGCATATGCAGAGAGCCATTTACGAGCCACCGACCCAGTCATCTTGCAGGCTATTCTTGAAAAAGCTTCAGGTGTTTTCATGTGGGTTGTCTTGGTAGTCGAAATCCTGAACAAGGAACTTGCACGCGGTGCAATGTCGCTCGAAAAACGGCTTGAAGAGATACCAAGTGACTTGAGTGCTTTATTCAAGGCTATCCTGGAAAGGGACAAGGAGAACATGCAAGAGCTTCTACTATGTTTTCTCTGGATTCTCTGTGCAGAACGTCCACTAAAGCCTGATGAGTTTTACCATGCCCTTTGGTCAAGTCTATTGGCAGTTGGTCAGAGAAACCGGATCAGTTCAAATTTCCCAGATCCTTCAGTCAAAGATACTGTTGACGGCCTCCCTAGGTCTCACAGATATGTCATTAGCTGCTCGAAGGGTCTTGCTGAGGTCACAAATTCAAATGGGCCTTCTGTGCAGTTCATCCATGAATCGGTCCGAGATTTTCTTATCAAAGATAGAGGCCTGTATGCGCTATGGCCTGAGATCGGCCTTGATTGGAAGGTTCAAGGCCATGAAAAGCTGAAACAAGGTTGTTATGTCTATCTGACCCATTCTGAAATGCGTTGTTTCACTACAAACCTCAATACAAACCTCAAGGTAAAAAAGAAGAATCGAATAGCTGCTGCAGAGAAATATCCATTCCTGCAATACGCAAGCCAAAGTGTTCTTCACCATGCAAACGCAGCCAACAGCGTGTTTTCTCAGGACGATTTCATTGCTGCCTTCGACACTTCTTTATGGGTAAAATTAAACAACCTTTTCGAGAAGTCCATGATTCGCAAGTATACCGCGGAAGCAAGCCTGCTTTACATTCTGGCAGATAAAGGTTACCCTGAGCTTATACGGACAAGGCTAAAAGCTCATCCTGACATCCATATCCAAGGAGAGAGATACAATTTCCCAATCTTCGCTGCCTTGGCACGGGGTGACAAAGCTACCTTTGCGGCCCTCTTGGGCCGTTCTACTACCATATGTGATGGTGTTGACGTAACCGAGGGGCTAAATCATAGGAAGGATCTAGGAGACGTCCGATTCCTATCGCCTCTTTCTTGGGCGGTGGCAAAAGGACGAGCATCAATGGTCAAATTTCTCCTTCAGTCTAGCATAGACATGAGCTCTACTGAATCTCATACGGTGTCTTCATTGTCAATAGCCTTAAGGGTTGGAAACCTTGAAATGGCTAATTTGTTGATTGCTCAAGGATTCGATGTCAACAAGTGGGACTGTGACGGAAACACGCCGATTCATTATGCAATCAGATTTGGCCGTAATGATATAGTGCGGGCTTTGGTTCAGAAAGGTGCAAATGTCGATGTTTGCTGCAATTACCATACTCCAGTTTGCGAAGCCGTGCGCAGAGGTAACTATGATATTGCAGAGTTCCTTTTGGACAATGGAGCCGACCCCAACGTTCATCCGCAGAAAAACCAGTACGCCCCACTGAATGAAGCAGCTCAAGTTGGGAACGAGAATCTCTTAAAATTGCTTCTTGACTATGGAGCATCTGTGAATGCTCGGAGCTACCCCTTTGGATTCACGCCACTTGAGATTGCGGTGGTGCACCGGCATGAAAATATTGCAATGACCCTTATCGACCGCGGGGCAGATATCACTATTCCTGGTTTTCTGCAGATTACCGCCCTCTCCCGCGCTGTCATGAATCATGATCACAGCATGGTAAAGCTTCTTCTCAGCAGGGGAGCAGATTGCAATGCTCAGTGCGCTTTCGGGAGAACGCCCGTTAGTCACGCCTCGACAGAAGATAGAAACGACATTGCAATGACCCTTATAGATCATGGAGCAGATGTCAATATTTGTGATATGATTGGATACACCCCTCTTTTACTCGCTGTCAAGAACCATAATCACAGCATGATAAAGCTTCTTCTCAGCAAGGGAGCAGATTGTAACGCTCAATGTGCTTCAGGAGGGACGCCCCTCAGTCACGCTTTGATAGCAAATGATGCAGATACAGCGATACTCCTCATGGAACGGGGAGCACATTTTCATACACGGTATAGCCATGGGGATTCGTTGCTCCATGTCCTTGTGAGGCAATCGTCAAGCGATGCAGTGAAGCTCCTTATCGATTATGGAGCTGATATTGAGGTTGAAAACGATGACGGAGAGACGCCTCTTGACTTGGCATTGAAACCGAGATGCCAGGAGGACATAGTCAAGTTGTTAGTCGAGAAAGGAGCAGCTGACAATGCCATGAACAAGGACGGAGGAAGACCACTTGGTCTGGGATTGACAAGCGAGAGGGGGGTTTAATTTTTTATTGGCCACAGATCAGATGAGCAGAACATCCCAATATAGATTGATGTCAGGTTGAGCTCATGTCACTTGCACGTGATAATAGATATCAACGTGCTCCGGTGCAAGCTGAAAGCATTACCATGGCCCTACCTTGTAAACATCAAACATTTAGTAATATCACCGCATAAAACTCCGAATTAAAACTGTAGCATAGCCATTCCTCTCGGCTACTTCTAGTATTTATAGGATAGGCTGGCTTAACCGCGACGCGGCGAACTTTCTATTCTTTCGAGGCGTGACGTGGACTCGGATCGAAGGCTGATAAAACACATAGGGAAGAAGTACGACTCGTTCGCTCATATCCGGCACACTGTATGGATGCTCGTGCATTGGCGCTTAATTCCGATTCTCTTGCTTTCATTGCAGACAATTGCCCTTCGCTTCGTAGTAGAGATGCAGGACCCACTTCCACCAAAGTATCTTCTCAGAAGTATCTTTGATTGGGTAAATAGTACTACCAAAGAAGGCCCGATCAGTGGCTTCGGCTAGAACTTCGAGTCTGTGGCTTTTATTGAGAACCGGTGGCACGCGCTTCCCTCATACCAATACTATTTATTCAACGTCCATTGCTACAGCTTCGTATAGAACAGTTAGGAAGCATCCGATTCGAATGACCAGCTTGAAAAATATTCCATCTTGAAGAATTCCCAGTACTATCTACCAATAGAATATTCTCCTTATGATAGGAAATTTACAGTAAGTGTTTATACATCGTCTAATTTGGAAAGTTGTTGGTTGTCGATCTCATAGCCGCCGTCATGATACAACCTAGATGTTCCCCTCATTCATCTCACCCAGGTTTAGGTTTCGTCAATGATGCGGCCATCCTTGGTTTATTAATATGGCGCACATCTTGATATCTGATAAACGAACTCCATTGGGTGACCGAATTCAGTCAATGGCGTCATCGTTTCAGTCTTTCCTCCCCGCAAAGCATATTTAGAGCGGAGCATCCCCCCCCTTGACTGCTCTGTCTATCTAAGCAGTATTTACAAGTTTAGAACCAACCCTGAAATAATTTACTATTCAGAGACGCCGTCATGTCTGACAGTATGTCCACTTACCGGAGTGGCCGTTGTTTCTATCCATGAAACGAAGCTAAGTAACAGACCAAGGTACATATTCCGGCCATGGCCATGACCACGAGGGTTTCTTTGAAAGAATCCTCGATCACAAACACCACGGGTCTACGAATTATCAGCAAAGTCATCCTGAGAAAACCCACGAGGGCCATGCCAACGAGCAGAGCCAATCGCAGCCCCATGAAGAAAGCGAAATGGACAAGTTCAAGGATTATTGGAAGAAAGATAAACAATTGGAGGAAGAGGGGGACGAGTACGGTGGACTAATGTAGTGTGAATTCATGTGGTGTGGATTTATGTGATTTGGATGTATGTAGTGTGCTAGCCTGGCAGGGCAGCAGGGGTCCTTTCACAAGACTTCAATCTCAAGGAATTCTATGATGCTAGATTCTTTCCGTAGCGTAGAATCCTTCAAAGTTTTCGACACTACATATAAAGAAACTTTCAAAGCGCCAAATTTGTAGGGTGAGAAGTTTAGTTGAAACATTCCAAGAAAAAAGAGGTCGCAATTATATACATGACACCACCAAAGAAGAGCTTATTTGGTCTTGATGTGCTTGAGCTTCTTAGGCTCGTGGACGAAGTTGTTGGCATAAGACTTGGGAGTGAAGCGACGTTCGTTAGGCTCTTGAACGAAGTATTCGTATCCCTGCTTTTGCGCAAAGGCAATAGCATCCTCCTTAGACTTGAACTTGAGGTGGGTTCCCTGCATGCCGTCGGCAGATGATTGCCAACCCATCAAGGGATTCTCCCACCGGTGGCCCTTCTGCAAGATATCCCAGTCCATGCGCCAGTGGTGTCCATGCCAGGTGCCGGATTGAGTGGCGGGCTTTGAAGGACGGAAGATTCTACTTAATGTTAGTTTTTAGGCTTCTATATGGGATCCCCGAGGCAACAATACCGGACAGTACGGGCCTGGAGATCGGTCGGGGCGCCAGAGAGGACAGCAGCGGGGAGGGCATCCCCAGGCTCGCTGCCATCCATCACACGCTTGGGGACTGGTGAGAAGGTCCTGAATCGCAGAAATTGATTAGCGGGCATGTCGCGCGCGGTATAATGGAGGCTTCAGGGCGACTAACGAAGTCCCGTGGTCAATTGTAGCCTCATAGTCAGGCTGGTGACGGGTCATAGCCTCCGCAGGAGTTTGCTTGCTGATCAATGAGGCACCCGAGTGGGTGGCCGTGGGTGCTTCAGTCGGGTCGGTCTTGACGGAAGAAGGTCCCTTGGAGGCATTGGAGACAAAACGAGCATTGACAGGAGCAGCCAGGCGACTAGCCCGAAGGCCAGCGGCACCTCCGATCCTGAAGAGGGACATGGTGTGGTGGGAGGAGAAGAGTGGGGAGTGGAGAGTGAAATGCCGTGATGGTAGGAGAGGTCCATCGGAGACGGTGCAGGTCACGGCTTCGCCAAAAGCGGTTTAGCGCACCAACTTCATCCGACCTCCCGCTCCTCTTGCAAAGGATCTCTCCCTTCTGCATCATCAGTCGTTCCCGGTTCACTTGTGCTGCGAACTACCGTGAGTCCCTGCCAAATACAGTATTGCAGTCTCCAAACCGAGCTGCGTTATATGCGACCATTTTCTGATCCATTCAGTCCAGTCAAGATGAGCTACATCACCCGCCGTGGTCTTTCGACCTTGATCCCTCCCAAGGTAAGACGACCCGAGCTTGAACACCCAGACAGCTGTCGCAAGTATTTGATTGGTGATACTAACTAATTGAATAGATCGCTTCTCCCAACGTGAGTCGCTCTAACCTCTTCGTGCACTATATCCCCATGGCCTCCCCTCCGGCCTCCGTATCGTCCCGATGTTGTTTTTCGTGCGGACCATGATCAGCCACAATATGCCCACCAATCTGCCAAATTCTCAAAGCTAACCTTTCCCGAAGGCTATCGGTGCTGCCCAGGATGCTGCTCGCATGGAGCGCGTTGTGAACTTCTACGCCGGTCTTCCCCGTGGCCCTGCTCCCCAGGCTAAGCCCACCGGCATCCTCGGTCGCTACCAGGCTCGTTTCTTCAACAAGGGATCTGCTGCTCGTAAGTGCTTGGAATGCCTGGATTAATCTTATGGAACATTCACTAATCTGTGCAGCCCTTGCCCACGCCATTGGAGGTATCCTGATCCTTGGCTACAGCATGGAATACTACTTCCACCTGCGTAAGTTAGCCCTTAACAGTCGAATCAGCCTCGAATATGTGACATAGCCCCCACGTGAACTAACATGATCACAGGCCACCACAAGAACCACCCTCACTAGATTTTATTTCTTTTGTGATCAGACGGGAGGAGGGTTGATGTAAATAGCATATCCTCCAATCCCCAAGGGCGAAGCAGTGTAGGATTTACAGAGAATCCCTTGAATATCATGTTTTATTATCATTGACTTATACGTCACCTGTAGACCGTAGAAGATGCAGCTGATATGAAGTAAACTATGTGTGTGCGGCAGGACCCTCATTCATGAACTTTCGCTTTTAGCCTGTCACTTCGCCCTAAATACACAATTTTCCCATTTGAGGGGGTAGTCCTCAACATTTCATTAGTTGATAGATTAATCTGAAGTATGGTCACTCATTGCGACGCGCGAAGTGTCTTAAGAAGGTGGTGGGTTCATTGAATCTGCTGTTCGCCGGGAGACGCTAACCGAAAACAGCCACCTCAGCTTCAAACCCGAGACTCATCTTCAACGAGGCCCAAGACGCCCGCATCCCGTCAACTGCTCTCCCTTCCCAGATCCCGTACCCCCTTCTCTCGATATCACTCTCTTCTCCTGGGTTGCCTCTAGGGCTGTGGACTTCCCCGACGCGCCTTTTGGAGTAGCCCCGCAGACTACGCTTCAAGCCACTTCTCCGATCGTCACTACCGAATCTCCATCAGCTGCACGGGAGCTGGCCCATCCAACTTCTCCTGTTCTGGTTGTAGAATCCCATTCTTTCAGGGTGCAACCAGTCGAGCAAGCTGTTTCACTGTGGCGATCCTCAAACTCTGACAATAGGTATGTTCGAATCCTCCAACACGATGCGATCAGAGCCCGCCTGCGGCTGGAAGCTCGTGTCGCATGCTTCCGGTCTCTTCTCAGGGCCTCTCTTTTGCCCAGACCGCGAATGTAATCAAGCGCAAAATCTAACATACCTTGCATTCTTCTAGACCCGAGTATTGTTATGGCAGAGCAGAACAGCCGCGATGTGGTAGATCAGACCCTGTCGGGCGGCGAGCCTTCGTCCTCCGACGTTCCTGCGAGCACCAACGACAAGCCTACTACTGCTGGAGGAGACGTGGAGGATATAGGAACTTCAAGCATGCAAACATCTTCTGAGCGACGGCCCGACGACATGACGAGACAAATGGTTGAATCTAATAGCGAAAAGATGGAAGGTGAAAAAGAGGCTGGAGGCTCTGCGCCAGGGGCTGGCTTTGTATTGAGGTCAGACTATGCGCAAAGTGATGGCCAGAATGGTACGCAGGAATCATCGAAACAGGGCTTAGGGTTGGTTGCATCTCGAGCTCTTGAACTGAACAGATTAGCTTCGACATCGGATGGCGGGGACGATACGGCTTCTTTGGGTGGCTCCGAATCAGATACCAGTCGGACTGACGGTCGGAACCACACACGGACAAGTTCAGTCAAGAAGTCTGCATTCAAACCAGTGTCGTTTACCAAGTTCGCAGTACCAAAAGCACCAGGGGGCCCTGCGCCGCCCAAGGTACCGGAGAAAGGTATTGTTATTGTTTTTTTTTTCTGGCCAGTCATTTGTGCTTTTTCTAACAAAGAAATATTAGTGCCATCTGCTTCCACTACCCCTTTGGGAACACCTCAACCTAGCTCACGACCTCGTCTCGTTGCAAAGACGACAAGTGGAATGCGGGATTCGTTCTCCAAGACCGGTGCATCCGGTGCTAAGCCTGGCGGGACAGGGCCAGACCCGAATCAAGTGTGGAATAAAAACCGGCGTATGTAATCCTTTGACGAAGGAAGGAAGAAAGAAAGATGCAGCGCTAACACACGTGTTACAAATCTAGCTGTCCAGCCTACTCCGGCAAAGCATTTAACGGACGAAGAGTTGAAGCAACAGTACGGCATCCACATGACATCTAGAATTCAAGAAGATGGTGGAGGAACGGAGGCCAAATGGGCCGATATTGACGATGATGAAGACGACTGGGCTCCAGAGACCATTGAATGGACTGACGGTACTAAAGTCACCTTAACTCACAACGATGCCTCTTCTCAACCAACCCAAGGCCAAGAGGAGCCCAAGGAAGCACCTGCACCAGAACACCCAAGACCACAGGAGCCTATCAAAATCGCTGCCCCGAAGCCAACTACATCTGTGGGACCAAATCCTACAGTTCTGCGACTTGGAGCTAATGCGGAGCGACAGGCTAAGGCAGCGAGTATTTCGTCTCGCGGAACAAATGACAGAATTCCATCGGGCTCTACGAGCCCTGCTCCTCCCCCGGCCAAGTCACCATGGGCACCTTTACCTCCGGTCGAGAGAGTGTCACCTGTGAACCCAACCATGCATCCACCGCCGCCTCCTACTTCCGCACAGAACCGTGGCGCTGGTCATTATTCACACCGCGACGATATGCATCATGCTCCCTTCCCTCCTAAGGAAATCGCTGCAGATGACTTCAACCGGACTTGGCGTGAATCACCGTCCAATGCTCCTCGAGAATTGTACAACTCCCGGTCTGGTCGATATGAGCCCGTTGCGGACACTCGTCGAGGCTCTTGGCGCCACGATCAAGGTCCACGAACTCCATCTGTCTTGCAAAGACCCAGTCAAAGTGAGTCAGGTGGTCCAGCAGAGCCATCTGCTGCCTTCCAGACTCATCGCTCCAGTCACCAAGATGGTATGGGTTGGAATCGTCACCGTACGTCTTCCAATGTTAGCGGGGGCAGTGGTGGTCTTGGTCGCCGTATGTCGTTTGGCCGCGTAGATCCCCCGAGCCGCTATGCCGATAGTCGTCGGGGCTCTATGGCGAGCAATATGGTCGATCCGGCATTGGTTGATCCCGCGAAGGAGCCAATGAACGAGCCATCTTCTCCCAATTATCAGCAACGACATCCCGGTCCCGGTGGGCATGCGCACGCCCAGCCACCTGTGGCAGTAAGTAGTGAGGGCTCACCGGTCGAGGGTCAGCATGCTCCAGCTCCTGTCTCGCAAGAGCCTCAGGAGGACCCCGTTGTGCTACAAGAGCGGATTATGAAGGAGAAGCGTATGGAGGCGAGACAGCGCAGACTGGAACAAGAAGAGAAAGAAAAGGCCGCTAGGGATGAGAGAACACGGCAGAAACTAGCCAGTCTGGGTCCCCCGCCAGAAAAGAAGCGCAAGGACAGCATTGAAAGTCGCAAACCTCAAGCACCGGTAACAAATACTTCCCCTCCGGTCGTCTCCTCCCCTCCCAAACCTCCTGTTCCTGAACCAAGTGGCGCCCCCAAGCAATATGGAATGATGAAAGTGCACCATCCTGATACCGTGAAAAAGCTTGTTGCCGCCAACGAAAGAGAGCGAGCTTCTGAAAAACAATCTGAAAAAGCTTCACCTCACTTGCGCCGTGCCTCTTCTCCCAACTACGAGCATCCCAAAACCGACTCTGCCCCTCCCTCTGGTCTTCAACGATCTCCTTCTGATCCTCGCACTCAGGATCACAAGGTTGACTTGCACAGTGGTCAGTGGCGGGGCAATTTAGCAGTTTCCAACTCCTACGCGCCTTGGTCGACTGGCTCGAACCTCCCGCTACTTCGCCGTCGCTACCGTCTGTGAATAACCCGTGGAAGCCGCTGAGCAGTGATCGTACCCTTGGCAACGGAATTTTTGATCAGCCTCTGTCCGGTTTTTCGTCGCGTGACCATTCACTACGCACCCAGTTGGGTCTTGAACAATCCACCATGCCACCTCACCCACCGTTCTCAGCTCCTCAAGAGACACCCTCCGTTTCTTCGCTTCCGTCTCCTGAGAATCGCGGCGCTTCATTTGATCCACTCAGTCCCATTGGTCGACCTGGGCCCATCGGGCCTCCAAGCTCCAACATGCCTACATGGCAAGGCGATCGTGGCGTAAATGCGTGGAACAACTTCAGTATCCACACAAACAAGCTTGAGCACGAAGAGTCTCAGAAGTTCCGCCAGGACTTCAAGACCCGGGAGCAGCAGCAACCCGCTAAGAACCCCGTCGCACCTCAAACCGCGACCTGGAAGAAAGTGCAAATCGGGCCCAATGGAGAACGGCACACGACTAAGACTCAAATCGCTGCTGCTTCGGAGCCTGATATCTCTGGGCCACTGAAAGAGGCTGCTAACTCTTTCGCAGCCCTTGATGTCGCAACTGCTCCTGTGGATATTCTTCCCTTCTCGGAGAATCATGTTCGGCTTCCTATGGCTAGTGTCCCTGTTCGCAGCTCTCGTTTCTTTCCGCAGGCCGCTGCTAATGTTGACCAATCGAAGCGGTCCATCACCGAAAGGTTTGGCTCTGACCACAGCGATTCGCCGCCCCCTCCCGATGACGAGGCTGGTCTTCATCCCGTCTACACGAGCGCCTCTGGGCCACGAGTTCATCTCCCGACTCCTAAGCCTGTTGTCAAACTTCCGCCTCAGGCAGAGGCTACTGCCCCGCGAGTCCCAGCCCCTCCTCCCACCTTTGCTTCGATGGCTGCTGCAGCTCCACCCCGTGCCAACCCGCCATCGGCCGCTCCAGCCATCTCTTGGCAGGAGAAGTTCAACGGTCTCTTCGGGAAGAAGACTTCTCCTGAGAAGAAGGGTGCCCTGGCTGTTACATCTGCTTCGAAAGAGCCACTCGATGTTCAGCTGACCGCTCCGGCTGTGTCCATTTCTCTTCCCAGCAAGAGTGCTGGCTTCCCTAGCGGTGATGGTGACCTTGCTGCCCGGCAAGTAGCTGAAGAAGAAGAAATCTTCGAGGACCGTGAGCCCGGTTCCCAGCCAGGTGTCCGAGTCCCCCATATGGCTCCCCCGTTGGCTTGGCAAGCTGCTCCTGCCCCTTCCCAGAGCAAGCTTCGAGTGAAGAATATGAAAGCGACGCAAGTTTTGACTGTTGACGCATTCCACATTGGTCATGGTGACAAGGACAGCCATGGCAACTTAAAGGTCCAGATTCTTCTCCCCGGTAACGAGGAGTCAAAGACTGTCATCCTGCGCAAGAAGAGTCATGGTCCTTCTCCCCGCCATCGTAACACTAGCACAACGTTCAACAAACAACGCCGAAAGCCCCAGTCAGACACTGGCTCTGGACACCCACCCCACAAGAAGCGAGTCGAGTCCCAGTCGGCCGAAGGTCCTGGTTCGCGCAATCAACCTCGCAGCACGCCTTGGTCCCGGAGTGGATCGAACTAAGGTTCCTCCTCCATGGTTTCCCACAGTAGGGCATCTTTCGTCCTTTATTTCGTCGAAATGTGTTGTGAATGCTGCACTGGCCCATTCGGATAATTGCTGAAATTCTTGCTCCTCGGTACCGTTCTGTGATCTGCCTGTCATTGTCGATTTCGTCATAAGCAAATGTCCGGGGCAAGAATCCTCCACCGTGAGGGATCCAGCACCGATCCCCACTCCCCATATCTTCCTCTACGACCACACCAACACTCTACCCTCTCACGGCTTTTTCGTGTTATGTACTTTTGATTTCCCCTCCCACCTTAGTGTTTTTTTCCTTTTGCATGCCGATGGATCTGGCTTCGTGAAAGGGGAAATTTCTTTTTGCGATGAACATTTGAAACATTTGAGAGCTGGATGCGGCGTTTCTTCCTCTTTTCACCAACCTCGACGATGCGAGAAAGGAACAAGTTATCTGCCCTGCCAGCTATTACCCCTGTGTCTTTTGGTTCCATTCTCTCTTGAGCTTCGGCTGACGCGTGGATCTCTATGGGTGCTCGGCGGAATTCTGGCTGAGGTTACTGCCCTCATGTCTCATATGCTGCATACTTTCCCAGTTTTCTCAACCTCCCTACCTGTTATGTCGGAACTGTTTCTTAGCAGCTTCTTTCCCGAAGTTTATGGAATATCATCATTATCCACCGGCGTGGTCTTCCGCAGGCACCTTCAATCACGTTTAAATCTGTAGGCTGTACGTATCTACAACTATAAAGAATTTGCAATCTCAGCCAGTGGTCCTGTCACGGCCGATCAGCATCGTGTCTACATCATGATAGCGTCCGGCAGTACTCAATCCCAATCATAGTATCAATAGAATCATGTACTAGTATTTCATCATGATATCTGCTGAATTGGAATGCAGACAAGATATTATACAAATAGCAGAGGTATCAAGCAAACCAACCCCCCAAAGATCCACCAGCACAACGCCCAACCCGTAAAAAACACCGGAAACAAAGTCGTCCTGGTCATAAATTGCAAAATTAGATTACGCCCTCATTCCAGCCACACACGTCCCTTGACTGGATGGGCATGATAAGCCTGGAATCCGCGACCTGTTGCCCAATTACCAGTTCCAAGTCCTGCTCGATGCTGTGAAGACTGGAGGTTTCCACTGGAGGCGACTAGGATCAATCTTACGCTCCCCCTTGACCTTGGCCTTCTCGAGACGCTTGTTGTACTCATCGATCACATAATCCGTGAGCACGATAACCCAGTTCCCTTTCTATAGGATATTATTAGTATTACATTTCTCACTTATGGCACAACTCCGGGATAGTCTTGCGGCGCCCAGATGGGAGGATTTAGACTTACGTGATAACGAAGCATGTTGTAAACAACCAAGGTCTCGTGAACATCCTTCTCGGTCATCGCCGTAGCGACAGCAAGCTCGTTTTCGCTGATAGCCTCTTTGCCAGGTTCGAGGAGGAGCCTGACAAGCGTCTCAAGCCAATACTGCCGGTAACCCAGGAGACCCAGGTCACTGAGAGGTTTCTCAGGAGACCCGAGCTTGCCTTCACGCTTGCTGAGCTCGTAACTGAATTGGATGAGCAGACGTCCGAACCCGTGACGCTGGTATTGCGGCAAGGTCAAAATACAAGCCAAGTTGTAGCCCTCGGCCGAGTCCTTTTCCTTGGAGAAATAGCCTACAAGGTGGCATCCGGTCTCGTCCCGGGTACACATGCAGTAGAATAAGAAAGGGTCGACATCGTAGTAGAGGGTCTTGTGGTCGAGGAACAGCTTGCTGAGAAGACACAAATTACGACACCAGGTGCGCTGCCGACGACCATCGACTTCAAAGAACGAGATGTTGTCGTCGCGATAGATTTCATTGCCGGGCGGGTGGACCAGAGTGCACTTTGTCCGATGGCGCTCAAATGCGCGCTGGTTGTCGAAGTAGCTCAGGCAGAATTCATCGATGTACACCATGTCCACGTCCGAAAAGGACTCCGGGTAGGGCGAGAAATACCATGGCTCCACATCGTATTTGCCCATCTGCAGACGATTCAAGTTACGCACGCGGTGGATCTCTGTCGGGTTCTGCGTCATACTACCCCCGGTACGCAGTCGCTCGATCTCTTCTTCGCGAGATATAATCTCGCCCGAGGCCGTCTTGACTTCGTCTTCTTTGGGCTCCTTGGGCTCGGCAGGTGTCGCGTCCGCCATCTCAACGTCATCGTCGCCCGCTGCAGATGCCGCTTCGGAGGGGAACAGAGAAGCATCGCCAGGGGTCTGAGCCTCGCGGTTTTCTTTACCACCAGCCTTGGACGGCCGTGGGGCTTTGCCGACGTTCAAGTTTTTACCACCAAGAGCATCCGGTGTCCCAGATACCTCACGGCTGTCAGCACGAGCGCGCTTCTGGGCATTTTTACTTGGGGCTTTGTTAGCGGGGCCCGATTTTTTCTTGTCGGGTTTCTCTGGTTGGGGCCATTCGACCTCCTGCGAAAGATCAATTCTGGCAGCAGGCACCCATTCTAACATCAATTATTAGTATCCCAGTTTCCAAAACAATTCGCCTTGGCAAAAGATACATACCGTCAAGACGTTTGTTGAAATCAACATAATGGACGCTGGTCTGATGTAAGTAAAGCTGAGATCCACCAGATGATAAATATCCTGGGAGAAAAACTTACTAAAACGAAGGACCGTCTTTGCGTTGCTTAATAGACAGAATTTCGGCCTTGCGTAGTTCACCATCCTATAGTAACGTAGTTAGCGCCATGTCACGTGATGCACCAGAATCTGCATCGCGACTCACCTTCTGCACCATCGCCTTAACACCGATTCTACACGACCAGTTAGCAGATGCGACCGAGGAAAGTAGCCGTAGAGACGCGAAACCACCGGGTCTAGGGGGATTATTCGCGCAAAACTCACCGGATCGTGTTCAGGGTGGCGTACCCCTTCTCGACGGGGTCGGGAGTCCCGGTCGCTTCGCCGCTATTGCCGCCCATCGTGGATCACAGCGTGTAGAGGCGAACGCAACGCGATTATGGGATGGAAGTCCTGGATTAGAGGCGATATTCGATGGAATGAGCAAGGGCGACGATGGTTGCAAGGAGGCAAATTGGACGAGGTGTTAGTAAGCAGCCGGATTTGGGTGGCGGCGCAACATAAAAGTGACTTCGGCTTCGGTTGAGGGCGAATTGGGGATAGTGAAGCCATACCGTCACGGTGTTTGCTTGTACCAGCAGGGAAAGGGAAAGCTGTTCTCAAAGAGGTCATATTACCTCTCTCAAGAAATATACTAGACTAAAGCTAGTTGGCTTCCTACAGATGCCATATAAAATGATAATCTTCAGAATAGCTTGCATTTTGGACGCAAATGGAACCTCCCTAGTAGTACAAGAAAGAGCGAAATTTCGCAACGCCATCCGAATGAAATCAAATATAGTATCGTAGCCATTTAGTGCCACCCATTGACTGCAGCAGTACCAGCAACCAGTTCGTCCAGTTCATCCTTTCTAACCTTGTATTGTTCTTGCGCTTCTCGTTCGCGTCGTAAGACGGACGAGACATCGTCGCGCAGTTTCTCCAGGCGCCGGGAGAGAGCGGCCTCCTCGGAGATCTGGAGACTACGGAAGGCATCCAGATCGTCTTGAGCCTTTGGCAACGCTGCGCCGGCCTCCACCACCTTGGTTCGAAGGGTCTTGGCGCGCATCTGATATCCTCGGCATAACTTATCCAAGGACTTCTCGAGCTTATTGTTGCGCTCGGCGATGGAAATCAGGGATGATTGGACATTGTCAAACGCCCCGATCATGCGCTGCTCCTCCTTGAACGGGTCTTGCTCGTCCTCCTCGTCATCATAGTTGTCGAGACCTGGAAGGCACTTGGCTTGGGTAGACAAGGAAACCTCTTCGAATTTCTCCTGCCATTGACTGTGTTCTTGCTGCGCTGCCTCTGAAGACATCTCCGCTGCAATAGCAGCCCGGGCAGCATCTAAGTACTGATCGTCCAGTCGGCTGAGCTTGGGTGCCTTGCCTTCAACCTTGGCATTGGCGACTGGGTGTTTCTTGGCATCGTACGCGATAAGAGCTGCAGTCTCCCGAGCGATCAGGCCCTCAATCGGATCCGTGATGCGAGCGGCACGTTCAATAAGAGCATCGATGTCCAAAACAGCACATCGTGGCAAACCGCGTTGGTACACCTGTGACTGGCGCTTGAACTCAGCCTCGGCGGCTCTCTTCTGTGCTTCTTGCGCCCTGCGGTCTCGCTCCGCTGCGTCCTCGGCACTGTACTCGACAGCGGCAGTAGGCTCGGCAGTTTCTGATGGGAGTTCTTCCAGCTCCCATTCACTTTCTTTGGGCTTGGGAAGCAGAGAGAGCTTGCTGCGAATCTGTTGACGCTGGAATTTTTCGTGCATCTGAATATCGCGGGGTGTGCTACCGATGAGCTGTCCGCCAGGGCCATCACGGTTCAGTGCCAAATGGTCACGAGGGGTGCGTAGTGGTGTAGCGCCAGGCCCGATACCACCATGCATAGGCGTCGCGCCGATGCCGTTAGCTTGCCGGAAAGGAGTTGCCATAGGATTAGGGGTAAAAATTTCCTGCTTTCGTGGGGCAATTCCATCAAATCCAGTAGAAGAGCCGCCTTCGTGGAGAGGGGTGTTCTCGCCACCAAGGAGAGATGATTGAGTCTCTGTTAAAGCTCGGATGTTCTTGATCTCATTGGCGACGCGGTCCTCCTCCGGCGCAGCACGCGGCGTTCGTATGGGTGTTCCTCCTACGATTGCTCCGTAGTTCCCAATGAGTCCGCGGGTACCTTCTTCGTCTGCGCTCATCCGACTTGCCTTTTCTCCAGCCATACCCATCTTTATGATATCTTCCATTTCACTCTCGCCAACCTGAGGCGCAGGGAGAACCAAGCTGCGACGCTTGCTGCTCTGCTCGGCCTCTCGGATCTTCTGCATTTGACCAGCACGTGCAGCGGCGGCGAACGCTGCAGAGTTGCTGTTTTTGTCGTTCTTCTGTTTCTTTCGGTCCGCATCATCATCTTGGTCGCCTTTGCGCTTGTTTGCCAGTTGGTGCTTCCGGGGATCAAATGCTTCGCGCTGGCGCTCATTAAGGGCTTGTTCCTCGGTGGTATCATAGAAACCGGGGGCAGCTGGCTTCTCGAATGGAATATCTGCGTTGTAATCCATTTGACCAGGCTTGCGGGTCACGACCTTGACGTTGATGCCAGCATTCTTAAGTTCGCGACGCTTCTGCAATACGGCCATGCGTCGTGACTCTTCTAGTTGACGCTCACGGGCCTTCCGCTTCGCCTTTTTACCCTGTGTATTGGCAAGACGCGCACGCGCCTCGCTCAGCATCTCCTTCTCATCCTCATCTAAATCAATGGTATCGGGTCGAGCGGGCTTTGATTCGGGGTCTGGGTCCAACTCTCCGGGTCTAAATCACATGAGCTAAGGCAAAAATCATCAGAGATAGATCCAACATACCGTAATCGGCGAACATCGTCTGCACTGGGAGCAGCTGTCTCTCCGCCCTCGGGACCTCCCAAGCCAAGCTCGTCATTTTCGCGAGCCTCTGCCTCATCCAAAAGTTTCTGGTATCGCTCGAGACATTGGGTTGCGGTGCGTCCGACGATGGGGGCAATCGTACGCCATTGTGTTGGCATCAGCTTCGCGAGGTGCAGAAGTTTCTCGTCCTCTTCACGCGACCACTCGACTTTGCGAATACCGGGGTCCAGCCATTCGATCCAACGCGCTTTGCACTGTTTCGGGGTTTTACGGGCGAGAAGCGAAGAGACACGGGCCCATTGGTTGAGACCATACTTGGAGACCTGTAAATTTGGTCAGTTATCCCATATTGGGGGCAGACTGAGCTTCCTGAGATCTTTGAGCAAGACTTACAGCTGCACGAAGCACTTCGTCCTCAATATTAGTCCTAAAGGTCGTTAGCTGGGGACTCCTACGCGATGAAAGATCGAGGACTTACCAAACACCTCCTTTAACGACAGGCATGGTGGTCAGTCGGACGGGTTATCCAGTCAATATCCAGAAAGGCTTTTGACTCGATCGCGACACGGATTCCGGGGAGATGAGAGTCGAGATTCCCCGGGCTTAAAGTCAACGCGCAACGATCAGTGACGGCTGGATAGAAAAGCCAGTGTTTCGTCACGGTTGAAGTTCCTTCACCGCTTTCAATAGTTAGTTAGTTAGCCGCCCCCGCGTTAGTCATCAAATCCGGGCTTTTGGAATTTTTTTTTAGTTTAGATTTGGATTTTGCAAGCAGAGACGATAAGACATCAGCCATGTCGGCCTCAGTGGATGCTCCCCAGCAATTCAAGCAGCCCTCCCGTAAGGGCAAGAAGGCGTGGCGCAAAAATGTCGATGTCACTGAGGTTCAGGAAGGTCTTCGCTTGCTGAAAGACGAAGAAATCAAAGGGTATGTTTGGTCCCTTATCGTGGATACTTTTCTTCTACTCTTCCTCCAATATTTACTAACTCTATATCAGTGGCATTGTTGCAGAAAAGCCCTCCGATGAGTTGTTCATAATTGATAACACTGGCTCGGCCGATGTTCGCGAAAAGATCACCAAGAAACACAAGCCGCTCAAGGCTGACGAAATTATTGCCCAGCGCTCTGCCATTCCTGCTTTGCCAGGCCGCAAGCGTGGGAACCCAAATCTCACCGATGGAGTAATTGAGCAGAAGTCCAAGAAGCACAAGAAGGACTGGGTGACCCAAAAAGAGCTTCTGCGCCTAAAGCAAGTGGCCAAGGATGGAACTCCCACCAACACTTCCGGGAACAATGAGATCTATGATCCTTGGGCAGAGGAAGGTGACGAGACTACTGCATACGACGACCCTCGATTTGATTTCTTAGAGAAACCTAAGCCAAAGGTTGCGCCAGAGACTCTTCATCAAGCCCCTGTGTCACTTGCTGCCAACGGAAAGCCAATCCCTTCGGTACGCACTCCTCAAGCTGGAATCAGTTATAACCCTGTCTTTGAAGAATGGGACCGCCTGCTGGTGGAACATGGGGAACAGGCTGTTGAAGAAGAGAAGAAGCGTCTCGAGGAGCAAAAGAAAGAAGAGGAGAAGCAGCGCCTGATCGCCGAGGCTCAGAATGATGATGGCGAGGTTAAGTCCGACGATGAGAGTGCTTGGGAAGGATTCGAAAGTGAATATGAAAAGCCTGAGTGGTTGAACAAGAAGAGGCCGGAGCGGAAAACCAAGGCTCAGCGGAACAAGATCAAGCGCCGCAAGGAAGCCGAGCGCCTGGCTAAGTGGGAAGCTCAGAAGGCTAAGAAGGAGTCTCAGATTGAGCTGGCTGAACGTCTTGCCGCAGAGGCAAAGGAACGTGAACTGGCGAAGCAGAATGACTCAGATGCCGATGATTCTGAGGAAGAGGGCGATGATACCAAATTGCGAAGGAGAGCCCTTGGTGGCAAGCATGCGTATGTTTTTATTCGGTTCCTACGATCAGCGATACGTGCTAATGTGATTATAGACCCCCAGAGAAACCATTGGAGCTGGTGCTTCCCGATGAGCTGCAGGATTCACTCCGTCTGCTGAAACCAGAGGGCAATTTGTTGGACGACCGTTTCCGCACGCTCATCGTCCAGGGCAAGCTTGAGTCACGCAAGCCAGTGACACAGCCTCGCAAGGCCAAAAGGAAGGTCACCGAAAAATGGATGTCGAAGGATTTCAGAGTTCCTGGCATGGACTATTGATCTGTCTTGTTTCCATTAGAAAACGTAGCGTGCATCGGAGTTTGGACATAAAGGGTTAATTTCAATTCATGCTTTGGTATCTAAATATAATGATCAGTTCTTCGGTCACATACTTTGACTCCTTGAAAATTTATCAGATTCTTCTCAAGTAACGCCAAAAGGCGCAACCTATATACGCGGTATCCTCCGGGCCGCTGAGATTGGCAGAAGCGGTGTTGCCGCTTTATCTTTTCTGCCGGGAAAAAAAAAAGTCCAGTTTATACGAACCGTGCCATGACCTAGTTTTCCAAACACATTTCTGCAATCGGGATGGATTCAGCAGGCCTTTCCAGTAATTGGAAAAAACTGCAAGCAACACTGAAGAAGAAAACATCTACGGAGACCGCAGCCCCAACCTCCAAACGCAAGGCTTCGGATCGCGACTCGGGACAGGCGCCCGCGAAGAAGCGCAAATCGTTAGACAAAAACCACTCGAAACCACGGGATTCGAGCACCTACACCTTACAAGCGCAGGAGGATGGCTGATGGACCAGATGGACTGAATGACTCGCCGACGGGCGTGACGTTACGGCGGAAATCCAGTGCTGGTGAATCTTCTGTCACGAAAACTGAGCCTCTCAGTAGCAAGGTCAACGAGGGCCTGTCAAAAACGTACGTACCGCGGATTCTTCCCGGATATCTGGCATTGCTTTACGGTCTTTGCTCACATCTTATGTCTTAGTGCGGAAATCGGAAAATACATTGCCATGGATTGCGAAATGGTCGGTGTTGGACCCAACCCAGATAACGATTCCGTTCTCGCGCGCGTCAGTATTGTCAATTTCAACGGTGACCAGGTTTACGATTCCTATGTACGCCCTAAGGAGGAGGTCACCGACTGGAGGACACACGTTAGTGGCATTGCGCCCAAGCACATGGTGGAAGCGCGCACTCTGGAAGCCGTTCAGAAAGACGTGGCTGAGATCATGGACGGCCGCATTCTGGTTGGACATGCGGTGAGCAATGACCTAGATGCCCTACTCTTACCCCATCCCAAGAGAGATATCCGAGATACAAGCAAACACCCTGCATACCGGAAGATTGCTGGTGGAGGATCACCACGGTTGAAGATGCCAGCCGAGCACTTCCTTGGCTGGAAAATCCAACAAGGAGCGCATTCTAGTGTGGAAGATGCTCGGGCGACAATGATGCTCTACCAACGAGAAAAGGATGCATTCGAGAAGGAGCATTTGAAGAAGTGGCCAGTGCGGGTTCCTGTTGAAAAAGTTGAAGGCGACCAGCAGAAGAAAAAACCAAAGAAGAAGAAGAAGACCACTCGCAAGCGGTAATTGTGAAACCCGCCTAGATTATTATCCCATGCATTGTATACCCCAGACACGCATCAATATCAATCAAGTATCGGCCAAATTATAGAGCTCTTTTTTTCCGTAAGAGTAGGGTGTTCGCCCGTGCGGTTGATTCTCCGCCCACATCCACTTAACGCGGCCACGCGACGCGTTCCTCGTCGCAACTCCGCAGTGCTGCACCCCAAATCCCGCCAAATCCGTTCTTCACGGACCGCTCTTTACTCCGAAGACAACCTGTAAATCAATTGTCAGCCTAAGACCTTGGTGTTCCTTCCAGAGAGATATTGCGACTACGACGACTCCACGAAACCTCCACCAGCTGCGCCGCAACGATGCCAGACATGTACGGCTTCCAAGCCGGGGCTCAATCCACCACACAAGGCACAGCAGACGATCAGCATACGCCTTCACAGCTTACTCCAAATGTGCTTCCTTGCCGAATCCACCACGATGGCCCCATAGAAGCCCTTGAGCGATTCTGGGCCCCTGCATCCAACCCAAAAGGTAGAGCTTGTCCTGCGTGCAGAGTGCATAAGTCTTAGTATAGATCTTCTCCTATAAGAAAGTGATCTTACCTATTTTTATCTACAGATAGTGTGCCAACAGCATTCTTTAGAGGCCGCAAGCTTCGGGGGCGGCGCGTTGCGATTCCAGATGGGTATCAAGGTAAGAAATGGCCGAAAAGACATTGCTGGAACATCTTAATAACCAAATTGTCTTTGATAGGAGTTGTTGCAACCCCCACTGATAGAGTCTTGCCCAAATCTCCACCAAAGAACCAGGACGCTGACATAGAGATTGTCGAGCCTGAGGAACCCGTCAAGGTCTTGGAGACCCAAGGCACGTTCGAAAATATGGTCGTCTGGGGACATGAGATTATTCCGGCTTCGGATGACACTTTTGTCAAGGGCGTGGAAGAATGGATCAGGTTCGCAGAGACAGTAAGTGGACTCCGTCTTGTGTAGCGTGAATTGACGTGTTTAACATTTTATCGACATAGATGCATGCTCCAGCGTCAGAAACAGATGATACAAAAGCCTAATGAGGTGAGAAAACAATTAGGGCTTGGTAACTATTAGAGTATCCTGGGGTTAATCCAATTATAATGAACTATACGTTTTTTGAATCTTTACTGTCCAATCCCATACGCCAACAGGACCAATTTTAATCGGCATACTATCTCACCAGAAGCATTGCTCATCTATTTAGGTATTTTGCAACCTATTATATATATAGTAGACCCAGCAGGCTACTTCGATGGTTGCAAAATGATCAGATCCTCACTATATAGTTCTAAGACATTAGTCTTCCCGAAGCGCACTCCAATTACATTATCAAGTACCCAACCTGGTCCAAGAATACTTCGCCAGTGATTTGCACAAATTTCAAAGCAGTTCCTCCATGTGACGTAGTAGAAGCCTGTTTGTCGGTTCTACTAGTAGATGCAGATGGCTACCCTGCGGCGACTATTCATTCCAACCCGATAAGCGTCTCCGCCCCGCACCGATAACAAGCCACAACAGTCGAAACGTCTTCTTCCCAATTTTATACTCCATCAGTACGCCTTGGGCAAGCACAATGTCTACTCCCGAGAGCCTCATCCCCAAGTTCCAAATATCTAGGCTGCTCAAGCAAGGTATGATTTGCCCATGACCCGGCCGTACAACACAGTAGTCCAAAGGATCCCAGCAGTTCAGACCTAACCCATCCCTAGATCAACATGGCCGCCGCATCTCACTCCTCGGCTCAATTGATGGACAGCAAGGCATTCTCACAGCTGAGCGCACGGCATTTGCCACCGAGTCTCTAGAAACACTCCAGGCCTTTCATGCCGCCATCTCGAAGGTCAACAACCTCGGCGACAACGACATCTACCGCTGGTACCTTGCTTCTTCCAGCGATTCAAGCAACGCCTCTCAACAAGGGACCCAGCAAGACCTGAAGCTGAACCTCATCTGGCCTTGCACAGAGCAGCACATCAAAAAGTACTCGGATCAAAAGCTTCGCATGGTCACTGAGACGCCTGCGATATACAAGGACCACGTCCGTCCATACATGCAAGCGAAGCGAGAGGAGGGCCGCCTGAACTGGGTCTTCAATATCCTCGAAGGCCGGACCGAACAAGAGGACGTTGTTCTCCGGGATGACGGGCATGGCCTGGAAGATGCGTTCCTGATGCTTCCTGATCTGAACTGGGATCGCAAGACGCTGAGCTCGTTGCATCTACTGGCCCTTGTGCACCGGCGCGATATCTGGAGTCTGAGAGATTTGCGCAAGAAGCATGTGCCGTGGCTGAAGTATCTGAGGCAGCGTGTGCTGGAGTCAACTGTCTCTCTTTATCCGGATTTGGAGATGGATGAACTCAAGCTTTATGTCCACTGTAAGTCTTTTGTTCCAAGACCACCACCGCTGCTGGCTTCAGAATGCGTACTTACGACTATCAGACCAACCTACCTATTACCACTTCCATATCCATGTCGTTAATGTCATGCTGGAAGCTGGAGCAACGCAGGCTACCGGGAAAGCTTTCGGGCTGGAAAATTTGGTCTCGCAGCTTGAGACACTGGCCGGTGATGAGGATGCGAGTCTGGCAGATGTGAGCTTGACCTACTACCTTGGCGAGGCGAGCGAGCTGTGGACAGAGATATTTGCGCCATTGAAGCTGAAGGGGGGTGTGCAGCCAAAGAGCCAATAGAGCCAAGTATCATAACTGTAAGACAATTTCCAATTGCAGAGTCTTTTAAGGAGTTGTTCCCGGACGAATGGGTTCGAACGAATTTTGAGTTTTAGGAGTACACAAAACCGTCTAGAGATATTCGAAGAGCACAGAAAAAGAGTGAACCCCAGCGGGCAGGTTACGGCGAAGAAATCTAAATTCTCTCAAGTATACAGCTCACAAGAACTCTGTATCAGAAGTAAGCTCTTATTGGCAAACTAGTTGAAACAAGATTGGAGCAGGTGATACTGACTGGCGAGTACGGGTAGATTTGACCGTCTGCATAGATAATTGGTATTAATAGTACCTAATATGAAAATGAAAGCCACCCATTTTGAACCTTTTCATACACATCTTTATACTAATATCCACGTTTGCCACCCAAATCGTCCGCTTCAAAAGCTCTACCAGGAGGGTACGATAAGACGATAAGCGATAAGCAATGTGGAGAACCAGATAACCAAGTCCTCCCCGCAACGTCCAGTCTCCCCTCACCATCTCCTACGACCAACCCTCTCTCCAAAACCAAACAAAGAAAACACCATCAGCCCAAAATGCAGGAGGAGAAAGACTCCTCCACGTCCTGGCGGACAGGGTCTGCGTGCCCCTCGGTAAGCACACCCTTACCCCGAAAGCCACCAAAGCCACGAAAATAGACTCAACCTCAGCAACCAAACAACAGAAAACAACGCAGAAGTGATGACCCACTTGGCCCAAAAACTAGGTCTTGCTCAAGACCTAGCCTTCCACGACGTTTTCTCGATTGACGACCCCGATCTGCTCGCATTCGTCCCCCGCCCCGCCCACGCCCTCCTCCTCGTCTTCCCTATCTCCGAGACCTACGAGAAGTCCCGCCATCAGGAAGACGCCAACCTGCCCGAGTACCAGGGCCACGGCCCCGGTGAGCCAGCCATGTGGTTCAGCAGACGATCCGCAACTCGTGCGGACTCATCGCCCTCCTCCACGCCGTCGCGAACGGCGAACCCCGCCGCCACGTCACGCCAGGCTCTGACCTCGCTGCTCTGCTCGAGCGTGCGGATCCACTTCCGCCCGCTGAGCGCGCGCGCTCGCTGCAGTACAGCAAGGGCCTGGAGAGCGTGTACATGGATGCGGCGCAGATGGGTGATACGGAGGCGCCGGAGGCGGAGGATAATGTGGACTTGCATTTCGTGGCGTTTGTGCGGGGCAGCGATGGGACGCTGTGGGAGATGGATGGGCGGCGGAAGGGTCCCCTTGCGCGCGGTGTGCTGGCGCCGGATGAAGATGTGTTGAGTGCGAATGCGCTGGAGATGGGGGTGCGGCGGTTCCTGAAGGCTGAAATTGAGGGTGGGAATCAGGATATGCGGTTTAGTTTGATCTGTCTGGGGCCGGGGTTGGATTGAACTGGCTAGAGATGCAGGTCTGCTTATTTGCTTCTGGGGCTCTACCCTTACCTTTAGGCTAACAGTCGGCGCTTAGATTTCGATTTAATTTCTTTCTGACCTGTTCTATACCAGTAGTTACGAAAAAGCGGCTGACGGGAATCGATACATGATGCTGTCAAGTCTGTTTTTCTTCTAGCTGCTGTAAAACCTTGTGTGTGAAGCCCTTCGGTATTGTCTAGCACTCTGCTCTGTATGACCTATTTAAGAGCGTTCCTTCTATCTGCATAACTTATCAATTGCAAGCTTTTGTCTCGGAGGTCATTGCTTCTCTGCAACGACAGTCCCGAGTGTGGGAGTCGCTTCGGATGCTGAGTCCGGAATAGCACCCTTCCCATTTGCAAATTTATTTTCAACGATAATAACCGACTGCTCCTCGGCCTTTTCAGAGTCACCACCCTGTGTACCGAGAGTCAAGAATGGCACAAAGAACAAAGAGAGTCCCGCTGCGGCTGCTGCGAACCAGTAGGCACCCAGATATGGCCTGATGGCAGGCGTGGAGGGGATCATTTGACTAGCGATAGCACTTCTCACGGACGTAGCGATGCCGAGGCCGAGATTGTTGCATAGCTTGCTCACAGTATTGAATATTCCACCCGCGATGGACTGTTGATGCGATGGAAGTGAGGACATGACATACATCTATAATAATGGTTAGTTTTGCTCGAGCAACGGCAGTCAATCGAGAAAGGAGCTTCAAAGCGAGGAACCTACGTTTGTCACGTTGAATTGTATGTCCGCGCCAACGACGACAAGAACGATCGCTGGGAAAATGAATGCCCAGTAGACGGTCTCTTCTTTCATAAAGCTCAAAATGAGGAAGGCAGCGGTATACGCTGCTGCTCCGATCCCGGTGAGGATCTTATTGCTCACACGATGAAGAACCAGACCACAGGCGACATTGACCAAGATGCCGCTGATCACCATGGGGAGGAGCCGGAGGGTGATTTCAAGTGCGGAGAGCTTCTTCAGCTCCTGCAGGTACAAAGAGATATAGAAAGTCATGGCCGAAAACCCCATAAAGCCGAGGACAAATATAACCATAAGCTGGGACATGTCAGCTTCTTGACCCTGCCCGCAGGCGAGGACGGAGACGGGATACATACGAGTGAAAAGTTCCGATCTTTCCAAACCCATAGAGGCATTAAGGGGTGCTCGGCAATGGACTGCCAGTAGATGAAGGCAACCAGAAGAAAAAAGCCTACTATGAAGAGGGCAAGGACGTATCCTGTCTTCCAGCCATCCGGTGCATCTCCAGCCAGCCTATGACTCTGTTAGATTCTGCGTGCAAAGATCTAAATGTAAAGGGAGATCGGCAAACCCACGAAAGCGAACTGGAAAAGAACGAAAACCCAACGATCACCAGTCCTGTCCCAGGATATCAAACCGTTGAAACGCTTCATATGTCATAGGGGTCTTCGCAAACCCATCAGCCGGCACCGTCCACACTGTCAAGACAGTAAAGAGCGCGTAGATAACAGCAAGAGCCCAGAAAGACGCTCGCCAATTGTACTCGTGAGAGGCAATGCCCGAGATGATCATCCCCCCCACAAAGCCAAGGGGGTTTCCCGCACTGAAGCACGCAAAAGCCCTGTTCTTGCGCTTAGATTGCTTTTCATAGACAGCCCCCAGTGCACCCACGGCCGGCGGAACAACTGCAGCGGCAAACAGACCAATGATGCCGGAGAAGACATCCATATAGATCGCATTTGTCGCAAAACCGGCAATCAACAGCGCCAGGGAAAATCCGCCCATGCCAATAATAAACAGGATCTTGCGCCCAAACGTATCAGCTACCTTGCCAAATGTCAAGAGAAAGGCACCGCTGCTGAGGCTATTTTGTGAAAGGCTTATGGTCAGCGACATCGACTAAGAAAAGAAAATCTCAGCATAGCAGAGAGCTCGAGAAGTTGCTCACCGATCCGTGGCATGCAGCACAGAATAGTGTGCGAATGGGGGTGGGAGAGGGGGGAAAGTGTATGAACGAATTGAACTTACGAAGATCCAGCATTGATCCAAGTGATTTCCGCCGGGTTCATATTCAGATCCTTTCCAATTGACGCCGTCACGCCCACAATAGCACCCTGGAAGAACGATTGCTGGCCAATGGCCATAGTTGCCGTGAGGACGAAAAGGCATTCTTGCAGGGTGGAGCTGAAGCATTTCGGCCGCTGCGCGTAGCCCTCGTTTTCAGCTAATTCGGCGCGGACACCAACTTCCTGGTCAGTAGAATCACCTTGCGAACTCATAGCGGTGTGAGCAGCAAGGCGGAGAATGCTTTGAGTTCAAAGTGCATGTAGATCAATGGAGTGAACAATGGGCCTCAAGGAATCTCTAGGGGTATCAATAGATACTCTGGGGTCGAATCGTGGGTAGAAGCCTGGAAAGATATCAGGCCAAGCTCCCTGAAATTAGTGCCCTTTTTAGCGCTTATGGGAATGTCGTGATCTACACCGCAAATAGAATATCTTGTGGTTTCTGATCGTTCAGTTGTACGGGATGTTTATGCCTTATATTGGAGAGTCCACGCGGGACGCCTATCATCTCATCACCGCAATTTCTTAAAAATGGACACTTTTGTCAGCTGCGGGTGGTTTCCGCGATGCCAGTAATGTGCGGTGTCAAACTTCGATTGGGCCCCCGGATTCCGCCCCCCGGCACTATATCTTTAGGCGAGCGTAGGGCTACAAAGGGAAGTGTCCGCAGTATCTCCAAAGAATTGAGAAGAATTGAGAACCTGAGCAGAGGTGTCTCGTTATCTTCATGCTTGAGTAATATGTCTGCGACTGGTAATCATTGCCTGTATTGCTCACATCCTCATATCGCATAGATCTACAATACAGTTTATAATACAGACCCATTGTCCTCCACCCAGTAATCACAATGATTAAACTTCATAACTTCATTCCCACAAGCCCACCAGCCCGCGGTCAAATGACGCGCAAATACCTCCAGCGCAGAGTAGAACTCGGTCGGCGCCTGTTGGCCCGCAGGATCCAACCCGAATAGATACCGCTCGAACAGCGATTTTAGACTGGGTTTGCGGGAGTGGAAGTCTGGGGCTGCCGCAATAACTCGTTTGGGAATAGTGCTCACGTCGACGCCGGCAATGCCCAGGGCTGGGGTGGTGCAGTTGCCAGGGAAGACTCGGTTTCTCTCGGCCTCCTGATCTTTCTTACCAATCACAAGGATCTCATATGGTTTTCGCCAGAGCCCGTCCACGGGGCCGACTGGTTTGCCGTGGGCGGTGATCTTGACCCAGATCCACTCTTCATGAAGCTTGAAGCCTGAGCTGCGGAGGGTTTCGTAGGCTACGGCTCGTGTCTTGTGCGAGCCGGTGATCCAGATCGCTGCGAAGGATTCTTGTGAGGGTTGATTGCTCGGTATAGACACAATCGGTTGTGGTCCATGGACAGGCATGGACTGCCGAGCCGGCGCCTGGCAGGCATGAGCTTGTAGAATATCTTTAAGTCGCTGTTTCAAGGCTTCTATGTCGGTATATGCTGCGACCTGATATGCTTGACTCCGACGGACAGAGCGGTTTGGCCACGGAGGATCCATGAGAATGAGATTAAACCGATAGTCGCGACTGAGCCCCGGTATGGGATTTTCAAGAACCGACCATTTGTTTAGCGACAATGTACACAGGAGGACGTTGGATTTTGGTGGCACTCAATACAGCGCACTAGGCTCCTGACGATCTTGATCACCATCAATGAATAACTTGACAGCTTCAGTGAATGGGTTCTTCACAACGCCCGTAAGGTCGAATATCGAATTAAACCTGGTCGTGCCGCTCGATGATAGGATGGTTGGCGGGACTCCATTCCTATGACGAGAAAAGAGCCTGTATGCCCCCGTGTCGAGTTGCTCATTCTCTGGCATATCGTCAAAGATTAACCGTGGGAGAATCCATTTGGGAGATCTCGACCGATCCTCGGAGTTGACGCCATACTCCGAGTAAATGCTATCCAATGATACTTGCACTCGCGGCTCTATGATAGTTGTCTGATATTCATGAGTTTCTAATTCCGTGGGTGGAATCCTTGCGAGCAATCTTTGACGTGCCGCTTCTGACTTGGGCTCTGACGGGGACGGATGGGATTCTTCCAACGCCGATTTGGACAGAGGGTACCCTGCTATTCCCTTTGCGAGCTCGACAGAGCCTGTTGCTGGAGAGAACTCCTGGGCCCGGATGGTCTTGACGCACAATTCCTGTGCCTGAGCAATCGAATATGGAAGATCGAGGACAAACACAGTACAGTCTGGATTAGCATATAGAACGTGGGGTCCCAGACCCCCCGTCATGGTTGGAATTAGAAATCTCCTCTGATTCGACGGAGAGCGGGCAAGACGGACTTCGATGCGGGCAGAACGGGCAGATCCTCCACAACCTGAGCCTTGGAAGCACGAGAACTGCTTACGTTTTCGGGCTCTGGAATCTGGAAGATGGCACAATTTGAATCAAGTTTCTCCTAGTTGATACAGCAGAGAGCTCATGAGGAATCCTACTTTCGATGCAAATGCAGAATGGGACAGTCTCGCCGCCGCAAATCGAGACAAAAAAAAACAAAACAAGAAAGGACGCCCTATGGCCGTTAAATCGAAAATACATGGTCATTGAAAGTGGCTCCATGAAGATACATGTCTCCCCTTTAGACACCAGACTTTTTTTACCCCAGTCCCCTTCCCCAGAACTCGGTCAAACCTCCCTACGTGGCCGATCACCGATCCAGCGTTCGATCAGGCGAGAGGGAAGATTCAAACCGCAACGCAGATAGCTAGATAACCCGCTCGATCTCCATGATAAACAGCAATTAGAAAAGAAAAGAAAAGAAAAGAAAATGAAGCGAGAAAATGAATTTGTACATGTAGAGGGAAGCAGGAGAACTCGATTAAAAACATATGCATAGATCAGCGCTGGCAAGGTCAGTCAAAGCTGCTGCGAAGAAGCCACTTTATCGGCACAGAAGGGGTAGACTTGCCCGTCCACGTCGACCTCCGCCCGGCTGTCCCTGCACAGATTGTGCTTGGCCATAGTACTGCGGAGGGTATGGGTACATCTGAGCAGACGGCATCACTGGGCTAAATTGTTGCGGAGGATAGTTGGATTGGCCTAGCAGAGGGTTGGGTCCCGACAGCTGGGGTGCCTGCTGGGCAGACATAGAACGCAGGTTCTCAAAAGAGGCTGAGCCGGTAGGGTAGCCAAAGCTGGCACCCGGCATACCCGAATACATACCACCCGGAGACACGCCCCGACCCTGGGCGGCGATGTAGGTCTGATACTGCAGTTGCTGTGGAGTGAGAGGAGCCACTGGATCTTGGAACACGCCATTGTTCATGTTGCCAAGGCCGGTGAGGGGGTTACCGAATCCGTTCATGCCATTGTTTGAATATCCGTCCAGAGAAAGATTGTTCTGGTCGGCAGAGATGGGTCGTGAGCCATCTGGATTTTGTCCGAGCACGTTTGGTGCAAATTGGCTGCCGAATGGTCTATCCAGGGGCGGCTGCGAAGGGAAGTTTGCACTTCCATGGCGGGATGACTGGCGGTGCTGCGACCTCTCCGGGGTAGAGGCATGACTTGCTGCATGATCCCGGTTGTGGTGGTGCTCACGTCCACCACCGCGCGACGAAAGACCCACTTCGTCCATCAAACGCTTGTATCCTTGGCTGGGAGAAGCCTTCAGTTTAATCAAAACTTTAGACACGTTCTTCACCACCTCCGCCCGCATGCCCTCATCAAAGAACGGAGTAGTCAAGACCTTGAAGATCAAGGTGGCACCAGAGGTCTGGTCACTCAGGATCTTCTCTAGGACTTCATCGCCAGGACTGAAGAAGAGGGCCTTCAGCACAATGTCCCGGGCTTCTGCCTCGTTACGCTGGTTGATGACCTTGAGCACGGTAAGATAGGCCACCTTGTGGGTGCACAGGTGAACGAGATGAGGAACCAGTCGAGGCGCGAGAACTGTGCGGCGGCGAGGAAATGTACAGGTGTCAAGGAACCAGGTGAGAAGCAGTGCTCCGTTGGCGTTGGTAGCCAGCTGCACGCTGTGGAGGGCAATGGCAGCCGCGAGTGTCCGCTGCTGGTCTTTCGTAGCGTGATGGCTTTCAAGGCAGGCACGCATAGCCCGAGCACCGAATCGGCCCTGGGCAACCTCCCACATGCGACTGAGCATGCTCTCAAAGATGAAGTCGTTGAAGGGAGCGCCGAATCGCAGGCAGCATTGGAGAACATAATTACCATACTGGTCGAGGAAGAGGGGCACGGCGTAGGGGCGAAGCGCCTCGACAATAGCTTCCATCTGCGCGGGTGTCTTGGCGACATCGATAATCTTCTGTGCAGCCCATGTGCCATTCTTATGCACGCCAATCTCAGCAAGATGAGGTGCAATCTGAGAGAGCATCTGCTCCTTGGTAGTTTCCGAGCAGAACTCGAAAAGCTTTTGTACTACGGTGTTACCGAGATAGTCAGAAGATAACTCAACGATTTCGGGAAGCATTGCCCCGGCGGTTTCTTCTATCTCCTGAACAGAGCAAGCACCGTTGTCAATGCGCTTGCGAATATCACGCAGACGGGGCGCATCAAACATGCGGGTCTGGCTGGATTCTGCAACGGGGGGGATCTCATCTTCATATGCCTGGAATGCAATCGCATTCTGGATAGTATCTGTGATGTGCCGGGTGTCTTCCTCGTTCGCACCAAACTCCTTGACGATATTGATCATCTCAGGAAGGAGCTCAGGCAGCGCCGGAATTTGAGGAATGGCACCGTGGGAGTCAGCTCGGTCGGTGTCATCTGCCGAACCGACATTAGACTTGAAGTTTGGATCAGGTGTAGGAGAAGATTGGATTCCATTGGCACCTGGTGTGCCAGTGGCAGACACGCCGGGGACCTTAGCATAGCCAATGCGCACGGGACCTGCGCCAGGAAAGATTTCTTTGCCATTCAGAACTTGTTTGGCCTGAACTGCGGACTCCAAACGCTCGAAATTGACAAAACCACAGTTCTTATGAGTTAGCACCCGGGTCGACTCAATGTTGCCGTACAGGCGGAAGATGGCTTCCAGAGAAGTCACTGTCGTGGACACAGGAATACTGCCGATCCAGAGCGCGCGAGTCGGCCCATCTTGGTTGTTCTCGTCTGCCATCTCACCAGTAGCCCGCAATCCCAGGGCCGAGCCACTGGCTCCACCGAGATGCATAGAAAGAACCGCATCGGTCAATTCCTCGTATTCGCTGTTCTCTGCAAGCAAGTCTGCCGAGCTGAAACTGTTATCAAGTCGCGAAGGCCCAGTGATGTAAGGTCGAATAGAGGATCGCTGGGGGGGAGCTTCTAGAATACCAGCCGTGCGAGCACGAGGACGGCTGGCTGAAGCATGATTAGCAAAGGCCTGGACGGCCAGATTGTGCTGGTGGATTTGAGCCTGGGTTGCAGCCAGCTGAGCGGCTGTTGCAGCGGCGTTCGGGGTAAGTGTACCCGAAGGAGCATGCGCGTAACGATTCTCATATTCCATGTCCTCGTCATCCGCGTATTTCTCCTTGGCATTTACGGAATACGAGCGAATGCGATTATTATTCTTCATCATCGCCAGCTCGGCCAAGAGTGGGGGCAATGTAGAGGCTTGTTGCTGTTGAAGGAGGGCTTCCATCGAAGGGCGTGCAAGAGTGGCCCGGGGTTGCTGAGGGGTCTCGGCAAGGCCCAAATAATCCAGTGTCTTGACATCGCTGTCTGCCAAGCCACCGCCAGAGAATGAAGATTGGCTCGGAGAGGTAGGACCTTCGGAAGATCGAATGCTCGTCAAGGTTGTAGCCCGTTCGCGTCCCGTCGACCAATTTGATGAAAACAACGAAGGGCCAAAAGGATTACCCGAGTTCAACAGGGTGGTTCTCTGGGGCATCGAACCAGCCCGAAGGCGCGACAGCGACGCGGGGTTTGGTGGAGCTGCTGAACTATTGACCTTCACACCTGTGTCTAAGCCGGACATTCCAGGAGGACGGAACGGACTCGTAGAAGGCGTTGGACGGGACGTCTGCGACATGAACGGCTGCTGGAGTTCCATCTCGTTGAGGGTGCCCATGGGCGGGAATCGGGAGGGCACGGTGCCTGCTCGAGCTCTGCGCCCAGAGTTTGAAGCCGTCCCACTGGACGGAGGGATCAAATCGGGGAAGCTATCCTGGCTAGGTGACTCGGGGATGTTTTCGCGAAGCGGGGTTGAGTGGCCACTGGTCGGCGGGCCCCAAATACTAGGGCCGACGCCTTCCTGTGCTTGGATCTCACGGGCCCTATGGAATGATCAATTATTAGCAAACCTTTGTTTCTTTGGCTGGATATCTCATCGGGGGATGAGCGAGCTTACCGCTTCGAGTACAGGCGCGTCCCCATCTCAGATGGGGATCCAGCCCCAAGTCGCGCAGAGCCAATCGAACCGGTAGAGCTAAAATGCGTCCGTGAAGAATTTGATCCTGCCAGGTCGCTGGGCGAACTGCGCCCCGTTGATGTACCCGACATGGGCTGCGTTGTAGGGATGTAGTTAAAGTTCATTTGGCCTTCCAGGTCGTTAGACCAACGATTGATAGAGTATAGCCTTCAGCCTCGCAGCAAGAGAGAGATGTGAATTCCTCCCACTTGATGGTGCTATCGTAGTTATGAGCCGTGTCAGCTCTCGGAGTCCGGATCTTCTGCTTAGAAGAGGATGTACGGAACCGGCACCATGTGTAGGCTTCGTGAGGGCCGAGCTGTCAAGGGAGAGCAGGAAGAGCGGTGGGTTTCAAATGGGTTGAAAAGGAAGGATCAGACGTAAGACCTGGAGTAAGGAGAGGAAAACAATGAGCGTTGGCGGGATTTGCGGGAGTGGAGGTAGATGTTTGTGGCAGGTTGAGGGGAAGGGGCAGCAGGCACAAAAAATGGGGGGGAGGGGTTGACAAAGCAAATTGTCAAAGTGGAAGAGTGAAGCGAGGGCATTGCGGCCTGTGGAATGGCCTTCTCAAGGAAATGCTCACCGTAGATGAGAGGATAGGTATCGCACGAGGACAATTCTATGTGTGTGTGAAGTTCCGGTCCGCAGGCCAAAACCAAGACAGATAGCTGCAAACCCTCCGTGTCGGCGGAATCGTCTAGGTTGACTGGGGTCGATGCATAAATTTGTCAGGAAGCAAATGAAAGCGAGAATGAAATTGCAGCAACAGAGCACTCGGAGCGATGGGAAAAAAAGAAGCAACGGAGGGTCGAAGGGATCGAGGTGGCTGGATGGCGCGGATTAGTTTGCGCGGCTCCGGCAAGAGGGACCCGAGAACCAGTGAAGCGCGTCCAACGACTAACCCGAGAATCGCAGGGTAAGAATACAGAAGTGAAAGAGAAGAAAGCGAAGGCGAACTGAAAGTCACGGAAGGTGGGAGAGAAGGGAAGTGAAGGGGAGTCGGATGTCGAGGAGTTAGTTGGTTGTGGTTGGTGGAGAGGCTCCTTCCTCAGCTTCACTTTCCGTTTCCCACAATTCAATTGTTTGGCTTACTTGCTACACATTCCCCTTTCCCCCCAGCGCTGCGCGCGGACTACGTGAATTACAATAATACATATCCCAGGAACTGGTCGATTTGTTCAGCTTGGAGGGCCCGGCATCTTCTGCAAATAGAGTGGAGTTTCACACAGCCCCAACGATGTCATTGCTGTTCGAGACTCGGGACTCTACCCGGGACTTAGGGATGCCAATATTGATTTATGCCCTGAGGTTCAACCCTCCCGGCTAACAAGAGCCCATTGCCCCTCCCCCTAGAAGCCCAAGCGCTACATACGTTGTCTGGCTTGGAATGCTGTTAAGCAGACATTGGAAATCAACCGACCGCCCCGCATGCTGATACGTCTTATAGAATCTAAAAGGCTAAGCACACGGTCCAAGTCAGACTTTCACTCTATCATACCTGCTGGCACGATTCCCTTGTAAGCCTGCAAGGGGAGCCGCCCTGATGCTGATCCGAAACCGCGGCGTCCGAGCTGGTTTGTGAGTGGTGCGCGCAAGGGATGGATCAGGTACGTGTCCTTCTTGATCTACTCCCGGGATTTCGGGGACTTCACGTCTTTGATCTGTATGTGCCAGATGTCATCCCTTATTCGCCTCTGGATGAAATGTCTCGACTATCTATCTGTACTGGTATTCCAAGGTCTGTTCCAGTGTCGGGCGATTCTCGGTTGCTTCTGCACGGAAGCCCCGGGATGAGGGGGGTAGTGGGGTGCCACTAAATATCTGCCTGGATCAAAGGATTTCGCGGATCTTTCTAATATGCCGTTCGTAGATGGCTAGGCACCATACGCTTTCCCATGGCGGAGGGTATTCAAATCATTTAAGTAGCCCCGCATTGCCTTGCTGGGTCAAGGCCAGTATTGCCAGAACTTTGAAGGCTAGTAGAATACTATGCTTTTGGGACTAGCTGAATCTTGGAACTTGGAGTATTAGAAGTATGGAATTATTGACGAGCTAGTTTGGCATCCATTTTCTGGTACGGGCATGGAGGATTCAATCGATAATAAGTCTGGCTCTGGGAGTGTAAATAAAAGTCCTCAAAGCTGGAGACATATTTACATTCGTGCAAGCAAGCCACCACGCCCAAGACCAACGTGCATGTCAAAGCCTTCATTCGATAGCATATTAAGAAGAGCTCAAGCTTTCAACGCATGCGTTAGGAACTGTACAAGCCCTCGCGCAAACTGCGTCATGTCGGACATCCAATGTGTTGATGCAAGGTTATTGCGACAGTACTTATAAGAGGCCATTTTTAGACTGTTAAGCTTTTTGGGATTAGACCATCGATAGTACACAAGGGTATGTTGTAAACAGCTGGAAGCTCTACTATCAAATGGTTCCATAACTCAGTTGGTTAGAGTGTCATGCTAATAATACGAAAGTTTATCGGCACGTGAAAGTCGAGGGTTCGACCCCCTCTGGGACCATCTTTTTGGCGTACTTTTTTCTCCCTCCTTTTATTTTTCTTTTTTCTTTTCTTTTTGTTAAAACAGAAACGAGAACGTGTTCGCCTGTAATTGTCATTGGCGTTCCTACGTCGTCTTCTCACCACCACTCACTCGACAACAAGAGTTAGTAAGAAGTGTTCTACTCAACCTTCGAAGATAGACCGGGGTCGGCCGCGAGGACAATTAGATTGTTACTCTTGTATCAAGACAACCAAAAATCTGTGCATAAATATTTGGTTCTACGAGTCAGCGAAATCATGAGCTTGAGCCAGGGCAGGGGCAGCCATATGATACCCACTAATTCAAGCGCATGATTATCATTCAAGTGTGAGATTTTCCCGCCAATGTCCAGGATCTGTCAGAAGGCCTTCGCAAATTTTATCGGTCTGACCTCGACTCTGGTATCAAGACCACACTCTATATAAGCAAGAGCACACAAGCTATGCAGAGCACATAGTCAACCCATCAGAATACGTTTTAGTTGGGGTTTCGTCTCCCAAGCGTGAGAGCTTGTGAGGGATTTCCTTGGCGTAGACGGCGGGAATTGTATATCTGCCACAACCTTCCTAAGGGATGGAACTCTCTCCCTGTTATCAGCCCATCTACCATAACTACCGAGGGAATCTAGCAACAAATATCTCATAGATTTAACAATTCGCGTTCAATACATCAAAACTTGGTACGGACCATTAGACTGAAAGAGGATTGACGGCCTGAGGCATACAAATCACCATTTGTCTGTCGCGGCTCGGTGTGTCGCGTTTGTCCTCCGCAACCATCTCCAAAATCATGTTGGCAGATACCCATCCTACTCTCCTACATCATCTTTTATACTAGTATACCAAAATTCTGATGTCAGAGCCGTTATACACAATAGGCTTGATCATCTACTCATCACAGAGTTGCTCTCTGCAACCACAGCGCCCACTTCGAATCGTTCACAATGGCCGACGGCCCGGAAGCAGAGCCTTCATCAGGCTTTCAGTCTTCGGAAGATGAGGCCGAGGAAGTTGCAGTCGAATCACTGGTACAAGGACGTGCCAAGCGAAGCACGGCAGGAACGCACATGTCCGCCCTGATCGAAGCTGCGGCCGATGACGACTTGACCCTACTTTTCGAGGAGGTGGAGGATGACAATGACTTTGCGGCAGAGGCCGACGGAGCCGATGAGGAGGACGAAGCGCTCGACTCCTCCTCAGACGAGGATGATCAAGGACCGAACGCGACAAATGACTACGAAGGCGAGAAGGAGTTACAGAAGGCAGAGCGCAAAAAGCGTCGGGCACAAAACGACCTCCGATTCCAAACCTTGCGCAAGCGCGTCAAGATCGATCCCACCGCCGTTTCGTCCGTTTCAGTTCCTCCCCGCCCGAAGAAGAAGTCGGAACGAATCTCTTGGATACCTACGGTCGAAGATGGACCCACGCGGTCATCATCGCGTCGGCAGACCATGGTTAACAAGGAAATGACACATGCCCGCTTGAAGGATAGCCAGGAGAAGCGCATTCGCATTATTGCAACAATGAAGGAGGCAGAGAAGCGCAAGGCTCACCTCAAGCCGAAAGCAATGACCCAGGAAGACCATCTCGCGGAAGCGGCACGCATCGAGCGTCTCAACAGCAAGAGTTTGAACCGATGGGAACAAGCCGAGAGGCGAAAGGCAGATGAGCGACGGGCCAAGATCGAAGCTCTTCAAAACCGCCGTCTGGAGGGGCCCGTCATATCCTACTGGAGCGGATTGGCTACGTGGGCAAACGGTCGTCTCATTCGAGTAGGCAAGGCAGAAATCAAATCGAAGCCGGAGAAGGATACTACGAAGAAAAAGAAGTCCGAAAAGGAAGACAAGGCATCCGTGCCAGTGCCAACGCCAGCGCCAGCACCAGCGGAGGAAGGCTTGCCTCAAGGTACTCCAGGTCCAACAACGACCCCAATTCCAGGCCCTGTTCCACAAGCAGATTCCTCAGCTGTTCCTCCAGGCGAACAGTCCCCAGCAGTGGGTGGTTCGACGGCCGCAGCTTCTATGCCAACACCAAACCCACCCACAGATGAGTCTATACATCCAGTCACGGCATCTCCTTCAGTCTCTACCAACCACCAGCAAGAAGAGCCGGAGGGCAAGCAGGCGGACAAAAGGAACATAGAGGAGACGCAGAAGGAGTCGCAGGGCGAGAAGGCCTCCGAACCGTTACCGCCAGTTGTCCCAGAGAAGGAAGAAACCAAGGTTGCCGAGGAAGGTCCCTCAGAGCCTGTACGTATGTCCCCGGAGGGTCACCCTTGCCAACTGTGGAGATTGTCACCCGTAACGAGCGCGATGCCTCCGAGAAACCCCTTGCCAATATCCCCTCTGGGGAGAAGGACCCGGCGGGAAAAGTGGATTCTATGGAGATTGATGCGACTCGCTCAGAGTCCAACACCGCCGAAGCCGCCAAGGCGAAAGAACTCCCACCAACGACCGGTTCTCCACCAAGCGCCAGGGTACCAGACAATCTAACTGAAACGGCCGGGGAAACCACCCAGACCAAGTCTACATTGAATGCCACTGGGGATTTGCCAGTGCAGGTTACACCGTCTGATACTCCAACTGCCCCGCCGGTCTCTCAGGCCCCTCCAACCCCTCATAACGCTCAAACCCTCCAAGCTCCTCAGACCACCACGCCAACGCCTGCCGCGCCTGCCCAAAATAATGCTATCACAGCACAAGCAGATGGCCCTGGCGCACTGGTGCCAAGTCAGCCACCCGTGGTTAATGAGGCATCTATGCAACCAGAAGTCCCGGCACCTCCACCTGTCATCGAGTACACAGGCCGCAACTTGACGATCCTCGAGAACTTTGACGATCGGACCGCCCATAGCAAGAAGTATAGCATGTACTTCAATGCCCGAAAGCCCCCGAGACTTACCAGTATGTGTCCCGCACCGATTCGTGAATTCGCGGAAGATAGCCAGGAAACTAATTATTTGCTAGAAATATCCTCCTCCCTGTGTGTCATCACCTCCCTCCCATCCCGGTATCGGGATCCTGAAACGGCACTGCCCTATGCCAATTCCTACGCCTATGGCCAGATCCGACGTATCATGTCGGAGGGGTACATCTGGAGTTCGATGCTCGGCTGCTTCGTGGGGCCTGGCGAGACAGCAGCGCGTGGAGTTCCTGCCCGGTTCCTCGGAGGGGAGAAAGAGCTGAGCGAGGGGCCCGAATCAAAAGAACCCACGACAACCGAAGCTGCAGAGACGTCCGAACCGCGCAAGAAGCCGGCTGCTCCGACCGAGCCAATGGACGTCGATTCGTAAACGGGCCGAGCCAGCGACGCATGCATGTACTAGTATGATATGTCACAATAGATACCCATTCAGTTTAGAAGCTCCAAAGTCCTTCAACATCATCCCGGCCCCACTTGATATCATTGACTCAGTGGGCATCTCACACGAAAACTCTGTCAAACTCTGTCCAACTCTGTCCAAGTGTCAGTTCAAACTCAATTCGCGCTGTCACTGTCACAGCTCCGAGGCAGCCGCTGGCAGAAGCCAAACTTAATCGTAGTTTCCTCAGCACTCATTGCCTCATACAGAGCAGCCCATTGTCCGAGGTCGCTTGTACAACTGGGCCTTCCGTCGCTTACCGGGAGGTAACCGTGGTCGCCTTCCCTATCCATAAATAGCCGTCCCGAGGTCTATTGTTTAGCTCTTATCAGTTTGAACCTGACGATGTCCGTCTCATCTTCATCGTATGAGGCGGCGCATTTTTATATAGCTGCAACGCTATTGTGCCTTATCTCTGTGCCGCCTCGTACAGCGCCTCCGTCCAACGAAACACACTCTCTGTTTTGCCACTAGACCAGCTCGGCAATCGTCTCTAGTTATTCGGCAGTGGAGAGAAGGAGCAATTTCAACCGTCTCCCACCGGCTCAAATTTCACCGAACCGTAGCCGCCGGACCAGCTCTAGACACCATTCTCGTATATCGTATCCAGCCTTGATGTCATGGTATTCGCCAGCACCCTCTATTCATAGAACCGTTGATCGAGACTTCACATCGATCGGTTCCAGAAGACAGGCCTCACCGTCGCGAAGGGAGGAGGGTTGTCGTGGGATGCGACACTGGCCTCATCGTGGACCCTGTCAACCCCTCCATGACAGCCGATCTCCACTGATTTTCCCTCAGCTCCACTTGTTTCTTTTTTTGTCTGTTTTCTTACTCTCTCCCTTCTTCTTCAGCGTTTGGTAGCTGGTTACGTGGTCCGATCTGCCGAGCCCTAGCATTGCGCGGTTCGCAAGGCCCAGGCCTGGAAAACAGGGGCATCTCCATCGACGCGAAGTTCGGCTAGCGGAAGATCGACGTTTAGGATGGTGCCTAGTAGTGCCTGGACGGGGAGTCAAGTTCTAGATTCCCAAGCACGGACTTGGCTCGACGTGTCAAGGACGTGTCACCCTGGCGGTGGGGACTTTGGAGGGGTGGTTCCACCGTGTCTCGTTTGGGGTTCTCGAACCTCTGCACTTTCCGGTGGCTTGTCCTCCAGGCGGGAAATCCAGGGCGTTCACGGCTTCTAGTACCTACACGGATTGCCGACTGCCCTATAACTTGAAAGATCTGTGGATGGCGTCATGGGGGTAGTTTATTCTGAAAGTTTATCTGTGCATTCGTTCCGAAGATGTCGTCAACCAAATAGTAATCTTTTTTTTGTTATTGCATCATTTGAGCCCTGAACTGGGAAAACCCCAGGAAGGCATGATGTGATGTGGCGTAATGTTAGAGTTCCAGAAGGGTACGCAAGTACGGAGTACGGAGTACACGATCCTGAATCTGGGACTGTGTACTCTAGCGCTTGGGCAGATCCGACTTCCTCCGGAAATAAGCTCCCCCCCATCTGCGAGATCAAACAAGGAAAAAAAAAAAGCTGCAGCTTCTACGCGCTGTGTACATAGTGGGGGGCCCCCTCAAGGTTGGCTCGAGTGTTAATGTTAACCCCAAGGTCAACACCCCCAAGGTTATCCGCGCAATGTAGGATGAATCTACCGAAGAAAAAAAAAAACCGGAAAAAAAAAATTAAGAAATAAAAACTCTGACTATGGGGAATGTCGAGAGATCCACTGAAGATAAATATAGCGAAGAATCAAAGGCGTGCGGTGACGTTTGCGGGTAAAGGGGAATTGAGTCAGCCCCGGCTATGGCCTGGAGGATTACGCGGTCCTCATTGGCGTCCGGGGGCGATTGGGAGGTGGTACCGGCACACTGCAGGTGGTGGGGAACTTGATCGTCCCAGAAGTCTAGAACATCTTCCATCGCACGTTCTCTTGTCCTGCTCTCTCGTTATTTATACGGTCTAGTGCCCCTGGTCCCCTCTGTTTACAGAAGACCTGCCTTGCTTCATTCCCAGCTATTGCCACCTTTATCGGCCATATTTTCCATAGACTTCTCTGGTATGCCCTCCTTGTTCTAGAAGCCTTCCTGTTGGCTGGTCTCATCCTTATCTCCCCCACTCTGGGTAGATAACCGGGATGTGGTGATACCCTTGCTAATGCTTATCAGCCTAGACGAGATCTTGCACATATTTGCGGGGTTCTAGAAAGGGGAAAAAAGGGGACAAAAAGAAACTGGTTGCCCAGTTCTTCTGCAAGATCCCGAAATTCCTAGCGGTCAAGAATCAAAACGGTCAACACGCAATTAAATCACGCAACTTTGTGCTCCCCCTTTGTGCTCCACTCCAGATAAGATAGTGAGGCATTTGAATGAAGCCATTCGGCTTCACCGCCATCCATATGACTCAATCTTCTCACCGTCGCTTTCCTTCTTCTCCTCATGCCTCTAAGTCTAAGTCCTCTCGTCCTGTCCTACATCGACGGGGTACTTCGGCTGTGAACCCGTCCATCTCCAAGCTGGGCCGTGGTCATTCTGGGCATTCGAGGGGAAGCAAGGATTGCAACGAGGAAGCCTCCGAGTTCGACATGTCGGCCAGTTTTCTCAACTTCTGGTAAGTCAAAGAGATTTCTTCTATATTTACCCTGAAGGACCTGAAGGGCCTGAAGGTTCTTATCTCTGCATCCTGCAGGGGCATCCTGGCATACCGTCTCCCTGGACCGTGCGGCTGTGCTTATCAGCCTTCTTCAATGTTTTAAAATAACTAACACCGTCTCCGTAGTGCCATGTGTGAGAAACAGATCACCGTCCCCAACAATTCCCTCCTCTACTGCAGCGAAAGGTATGTCTGATGTCTCACTAGTGATCCTTATTTTAGGGTCTTGCCCCTCCCCGATCTCCCCATGTCCTCCTCCCCAGCCTTCCTCTTTCCTAAATGAGCGCGCACGCGACCAAACCCTAAAAAGCTTCTCCATCCCTTATTAACACCCGCTCTAGCTGCCGCAGAAAAGACTCTTGCAAGCCTCTCTCTGCCTCTCTCCCTTCTGTCACCAATATGTCCTCCATGGCAGCCACGTCTCCACCAACCTCTCCACCCCTCTCTCCCCGAACCATTGTGGCGCCCATGACTCCCACACGCCCTATCCCTGCCATCAGGATACCCGCCGACGCCCACGATGCCAAGTCAGATCTTGACCCCACGGAATGGAAGCCGTTAATATCGGCCCGTGGCGCCGGCACCTCGCTGGCCTCGTCGGATGCCTGGACATACTTGTCCCACTTCCACGGCGGCGACAACAGCATGCTCATCCGCCGCCCAAGCCGCAGCAGCGCCAGCCTCCCCGCTCTGGTCAGCCATGAGAGCGCTGTCGCGGTGCCCTCGCTCACCCACACTCCTTCCACCGTCGCTTCGTCTTTCAGCAGCACTGCCTCGGATGACCTCGTCTCCATGTACGAGGCTAATGCTGCCCAGCGGCCCTTGCCCTCCCGCCACCACAGCTACTTCTCGGCGCCCAAGAGCGTTGAGCTCATCGTTCCTCATGTCGCCTCTGTGACGGAGAAGGACAACGGTGTCATGGCTTTCCATGAGGCTGCGTGGGAGACCCGCAAGAAGACCGCGCCGATCACTATGACCAGGGCTGCTGGACAGTCTGGTATGCGGGTCTAGAGTAATTAAGAGGATCTCATGGTGTTTTGTGGCACTTGTTCAGATGAAAACTGAATTGTGGGATTTTCCCTTCTGCGTATCTTCAAACCCTTGTCTTGCTTTTTTGGGACCTCGAGCGGAGGCCGACGATATACGACTGATGGATTGCTGGAATTGGGCTGAAACAATGATCATCTTCTCACGTGTTAGCTTCCGGCCAATAGACTTCTTTAATCTTGGAAAATTTTTATGACCCCAGTGTGGCCATTGGCATGTGCATTGGTTTTTTACCCTAAAAATAGAGAAAGATAGGAAAAGGGGGTTAAAGGCCGCGCCATATTGCCCAGCAAATCGGATAGATGGATGTTGCCCCGGAAAGCCCAAGTTCGGTTTGAGTACCGTATCGATTCGATAATGAGGCCTTTCATATTCCCCGTCACTACGGAGTAGTACTTTCGGAAGCGAAGTTGGAGAGATCTGTGATTTCCAGAGGCCTGACTACTGCGTAGATCATACTAGAAGAAAATACCCCTAGCTACTAGTACTCGGCAAAACGGCAAAACGGCGGTGTCGATCCAGGCCGCAGAATTGATTGCCAAAACCTTAGGAAAAGTACATACCTTCGCAATAAATCCACGAGAATATGAATACACGAACAACGGAGCACACTCAATATCCCAAGCCAAAAAAGAGCGAAGGGCCTCCGCCAATGAAAAAGCATCAATTTCCACCAAAACCATCCAACCCACTGTAACAACTCAACAGGAGCGCATCAATCTCAATACAACGACACCCCCGACCCCCCCTAAAAGTCAGGAGAGGTGAAGCAACAAGACCAACAGCCCTGGCCAGCCTGATACAAAGGCGAAGTCTACGGGGAAAAAAAGAAGAAACGATTAGCACTCGAAGCCCTTAACAAGGACGAAAAAAAAGGGTAAAAACAAACAAAGAAACAGAAGAACTTACATAGGGCGCCTGACACTTCGCCTCCTCTTTACTACCAAAGCAAGTCCCCATACAGAACGAGTTCCCCAAATCGAGCCCATGGCTCTGCTTCTCACCGGTTACCGGCGCAACGACCGAGCCGGGACTCATCGAGTCCACCGGCGCGATGCCGCCGCTGGGCACATTGCCCATGTCGAAGCCTCCCTCGGACCCTGACCGGAGCGACGAGTCCGAGGCGTAAGGAATTGGCTGTTCGGCAGGGACATCCGGGCCGTACCCTGGCATGGGGGATCCGTCATGAGAGATATTCTCCTCGTTGCCGTTGCCGCCGGTGTAGCCGCCGTGTTTGGTTGTTGCGCCATTGAAGCTCTCCACGTCTGGCGTAGACTGGAGGCCGCTGAGGCCCGCGGGCATGGGGAAGCCTTCCTTGGGGTGGGGCTTGCGCATGCCGTGGGGGCTGTTGGCGGCGTGGGCGATGCTGTGATGCAGGGCTGGGTTGGAAGAGGACGGCCTGGCGGAAGCGGAGGCGGAGGCGGCGATGGACATGGAGGCGGACATTGAGTAGGAGGCGATCTTGTGGAATGTGCTGACCTTGGCTTTGGGGGTCAGGTAGTAGTGCTGGTATAGCATCGGGTTGTAAGAGGCCGATGCAGACGCGGACATGGGGCTTGCTGGAGAGGCCTGGGCTGGGGTTGAGATGGGGGTTGGGGTAGGCTGGAAGGACTCCACGGAGGGCGCATAGGCGTTTGAGATAGGCATAGGCATCATTTGGGCGGAGCCTGAGGTGGCTAGGAGGGCCGCCGAGAGGGCGAGGAGGGAGTACTGCATCTCGGTGATGCTTCACGGTTGCTGGCTGGTTAGAGGGTAGCTAGGCGCAGTTGGATGTCGGAAGCGTAGTTGGTGGAGAGAAGATTGGGAGAATCCGTAAAGATGGATTACATGGAGGTCATATTGGCGAGAACGCATTTCTGTCTCCCCAAGGGGTATATTTGGGACTTGGTGCACGCATTCTTGGATACGCGTGCTGGAATGCGCGTTTCGTATACAAAGCTGCGGTTCCAAGGTTAAAGTATTTGGAGTATGGAGCGCCAACCTTAAAGAACATCATGATGGGGATTCCCCATCATGGATGATGATAGCAATTGGGGTATCTAATTGGCATGATTCCACCGGCATTGAGAAGTCGTGAAGACGTAAATATGAATATTAGATGGGCACGGTTGAGAGCGAGTACTGCTCTTCCCTTTGCGCTAAACCACATTTGTAGGGTACGTGCATGCGCCATTGGCTCTTGTATTGTTTGTATGTAAACTGTTTTAATACTTCCAGGGTTGTGCCGATCGCCATAGTTCCGGGATTCGAAGCTGTCCGTGGTTGAAGAGATCGGCGCTATTGGCCCAAGGCTGCCAAGTCACCTGCCAGTCAACGGGGTATAGTTATGACAGCTACTCCGTAGTGGATACATCAGTGGGTGCTGGGCTGTTATTCACGGCTGTTCTCATGGTCAGTTGACTATTTTTTTCGTGTCTGGTGGTGAAAGCGGCGAAAAACCCACTCTTCCACACAATGAATACGAGAGATCGGCCAGATCCTACCACCTTTTAGCCGCAGTAGCGACGTATATTGATTTTGCAGAGTTTTCAGAGCTCCGATAATGTCACAGCAGAGTAATTGTGGTCATCCTATGCAGATTTGCCAGACTCCTGGAAACCCCGAGTTGAAACCCCGAGTTGTAGCCCTGTGCATGGTTTCTTATACAGCCCCATCAGGACAGGACGAGATTTATAGAGGCAAGATAGAGTGTAATCAGAAGAGTGCTCCGACACCCCAGGCCTAAATATGGTTAAGTACGACTGGCTGTTAGCTAGACGTACTGCAAGCTGAATCTGGCCCACCTCGCAGTTACCGTGCGAGTCGTGATAGTTGTACTGCTGGGCAGACAGCTAGGATGCCTAACTCGGTAATTGGACGGAGCTTTGATCCGGCCTTTGTTACCTCTCGAATGCTCATACCCACAACCACCAACTGCTCGTGCGGCAAGCCTCCGCGAAAGGTAGTCTTAGGTATCATGCGATACCCTGCCCTCATTAATTAAACCCCCCCGCTCCGGTCTGGAATACAGAGAGCCTTGGCATGCCCACACAACGCTGTCGCCTGGGGATGGGGTTTCCAATGATGTTATGACATGCGCCTGTCAACTGCTCGCCATTATTTAAGAGAGGCTTGCTCCCACCCTTTGCACCGAGAGGCGTTACCGAGCAAGCTCGCCTGCAATCAAGCAACTTTGTAGTTGGTAGCTTTGGGATTGGACTGGGATTTGTCATAGATAATATGCTGTCCACTGGTCCACGGGGCGGGGGGAAGGCATGGGGTCTCCTTACTGCAGGAGCGAAGCCCCGGGTTCAACACGCGACTGCTGCTTGAAAGATCCACGGGGGAGGGAGCTGTACGGTATCCCGGAGGGGAAATCTTTTCCTGATCGACCAAAAGTCTCGTTACTCGGTTAGCCTGACCTCGTCAGACACGACGCGGTGCAAGGGTTTTCGCCTCCCTTTTCAGCCATATACAAAACGCAACCGCGCTTGGACACGCAGCGTCCAACAGCAAAGGGAGGGTTGAGTTCTGATGGCCATGGAGGTTCGTATACCCCGGAAAGTTTCTCATTACCCAACAATGCTGGTGTCTGCGTGTAACTGTGACGCTCGTTTGGACTCTGAGTGTCGAGTGGAGCCGGAGGCCCCAATAACCTCGCCAGGAATCATTTTCCATGTCCGAGGCCAATCGACGCCGCAGAGAGGAATCATTTTAGGGCTTCGATTTCCCCTCTAGTTTTTCCCTCGAGAGTGTGGAATCTCATCCGTGCCGGGTCTCGACGAGATTTCCACAGAGGAAGACGCCGTTGGGATGCTCTTAGGATCAAATTTCCTGCCCTTGTTGAAGAGAGGCACTTGTTCTGAACGGACATACATTCTGCCAAGGCTCTTTAGGCTCTTCAGGCTCATCTTTGGCGGCAGTCTGAGAAGTCCACGTTGTCCAGAAGCCATCCCAAATAACAAACCTCAACACGACCTCCACGGCCCAATGCGGTGCATGTCACTAATAATCCCATGAATAAACAGCCTCAAGCCAAATGAATGGCCTGCTAACCAGGCAGAACGTGACCTCTAGGTCCCAGAGGCAAGTCGGACCACTAAGGTGCTTCTCTGACCGTGCACGTGAAAAAACGGCTGTTTTCAGGAAGCAGGGCGACTTATCAGGCAAGTTGATGAAAGTATACCCCTGATAACGATCGTTACTTAGCCTATGCGACAGCGTGGAGAACGACTTTCGGATTTCCCCTATTTCGATCAGCGACTCCGAAACCTGAAGGCCACGAACGGGTAACCACGACCCTGGACCAGCCAACAACAAACTCATTGAAAGAACTTGCGAAACGATCCATCCATATCGGCCCATTGGCGCTGCAGGGTGTGATACTGGCCTCGCCGACCATGTAAGAGCCAGCACCAGCCAACAGACATTGACCAGGAGATGGAAGCGGTGATTACTTGAATCGGCTTCATGAATTTGGAGCTTGGATACTGTCGACTGACACATCTTGCTGCTTTGTACCCTGGGTCATAGTCAAACTTGACACCACTCGAGAAGAAACAACGGTCGCTTCGGAGACTAGCTGCCGTCCTTATCGACATTATCATCCAGGGCAGCTTCAATTTTTGTAACAGACAATCATCGGAAGAAGGGATATGTGCGGCATATCACAGCCTGGTAACACCGGCAATAGGATCTGGCCCAGGACTGGGAAGGCTGGCCCTTGATGCCCACATCGCCTCTTTCTTATTGTGGTGTTATGCAGCGCTCTGTCGTCTTTCATATCTGTGGAATGGATCCCGATGTCGACCCTTCTGAATGACGTGCATTTTTGAATTAACATCCAGTCTAGCGCGTTACTCGTTTGATTTCAAGAGTACAACAGCGGCCGTTGACCTTCGCGTTTGCGTATACATGTGGAAGAACGAAGATACGCAAAGGGCGACTCTTGGGCCCTGGCGGGAGTCTATGGAAGACTTTGTGACGGCTAAGTAGCTTTCGATGGAGCTGGTCGGAAGGGCTATGGCACGTCCGCCGACGCAAGATGGGACCAATAGGGGACATCGTATCGAGGAAAGCTTCTGAAATCTTCACGGAAACAAAAGGACTGCATCAGCATTAACGTTTCTGGCACATTGGAATCATCGGGGTAAGTTACCTTGGACATCTTGATTGTTGGCTAGATCCCTGCGCCGGATCAAGCTCGACCCCTCAGAACAGGCTACTAGGCGACCCTTCCTGCTCGACTATCAGTGTATCCCGGAAGCGAGGGAAGGTCTTTATCATGACTTTAGGCGGTTGCTTGACGTGAGCACGTATGCCTGGTACCCTCGACTCAAAGCCCTGCCCCAATTAGCACCAGGGTGGCGAAAGATGAACGAGACGAACCTCACCTACTCCTTCAGGTTCGCGTCAAGTATGTAGCCCTTGCAAGGAACCTATTGGAGGAAAGGAGAAAAGATGTACAAATGCATCAAATTTCTACCACCTGGATGGCCAACTGGCAAACTTCATCGAATGGCGGAGGTCACGGTGCCGGGTAAGGGAGAGAGGATGCTCGGTTGCTAGGAGATGAAGTCAATATTCAATCATGAGGCTGATACGACCCCAGTACTAAGGCTTCGAGGCTTGGCGGTCGAAGCGATGGCCAGAGAACTTTCCGTGCCATCTGCGAAAGTCTGAAGAACTTTCTCTGCAGTTGCCTTTGCCAGGAAAAGAGGGAGATGAGGCGAGGAAGTGTTCTACCCGAACCCACCAACAGATCCAGTAGGGCCTCTGGACTGACCCAATAGGGATGCCGCGAGCAGAAAGACCAAAACACCAAGTCTTCAGATACGTCAGTCCCCATGACAAATATGAATTTTTGAACTCTAAATCGCCAATTCACTTGCCCCTTCAACTCGTGTTTTCCCGCATGCTCCAACCCGGGAAGGCTGAACGGACGTTGTCGAAACCCTTCGATCCTCCATTCACCTCTCTATGGCCCGAGTAGACTTGCCAGCCCGCCAATCCGTGCCCTCGATTGGTCAGGACACCTTTTCCGTCCCGGAACATAGCATACCATATGTCATATGTGAAAGCTCAACAACCTTCGAGCATCGCAAAGGGCGGCCCTGGCGGGCTTCCATAGGCAAAGGGCCTGTTCGATGTCCATGAGGGATGATGAGATCCACATAATCCCGTGGGAGGGCACTTACGCTCGCACCCTTTCGCGAGTCGGAGGCAGTTCACGAGCTGCCTTGCAATTCGCAATGCATAATACGCCACGTTCCTAGATTGGACGGGAGAGTAACAGGGGTCCAAGACCCATCCTCTTTTCACTCTTTTCTCCCCTCTCCCCAAATATTTCCTTGCTCAGGTCTCCACGGATCCCTAGGCCGGTTGAGTCTTCATTTTAACCTGTTGGTCAGAGCAACAGAGTGTGACAAAAGTATGGCCACCCACTTCACTTCTACTGTTATGCCCACTACCCCCACTGTATCGCTACGTCTTTCTATCTCTTCAGCCTCTATTTGCGCTCTTGCATTTCTTCTCCCCTCCAGTTCTTCTTTTTTTCTTTTTTCTTTTTTCTTTTTTCGAATAATTTTTGGCGCCGATTTTTGAAAGCGATTCTTCCTTTCCCTGCTTTCTCTCCAGTGCCCTCTGACCCCCTCGTCTGCAACCAGGTGGGAGTTCACTAAAAGTCTGTCTTTTTGATCCCAGACACAGTCTACCGAGACAAGCTTCTGTCCGGAGCAGGCTGCTCGCCTCCTCGAATCCTGTATCCTGTAGAGGGGCTGACTCTCCTAGGCGGCATTCGTCATGTCGAGCCGAACTTCACGAAACGAGGGAGCTTCCTCCAGTAACGCTAATTCGAACCGCAGCAACAATAGCCGCCAACGGCAAGCACAGCCAGGCGGGGCACCGAGGTAGGCAAAGCACCATCTTTATCATTGATCGTGTTCTCTTTTTTTTTTTACCCCTTTTGCCCTTGCTGTCCTCTCTTATGCCCGTCTTCTTTCTGCCCTGTTATCTTTTCCTTCCTGTCTTTTTTTTTTCAAAGAAAAGAAGGCGAGAGTGGAGCACAACCAAAAAAAAAAGCCCAATTCGTATTGGTGATCAGATGCTGAACTCCGTCATCCTGGGGGCGCTTTTGTAGGGGCAACAACGATGTTACCAGAAGTTTGGAAAACGAAGCTCGCGAGTTCGCCCTTGGCCTCAACCTCGAAATAGCCTATTATCACGCATTCCTCAACAAATTGCTCAATGTTATTTCGAAAGGTGACGATGAGTCCATTGCCCGTGTTATCTCGGTCATCCGCTCGGGCGCATCGTACACCGAAATTCTTGATGTGATCGACCAGGTCTCCGAGAACAACGGCTTGTCCAACGGGGACAGCAATTCAGGGTTTCATGGCCCCGGTACTTGATCTTGCCTCGACGTCGCTCAACATTTTTTTTTCTTTTTCACAGGGAGGAAAGGGCAAGACTTGTTTCCACCCGAAGCGTGGAAACAGTGGGGGATCTGCGTGACTTTCGGCGTGGGTGTGCGGGTTCAAGTCGATAAGGGTTGGCTCGAACCGGCTTTTATGGATAACCCGGCATTTATGGATAACCCGGCATTTAGGCCTGATGAAGTTGCCAGTACGGTTGGATGTTCATGAATTACAACAGGTGTAATGACCCTTGATGATTTCATTCTGTTTGCCTTTCGCCGCTAGGCAATAACTGCGCTGGTTCGGCACCTGTGATATCTGGTTTCCACATACGGTTGGGGTTGACTAGACTCGTACAAATTGGATGACGAATGCGCACAAGACTCGATTGAGGCAGGAAGCCGAGTCATAATTGCTTCACTGGCTTCGTGCTTTTACCTTTGGCCGCGGGATAAGGGATGGCAAAGGGCAAAACATCGAAGACGTTAGCTCATATTTGAGAAGCGGGGCGTGCGACACATCGCTGATATCATCGCCCGTGGCTGACGTCCGTGTTTGGAACTTTAGATCCCTAGAGTAACTCACTTTGTTTGTACAGAGATTCCTGTCAAGTATTCCCCTTGATTTCGTGTGCCTATTTGAACCCAAACTGAACCCTTTAGAGCCATTCTGAAAGACATCGAGTCAATATCCCGAAACCATGTACCGGCTTGGAACTGGCAAAGAACGCATGGATTATAACCTCAGAGCCAATCGCAGCCACAGCCGCAGCCGCAGGCCGCCTAGATCGAGCTTCGGGTCACTTTGCAGGGGTCTGCGTTTTCATGAAGACTGAACCCAGCCCGTTCTGGCTCCTTGTGGGTGGAAAGCGCAGAAAGTCCAAGGAGAATCAAGTCTCCGGTTTCATGGCACTTGCATCCCAACTATGAGTGTCAGTTATGTGGTGTCAGGGTCCAAGGTACGCTCTAAAAACGGTCTAGCCAGTGGCTCTGTGGGCTGGAGACGGAGTCTATCTCCGTGTGGCCGGAGCAATAAGCATCGCCTGATGCGCATTGTGGATACGCCATGGCCCTTGTTTCCCACCCTAAGCCACTTGCCTCTACTTTAGGTTAGTTCTGCAGGTGGTCCTGGTCAGGTATTGCTACGCAAGCAGTCCCCAGGACACTACTGTTGCCCAGGCTCGAGTCTGACCCGGTAATGCTTTGAACGTGTGCCAGCCGATCCGAGCCTATGGCAGGTTGACTCCTTGGGGGCACGCCTCTTGCGGAACAGGATCGTTGCAGAGTGCTTCAGGAGCCATGGGCTTACATTGCCTTTTTCTCCGTTTCTCCTTTTTGAACCGACAGACGCCAGTTCATCGCTTTCGCCCTCACATCCCTGACACATTGACACATGTGAATTGCGAGCCTCTCTCTCTCTCTGAGACGGAGTTCAGACGAAGAATTATTCACAACGAGCTCAGGCATGCACCCAATTGATGTGGAATTCATCCCATCCAACACGGCTCTCCCCGATCCCAAAATCCCAGCAGCGCATACCCGCGGTACCCCAGCGAAAACATCCCCATCAAGGCATCAATAACACTCGAGTAGCCCCTTTTCCCCAGGAGAAGCACAACTATTAACCAAAGTCGTCCACACACGTCTCCATCCCGTCCTTCCAACACCCGCTAGCCAACGCCCCATTTCTCATACACCCCGCCCCCCCCTTACAATTCAAATACTCAGCATAGCCGCAGCAACTCACAACTCATCTGCAGGAATTGCGAGCCATCAGTACCTTGTTCCTGCAGCTTCCTTCAGGCTTAGAATACCCATAGACCACTGGCAGGCAACTGTGCTAGGGCTTGTGTTGACACAGCTGCATAGCGAGCTCCGATTAATACCTGACTCCTTTTCGCTGCTATTATCTAATCAGAGTCACGAGAATATTCTCATATACGACATGAAAAAGCGCATAATCCTAAGCCTTATATCTCTTATGTTCTCGGCGTAAGAGGTCTTGTGCTGGGGGTTTTAAGTTGTACGAAGTGTCCGATTAGTCGCGGCTGGCGGTGCCGGATAAAGCTGTGCTATGCGTTCAAGATAGGGCTTGGGTATTGCCCCTTCGTACGAGGGGTGGCTGGTTCTCGGCCTGTGGCTTTGGAGCGGAGCTTGTGTCAATCCTCTCGGCGCTAGGTGCAGATCATGTCTAGCCCTTTCCCATGAGGTAATACTAGTGTCCCGGATTATCAGGCGCTGAAGGAAGAAGGGGTTTTTGACGAAGAAGAAGTGAGCTTTGCAGGCATTTACATGCCTTCGCAAGTCGAGGCTTGATATGCAACGGTTGCAGATTCTGCTAGGCGCTGGTCATTTTGATCAAATTCTTTCATTTCCGCAAATCTAATAGAAACCTAGTCCAAGAAACCGTATCCACACATCCATCCGAGCATATGCATTCGTACGTTTTCATAACTATAGTCTTTTTGGGTTTTCTAAGGAGTGCACCGACCGGTGAAACGTGGATATAGCGAGCAATCACGCACGGTGTAACGGGCACACAGCCAAGCCAGGAATCGCTCCAGGCCGAGACCGTAACCGCCATGGGGGGAAGTACCGTACCTATTCAAGAATTAGAGTCTATGCCCGCGGGGGTGACAAAAAGGATAAGGGAAAAAGAAGAGACTTACTTGCGCTGGTCGGTGTACCAGTAGTATGGCTTAGGATCCATGCCCTCATGCTTGTAAGCGTTCATAAGCTCGTCCCAGTCGTCCATTCTCATACTTCCGCCGACAATCTCGCCAACGCCGGGCATCAGCACGTCGACACTCTCGGTAACGCGGCGGTCACTGTCGTCCTTCTTCATGTAGAAAGCCTTGATCTCGGCGGGGAAGTGGGTAAGGAAGATGGGCTGATTGATAATATCGGTCATCTTGCGCTCGGCAGCCTCGGCAATGTCGTCGCCGAACTGATGAGGTTGGCCCTCCTCGTTGGGAATGTCGTGCTCGCGCAACCACTCGATGGCGTCGGAGTACTTCATGCGACGGAAAGGTCGCGAAGGAGGCTTGAAATCGGGGTTGAGCTTGTTGATGTAACCAGCAATCTCGGGTTCCGCGAGGGTAAGCTCGATCACGCGGCAAATCATGTTCTCGAGATGATCGAGCAGATCATTGAATGTGATGAAATCCAGCTCGGCTTCAATGTGGGTGTACTCCGACAGATGGCGGCGGGTGAGAGACTTCTCGGCACGGAAAGATGGGCAGACACAGAATACATCGCCAAGCGAAGGCAGACAGGTCTCGAGGTAGAGCTGGGAGGACTGGGTCAGGTAGGCGTTCTCGCCGTAGTAGTCGAACCCGAAGAGCGTGCTGCCACCCTCCACTTGGGTCTGGACCATGGCAGGTGGTGTCACCTCGAGCATCCGTTGTTCCTCGAAGGACTTTCGGAAAGCGCGTAATGTTGCGGCGCGTACCTTCATCACCGAAGAAGAGGTCTCACCACGTAGCACGAGGTGGCGGTTATCAAGCAGAGTCTGGGGGTCGGCATCCTGTGATACACGGTTTGTAATGGCCTCCTTGTCACCAGCAGCGCGGCCGATAATGGTGAAAAAGTCCGCGTGCAGCTCACGGTCGTTGGGGGCGTGCTGCTTTGGGGGAACCGAGCGCATCTCACCGTGGATGGCAATTGAGGTCTCGAGGGTCAAGGTCAAAATGTCGTACGTCTTGACCATGTCACCTGTCAAGATAACCTGGAGGTAGCCATAGCCATCGGCGAGGGTGAGGAAGACATAGTCCTTCTGCGCGCGCATACGGTGCACACGGCCGAGCACGCGGACTCGGGTGCCAGGGGTGTCGGATTCGGGGGTACGCAGCTTCACGATCTCAGGGTCGGTGGTGTCCAGGCGAATGCGGACGGGCTTGGGCAGCGAAGCATCCTCGGTAATGACAATCTTCTTTGCATCCTCAAGTACCTTCTGGCGCTTGTCAGCTTCGGCCTTCTCACGGATTGCCAACTCATGCTCCTTAGCAGCCTTCTTCTTGCGCTGCTCCCACAGGTTGGTAGCCTTCTTCAACGCCGACTTGGTAGCGGGCTTCCACTCAAGCTTGGCAGCAGGATCGACATTTTCGCCGGGCGCATCGGTTTGGGATTTGCGAGTCAGATATTGGATGCCCTCAGTGGTGGGCTCATGGTGCATGAAAGCATACACGAGAGTTTTGTAGGGCGCGGATTCAGTGCCGGTGGCGGTGGCGTCGTCGAGGCCAACATCCTCGTCGATGTAGATTGAAGGGGCCATTCTGTGGAAGCCAATTGAGGGTAGGGATGTGGACTTTTTTGTCAAGGGGTTTCTAAGGTGGGATGAGTCGCATTAATAGTGTGTCTCGCATTGTGAGTCATCGAGGGGATAGATAAGAGCACTGTGCATCTTCCAGGCCACCAGCAGGGGGGCTCTCCATACCAGGCTTCAATTTGGGAAATCAAGGCGACCACGGGATTCAATGGCAGCCACGCGACCCCAATTTGTAGAATCACACACGTCGGGGAAATCGGCGGAGGGGTAAATTTTGAGCGATAGCGATGGTTCCCCACGTGTGCCGTGTTGCCTGAGGCAGCGACGCTTTGACCTCTGAGGCTTTGATAGTTCGGTCGGATATTTCAATTCAAGTTAGATTGTAGGTAGTTTGGCTTTTCATAAGTGATCTTGGAGCTCTGGAATCTTGGGATCCTTGGTCAGATAGAAGCCTGAGGCTTCAGTCGGGAATCCCTTGCCATAGTAACTGCCGTGACATATAGAAGTACAAGAGGAGATGAATGTGGGGGACTGTAGCACCTGCAACTTCGGAGAACTATTCTGAAATCCAAATCAATGGACAAACACAATAATTCGAACATCTCCTTAATTAATCTGCCTTTCGTATTCATGTCCTAATGTGAAAGGTGGATCAATACCACATGGGACCTCCAAGTTGCGCATAACCGTCACGTGCCCACAACCCATGTTCGCTATCTTTTAGAGTTTAACTCCATAGTACTCCAAATCCTATGGCTACCAAAAGCATCAGAGCTATGTTTGAGGAGAATGAGCTGGGGGATGACCTGCATTTATTTTTTTTTTTCAAACATTTATCCTACCATTCAAGCTGAAATGCCTGCCGCTGAAGCTCGAAGCACCTGCCAGGCATCGTCATCCAACAAGTATGGCTTCAGTCTGTGAAATATGCTATCGTAGAACTGTGTTCCCCTAACTGGTTGATCTGTGTTTGCGGTTAGTCAAGACTCCGAGTTTTCTGAGAGATCAAAGAATCTCTAATGTATTTGCCCAATTCAAACAAATTTTCAGCTTCGATTTGGGAGGATTGGTGGCGAGATCTGTACCACGGCTTCGAGTATAGTCATGCATCAGGGCATCCATGGAGAGATCATGATCCCGAGCAGACACAAGGCGACTTGGAAGTAACATAAGTACTAATATGTCCCTATGACCTCACACAGGGGCACGGCGCTGGTGATTGGCGGGGCGCCCTGTTCCAGTACTGCAGGAGCCACGGAACTTTGAATCTGGGGGAATTACTTTGTTTTCAGGCTCCTAGACAGGGGGGGCCGATAAGGGGGCTGAAGAACATGAAACTCTGGCTTCAAAACAGATCTACGATCTTTTTTAGTTTAATTAATCAAGGTGGTTGGGTCGAACTAGTTCGCGCGCCCCTTTACGGTCCCCCTAAAAACTCCCCTTTTTACCATATGGGAACCATCTCCACCAGGGATCTCTCCCCTTTTCTCTTTCCTTCATACCTTCTTTTTTCTTTTTCTTTTTTACTCCTGCAGACTTGGGACTCTGGGGCTTGTCGTTCACTGTAAGTTGGACTCTCATCTCTTTTAATCCCAATCCCCTCATCTCCCCTCTCTCTCTATTTTCCCCCTTTTCCCTTGACCCCTCGGCACTTCAGCCTTGTACCCGTCTGGCGTCCCTTCGAATCCACTATCCCCTTTTAGCTAATGTCTTTTCTCCTCAGACTTTCTTCTTCCCCTCCCTCATTTGCTTTCTTCATATGAGTTTGTTCGTACATATTGTGCGACATTCATAGGGAAACAAAAAAAAAAAAAGGTTTAGCCGCAGGTTCGTTCCCTCTTGGCCCCAAACCCTCGGGATGAACATTCCAATTGACCTGCCCTTCTAGACACGTCTCTCGTTTCTTTCTTTCTCCCTCCCTGCGCGCCGAATCTTCTTTTTTTTCCCCTGCTTCTTTTCCTCGACAGTTCCCCTGAATGCAGCCCTGAAACCCTCGGTTCCTCGGGCTTTCTTCACACCGGTGTTTCTCCCTCCCCCTGAGGACCACCACTTTTGGTCGGAAGTCTTTTGGTCACCTCGCCATGCAAAACTCGGATGCATCGAGCATCTCGAATAGCGCGCGCTTTGGACCCTCGAAATACAATTTGCACGGCGAAACAGGCTTTTCTCACGGCGCATACAGTTCCAATAACAACCCGCAAGCATTCTCGAACCGCTCCCGCCGCGCCAATATTCCGGCGATAAATACCGCCGCTACAGGCCAAACCGCTGACATGGCCGCCGGGGCTGGGTTCGATATGAACTTCACCCCCCTCCTCCCGTCACAACTGTTGGTTGGCAGTCCCTTCCAGCCCGGCACCCCGTCTGCGTTTGCGTCCCCACAATTCGCCAGTTTTGGCGGCTTTTCACCAGTCAATGGTAACGGACATGCGCAGAACTCGCAAAACCAGCTTGGAAGTCCCACCCAGGGCATGCAGGGTTTACACAACTCGGGGATGTACCCGGGCATGATCTCTACCGATGGACTAGGTGCGTCCCAGCTGATGGGCCCGCAATCTCCCATTAATGGCCTGGGTGGTTTGAATGGTGCTGCGTTAGGCAGCCCAGCTGCGTCAGTCTCCCCAGGGATGTTGTCGGGAACCAGTCGTACGGTGTACCTAGGAAACATCCCCGCTGAAACAAGCGCCGAGGAAATCCTGAACCACGTGCGGAGCGGGCAGATCGAGTCTGTGCGCCTACTGCCAGACAAGAACTGTGCCTTTATCTCATTTTTGGACAGCAGCTCCGCAACTCACTTCCATTCAGATGCTATTTTGAAGAAGCTGGCAATCAAGGGAAATGACATCAAAGTTGGCTGGGGTAAACCGTCTCAGGTCCCGACGTCCGTTGCTTTGGCAGTTCAACAATCTGGTGCCTCTCGCAATGTTTACCTTGGAAATATTGCGGAGGAAACCTCGGAGGACGATCTGCGTGAGGAATTGGGTAAATTTGGCCCCATTGATACGGTGAAGATTGTCAAGGAGAAGGCAATTGGATTTGTGCACTTCTTGTCCATCAGCAATGCTATGAAGGCCGTCACCCAGCTTCCTCAGGAGCCGCAGTGGCAGGCACCGAAGCGTGTGTTCTACGGCAAGGACCGCTGCGCTTACGTCTCTAAGACACAGCAGCAGAACGCGGCCCAATTCCTTGGAATCGCCCCAGGATATGCGCATGTTTTGAACTCGGCGGATCGGGATTTGATCTCGAATGCGCTGGCCCAGCAATCAGTCGCTGCGGCGGCTGTGGCCACTACAGCCGGAGGAGTCAACAACCTCGGCAACAGGACTATTTACCTTGGAAATATTCACCCCGAGACTACTATTGAAGAGATCTGCAATGTGGTGCGAGGTGGTCTGCTGCACCATGTGCGCTACATCCCGGACAAGCATATTTGTTTCGTGACTTTTATCGACCCCACCTCGGCCGCCTCCTTCTATGCCCTGAGCAACCTGCAGGGATTGATGATTCACAACCGTCGATTGAAGATTGGCTGGGGTAAGCACTCTGGGCCTCTTCCTCCCGCTATCGCCTTGGCTGTCAGCGGCGGCGCATCACGAAACGTCTATATTGGAAACTTAGACGAGGCTTGGACAGAGGAGCGCCTTCGCCAGGATTTTTCGGAGTATGGTGAGATTGAATTGGTCAACACGCTGCGCGAGAAGAGCTGCGCCTTTGTGAACTTCACCAACATTGCCAATGCGATCAAAGCAATTGAAGGAATGCGCAACCGAGAGGAGTACCGCCGATTTAAGATTAATTTCGGAAAAGATCGTTGCGGAAACCCTCCACGCCAGGCCGGTAATCACGGCAATGGCTCACAACAGAATCGCAATGGGAACGGCCTTGAGGGGCCCCAGTCTCCCTCTCCTGCCTTGAACGGCTTCCAGCAGAACCTGAGCCAGTCTGGCTCTCAGTCCAGCCCGACTCGCCCTGCAATCTCACCCGCACCGGGCTCTACTGGCTCTCAGAATGGCCAGCAGCACCGCCATCCTATGCATGCCGTGTCATCCCCTCAAGGAGTTCTCAATGTGGGCTCTAACAACCCCCCTGACTATGTACCTGAACCAGATGTCTGCTCAGCAAGCACAGGAGCAAGAGGGTCACTTGGGAGATTCCCTGTCCCTGGGTGGCTTGCAAGGACAATCCCAGGCACCACCGCAGCACTCCCTCTACAACGGGGGCAGCAGCGATCTTGCCAGTGGAAACATCGATGCGCCGCTGCACCAGCACCAGCACAAGCCCTCTACCAATACTTATTTGAGCGTCGGAGGCTCCGGCCACGGCCACCATGCAACCGCTAGCACCAGCAATTTGAGTGTTCCCCGTGCATCACACTCCCGAGCCGTGAGCTTGCCGTCCTTCTCCCAGGAGCCCTTTGGGCCAGTATCTGGACAACCTGGGCATATCCGCACTGGGGCTTCCCACCAGCCCCAGGCTAGCTTCTCCAGCTTTTCATCGGCTTTGGGTGGGTTGAACCACCCTGGCTTTGGACTTGCCATCCAAAACGAAAGCTCCCTGCCCGGCTGGGCTGAGGAGGAAATTGGTGCCAAATAAACGCTATTTCACTCTGGAGATGCATCTCGACTCAAATCTTCTTTGGTGAACTCTAATGGCAATCTTCTGGACTGTTCTACCTTTTACTTTCCCTCTTCTCTTCTCTTCTCTTCTCTTCTCTTCTCTTTTCTGTTTCTTTCTTTTCTTTTCTTTTCTTTTTTTAACATATAGTTCACTTTACTGTGATGCCATTTCGTCCTTCAGCTTCGTTTCTTGTATTGGTCTTAATATTTCTTTTTTTCCCCCTGACTCTTCGCCATTCTCTTCTGCCTATTTCTTTTTTTTATTATCTCTGTTTTGACTCCACCTACATGCTGTCGAACACCCTTCGCCTACGACCTACTTTTCGTAATAACCCTTTACCCCCTTACCACTTTGTATTGCTAGCTGGCTATGTCTTTTTTTTTGGTTCATTTCGTTTCCGATTTTTACCCATGACAAGGGAGGTAATGTTGACGCCGGTTTTCGATTCTTCGGGGGAGCAGACAGTGGGGGGTGTCCGTGGCGCGCTGGCAGGTTCTCAATCCTGAAGATAGCCCTATGTCTGCCCTACTCTTCTTCTCTTTTTATTATTTGTCCTTTGCGCCGTTTGGCAGGTTGCACCGGGCGGCACGATCCAGCGAAAATACCCCTCTTCCTTGCTCTCGGTCGTCTCGTGGTGTGGGTTTGCGAGGTGATCGTCATGCGCTGCAGATGTGTAATTAGTGGAAAGGTTCCCGCGGAGGAATGAAATGAGTCGATGAATCTTTGTCTTGTGTAGAGAAAAATCCCTTATACGTTAGGCAGGCCTAGACGTAGAAGTAAACAGTGTAGTGCTGCATCCCGCTGTACGCTCGTCCGACGGGCTCGGCGCTGTCTTACGCACGCTTCTTGATGTGCGAGTCCACATCCTTGATTCAACTGACGTCTACGCGGGGCGCCCGGCAGTGTACGGCCTATTCCAGACTTTTTCTCTTTTGTGTCTTGTGATAGGATTCGGGGACGAGGATTCAGCGGCGAGGAACCGGCGGCGTCGGCAGGGAGAATTTCGCTCGAGCCCTAACTAATCTTTTCTGTTAGCAATCAGAACTTTGACGTCTGGCCAAATAGAGATTGCAGGGAATGTAGTGTGATAATGGCATAGATCTGGACCCAGACGGCGAGATCGTGTAGGAGGTAGACTCGTCGGAGAAGTAATTGGATTCTTTTTGTGGAGAATGATTGAGACCTTAGGTAGTATGCCTATCCAGGAGCAATGTCCTTCATGCTTCTAAGTCCCTCGGGGTTTTAATGAATGACTGATGGGAATGAATGTCGTGTGGCTGGGAACGCACCTTGGTGAACTCGAACGAGGACTTAGGGGAACTGGAGACAGTCTGGAAGTCTTCGGACTCTACCATCTCAGCCTACCATCTCAGCCATCGATGAGATGAAAGAGACAGCATCGCTCGTGACGAGGAGCTTTTTCATCGATGACAGATGGATTCCATGAAGTCAGAGCGCTGGCATACGCAGAAGGTGTTCTCACAGAACCAGAGAGAGAGGCAATGCTCAAGGTGTGTGTAGTTTTCTCAAACCCTACCTTAGGGCTATCTGGAAGTACTTCGAAATGCTCGACGCGATTGACACAGTGTACGGACGGGACTATCTTACTACTCATCTACAAGAACTCTTGGATCAGGGGGAACATTCCAGGGCACCAAAACCGGTTCCCAATATGCCTTGCAACAATATCCTCCACATAGCCAGTTCCATTCCTGAAACTCATATCAAGGGTCAGTAAACCTCCGACCACCGACAACCGACCACCGACCTTCCGACCCCCCATGTGAAAACCAAAGAACCATGTCCTCCATCAACTCTATGGGTATAGCCGTCGGAATTTTGAAAGCCCCCATGGTAGGAGCCACATAACTCAAACGACAAGCTAAACATAGACCTAATCAAAGGGATCATCTACCACGACCAAGAACGATATCCCTGCCCATCCAAATTCAGCCTGAGCAGACCCCCAACATCTCGCCTCCCCCCCTCTCTGTTACAGCGCCCAGATACCCTTTTTGATACCGTTAATGTTTTGATATTGAAATACGATGTGGATCATCGGGCCCCTCCGTTCACCCAGCGGGTTTATCAGCGGTGTGAGCACGCAAGCCAACACTATCCTAGCCAAGATATATGACGCATCAAGACACCAACGCGCTTCGAACTGTTGGTTCCCACTGGTGAGTGAAGCAAGAACTGGATTTTCTCACGACTGCGCGAGTCAAGCGCGAGTCAAGCCCGCAGTGCCAGCTTTGCCATTGGCGCCGTGGCTGGCTGTAGACACCAGAAGGGGGAAAAGAGAAAAGGCCCAAAAAAAAAGAAAAAGAAAAATTGGTCCGCGGACAGAGGCCTCAGCCATGTCTGAGCCGATCCTGGCCATCGCAAAAGCCAACCATGGAATCGAACTGGGGGGGCCTATGTCAGGCTTTCATCAGTTTGCACTGCAGGAGTTGACGCACCACTTGTGCAACTCTGGTGAGCCCCGTCCAGAGAACGCCCCCCTCCCCGCGGTGGCCGATCCCAACGGCGCTTCCCACCGAGGTCAAGGATTGGCGGTGCAGAGCTCGTATATTGTGGATTCGTGCGCCTGTCATGGCTGCTTTGGGCAGCCTTGTCGGCTTTTCTTCTTTTTCGGCTTTTCCCTTTTCTTCTTAGTGAAAACCCCCCCCCCTTTTTCTTTTTCTTGGTTCACGGGTCTTTCTCTTGGCTGAGGGGGTTGAGCACGGCCGGATGCAGAGAGGAACTAATTTTACTGTGAAGGCATCGGGAATAGTCTGGGGTTAACAACCACTCATCCCACGTGGAAGCCCACCCATGTGGGGGGGGGTTCGATTTGGGGTGGAAGTTCTTGGTCGGAATAAGCCGGTCATCCGCACATGTTCTCCGCCCTGATGAGAAGAGACGGATATTGAAGTTGCATCAGGGGGGGTTTCCTAGGTGTAGATGGGTTGGGAAATGGGGGTTGGTGGTGTTGGAAGGGATATGTGAGATGCAGCTGTTCCTTGTTTACTCCGTACTTCGGTATAGACTCGACTATCGGTAATTCGCGATAGGCTTTCCAACATATGCATATGCACAGTCCCACTCCATGACACAGTTTTTTCCAGTCTTTTGATTCTTTGGATGAATAACATCCAGTTCTCAACCTCCAGAATCAACTACAAGAACTACATACAGACCAGGCGCCCCCTGCGATGCCAACAACGAATGAAATTGCGTCTGACAGCCTGCATGATTTGAAACGGTTCAGTCTGCATGCATCATGCGGCCGATCAAACTCGTAATGCGATCTAGCAGCCACCAAAGGCTCATCCCTCATCCCCTCTACGTCTCTGGCCCTGCCATTCGACGCTCCAGGACTCCCACGCGGAATGAGCCGACAGCCGACTAAACTGAATCGCCCAGTCGCCACGCGGTGAATCTCCCCCCGAATCCTTCCTTCGATGATGCCATTCCGCATCTGGCTCCTATAGGGGTTCTAATCGTTACCGCGTATTGGAAATACCACGCTCATCCCCGATATGGGTATTTAGCCATTTTTGTCTTTTCCTTTTTCCCGTTTTCCCCCCTCCTTTTGCAGAATTCCTGCTCATGACGCGGCAAGAACACGAAGATCTGACGCAGCCGGAGAGGATCAATGCTGGATCATTCAGTCGGGGAGATCCCGTCTGTCCCGCTGCAGAAAATCCCGTGTTCTCCGCTCGGCGCACCATGGTTGCCTTGTCGAATAGAGGCCTTCTCTCGTGGAGCTTTGCCGGTCTTTGGAGGTTTAAGCGAGCTGAACAGGCTGTGAGGCTCTGCGGTTCTTAGTGGTCGACACGGGGTCATGGTGTTTCTTTTCAATTTTATTTTATTTTTTCATTTATTTTTTATTTTTATTTTCATTTATTTTCATTTATTTTCATTTATTTTCATTTATTTTTTTGGCGTATTTGGCGTATCTGGCGTGACGGCTAGGGTATTCCAAGTGGTCCCGGGGGGGCCTGGTGAAGTTAATCGGTGCCCGGGCGGTGATTGGTGCATTTAGTTCAGGAGGGTTCCAGAGCTAATCAGGGCAGCCGAAAGGAGGCTGCCAAGCGATCCTGGCGTAGACTATGGAGCCCTTTGATGGTCGATATCAATTTAATAGTCTCATATAGGTTTCTGTGGAGTTGATCATCGGAACGATGGGGCCCTTGACTTCCCCTCCAGATACACTCTGGACTAAGAGCGCCAAAATCCAAAAGAGTGGGAAGCTCAAAAAGGTTGCTCGTACACAGACCCAACAGTCTCCACGGTCGTTGAACGCCTGTACGGAGTAAGCGTGCCAGACTTCCAAGTTTCCCTGGGTTCAGGTACGTACCCATTCGGAGACCAACCGGAAGACCCAGGATCGTATCTGGTTTCCGTGCAAGAGCGCTGCGCGTGTGCCACAAAACTCAGATCAAGCCCTCGGGAGACTCCCGTTGCCTCCATAGATAGTCAGGTTGATACCTAGGCAATGGCGGAGCGTTTCGGGCAGGTGGCGGTTGGGCCTCAGGCGTGATAGAGTCAATGGGTTGATAGCCTTGCCAAGAAGGAATTTCGCCCCAATGGGACCGATTCTTCACCGAGATGTTTAATTCATCTCCGATCTTCATCTCGGCCGTTGAGTTCCTACTGCGCTGATTCAGTCTTCGGGTTCTATAGTGACCAGTGGGCCATGAAGCCCATCTCTTGCCTAGAAGAGACGAAGAGGTGTTCATCGTAATCATGCGGCGATTTCAGATCAAAGTTCGTCGAGACCCATAGAGGAAAATAGAAAGAAAGGGAAAAAGAAAAAAAAAAGAACCAGCTCCGTACTAGAGAAGAAGAGCGCCAATGAAAGAAGGGCACGATACACAGCGAGTTCTGTTCATATGCGCAGGACGCCCTTGAACAGCCAGCTTTCGTCGGGAATACCCAGCTAGGGACCACTTCCATCTAGGCACTGTCGATAGTTACGCAAGTATCCTGAC